TCTTTATTAGTAGAGGTACTAGCTCGAGCGGTCGAAGCTATACTAACGTCTCTTTCGTTATTAGGAGCTATTTGTTTGCTTAGGGTACTTACCTACTATAAGAGTATTTAAAATATTATATACCTACGGTATAAGGGGGTTAGAGCTCGTTAGACGAGTAAGTTCTAAGCGATAGGTTAGGTAAGTAACTTCTCTAAGGTTTAACCTTTCGGCGGGTTAGTAACTTAGGTTAAATACGAACTACCTATATAAGAAACGTCTATTCTATATATATAGGAGATTCGTATATAGTTACGATTACCTAGCGGTAATCGTAAGCACTCTTCCTTACGGTTACTCGAGAGTAAGGGTAAGTAGGCTGCTTACTTAAGGGTCTAGGTAAGCGGTGTTACGTAACCCTCTTATAGCCGCCCCTGCAGACCTAGCTCCTTGGCTCCCTAAACTCCATTAGTTAGTCTGCTTGTTGCGGACCCAATGTCCGTAACACCTACGGTCGTAATATCGTAAAGTAAGCGGCGACTTTACGAGACGTACCTATCTCTCTTGTACTATTCTATAACTTATCTTCGCGGCCTACGCTACTCGTCCTAAGCAACATACTATCTACTAGGATAAACGCAAAAGCAATGGAAACTGCTACTAGCGGGACGTACGTACTCGACGATGGCCGCAGAATAGCGTACAATATCTGCGGTGCTACAGAGGGACATACTGTCTTCCATCTGCACGGCTGGCCTGGATCTCGGACCGAATGCTCTCTATTCGCTCTCGAAGCCGCCGAGCTTGGTGTCAGAATCGTCGCGATTGATCGTCCAGGTATCGGTCTTAGTGCGCCACAGCCCAGGCGCACGGTGATTAATCATGCGCTCGACATCAGACAAGTCGCCAAGCATCTTGGTATCAAGGAGTATAGTGTGATGGGAGTGAGTGGTGGTGGGCAATACGCACTAGCATGTGCGTTTTACATTCCACCTGAAGAGCTCATATCAGTTGCTCTAGTGTGCGGACAGGGCCCGATCGAGATCAGTCTTCGTGGCATGAAGTTGGGCAACCAGATCGTCGTGCGAGGGTTTCAGTACTGCTCCACCTTTCTCCGGCTCTTAATGTATGGAGCCAGCCAGGTGCTAAAGCTCCTAAACACGGACAAGATACCCAACGAGCGGATCGTGCAAGCGTTTCAGACATTGAGTCGGTGGAACATGCTGGGAGTAGCAGAGAAGGACAAGCAAGTAATGGCGGACCACGACACAATGCTTGCGATCATTACAAGCGTAAGGGAACATTTTAGACAAGGTGTGGATGGATGTCTCGAAGAAGGCAGAGTGACGACCTCGACCATGGGCTTTGAAGTGAATGAAATCAGACGCAACGTGCTCTTGTGGTACGGCCGAGAAGACGCCGACGTGCCCGCTGCCATTGGAGAGGAGATTGCTGTACAACTGGGTAAGCATGCGACCCTCAGGCTCAAAGACGAGACTCACCTCAGCCTTGTCGTCAATCACCAGAGATCAATACTGCAGGACTTGATAGGTACAGGCTCAGAACGCCACATCGCTACAGCCGGGGGTTAAGCGATTCTGAGCATGAGTCCACGCTCGCAACTCCCTTCTCTAGCATCGTAGATCTCGGAAGCGTGCTAGTGGAAGTCCTAAAGGATTCAGTTAGCAATCGTCCACGTTTCTCCTCATAAAGATCGTGCGTGTAACCTGCCTGATCTAGGTTCAGATCTTTGGTGTTTATGACGCTTTGCAGGTGGAGTTGGCATGATTGTACAATCGTCTGGGCATATACGGTTGCCTTCTATGAAGGACCAAAAGTTTTGGTATTCGAGTGCTTCGCTATGTCCACCGCTGGACTGGAGTATCAGAAGATGTAACATGGGCTACATTTTCGGGTATTCCAACGCGCGGCTATGTCCAAAGGCACACCCGAAGACATCACATTTTAGACAGTAGGCATGATGTTCAAGATAAAATCGATTGGTCTGTCTCCTATTGAAGACGCCGCAGGGAAAGGTACCTTCGACGGAGGAGGCTTGTCTACAGTAAGGTCGAACTATTCTTTACTGGAGAAAGCAACATAAATCTGAATCGCAAGCTACATAGACCTCAGCATGCGCACCCACCCCCAATACCTCCCGCATCTCGCCACATAGGACCAGCGCCTGGCCTTAGCAAGGGAGTGTCCTAGTGCTGGAGGATATGAAAGAGCTTTGACAGTATGGACGGACTTTGTTCATCATGTATCCTTGTTACCTGCGTCTCTTTTGTCTAGGTGTTCTGGTGTTAACGCTGATAATCGGAAAGGTCGACGCCTGAGACCTTGACGACGGCCTGCCAGGCAGCTTCTTGGTTGGTGCGATCGTGAAAGTGTGGATGGCGCATCGCCTCGATTGGTCCGGTAACCTTTCCAGGCGCCGAGGCAAAGAACTGCCCTGAGACGTCGGTTTTGAATTCGCATGCCTGGAGATAAAGCCGGGCGGCGGTCTCAGGAGTCATCGTCATGCCGGGTATGAACTTTAGCAGCGGGATCATCACCCACCTCAGTACCGGGCTTGCATTGCGCACCACCTTGGTGCTGGGCGCGCTGCCAGGTGACACGGCGTATGCGGCCATTCCAGGGGGTAGCCGTCGCGCCAGTGCCGCGGTCCACCATGCGATGATGAGTTTTGCGTCAGCATACGCTTGATTGGGCGCGTACTTCACGTTCGGTCCGTTGCGCAGCAGTGCTTCAACAGCGGCGGTCCGGTCACCCTTGTGATTCTTGGCTGCGAGAGCCGCCACGTCCGTAAAGCTGAAAAGAGGCACATCCCCTCGAGCGGGCTCCGCGCCAGAGATGACAATTCGCACCATGGGGCTCAGCAGGTCAGCGTGGAGCAACCCGACAACCAGTTGATGATGGCCTATCAACGGAGCTTGAGAAGCCTCGACGCCCGCAGCAGTGAGCATGCGCTTGCTACCTGGGACCAATCCCGCGTTGAGTAGCAAAAATTCGATTTGGCTACCTCGCTTGACCAGGTTCTCGAGAGTGGACTGAACGCTAGACGGCTCATCTAGCTCTAGCTCCAATGGCGTGAAGATCTGTCTTTTGGTCTCGGCCGCAAGCTGGGTGGCACTTTCCTGGATCCCAGCGATACTGCGCCCGGTAACGAAGATGTCACGCCAGCCGTCTTCGGCAAGAGCGCGGGCTGCCGCATAACCAAGGCCAGATGTTGCGCCGGTAACGAGAGCGATCTTGTTGTCCATCTAAGTTCTTCTTGTTCTGAAGACGGCTTTTAAAGGAGGAGTATGTTGCTAGGCGATGTCGGTTGTAGATGCGTCTGTTCTGGATACGAAGGGGCACAACCGTTACAGGGACGGCCGCCTGGTCGCTCATATAGCCCCAGATTGGAATCCGAAGGACGCCACCACATCAATTGCTGCGCGCAGATGCGGCTGCTTGGTAATGGTGATTCCACAACACGCCATTCCGGGACACATGTTGGATCTTGGTGCGTACTCGTCGGAATTCGGACGTATATTTGCATGAGCACGCATAAAGGAGCATATATTCTTGCGTCGAGCTCCACTTTCGTGCGGGATCGGCCGAATTCATGCGGCACGAGTCGTCCGCAAGCTCACCTCGACATGCGCATTCATAGCCTTTTTACCTTGGACATTTAAAGTCATCGAGCAGGTACAGGCATTCTTACGCCATGCCAAACAGCGTTGACCGAAGACCCATGCGCTTAGGTACGCGGAGCTGCGCCGAGTGCCGGCGGCGAAAGATTAGATGCATCTTCCCGGCCGCGCAGTTGGAATGCCAGCAATGCGCTCTTCGTGGCATCCCGTGCACTGCTCAGCAGTCCATAGGGCAGGATGTCTCATCGTCGGGACGCCTGTCATCGCTAGACAATAAGCGGCTAGGGCAGCGACTCGCCGAAATTGAAGTCAACGTACGCGATATCTGGAGTAGGCTGAGCCTAACGAGCACTTCTTCTCCGCTTACGGGTCCCTTCTCGAGGGCATCAGCTATGATATCGAGTCCTGAAGGATATATTGGTGCCCCACCGGAATCCATACTCGACTTCAGGAACGCCACTCAAACTACTAAGCCCCGCGAGGCCGAAATGGCCGATAACCGTACTGGCTTCCAAGACGCGCCACTGTTGGCCCTAATCGCGGAGGGCAATTTAACAGAGCGGTTGCAGCCCGAATCACCCGAATCATCGGATACAGAACAACAGAGTATTGGTGACGTCGTCCATCTGCCCCAGGGTCTGATGTTGCAGGACGAAGACCTTGTGACGCTCCTTGCGGCGACGGAGCAATTCTGGCCTATCTGGCCACCCTGGCAGTATGGCACCCTTCCTCCGACCATGCGCACTCTCCAGACCGGTGGAGTGATATTTGCTGCTTGCTTTCTGTCCCAAATGGCAAGGTCTAGTAGCCATTGCATCGCGGCCAAGGCCTTACTCTGGCTGTCGTTGTGTGTTCAACAGGCGCCCATGACGCTGCAGCTGACACGATGTTTACTCTTGCAGGAGGCTCTTCTCGCCTCTTATATGCGAACCGCCGAAAGTCTGCTGGCGTCGGCGTCGGGCAAGGGTGAGACGCTGCACGGGATTGAGGCCCGTCTCATCCAGCAGAAGCTCTACATGAATATGGGCCGGCCACGACGGGCCTGGCTCAGCCTTCGTCGTGCCGCCGATGAGGCGATGCTCCTGCGGCTCCACCGCAGCCCAGAACAAATCAATGGAGGAGGAGGAGGAGGAGAGAGACACCGGGAGGTAGCCATCTGGACCGAGATTTGGCATCTCGAGACCAATTTCGCGCTGATACTAGGCCTACCGAATACCGTTCCGGGTTTCACCTCGAGCACGAGCTACGAAAGCCCGCTTTGTATGTTCCAGCACAGGTTAGGTGGCCTCGCTGCGTCTGTCGTGGCCAGAAACCAGAGCGCGCAGCCGAGTTACTTCGCGACCGTGGAGTTAGGCCACGAGCTTGAACAGTGTCGCGGCCTCATGCCCGATATCTGGTGGAACGAGCTGCCTCAGCTGGATCAGTCCTTTGTGCAAGTCTTTGCTCGACAGGCGACAAAGATACAGTATTTTCTCATCGTCAAGCTGCTACACCTGCCTTTCATGCTTAGCGCTAACGACGGGCACAAGTATAGCCGCACATCGGCCGCTGCTGCATCACGAGGCCTGATTGCGGCCTATCTAGGCCTTCGGAGCTGTGATGAGGGCCAGTTTACTGTATGCGAGTCGCTCGAGTTTCAGGCCTTTAGTGCCGGCGTGACGCTGCTTATCCGACTTATTTCGAATGCGTCCTTGCGAGCGGGAAGCGAAGATGTCAATGTTCGCGATGACTGGGCGCTTATCGAGGCGCTGACCACAGCGCTGCGACGGACTGCGAACCTCATGCGGTGTCGCGTCGCCAGTCAGGCCGCCGAAGTGCTTGGACTCCTTACGCAAGCGGCACAGTGTACCTATACCGGCCCAGACAGATACAACGTCGTCCTTCCGTACTTTGGCAAGATCACTATTACCCGGTCGCGGAGCCAGAGCATGACCCACCCGAATGGACGCGGCGAGTACTACCAACAGCAGCAGCAGCAGCAGCCGCCGCAGCCGCCGCCGCCGCCTCCTCCCTCCTCCAGCATCGTCTCGATTAGTGCCAACCTCTCCAACTTCGGCCACTTTCCTGGGAGCCCTGAGGGGGAGCTCGGCGGCGATTGGACGTCGATGGCCGGCATTGACATGAACTTTGATTGGATGCAAACATTCACCTTTGAGAGCGATAATATCGACAATGACAACAATGATAGCAACATCAACGACCTCCTATAGTATTGTCGAAAAGAGACACGGATAACCGAAAGCAACGCCATAGACAATCTCTTGCAGCCGCGCGCAACAACCTTCTAGCGGCCGAGTCACTCGCATGTAACGACATTGGCCTCTTTAGGCTACGTCAGCAGCATAAAAGGTCTGCGAGTTCCAATTGCCGCCATGAAGCTGGTCATTCGTGAAGGTGTTGGTGCTGAACGACACGGTACATTTGCCGTTCCCACCCGACGATCCGTCGGCCCCGTGCGAGAGAACAAAGTCAACGGGGGAGCCGTCATTGACGATCAGAAAGTCGACAGAGTTGTCGCGCTGGAAGTTACGGCTATGCTCTGCGCCAAGAGTGATTTTTGATCTTCCAAGTTTATCTGTGAACACGGGCTGGGCGTTAGGGTCGTTCATAATCATCGCGCTCGGCGTGAGCATAGCGAACTCCCCCCAGTCGGAATCGACAGTGAAACGGCATTTGGTTTGATGCGGCTCCGGGTTTAACACACAGTAGTTGAAAGCGCTCTCGACATCACCTGCGCGATCTGAAGACTGCGCGCTCAGGCTTACGAGGTCCCAAAGATTCATGGTGTTGAACGACATCACGTCTGGGTTGGCGTCGATGGTTGGGAGCCATTGCTGAAAGGTTTCAAATACACCTCCTTGGGTGGCGTTGCTGCGAATGGTGTCACGCAGTTTGGGATTACCACCTGAGCAGACCACGTTGGCCTGCTTGCGACGGTTGAATTCCGCGTAGTGACTGGTAGACTGGACGGATGCGTCGAATTTGCCTCCGCTTGTGAGGCCTCCATAACTTGCGCTGATGTCTGCCGCAAATTGGTCGTTGAGCGTGCTATCCGAGTTGTCCATCTGAACGTTCTGATCGAGCTTTGCGTCAGTCATGCATGAGGGCGCAAAGGTACATGAGAGCTGACTCATACCACTTGTAGACGACCGCCGTAACTACAGCCAGTGATGACATGGCTACCAAATTTCCTGAACAACGACCTGTACTTCCTGACGACGTCATCATTGCCTTGATCCCATTTTGGCAAAGCATTGACCCTTGCGGCGAGAAAGTCCTCCTGAATGTTGCCGAGGAAGTTTGTCAAATTGGCGATCAACATGGTCTGGTTGTAGGTGAACATCGTAGCCTGCCGGTTCTCACTGAATGTCTTGTCGATAGCATAATTCATTGACGCATCCGCCGACAGGGCGAGATACTTGGCCGAGAAGTCTGCATCCTTTTGAATACGCTGAGCAGCATCCTTGCCACTCGTGAAGGAATCGGAAGCAGCTATGCCGGGGATTCATGTCAGTCGTGTTGGTGTTAACAGCAGAAACACGAGTTTGGTGCTTACTCTGCCCGACATTGACATCAAGACTGATGCTCACGTTGTCTGGTACCGTCCATGTTGCACCCCCAACCGTCTGCGTTGACGAGCCGTTCGTGAGCGCCACGATCTGCACGATCGAAAGGACGTGTTTTGCGACAAGGTCAAGATCATTCGGGGTGATCCCCGTGAGATCCAGACCACATCCCAGCCAAGCGTTGGGTGGGAAGCTGGCGTTGGTGACTTTCTGTCCCGAAGACATGTTGATCGAGTGAGGATGGATTTGTTAAAGTGTCAAGAATCAAGCAGAGCCAGTAGGAAGATTGGCTTGTGGATGAAAAGCTCATTGACGAGGTGGTAGGAATGGTCCTGATAGTTATAGCACAGCCGTGTCTACATCTTGAGCTCACGGGTACCAATACACGCGCCATTCCCGTGCGCAACAGATCGGACGACACCATCTCGGCTTGTCCGAGCTCCAAATCATGGCATGGCTTGCGTGTTGGAAGTCTGCGCGCATAAAGAAGGCTAGCTGAGAGCCCTGTATGTACTGCAGTCTATATAGTGCGTTCTCCAGTACATGTTCTGGACGGCCTTCCTCAATCAAGGGCTTGAGTTCGTGAACACCGCCGGTGGAGTAGCTCGATGGCTTCAGCTCATCGTGTCCTCGTGGCTTGGAAGCGTGGTCTACTCCGAAAAGTACCTTAATGATGGTCAGGTTCTCCGGCAAAGCGTGTTTAATTTCAATCACTGCGTCTGAAGGGCCAGGCTGTCGCCCGTAATATCGATGATACACCACACTTGGCGACTCCGGTGCTTCTTGACTCCTAGTATTGCAAACTCGTGTGTAGAGATAGTTTGGGGAGGAAGTGATACTGTGGGACCTCCTCGTCGATGCGTTGCACTCCTATCGCGCCACGAGCTTCTGACGGCGTCAGGCGTGGTCCAAGACGCGAGATGGGTGAGCTCAACTGGCTGGCTGGACCAATATCGAGACTCTTCCACATCCTTGTTCGGCGAGTTTTGGAGGCGCTGGCGTGAGGAGCGGCGCTCTGCTGGAAGGGGGGGCCTTATTGTCGAAGAGGTGGTCAGAATTTTGGTGGTGTGACTGCTGTGGCGTCAGCTGAGGAGTACTTGACGCAGTCATCCCTTTACAGCTGCAACATCGGGCACATAAGTCCGGTACGATTCTCTGGGGAAGATTGAAGTACATCCCAACGCACAAGCGACACGGATATGTACAAGAAGCAGGTTCACGATAGTCGGTCCATGCAGAGTCTCGGCGATAGTAGCTCCACGGTCGCCGCTGGCACCATTCATGGAGGACATAACAGGCTACTGTTCATTCTATGCAGACAGATTAGACTGACAGAGATGTGAACGTTTCGATTGTTGTTTTCTTGGTACCAGGTAAGCCACGGAATGAGAGCTCCTGCGGTTTGGACAGTGCTCCATGGCATTCACACACGGAGCTTAGCATCCTTCCTGCGGCTTACGAACACGTGGTGTCTGCCCAAAATCTCTCACTTCGGTCGGACTGTGGCGCTGCGTCAATCCATGTAGAGCTCTTTCTGTTCTGCCCGACACCTCACAGGTATCTTCACCCACTCTGGAGTCTGATAGCAGGAAAATGCTAGTACGATCCCTGAATTGCTGAGGCCGCTGGCCAATTTGTTCGCCAGCCGTCTGCGCACTGTCGTAGCCGGTCCCCAGGAGCTTTCCAGTTGACCAGGGCTCCGAGACATAAACGAAGGCTTGTCTCTCGGCATTCTGCTATAGGAGATGCAGGCTGTATCAACGATTGCGCTATTCTCATACAGTTGGTAGATCGATGCGTTGAGAGCAAGGGTAGCGATGATTGGTGTCTCGGTGTTGACTACCAACCGTCCACGGGGGGAGGGGTGGGAGATCCGTCAGAGTGCCCAGATCATCATGAATCCTTGCCTCCATGGTAGGTCGCTAAGTTTCGAATCGTAACATCGGAAGAACTTTTGATGTTCTTGTTACGATGAAACTCGAAGGACGTCTGAAGAGCGTCAGGGGTAAGTGGATGGCACTACAATAAGTCGTGCGACTGGTTAGACTACCATTAGCTTCCGGTACCCAAGATACTAGTGGAAGTCAAAGTCGAGAGGGTTCGCTCTGTGGTGGTACTGCCTTCGATGCCAGATTTAGGTACTCCGATGCTGAACCTAGCACAATCTCAATTCTCTTAAGTGGAACTATACATCATTTCCCCGTTGAAAATGCCGCAGTACGTTGATATGATCACAAAGTCCTATGCCAAGTGTCAATTGTTCGCCTTGGGAAATCGCCGACATGTTCACTGGAAACGAGTGAAAATTCTCGCAAGGCCTAGTCGACCTCGACGAAATCAAAATTCGAGTCCGGCAAAAATCTCATACGTATCGACTAACTACATGTTTGGATCCTAGACGGAGCAACTGCACCGCATGTGATAGAATATGCTGTACAAGGTACATACATCTATAGAGAATGAAACCATTGCCCAGACCCATCTCGCCAGCTACGACGTTTATATCTAGATGCTACAGTTCCCGGTTTTCCCGTCCACGGCCTTAGCATCCTGCTCAGCATGAAGGTTGCCAGCGACGTAATGCTCTGTAGCCGGATCGTTGTTCTGCGTGAACAAAGCCAGGATGATGGCTGGGCCGGAGAAGGCAAGTACGACCAAGAAGACGGTGCTCGCAGCCTGCTTGAAGGCCATGCGGTAGGCAACCTGCGCGGCAGTCTGGAGCGCGGGTGTCAAGCCAGCTACAGCATCGAATGTGCCTGTACCAGTCACGGCAGCGATGAGGGACTTGAGTGAGTCTGCTGGCAACCCCTCATTGACCAAGGGTCCGAGGTTGGCTGGGATAGTGGTTGCCAGGCGGTTATTTAAGGTTGAGACGTAGACGGCAATGGCGATAGCTGATGTGAAATTGCGGATACTGCCACTGAGTCCACCGCCTTGTCCGATCTCCTCCTGAGACCGAAGTGGGAAGGTCGAAGTTGTGATGGACACGGATTCCACTACGCCCATTGCGAAAGCACCAGTGAAGAGCAGACCACAAGTCAAAGCCTTGTTGTCAAGATCGTAGGCAGCCGCGCTAAGGAGTGGTGCAGCGATGACGGCGGCACCAATCATGGCCCACTTCGGTCCTCGGGTGCCCAAGACGATGAAGCCGTGCAAGCTCTGGGCGAATACAAAAGCCATGTTGAGAAGACCAGCATAAACGCCAATCTCATTCTTGCTAATCTTGCCAGCTCCGTAATAGAGAACGGTGACGCACTGTGGGAACACGATAGCCGCACCGTAGTAGACGCAAGCTCCGATACCCGTGTTCCATGCTGCGGCCATGAAACGGATGTTCTTGAACAGATGGATTGGTAGGTACGGCTCTCTGCCCTTCTTGGAAATCCAGACTTCATAGACAGGCAGGATGAAGAAGAGGACGACACCTCCGATAGCCATAGTGGTGATGACTTGGACGGAGAGCCAAGGGTAGCTGAGGTAAGATCGTTAGCGAAGGGCGCAGGGAAGACAGGTCGGGGCAAGTCTTACAGCGTACCGCCCCAATTCAGTCCAAAGATGAAGATACAAAGGCTTCCGATGAATAAGATGACACCAACCCAATCGAATTCAAGGATCAGCTGTCGAACAGTCTTCTCTTGATGCAACAGGCCGAACGATGGTGGGTGATAGAAGAAGTAGAAGAGTGCAATGGAGACCACATTCAGCGCTGTCAACAAGTAGAAGCTGTTGCGCCACTGACCCTTGGTGTTGTTCTGGATGCTGAAGGCGACGATGGAGGCCAGAGGGCTGGTCGGTGTCGTCATGAAGTATGTGTATCCGTTGGCGATATAGCGCCATTTCATAGGCACAATTTCCGCAACAATCCAGAAAAAGCTGAGCTGGCAAGAAGCCGCAATGCCGATAAAGACTTGTGCACCGATGAGTGTGTTCACGTTCTTCGCCTGCGAGCCGATTATTGTACCGATGAGCGAGATCACCGAGCCAGCGATGAAGAACCATCGGCGGCCGAAGATGTCGGAAAGGCGACCGACGAGGAGGAAGAACACGCAGCCACCGCAAAGATTCACCAGCGGGATCCAGTAGATGTTTGGCGAAGGTCCAATGTCTGCATTGATCTCGGAAAGGACGGGTGCGATCAGGCCATATCCACCGATGCCAGCCATGAAGGAGAAGCCGATGGCGAGCAGAGTGCCGATGAAGTTTGCAGAGTACCAGTACTTGTCGTTGAAACCGCCAGCGTCACGGCCTTTGGCGACTTCGGCACGATCGTCACCGTCGCGGTGGTCGACATAGTCCACTGCACGAACGCTGTTCCTCCGACTCCCTACAGACCCGGTGATGCTGAGTCTGCGTGGGGCATGCTCGACCTTTTCAACGTCGGTGTGCTTATTCATTTTGCGGTGACCGAGGTGATGGGCCAAACAGTTGTGTCCTGACAAGAGCTGATTTCGATGGCACGGAAGAGGTCGACGAAGCAACCAAGCTAAGAGAAACGGGTTGCGGAGATGGCTGGCAAGATACAAGTTGAGGTGCGACGAGATATAGATATGCCGTTCATGGTCCAAGAAGCCAAGGAGACTTCGTGGGCTTTGATTACCACCATGTCAGCTCCTACAGTTCCCATAGCTCTTCAATATGGGCTGTGAATGTACCCAGCGCTTCCAGACAAGGCCAGTTCTCGCCTAACCGCGCTGAAGAATGGTAGTCCCGAAGCGTAAAACAGATTCAGTGGAGATAGTACGGAATCAAGTCCTAGATCCAGCCCACTTGAGAAGGCACATTGCAGATCATGGCCTCAACCCCGGACAGACCCCGGATATACAGTACCCCAAAGAACGCACAGACTAGCTCCCCACGTGGAGGGTAGGCTTTCCACTTCAAGATTCGCCCTTTTCTTCTCCTCGTCCCTTATCATGGCCTGGACCGACCCAGAAATTCTGCAGAGTGCGAGGCCACGCGCGCTGTTCATATCGCCCAAGCGCTTCTCTTCCTATACGCCCTCTACCAGTCGCGTGCACCTGCCATCGAGGTAAGATCGGCCTTAATTTGCCGCAGTCTTCCATGTTATGGTCGTGCCAATACTTTGCTAAGCACATGCACCCTCACCTAAGATGACGCTCACGATTGTGGGTTCGCCTACCAGTAGCTTGGGCTCTGGTCAAGTCGCTCGCAGATCGAAAGTACGTCCAGATGCAAGATGCCCTGTACTAGCCCAACCGAAGGATCCCACGTTATGATACTTGTAGCAGATACAAGTGTACATGTGGTCGCGAATCACTCCGGCGGATAGTAGCAATGCAGACGTAACTACCACGTGGGTCTGCTAGCGAGCGATACAGTATTGACTTTCAGTTTGTCTACACTTATCGAGACAGTCCATCGTCCCCTTAGCCAGAATCGGGTTCTGACGCTTCTCCCTTTTCGACTCCGGCATGGTCCAGGTGCCTGTGATGCCTCACTTGCAGTTTCCAGTGCCACCCCATACTACAAGGGCGCAAACGAAGCGTCACACGTTCAGCCACCTCTACCCACCAGAAGCACGGACATGCTCTGCGATGGCCCATTGAGACTTTCGACGAGCTTTTACCAGTTCCCTGAGGAGTCTCAATCTACGTCCTCCTACTGACGCTCTTCGAGTTGATTATGAGACCTGTGGTCCGCAATGAGATTGAAAATCGTGTTTGCGTATTGGTCGAGACGGTGCAATGCTCGTGGCGTTGCCGGCAAGCGCTGGTAGGGACATCTTGATGTTCATGCTGTACAGCTCTGGTGGGTTGCAATCCGACCTGGTGGACTACTCCCTTTCACTAAGGGGACTAGGTACCGTATAGTCTGCTATCCACGCAGCAGACTGATAATAGCGAAATGGGATGATGCACAATGGTAATGCTTACGACACTCTCCCGTCCTGACAGTGGGGCTGCGCCAGACACTGGCGATAAGTAAGGTCGAGACACAGTGAGTGACATCTTCTATATGACTCCCCTCACGCGACTGGTCGTAGTATAGGACTCGCGAAGACTGATCTTGTTCCAGGAATAACGCCGCCTAGTACATCTGCATATACTCCTGAACCTCCACCACGACCGCCACCAATCCACAAGTCATACGACCGACATGACACGGAGACCTTTGGCAAACCTTGAGATCAAATCTCTCGCCGCGATAATCGACTGAACATTCCGAGCTCAGCTTCTGCCCTTGGTGGAACTCAGGTGCCATATCCGCGGTCGAATGACAGTAAGCAATACGCTTCCATGTATTGGATCCTTATATCGCTCGGGATCATCTCATGGGTCGTCTTGGTTGTGATAGTGGGGTCACCCTTGAGATATTGGCTCAATTCATGACCGCACTGTTCTTATTTAGGGTATCGGGGTCGATGAACAAGCTATACCATACATACAGAGCAGTAACTTGGCAGCACTAAGATACCATCACTCCCTCACCAGAGCAGACCCAACTCGTCGCTTGTGAATTCCTTCAAGCGGTTCAGGCCCCAGTCAAGTCCAAGATCTCAACACCACTGTGCCTCCACGCCTTTGCTGCTTTCCCGCTTCTGCCTCTGATTGCACCACCATTACTAGAAACAATCTCGGCACTTCTCCCGCTCATCCTCCACCCACTCCCATCACCGCTCATATCCAAGGTCTCGGCATCAACTTCCTTCCATACACCCTCGAGGCTTTGACGGAGTAGAAAAGCTTTCTTCTTCACCGCCTTCTGCTGCTTTTGAGATTGGATAGGTGATTTACCTGATGAGGGATGGCGAGGCGAGCGACGTATAGCGACGGATTTCGTGCCAGGAGGTGCCGTGTGAGCAGAATCTATGGCCGTGTATGCCGGCGCAGTTGGGCGTAGTGTAGGGTCGCCGACTACATTGGGCATAGCATCGACTTGTGATTGACTTGTAGGTAGGCCATTCGATGTGGTCGGTGGTGTAGGATATGCTACCTCCTTTCGGACCGCGCTCAACGTCTCTGCAGTAAGCCCCGGACTCTTAGACACAAGGGCCGTTCGGCTGGTAAGGAAGCTGTCGGGACTTGGCAGATCGTCACTCGGCTCGAGGTCAACGTCATGGCCCACATCTGGTAGATCATCCTCCTCTGCTAACCGAGAAGCTTTCGCTCGTGCGGGACTAGGCGCGGCGAGATCCATCGCATCAAGATCAAGCGCTCCACCACATCCCCCAAAATCGATCAGGTCATGATCCATCGAAGCTCGTGGCGTAGTCTCCTCATGGTCATCCTCCACCTCACCACGAACAGGAGCACTCTCCCATCTCCTCAACGGCCCCTTTCTTCTCCTCTTCGTGACTGTATCCGGAAGTCTACCAGGCGAGAATGGATCCTCACAAACCAGAGGCGACACGAATAGACTCCCACCAACGACAGGAAGAGTAGGTGAGGGGGATCTGACGAACGTCTTCCTCAGATTCGGAGGTGTAGGCGTGAACGATCTCTGCACTTTCCCAAAGCCAGGAGCAGGTGAGCTAGAAACCAAGTTGACGATCTCAGCATCGATCGAGACAGGCACCGCTGCTCTTGCCTTGCGAGGTGAAGGCGAATACCACTCCGTAATACTCCTCTGACTCCTCTGGCTTACAGGCGGCGAAGACAGCTCAGCACTTCGTCTCTTGCGGCGCGGTGGTGTCTTCTGCAGTGTGGCAAGTTGTTTCGCCTGGTGCTGGCGCGCTGCACGTTTCAAAGCCGCAGCTGGAGACTTCGGGGGTGAACTTGGGTGTTGCGTAGCTGCAAATCGGGCGAAGGGGCGAGGAGTAAGAGAGAGGTCGATGACATCTACATCGTCCTCTGCAAATGGCGTCGCCGCTCTGCTTGGCCTGTTCGCCACAGTTGGCTCTTTCTGCTGAAGCAGAGCATCGGGTATCAGTGTCGAGAACATCTTGAAACTTGCAGCCTTCGCCGGAACCTCTTCCACCGCAAATCTCTGCTCATTACCCTGGGACGAACTCTCTCCCAGAACTGCCCGCGCCTTCTCCTTTCCACTCTCCTTCCCGGCTTTCGTCACCTTCCCAAACGCCATGAGCGCATTGGCAGGCATATCGTTACCCTCCTTCTCCTTCCTCTTCCTACCACCAGTCTTCTTCGCCGGCACGGGCACCGTGTGAATGTTCTCGGCGCGTTTCCCAACCGCCTTCGCTTTCCGACGTTGTTTCAGAAACTCCTTCGGATCCCGCAGACTAGCTTCATACTCCTCGACCATCAGCGGACATCCTACCTGTAGATAGGTCCGTAAGATCCAGAGTTTCTCAGGCTGATCGGGATCAAACGTTTTGAATCGTCGTTTCTTCTTGGTGGGTGAAACGGGATCATCTTCCTCATCATCGTCGGCATTGATGTCAGCTGAAGAGGGTGGAGGATTCGTAGACTCGCTGTCTGCATCGGATTCCGGACCGCCAGCCGGGAAAAAGTCGTCGTCCTCGTCTTCCATGCTGAGATCGATGGGCACGAAGCCAGCTGGAACGAAAGAGATGCGCAACTCCAAATCTCCATCTACTGTGCTATGATTTCTTTTGCCGTGTATCGCTTTCACCATCTTCGTCTCTGCCTCTCCTTGTGCTACCTCGTCCAGTTTCAAGCGCTCATTCTCAGCACCCTGCCGTCGCAGCTCTCGGACAAGCAATGCCGGGGCAAGATTCTTGATGAACTTCTTTGCGCCTCCCAGACATCTCCAGTCGAAAGCATCGGCTGCGAAGGAGCGGAGAGCTGCATATTCGATCGGCTGATCCCACTTCAGACTCTCCTTTAGGCGCTGGACCTTCTCCGGCGTCGAAACACAAGGATGAGTGTAATAGCCCAGGACCTCCTGATTTGGAAAGTCCTCAGGCATGGAGAACCCGCTGTTCTTCCTACTAAAGTACTTGGCCTCATTCGTCCTGATCTGATGCTGCAACCTCTCCTTCCACAACTTCATCCCGGCTGTATCATTCTTGCGCAGCGCACACAGCTCCTTCCCAAACCCTGCCCTCGCAGCATCACAAGCAACCTTCGGCCCACACCCCGGTATCCCTTCCGGCAAATAGTCGCCACCACTCATCAAAGCGACCAAGATCATGCCATGCCTATCCACACCCTTACTCCTCGCCATCGTCTCCTGCTCCCGATAAAGCGAAACATGTGTCGGACTTTTGGTACTACTTTCACTCGTCCAATTCCTCAATGTCACACCAGAACCAAACATGAGCGTATCCACATCCTCACTCAACACCGCATCCACCGCCCCTTCACGTTGGAAAAGCGCACATTCCGCCTCGGCCTCGCCAGGAGCAACATGCCACGGAAACCCAAATTCCTTCAACAACTGCTTGGCCAAGAACTCTGGGACCGTCGCCACCCTGACACCCTGTCCACCAACTTTCTTATTCCGCTTGAACAAAGGCTTGTTGGGGCCATCGAAGACGAACAGCGGCCAGATGTTCAGACTCAGCAGGCGTAACAGTCGATAGTAGAATGTTCGTAGAGCAGGATTGCTCCCACCTTTCCCGCATTGAATCTGAAAGAGCCAGATCTGGATGTCGATGGCCAGGCGGAAGGGCTGATCGGCGGTGGAGAAGTGGTCGGCGGCGAGCTTGGCGAGGGAGATGCGCGGGGCAGGGCCGAGTTCGCGGAGGAGGCCATGGATGCCCATCTCATATGTTTCCTGCTATCGTTGTTGTATCATGTTTGTACTGCACCGGTATGATATTGTCGTTGTCGCATGGAGGCTTGATTCAATGTCCGAAGGTTGCCTACAGACATGTCTCGGGGATCTGATTGTTGCTATGGAAACCCATGTTTCAAGGCGCGTCAGGCAAGTAACTATTCTAGCGCGTGAGGCTTCAACACGTTATCCGTAGATACCAGCGCGTAGATTGGCAGTAGAAGGAGGACCATGCTGTAGTCGTCAATAACTATTGCCATGCCGAAGTGAGCTGCGACAATACTGAAGCCGACAAGCCGAAAAGATGGCCAACGACTCCATATCCTCGCTTGACCCGCTGCTTCTACCATCCTCGCCACTTGGAGCCCGATCGACAACCCGACAAAGCAGCGTCAAGCCACGCACTCGCAATGCGCCCCTCTCATCACCCGCCAAATCCTTCATCGTCGACACGGGCGAAGCAGGAGAGGCGAGTCCATGGCGCATCAAAGTCACAGTCCAAGCTGAGCCACGCGATCCGACACCAGCAAGCAATGGCAGTCCAGCCAAGCGGAGGGCGACGAGACGAACGACGAAAGTACCGCTGAAGCTTGCGAAATCGGAAGCAGTGAAGAATAAAGACACCAGCGAAACAGAATACACCAAGCCACAACGAAAGCGTAAAGGCACACCCATCCGACGCCGGACGACACGATCACAGCCCGCGCAGGATGAGCCGGCTACAGAGGAGGATCGTGACGATGCATCACTCATGCCACCTCCGGCAGAGATACCAACCAGCTCGGCGACCAAAGCACGACGAAGGCGAAGTCTGCTCGAGATGCCGACACAGCGTGGGAAGCGTCTGAGCCAGGCACGAGAGGATTTAGATGTGGCGTTGCAGGAAGCTGTGGGGTATGAGCTGGACGAGGACAGGGGAGCAGATGATCACGACATGCCCGGCGATATGACGCTTGCTGGCGAGGAAGACTTCACGATGGTGTCGGTGGAGACACTGCAATCAATGAAAGCTGATACTTCTGCCCTCAATCATCGTGGGGGAGAGGGTGATCTGAGCGCGTTGAGTGTGAGCTATCTGCCTTCCTCGCCACCGAAGCGCGATGTTGTGGTGGATGAGGTACAATACCCGGATATTGAGCATCAGGCCGATGATATCCGCAAGACTCCGGCAAGGATGAGCTATGATGCCATGAGCTGGAAGCCAACTGGACCTCAGCGCCCTGTGCAGAGCTTGGCAGAGACCGCCGACCCGGGCAGCCAGTCGAACGAGTGGCGTAGGGCGGAGGAGACCATGAGTCGGCATATGGAAGTGCCTGAGCAGTACTCGGCAATGGCAGAAGAACAAGACGCGATGGCTGGTGCGGTAGAACGGCTTGAACGCCCTGCTGAGGACTATCAAGACGAGCTCCCACCCAGTGCAGAAGAAGAAGATATCTGGCAAGAGGAAGCTTCACGGTCGCTAGAGGAAGGCTTGTCCGAGGTGAACAGCTTTCATCAACGACCATCGCGTAGCAAAAGACAGGTCCAGCCAACAGAAGCAGTCCAGCTCCAACAACAAGTACCAGCAGCATCGACAACACCCGCCTTGGAAGACTTGTTCACAGGCCAAGTACTCCGCCCACCTCGAGCGAAGATACCAAGGACATGGCGCAGGACTTCAGGCGCAGACTTCGCATACAGTGATTCACCTGCTCATATGCCGCCAGAAGAGCCTGAGCTGGAAGTACAGAAGCACAGACGAGATGCTTCTACCGATGGCGGAAGTAGAGCGAGCAGTGGCATGCTTACGCCGACTAGTACTGATGACGAGCAAGCGGAGCAAGAGGGAGGTCCGAGCGAGGAGCGGGATGATAGTGACATATCTCTCACGAGACCTGATGGCGAAGGTACGATGATGGGACCTGGTATGCACGAAGTTGAGGTTGAGGACGAGGACGAAGACGATGATGATGTTTCTCATGAGCAGCAACATGAGCCCGATCAGGATGCTCGATCATCTTCCGACCGAGAAGATATCGCTTCACCATTCAGCGAGGCATCATCCTCCGGCGTCCCGAGCCCAGATGGCGAAGACACAGGAATGTTTTGGCAAAGCAATCCCTCAGCCGTCTACCAGAGGCGGGCGGAGCGACCGCGGCCTGGAGTAAGAAAGAAGGCAGAGGCTGTGAATCTATCTGAGTTGCTGCAGAGGAGACGTGAGGAGGCTCGCGTTTTCTTGCAGCCAACGCCACAAGTCCTAGACATGCCAGGATCGAAGATTTCGAGTTGTGTGAGTACAACCATTACTACACACGAGAGGAACAGTCTTCTGCATATACAACCCGTGCAGGGGCGAGTCAAAAGCTTGCCCTCAGATGCGGGTCGATCGCTGGCGGTGAGCAGTCCGCTAAAGAAGAGTTTGTTGAGGAGTAGTAAGATGGGAGGAGGTCCAGGAGGAAGACCCGAATCAGAATCAACACGACCGACTGCGATGGATGTTGACGCCGAATTTGAGAATGCGAGTGGTGAGATTGTCTTGGACGAAACTATAGAGGAGAGTTGGCAGAGCAAGGCGAGTGATCAGCGTCAGCTACTTCACGAGATGAATGCGAGACGGTCCACAACGACCGGTTCTAGTGGCTACTTTGCTGGAGATGACAACGATGATACGGTTGAGGAAGAACGTGAGCAGAGTCACCACGATCAAGCAGTCTGGAGCCACGACGAGATGCGCCACGAAGGATCATACGCAAAGTCGCAGGATCTATCCGTCTCCCCCACACGTACCTTCGAACCCAGCGAAAGCTACGAGGAACGTCTGAACATCGAATCACCACAGAAGATTAGAGTCAAATTCGGTGACTCTGCCAATTCCTCCTTACTGGCGCCGCGGAGGGAATATGCGCCGTTGTTTGGATCGCAAGGTGCCCAGGCCAGTGGATCATCGAAAGAGCATCTTCGGCAGGAGCAGCAGCAGCACTCGCCGCCGGCAGTAACACTCGTGAGCAAGAGACACACTTTTGCAACGGAGCATTCCACCGGCATTCTCTCCCGCCTTAGCACAAATTTCTGGTCTGCTGTCGTTCGACCTACCGGGCCGACGGAGATCATGCCGTCCTTGAAGGCAACAGACACTATTATGCCGCAGTCTGCGGCGTCGACAAACCACCAGATCACCTCAAAGCAGCAAGCAGTACCACAGTTGCGAGCACAACTCCGCTCCCGCTACGGCGTCCTACCCTCCACGCATCCCTGGACGATGACCCATATGCGCACTCTCCACCGTATGCTCAACTCCCTCACGAGCGGAAAATCGGACTCAATCATCCCCACTTACTCGCCCATCCCACGCAACCTCCAAGTCTTCGTCAACAGAACTCAGACCAGCGTGACAGGCCATAAGTACCTCTTCAGCGCCTCACATGCAAGGGTTGTAGATGCTTTCATGCAAGTCTTGGTTGATGCGAAGCTGGTGAAGGCGATGAGGTACGGCGAGGTGGAGGAGCTGGGTGATAAGACGGCGAGGAGTTATCGTGGGGAGATCTTGGGAAGACATGGGGATGATTTGGTGTGGGGTCCCAAGATCGGGGTCGAGAAGGGAGAGATCAGAGTGGAGTTCTTGGTGAAGGCGCTGGGTGATGTCGTCAGGGCTAACGAAGGTTGTTGATGGAATATCAGTGGCGTAAGATTATGATAATACGAAATTGATGTAGCACGCAGGGTACCATTCCGATTCGGAGGCTTAAGAATTTCACTACAGCATCGCTTAGGATCCACCATCAATCTAGATTAGTATGATGAGGGCATTGACCTAGAGCGAGGACGAGAGCTGGAGAGCTCGATCGCTTACGCCTGACACCTGTGGGTGTCGATAGTAAGATCAAAGGGGAAGGCCGGGAGGAGGCTGTGCAAGAATCTATGCCTAGAGCTGATGTTCAATGCGATCCAGGCTCCATACATGATAGCAGCAATTTTGATCCTCCATCCATCATGGCAGCAACATTGAAGAGTGTCCTTACTGCCACGAAATGTCAGCAGAGGCCTTACAGCCTTGCGTTGCCTTCAGTATGCCGCCCTGCTCATCCAATGGCAACGGCCCTTCGCTCACAACATCAAACATCCCCGAACCATACCCACAAGCTATGAAGAACTTCTCCGCGAACCTCGGATCGACACCACGGCCATGCACCAACGGTACTCGGTCAATCAGCAACCTCGTCTTGATCTTGTCTCTCCTGACCTCCCCACCTTCACTCAACAATGGCGATCCCAAACCCTCGCTCTCCTCCTCCTCGATTGGCTCTGTAGAGATGACTACAACATGGTGCATCTGAACCATCATCACCCAGTAAGGCAACGCCTGTTCATCCTCGTCTTCATCATCGTCCTCGTCCTCTTCAAAGTCAGAGTCAAAGCCATCCCCAGATAGACCAGCCGAAACACAGACAAAGACTAGCCAGTCCTGGGTATGTGGGACACCGTAAGCCATCGGAAGTCGTATGCGGAAGCTGTCAAGGCGATCATAGCTGTCAGATGGAAAGTAGAGCTTGTCGCTCTGCGCTTTTTCGCTTAAAGCGATCATGTTCAGTCTAAGGCTCAAGAGGGGGATTTGCGCTGAGTGTGTTGCCGGGTGTTGAAGCCAGATTGTCAGTTTGTGCGATAGTCCTGGACGCCAGTAGGTCGGCAGCGGATATTTTGCATATCCTTCTCCAGGGTCTTTGTGCTTCGGTGGTGGCAAAGCCGGCGGGATGTCGGCGAACAAAATCGAAGAAGGCTGCTTGGGGGTACGTGGCACCATTTCGAACAGCGCGCCTAAGACCCGCGGGCGCTTGGCAGCTGTATGCATCTTTGGCATTGTTCCATCCGAAAGTTGCCGTTTCCTGTCGCCAAGGGGTCGACGTATGTCGATGTCTTCAGGGCAAGGAGAAGCTGCATGAACTACGATCTCTGGTATGATTCCCTGCTGAGCGGTTATATCTTCGGGGACTTCATCGATCATCTCGTGCTCGGCGTCGATTGTGCTGTCAACACTGGTTTTCGACATATGACCACGCCAATCGGTAATTGTTGAAGCCTCGATATCCGAAGGTGCAGCAGCTTCTGACTTTGCAAATGGTAGCCATGGAGGGGCTCCAGGCTCAGAGTTCGTGACTGTCCTGCCCATTCGCAATCCTAAAGCATCTTGCAGGCGGTTTGAGGCTCGAATAGCTTCAGGGATACGCTCGTATACTTGTCGTTCGAACATCTGCGACTCATAGTTGGCGGATTGCGAGGGCATGCGTGATGCCCGTCTCCGCTCCTGTGGCCTGGCGCCTGGAGGTGTTCTGTACATACGTTGAGATCGTCAGCTTTGTACGTCTCGCCTTTATTTCACTTGATTACACGATGTTTGGTTCCAACTGACAGCAGCAGGCCACAGTCCAGAACCAGGAGAGTCCGGTCAATGATGGTCAGCAGTGGCGACGACAGTAGTATTATGGTCCAGAGCTAGAAAAAGTGATTGTGGTCCAGACCTGGAAGACGTTGAGAAGTATCCAGCGGAAGTGACAGCAACGGTCCTTTGGTCTTGAAGCTACATGTGAAATCCATCAGTGACGTTGAAAGCGCGTGGACTGTCCTTGCAAATGGTTGCCTAGGATTTCTACGCACGGTCGCTGCAAGTGTAAAGCTTATTTCGATTAGGCAAGAGCGACCTGCCGTATGGTCTGTCACCTGGCGAATACCTTCCTGACCACAATGCTCCTTCTACTTCTACCTTAGTCATATGCAGGCATTACCAAGTCAGACACCAGCCAATATGCGCTGTGAAAACTTACTCGCATTGCCCGTCGTAGGTCGCAGCCAAGGAATGGTTTAGCGAGACGTTGTATGTCGCCTCAAGCACATACGGCCCATCGCCTGGACCGAAGATCTGCTTCTTATTGCGGCCCCACTGAGGGTTGTTAATGCCGTCGATCCAGTCCTCAACCTCCATGACGACACAGCCATACTTATTCACCACGCGCGGACGGGAGGAGTCGTTGAAGAAGCCTTGCGTCTCCTTCAGCGCAAAGCTGCCGTTCATGTTGTTGCAAGTGTAGACCTGGAAGGCGTCCTGATCAGTGAAGATGTCGATCTGAATTCCGCTGTATGGGCTGGCGAGGGTCGCGACTGGAGCCTCTTGCCAATTGTATGGTCCGTAAGCATCCCGATTGAAGATGTAGCAGTTGTCTGGGACGGATCAGCAGACTGTTAGCAGAAGCGAATGCGGAGACTTACCATAGCCAGTACAATTGTAGCCACAGTTACCCTTCAGTGCTGGCGAGGAGACGTTGGCGCCGAGCTGCTTTGGCGCAGACCAGAAGTCATTGACACTGTACTGCTCATTGCCCAGAAGATTCCCAGTAGGAATTTCAATATTGTCGATCTCTGTTCGCAAACCACCATGAGGTAGATGTAGACTGTAGTTGAGAGCGAGCGGAGTGCTGGGATTCTGAAAGCCATCCAGATTCCAGTACGTGTGCGAGCTCAGCATGATCGGCGTCTTCTTCGTCGTCGACAATGCTGTCATGCGAAGATGCCATTGGTACGGCGTGAGGGTGTAGGTGATGTACGCAATCACTTCGCCTGGAAATCCCATCCCTAGGCTGTTGTCCGGGTCCACGAGGCTGAACGTGATGGAATCGGTGGTATGGGCCACAACTGTCCAATTGCGATAGTCCCAGCCATTGCTGCCGCCGTGAAGGGTGTCAAGACCATTGTTGTCGTTCAGGTTCGTGTGGTAAGTGTAGCCATCAATCGTGAAAGTGCCGTTCTTGATTCTACGATCGCGTTAGCTGTTCTGCCACATTCAGTAGTCGTGAAGAGCTGCATGCTACCTGTTCGCATAACGTCCAGGAATGCCATTTAAGTGAGGGTGAAGCCTTGACTCTGAGTAGTAGGTGGCGTTGTCAAATCTGTATCGTATCAGCTTGCATCGTTACGGTGTACCTTGTGGCGTTCTTGGCCTACCCAAGCACAATGTCTCGAGTAACGTTGTGGACGTCCTTGATGAAGAGGTTTGACAGCGTCGCAGCATATGGAATGGCATATGCCGTGATGCCCTCGCTCTGAATCACATATTTTCCGTCGGATCTTACAACAGGTCCACCGCCTTCGATCGTTGGAAGTGCACCAGGACTTGACAGCGTCGCGTTTTGTGCCAAGGCCAGCAGTGGTAGCGCCAGTGCGGCGGTTAGGGTCTTGATACCCATGTCGCTGCACTTGAATTGTAGTGATACTCAGCCTCGACCCAGAAATAGCGGCAGGAGTGGCTTGCTGTTGATCAGAGTATTATGCGAAGCTAGAAGCCAAGGGGGGAGAGATGGGATGATGATAGGGAAAGGATACTCGCTTCTCGCTGGTGTGCCTCGGATCAAGTTGTCTTGCGGCTTCAACTCATATCATATGTTGCAGGCAGGGATGGATCGCCAGGAACGCGTGTTGCAAGTGAAGAGCCACTTTGCCGGTTGCAGTTATTGCGTGCTACACTCACTCACCATTCACCGTTCACTCACCTGGTTGGACTTTGGTGCTCCGAGAACGCCACAATGCAGTCAGCATGCGCATTCACCAGCAGAACTCGACCCTCGAACGCTTCGTAGATGGATGCTGCTCAATTGAGCTCTCATGTATGCCGTGAATCTCGTCACAATAAGATCGCTGCAGGGAGATCGAAAGATTGTGTCCCGCTATGGTGGAGAAGGCAAGGTGCAGATGGCGTGCTGCAAGATCCCTGCAGTGGTTATGATTTTGCGGAGAAGATGGCTGCTCTAGCAACGACCACGAGGCAAAAGCACTCGACGACGGACGCACTCACATTGAACACCATCAGCAGAAGGCCAAGGAGTATGTGCGCAGAAAAGCCAGCGTGATCTTCGTTTTTGACCTCAACAACTGACCGTCCGAGGCAAGGAGAGAACCGAACACTTGACATGGCGGAACAAGTGAATGCTTCCTATGGTCCCCACACATGATATATATACCGTCTCTAACTTCGAAGTCCCTTATCTTGCTTGCAGCAGCTTCTTGACCTCGCCCTGAATGGCTTCGGACATCTCACGAGTGCCGGCCTTCCCACCTAGATCTCCGGTTCGCACCTCAAGACCACCATCTTCCTTGCTATCCAACACGTTCGCGATGGCCTTCTCGATGAGATCGGCTTCCTCATGCATATTGAAGCTGTAGCGTAGCATCATTGCTAAGCTCAACACCTGTGCGACAGGATTTGCCAGCCCTTTGCCACTGATATCTGGAGCAGAGCCATGCACAGGCTCATACAGGCCGATAACTCCACCAGCACTGTTAGCTCCAAGCGTAGGCTTGTGGCCTGGCGCAGCAGGAGGACCTGCCAGTGAAGCAGAAGGTAAGAGACCAAGGCTGCCGGTCAGCCCACCGGATTCGTCCGAGAGGATGTCGCCGAAAGTGTTGTCCGTCACAATCACGCCGTTGAATGCCGTCGGCTTCGTAATAAAGAGCATAGCCAGACTGTCTGCTAGCTGATCACGCAGGGTGACCTCTGGAAACTCCTTGTCAAATACCTCATGGGCTATTCTTCTCCACACCCGCGAACTCGCCAGCACATTTGCTTTGTCTGCGCTCCATACCGTTAGAGGTGGATCATGCTGCATTGCCAACGCCCCAGCCACCCTCACAACCCGCTCGATCTCTGATCGACGATACTCCCAAGGGTCGCAACCATAATCTTCTTCCTCGATCTTGTTACCATAATAAGCACCACCACAGTTCTCGCGAATCAACATGAAGTCCACGCCGCGGATGATCCCCTCTTTGATCGGACTTCGTCTGACCATACTCTTGCTGGCGAAATTGCAAGGTCGCATATTAGCAAAGATCTGCATCCTGTGCCGTATTCTGAGCAGGCCACTCTCAGGGTTTGGCTGGCTGGTCCCCCATTCTGGTCCACCGGCACTGCCGAAGAAGACAGCATCGACATTCTCGCATTTCTTCAGAACCTCTTCCGTCACTGAGTCCTTGTGCTTATCGAGCGAGCTGCCACCACAAAGATCGAAGTCCCGCTCGAACTTGGCACCAGAATATTCTTCGATGATATCCAGTACTTTCAGAGCTTCTGTGACTACCTCAGGCCCGATGTGATCTCCTGGAAGAACAAGGAGCTTGCCACCTTTTGGCTTGGAAGTCCCATTGGATGCCATGGTATGTTTGCGTGCAGGAGGGAATGATAGGGTCTACGGAGGTTGACAGAGTAGAAAAGCAACTAGCGTTAGACAGTGATGAAGGCGAAATAAGACAGTTCGCGACATCGCATTGGATTTGAAATGCCAATGCATCGAAGTTCTTGTATGAACGAGTCGCTGCCATTGAGCATCCATAACAGCTTCCCCGCAACCAAATGCGGTCCGATGTCGGTAGGCTGGGCGCGTCGCGAGGCGAGGTATCGGTCTTTGAGACGAGGTCTTGGGTGTCCGAGGCGAGGCAGTTCTCACGGTTTATAAAGTAGATGATCGATTCGCCGTGTAGATTACAACATTATCTACATCTACAACAATATGCAGATCAGCATAGCGATGACGACACCAGGTAAGACAGCGCCAAAGCAATACGGTCGAGTCGAAACCGCGGCAGACCTCAAGGTCGAAGATGCAGCCGGTGCACTCGCTGCCGACATCGAGGCCGTCGACCCCGGTGGATGACTGGTAGCGATCGCGCTAGATATGCCAGCAATACCGAGCGTGCTCACAGTCTTACTGTCTGAGATGACCAAGATCTGTGAGTTTTGTGGACCAAGCGTGAGTGTTTCACCACCAACCACGATAGTACTGTCCGGCGAAAGCGTCTGCGAGCCAACGACTGCTTCAGATCCGGAAAAGGTGTATCCAATAGTCTGACTGCCAACCGTGAGGACACCAATATGCTGTGTGTTCGAGACGCCTGTGACAGAGGCTGTCGCCGCAGGTGAACCATTGACATTTATAACACCATTTGGCGCGAGAGACACGGTCTGGCCATTTGTGAGGGTCGCCGAGCCACGCGAGATGGTCTGGGAGCCCACCACGATAATACTCGGTCCGGACTGACTGTACGCGATAATTTGGCTGCCTGCCGTGATCACCCCAGTGGCTCCACTAGGTGAAGCTGGGCCGGATGACACTATGGTGGCTTGTGGAGAGCCATTTACATTCACGATCCCGTTGGACGCCAAAGAGATTATCTGTCCACTGACTGCTGCAGCAGAACCTGGTGCCACAGTAGCGGAGCCTAAGGCCAATGCTCCATTGCTCTGTGAGAAGGCGATTGAATGTCCGCTAGCTGTCATCACACCAGTAAATACCTTGTCTGGGACGGGCGAGCCAACAAGGGTGATAGTTGTTTGCGGCAAGTAATAGACGACCACTACCCCATTAGAGGCCACGGAGATCTGCTGCCCACTGATGGTCGCAACGGAACCTGCTTGCACGGTCGTAGAGTCTAAGACTAGTGCTCCACTGCTTGGCGTGAATGCGATAGACTGGCCGCTGGCCGTAAGAGTCTCAACAGCCGCAGTATGCTGCGTGGTTTGTATAGATGACTGCCGGACCTGACTAGTCTGGCCATCGACAATGATCGCAGAACCAGAAGTTGCAAGAGAGAATGTGGTCCCACTGACGGTGACAGCTGAACCACCTGCGTGGCAATGACAAAGGCCGAGGCACTGTTGGCTGTGATGGCAGATGAGCCTACAATGATCACAGCCTGGGTAGTGGCAAGTACGCTTGACTGCGCATTGGCCTGGCTGAGACCAAGCTCACTGGCAATGAAGTTGCCTACTCCAGTCGAAATAGTCGTAGCTTCCGATGACGCTGCTTGTTGTACAGCAGAGATCAAGTTACCGATTGGAGCTGCAGGCGTAGTGGCGCCACCAGCTGTCTGTGTAGCCTGGTTGGTTTGACTCGAGGCTGCCGCAATCGGGCTAGAGCCTGCCAGCGCACCAGCAGCCGGAACACTACTTGCAGCGATCGATTGTATGACGGATACCAGATTTGAGACTTGGACACCAGTCTGAGTAGATTGTGTAGAAGCAGTGGGATTGGGACTGCTACTCGCGCTCGTGTGGGCACTGGATTGCTGCTGGGCGGAACTCGATGGTAGAGCTACTGACGTTTCAGTAGCAGCAGAATTTCGGATCTGAGTTGAAGAGCTCGAGGAAGGCGCGGCCACGCTACTAGACGATTGGCTTGTCTGAACAGAAGCACCGGTGCTTTGTGGCAAGGCGACCGGCAAGCTCGTTACCACACTCGTAGTTATTGGCGATGCAGGAGCGGGAGTATCCGTCATAGTGATAACGCTTGTCGTATCAGTTGTCAGAGCATTGACTGCGACATGAACAGTCGGTTCTCCCAATCCACCAGCATCGCTGCAGTACCCTATACTCGCAAATTGCGCCACAATCAACGGATCTTTCGCCCACTCTTGTCCTGGCCAGTCTGCGAAGCCGTCAAACTCGATCTGACCGATGCCTGCATATACGACTCCTTCCATGTACTCGGTGACGTTGCCTTTGAACGAGATGGCATAGTCAAGGGTGATGTCCTCAGTACTACCGCCTCCGGGGTTGAAAGCCTTCGTGACAATGGCGGTGGATGTAGGAATGTAGCTGCTCGAATAGTACGTTCCATTCACCGTCGTACTCCAGAGGAGAGTACCGTCAGTGCTATGAGTATAGCACGAGCCGGACGAAGAATACCCTGTCTGCATAAAGCCACCAGGATAATACCAAAACGGGGTTGGCGATGTTATCGTCAAATTTTGTGCAGTGAAGGTGACCTCAGTCGCTGTCTGCACAGAAGTTATCCCGCAAAGGTTGGCCTGTGTTGGGAGCAGATTGTTGGGGATACCGGAGACTCTAGTAACGTTGCCAAATTCGAAGAGGACAGGGTAGGTCGAGAAGTAAGCCGATGCATCAAAGCCTTTGGCCAGCTCGGTCGAAGTACCGTTGAGTGTGCGCGTGCCATTATAGTCTAGAAATGTGCTGTGCACTGTAGCAGTAATCACCGAGACATCTTTCTCGTACCACGTATTGACGCCAACGCCAATAGGGTACAACATGCAGCATAGACCGGTTGCGCCAGGAAAGTCAGTGATCGATGTACCGTACGTTGACAGGGTCGCGCTCGTTGTCGACGATTGCAAAGCCGCAGCGGTGGCTATACTAGAGGTCGATAGTGGTGCGGCCGTCGATGATCTGCTTGAAGTTGTATTGCTGAACAGCTGTGCATTCATACACGGGTATAATAAAGCGATCGAGAGTACGGCAACGCCGTGAAGACGAGCCATTGAAACGACAGTGGAGCGTTCGGCGAGAACGGAGCGCAAGTCGATAAGCGGCGCAGAGATATGAAGTAACAGAGCTGAGGTGACATAGACACAACCGCGAATCCTTAGCTGAATTCGGGGGCCGATATGAGCGGCTGCGCAGAGATGTTGAGAGTGTGCACGTACTGCTTTATTGCGTTGGATGCGCAGTAGATCTCCACATAACATGCGAGAAGAACCAGTCGAAGGAACAACCCTCACCGGATTGTTCTGGGCGGCTGGGATCCTTCACGGGAGTTCCTGCAGGAAGTTGTGGGCCGTGGCGTCGATTGGTGAAACAGCTGGGAAGCTGCACCTTCGGGACCTGGACGGCATGATGGTTGTCACGCTGCATTGAAACTATACACGTTGGCGGTTGAGGAATCCTGGCGATGGAACCGAAAGTGCAGATACTGTAGTGGAGTGAGCAGCGGGCGTGACCCCTCGACCACAGCGAGACCTTGCAAAGCCAGCATGTCATTCGTGAGTCTCCGTTTCGAAGAGGAAGACCATTGACGATAGCCTTGTGAGTGTGCGTCAGATCACAGCACCATAAATTAGTCGTTCAGCCGTGATCTAATCTTGACTCCTGCAAGACGACGTTTCAATCGGTGTGCACCGCATATTATATTTAATTGATTGAGTGCAGTCCTTCGCATCGAGTCCAAAATAAGGGCCTAGGATATTATGGTTTTTGGCTATGGCGTAACTTCCTTTCGCCGGTGCTTATCGCATGCGGCTTGTTGCTTTAATTTGGGCTCGTATGGACAGCCTCACACCACGACACGACCATGTTCGTGGCGTGAAGAACAAGAGAGTCATGTTGAAGTCTGGATGAGTACCCGGCCCATTGACGAATTCATCACCAGTCCGAGGTATAGGGCGGCCTTGATGGGTATGGCGACTTTCTAGTGCTACGATCCAGCCAGCCCACTGAAGCACACCAGATCTGGTAACGTGTACGCAGACACTCATCGTAGGTGGTCGCAGACCCTGAGTAAGGCGTGGCGCTCCACGTATCGGTCGTGTCTAAAGCTGCCTGTGTGATTCCTACTTCATGGCTTAAGAACAATCAGGCGTGTCGGTCAGTCGTCCTCTCTTGCATCGCCACCAGCTTCCTCGCTAGCGTCTTTACTTCATTTTCTCGATCAGACCCGGCGAATGGTGCTACAGTGTCCAGCAGTCTCAATATGACAATGAGACACATAAGACAGGCTCCATGAAGCTCGCGTTGAAGCCCTCGTGGATCGCAAGATGCAGGTAACACTGGTTCGAGGGTGTCCTGTAAGTCTTGCATCCAGACACGGAGCGTCGTATGTTCGCGTAGACACCGTCTGGCGAATTCCGTTCTTACGGTCCGATCGATGGGAAACCCACTCCTGATCGCTTCGTCGATCTCGAACCATAAAAGGCATACCCTATACAGCATACATAGTTAGCTCCCATACCATTCTAGAGGTATACATGGCTCCCGAAGACTAACGTGGTCATGTTGGATCGCATCGCGAGGGCCAGTGGGCTTCGATCAGTGAGAACACCGGTGTCTCTCTCCAGAGACCTGTATCCTGATAACCATTCAGTCCTGGCAATGTAGAACGGATCATCTATGACTTCGTAGTCGAAGGCTGCTGGCCCAACATGTGCGGCAAACAATGCCTGCTCATACTCGGTGCAAAATCTTTCTGAACCTCGATACTGTATAAGCTGAGCAGTACCTCGTAAGTGGCTGAACCATGCGGGAGGATGAGCAGAGTCCAGTAGCTAGATCATCAGTGATTTTCGAAGTATGCTTGATATCGGGGTCCATACCTCGTGTAGCCCCAGCATTAGGGATGCACCAAGGGTATCAGCTTCTATACAGAGTGTCGGATCGGTCAGAGCCGTCTGCAGAAAATTGAGAGCTCTGGTGTACAATCTCACAGCATCCATGCTATGGCGTGTGCTGGGTTGAAGGAGCGACGGAATCCTTCCCATTAAGCAATCTGTGGCTGCAGCGAGACATGGACTGGTATCATAACGACAAGGTACGTGATCCAGGAATGACCTGTATCGTACATCAGCACAGGACGCAGGTACCTTCTCCGACGGACTAACCATTGGCGATGACCGAGTAGTGTCTTCAGCCGCGGTGGATCGACATTGAGAGCATATTTTGTTCCTTTACCAACATTGTAACTAGCCAGCATGGCCAAGTCGAGCACATCAGCGCCAAAGGTAGAGCGAGCACGCTCATATCCAGACACAAGACTGATGTGCACGGGTTCTTCGAGGAGGAAGTCTAGCGGGTATTCATACTCCAATTCCTTATTTACCGGTTCCGCCGTATCAACACCCGCTGACATGGCCTGTGGTCGATTGAGGCGGCAATGAGATAAGATTGTGCTCGTACGGACGACTGCGCTTCCCGTGGCATAAAAAACTGGTATGCGTTGACACCTTTTCACGGAGCTCGGCGACTTGCATATCGTAGTCGTCCTGGTTACGTTAATCGTAGAGCTGATACTTTTGTGGTTTCCGACCTACTGAGCCAGCCGCGCCTGGGCTCGCCTTTTCCTGGTCGACGCCACATCCTTCATAGCATGCCTGCGGACTTGAAATCATGGTCAGCCAGATTTTGCATGCCTTGTCTGGCATCCTTAGCAATATACTCAGAAAGCGTGTGTCTGGCTTTTCCTGCAACTTGGGATTATCTGACATAATAAAAGACAACTCTCTGCAAGACATGGCGTAGCACGTCTGGGACTCTGTGTGTAGATAGTGGATGTGTGAGTAGAGCAGACAGTGAATGTAGCTGTTAGTGCAGGCAGGGGCACTGTCGACCAGAGCATATTTGTGCCTCATTCACGACATAAGAACAGCTGGTTGATGGCCGCCATTTCGATGCTTCGTACGACCAAGCGGCTGACTACTGCCCGCATTCGGACGGTACGTATAGATGTCAGAGCACTGGACTCACTAGAGTGCTTATCAAATGCCACAGGAGTCAGCCAGGATGCGTATCCTGGTGACATGATGCGTCTAGAAGACCGAAAGAAAATGGTCTTATTTGGTTGGGAGATGTTGTGTGTCGTGTGATGTGAAACGGCTTGACTGGATGACGTCGCTTCCGTTTGGTCAAGATCGCCATGACGCAGATTTGAGCAGCACGAAAATTGTACGTGAATCGCGAGCATCGCATCCAACACACAACAAGCAAAACCGCCACTCGTAAGAAACGTCAATAATGAGGTGAGATCTTGCCTTATCGACTAGACGCCTTGACGCTCACACGAGAGTGATCCTTGTGGAGACAGAAGTCCACAACCATTGACTCAGACTCCAATCACCCAAGGCAGGCAACATCGCCAAGCAGTTCGATGCTTGCCTGGCCCCATGCATGCTTGTAGGCACCGACTGGAGTCATACCTACGTGATCGATCTTGTCGTCTCTCACCCTCGACTTTACCTCTCATACCAAAGGCATTCCATGGAAGCTTACAGGTCGCACCTTTTGCCTGGCAACCTAGATTGGCTCAACGATACTTACGATGGTTGACCACAGGCCGAGTTCCTTGTCACAGCCTATGTCTCTCGATACACTGGGCCGGGATATTCTTCATTTGATATGCGATCTACTCTTGGAAACCTCACCCCTCTCACTGTCGAATCTAGCGCTTGCGAGTCATAGCCTACGAGGATTTGCACGCGAGAGTCAACATCGCGTGCTCGTGCTAAACGCTGATCGTGAGGATGGCAAATATGCACAGCGACGCCTGTCGTACATGGACACCCATGGCCTGTTCCCCAGCGTACGGCAACTGATTATTACGAGCACTCGTAGAATTGACAAAGACTTTGTCAAGACTGTTTCCTCCACTGTCCCTCGAATGAAGGGTCTACGGGAATTCCATATGACTCCTCGCTTGATCTGGAGGGACATCATGGCAATGCTCGAAGATTGTAGCGAGATCCGCCTTCACATAAACCTGTCGACTGCAGATTTCAACTTGGACATATCCGAGCAGTGGCTCACCAGTCTTGCCGGCTGTCAAATTCTAGCATCATTGACCGTGACTGCTGAGTACACGAATGCCAAAGAGTGCTTAGCCGTCACTCGGCCACTCAAACAGATCTGGCTATCATGCAAGAACCTGCGAACTCTAGCGATCGATATTGACCTTCCTTCGTTCGGATGTGTAAGTCTTGTTCAACATGCTGTTATGAAGACGACCCTAGAGCTGACACACACGCAGTGCATCTACGACGAACCAAATGAGTACTGCGGCTTCGGCTTTGTCGACAAAGAAGAGCCCACGCCACTCGAGGAGCTCAACATCATGAATTATCCATGGGGACAACACGAGCGGGAGTATTGGGCTTACCATCTGGACTGGAATATGCTGAAGCGTGTAAAATTTGGGTGCCGAGGGTTTGGAGCCATCGTGGTTCCGCGTGCTCGTGCCCTCGAAGAGGTGAGCTTCGTCTGTAAGCACGATTGGGGTCTCGTGGTCGACAAGACGCAAGAGTTCGAGACCAAGCTGCGTAGTGTGGCTGTGCCATGTCTCGACATACTGACAATCGCCAAAGTACCTGGGCTCAGCCTACGATTGCGGTTCTTGACCGTGCATAGCTATGAACATACCGAGGCTTGGAAGTCTCTGGAAAATGGAGGAGACGATTCATTCGACCGACTCGTCGAGCTTTGTCCGTTGCTCGAAACTTTAGAGATCGATATGCACAGAGATGGCTCTTGGCCCTATGCAAAGCTTGAGAGACTGGCGGCCGGTCTTCCAAGGCTCAGGGACTTGTCGATCTGGTTTGCACTGGGGAGAAGTGACGCTCTCGTTGAGCCCAAAGTGACTGTGGAGGTAGTAGCAGAGATGTTCATCCTCCTGAGGCGGCACTCTCGGGCCCTCGAAAAGGTCACGATCCATTCTGGCGCTCCATCTCCAATTGGACTGGGTTATCCCACAGGGCGAGCGTTTTGGCCTGGGCAGATGTCATTGACGATTGTCTGTGAAATGGCGGAGCGTGATGATGAGAGAGCTGCGGGACGATTCTACATCTCCTGCGAGGAATTGCCGGCTTGGCGTGTAAGAGACGATCAGTTGCAGGATCACGTTACACGATTCAAGGAGGGATCAGAGGAGGGTTTTGGAGCGTCCAGGATGCTCAGACTTGCGGTCGAGGGACCTGTATTGTATGATGAAATGAACGAAGACTTGTATATGTAGCGATGGAAACGACCACGGAAAGACAAACGTATACATCCCACTTCCGGCCGGCGGCCTTGAGAGCTATCTAGCAATGCGAAGTCGCCCAGGGTTTATTCTCCAGACGATCCAGATGACACTTTGGTCGTCTTGAGCGCGCCGACCGGTAGAACTACGGCCAGTGTGAACTCTCTCCGTGCCACAAACGGCAGGTCGTTGCATGTCAAACACCTCACCTCTGGTCAACGACTTGGCTACTGGCCCACAATCAGCCTAGGCTGACCGGACCGGCGCACCGCGATCTCATGTTGTTCCTGCGCACCTCATGTGACGGAACGTGGGATGGCAACTGCCCGCATCCAACTGAAAGTCGATATAACCGGCATATTTGCCGTCACGAATCAGTTGGTGGAGTCTTCATCATCTTGGCGGTCACCGCATTGCCATGCCGCGCTCAGTCAAGTGATCTCGAGTCGTGCGGTAGAGGTAAGGACGTAAGAATTGGTAGGTCTGCTCGATCACTTCATCTTCTGTCAGTTGACCTTTGACCCGCGTCGACACCATGGCTTCGATTGATGTGGAGAAAGTGCTCTCCGAGCTGACACTGGACGAGAAGATCTCTCTGCTAGCCGGTAGGTACTCAGCACGAACCATCACGCACTTCAGGTACAAGGCTGACAGAAACATAGGCACTGATTTCTGGCATACTACGGCCATACCCAAGCACGGCGTTCCCTCCCTTCGAACCTCAGACGGTCCCAATGGTGTACGAGGAACAAGAGTCTTCAACGGTGTCCCAGCCGCCTGCTTTCCATGCGGCACAGCTCTAGGTTCAACGTGGGACCATGAATTGCTGCGAGAGGCCGGCAAACTAATGGGAGAAGAGGCCAAGGCAAAAGGTGCACATATCTTGCTAGGCCCATGCATAAACATGCAGCGTAGCCCATTAGGTGGCAGAGGCTTCGAGTCGATCTCAGAAGATCCAGTATTAGCAGGAGCGGGTGCTGCAGCTTTGACAAACGGCATACAAGCTACGGGAGTTTTGGCTACGATCAAGCATTTTGTCACAAATGACCAGGAGCACGAGCGGACGGCTGTAAACAGCATTGTCACTGAGCGGGCACTGCGAGAGATCTACCTCATGCCCTTCCAGATCGCAGTCAGAGACTCCAACCCGAGGCTGTTCATGACATCTTACAATCAGCTTAATGGCACGCACGTGAGCGAGAACAAGCACATCCTCGCAGAGATTCTGCGCGGAGAGTGGGGTTGGAAGGGAGCCGTCATGAGTGACTGGTTTGGCACGTACAGCACCCACAGCGCAATCAATGCTGGTCTGGACCTCGAAATGCCTGGACCGACCAGATGGCGTGGTGGTCTGCTAGGCCATCTAGTCAGCTCACGCCGTGTACCCATACACGTTCTCGACCAGCGAGCACGCAATATGCTGAATCTCGTCAATGAGTGTGCCAGCAGTGGGGTCAAGGAGAACCAGAAAGAAGACAAAGTCGATACTCCTGAGACAGCCAAAATGCTCCGGAAGCTAGCAGGCGAAAGTATTGTACTCGTTAAGAATGAGCGTAATGTCCTCCCACTAGCAAAAGACAAGAAAGTCCTCCTCATCGGCCCTAATGCTAAGACGAGCGTCTTCTGTGGTGGTGGTAGCAGCTCAATGGCACCCTACTACGCCATCTCGCCCTGGGAAGGCGTCGAAGCAGCCGTAAGCGACAAGAGCCAAATGGAATACGCCGTAGGCTGCTACAGCCACAAAGAGCTCCCCCTCGTCTCCAACCAATTCACCATCAGCCCCGAACCCGGAAGCAAAAAGGGCCTGACCTTCAAAGCTTACAACAAACCAGCAGCGGAAGGCACAGATCGCGAACCAGCAGACGATCTGACACTCGATAGTTCATTAGCCATGTTCATGGACTACGACAACCCGAAACTGAAAAGCAAACTCTGGTACGCCGACGCAGAAGGCTACTTCACACCCGAACGCAGCGGCGAGTACGAACTAGGCCTCTGTATATACGGCCGGGGTCAACTATTCGTAGACGGCAAACTGGTAGTCGATAATTCCAAGAACCAGAAACAAGGTACAGTTTTCTACGGCTGTGGGTCGGTGGAAGAGAAAGGCACAATTGCCTTGGAGAAAGACAAAACCTACCACATCAAGCTCGAATTCGGCTCTGCACCCCTAAGCACGCTGGACGGCGACGGGATCGTGCGATTCGGTGGCGGCGGGTTCAGAATAGGTGGAGCCTGGGTCCGCAGCATGGACGAGACAATCTCCGAAGCCGTAGAGCTAGCGAAAGAAGTCGACCAAGTCGTCATCTGCGCCGGCCTGAATGGGGACTGGGAAGGCGAAGGCGCGGATCGGGTGGACATGAAACTGCCCGGCCGAATGGACGACCTCATCGCTTCTGTTGCTGCGGCAAACCCAAAGACGGTAGTGGTGATGCAGACTGGGACACCAGTCGAAATGCCATGGTTCGATAAAGTGGCTGGGTTTCTACAAGCATGGTACGGGGGGAACGAGACCGGGAATGCGATCGCAGACGTACTATTCGGCACCGTAAACCCAGCAGGCCGCAGCAGTCTCAGCTGGCCGATCAAAGTCCAAGACAACCCGGCTTTTTACAACTACCGCAGTGAAGGCGGGCGAGTGCTGTATGGTGAGGATGTGTATATCGGGTACCGCCACTACGACACTGTTGATCGCGCCGTGCGGATACCATTCGGCTACGGACTCTCATACACCACATTCGACCTCTCTGATCTGCAGGTCTCGAAAACAGGCAGCGGAAAGGAGCTGGAGAGCAAGATCCAAGTCAAGATCTCGGTGAAGAACACGGGAAAGCTAGACGGACAAGAAGTAATCCAAGTCTTCATCCGCCCACACAAACCTGGTATCCGTCGACCACCACGAGAACTCAAGGGGTTCACGAAACTTGCCATCAAAGCAGGCGAGACGGCTACTGCGGAGGTTGAGATTGCATTGAAGTACGCCACGAGCTACTGGGATGAAATTCGTGAAGCTTGGATCGTCGAGGCAGGCAAGTACGACGTCGAAGTCGTGGACGGCAGTGCGCAGCAAGAGCCGCTACGCCAAATGATAGAAGTGGAGAAGACGAGTTGGTGGAACGGCCTATAATCGGCTGCTTTTCACAAAACTCCGATAATACGGCATTCATGAGTGAGCATAGAAATACATGCCTACCCGCACTCCCACCTTTAAACTTTTAGCCTCTACTCTGTCAAACCGTCCTGTTCGCCTCATCCCCCTCCCCAGCCCTCTCAGGCATATTCTCCGTCATCTTAACGTCTTCACTCTCCCCCACCTCCATAGCCTCGCCCTCCATCCGATCCCTCTTGACCACCGCATCATCCTCGAGCGCCTGTGCCGCGAACCCCAACTGCTCCTCCTTGATACTCTCAGGCTGCTTCGAGCCCAAAGCCTCCGGATCAATGGGATTGGTCTTTGTGATTCCAGGTTGGTTGGTAGTGCGCGCTGTCAAGTCCTCAAGCCTCTTAGCATCGTCTTCAGCTGGTATGGAGCCGGCAGCGCCTGCGGTCGCCTGAGCGGTATCCGCGGGTGTATCTTCCTCCTTGGTCTTCTCGGCCTGGTGGCCATTCCTCATAGTATCCGGATCCGTCTCCTTCTTATCGTCCGAAGACACAGGTTCGTTCTTGACGACCACTGCGTCATCAGCTCCAGTTTCCTGTTTGCTATGGTTGTCCCGCTTCCACGTCGGATCACTATGGTTGATCAACTCAACATCCTCGTTGTATATCCTCAACAACATCGCCTTCCGATCCTCCTTCGGCAACATCAGGTTGAGCGAATGCATACTCCTCCAAAGCGGAAGCGTCAAGGGCTCAGCGAAGCCCTCCGCGTCCTCACTAGGCTCAACGCGTAGAACACAGCAGCCCATGCCCATATCCCTGACTTGCTCACCAATCTCCCCCAGCAACTCCCACCCCTCCTTCTCCTCCCCTTTCGCCTTGCCCACACGCGGGAACATCTCAATCAACAGTTTCCTCAGCGTTGACTTCTTCGTCAGATGGATGACGCGACCTTCGCCAACCCAACCCTCGATAACAGGCAACCCCTCAAGCTGGATTCTCCACCGACAAATATCCTGCCCCTGCGCATCCTGCTTCATAAACATCTTGACGCCCGCGTGCACGAATTTCATGCCCTTGCCTTCGGAGTTGACGGTCAAGATATCTTTGACCAGTTGGCTGGAGTAGTATATTCCCTTGACAGGGTCGCCGGCAGGGTTGCGCACTAGGAAGCGATCTCGTGGGAAAGATGAGTGCAGTTCATAGAACTTGTAGATGCTCTCCAGTTCGGGGTGAGAGGATGACAGGTATTTGAAGGCTTCCACATTTGCTTGCCTGTCGCCTCTAGCGTTGGGTCTTGGAAGCGGTGCCTTGATTTCGTCGGCGGTAGATGCATCGAATGGTGCATTCTCGGCGGCATCTTTCATATCGGCATCGTTCTCCATTTTCACATCGTCGTTGTCAATGACCTCGGAGCCAGGTATTCCACCATCTGCCTCTACGGCCATGGCCACTGAAGGCGGTAGTGGGTAGTGCTCGCGACGTGAGGTATTAGTAGTGCTGACCAGATCCGCCGGCTCATCGCCAAATTTTGGTTTTTTCGGCTCGAGATTGGGATCCTCGCCCAGCTCATCAGCCTTGCGTTTCAAACCGTTATCCTCAATCTCATTTTGACGCTCGGCAGCAGATACATCACCATTACCATTGATGCCCTCTGCGCCGTGCTTGCGAAGATGGCCATGAGCATCGGGCTGCTCACTCTGCACATCCGCCAAAAGCTCTCCGAAAGCCGTGTTCTTGGACGGGTCAGTCGCCTCGACCGGCACAATGAATGCCCACTGCTTGTTCATACACTTGCTCTCGTTCTCAGGCTTCGCACGAATCTCACTCAGCTTCTCCAGGACCGCAATGAAGAAAGCACCAGTATCCTGCTGATGTGGGTACACGCGCATGCAGTGTTCAAGTGGGATTTTCTCCCCACTCTCTGGTGCGAACATGCCAGGTGCCATCTTACTGCCCTCTCCCTCACTCCCCTCTGCTTCAGCCCACGACTCATACATGCGACCTGTTCGGTTCATGATAGACCAGTCTTTCAAGCCTCTGGCACGTTCCAGACCTGGTAGCATATCGGCGGTGTCCAAGAGCTTGACCTTCGCAACGCCACCACATCTCTCGATGGCTGATGCGACGACTGCTTCGTCTTCGACAGGGTTCATGCTGCAAGTGCTGTAGACTACTCGGCCACCAACCTTGAGCATCTGCAATGCGCGGGTAAGAATGCGGACTTGAGTGATGTATAGCCCTAAGCCATTCTGTGGTGACCATTCCTTCCAGATGCTAGGGTTCTTGCGGCAAGTACCATCACCGGAGCAGGGCACATCAGCCAGGATGCGGTCGAATTTGAGATACTTGCCACGTTTTGGCTGACCAGGAGGTGTGTAGGACGGAAGCTCAATCGATGGAAACATCGTAGCATCGTGGTTCATGACGATCAGATTTGGCGAGTTTAGACGCTTGACCTGGTGAACCAGCATTTGTGCACGTTGGTAGTTGACGTCGTTCGCAACCAGTAGTCCAGTAGCCCGTCCTCCATCCTCAACACCCGATTCACCACCACTCCCCACCTGCTTCAGCGCCCCAGCCACCCGCTCCTCCTCACCCGCATGTATAGCCTCAATCAACTGCGCACTCTTACTCCCCGGCGCCGCACACAAATCCAGCACCGTATGCTCCGGCCGAATATCCATCACCAACGGCGGAATCATTGAGACATGTTCCTGCCGACTAATATTGCCCACGCCCGTCTCACTGACCAAGAACCGCTGGAATTCCTTGAACGGCTCGTATTTCCGCACCACGTTCTTCGGTGTGGTCATGCTGTACGCCAGACCCTCGGGATACCATTTCATCGACTGTGGAAGATCGACGGGTCTGCCTTCATGTTTGATCTGGCTGATGATGGGGAAGAAGCGTTCGACGAGGTTGTTGCGAACACTGAGCGCATGTCCCTTCGATCCAGTGAAGCGGAAGGAGTTGGGAAGTTCTCGTCGTAGCGCAGTCCAGAACTTCTCCCTCTCTTCGCCTTCGGGGACGATGTTGAGGGTGTTGTAGTATCGCTCCAGCTTATCGTTACGCTTGTTCACTTCCTCAAAAGACTGTCGATTATCCTGGAACTGTCGTCCTCCGCCACCACCACCACCACCACCACCTCGACCCCTTCCACGTCCTCGTCCGCCGCCGCCACGACCACGTCCTCTACCTCTACCTCCTCCACGAGGCATTGTTGGGATTGTACGAAAGGTTGGAGTGATCACGTGTTGCAATGCAGTTCTCATGTAAATGGAGCTTCGAGCTCGAGAAATTCGAAAAGACACAACGTCATCGCGGAGAATACATCTACAACCTCAGGCATCAACAATATCTATTCACTTCCCTCGTGAGACTCCGTCCTTTCCCGTCTACGATGCACACATATATAACACCAGAGGCCAGCGTGACATATTAAAATCACCCAATACGCTGTGATCACACCAGTACTACTGCCTACCCAATAATCCTCGCCTTGACCCCCATAGCAAGATAATAAGCATTCGTCCCCCAAGTCAACCTCACCCTCCCCGTCGCCACAATCCCCACCCCCAACCCCTTGAACTCCTCCACCCTCCTCGCAATCTCACACATCCCCGCCCCAGTATCCGCATAACTAATAGCAGGTGCCAACGGCCCCTCGATCGTTAGTCGATGACCTGTACATTCCGTTCCATCCGCATCATGTACAGCACCTGTGTCGACGAAGATGTAACCCAGAAGAGTTGGATTCATCTTCTTGGCGGAGACGAAGAGGTCACAGCCTCGTTGGATGTCGGAGTATGTATAGTGCAGGGCGAATTTGATCATGGATTCGATCAACCAGGGAGATTGATGGCTGAAGGTTCTGTTTACCCAGAGCTATCAGCCGAAATGCTCCACGATGAGATCAGTGTGAGGCATGATGGGGTGGGGAGAACATACTCATTCAATGGCGCCGCCCTAAGCTGCAACACAGCAGGCGTCACATACCCCTCGCCTTGCTCCTCATGCAAACCTCTCATAGCTTTCAACACAGCCTTCACCGTGTCCTCGGCCACTGAAACCTTGGGCGTCACATCATTAGCCGCAATACACTGGAAAATAATCTCCGCATCCCTGAGAGCCTTCTGCAAGCCTGGTGTATCGTCTGGTGTGCTTTCGATGATGTTGATGTGGATGTTCGATCTCGTCGTACTTTGAATGTCCGGGAAGAGTCTCATGAGTTTCGACTTCGAGCGGATGAAGATGTTCAAGGTGATTTTGTCTGTCGTTTGTGCTGGGTCGGAGAGCAGACATCGCAGAACAGCTGACCCTGTTGAGCCTGTGGCTCCCAAGAGAGCGTAGGTCGGCATGTTGATGAGGATCTCGATCAATAGCAATCTCAGTCCAAGCCCGCTACTCCCAGAGTACACGACTTGGTCCTTAATACATCATCTTAGAGGACACACCATCGACTTTTGTGCCGTGCCTTCCCAGTCCGTATGTAGCCAGATCAGTTTGATGAGTGGGGTTGCTGATGTCATATAAAGCTCACAAACTATAGGCATCTCTGCACCTTGACAGAGACGTAAAGTGCCAAGAGGCTCTGCAGGCTCGTCAAATGCAATACTGTAACTTGCACTGAAGCTATGCCTGTGAACTTCGGGCGCGGATCCGCGCAATCAAATCCCGTCGACCCACGAGTGGAGTAGAACAACGACGGGAAGAATCACGACCATGGTATGCACGAGCAGATAAATTCACAGAGCTCACCACGGCAATCTCGAGATACTATAGCATAATGTAGACCTACTCATCCTCCATATCCTTGTCCTCATCCTTGCCCGGCCAAAGAATATCCCCCTTCCGCAACGCCCTCAAATGCGCCACCGCAGTAACCAACCACATGACCACCAACAATATCGTAAGCGCAGTACAAATCGCATTGATGCCAGAACTATCCAACGCTTTACCCGCCTGAATCAAAGCGAGGGTCAAACCCGCATTCGGGAAAATAAACGCCCACCAGTTCAGCGAAAAGGACATCTGCCGGACGCCGGCGAGGATGGAGATGGTGCTGACGAAGAAGAACCAGGCACTGAATAAGATGAGAAAGATGCCGGAGACGACGCCGAGGACTTTCACCACGGAGCCGTCGGGGAGGGAGGAGAAGTCCCAGGCGTCGGGGGGAATGACGGAGGGGGCGTTGATGCCGAGGGAGATAAGGGCGGCGGCTGTGTAACCTGTAATCATGATAGATCGATATCAGTAAACGGGATCACAGAAAGAAGACTGTGGTGAGAATGATGCTTACCCGCCGGCCCAACACTAACGTACATCCCCGGCCTCGTAGGCGGCGAAGGCAGGGCACTAGTCATAAGCCTCTGCGTATAAATCGCATACATCATGAGTGAAACCGTCCACGACAACCCCTGCAACATCACCGCCCCAAGCCACATGGGATACGCAGCGGATTGCGGCTGACTCGGGATCAACGTCCCTGCCGTATTACCCACGACGAGTAGAGGATAGATAGGGAAGATCCAAGCGGGCATCGCGTCCGCCACGGCCATCCGTTCCAGTTGGAAGAAGAGATAGTATTGCATCACGCCCACGCAAAACACAACACCACAGTAAATCCAGAAGCACACCTTGAGCGTCGTGACGAGCCAAGGCCCACAAGCCGGAACACCATAACTCTGCGCGTTCCCAATAACCAACGCCACGCTCACGAAATACGCACCGAAGAACAATCCCTCCACAGCATGATGCATACTCTTCGTAAACTTCCTCGGAAAGAACCAGAACCTCGTGGCCATGAGACAGGTAAACAGGACAAAGAGGCATAAGTCGAGGATGTAGAAGATTTTGCCGATGGTGTCCAGACCCGGGAAGCGGTTCGGGGTGCTGGCTAAGACGGCGGAGAGAGCGCCAGTGGACATGGTGCAGGCGAACCAGGGCCAGGTGAAGTGGGAGATGCGTTGTTTGAGAGTTGGAGGGTGGTGTTGAGCATCATGGTGAGTTTCTGCCGCGGCGACGGGGAGGTCGGCGTAGAGGGATTTCTCTTCGTCGGGGGTTGATGGTTGGGCTGTGGTGGCGGTAGTGCTGTCCATGGTGGTTCTTGTCGTTGCAGTCTGTAGGCTACTCTCCCGTCCAAGCATCCATGCGGGAATGGCCTCCGTCCCGACGTGGTCCCGTTGAGCTTGGGTGATGTCGGGTTAAGCTGGTGCGTGTGATGGCAGTATAATGGCAAGCTGAAGAAAAGGAGTGGAGTGAAGAAGAGGATGGTGACGGGTTGTTAGTATTGACACCTGCCTTGTGTATTGAAAATGCCATGCCATGGGCACTCGACATCCCATGGCCGCGGACGTTGATAGCGGCTTGGTCTGTTGTCCACATCATACGTCATGGGTATAAAGAAGGTTTTCGACGAGATGTGTAGGTTTCGAGGAGCGTGGTTCGCAACAATACGATTCCGATACCATCAGACCATACATCACAAAGCAAGTCTACCAAGACGAGGAAGACATGGCCCAAGACTGCTATGTCGATGATGAGGAGGAGGATGAACTCGTCGTCGTGCAGATTTGCCGCGGGAGTGTCGTCGGGCCGGGCTCCGATGCGATGCGATGCTAGCGTGGTTCTGGAAAAATAATGTGTGGAGACAGGAGGAGCACATGCGAGAGGCGAGCGAGAGGATCACCTCTCATAATACAACTTCTACATCACTTCCATTCTACTTGTCGCTCGTTATCACGTTACTAGTCGTAAACCTCCGATCTTCTTCAATACCACTCACGCCATGCGCCGTGTTATCCAGCGATGTTCTGCATCCATCCTTCGAGTGTCGACGACGAGCAGTAATGTCTCATGCAGTCTCGTCCTCCGACGAAATGCTCTACAACACATATCACAACCGAGTCGCATAGCCTCAAGAAGTCTCCATCAAACCTCGCTACTCCGGCAACAAGTAGCCGCAGCAGCAGAGGATGGCGACAGCGATGCGCCACCACAAATCACTCGCTTCGACGAGCTCGGGACGGAAGGCATCATCCATCCCACCATCGTGCGGACGCTCACCCGGAACATGGGCATGGAGACGATGACCGAGGTACAGTCAGCCACCATCAACGAGGCATTGGGCGGAGCAGACATCATCGCGCAAGCCAGAACAGGCACAGGCAAGACCCTGGCTTTCCTTCTCCCCGTCCTACAGAACATCATCTCCGTCGACCCACAACTAGCTGAGCGAGGCTTCTCAAGACGCGGACCCCGAACAACAGCGGACGACATCCGAGCTCTGATCATTTCACCCACGAGAGAGTTGGCGGAGCAGATTGCGGAAGAGGCGAAGAAGCTGGTCAGCGGGACTGGCATCGTCGTGCAGACTGCTGTGGGTGGCACACAGAAGAGGGCGGGTCTGCAGGCGATACAGCGACAAGGATGTCATATCTTGGTCGGCACACCAGGACGATTAAAGGATATCTTGTCGGATGAGTATAGCAGAGTTGAAGCACCCGACCTTAGCGCCCTGGTCTTCGATGAGGCTGACAGACTGCTGGATCAAGGTTTCTGGCCGGAGATCCAGGAAATCATGCGTATGCTCCCCACAGCTGCCGAGAAGGACAGGCAGACACTCATGTTCTCCGCTACCGTGCCAAAGGAGGTCGTCACACTAGTCCGCAGCACCCTCAGACCTGGCTTCCATTTCGTAAAGACTGTGCGTGATGATGAAGAACCAACACATACTCGTGTGCCTCAACGGATAGTCACAGTCAACGGCTTCGAGAACAAACTCCCCGCCCTCGTCGAGCTCGTCAACAAAGGCATCGCAGCCTCCCAACAACCAGACGGCAAACCCTTCAAAGCCATCGTCTACTACAACAGCACCGCCGAAGTCGCCCTAGCCGCCTCCGCACTCCAAAACATGAAACCCGCCGGTACCCTCGAAGAAGACCAAGACGCCTTTGGGAGCCGCCGATCTCGTCATCCATGGGCCATGCCAATAACCGACATCCACTCCAAACTCTCCCAAGGCCAACGGCAAAAAGCCTCGGACAACTTCCGCCGCGCCGAAACCGGCATCCTCTTATCCTCCGACGTAACAGCCCGCGGCATGGATTTCCCAAACGTCACCCACGTCATCCAAATGGCCATCCCCCCGAGCCGCGAACAATACATCCACCGCATCGGGCGCACCGCACGAGCAGGAAAGGAAGGAGAAGGCTGGCTCATCGTCTCCTCAGACGAAGCGACCGAAGTCCGACACCGCTTACACAACCTCCCCCTCCAACCCGACAAAACCCTCACCTCCGCCCCCATCGACCTCACCCGCCCCGGCCAAATCCCGGCCTCCGCAAGCCAAGCCCTCGAAATGATCCGTCACGGTATGCGCGCCGTCCCCGCCGTGGAGAAAATAAAGGCCTATCAAGCTCTCTTGGGGGTGTACGCCTGGCTAGGGAATAAGCGGGTGCTGGTGAAGAGTATGAACAACTTGGCGCAGTATGGATGGGGCATGCAGGAGCCGCCGATGATTCATGCGGGGCTTGCGCAGAAATTGCGGATTGATCGGATCGAGGGGGTGAGGATTGGGCATGAGAGGGCGTTGGATGAGGAGGATTCGAGGGGATCTTCTTCGGGTGGACGAGGGGGTGGTGGGAGGAGTTTTGGCGGGAGGGAGGGGGGATTTGGAGGGGGAGGTGGTGGTGGGTTTGGTGAGAGGAATGGTGGAAGAGGGGAGAGATTCGGTGGTGGTGGTGGGCGAGAGGACAGATTTGGAGGTGGCGGGCGTGAAGATAGATTCGGTGGAGGTGGAGGACGTGAAGATCGTTTCGGCGGCTCTTCGTCCGGCGGCCGCGGGGGGTTTGGCTCCGGTGGTCGGAGTGGGGGACGATATAGTGGTGGTGGGGGTAGCGAAGGCGGTGGGTGATCAAGATACCAGGCGCCTGAATTCTGAGTGGGATCGATTTGTTACAATGTGAGAGTAGGAAAAAGCATAGCGCGGGCGTTCTCTGGATGGTTGTGGTGGAGTGGAGAGCATTTTGCATGGCAAGGGGACGTGTGTGTATTGGGCCAAGATCTCTCTCTCCGGCTTGATTGGGGGGAGAAGAAGAAGAAGGGTGTATGATTATTGTCGATCGAAAGTCCGGGATTGTAGAAGTAGAAAAGAAGTCTCCACACACACACACACACACACACAGGCCCAGAATCATCCTGTCTCCGAACTAAATCAACGGTTCTAGTTGTGTACCTGTATTCACCCTACCGAACTCAGGAAAATCCCGCAAGACTCGATCATAGATGAGGTCGAAAGGGGAAACCCAAGCCATTGATATCCAACCTGGCCGTCTTGTTTAGAAGAAGACCACTCAACAACTGTACTCTGGGTCGAGAGATTGCCTTTAGAACTACCTCCAGCCCTTCCAACTGCAGGCTAAGCGGTAGCCCCCCCAGCCCCATTCCAGGTCAGAGAGGGATATTTGGTCCGGACCAGGACACAGACTAGATTCTCTACACGAGACTAGCAGCGTAGTAGAAAGAAGGAATGCAATGATCGGACTGAGTTCCTATGACTGAGGAGTAGTAATAATAATAGAGAATAGATGATCGGACTCCCGTAGATTCTTGTCTTGGGGCATCTCAGCCAAACCCTAACCCTGACCCTAGCCCTAATCATGGTCGGATGGGCTTCGCAGTGCACTGAATCGTTCCTGATGACAGGGAAAGAAGGGTAAGAAAAGATTTTTAGGATGAATGATGATCATAGGGAGATAATTCATGGCAGGTAACGAGATACTGTTAGGATTTCTATACATGTAAAAAAAAACCCCCCGATGAACTGGTTATGTTTTGGCTTCTGGATCTTGTGCGGGCTAGCTGTCGATTTTCCCCCAAGCATGTCTACTACTACTCATACACCACGTCTTCTTGCCAACCCCCCAGCCTCTTACCCCTCAAGCGATATCCTCGTCCTCGCCCTCGTCCTCATCAGCAGCAGCAACATCTGCAACCACAACAGGCTTAGGCGAAACACCCCTCGGCGGCCCTCCCTTCGCCGCCGAAGAAGAAGGAGGAGGAGGCAACCCAACCCCACCAGGTTTAGGCGTATTCCCCCTACTCCCCTCCAATTCCCGGGATTTAGCTTCGCCTTCGGCGAAATAGTCGTCTAGACCTGGTATCGCAGCAGCGGGGTGAGAGCGGGGGGGTTCCTTGCCACGGCCTGAAGGAGGGGGTGGAGGTGGTGCCGAAGATGTGGTTGTGGTTATGGCTGGTGTTTCCGCGTTGGCGGGGATGAAGAAATCGGCTGGATTGCTCTGCGCGACGGAAGAAGAACGAGGAGGTGGGGGGGCAGAAGAGCCTGCGGCGTTGTAGGGAGGAGGGTCTCTACCAGAAGAAGCCTCAAACAACATCTCCCCCGGGCCCTGCGCCGGCTCCCCCAAAGGCGCCGGGACGCGATGGAGAGCCCCAAACCCCAACACACACCCCAATGCGCCCTCACCCCCCCAGTTCCTCGAAGGGGTAATAGTCACGAGTCGCGTGACGTCGTATTCGTGATTATACACGAACAGTCTCAGTGGCCGATCCGTGAAGGAGTCGATCAGACTATTTAGGCCGGCGTCGCCGCGTAAGGGGCCATCGGGAGAGCCGATTACGTAGTCGCCGTAAGGGAGGAGGCCGGCGACGTCGGCGGGGGAGTTGGGCATGACGTCTAGGATGTGCCAGACGTCGTTTGTTTGGGTTAGGGAACCCCATTGTAGCGCTAGACCTAGACCGGAACCTTTGCCTTCCCGAGTAGTAGTAGTAGTAGGAGGTGGGATAGGAACATACAACTCTCGCACCGTCTGGCCTTTGGCGGTGTAGACGCCCAGGGAAATGGTGCTACCGGCGCAGTTTCGGATTTCGGTGGCGAAGAGAGCGGGGTCCGGGTTATCGATGTTGCGGCCGTTGATGCCGATGATGAAGTCGAACCAGGGTTCTAGTGGGAGGTCCGGGGAGGTGTTGCGGAGGACTTGGAAGCCGGAGCCTGATGTTGTGCCGGAGTGAGATGAGTGTTGGTTGGTGGTGGTGGTGGTGGTGGTGCTGCTGGGGTCGGAGTCCAGGCGGGAGATGAAGCGGTTGAGGGTTCCGAATAGGTTGGCCATATTGTTGTCGTTGTTGTTGTCTGTAGTGTTGTATATGTGAGGATATGATGGCGGAATATGTGGCAATGTAATAGATAATAGGAGAGGTAAGAAGGTAACGTGACAAGGTGGTACTAGCGTGAAAGCGCACGGTTGCAGTGTCTCCACCTCCACGTCCAAACAACAGAAAGCAGCTTTGGGATCAACAAGAACGCGACAGTAAACGAATGCTGACTACTACAGCACTTCTCGGACTGCTGGAAGCTGGGATAGGGATAAGACATTGGCGACATGTATAGATCGCACTGAGCGAGTATTTGGATTGCTCTAAGCCCCAGTAGACGCGGCAAACCAAACAATCACCACATCACGACTTCGATATCATAAAATAGACATGGCCGCGTCGAAGATGAAGACGGCGGCAGTAGGCAGCGCGAATTGGATACAGAGCGAACGAGATCAGGCTCGCGTGTTTGTTGATCAGGAAGCCGAGGAGTTTAGCTTCAGTGTGAGGAATGATCTGGAATGGCTGAACGAGCACATGGCCGAGGTGCTCAGTGATGGGAATGTGTATGTCTTTCTTGCATGAGCAACGATCTAAGCAAGTGTGCGACACGGTATACTGACATGCTTTCCTCACAGAAATCTGGCCGACATCTTCAAGACGCCCGGCAAACTACGCGGCAAGACGCCCCGGACAGCGCGTAAGACTAATGCTCTCCCACCCCAACCCCGACAACCACTCACCGACATCTTCGCGCCAAACACCCAAATCGCGCCCTTGATAGCGCCGAAGAATGCCATTTTCAACGAGAAGGTCGCGCATTTCCACATCGCGGAAGACCAGGACACTGGGACCACTCGACCCACCAGCCGTAGCAAGAGCCCACAACGCGTTGGTAAGCCGGGCAACACGGACTCGGGATATCATGGCATGACAGAGGATGAGATGGAGGCGGATGCCAAGACCGAGACCGAGACGAACACTGCTTCCGCTTCTAGTCAAGGGCGCCAGGAGGAGGAGGGACACGTCTCACAACAGGTGCCGGTGAGGGAGGATCAGGCGAGGCCACAGCCTGTGCGAATGGATACGGCGGAGGGCGGGGATGAGTCGTTCATGTCTGCCAAGGAGGATCAGACTAGTCGGAATGCTTCGAGGGAGGGACTGCGAGAGGAGGCTCATGTTGAGGTGGAGATTGTGGATAATGACGAGGAGAATATGCCAGAGCAGGTGGAGGAGGCCCATGAAGATGAGCCGGAGCAGGATGTCGACGAGGATGTCACCCCACACTCACCTTCGGACGACGCGTCCAGCCCGGAAAAGCCACTACAGCGCAAGAGCAGCTTCACTTTCAGCGCGTTGCCAGCACGCGAGCCACTCACGGCAAAACGCAGTATTGGTGGACGTGCTAGTCAGATCGAGGCAACACGCAACAGCGTACTCGCGCGATCATTTGGTGCGAAGAGCTTGGGCGTGAGAGATACTGAGGATGATACGGCCACGCAGGAAATGCCAGAGGCATCAAAGGCGCACCAAAAGACCACGACTCAGCTTCTTCACGAGAGGATCACGATGTTGGGCAAGACCAAGGAGCCGCGGATGTCTAAGAGTATCTCGCAGAATATGTTGGGTGCAGCGACATACCCCAAGTTGCCAGTCGCTGAGCCCGAGACGGAAAAGGACGTAGACATGGAGGTAGACGAAGACGAGGATGACTGGATTGCTCCCTCCAAGCCTCAACCTGCGGCTCCCGCACCTGTGGTCGTTACGTCAAACACTCCACAAGGCTCTCCAGCACGCCCACCGATGCATCAGAAGTCCATTTCAGCCGCAGTCATACCATCACCGAGCAGGATGGCAATGACGACCGCTCACCAAAAAGCACAGTCAGTATCAAACCCAAGCCTGGCAAATGTGGCTGGGACAACCACCCCATTCGGCTCGCCAATGGGCAAGAAGCATCACGAAGGTCCTCTCAGCGCATCAAAGAACAAGCTCTGGTCTGCTCTCAAATCAGCAAAGAACATCTTCGCTTCTTCTGCCAGCGCCAGTGCAGCTGCGAAGTTGGAAGCCCATAACTCGTCTGCCATCCACAGATCACCGAAGCGTGACCTCTCGGGCGAGTCGAAGACTGCTGCCGTCTTCAACATGCCAGGAGCACTTTGGTCGGAGCGACAACTTCGCCATAGCCCGTCGAAGCCCGACTCGATCATTTCGGCCAGCCCTAGTCGAAAGACCAGAAGCTCGAACGAAAGCGACAGGAAGCGAGAGAAAGAGCTCAAGGCGCAGCAAAAAGCCGCAGACGAGCTTGAGAAGGTGAGAGAGAAGGAGAGGCAAAAGGCTGCGAAGCAATTGGAGGCACAACGCAAGGCAGATGAGGCTCAGGCTGAAGCTGAGAGGAAGGAACAGGAGAGGCTGGCTGCTGCTGCTGCGATTGCCGCTGCTGCACAGGCCGAACGACCAGTATCTTCTGGTAGTGATCATGCCGAAACAGCTCCACCGCCACCACCGAAGAGCATGTTGCCTGCTGGTAAGCTTAGAGCTCCAGGACGATTGATGAGGCCTGCGAAGGCTGAGACTGCCACAAGACCAGCACCCGTGGCCATTCGGATCGCTTCACAGTCACAACGCATGGGCCAAGCTGGCAATGCTGCGCTATCAAAATCTCAGCATGAGAGTCTCGCACCGCCACCAAAGACTGGCTTGCGTACGGCGTCATCACAAAACAGTATGAGGAGCTCAGTCGCGCCCAACAGTGCTCGTGTTAAGGCTCTGGAGGCAGCGGCTCGCAAAAAGGAAGCCGACGAGAAGGCGGCGGCAAGGAAGCTAGAACAGAAGCGCGAGCTTGAACGCAAGCGTGCTGCTAAACTCGAGGAAGAACGCCGAGCAGAAGAGGAGCGCAAAGCAGCGGAACAAGCACGCATCCAGGAAGCACGACTTGCTGCCCAACGGAAAGCCGAGGCTCAAGCTGCTGAGGCTAGGAGGAAAGAGCAGGTTCGCCTCGAGCAGCAGCGTGCTCAGGAAGAAGCACAGAAGGCAAAGGCGGCTCACGAGCTGGCTGAAGTCATCAAGCGCGAACGCGCCCAGCAAGCACCCCCTCATGCTCGTGGAGACGTTGGTGGAACTCTACGACAGCTTGCGAAGAACACTGTACCCGATCACTCTCAGCAACAAGGCGGCAACCGAGCACCCTTACAGCCGAATCCTGCGAAGCCGGCGAAGCGTGTCTTCCAGCCCGAAGAAGATGAGCTGTTGCATGTCCAACATACTGCTGCCCAGGCACAAAGACCAGGTATGCCACGGGGACCACCCAGCTACCAACAGAATGATGCGAAGAGGCGACGGACGAATGAGGAGGAGCAAGGTGGGCAGGCGGAACGGCATAGTGTTATGGCGCCACCGAAGCGACCATCGAATATGCGGAAGGTATGTCCAGTCTCGCATCTGTGTGCTAATGAGGTATATACTGACGATACACCACAGGAGAGCACGTTAAGCAAGTTCCCTCACGGCTACGCCCATGCTCCACCACCTGCAGCTCACCACGGTGGCGCCGGTGGAAGCATGTTCAAGTCGACAGTCACAGCCCAACACCAGCTCCATCATGGCGCGAAACCCGCACATCCGAGCCAAACCGTCCAGATGTCCAACGCCCGCATCCCGTTTGCAGAAAACAACAACCCACCCGCCACAACATCTCAGCAGTACCAACAACAAACCTACTCCGGCCACGAAAACACTCACCCATCAGCCCAACAACAGAACAAATTCAAGACCCCCGCCCGACCAGCCCAAGCCCCCAAATCCGCCAAATCCTCCCCCCTCTACCCCAACGGCGACGCCATCCAACTCCCCGAAATCCTAACCGACTCCGAAGACGAAGAAGACGACGAAGACGAAGCCCCCGGCGGCGGAGGAGCAGGCTTTAGAGCCCCCTCCTGGGTCGCCTCCCCCGCCCTCCGCGACCTGCTCACATCCCAACAACTCATCGACCCGGAATCCGTCTTCGGTCCCATCGGGGAATTGAAAATGGAAGAAGTGTTTAAAGGGGGGAAGAATGCGGAGAGGATGAAACGGTTTAGGGATCGTGGGTCTAGTGCAGCATGGGTGGAAAGTGGAGATGCTGTTACCAGTGCGGAGAAGAGGAGGGATTTGGAGGGGCGGGAGAGGTTGGTTCGGGAGGGGGGTTGGAGATTCGATGCTACTCGCTAAATGAATGTTCGGGCTTTGGTATTGTGGGATTTTGAGCAATCGTTGTGAGATGGTGTCTATTGATGTACTGCGTTGGGGCAGCAGCAAACAGGGGTTTGTTCGTCAGGTAGCGTCGGGTGACGTGATCAGGGCGTTTGTGGAAACTGTGGCGTGGAAAGGGGCTTGTTATACAATTCTGTGAAAAGCCCCAGGGGGCACAAACATGTGCTTTCACGAAATTCATCAATCACCAATCTTACCAAATTCCTTCTCCTACAGAACCCCTCAATCAAACCCCTCAAACTCCTCCTCAGCATTCTGCTCCCTGATCCTCCGAATCAAATCCTCCAACTCCGCACTCTCCACCTTCTCCCCTTCACTCATCCCCTTCTTCCGTTCCGCCACCCTCCTCCCCTCCTTCCTCCCCCTCCTCTCCTCCCGCAACCCCTTAGCAGCTTTCTGCGAACTCCACGCCCGCTCCCGCTTCATCTTGGCTTCTGCTTCCTTCCCCGCCAGCCGCTTGGGAAGTGCGGGTCTCTCCCCACGTGCACGAGCTTGTACGGCTAGTTGACGGGTTTCTTCCCTGACTTTATCCGCGTAGGCAAGATGGTTGATATCGAAGGCTTCCGGGACGTCGAGCCCGAGGGTCCGGTCGGCCACGGCTTCGGGGAAGAGGCGCTTGAGCTCGGGCATTTTGGGCCAGCGGAGGAGACCCCATGCCTGACCGAGTTCCTTCCAGTCTACATTCTTGACATTGAAGATGTCGGCGGGTAGGGTTTTGGTATAAGCTTGGACCCAGCTGACAAAGGCCTTTTGGCTTCGGTCGTGGATTTCTCGTTTGGTGGTGAGGACTTGGCGGATTTGAGATATTGTCTCTGTGGCTTCTGCTGGCGTGATTGGTGTGGTCAGGATGTAGGGTTCTAGCTTCGTGCCTTGGAGGTCGAGGTATTTGACGTAATCTGCCTCGTTGCCGTCGTTGAGGAAAGTAATGGCTAGGCCGCGTTTGCCTGCCCTTCCGGATCGGCCACAGCGGTGGATGAAGTCCTTCGGTTGGCTGGGTGGATCAAGCTGTACTACTAAGTCGATGTCTGGAATATCGATGCCTCGGGCTAGGACATCTGTTGTGACCAGTATCGCAGGCGTAGTGCAATCTTGGAAGCGTGCCACATTCTTTGCTCGCACAGGAGCCTTGTAGTCGCCATGTACGGCAAACACTTTCATCCCCAGCAACGCTGGTAGAACGTCCTTCCAGTAATCCACTCCCGCTCTGGTAGATACATAGATGATGATTTTCTCAGCCTTCACCTCCAATAATACTCGCTTGAGCATCGGCAACTTCTGTGTGGCAGGACAAGTCAAATAGCACAATCTCAAAGCCTCCGGCGTCTTCTTATCCAGCGCACCACTTTTACTCCGAACCTTCGCGCTGATCTTGAATGGATACCTCATCCCTACTCTCACCAATTCATTGACGGCCTCACTTACACTCGCACTGAACAATCCCGTCCTCCTCTCCTTCGGCACTAATTCGAGTATCCTCTGCAGATCCGGCGCGAAATTCGGGTCCAGAAGTCTATCCGCTTCATCCAGAACCAAAAGGTCGAAATAATGCCGTTTGAGCACAACTCGACTCGATGACAGGATCTCCACGAGTCGCTTCGGCGTCCCAATTAGTAGATTCGGATTCAAAGAAGAGAAAGTAGCCAGATCCTCCCCCTGCTTCGTCCGTCCACCAATGAGTAGCTGCGGAACCACATACGCTCCCGCCGGTCGTTCAGGCTTCGCCTCCATGGCATCTGCACCCTCTTCCACTTCCACATCATCCAACCCATCATCCTTCCCCCCATCCAGCCCGAATGCCGAAGGAGGATGATACCTCAACAACCCCACACAAACCTCATAAATCTGACTCGCCAACTCCTTAGTCGGCGCAACAACAATACTCCTCACATGACCCTTCTTATTCGGTTCCTCCACCGCCAAGATCCTAGAAATGATCGGGACGAGGAAAGATAAAGTTTTGCCACTTCCCGTCACGGCTTCGACGACGAGATCCTTGTTGCCCATGAGGAGTGGGATGGCCATGGCTTGGACGGGAGTGGTGCGGGCGAAATTCATGCTACGGGTGTAGTCCAGGATCCATTCTGCTAGGGCTGGTGTGAGGGCTTCGAAAGATTTTGGTTTCTTTTCTGCGGTCGCTGGTGGTGGCTGTGCCATGATGATTTTACCGACTTAATTGCTTCTTAAATAACTCTTGTTGCATTCCTTGCACTTCTCGCTGATGCAGCACCGATAAAATATGAAGCTGGAGCGTTACTTATTGGGCAGTCCGGTGTTCTACAATTAAAGTATCTACTTTTTAAGTATTGAACGTCATAGAACTAGCGGCGGGTGTAGCCGAGCGAATCAAAGTACGTTTCAAAGAGCATCGCCGACACGCTTTGTACTGCCAACAGGTCTCAGACGCGTAAGCAGGGGAGAGGAGATGATCACGATGAGTTGAAGAATGGTTGGGATCGAAGCTCTGTACATGGTGACTGCGAACTTTTGTAGCGAAGAGCATGAGTCCACAGCAGGTCCTTCAAGTGTACCATGCCACCAATACTCATACACGTAGTGTCAATGTACAAGAACATCGTCCTAATACCTCCTCCCACCTCCGCCGCCTCCCCTCCCACCCTGATATCCTCCGCCACCATATCCTCCTCTATTACCCCCACCATACCCACCACCACCCCCACCTCCATACCCGCCTCGTCCACCTCCTCCATAGCCACCATACTGCTGCTGCGGCGCCCGGCCATCATATCCACGCTGCTGTTGCGGAGCAGGCATAGGCATAGGCGGCATACCACCCGGTGGCGGTGGGAAGCCATGAGCAGCAGCCTGCTGGGCCAGATGCGGTGGCAGATTGCCGAAACCTCCCTGCTGCTGCTGCTGCTGGTGTCCATAGCCAGGACCGGAATTCGAGCCGTATCCGCCATTGGCACTGTAACCGTTGTTACCTTGCCATCCACCATTGCCGTTACCGTTGTGACCGCCATTATCTCTCGCAGCGTAGTTGATGCGTCGACCGTCTGATCGGTCTCCGTTATTGCTGAGCTGCACACCTCCGAACTGTCGGCCACTTCTACTAGCCTTCTCGCGCGTAGTCTGCACGTCCTGATAATCGAGCACAGGCTCCGCGAACTGAATACCAGGTAGTAGCATACTCTTGTGGACACCACCCACGCTTGGCATGAAGAACGACACCGTTGCGCTTTCGTCCTGATCCAGACTCGTGTACGTCTCTTGCGTACTCGGTAGTGGGAAGTGGAGAGCACTGTTAGGCACATACTTCTCCTCCTTCTCGATCCTGCCTGCCAGGCCCTCCGAGACACGAGTATTGAGTTTGAACTTCTCACCACCGGCCTTCTTACTGTAGAAGTTCGTGGCCACCTCGTCGTAAAGCGGATGTCGTGTGCTAAAGATCAGCGCCTCGGTACCGAAAGCGTTGCGTCGTTGCTCATCGGTAGTCAGCATAGGATACTTCTCTGCCATAGCATCAAGCAATCTCTTCTCGTCAATGAAAGGAAGCAGTGCGACACCTTGCCAAGCAAACTTCTTGCCATTGAGATCGACCTCAAAGTCAACAGGATAGAACTCCTTGATCGGACTATCATCCTCTGTCATGAGAGGGTGGAAGACCGATGGGATGGTATGGTTCGAAGCAGCGGGCATAACACCCATCAACTGCTCGTAGGGCCTGAACGGCTTGCCCTTGTCGAAATCAAGGGGATGTTTTTCCATGTCCACGAAGTCTGCGGCGAAAGGCGCGTAGTGGTAGGGATAGTACCAGGTCCAGGACGGACAACCCTGGAAGTAGTAGAGAAGCACCCACGCCAAACCCTCGACATATGATCGGGCCACCCTGTGTCTGAACTCCACGTCATGTGGCGAGACGTGGAACTTCTGTTCGTAGTAGCGCTCTTCATAGCCGTCGTCCCAGAGACGCACCGTATCTTCTGGCATTACATCTTCACCTGGCTTGGAGTTGCCGCCAAGCTGACCGGAAGCGCCGCGACTAGCACCGTCAGTGATGGGGTCGGCGATCTCTCTGTTTGGTGTGTTGCGGCCTGGAGTGGATGGATCGGAGCTCGCATCATCGTTGGCTTCATCAATCATATCTCTAGTCCGCTTGCCAAGTACAGCTGGTGAAGCGCCTTCTTGTACTGTTCCAGCGAACAAAGCCTCCAGCTCTGCTTTCTGGTTATCGGCAGGGTTCTTGCTGCTCATCAGCTGCTCTTTCAGTGCAGCCGCTGCAGATTTATTAGCACGATTGGCATTGCCGACGACATCTGCATGAGTCAAGCTCTGAGCATAACGAGGATCACTCCTCGACTGCGCTTCGCCAGGTGCGAACGTGGGTAGGGCATTGAAGTCCGGAGCTGCCTCGCCACGTTTGATGCCGCCTTGAGGTCCACGTCTGATCACTGTCTCATCATAGCCTGATGCTCCGAATGACGCGCCGTTGTCAGAGTAACGTTGTCTCTTGTTGCTCTGCCGTCTAGCCTTCTCGTCCTCACGCCTCTTCTGAGCAGCTTCTTTCTTGACTTCGGTCTCTCGCCGACGCTTGAAAATGGCATTCTCCTGCTTCGCCAGCCCTTCCAGAATCATCTGTGCCCTCGACAGATCAACATGTCCGTCTTTGGTAATGTAGCCGCCCATGACTGGTATATTGTCACGCCAGATCGCAATAAGAGTATCAATACCATCCTCGCGAATGTCCAGGGATGGCAAGTGTGGCAAGAAATCGTTACCAACGAAGTAGCACATGAATACCCAATCGTCCAAGGCACGTTCGAGATCGAAGCGAAAAGGCTGATTCGGTACGCTCATTTCGACTGCAAGATACTCGCGTAAGATGCTGACATGCAGCCAGATGAATGGTTTGAGAGGTTTGGCGACTTCTTCCTCACCAGGCTTCGGCTTGGGTGCGCCTCGACATTGGTCTGCCATATGTCCAGGCTGGTTGCACTTCCGGCAGTGACCAGGCTTTGTGTCGTTTGCGAAGACGTCCTCGCGCAAGACATGGAAGTGTGGCTCGTGGGTCGCAATGCCCAACATGATCAAATCGGCATCGAGACCATAGATGACGTGCCTACAGTGTGTTAGTATGTTCAGAGCAGTGATTACAACGTACCATACCACTAGAAGCGGACAGAGTCTAGGAAAGACAAGGAAAGCTTCAAGGAAAGAGGGTGGCCAGAGAACTTACCTGGTGTTGGGGTCATGCGTCGGACTGCTGCGTTGCGACCTGACAAAATTCATGATCTTGTGCTCACCCTCACCTGGAACTGTGGCATCGGAAATGATGATCTTGAGCTTTTCCCATGCGGGATCTGTGCTCAGTTTATAGCTTACCCAGTATCGCAGACTTGCCGCAAGCAGGTCCATGAAAGGTGTGCCGGGGGTAATAGAGTTGGAGTCCCATGTCTTCTTGGGCTTCTCAGCTTCGTCGCCAGCATCTTCTGACGATACGCCCTTCGCGACCATGTGAGCATGGAACTCTGCTGCAGCCGCATCTTTCTCCGCAGCTTCTTGTGCTGAGCGGAAACGACGCGAGCGCTGCTGGTTCATCTTAGCGCGTGGTGCGACACCGTCTACTGCAATCATAAGTAGCTTGCGCGGGCGTGCCATCTTGACGACACGGTCTGTGTACTCGAAGATGGCTATCATCATTTCCTCCTCGTTGGCAGGTGGCGCACGGTCTTCGGGGTGAGAGCAAGGGTGCACAATGCCGTTCATATCCAGGTACAGATTGTCCATCTCCTCGCCATTGGGATTTGGCTTGCGAGCGTCTACGGGTATCTTGGTCTTCGTGCCGTCATCATTGTCAACCTCTTCTGGAAGCTCCTCACGCACTGGGCTGATAATCTTTGGATACTTCTTGCTCAACCATCGGAAGAGCGCTGGGACACCCATAGTGTCGTGAAATCGCTAGAAATACAGTGTCTGTTGTGTACTGGGTGCGATGATGGGCGCCAATGTGCCGGCGCCGTGAAAAGTGTCGCGTGCCTACACTCCAAGGGTATCGTAGTAGATGGGAGCAACAAGAGCGCGGTTGTGCTGTTTGGTACAGGTGAGCTCTTGTGATGCCGAGGGTAGGCGTATACACAATGCTGAGCAGGAGAGTTGACAAGCTGCTGGCGGATGTAGATTCGGAGTGGGAACTGTCTGGAAGGATGTTTGCGGCGACGAAGCGTTCGGGAGTCGAGGCACGATCACGTGCGATCCAGCGAGTCATTCAAATTGACTAGGCGTCCAAAGTTACAAGGGTCTTGAAGCTCTGTATATTCTTTGGCAACGTGGTGAGGAAGTCATAAGATCTCTGTGCCTAGCCTACCACGGTGCATACGCATGACTATTGCAAGAGGCTACACGCCATCCCCAGAACTACAATGAGATATTCGCGAACTTGCCTTCGATAGGCAATTACCATAACAATGCTCAAGACACCGCCTCTACAGACGGCTACAGCGACCATTGATACCCTGTCTGGTCGTCTGCAATCTGCCACATTACTTGAAGACAGACGCGCCGCCATACTCGGTCTTCGATCCTTCGCCAAGCAATATCCTGCTTCAGTCGCAGGAGGTTCAGTGCGCGAGCTCATCGCAACCCTTCGACGCGATGGCCTAGGCGAGGCAGGCAGTAGCAAGGATGGACGGGGAGGCAAAGGAGAGGAGGGTAGTGGGGATGTGGACACGATCCGTCTTGTCCTCGAGACATTGCTCATGCTCTGCAATCCAGACAGCAATAGTCCCGAGGCCAGTGACGAGCTAGCATATTTCATGGCGGATGAATTCTCGATGGTATGTCAATAATGCTGTGTAATCTGTTGTTGGCTCGAGCTAAGCTAATGCCAGCGCCAAGAAAACGTGACACTACTACTATCGTTACTAGACCCAACGTCACCTTATGCCGACTACTACTCCCGCTTGTATAGCGTACAACTCCTGCAAGCGACATGTGCTGCGCGACCCGAACGACTACAGGAGTGTGTTCTTGGTGCGCCATTAGGCGTCAGCAGACTGGTGGGCGTACTCGACGATGGCAGAGATGCTGTCCGGAATGCCGGACTTCTACTACTGGTCGATCTTACGAGTGGCGCCAACGAGGAGCTCCGCAAGATCGTAGCATTTGAGGACGTCTTCCCCAAAGTCTTCGCCCTAATTCGATCTGAAGGTGGTCTAGCCGAGGCAGGGATTACTGCGCAAGACTGCCTCACTCTTTTGGCCAACCTGATCAAAGGCTCGCCAAGCAACCAGACCATGTTTCGGGAGTCTGGATGTGTGTCACAAATGGTGAAACTGCTCGAGGAAGCTTTCCCGCCAGAGCTACCAGAAGCTCCGTTTACCGCCCAGAGTCGAGAGAAGGCTGCTTGGGGGTTACTTCAGCTCTTGACACAATTCCTCGAACCTGGCGAGAAGAGCACAGCTCAGAACCAAACAGCATTCTTCCGGGTCGGTACTGCTCAAGTCTTGATTGATCTAGGGTTCATCCGTGCACTACCACCACCGATTCGAACGTCAGCCCTGAGATGCGCTGCGGTACTCATTGCATCCAATGCACCGCTACAAGAAGCCTTCGCGTCGTTACTGGTCGACCCCTCAGCTTCGCGCCCAGTAGAACCACCCAGGTCTACACTGCAACCAAACGGGACGAAATCGAACGCCGCTTCCGCTCGGAACAGTGCCAGACCAAGTGCTGAGCAAGCACGGCAGTACATCATCGAAGCGTTACTCGACCTCGCATTGACGAAGGCACAAGAAGACCCACAATTCCGAATGGCTGGGTGCAGTCTTGTGAGAGCATATCTAACCAACCACGATCGGATAAAAGCGCATTTTTTGAATCGTGCAATTGCTGGCCACGCTGAGCACGAGGCCGCCGCAAATGTTTTGAGTACACTATTACAGCCTACAGATGACGCTCAGAGTGTGCTATATGCTTCGTGGATCGTCACGGATCTGGTTGCAGAAGAGCCCGAGGCTCAAGCTGCCCTTGCTGCTGTCAAGGAGGGCGACGAAAATGAAGGAGAAGATGTCTTGACATTGATCCAGACGCTCGGCTCGCAACTACAATCAGCAATCCAAGCTTCAGACGAGCGACTAGTGGTGGCGTATGCCGGTTTGCTTACAGTACTGCTCTGGGACTTTGCCGACGGCATCAACAATCTTCTCATAGAGGGCTCTGGTCTTGTTCAGAGTCTGGTCACTGCGATCAACCCCATAGTGGCTGGTCCACTCATAGCCGGTATGGCCGCGATCTTGCTTGGCACCATTTACGAGTTCAGCACGAAAGATAGCCCGATACCACGGCGGACGCTCGCTCCGTTGCTAAAACAAAAGCTGGGTCGTACCAAGTATCTCGACAGCCTCGCATCTCTGCGCAAGGAGCCAGCTGTCCGTGATTTCGATATCGAGGAAGCTGCAGAAGATACAATCTTGTCGAGCGTGTTCATCGACTTGTTCATGACCGAGTATTCACGACTCCGAAGAGCAATCGACAAAGATCCTGGCATTGAAGTCCTGCCATCGTCCGCAATAGAAGCAGGGGTCGATCGAGACGTGCTCGACGACTTACGACAGCAATTACAATCAGCCAAAGACGCACTGTCTCAAGCCCAACAAGATGCTCTTGCAACAAGTCAGCAGCACGAGCAGGACCGCATGAACGTTTCGAAAGAAATGCAAACCGCTACGGCCGAAGTTGATCGCTTACGTCGCATCAATCAAGCCATGCAACAAGGCCACGAATCTGAGTTTGAGAAGGTAGCTCGCCAGCACGACCAAGCACGGCAGAACTCGCAAAATGAGCACCAGCGTGCCCTTGAATCAGTTCAGCAAGAGTCTGGTCGCCAACTCGACACACGACTCCGTGAACAAGGTGCAGCCTCAGCGCAGAAGATGCAAGAGTACGAGCGTCGACTAGCAGAGCTGGGCAATACTTTCCGCTCTGAGAAGAGCAAGTATACCGAGACTTCTCGCCAGCTTGAAGCATTGACTACACGGCATTCAGAGCTCGGGACAAGTGAGCAGCAAGCACGACAATCGCTTCAAGACTTGACCCAGCGGCATGAGAAGGCGACGAGGGAGCAGCAAGTGGCTAGTACCGAAGTCGAGCGTCTGACGGCCGAGGTGGAAGACATGAAAGCTAGGCGTGATAAAAGAGATGCACTTGTTGAGAGATTGCGGGCACAGTGCCAGGCCACGAAAGAAGAGTTGCGAGGCCGGGAAGACGAGCTGGCTACAGAGCGCTCGGGCTTCGCGGACCTGGAAAAGGAACTCGAGGGTGTCAAGGCTGAGCTTGCTGATGCTAAAGGCGCTGTTTCGACAAGCACGAAGTCGGATGCTAGCAAGGATGATAATGAGAAGCTTGTTGCCATGCAGGAGGAGCTCGAGACTGCGAGAGAAGGCGAGAGTAGTGCGAAGGCGGAGCTGGAGAGTATGTTACTTGTGATGGGCGATATTGAGGCTAAGAGGGATGCATTGAGAAAGAAGGTGAAGGAATTGGGTGGTGCTGTGAGTGACGATGAGGACGATGATGAGGATGATGAGGAAGAAGAAGGAGAAGAAGAAGAGGACGATGAGGATGTTGATTAAGGTGGCGTCATATAGGACTGCGAAGTGCTATTGGTGCGGTCGAACATGATATCCACTTCCTCCAGAACATGTTGTGGCGGACCTGCTCTTCAGACTGAGGAACATCACCTTGCACGTGCTATGCCCTCGTGCTTCCCTCGAGGGCACCCCTTTCTTTAGCGGCAGGAGTCCTGCCATGTAAATCAGAACTCTGTCCTTTCACAGTCTACTCCATCTTACCTTGACGACCCTCTGATGCCCAGCACAAAACAACAGCTAGGCGGCAAGCAACTCCTACCCCTCGCCTTCAGCTAATGTCGAAGAACCCTCACGCAACTCGTTCAAGCTGGCTTTGGACGGTCGGGAGTGAAAAGGAAGAAATACTTTGATCGTTGCTCAATGGTATCTACCACGTTTTCGTTTCGTAGCCTCATTATTGTATTATGACTGCGGCTGCCAGACAAATGCTGCCGCGACAGTCTCAGACACGCCTTTTCCCGGATGCATTATTTCATTTCCACTGCCACGCCATCGCTATGCCCAGACTAACCCACAAAACACAGAAACGCCTCTCACAACACATACGGCCCAAGACCCTGTATGATCCCTCCTAAGCTCTACGGCGGCGCGGACCCAGCATCTCGAATCCCATAAGCCATCTCCTTGAACCCCGGCGGGATCTTCCACCCATGCGCATTGCAAGCCCTGATGTAACCATCTGCACCCTCCGTAACGCCGTAATCCGCCTGCCCGTGTCCACTACGCCCACTGCTCATGTCCAACCTCGCCGGCGGATCAGAGGCAATCGCCAATCTGATCTGCATCAACACGCTTTCCATAGACGACACACTCGACCATCCCGTGTTGGTGAGTAGCTCCATGCACATTGCTCCACCAAGAACAATATGTCCACCGCCGCCTTGGCCAAGACTAAGGAAGCGAGGACGAATGACGCGGACGTAGGGTGGTGAGAAGGGAAAGTCCTCCTGGAATTGGATCTCGAGGACGATGGATTTGACGTCTTGTTTCTTCATATCATTGATCATTTTGAGGGTAGGATCGATGACGTGGAATGAATGAAGCTCCACGATCCATTGGTAGGGATTGTCGATCTTCTCGACATCGATATACCAGCCCAGATCAGGCGTCGACTGCTGAACCTTCTGGAGGCTGTTGAGCTCTTTCATCAGGCGCTTAGTAGCTCCACTGTCGGCATACGCGGGTTGCGGCATAATGGGTAAGGTGCTCCAATCAAGCAAGCGAGGCACGAAGTCGGTGGGAGTTCCGACAGCCGCCTTTGGCTGAACGACCGAACCGACCAGTACTTCCGGCTCTGGCTCAGCTTCCTCGAATAGGATCTCGAGATCTTCGGCGTCAGTAGCAACACTATCGCCATCACTATCTTCGATGGCAATCGGGTTGTCGAAGCCACCTGATCCCTTCAGTCTCTTGGATGGACTCTTCACACGTGCCGTACGAGCACCATCGTCACTCGCCTCAGGCAGCCGAGATCTGATGGCCGAAGCAGGAATTACAATGGCACTACCAAGACCCATAGGTGTACGCTGAGGATCCTGCGAATACGCATTCGATGGCTTCTTCTCTTGCCCGATCGAGATGGTAGAGCGGTCGGGCGGGACACACGACACGAAGAGGTACCGAGTCTGGATCCAGTCGATATGTTGTACGACGTAGAATGGGTTTGACGACTGGAACTCGTCCGGAGCATTGACGATCTCGTTGAGCGCCAGAGCACTGTTGACATTGAGCAAGCTGTTAGCCCATCTGCCTTGTGTGTTTGCTTGTCCCCCATAGCCGTAAGCTGCCATACCCGAGTAGCCGGTGGATGTGCTGGCCTCTTTGGCATGATACACACCATCTCCATATGCACGACCGTGATCGGCATTCTTGAAGTGCAAGCCCTCGCGAATAATCATGTGCCAATTGTAGATCGGACTTCCATGCCAAGCAAACATGGTAGGGAATTTGGACTCTTTGCGATCCGACACTTTGCGCACTTCCGAGATGAAACGTTGCTCTTTGTCTGGTGCACCCATGGCGAAGCGGAACTGCATATAGTCCTTCATACCAAATAGACGCTCTTGGCCAGTTGAAGTCTCGCCATCAACCTGCATGATGCAAGCACGATTACTGGCAATGACCCAGCGAAGTAGACTTAGTGCTGCTGGCGAGAGACGGTTGACCCAAAACTTGAGGTCTGCCGGCCTGTTCTTGGCCAGATAGTCCTGCAAATCCTTGACGTTCGGAATGGTGTCGAGCAGCTTGCAGATCGACAGACATTTACCGTTCTTGTCGAGCTTCTCGAAATCCTGCTCGTAGATCTGAAAGCGTGCCTGAGCCCACTTGGGTGTGGTCGCTGGCGTCACAGTCTTGGTAGTCTTGCTGGTGGTTGTCTGTGCCGTTGCGAAGTTTGCAGTAGTTGGTAGGATCAAAGGTGGATCGATGCTGATGGTTGGGTAGTAAGTCACATCAGCCACTCTGCAATGGACCTCAGAAGCATCCACAGTGCCTTGCATCTTCAACACGATCCAACTGCCTCTTCTGACCGGACAATGTTCAGGCATGTTGAAGAAGATGAGCTCAAGCCTGTCAGCGTCGTAGCCGACCTCGTACGTAGGCAGTGCATCTGGCTCAACCTTCTTCTCCACCACCGGTGGTTGACGGCCGACTCGATAGCCATAACTTGCCAGATCTGGCCCAGCGCTGTAGATAGCCAGATCTATCGGAGGTACCATCATCGCGAGGCCATCTGGAAAGTCCTTCAAACGCTTCGAGTTTGCACTACTGTAACAGAAAGATAGCAAAAGATCGACGACATAAGGCTGTGTCATGATCTCGTGCTCAATGGAAGGACCGAAGCCGAGTGTCATGTACTGGTACAGACACAGGCTCTGATCACAGACATATGGCTTGATCGCCTCAATGTCACTGTAGAGCTTCCGATGGCAGACCAAGCAGAACTCTGTGCAGCGTATGAAGTGCCGAAGTGCGAATTGCATGGCTAGTAACGGGAAGGAGTATTGCGTCACTCGGCGTGCTGTGTAGTGGTCAGCTGTGGCAACAGGCGGAAGGGAGTTGTGTAGCTTCTCGGGCTCGTAGAACTTGTCGGGAACAGCGTCGGCACCACTAGCACCATTGTTGGTGATCTCTGTAAACCAGTTCTCGGCGCCGCACCAATCCAATCCGGCACTACGATAGCGAAGGAGAGGCACGAGACGCTCCTGGAAGAAGCCATTGAGTGGTTTGGAGATGAACGTGTCGCGGAGGTTGTCCTCCTCGGCCACTGGAGCTTCAGCAGATGGTAGATCAGTCGACGAGATACTGTCACGATCGCTTTTCTTGACTGTTGTAAAAGCCTTTATGGCCTCTTGCAGTGTCGGCTTGTACTTCTTGCTCGCACAAAGGCGCATGCCGAGGTTTGGAGCGAGACGTAAGCTGTCGCAGCTCTGGAGTTCTTCGTTGGTCTTATAGCCATTGGGATACTGAATGATGAGGATGAGATAGTCCTTCGGATCGATATGCCAAGCCTGCATGGCTTCGTCTGATATGCCAAGCTTTGACATGCGAATAGAAATGGTGACAAACGAGTTGTGGCCATCGAGCAGATGGCCGAGATGACCGACTTTGAAACCTGCACTTTTGGCGATACGCAGATCCTCACGAATGCGGGTACGAAATGCACGCCCCGTTGTTCTAGGCTTGCCGTTTGGCGTGGGAACAGTCGTTGTGTGCTGAGCACTAATCTCGAATGCCTCGTGATCACTGTCATATACATCGTCATCAACCTCGTCTTCGCTTTCCAGATCGTCCGCTTGCGAGTCTGGCATGCCGATATCTCCGTCCTTATCTGGCGAAAGCCTATTGAGCGTGGCCGAGACGATGTCCAGTAGCTCGAAGACAGTCTTGCGATTGGTGCCGCGCACGATCTCTAAGGCGGAAGCGATATGGCGAGGTGCATCATCGCCACAAAAGATCATGTACTCGTGCGATTTCGGGTACTCACTGACGTCGGGAATGAGTGCGGTGATCTTGACTGCTTCTTGAGCGGGATCGGTAGGAGCCAGAAACTCAAACTCGAATTGGCCGTCATCGTCGCCTTGCTGAAGACCGAAGATGCCGTGTGGAAGTGGAGTGGCGTTGTCCTGCGCTTTCTGCAAGTCGTTGATAAATTGTCGCCGAGGCATGGTGCGTTGATATGGTGGTGAGGTACGATGTGTATTTGTCACGTCAATGGCCAGTGGCCAGATGATAGAGATGTGGTCCTCGTTCGCACGCTATCGTAGCAGTGACGAAGCCGTATGAAAGTGTGCCAAGCGGTAGCAGTGAGTGTGGCGAACCTTGTACGACCTGTCGTTTGGCGGATATTCAGGCTGACGTTTACCTATGCTGTGTAATTGCCTTGGTGAACGTTGCCCGAGAACGGATGCAGGCGAAGAGCGAAGGTTGAGCTTCGCCTAGCAATGTAGTGATGATGGATGTGTTCAGGAAGTGTTGTGCCTCAAGAACAATATCGAAGATCTTGCTTCGAGGCCACCGCAGCACGAAGGCACGTGCGGATGAAGCTTCTGTTTGCTACAGGTCTGTTCACCGGTGCTGGATGTTGGTAGTGAGGAGAAGTGTTCGCAAGGCAGGAACGAGGCTGTGTGGCGTTGTGGTGCGGGTAAGCAAGACCTACAGCATGGAAGCAGAAGGCGAAAGAGTCACAAATGAGTGATGTACGTGTGTGTGACTGTTTCTTATAATAGCGAATGTGAGTGTGAGTCCACTCGTTCGTGGATTGCTGCACGTTGTTAGGCGGCAGCTGGGAGATGTTCCTGCACGTTTCTAGCTGGTGAAATGGTAGGCTCTCGGACAGATCCGCCGCTAGCTACGCTAGGAGCACATCACTAGCTTCATGGACCTATTCACTTGCACACGTTCCTGGTGATCATACAGGTGGTATCGCAAGACATGGCAGTCACGGCAACCAGCTACGCTAATACTACGAGAGTAGAGCCGAGGAGTAACGCTGCGGATGGCGCACTCGAAGCCTTCCTTAAGCAGGACTTTGATCCTGTAGACTACCTCAATGCCAATATTCCTCCCCTTGCCGTAGGCTCGAGGACGGCACAGAGCTCACAATATGGCCGCAGCGTACCTCTGTCAGAGCTCAACACACAGCTACAGACGATGCTTGGCCAGCTTAATGCTCAGATGACAAGATTGTCCAATACACTAACACAATTGACTGATGAGATCATACGAAGTGGTGGCAGGCTGGCATATGAGGTCGAGGTCTTGCGAGGCGATACTACTGGGCTGACTGACTCACTTGACAATGAGTTGAGGAAGGATATCGAAATCTTCACGAAAGTATCAGAGGGAGAGAATCTATTGGAGGACGTCGCCAGTGACCCTACGACTTCACAGCCCCGTACAACAGCTGAACCCGAGTATCTGGAGAAGCTACGCACTCTCACAGCTGTCCGCTCACGTCTCGACTCGGTAATCAAAGTCTTCGGCGACGCAATGGCCTGGCCCGTTGCACCTTCCGATTTATCCCTGGCCTCATCTCTGATCTCCATTTCAGCACCAGAATCTGATGCAGACTCCCGTATTCGAGAGGAGAAAGGCAAAGCTTTTGTGGAACAACTTCGCAACGAGATCAATGATCTGGTTGGCAAAGGAAATGATGCTGCAAGTCTTGAAGCCGCGGCTTTGAGGGTAGAGCAGCTAGGACACTTGGCGGAGGTATGGAAGGGCACAGCGGAGGAGAAGGCACGGATCAATGTCGTGGAGAGCTTGCAGCGACCGATCGAGGAGCGGCAGAGAATTGCTGGGCAGAGTAAGAAGGGTACTGGAGCATCTGCGAAGGCTTTGGACTACCGCTATGGCGATCTTGGTGCGAGTGCGAGCACGACAAGCGCTGTCAGTGAAGACGGATTTGGCTTTCTACAGAATCTGAGGAATTTCAAGAATGACATGTATCTGGATTGAAATATAACAAACGATTTCTCGATCCTCGAGAGCTTGATCATTGGCCAGGTACCGAGCCCCACGTTGCATGATCAGCCTCAAGTATAGCCTTACCACCTCGGATGTCCATTCAGTTCCGTCTGCTACTGGTCGTCACGAGACTTCTACATGCACAAATACGATTGCCGCTCGCTGAAGGAATCATCATGCGTGTACTGAACGTCTTCACCCTGGAATTTGGCGAATTTCTTCGATAGCCGGGTTCCCAAATATGCCACACTATCACATCGCTGGGGCAAGCATGAGGTCTCTTACAAAGAGATACGAAAACGAGACAAGCGCATGCCCAGTGGCGCAGGCTACGACAAGATTTTGAACTTCTGCAGACTGGTCCGCAAGACCACCAAACTCGAGTGGGCGTGAATTGATACTTGCTGTATCGACAAGAGCAGTAGTGCCGAGTTGTCGGAGGCAATCAACTCCATGTTCAGATGGTATCTTCGCTCGGCGGCGTGTTACGCTTACTTAGCAGATGTAGACTCCTCGTCGCATCCTCCCAAGACTTTGGAAGAGCAGTTCGAGCAAAGTGACTGGTTTCGCCGAGGATGGACCCTACAAGAGCTACTTGGTCCTGAACTGGTTATCTTTCACGACGTCAACTGGAAAGTCATCGGTCATAAGTGTCCCGTCAGATATGATCAGAGCAAAGGCCAATATAGATGCCAAGAGGCCGAGTCGCTGTGTGGATCGCCACTCAACTTGAAAATTTCCCGAATCACAAATATCGAAGAAGACTGTCTCGACTTCAAGTCGAGATTGAAGGAGAAGACCATAGCCCATCTGATGAGCTGGGCTGCTGGGCGGCGCAGTACCCGAATCGAAGATATGGCGTACTGCCTGATGGGTCTATTCGATCTCAATTTTTCTCCACTCTACGGCGAAGGAGATAAAGCCTTTCTCCGTCTGCAGGAGGAACTCGTACTCCGTCATAACGACCCGTCTATCTTCTTCTAGATAGGTGACCAGGACTTCCTTCCTCAATCCGATCTGTTAGTCATTCGTCCCATGTTCGCATCCCGCCCTGCAGACTTTGCAGTCGGTACCGCAAGTTCAGTGAGGCCCAAGTGGAAGTTATCCACCTCGTTCAGTGTGAGCAATCGGGGCATAGAGTGGACGTCCCTAATGACACCCTACAAGATCCCGGGGACCTCTAAGGAATTGCTCGTGATTGATTTTGCAGACCTTGTAGAGAATTTCGACCTCGGTGTGTCGATGGCACCCAAGGCAGAAGGCGTGGAGAACAAAACATTGCCACCAAGCAAGATTGTGTTCTACGACTGGGGTAGAGGACGGTATCGCCGTGTGCATCAACTACCTCATGGTGCCAATCTGGATATCTGCCAGCCCGAGACTGCTGTCATACGTTCAGTACCTATCAGCATGCGCAAGGGGCAGAACTATCTATCCTATACAGGCTTTCCTTGGTCTGATCCTCAACTGCATACAGTACTCCCGTTGAACAAGCCGCCGAGTGAAGACACGGATGCCCTACAAAGGTGCAAGCATTAATGCAATCAGAACGTCCACTTCGAAGGGGGCGCTTGCGGCAGGACATATACTACGCCTTTCGGCCCAAAAACTATAGATAGGACAGATGACTTGTTGGTGCGATATCTGGTGGTTGCTCACACATGAACACGGCTCTAGAGCGGCTGGATGTTTAGCCCACGATCCGATCGTGTCTAGCCTACAGCTCTGAAGCGCAGCTTGAGATACCTTGGCAGCTCTACGTATCAGCCTATCCAGCAGCGGCGGCTTGTGGCATCCTAGCGACAGCGGAGACTTGCACAGACGCTTGGCTGGCTCATAAGCCATATGTCTTTCACACATGACTGTACGCAGCCACTCCCGCAACGATGATTGGGAACCAAGCAGCCCTTGACTATTGAACCCACAAGTCCTCAAGCTGGAAGTGTCAATCGCCTCGACAGAGAGACTTGGTGGACTGCTGAAGGCAGCAACAAAAGTCAGGGAAACACGTGCAACCTGATGGTTCGACTTAATGCATTCCTGGCAACAAGATGCCTACTTCTCGCTTCGTTGACTCGGGCTGTTCCAGACTAAAGTCACCAGGGACAAGATTGGTAGAAGGCATCGTGCGGCGGAAAGGCTCGTGTCCTACGGAATGCTATGCACGTCTAATGCCTGATTTATATCAATCCCGTTCCCGTGACTTCAGACACAAGATCATCTACTAGATAGAGCCGGTACATTTTCTCTGTTATCGGGAGTCTCTTGCACTACGACGTGCATACCACAGTTACGACAACTTGGCAAGTGATCGCTGGCAACTTACCCTTTCCGCCCAATGAACCTCTGCTCGCCAGGCATCCACCTCCTCAAACACTCGGGCACCACCACACCCCCCCTCCCCTCGTCCCACCCATTCTCCAGCACCGCCGCCAAAATCCTCGGAATGGCTACCGCAGTCCCATTGACCGTATGGGCTAACCCGGTTTTGACCTCCCCCTTCTCAAACTTAACCTTCGTGTTGAGTCTTCGAGCCTGGTAATCCGTGCATATACTCGCGCTAGTCACCTCGCCATAGCCCTGATCGATTGCTGTCCGGGAACCGAAGTAGGCTTCAATATCGACTTTCCTCGTAGCAGAGGCGCCGAGGTCGGTGGTAGGCATTTCCAAGACTCGTGCGTGCAGGCCGAGGGAAGTGAGGATCTCGGTCTGGATGTCTAGCATTTCGTTGAACACAACCTCTGAAGGCGTAAGGTCGTCGGATGCGACATCGAAGCCACCTTCGCTTGCAGCAGGAGGAGCAGTCCAAGCGAACATCTCCACTTTCGTGAATTCGTGGACGCGGTAGAGGCCCTTGGTATCTACGCCTCTAGCACCAGCTTCAGCGCGATAACAGCGTGAAGGGCCGATGACTTTAAGCGGAACGGCAGATTCAGGAATTGTTTTGTTGGCCTGAGAGCCAGCGAAAGGGATCTCTGCTGTGCCTGCCAACACAAGACTCGGACCTGTGGTGTCTTGATTACCGATATTGTAGATTTGTGTTTCGCCGTTCGTATCCCTTGGCATGAAGCCGCAAGCACTGGCTATATGACCATAGACCAGAGAAGGAGGCGTCATGACTTTCCAGCCTCTTTTCATGGCTACGCTGAGTGCGTACTGAATGAGTGCTTGCTCCAGTAAGGCAGCCTCGTTTTTGAGAAAGTACCAACCCCAACCACTCGTCGTAGCACTAGCCTCGAAATCCAGAAGATCCAGTTCTCGTCCAATCTCGACATGTGACTTCGTGCCCCTACTCGTGGGTGGAGCATCGCCATTGAGATATCTGAAAACATGCGGTTCGTGGCCCACAGGCGTTTGCAAAGAACTCAGATTGGGCAACTCCAACGCCCACCTCTCCATCTCGTCCTGCGCCTCCTTCTCCTCCCGCTCAAAGACCGCCAGCTTCCCCTTCAATATTTTCGCTTCATCAAGCAAGATACTCCTCAATCCCACCCGCGCCTCCTCGGGCTTCTTGAGCTCCTTGGCCAGAGCATTATTCCGCTGTCGAAGCTCTACGGCTTCCTTCTGTTGCGCGACTAGCTTTTCATGTGCCTCGAGTATCTTCCAGCCATTGCGGGCGAAGGGAGCATAGTTCCTATCGTTGGCATTTTGTTCGTAGAGACCAGGATTTTGGCGGATGTGCTTGAGATTCAAGGTTGGTTTGGGGGCGAAGGTGGGACGGGTATATGTCCTCTGGTGAATGACATCGTGTCCGAACGATGTCTTGAGTACTTGTCGCAGCGACTGTCTACACGACGAGCATATATAGGGGTAATTCATCGATGAAGAAGTGAGAAAGATGCGTAGTGTTCGTTTGACTGAGCCTCGGCTTCGTCCGCACGCAAAATCGCGAAAACTCCACGTCGGCACGAGACAAGACAAGATGATCGTCTCCTCCTTCTTCGCTCGGCATCTTTCATCCTTCACCATGCATCATGCATTATCCGGCTCGAGCTTATTCCCGAGACGTGTATACAGACGTGATATGTTCAGCGACTGCTCAAATGATTAGTATTTGGCTCGATAGCATTGGCTTTGTACAGGCAACATGGCGAAGAACATCATTCCTTCTCTGCCTTCAGTGTCTCGCCTCGTCTCATCATCTCCGTCCACCATATCGAGATCATGCATAGCATCACGATGTCAAGCCCGTCACTTCTCCATCACGGCCCGACGACGCCTCATGGAAACATCAGGCTTCTCAGACGAGCAGCTTACGGTCCGCGATGCCATATTCAAAATCTGCGCCACCTTTACCTCTGATCCTGACACCTACTGGATGGAACACGATCAGACAGAGACCTATCCACACGAGCTCCATAAAGCTCTCGCCCAAGACGGCTGGCTAGGCATCGCCCTTCCCGAAGAACTCGGTGGCGCTGGGTTAGGGATCTCAGAAGCAACAATGATGCTGCAGACCATTGCCGAGTCCGGAGCAGGCCTCGCAGGAGCTCAAAGCATCCACGCCAACGTCTACGCCACTCAACCGGTGTCCAAGTTTGCCACCCCAGAACAACGAGATCGATTTCTACGGAAGATTATTTCTGGCGAATGGCGAACCTGTTTCGGTACAGAACCCTAGGGAGGCCATTCTATAAGCTAACCGTGCTAACATGTCGATAGTAAGTCGATACTTCTCTCGTCCTAACCGACTCGCTTTCTGCAATTCGATTACGTAGCGCCAGAACTCGGGTCGTACGAGATATAGACACCTAGACATCCGAAGTCACCCTGAGGTATCTTGCCCTTCTCCTAGAGACCCAGCTAACGTTTCCTCCCTAATGCTTCAGGGCGTGACCGAGCCGAACACGGGATTAGAGACGCTCAAGCTCAAGACCACCGCCATACCCACCCCAGATGGATCAGGCTACAAACTCTCCGGCCAGAAAATCTGGATCTCGAGTGCGCAGGTAGCAACAAAGATGGTCTTGCTCGCTCGCACAACTCCGCTGGAGGAAGTCAAGAAACCCAGCGAAGGTCTAAGTATGTTCTACATCGACTTCGACCTCAGCAAACCCGGCCTTGAAGCAAAAAGAATAAAGAAGATGGGTGGACGAGCAGTAGACGCAAACCAAGTGTTCTTCGATGGCTATGAGATTTCCAAGGACTCCCTGATTGGTGAAGAAGGCCAAGGATTCAAAATAATCCTCCACGGCATGAACGCCGAGCGCGCACTGCTAGCCGGCGAAGCCTTGGGTCTAGGCTACATCGCACTGAAGAAAGCCTCGCAGTACGCGAAGGAAAGGGTGGTTTTCGGGAGACCAATAGGACAGAACCAAGCCATACAACATCCCCTGGCCTCCGCCTACATGCATCTTGAAGCGGCCAAACTCGCTACCTATCACGCAGCTCGTCTCTATGATCGATCTACCCCAGGGCACAAGGACTACGATCCCAGCATAACGCAGCACCAGGTTGGAGTAGCGTGCAACTCGGCGAAGTATGTCGCGGCGGAAGCGGCGTTCGTGGCGTGCGAGAGGAGCGTAATGAGTATGGGAGGGATGGGATACGCGGCTGAATATCATGTCGAAAGGTATCTGCGGGAGTGCTTTGTTCCTCGATTGGCGCCTGTTAGTCGGGTGAGATTCTCCCTTCTTGCTTCGAGCTGACTGCTTCAAGAAGATTTACTAATACTGTCGACAGGAGATGATTATGAACTTCGTGGGCGAGAAGGTATTGGGGTTGCCCAGAAGTTACTAATAGGACTCTGCTTGCGGCCATATTGTGAGGTGGCTCGGCAGCATGGAAAGAACATATCTCATGTTTTGCACGATGACAGATCATTCTCGCTCATACCTGGTGTCTCGCTTTCGCTCCGAACGTCTCGTCCATGCAGCTCTCGATTTGAGTAAGGCGTACAGGGTCTCGACCAATCAGATCAATTTGATTTGATACCATGCAGATCACTTCGATCCTGCGGATTCAAGACATGGAGGGCATACTTGACTATGCTGACAAGCAATGACACTGATATGTGAAAGGGGTATTTGGTTCCGAGTTAAATGTCAGCCGCTGCAGCATGGCTAACGAGAAGGTATATATACTCCCTCTATTCCTCTCTGCTTTCTCCGGGCAAAAGTAGACAATCTTTCTCAACTTCTCGGCCGAACAAAAACTCACATTTGCCCGTGGACTTTGCATTTCTGCGACCATGCCCTCAGCCAGAATACCCTCCGAGTTTGATGAGCTTCGCGCCCTACTCCTAACATCTGAAGTCTTCGAACCAGGCCAACAGGAATACAAGACTCAGAGTCTACCATGGAGCCGCCACGCAGAGCAAAATCCAAAACTAGTCGTCCAGCCCACAACCCTTGAGCGTCTACAGGAAGTAGTAAAGTTTCTCTACATTTCCGACCTTGACTTCGCCATCCGCAATACAGGGACCGGGTCTGTCTCAGCGTCGGATGTGCTAGTAAGTATGCACGGTTTCAAATCCTTCGCCTTCGACGAGGCTTCCGAAAGCATTATAGTAGGCGCAGGTCTGGACTGGGGCGAAGTCGACAAACTGATGGAGATTCAAGCTCTCGGATATGCAGCCGTAGGAGCCCGGTGTCCTTGGGTAGGCGTGACAGGCTCCACGCTTGTGGGTGGATTGAGTTGGTTGAGTCATCAGTATGGTATGATCTCTGATCCGCAGAATCTACTTGATGCGCAAGTCGTGTTGGGTGATGGGAAGCTGGTCTGGGCTGCGAAGGATGAGGAGGATCTGATGTGGGCTTTGCGTGGCGGTGGTGGAAACTTTGGCGGTATGTTCTGTCATCTGCAGTGGTCCCGAAGGCGTCGGTGGGCTGACAAGGATGACAGTCGTGACCGCACTGAAGTTCAGAGTACGTCCATATCCGGAGAAAATCTTCGGTGGCATCCTGTTTATACCCTACTCGTCCCTCCACGAAGTCTCCAAAGGCGTTGCAGCCATGGCAGCCCGAACGGCCGACCCACGAATAGCAATGCATGTAATGAACCAAGGACCAGGCATGGGAATGCCAGACCAAGGTTCGAAGCCAAATATAGCGCTGATGCTGTTTGATGCTCATGGTGAAACACACGCCCGGTCAGAATCTGGTTTCGCCTGGGCATTCAGTACTACCGGTGCTCAGGAAATCTCGGCTGGTATAATGTCATTGCAGCAGATGCATGCTCTGACCGAGACATTTCGTGACTATCAAGGTGGGAATATCTTCTGGTTGACAGCGCCGTTGTTGGAAGGTAAATTGGATGACATGGCATTGGTAAGAGTATGGAAATGGTATGAGGATACTATCAAGTCATATCCCGGCTTTGGAGATGGATCTACAGTGCTCTTGGAGTTTATGCAAGAGGTATGCCATGACTGACTGTGGATTCCTGAAATGTGTACTGATCATGTTCAGAACGCCTTCAACTCCTCACCCTCTCGCACCTCAACAGCCTGGCCCCACAGCGGCCATAGACACGTAATGCAAGTAGTAGTTGGCTGCAAGACCTCTGGTAGTTCCATCCCAGACATCAAGGAAAAGGCCCATGCACGTCTCGCGGCGGTGATGCCGGAGGTGGCTGGCGATAAAGCAACGAAGGAGTACCATGCAGGCTTCTTGAACGAATTCAATCATGTTAGTGAAGTGTATGGGGAGAACTATGAGAGGTTAAGGGAGGTGAAGAAGAGGTAAGAGACGTTCAAGGCGAACGCTGATGTGATGTTGCTGACACTCTATGAGGTATGACCCACAGAACAGATTTAATCGAGGGGTTGATCTGGTGGCAGGGAAGGTGACCGAGGACATGACCGTATGAGTATCGACGGTGCACTTTAGACAATGCGCTCGATATTTGGTACTGCTGGCTCACTTCACTTTCTCAATGCGAAGCAGACCTCGGTGGCAAACAGTGTGATAACCTCGATACCTGGTCGAATACTTCTGCCCACCTAATCCATCCAAGCACGCACGAGTACCAATTTCCGCACGTACCTCCAAACATTGGTAGAAGGCATCCTCCTGCCAAATTTTACGCTTCACGCCACAAACCGTGTAACCATTGTGACCACGCCGAACAAAGAACTTCATCGTCCAGTGTCCCGGTCCAGAAGGCCCACATGTGTAACGTGAACCGCATCCATGGATTCGGCGACTTGTCCGATACCGCCATCCTCGTAGCACGATAGGAGTGGTCGTGTGCCCTCTGTGCCATATGCAGGCAGCCGAAAGGCGCGCAGACGCTGCGCACAATGTGACACGGGATATCGTGGATCTTGTGCAACAAGCGCGCTTAGCGGCAGCATGTCGTGGAACATTGGACGGATGGGCTCGCGGATGTCTGTGTTGTGAGAGCCCAAGGCAGACAGTTCTAATAAGTGTGCTGCATAATTCTTATGCTCACCTAGTGCACACCTGAAGCAAATAGGTCTGTACAGTGTAGCGGATACCCAAGCCATGAGGTGCGAGATGTCATACTCATGCCATCCTCGCATAGTTGACGATGCTCTTCTAGAGCCATGGCGCTTCTCCCAGCTTCATCACTTCACCATCCCATTTCCATCCCTTCAGCGTCTCGGCACCAATAGATCGTTTGTTCGCCAGTGCCTTATCTCTCAATGATTTCAGTCGTTCGTCGCTAGCTTCCAAGTCCTCGATTTGGTCTTCGCCTTTGCTCGCGAGCAGGTTCGTGGATCGAGATGAACGTCGGATGTGGTGCCAGACGCGCCGTGCATCGTCGTTTTTGGGTGATGGCGAGTCAATCCTTGTAGCTGTCATAAGAATTGGGGACTGCGACGTCTGTAATGGAGGATGGACATGCAGCAATGGTGACGGCATGGCCGAGCTCGACACTGTTCGTGAGTCACTTCCGGTGTTGCTATAGCGGCTATGTCCTTTGCGCCCAGAGCCATGAGAGCCTGACGACAAAGCAGTTGCCGGGCGCTCGCTCATACTCGACTTCGACTCATCAGCGGTCACAACCACCATTGGACATATTTCAACGACTACTTCGTTGTGGCCAGTGCCATTCTCATTAATTTCCGCAGCGATTAACCGTCGCATCTGTTGAAGTGGCTCCTCGCGCTCGAGCTCATTCGCGAGATGGCGATCAAGATACTCAAGAGCTCGCTCGGCTGGGTATGTGTCGGCGATGTATATCGCTAGCTTGGTGTGCGTCTGCTCCGACATCTCGATATCGCTGTAGGTTTCAATAACACTCCATCGTGATTCTGTTTGCGGTCTGGCCACTTTGGCAACCGATTTCACAGTCACTACATTGTCGTAGGGTAGCAGCGACGTTCTGTATCGTACCTCCACATGCAGCAAATCCGTAGTCAAAGTGCCTACTAGACTTTCCAGCTCGGTAAATAGAGAGTTCTGATCATCGTGATCCATCGGCGACTCGCGAGGTACAGCCTCGTATACCCGCACTTTGACAAACAAGCTGCACTTCTGTCCAATCTTGAGATCCTTCATACTTTTGTGGCCGATGACGTCGAGTATGGTACATCCTTGGACAGGCTTGTAACAGAGCCTCAGGCTGCTTATGCGTCCGGCGACAGAATCTGAAACATTCAAATCGTTATGCGGGATCTTCGAGTGCACTCCACTACCGCTGACAGAAGAAGAGTCATTGAATGCCTGAACAGAAGCCTCGATGGCAACCCAGACATCAGCTCGCAAGTTGCAGTCGACCGTCGCTTGTTCGAGAGTGATAGCTACGCTGACTGAAGGAACGATAATCCTTGTCTTTGCTGTCATGGGCAGTTTGCTAGACATTGGCCGCGGTGTCTGTTCCGATGCCTCAGCGAAGACATGTTGAGGTGAAGATGTATCGGAAGTGTACGGTGTTTGGGCCAGGGGGTTGTGGTTGTGGTGTTGTGTTGGTGTAGATGGACAGTCGACCATGAGCTCGCTGGTCGCAAGTGTGTAATCACTCAATGAGCGGCCAGCCATTGAGGCTTCCCTTGACAGCCCTTCAAAGTCGCACTCATCTATGCTGCGCACGCTATCTCTGCTAATTTCGAAGCTTTGAGCACGCCGTTCATTGTCACTACTATGCTTGCGTCGAGCAGATAGCCGCCGAATCAGACTGGGCTCGGCCTCAACCGCACGTACTGATAAGGAAGCTTTTGATCGATTGTTGATACCCTGTTTGACTTTCGAGAGCATACGCTGGCTTACGGACTTGTGTCTCTCGGCTTTGAGCAGAGGACGTAAGGCAGCGTGCGATAGCTCTATAGAAGTAGATGTACCTTGTTGGCAATTTTCCCCGTGCGGGATGAGCGATGCTCTCGACATCTCTGGCATGCTATTGGAGTCACTCTGATCGCCATAGACGCACGGTGGTGGTATATCTGGATAGCCAGCGTTTGCCCTGAGGTTCTCTCGAGTCTTGCGGACCTTGAGTGGCGTCTCTGGTCGCCCACATGCGGAGTGATCGCGCTGCCTGCTCAAAACAGGTTTGCTGTTTGGCGATATGGCGCGCAACGGAGGGGATGAAAACGCCGTTGTATGCCATGGCCGGAGGCCCACAGATATTGAAGATACATTAAGTGGAGTTGGTGGACAATTCTGTGCTTAGATTAGCTTGTCTCGTACAGAATACGTAGTTGTGCGGATTGAGCGACCTCCTTGTTGGCCATCATCTGCGAAGTGTGCATCAAAGTACGTGGCTAGGTGATATGCAGATTTGAGGTGAGCAAGTCTTCGAGAATCGTGAGGTATCGCTTCTCGGGAGCACTCTAGGTTGATGCTCAAGCCATGCCACTCAGCGACTCTTCTTCCATTCGCACAAAATTGATCTGGATCAGGTTCAGCAAAAGAAGCACTCATAAAACGACCAGATCGTAGAGGGGCGCACCATGCCGTTTCCATCTCCACTGTATAATGCATGCTCGGCAGTACTTGCAACAATACTTCTGGCAACTCGCTCCTCCCACACGCCCTGCCAATTCCACTCGCCAGGACGTCGCGCTCCTCCGGGTTGCTGTTGTCTGGTCGGACTACCTATACTGGAAGACCGATCGCTAGAGCCTTGTGACACCTGTGCACCACGGACCTTTGCGCGATAGCTTTGCCAGGCATGCCACGCTCCAGTATTCGCGGAGTCGCTGAGATCCACACTATCCACGACCTCTTCAGTATCGAAAGCCATGCGGATATATTGGAGCACTTCAGCCATATGAGGCATTCGCGATACACTTGGTTTGGAAGCTCCAGATCGTATTGGCGGAGCCCACTCAGGGAAGCCATGATGAAGGCTGAAACCACCAGGTGGCAAGCGCTCCTCATTTGCAGAGCTTATTGTATCGACACCTGCATCTCTTGTCGTGTGAGTGTATGTGGTCACCGGCGTCACAAGAGGATGGAAGACGTCGCTTTGGAAAGTCACAGTTGGTGGCCTGCTGGGATAATCCTCTGCAAACTGAACCTGAAATCGGAGCACAGCATTTGCGTATGGGCCTTTCCATTTCATCAGCACACATCATCCCAAAGACAGCCATTGCTACCAGCCTTTTTGTGGGAACAGTACTCCTGACCAGATCAAGGCTGCGTCGTGGACAGGAGTGACATACACGCCTTTTGGGCAACCATGCTTCAATGCCGCGCTTGCGAGGATGTTGTCAGCAGACGCAGCTTTTCTTGAGCGAGGGCGAGGCTCACAATTCGATGCACAACGCTTGCTGCACATATGCAGAAGACTTGATGGTCATGATCGCTAATCTTTGTGCTCTATCGCATCGACGTGAGGTTTGAGGCAGAGCGGTGGAATAAGGTGTGTACGGAGTCGATAGTGGGGCTGCTTCTAGCAAACCAGACAAAGACATTTCACTCACAACTTTGCATATTCCACTCTATCTGTTGTATAGCGTCGAAGCACTCCTCTACTAATGCTACAGTCGCTCTCTCATTGCTGCCACGCCATCAAACTCATTTGCCGCGTACACTTACCGAATTGGGACGCGCATTGCCAGTGTTTCGATCGAGATTACGACGGGCATAAAGTACATCCCAGACATCCTCGAACGATTGAACTCGCGTGAATGACGAGTACATAGTTCAAAATTCGGTGTGCTGCTACATTACATAGATGTGGAACTGCCGGTGCAAGCACGCCATCCAAAACCACATTTCCCTTTCGACGTCTCGACGCTGTCTCAAAGTCAACTTAGCCCGGATCTCCTAAGCCTTAAGCAGATCTTGGATCTTGGGCTGTGCCGTGGGTGTCGCCGTGGTAGGATTTATGTCATTGGACGAGGTGAAACATAGTCATGCACGATATCTGAAGCAGAAGCATGTAGGCCGAGAATTACATTCCAGACATATATAAAATCGGACGTCTAAAGCTCGTATGATTGGACAGATGTTGTATCTGGGCAGAGCTCGACGGATACGGACCCCTAAATGACAGCTCGTTGCTGCAAAGACAGGGAGGCAATTGACCTTTCGGTGGGCGGAGACCGGAATCAATATTTCTCCATTCTGAATTGGTTGTGTTGCGTGTGCTTTCCGTCTACCCCTGCTGCATGGTGACGAAGGATGACAAGCTCGTGATATCGTGAATCGTGATACATTGTAATTCCGGCACATACCTGCCGCCTCAGCGCCTTGGTTGTCGGACATTTCTTGATACTTTGGAGCAAATGCTCGGCATAGGCTACCAGATCCCCATCTGGCATGTCGATTTAGATGTCGTGGCGTTAGGACTTGTTTTTTGAGCACGCAGCCACTGCACATCGACCCGCATGCTCGGGTTTGCATCTGACCCATGTGACAGGAAGGCGCTGCAGGAAATGGAACGTAGAATGACGCTAGCGACGCTAGAAGGCGAAACGCACTACCTTCAGGGGCAGCGACAAATCATGGCGTCGAGTCGACTTCCGTCGCTGTGTGGCTTGGCTAGCGTCCATCGGCTCTGCAGATGGCACTGGCGTCGTCGCGTGGAAGGGCAAGGTCTTTATGCACGTCTCATGCAGCCAATGGAAAACGGCGTGCGAGGCTTGGACCTCACCGCCACGCCAAAGTCATGTATGCGCTTGCGATGAATGAGTCAACCTGAAAGGACGTGCATGGCATGCCGCGGGAGCAGCGATGGAGATGTCGACAGGGATTGGGCACCAGAAGGCAAATCGTCTCCTTTACGAACCCAGAGTCATGACCCGTGATTCTGTGAGTGACCGATGGTGGCGGATGCTGTAGCCGCGAAGCCGTTTGTGCCCACGTCAACCTTACTCAAACCCACCATGAGCTTCCGAAGCCGCCACCCTTGCAGCATTTCAGGAGTCGTTTTCACCGCTTGTTCGTGATGGCTCGCGGAGCGGCATATGTCATGGGTCGCGGGTGATCACACCTGTTGGCTCGTGGAGACGGATTCGCTGTCCAGCAAAATAATGGTAGGAGCCGCGCTTCCACGATCCTTGCGCAGTCGACGTGTCGCAAATCATGGCAGCAAGGCTACAGTGCGTGAGGTTTTGTAGGGCTGACGAAGGCGCGGCCGAGGGCGCATTGCTCGCCTCGACCAAGAGGCAAACGGCCGGCAATGTCTGGTTGGCGCCGGATGTCGTCCGAAGTGCCGCGGCGAATGAGATGCGAACCGAGACCCCGGAACCCAAGCCGTGGGTTAGGCCGCTGGATTATTTTGGAGTGCTTGGGTAGGCCTGTTCGCGAGGGCAGATCGGCCTGATGACATCGATGGAAGTTCGTTGCCGGTGCCTTCGCTTTTCACGTTTGGGACGGACTCTGACCACGCTTGTTGTACCGTCCCAATGGGCTGGCCTGCCTTCCATCGTCCGGGCGTCCCCTGCTGTGACCACTCGCCCACTCCTGTGCCCCCGGAACTTAGGCCTTCTGGAAAGTCAGGATGGTGGAGCAGCAACCTCGTCGTGGCACTTGACCGCAACGATCACTCCAAGCTTGTAATCAGCCATGGCCACTCCGGGGCGCAGGTGAGTTGTCAAACATATGTGACTTATCGATTTGCCTCGTGGGACCAGACTGTTCCTGTCCTTCTTTTCCCTCTCGTCACACTACTACTGCAACCACCCGTGCGTCTGCATTTGTTCTACAGCATTCACCTTTCACCACTTGTGCCACGCAACCAAAGCTATCCGTCCCACCGCCCTACTCACCTGCATCGCACACATCATCAAACGCCACCGCTTCGATCTTCTAAACACATATCATATCTCCGCGAAGTGCCTTGCTTGACCTCGAAACTCTGGATGCGCTGATCTACCGAGAACCGTTTCCTCCCTCCCTCCACCTACCGATATCGATCTCGAAACTCATCTCGGGCTGTCCTCAACTCACAGTCGTACAACCAATGGCACGAACAGGCGTCAAGGGCCAACATGACCCACAGGCGTTTCCAATCAAGCAGATGATGGTACTTGGTGAGTACACACGAGCACTGCATCGCATGACAAGACTGATCAATGTTTCAGGTCTGTGCCGGATATGTGAACCGATTGCGTTCATGTCAATCTTTCCCTACGTCTACTACATGATCGAATCTTTCCATATCACCCAGGACGACAAGCGAATTGCACTCTATGCAGGTCTGGTCACTTCGGCATTTGCACTTTGTGAATGCATAGCCGGACCATTCTGGGGTCGCCTGAGCGACAAGTATGGACGCAAACCAATCCTCCTCACTGGCATAGCAGGCACGGGCCTCAGTATGCTGGTGTTCGGCTTCGCCAAAAACTTCCAAACGGCTCTGATCGCTCGAGCTTTGGGTGGTCTGCTCAATGGCAACATCGGTGTCTTACAGACGACAGTCGCAGAGGTCATCACTGTGGAAGCACATCAGGCACGCGCTTACGCCATCATGCCATTTGTGTGGTGCCTAGGCAGCATCATTGGCTCGGCTTTGGGCGGCGCCTTAGCTGATCCAGTGCGCAACTATCCTAGCATGTTCACGAAAGGGACGATTCTCGAAGCCTACCCCTACCTCCTGACAAACCTGGTTTGCGCAAGTGTGGTGATTTTCAGCTTGATCATCGGCATGCTGTTCTTGGAAGAGACGCACGAGGACAAGAAAGAGCGGCGTGATCTTGGCAGAGAGCTTGGAGACCGCATGTTTGGACGATGCACAGCAAAGAGGGATCAGGATTACAGTGGAAAGGAGGGCTTCTCAGAGGAGACACATGTGCTCATGATGGACGAGGACCTCCCTCCGGACTATTGTAGCACAGCTTCCTCGCCAGTACTACCACCGACGATTGGGCTACCACCTCCATCATATCATTCTATCGAAGCAGACGCTACCAACACTGAGCTCGGTCGCATCAGTGAGGAAGTCCAGCCTATGGAGGTTGAGGAAGCATTGCTGCAACCTGAGCGCAACGCTAAGCGTGCTGCAAGTGTCACTGGCGCTTTTACAAAGCAAGTGGTTTTGAACATCATTGGGTTTGGCATACTGGCATAGTAAGCATATCAACGAGGTGAAGATTTATGCAGGGTCCTGCACAATGCTAATTCTGCCTTCAGCCACACCATATCCGCCGAGCAACTACTGCCAGTCCTCTTCAGCATGCCCGAGTCGGACACAGCACCATCTCTGCCATTCAAGTTCATCGGCGGCTTTGCGTTACCAACCAAGTTCATCGGTGCGATACTTGCCACACAAGGACTCATACAGATGGTCGCCACGATGCTGGTCTTCCCTGTCGTCAGCCGCAAACTCGGCAGTCTGGCGACCTACCGCCTGGTTGTGCTGTCGTACCCTCTCCTGTACCTCGTCGTCCCGTATCTGACTCTTCTACCTGAGAAGTACCGGATGATTGGTGTGTGGTTCGTGATCATCTGGAAGGTCACAGCGCAAGCGTTCGCCTTCCCATCGTCGAACATCATGCTGGCCAACTCGGCACCCTCAACAAAGGTGCTTGGCACACTCAATGGAGTGGCTTCCTCTGCTGCGAGTGGTATGCGGGCTTTCGGACCCACTGTCTCCGGACTACTGCAGTCTGCTGGACTATCATTTGGTGCGCTTGGCCTTCCCTGGTGGATGAACGCTCTCATTGCTTGCACTGGTGCAGTCGTCAGCATGTTCATGGTTGAGGAGCGGCGCCGAACCTTTGCCACGGAGAAGTCACAGGACGAGGACGAATCACGACCTTTACCATCAGCGCTGGACGCGAACGAAATGGACACTGCGCTAGTCGCTGCAGAATCTTTGAATGCTGCTTCGGAAAGCCATCTAGCTACACCCGGCTCACCTCTGTTGACCAGGATGAGCCTCGACCTGCGACGGAGCTCTCGTCGCGGCAGCCGACCGTTGATATAAAATGGACAGTCATACCGACACGTCGCACGAAATATAGATGAATCTTTGGGAGGCTACCTGGGCGTGCGATCTGCAGTCGTTTTACCAGCATGTTTTACACGGCGCTCTTACGGAATCGTGCTCACGCACACCAGGGCGTTTTACTGTTGCTCTCTTTGCTATTTCTGTTGCTGGGAGGCTGTTTGGGCGAATATTTGTTGAGCATTACTAGAAGGCGCACTCGATCCAATGATACCCTTGAGGAAGCGTCCGAGTAGCACGCTGGCTTTAGAGGCGAATGGAGTTGTTTAGACGAACTATTATGTACGATATGCTGTAGCGCTTTTGTCATCCCGATGCAATACTGTCCAGCCCAGGAAGCACGATGTGGCGAATTTAATCTTCACCCACGTTTGCTGATAAGCATTTCGCCCGTGATAGGTAGTGATTTCAGCCATTGACACCATTGTTCACTTGCACGGGATTGAGCCTCGTAGGTCTTGGCTAGCATCCACTTAAGGTATGGTACTCTGGCAAGATGTCATTGTAAGCTCCTTCGCTGCAAGACAATTCTATCGCATCTCGCCGACAACTGAAACATCTCGACTTCTCGGCATGCCTCGGCACGGATCACAGTCTCTGCCATGAGTCCTACATCGTCTACCAAGAAGCGGGAGCGTGAAGACGATTCTGTGGATGCTGTAGCCGGCGGTAACTCGACAAACAACTTCAGGAATGTGTCGGCATGTCATAGGTGCCGAAATAGAAAGAACAGATGCGATCAACAACTTCCGCGCTGCTCGAATTGCGAGAAAGCGAATGTGAAATGCGTGGGCTTCGATCCGGTCAGCAAGCGAGCTATACCGAGGAACTACGTGTACTATTTAGAGAGCCGAGTAGAGAACTTGGAAGCTCTTCTACGAGCCAATGGCATACAGTGTCCGCCACCATCAGACGACTTCCCAATTGATGGATCAGTCAAGCCTGGTATCAATGTGCCATATCCTCCTCAGGAAGACACTGGAAAGCTGGCGAACGACTCCAATGAAGACGATGCCAATGTCGATCCGGCGTTGCAAGACCACAATGACTTCCAGAAGCTGGACAAAGTGGTCAACAACGTCGGCTTGGTATCCGTTCAAGGGCCGGCAGATCATCGCAGAAGCTCGCACACGAGCGGTATCCCATTCTCCAGGGTAGTCTATGCCGCTGTGAAGAGCTCGGTCACGCCTACACCATCCGAACGAGCGGCCACGAGATCTACGAAACAGCTACCGAGCTCTACAGCTTCTGGAGGTGGCGGGTCGGACTCGTTCTTCGGGTTGAACACCAAGCCTACGGTCAAAGCAGCACCTTTCCCAGAGAAGCATATCGGCCTTCGACTGGTCGAGCTGTACTTCGAGCATGCCAACCCGCAAATACCTGTCCTTCATCGAGGAGAGTTCAACGTCCTGGTAGAGCGGGTGTATGCTGCTGAGCCCAAACGACGACGGCCTAGGGAGCTGTACCTGCTGAATATAGTGTTTGCCATTGGAGCGGGGATCATTATGGGCCATACCGATACTGAACCCACCAGCGCTCCTGCCGACAGTAGTAAAGACGACCAGAATGCACTGCCGAATCGCAAGCGGCAAAGAGTGGCCAGCCAGCAACATCAGCCAGAAGAGTACCATTCTGCAGCAATTGTTCACCTGGATAGTTTTCTTGGCTCTAGTCCCGCTGCCGAGGGTGCTTCGGCTGGTCTGGAGGAGCTTCAGGCTGTGCTATTGCTGGCAGGACTGGCGCTGCTACGACCCGTTGCACCGGGCTTATGGTACATCATCGGTGTCGCAGTACGACTTGCCATAGACCTCGGCCTACACATCGAAGACTTGGAGAGTGAGCTCGACACACAACCGGCAGCGTCGGAGGACGAGTCTTTCACACTGCTAGGTCGTCGGCAGTGGGTGCGTGATTTCCGTCGCCGACTGTGGTGGTGTACATACTCTTTCGACCGACTTGTCTCCACTTGTGTTGGTCGACCGTTCGGTGTTAGCGATCAGGTCGTTACCACAGAGTTCCCAAGTCTATTGGACGACAAATTTATCAAGCCCAATGGATTTCTACGGCCATCGAACGAGCTTGAACTGCCTACGTACAAGCTAGTGGCTCACCACTACTTTAGGCTGCGGCTATTGCAATCTGAGATCCTACAAGTCCTTCAGTATCGGCAGAGTCAACAGACGCGAGCTCTAGGTGTGAACAGCGGTAACCAGTACATGCACACAGCATTGCCTTCTCCATTCTTGAGTCGCTACCGCTCGTTCCGCGACTGGCGGATAGACATAGATCGGAGGCTACTCGACTGGAAAGAGACGGCGCCAGAGCAGTCCATAACAGGAGTGAAATTCACACCACTCTTTCTCGAGCTCAACTACTGGCAGGCCGTTATTATGCTCTATCGGCAGTCACTTACGGTCCCCGAGCCACTCGCTGGTGAGCTAAGCCCGTCAACTGGCGGCGAAGTCCAAAGTCCTGGTGCTGCAAGTCTTGAGTCAGACGAGGATGAAGAGGTGGTATTCATGAAGGTCGCACAAGCTGGTCAGACGGTCCTGAAGATCTATCGACAGCTGCATAGGCTTAAGTTGGTCAATTATACCTTCCTGGCGACACATCATTTGTTCATGAGTGGTAAGTATATTCTCCGATCACAGTGTCTCGACTTTGCTAATGTCTACTAGGCATATCTTTCCTCTACGCTATATGGCATTCAATCACCGTGCGCTCACAACTCACGCTGGACGATGTCGACTTCACTATACTGATAGCAACATCTGTATTGACCGACCTGATCGACAAATGTCCACCAGCGGAAGCTTGCAGAGACGCCTTCACGAGAATGAGCAAAGCCACAATCAGCATGGTCATGAGTACGACAGGCTTCGGCAATGCCTCGACTCTAGGATCACAGCCGCTGAATAGTCCAGGCGGTTATATCAGAATTTCGGACCTAGCACCACAAGTCATGAGTACGAACACTACACGACACCAACCACATCGAGCCAAACCGCCAATGCCGCAATTCGATATGGATCTCAAGTCACTGTTCTCCGACGATGAATTAGCCAATCGTGCACCAGTATATCGACCGAACATGCCAGCTTTTGATGGATCAGCCTTCAACTTGGCTTCCGACCAGCACATGTCGCCTTTGCTTCCCACAGCATCAATGGCGCCTCCCGAGCTACGAACAGAGACATCATCTCATACTGCAGCAACACCCGACAGCAGCACGGGTGCCTCGCAGTATAGTATGCAACCATCACGACAATCTCTGACCTTACCCTTTCAAATCACGAACCAACAACCCTACCACGGCCTGGCAGAGACAATCACGCAATCGCAACCAGAGTATTCCTTCGATGACCTTAGTTTCCTTGACTCCTTCCCTGTGACTGATCCGAGCGGAATATGGCATCCACCGACCGACTTCGATCTAGGGTTTGGCACGGGTGGGACAGGGCAGGAGAGTAATGGGATGTGGGATGCGAATGGTCCACCGGATCTATTCGATGGATTCTTCTTTGGGTAGCACAGAGGTGATAGAGGCAAGATCGAATATGTAGATCGTGCATCATGAAACCATTATCTATCTAAATTATCTGCATTGACTAAACAAGCATCTCGAGATCCCCTTCATGTCCAGAATGTGGTTGTGTAGTCCACATGCCACCAGTACCAGCAGGTTTGATCCTATCCGTCATTTTGGTCTCAAACAACAGCCCAGCATGATCCATACGGTCGAGCTTGGACAATCGGTCTATGGTCTCCTGATCCGGCAACTTCCCACCTTGAGCGTCCAGAGAGGATAGAAGATTGATATCCTGCTTCGCCTGCTCAAGCTCCGCTAATCTTCTCCGTCTCATCCAGCCCGGAGCTTCGATATCGTCGGGTGTCAGATCCGAGTGAAGCGTGAAGTCGCCACGTAATGCTGACGCGATACCCGATGCCCAGCGTAGACCGACGGAGTTGGAGATGTAGTCTAGCCGACTCAGTAGCCATGCTGCTTGTGCAGCAGCAGCCGATTGTGGAGACTGCTTGATCACTTCTTCTGGCGACTGATTGAAAGATTCCCACTGCGTGTGTCCGAGCCTCTCCAGTGCGCAAGTGCCGGCAAAGAAGATGGGCCAGATGGCTGCGTATGCGGACATAAGTGCGGACGAAGGCATCTGCTCTGCTTTCGTATGGCCGAGTTGATGTGGCACACCAGCACAGATCTCGTCTGTCATCTGGCGTCGTACCTTCCGAAAGTAGATTGTCTGTTCTGCTCGCTCTGCAGGCGTAAATTCAAATCGTTTGCAAAGCCATTCTTGAGATCGTGTAACGAGGATGCGGATACTCCTGAATGTGTTCCAGACCTGTGGAGCTGGCGGACCTTGGAACTCATGCACGATCCCGTTCCAAATGTTCGGACTATCTGGCACTTCAATGGCCTTCCATGCCCATACTCCACCCGCGGCTAGGGTATCTTCACTCCACTGCATCATCCGTCGGTCAATCTCGTTACACGCTGCGAGTGCTTCAGAATCGGTCATAGTTTTCCGCTCGATCCTGGCACGAACTCTAGCGAAGTCGAAGCAGATTTCTGTCAGGGAATCGGCGGGCCCAGAGAAATACTTTTCCGGACTCAGTGCTTCGAGTTGCGGCTGCCAATCCCACATGAAGGCAGGCGGCTCCAGATCATCCCAGATACAAGTGATGAGAATTTGCGCTCTCGTTTCTCGGAAGAGGATGCGACCAACAAGAGTGTTGAATTGTTCTGGTCCTCGTAACCTTAGCAGCGAAGTGGCGCCGGCGATGTGAGCTTTCCAACTTTGTATGCTCTCCTTCGAATCGCACACGAGGTTCTCGTAATAGCCTAACATAGCTACTGCAAGAAGCGATTCATCTGATTTCGAGCGTTTTGGGTCGCGTAGAGCAGAATTGAGAAGGCCGAGAGCTTCGACATACATCCCGCGGGCATACTCTGGTCCTATACTGATATGTTCGACATTTGTCAGAGCAGCCATGCCGCAGGCACGAATTGCGAGGTTCAGACATGGATCAAGTTTTGATTTCGCTTGAAAGAGTTTGAGAAAGTCCCAATGACCTTGCGCGGTGAAAGTGGTGAAGAAGTGTGTCGTCGCTACATCGTCGGCTGTGGGTCTGATGGCGAATGGTATTCGTGGTGAGGCTGTCACCAGAGCAAGACTCTCCAGGTCTTGTGGATCGAAAAGTGCTGGATCTAAAAGGTCCAGGTCGAGGTCAAAGTTATGTGGCGGCAGCTCAAAAATATCGTCGTCTCCAGAAGAGGAGTCCGACGTTGTCAGTGCTGGTGTCGGGATGCTAGCAAGCATTCCATCGTCAAAGGCCAGTGGTTGTGGCGTAGGTATTGCTGCTGGTTGTCGTGCCTTTGGCTTAGTTGCTCTCCTTCGTACTGCTTCGCTCTCGTCCTGGATCTGGAGCGCTCTTGTATCTCGGTAACCAGAACAGTCCTTTCGCAGCTTGACGCATCGTGCGCATGATGGCTGTTCGAGAGTACACCGCTTCTTGGCTTTACGACAATTCTCGCAGCCTGCACTTGGCTTGCCACGATAGACCATTACTGTAGACTAGTATGGCCTTCTCTGTAGTGTTCGTGGTAGATTGATCTAAACGGGATATCTACCTCGACAGGAGTTCCTGATAGTGGTGAGCCAAGAGGATGTCACGGATGCTGAATTGATATATGTTGTTCTGCGCCCTAGAGTCGATGAATTTAGTCTGATGATCAGCACAGCTCGTACCGCCCTAAAACATGCTGTACAAGCCTTTGCAGATCTCATCGACTGACTGAGTGGTCAAGTTATGTAAGGTAGGCACAGCGAGCGCAACCATTGCCGTATTGGGACGCCAGCACAGCCGCACAGCAAAGTCCCCCGGGCTTCGCCATGGCCGTAATCGGGGATGCCCATCAGGACTCCCCAACACGTGTCTCGATAGCTGACCGAATCATACTGTTGAATGTATCTCACGCTGATGAGGCATGATATTACGTTGTTGGCTAGATGCAAAACTGCAGATGTCTCTGCCGTAAAGTGAAGGCCGACGCGAAAGCGCTAGTGGTCTTTAGCGCAAGGGACCTCCCGTATCGACGCCAAGACGTGCACCCACAGATTCATGAAATTTGAGGTTTCGAGATTGAAGAACACCGCAGGATAGAAGAGCCGTTGCGCCAACACACGACAAGGTACGAAGCATACGGTGATGGAGACGACACTGCAGCCAGGAGCCATCATAAGAAGGATGCCGTGGCGCAGTGACGGACTCCATCACCTCCCGGCGACAAACTCCCGCAGAGGTCGTACAACTGCTAACACATTGGTCGTCACAGATGGGTGCACACAAATACCTCGAGGAACTTCAGAAGAAGAAGCAGAGCGATGTCATGCGCTTCTTGCTGCGTGTGCGCTGCTGGGAGGTACGCCAAACCGCACCCACATGAGCAACATATGGCATATTCAGACCAAGTCTTCCATGGCGAGGTCGAATCACTGCTTGTGTCTTGATTGTACTCGTTGAACATTTGCTGAGAGTACATCAATTAGCTCCGCCAATTGAACGTCATCCACCGCGCCTCTCGCCCATCCCGCCCCGACAAGGCCCGCCGCCTGGGTTACAAGGCCAAGCAGGGCTATGTCATCTACCGTGTGCGTGTGCGCCGTGGAGGCAGGAAGAAGCCTGTGCCCAAGGGTGCTACATACGGTATGGTCAACAAGAACACGAGCAATGAGACAGTAGACTGATAACACATACAGGCAAGCCCACCAACCAGGGTGTGAACCAGCTCAAGTACCAGAAGTCCCTCAAGAACACCGCCGAGGAGCGTGTCGGCCGCCGCTGCGCCAACTTGCGCGTGCTCAACAGCTACTGGATCAACCAGGACAGCACATACAAGTATTATGAAATTATCCTGGTCGACCCCATGCACAAGGCCATCCGCCGCGATTCCCGCATCAACTGGATCGTCAACCCCGTTCACAAGCACCGTGAGCAGCGCGGTCTCACTGCCACTGGCAAGAAGAGCAGAGGTCTCAACAAGGGTCACCGCTACAACAACACCCGCAGCGGAAGGAGGCACACCTGGAAGAGGCAGAACACCCTCAGCTTGTGGCGATACAGGTAGATGGCCCGATAATGTCTCGCGTGCGTGGAGTCAGTTTCGGGCTGCTTTGCGGATTGCTGGGTGCATGGAACGTGGTTCGTTATGGCTGAGATGTGCAACAGCCTTGACAAAGTCATAGCTGCGAATATCATGAATGAGAATACCTCTCACTCTGACTCATCCTGCTCGATGTGCACCCGAAGTCCTCCGAGACAGTCTCCCCATCTTAGTGGTATGGCGCACTGCAGGAACCCGTCTTTCGTGCTCACTGCAGCTGTGATGCTTTGTTCCACCGACCACGTTTCTGGCTCGTGGCAGTGCTGTAGCTGGAATACGACCTAACCTTGTAGTTGCCGTTCCTCTAGATTATAACTGTCGTTCATTATCGGCAATCAGTGCCGTGCCCAGAGGCCCACCCGTGGCTTGCGCAAGATCCCCTCTTGTACGACGATGCTCTTGGCGGGCCATCCAGCGACCAAATCGGTCATCACAAGTCCATCACCATGTAAAGTCGTCCTTGAGTGGGGTGAATCCGCGAGCCCGATGCTACTCTGCTTGCTTTGCTATAAATACTGGAACACGAGGCGTGTTTCTGTTTCGAGTTCCCCGTAAGCGAAGAAGGTACTGATCTGCACCGCGTGGACTTTGTCCCTATAGCTCTTGACTTCGGCCGAGGGAAGCTTCTCTCGTGCTGCGCCTACTTTACTTCCTGGTTGCAGTAGCCGTGCTATGTTGACTGCAGGTTGCACGTGCTATCTATGCTGGTGAAGATCTGTACAGCTTCATACATGAACTTGGGGTCGCCACAATCCGAAAAGCTGGCGCAAATGAGCGGCACTTCTGATGGCTCCGTCTTGGTCGACTCGCTTGCTCTCGGGAGGCTCCTCCAGCAGCAGTTCACAGTCCCGAAACAATACCGCTGAATCTCCTCGGACCAATAAACCACTGCCTCGACAACCCCCACTGCAATCTATCGCGTTCGATCCTCCGCCTACGTTACATCATGAGAGGGCCCAGGCAACACCACCTAGACCACAGACTTCTGGAGGAGCAAGGCAGCATCAGCATAATCGTTCCGTGAGCCATCCACTGCCTAAGATCTTCTCGCGCAAGAAGAGTGGGAGGGATCTTGCAGGTGGTTATAATAACACCGATGTGCCTCTCGGCTCGAACGACCTAGTACCTGTTCTGGCTGAACCGGCTGCAGTACCCTCTCGCGTGATCAGCGGCAAACGAGGTGGTAAACCAGAGGACGAGAACAAGATTACGAGGAATTGCATGTGCTGTGACAGCAGGCTGAGCGTACCCAAAGAGCTGGAGAAGTTCAGGTGTCAGGTTTGCACTACGGTCAATGATATCAAGCCTGTGGCTGAGCAGAAGGATGGGAGGCCAGAGCTTGAGAAGCAAACAGGCGCCTTTCCGCACGGCATCAAGGGACCGCTGTCTGTGGAGAGGACGAGGGCGATTGTCGACAAGTGTGTAGTTACATATCTGGAAGCGAGGTGTAGGCGGCAGGAACAGAATGGACCGAATGCTGCACAGAGAGCTGCCTCTGCCAGTGCAAGGCCGCCCGTCAAGCATGCAGCCACAGATCCTATACCAATCAAGATGCGGGATGGGAAGCAGCTGATCGATGCTCCGCTTTCGAGTTCACCACCAGACGAGGCAAAAGTGGATGAGGTTGTGCATCACAGCGCCACTATCACCGACGTGCGAGAGCTCGATCCATTTGCATTGATGCCTGCTGATCCGCCTCTCACGCAACCCGAACCACTGCCAGCTTCGACAATAACGCAGCCGATGCCAGCAAGACCTACCCGCAGACCACCTCCTGCCCCTATCAACCTTGGACAACAACGATCGCAGTCCCACAGTCTACAGCCAAACCATGGAAGCCCGAATCAAAGTGGTGCTCTGTCGCCACGCTTGCCTCTCAGTCCACGAATGCCATCAGCAGAAATGAAAGCTCGAGAGCGATATGAACGAGCGAGGATGATTTTCCGTCCTCTCGAGGACTACATAGTCGCAGCATTTGGTGACTTTCATCTCCTCAATGGCTCTTTCAGCACCACGCGACCAGTAATACAGGGCCGCACAAGGAGCGAAAGCAGCATCAAGAGCTCAGCACCGGCGCCCGAGCCTACGGTCAGTAGACCAGCTGAGATACTAGACGAGTTCTCCGAATTCGATGCAAAGACACTATTGTTAGGTGACCTTGGCGAGAACAGCTCCTGGTGGGTGGGTAAGCTAGACAGAATGAAGTCGGACAAAGCTACGAAGCGCAAGAAGGTACCAGATGGCACGCGGCGACCGATCAACTCGAAGTCGCCGAACATCAACTGGGCGGAAGTTGACAAGTGGTATGCTATCGTGCAAAGCGCTGGCGAAGACTGGCGTGCCAAGATCACTCAGATCAAGTCGGACGAGCCTGACTTCACTCTTGCAAATGTACAAGGCTTCAACAACATCGAGGACATCAATGATGATCTTGAAGAGGCACGACAGCATGCTATCAGGACTTTATTCAAGGTCACTGAGAATGTGCTCAAGCGTCCGACACAGCCGTTAAAGGAGGCAGAACATCTTCGCTTCCTACTCATCATCCTTGCCAATCCTCTGCTATACCCCTCTTCACGGCGACCAATGCGCTCAGTATCTGGCGGTTCAATGTTGAGGCCCAATCGTGCTGCCTCTGACAGACGAAACGGCGCTCCGCCAGAAAGCGGCCAACCAGCCTCACCGAGAAGGTCTCTCAGCACAGCCAGCGGTCCACAGCACACCGGCATCCTTAAGCGCGTCTTCGGTCTGCTGGCCAATTCCTCCGAATCCTGCCATCGATACCTCATTGGCTGGTTCTCGCGATACGATCAACCTCACTTTGAGAAAGTGGTCGAGCTAGTCGCAAGTTTTGTCACTCATCGCATCACTCGCCGCCCGGGTAGGCCCCGGAGTAAAAGTGGTATCGATGACGGTGGTTTAATCCCTGATCTTTCCGGCTCAGCAGCAAATACGTCGGCACAACTGCATTCAGCCATGGGTCTCAGCGGATCTGTCAAGAAGCAGCCGGACAACGCGAATGGTGAGACTGAGTGGGCGAACGATTGGCAGATCAAGGCTGCTGCAAAGTTGATGTCTTTGCTGTTCGCCGCCAACAACGTCTGGCAAGGCAAGCGGCGGGAGAGCAACTCTTCGCGTTCCGATTCGGGTGTCATGCTCGGCTCTGGCTCGCCAGCTGCGAAGGCTACGCGTAGTGGGCAGCTGATGCATACGTCGCAGTTCTACAACTTGATGCTGGACTATCATGACCTTATCGTGGACTTCAAGGTCTGGGAGTCAAGGCGGGACAAGTTTGCGTTTTGCCAGTATCCGCTCTTCCTCAGCATGGGCACGAAGATCAAGATCCTGGAATACGATGCCCGTCGACAAATGGAGATCAAAGCTCGTGAAGCTTACTTCGACTCTGTGATTCGTCAGCGTGCTCTTGAGCAGTATCTTCATCTCCGTGTAAGGCGAGACTGTATGGTCGACGATAGTCTGCGCCAGATTAGCGAAGCTGTCGGTCAAGGCTCCGAGGAGCTGAAGAAGGGATTACGAATCCAGTTTGTGGGTGAAGATGGCGTTGATGCTGGAGGCTTGCGGAAAGAGTGGTTCCTGATGCTCATCCGCGACATCTTCGACCCGAATCATGGCATGTTCGTTTACGACGACGACTCGCATACCTGCTACTTCAACGCGAACTCATTCGAAACCTCGGATCAGTATCATCTTGTTGGTGCGCTGCTAGGGTTGGCGATCTACAATAGCACGATCTTGGATGTGGCGCTCCCGCCCTTCGCATTCAGGAAGCTGCTGGCTGCCGCACCTTCTTCGTCTGCGAATGGCAATGTTTCTAGCATTACTGGCACAAAAGGGCAGATGACGTACACTGTGGCTGATCTAGCAGAGTTCCGGCCCTCGCTGGCAGCTGGTCTGCAGCAACTCCTCGACTTCGACGGCGATGTCGAAACGACTTACTGCTGGAACTTTGTGGCGCCAGTTGATCGCTACGGTGTTGTGGCTGAAGTCCCACTCATACCCAATGGTGAAGGCACCCCGGTCACTAATGCCAACCGGCACGAGTTCGTGGAGGCGTATATCCGCTATTTGCTCGACACATCCGTAACGAGGCAGTTCGAGCCTTTCAAGCGGGGCTTCTTTACTGTCTGCGCTGGCAACGCACTCTCACTCTTTCGTGCAGAGGAGATCGAGCTCCTGGTCCGAGGTAGTGACGAACAGCTTGATGTCGACTCCCTACGCGCGGTAGCCGTGTACGAGAACTGGAAGCATCACCATGAACCTCACACCATACTTCCGAACCCTTCCGAGACTGTTCCGATCATCGCTTGGTTCTGGGAGCTCTTCGCCCAGGCTGATCCCGCGAAGCAGCGGAGCCTGCTCACTTTCATCACCGGTTCTGACCGCATTCCAGCAGTCGGGGCCACGAGTCTGGTCTTGCGGATCGTTGCCGGCGGCGATGGTTGGGGCGGAGGAGGCGAGGAGGAGAGGCAGCGCTTCCCTGTCGCTAGGACCTGTTTCAATATGCTTGTACTGTGGCGGTACGATACTAAAGAGGCTTTGGAGTACAAGCTCTGGCGAGCTGTGGAGGAAAGCGAAGGCTTCGGGTTGAAGTAGGAGATCGTATGGCATGATGATCTCCTTGTGTACATTTGTATTAGCGATGGCGCTGGTGTGATAGAAGGGAAGCATAATTTTGGAGAAAGTATTCACGGCCATTAGAGTCTTTGTTTGGATAGGATGGGAACCTATGAGTGTCCATGATATATGTATCTGACCTAGTCTACCATGAGTTCAGGCGCTGTTGTCACTGTCAGGCTCTGAGATGCCGCCCTAATCGTACAATTTCCGAGAACCTGGGTCCTCACAGTGTTCTTAAAACCTCACGCTGCTCTGATGTTGGGATTGGACAAGGGTGGTTTGCCACCATCTCCAGTACGTGAGCATGCCAATAGCTCAGTGGCCGTCGTCTTACCAATGCTGAGTTCTTGATTTGGACGGGATTCATCCACCCACCATCCCTCATCGTCCACCGGTAACATCAACAATAGTCCCCGTAACATAACTCGCCTTTCCCCCAAGCAACCACACAATCGCCTCCCCCACCTCCTCCGCACTCCCCGGCCTCCCCATTGGCGCCAACCCCCCCAACCTCTCAAGCCGTCCCGCATCACCCCCCGAAGCATGAATCTCCGTATCAATAATCCCGGGCCTCACAGCATTAACCCTCACATTCTTGGGTCCGAGTTCCTTACTCAACCCAACGGTCAAGGTATCCATCGCCCCCTTCGAACCGGCATAATCCACAAACTCGTTCGGAGAGCCCAGACGAGCGGCGGCGGAGGAAACGATGACGATACTTGCCGTCTTCTCCCTGGTAGCGGCGGCGGGGAGACGACGAGCAGATTCCCGGGCACAGAGGTAGGAGCCCAGAACATTCGTGTCGAAGATAGATTTCAATCTCTCCACTGGCATGTCGGCCAGAGGCATACTTTTCGCTGTGATCCCCGCGTTTATAACCACGCCATTAAGAGGGCCGAAATGCTTTTCCACGGTATCGAACATATTGATGACATCTTGTTCTCGTGAGACGTCGCCTTGGATTGCTAAGGCTTTGCCACCTGCCTTTTCGACTTCCGATACAGTTGTTCTCGCTGCTTCGGCGTTGGAGGCATAGTTGACACCTACATTCCATCCTCGTGCTCCTGCGAGTTTGGCAGCGGCTCGTCCGATGCCACGGCTGGCTCCTGTTATTAGGACGTTCATTGGTTGGTCTGTCATATCGAGTGGTCTTGGTTTGAAAGGTCGAAGTGAGGTCAATGAAAAGTCATTGTCAACCAGTATATCACCTCGGCCTGCTTTGACCCGGAGCAGCCTATGTCAAAGTTATTCTAGGTCGCGGAGTCTGTCGAAAGTGGGCGACCGCACCATTGGCATGTATGACCGAGCTTCTATGCTGCTGCTGTCATGGAACGGACGGGTGCGGAGAGCTGCAGAGGTCTGCAGCCGATCAAAGTGGCTGCAGACTTCCTTACAAGGAGCAAATATCACCGCTACGCCGGCAAAAGATTGTAACACGAATGAGAGAACAGAAGCGCACAAATGTGTCTCGCGGCGAGAAAGGAGAGAGAAAGAACAGCGAGGTCACAAGCCAGAAGTTCTTGTTGGTATCTAAACACCTGCACAATCTGTGGAACCCAAACGCCTACCCCAACGCAATGCACTCAAAAGACACTGATATAGTTCCCGATCCTATCCTTCTGGTTCTGCGCAATACACTCAGAGATCCAAGTGATATTCCGCACCTCCTACAGTCCCATCAAGGTCAGCCAAAAGAATCTCGCAAACACGCCCCTCATGAATTGGGAAGAAAACTCACCTGCTCCCTCAACTTGACCCAAGCATAAACAATAGCATGGGTAAACTGAAACGTAAACGCCAGCTTACTCAACATCATCTCCTTCTCATAGAACAGATCCTCCAAACTCTTGCCCTCATCCCCTCCAACCCCACCACTCTGATTCCCGATCCCACCCCCACCGCCACCCATCCCTGTCTGATCCATCATCTCTCGATAATCCGACACCCCATCGACGGCGATCCGCACGCCTTCGGGATCCTCGGCCCGCGAAAGCATGAGCGTGCCTTCCGGGTGCAAGCGGCCGAAGTTGGGGTAGAGTTTCTTGCGGTCTTGCTTCGTGAGTTCGGTGCCGAAGGAGTTGAGGGTGATGTTGATGCTGCGGCGGTCGGCTTCGAATTCCAGGGCTTCGGTCATGACTTGTTGGGTTGGTGTGCCTTTGATGCCGGGCTCCTCGTTCACGAAGCGGTGGAAGTCTTCCAGGTAGTTTTTGTAAAGGGTGTTGCGGATGATTTCGATGTTCATTTCATCTAGATCCTGGTGGCTTAGGCTGCCTTTAAAGTAGGGTGCCAGTGGTGTTTCGATCAGGACGCTGTTGTATAATTCCTCGATGTTGGTCGCCACGCAGAGGACAGGCATTGTTTCGAACCATCCCAGAGGATGACAGCGCTCTAGTAGTTCCCGTGTGTCTCGCTCGTGTAGGGTGCCGGTGATGAGGAGGGCGACATTGTCGATCATGTAGGCGTAGGTCAGGTAGTCCATGAATTTCGCTAGGCTGCCTGTGGCGTTGGCCTGGATATAGCGGAATTCTGCGACCATTTTGTCCAGGGTCTTGTCGGCGAGGGAGGAGGTGGATGGGTTCGGAGGGAGGGCGGCGAGGAAGTCACCGTACGCTGGACCGAGTTGGAGTTTGACATCTGCGCATGTCTTGTCAGTGGATGCCTACCAAGTATGATGCTTGTTACACGGGCGCACCGTCTATCGTCTCGCATTGTGTCAAGTTGCCGTAGTTCTGTGATGTGAGCAGCGCGTTCCTGTAGCCTCGAACGATGCCTTCAACGTAGCCGTTCGAGACGTTGTAGAACCTGCCATGCGATCAGCGCCTCTTCCTGGACTTGGACCGGCATCTGAATACCTACATGCCTTCCGCCATGGCGGGCGATCAGATAGAATAGATGTACCGGCGGTACTGAGGGTTGGGTGTAGTATAAGGCGTCGATATACAATGAAGATGTTGCTGTAGCTGCTTGGTGAAGCTCAAGATCGGTGGTCGGCAAAAGCACATGCAGCTTGCCACGCTTCATCAATTGTGGCGTCACTATATCGAACATGATCACCTCTCCTTCTATCTCTACAACCATCGTCATTTCATAGGGATAATAGACCCAGACTCCACTCCAAAGCATGCGACATGGTATGATCGTGATAGGGGACGTACGAGAGATGGTGGTATCTCGCAGGCTAAAGCTACAAGTACAGTACGTGCATAATCGGCATCATGAAGGCCTGCTCACGCGAAGAGCATGCTATATCGTGATGATGATAAGATGAGCAGCACGCAGAGCGCAAGCTGCAGCCACTCTCCCCATACCCAACGCCATCGCTTCGCAAAAGCGTAACAACATCAACGTTCATGACACAGCATGTGGAAGCCAGCCATCCAGCTAGTCAAGCTCCATCGAATGCGCAGCACATATGCCATTCGGCTCCGAGGCTGCAACCGCCGACTCATCAGCCATTCCATCTCGGACACCATTCGATAGGTGCAAGTTCCGCATCGCAGCCGCTGAATTTTGAACCATGTTCTGCTCAATCTGTGCCGCCACAACCGGATCCTCTACAGCCCGGATATGACCTCCTGGAGCAGCCAGATGCAAAGCAGGCAGAAGCTTCAACCGCGGCATGAGCTGTGCCGGCTCCGTCGTAACGAGTCTCGCCTCCGTCAGCTCATGCGAGAAGATGTAGAAGCCCTGTTGACTGCTATAGGTATTCCTCGCCTCGACCAGATAGCCTGGTAATGCGCTGTTTTCGAACCACACCACGACGCCAATCAAGCTCGGGTAGTGGTTCTGGATCCACTTCGAGTACGCCGCCTTGTTGATCTGCAGCGCCTCAGTCGAATCCATGCGTGCCCAGCTTATACCAAGCACCCTCGTCGCCTCGTCAATCAGCGGCTCGGCAGTCGCTTCTCGCATCTGCGGTGGCATGACTAGTTGTCCTAGGATGTCGTCGGAGGCAGACGAGCTCACATCTTTACGCTGAGACTTGCGACTTGACACAGAAGGCCGCTTCACATGCCTGAGATTGAACGGGGGACGCGCTGCTTGTTCTTCGGCCCAGGCATCCGAATGCATGGCGACAGCCGTTGCGTCCTCGCCTGAGCCGTCTAGAGCTGTGCTGACCGAGCCATCGCCAATCTCCACTTCCTCCTCCTCATCCTCGAAGACATTACCTCGCGATCTTTTTCGACCTGCGAGCGAGCCTGGCGTAGGTGGTATCGAAGCATTGGGTGTGAACGGCATGCTACCAGTGGTGCGATCGCCATTGGCTGGTGCGCCAGCATAATGCGCATTCGCAAAGTACGTATCTGGCTGGTTCCTGCGTATCGCGCCTATAGGCGGAGAAGCGAAGAAGCTGTTCGACATAGCCATGGCGGTATACGGTGGTGGTGGAGGATCTGTGTCAGTAGGTGGAGTCAACAGCGGCCAATGCTTGCCTGTTTCGCGCGCGAGCTCAGCAATATGCTGCTTCAATGCCTGCGAGCCTCCTATGCTGGCCGGAATAGAAGAGCCTCGAGGTCTGGTGACGCGAATGGTGATGTTGAAGACGCTTGATCTTGGGAACTCGCAAGTGATGACCATGCAGTCTGGTTGTCGCTATTGTTGTAGAAAGGATGTCGCATATGGCTGGGAGATCGAGAGCGATACTGAGGATTTTGGATATAATGGTAGAGTGAAGTGAGGTCAAGGTACGAAGTTCACTCCACTACACTTCGCGACGCGCAATGGAAAGTGGTTTGTACAGAGGAGAGTATAAGAGCGAACCAGGCCCGGATTCTGGTGCTGGCTGCCCTTTCCCCACACGGCAATCCATGCAGGGCCACGGCGATCGTCGACTGACGTGCATTGCCGAATGGAATGATCGACGAGTTTTAGTGAGGTGTGTGCAAGAAAGTGAGCTGTTCTCTTTGCGTGGTCGCATGGACTACAACATTCTCCGCACGATGTGCATGAACTGGAATCGCTGTATTTGCCCTTCAAAGCACACAAGCATGGAGAACGACAGAGTACTTGTACCTGGCGGCCCGTTCAAGGCGCGAGCCGATAGCATGATTCGAGCACGAGACAATATACTAAGAAATCGCCGCTTCAGAAGCGTCTCTCGTCAAAGCTACACAATCTCTCTTGACCTCATCGTTCGAAATATAGACATTTTGCCGCCGCTACAGGCAAGTGCTCGCGACCAGCCTCGTGCGAGCATTCGAAAGGCCATAGTGTGAAGACACGTGGGAGCGAAGGAGAGGTTTAATCGAGCAAGCACTGAAATCCATGCTTATCTATGCTACGCTATGCGAAACATGTTGAGCCCCAAACTCCACGCTATCAAACAATGACATCTTCCTCTTCCCTTGGGTATCATAGTGCTGGTTGACCGGCTAGTCTCCGACCTTTGCGCCTTAGAACATCGCAATCGTGCATGTCTCAATCAAGCTGGCCCGGAGTATAACATGAGCTTGAGCTCGACCCGCAACGACCGCTGCTTCCCTTGTCAAGATCAGTGACATTCGAATTGCCTCCCTCAAAAGACCAGTTGACCGCTTCACTTGACAGCAGCAACCTCAGTCACCACCACTACCGGCTCAGCCTTGACCACAGCGTCTAAACTCTGCGGCATGCCCTCTCGCTCTGATAAAGTCATCCCCGGCATACTCTCCGCCGCAAGCTTCCTCAACATCTCCTCCATCCAAGCCTCCTCCTCCACCTTCAACTTCATCTGTCTCCGCGCCATCTTACTGCGCTTGACCTTCATCCCCGGCGCGCCACCGACAGGCCCCAACACCGGACTAGAGCTGACTGAAGCCTCGGGACTACTCGGGTCTGAAGGCGAAGATGCTTGCGAGATTAGTATGCAGTCGAGTTCGAGACACTGGTGGATGAGCTCTTCGATCCCGTCTCGGGTCATGATGGCCTTGGGCTGCATAAGCTCGTAGAAGTTGTCGCGCCAGAGGGGATCTTGCTCTAGTGCTCGCGCGAGGGAGTCGAGGAAGAACATAAAGGACGGTAGTGTCGGCCCTTCTAAAGTGAAGGGGTAGTGTACATCGCTGAGCAAGCATGCGGCGTACAGTAATCGTATACTGAATTCGCTGTCCAAACTGTGTTCGACCACGCATGCCGGGCAGCCGCGCGTGTAACACCAATCCTGCTCTTTCTCTGCTGATAGGAAGCATTGTAGCCAGACAAAGGCACTACGGGCGGAGCCGGAGAAAGCGTATTCGAGGTCCTCGAGTTTCGTTGCGTGGGTTGCTTGCGAAGCTACGGTGACGGCTTTGTCGAAGAGTTCGACGACGGGAACGAGGAGGGCGTGGAGGACGTCGCGGACTATTAGCCAGCGGTCGAGCTCTTCGAGGTGGTCGGTTGTGTGTTGTTCGCAGAGGCTGGTAGCGATGTCAGTGAGCGTTGATAGGATAAGGTGGAGATGGACATACTCATAGTTGTAGTGCTCGTGAAGATGCTCTCTTAATATACTGAAGCCGTCCGAACGTAGTAATGTCTCAACATCCTCAGGCTGGAGTAGGAACGGTGAAGTGTTCCGTGCTGGTGTGGTGGAAGTGGCGGAAGGCATATCGTCGTCGGTGTGTCGTTTTACAACGTCGTTCGTTGGTGCGTCGGTCGTGGTATCAAGGTCTTCTTCGTAATGCATGGCAGGCAGAAACAGCCAGCTATCGTATACTTCTGCGGCAGTCCTATATCATGTCGAGCGCACGTGCGGGTCTGTCAGGCCGTACGTTCCTGGGTGCTATCGGCACTATTATGGGTCCTTTTGATCTGAGATCCTCCTCGGAACAATGGGGAAGACGAAGAAAAGCAGGCGCCACCGGTCGCGATGTGTGAATGTGAAGCTGTTAGATCATGGAGAATCTTCGCTCTCTCAGTAGTAGTCTCATAGACAGTACGTGGCGAGCAGAGAGGCGAGAGTGAGTTTCGCACGCCATACGCACGAGACCGATGCTACCGTGACGGAGTCCTCGGGGTGTACCTACCCTCATAAGCAGCAGTAGCAGTATTCCTAGTAGTGGAAGAGACCCGCAAGATACAACGAGACCTACAAGAAGTACATCTGCAAGGAACAAGTCTATCCACGCACGACCTGAGCATGTGAATGCCCCACCGGGTCCTCGGTCCATCAGTAGCGTCATAGTAGTGTTCAGGTGGACATGGACGTGCTCGTGCCAGTCCATCTTTTGCCTCTACAGTAGACTAGTCGAGAATTCGCACCGCATGCATTCTTCCGGCGAATGGCGGCCGTCAAACACGACGCCAACGGCCTTCGCACTCTGGCGTTCGTACTGAGTGCGATTTGCTGGTCCTGCGTGAGAGTGGCGCAGAAGGTCATCTGCCATGAAGGGAAAGTGCGACCAGATCCATACTTCGCGGTTGCATCTCGGAGAAGGACTAGACTTAAAGTGTTTCTAGTGTCTAACCTACTGCATGGAAGGCTCTTATCGGAGCCGAGATTACACCTACAGCGACACCACCGTGGACGCGCGCTCGCGCACGTTTTTCCTATCACGGTTTGCCTGTCCCACTTCTCGTATGTTCAAATCTGCTCATGCCAAGATCAGAGAACATCGACTCCTCGCGAAGAGCTCGCCGGAAGATTTGCGCCGCACCCTGATCGACATTTGCTGGGACGGGCCTTGCCTTTGCCTCGTCTCGTGTCTCCGCCACGAGACGGCAGAGTTTCCTGTTCGCTGCTTGTCCTCCCCGTGATCCACGACACCGCTACCCCCCATGTTCTCGCCCGCTGGCCTCATGACTATTTAATGTTCACCCACGTCGCACTCCACCAACCCACGATTCACGTTCCTGCAGCAACCTTACCAGGCTTGTGGGAATTGACTGGATCACCGGTTACTTCGGGTGCTTCCGAGGAGGCACGTAGTTCGTTTTCCCGCTTGGGTGCGGTATGTGATGACAGTCAGCGGATCACGCTATGGATGCTGCTTTTTTACCGCCTACTCCACGTTACTCCAGACTCTCGGCTGGGTTTCCGATGTGATCCCAAGTTGAATCCAAGACGGCATACGGCCCTGGCGTCCGCAATACCGCTGATATACATTCTGCTACGGATCCAGGCCAGATTCTTAGTGGAGATTCATTTCATACCAGGCAGGCCCAAGTCGTGACGAGCTCCGCGGAGAGATACTATCAGCCGTTTTGATGTCAGGAAGTCTTGGCCAGAAGGCCATATTCGTGTGCCCATTATGTTTCGCGGCTAAAAGGGACTTCTCTATTCGCACTGTCCTTGCAATGGGCATTAGGCTGGTCGTTTATCAACTACTACCACGCGCTTGACAGCCTGAAGGTATACGTAGGTCCAGGCCTTCACGTTCCACCATTCCTTTCCTTTGCCTACCGAACAGCCACGGAGTCAAGCACGACATTCCCATGGTAAGAATCACCATCATGGGCGCATCGACCGCATACAGGGCCAAGATTGGGCTTGGCGTTGACAAGTCCTGTTCACCATGGCTCGTGATCACGAAATGTAGAGAAACGCACGTCCTACGCGCCGACGTCCAGACGATGATGTCTCGAAAGTCCTGACGATGCCGAAGACGACTACTAGCCATACGCAACTGAACGCTGACTGCTCAGCAGAATGATTGCCATACATGTCCCCAACATGCCTTGGATCAGGGTCACTTCCGAGGTTGTTCAGTAGACAAAGCAGCCGCGAGTTACAGTCTTTGACAACGCAAAGCGACGAGACCATACCGACTGGTAGCGTACAGCAGAATCGCGGAAACTTGCATTCGTCCAGTAGATGTGTATGCTCCTAAACCATCGTCCCTTGCCTCCACTATAGATAGCGGTCAGGATCATTTCCAATGGCTCAGCAGTCCTCAACACCAATCGCACGTCCTGATATGTTCCGTCCTAGTACTTGGCGTCGGTGCATCAAACTCACATCACAGTTCCCTGTATACATGTACTCTACTTGAAATCCCGATACCTCGGTCTTTGGATATGGGTTCTGCAGGGTTTCGCCATGTGCATGGCGCAGAGCTTAAAGTTGTTTGACGATCTCCTGTGTTGAGAGCAAAAATCTGCCCTATATATTACAGGCGAGATAAGCGACCAAATCTGAAATTCGCTTCAGTCTTTCGCCGGAACATATATGGTCATCCATACCTATGGTGAGCTCATCATCAGACTAGATACCAGTGTGGAATGCCTAAGATGCATACTGCCACGAATCCGGAACTATTCAACCCCCCAATCCAGTTCGCTTAAGCAAGCCACCAACGCCAACGCATTGCAAATCGTGGGGGTTCGCCTATAATTGCCGGGACGAACTCCACACTCTCGTCACCGACGACTGTTACTCGTATGATAAGTCAAGAGTGAGACAGAAAGGCGGTGATGATGGAGCATGGCCAACACAACAAATGCTCCTCGCTGGCACATCCTCCACTCCACCGATACCTACATTCCCAGCGGCTAAAGTGATAGAACGAGCATTTACGCCCGCAAGCAAGAAGGCGCATCGGGCGGATACTACGCGCATCCTGCCGAGGGCTCGTCCGTCCGTTATCGTGTACCGAACGACCAAGAGCCTCGGACCCTTATCGTCACGATGTTCTGCTCTTCTTACTCTCCATCATACTGTCTTACTCGGCCGTGTATTCTTACAGCGTCATTTCCTAGGTCTGCATCAGGTCGCATGGAAGGGGCGGCAGCGTATCAGGCAATGACACGACGTACACGAATGACCATTCTAGCCACGGCACGATCGAGTCCTCGAGGGACATACCGGTAGCCTTATAACCTGATAACGATCTGGCACACATAGAGCGTTGGACTGGGCTACAACAGGGTTGAAGTGAACATGCAATTATGGGGCGCTCCGCCGCCGGAACCTCGCACACGACTGGAGAACTGGCCGACGCTACTATTCAGCTGGTGGGCAACCGGCTTTGCAGCCTTCTTCATCCTCGCTCGCCTCTGCGGCCGCAAGTTCAGAAGCGGGGTGCTGTTCCGGGAAGATTGGATCATGATGGCATCGATGATACCGCTGTTCATCCGCATGGCACTGATACATGTGGTTCTGCTCTATGGCACGAACAATATCCAAACGATCGGGTACGAATTCTCGGATGCTGTGCAGGAGCACCGCAGTCTTGGTGCGCGGCTTGTGTTACCGGCGAGGATCTTTTACGCCATGACGATTTGGTCGCAGAAGTTGGTGGTGAGCGAATTTTTGAAGCGGATCACCATGAGTATTTGGCGACGCAGCTATGAGGTGGTGTTGCAAGGGATTCGGGTGTTTCTATTGATGACGTTCTTTGCGGTGGTCATTGCGACGTTGACTGAATGCCGACCCTTCCACCATTACTGGCAAGTGATACCGGATCCAGGACCACATTGTCGTCTGGGTTATGCTCAATTATTCACAATGGGGACTTGCGACATCATCACAGATATTCTGCTCGTGGCGTTTCCGATCCCGATCGTGTTGAGAAGTGGACAGACTTGGCAGCGCAAAGTTCAACTTATCTCGCTCTTCTCGCTGTCCATCGTGATGATTGCAGTCACGGCCACCAGAATACCAGAAGTCATCCTTCACCGAGGCCGACAACAACTACGGACGGTCTGGGCTTCCTGTGAGATTCTGGCATCCACTTGCGTCTCGAATGCAGTCATTATAGGATCGTTCTTACGGGACAAGGGCACGAAGAAGAACAAGTTCAGGTCGATGAGCATGACCGATAGTATAGACCGTGCTTCGGTAAGGAGACCAACGTTGACAGCACTCCAACGAATGGGCAGTGATGAAGACCTGTTCCGCTCCCTAGGCTGCCGAATCCCACAACATCTGCTCGAGTACGAAGATGAAGTGGCAAGACCGGCGCCCGCTGCATTATCAGCTGCAGAGATGAAGCAGAATCGAGACGCACCATTAATGTCCGGTGCACTGCGAGTCGCAACTCGAAAGGTAATAAAGGAGGAGGTGGAAGAGGACCCCAACGATGTGACTGGACCTCTGCCAACCGTAGATGATACCTCACCAGCACCCGCCACACCCTCGACAACGAAACGCAGCATGAGCTTTTTCGACGTCGGTGGCCTACTAGAAGACGGCTCGCACTCCTGGGACTCCCGCTCCCGCTCAACCACCATCGTCGATTCCGGCGCCTCAGGCACAATCGCAATGGATTTCGCCCCCACGACCCCCGAGCAATCGCGTCGGGGCTCGAATGCCTTTATGACGGATATGGGCGGGATCGGTCTGCCCGCTGCGCACCGCAATGGGAATGGATTTCCTGGGCGCAGACACTCGGATGTGCAGATGAGTTTGCCGAGGTATCGGCATGCGCCTACGGGTGTGCTGGGGCCGATGCTGGAGAGGCATGAGACGCAGCAGAGTTTGCAGGATCCGGGGGGGTTGTTGGGCGATGAGGGGGGAAAAGCTGGTCGTGGGAGTTTGAGGGCGGATCCGTCTGCTAAGCTTGAGCCGCTGCTGGCTGAGACGAGCGCGAAGGGGCATGGTGGGCAGAGAGATACGCCCAGGTCGAGCCCGTTGCTTGTTGAGGATGGGCAGAATGGTGTTGGACGGGTGGCCATTCCGACTATCGCGCAGAAAGCCACGATTGTCACTAATCATCCTGCTTCTGTCTTTCCGCCAGCGGGTCATGCATCGGAGGATATGGCTTTACATGATCCAGGCGGCCTACTGACGTGATTTGTGTGCATTGCGCGGGTGGGCGATCTATTGCATCTTGTGCGTTCGAGCGATATACCCAATAGCATTTCTGAGTGCTACGTCTATAATGTATTGAGCCGCGATATATCAAGTCCGTGAAAGTTTTCTACATATTTCGTATTTGTCTCACATGCTTCTCCACGGTCGTTTGAACATCGCGTCTAGCCTAACCTGTATTATCATACACTCTCCCCATCTATGCACTCATATCTATATCTGGGTATACCTCAAATAAGGCTTCACTTCCCTCACATTCCCAAACTTCTTCTTCGCATCCTCCGTGCTCACAGCAGGCGGTACGATAACATCCTCCCCAACACTCCAGTCAATGGGCGTCGTGACACCCTTCTTATCACCCGTCTGCAAACTATCAATCACCCTTAGTACTTCACTACTATTCCTTCCAGTACTCGCAGGATACATCATCGTTAACCTGATCTTCTTCGCCGGGTCGATGATGAAGACGCTGCGGATCGTGAACGCGATCCCGCCCTCTTGTGCGAGCTTCTCGAGGTCCGGGGAGGAGATCATGTCGTAGAGCCATGCTACGTTGCGGTCGGCGTCGGCGATGATGGGGAATTGGAGGGTGGTTTGGGAGATTTCGTTGATGTCGCTGATCCATTTGTCGTGGGAGCCGAGGTCGTTGGCGGACTGTAATCAAATCAGCTTTCACATATACGTATCAGTAGTACTATGTTCAACTCACCAACCCAATCATCTTCACCCCCCTCTTTTCAAACTCCCCTCTCATCTTCGCAAACGCGCCCAGTTCGGTCGTGCATACTGGTGTAAAGTCCGCCGGGTGGGAGAACAGGATCCCCCACTTCCCATCGAGCCATTTGTGGAAGTCGATATCGCCTTGTGTGGTTTTGGCTTGGAAGTTGGGTGCTTCACTGCCGATACGGAGACGTGGTTGTTCGCCTCGGGGTGTGGCTAGGAAGCGGCGGAAGATTGGGGAGGCTGTTTGGCGGGCGGCGAAGGGAGAGTGCGTGGAGGGAAGGCGGGCGGCGCGGAGGGCGGGGCGGGGCAGGAGGGTGGTCATTGTGCGAGTTGACTGTTGGGTGGGGATGTAATGGAGGGTGAGAGTAAATGGGATGGGTTTGAGAGATGTTTGTACCTACTTCTACAGAATTTCAAAGCTACGAATGGCGTCATACAAGACATGGTTGTGGATTGCGATGTAGGCCTTTTTCTTTGGCATCACGGAGACTGGCAGGCCATGCCTTTCGCGGCAGACGTAGCGTATCATACGCTCTTGTAAAGCTCGTTCGATGGACTCCTGCAAGTCCTCCATCGTACTTTGGAAACAGCCTTCGCTCGACCTGTTACTTCACTCGAGCTTGAAGCTCGGCATTAAGTCAACCGAGAACAAAGATGCTTTTGCACGTGACGGTATTACATAAGCTATGCCAGCGCTAGCGCCCCTCGCAGATTGACTTCCTTCCAGCGGACCTTTGCAACTCTTCCTTCCGCATACTTAGTAACACTCACCAAAACCCCCCTACGTTCCTCTGTTTTGCTAATCATTTTCCAGCCTTGTTGTGAAGCGGCTGCTCACGAATAGCTTGCTTCTGGCGGAGACTCCTGCATTGCACCGCGCGGCGAGTCGCTGCCACCAGTCTCCTTCGGGGGCCTGGACGGCGGTACGTTGATGCCATTCCTCTGACTGTGATCTCGATGCTGATTAAACCGTCTAGCAATTTTTGATGGTTCACACTCGCTTCGGCATCTTTCATCAGTCGTTGGGCTTTCGTGCCTGGCATTGGAGAAGGTAATGTATTTGTAGCTGTCATAAGCAAAAATGATGATGGTGGGTGGTGATGCCGGTTTCGTGTGGAAGAGGAGGTGGGTCGAGGATAGCTGGCGGTGAGGCGGTGGTACAGTGCGACGGGCGGGATGGGAACGCTGTCCACTTGGCTCACAGAGTGTCTGCTTCACGAGGACGATGCCCACGCTCTGGCTCCCGATGCCTGCTGCTTTCTATGGCCTTTGCAGCGCTATCACGACCTCACCCACGCGTGACCCATCATCGAGCTTGCGATCTGTCTGCCCGCACGATGATGGCCTCAACTCGAAGCTTGAGACACAGTTTACATGAATGTAGATGCGAATGGGCAGAGAACTGATAGGGAACTCGGCCACGAAGAGATGGAGAGGGCGCGAGGAAAGGGTAAGAGCTTGGGCGTGGACCACAACGTACGAGGCTCACGTCTCATGGTATCTTGCCGTTACGTGTCATCGAGAAGATGTGTACAGGGCCATGCGGAAGACTGGTACGGGAGACGAAGGGAAATCATCAATGCAAGAACAGCCTTAAACCATCTCTCTATGGCTAGAATCTACCTGCTCACACTCTCCAGAGCTCACTCGTAAGCTGCTGTCTTCCGACTCACACTGAGTCTCACAGCGAGATGAAATCACTGGCATCATCCCGCCTCACTCAAGCCGCCTTCGGGAGCTTCAGACTCACCCCCCATGGCAGCTGCAGCATCCCGACTTCCGGACCCTGAACAGCGGCATTGACGAACAACGTACTCTCGCCCTTGATCTTCTCCTCACTCACAGAATTATACTATTATCGTGTATGGACTCATACTGGCTGTGCAGCATTGAAATGCTCTCCACAAGCAAGCACTAGATACATGAAGACGAGGATCGTGCCAGCGCAAGGTGTGGAGCATGAACTTTCCACGAGGACAACGCAGCTTACCCTCTGAAACGCACCACAGGCCGCACTGTGAAGTTTCTCGCACGAGCCCATACATCGCCGCACCTACTTATATCGAGCCACGACCTGCGTATGGTGATCAAAGATACACAGAGATGCAAGATCGAAAACTCCCTTTCGTACTACCGGACCAAGTCCACTATCACAGACGCCACTCCGAGGCTACAAGACATCGACGCATCATGGCTGAGGAAGTCGTCACACGCTTCTTTATCTTGTCGGATACCCACGGCGACCGACTACCAATTCCCGCAGTGACCTTCGACGTGGCGATACATGCTGGTGACTTGACCGAGGAGTCCAAGCTCGACGAGTTCAAGGATGCTATCTCATTGCTTCGTGAGGTCAATGCGCCTTTAAAACTCGTCATACCTGGCAACCACGATTTCACCCTTGATGAGCCCATGTTCAAGAGAAAGCTTGCGGCGATCGAGCCTCCGCCCGATGATGACCTAGTCAAGCGCGAGTATGGTGCGTTTGGCGAAGTATCACGCCTTTTCGACGACGCAACAAAGTCTGACATCGTCCTACTCGGAGAAGGCACTCACAAGTTCAAGCTTGCAAATGGTGCCTTATTGACCGTATATGCTAGTCCATACACTGCATCCCTAAGTGACTGGGGCTTTCAATATCATCCTCAGCAGGGCCACGATTGGTCAATCAGCAAAGACGTTGATGTCGTGATCACTCATGGTCCTCCCAACGGTGTGCTCGACTACACCGACTCCCAAACAAGATCCGGCTGCCCGGGCCTCTTTGCTGCAGTAGCACGTGCAAGGCCACGCCTTCACTGCTTCGGTCACATCCACGAAGGCTGGGGAGCCAAGAGAGTGACTTGGCGTGATACGCCGAGCGATCAGCCATCACACTTCACCGACATTGACAATGATGAGTCGCATGTGGTCCAAAATCTGGCAGGGCTTCGTGCAAATCGCTATGATGATACCGCGGGCATAGCAACAAAAAAGGAGACACTGGACAAATACATGAAGCAGCGATACTATCCAGCCAAAGAGGAACTATGCAAGGACATCAACACACTTTTTGTGAATGCGGCCATACAGGGCCCAGAAGAAGGTACATGGCAGCTGCCCTGGCTGGTCGAGATCAAACTTCCAAGAGCGCCACAGGAGTGAAGAGACCATCGACCGCCTCAATTAGTGGCGGAAGCAAACTCAAGGCGGGGGATGAAGGGAGACACGGGCAGAGAAGTGGCAGGAGATTACCCTCGAGGTCTTGGGGGCTGGGATGGTTAGCTTGGGTGGGGAAATGACTCCCATGCTTTGGGGATGTGGTATCAACGGGTATCCTCCATATCATGTCCGACGAAGCATGTGCAAGAGCCACGATTGCAGCATCGATACCTTAGTTTCTGATATGATACTGCCGCATGGGGTAGGCTGCTGCTTCCTCTAAGTTTTGTAGCAGGCACAGCCGTCCGAACAGCTCCACGGTATGTACTGACATCTTCCCTTTACCCGACTTTTGCATCACATTACATATTTTGATAGTATGTATAGGTATTCTTCGAACTGCAGCAACACGGATGTCAACGCTTGACCGTGGGTTCCGAACTTACGCTGATAGGATTCGCAGCAGACGATCCACACTAACTCCCCAGCACCCTCGCAGCCTTGCATCCCATAATCACTCAAGCTTCCCTGGTAGGCTGCATTGTCTGCTCCAGTGCACGTGTGATGCTTAGCTAATGGGAATATCAGTCTCCACTTCCACCCCGTCTCCACTCGCCAGCCTCCGATGACATGCCCACCAAGACCATCATCTCCGCACCACTCCGAGATGCACGATTTGAGTGCTTCTCGGCAGCCACCCGCCTCGGCCGGCCAGATCTCCGCCGCAAACTCATCCTCGTTGGCGGAGCAGCTAGCGTTGCCCACTCCTCTGCCTAGAAAACAGAGGATGTGGATGTCGCAGCGCCTCGTATCGCCATCAACAACATATACGAGGGAGTGATGGCCGGCGCCCAATGTTTCAGCATCGAATCCGACGGCAAGATAGTGTTCGACGCCTCGCAAGGTTTCCGCGTCACAATGGACATTCTCGAGCTCGCCCCCAGCGAGTGCGTCGAACGCATCCACGCTTGGGTACCCCTAGGTGAAGGGTCCCTCGCGTCCATGTCGGACTTGGTGCTGTTACGGGCCGTGACGGTGGCTGATCGTGGTAGTGATGGTGATATCTTGGACTTCAATTGGCTGTTGTCGAGGGTGGTGGAGATGGGTTACCCGTTCCCGGAAGTGGACGACGGGGAGCTCGAGTGGTTATGCATGGCTGTCGAGGTGTGTTTTGGTGGAGTCGTGGGTCGTTTGGTGCTTGCTGCAGTTCTTGGCAGCAATAATGCCGCCGGTGTGCGGCATCTTTTGTCGTCTGTATGAATATTCTTTTCAACTACATGTCTCAGGAGTCAACGTGGAATGTGTCTGAGGTGATTCGTACGTAGATGATTTGCAGCTGGAGGAGTTTGTCGCGGAGCTTGTGGAGTCGTGCATATGGTGAAGTGTACAGACACTCAAGAGTATCGACGAGGGGAGACCAATCCCAAGGGCTACAATATCGATGGTCCTTGTAGCATGTAGCAGCAGGTAAGGAGTGTCCTCACACAGAGCTTCCATCTCACCTCTTCTGTCGAGACCTTCCACATGCACAATAGCTATGACCTGGCTGGAGGAATTTGAATTCGGAATTAAGGGACATGGACTGCCGCAAGCTAATGGCAGCTGTGATGTTGCATGTCTCCTTACGTGAACGAGATGTCTACGAACATCGTTTCATCCTCTCACTACTTCGCCTCGAATTCGGTGTTCGGATGTGCTCTTTCCGGCTGACCAACGGTGAACATTGCGTTGGGCAGGAACCACTTCTTTTCTGATTCAAGCTAGATACTGAGGTCTCACATGCTGAGTCGACCATGTGTCATGCCCACTGCTTATCATGCGAGCGTACCAACGGTTTCGAGAAGTAGACAATATCTTGAAGTCGGCTTCAGCTCCGACTCGTGAGTATCTCGTTGGCACCAAGCGACTTTACGAACACAGGGCTGTGGTCGAGAGATGGCTCATTATCACTCACTTCACCAATGTTATCGGGATCCGTGCATTAAAGATGACAAACCCATGGTTATACAATTGCTTGGCTTGCCACGGTATCCCTTTCAAGAACGAGAATCACTATGAGTCGCTTTCAGCCAAGCAGTAGTCGTCTCAACAGTCAACACACGCACCTGCATGCCCGCGGGCGAACTGCTTAAGGCCGCCACCACTGCATACCCGCAAGCCTTCCCGCAGAGATCTCGTAGATGACGTGCAAGGGCGTCCCGTAATAAGCTTCCTGCTGTACCGACGATCCACAAATCTTCTTCGATTGCTCATCATGGTTGTCACCGCAAAGTCCAGTCTAAGTCCGAAAGCGATCCAAATGCTTGCGCGTAGCCGTAGCGCAGAGGCATAGGTGACCTACAATTCATTCTGACGACCTTCCCTTCTCACAATGCGGCCGTCTTCACCTTTCTTTCAGCCTCCCGTCTCTACCCTTGACAGACGTCACCCGACTCTGGGAGAACAGTCAATCGTGCTGTAGCGCCTTCGACAGGCTCTTGTTTCCCTACTTCTTACTCTCCACTCAACCACAGCTACTGGACCTGCTCAAGGCCAGTAATAATTACAATATGTGGGGGTCGAATATTGACGAGTCTCGTCTGCGCAATCAGAACAATGCTCCGCATAACCAATGGCACACCACAGGGGACGCAGAAGCAGGTGCCGATCGACAGCATCATATACACCACCCAACAGAGGCAGTAGAAGGTGATAGCCCTACAGATATTACAAGAGAGACCTCAGGTACATGGGGTGAACGAGATGTTGGTGGCTTCGACGAGGACGAGGCTCGCGAGAACTTCGATGCCTTGAGGAAGAATTTGACGGATCTCAATCGACAACGCTCTCACGAGTCGAGATTACAGAGGACGACTTCGGCGACAAGCAGGAAGAGTAAGGCGCTCTCACGACCAGCGACCAGACAATCCGAGCAGCCACCAGCAGAGTCTGAAGCTGGAGATCTGGAAGCTGGACCTGAAGCAGAAGAGGATGAGTTCGAGCTCGACCAGTTCATGCGGGAGGGCCATTTCGAGAAGCGAACAGATGGAGCCTCGGCGAAAAAGGTGGGTGTGATCTACAAGAACCTGACTGTCAAGGGTGTCGGAGCTGCAGCTACGTTCGTTCGGACGCTGCCAGACGCAATCGTCGGTACCTTCGGACCTGATCTCTACCACATCATCTGTCGGTTCGTGCCAGCACTCGCACGCCGAACAGGTGAAACACGAGATCTCGTCCACGACTTCACTGGCTGCGTCCGCGATGGCGAGATGATGCTTGTGCTCGGTCGACCTGGCGCCGGCTGCAGTACGTTTCTGAAAGCAATTGCGAATAATCGAGAGTCCTACGCTGGCGTTGAGGGTGAAGTCACCTACGGCGGCATCCCTGCAGACAAGCAGAAGAAGATGTACAGGGGTGAAGTCAACTACAATCCTGAAGACGACGTTCATTTCGCATCTCTCAACGTGTGGCAGACCTTTACATTCGCTCTGATGAACAAGACAAAGAAGGCAGGTGTCAAGGACATCCCCATCATCGCCAATGCGTTGTTGAAGATGTTTGGTATTGCTCACACGAAGTACACTCTTGTTGGTGATGAGTATACCCGTGGTGTCTCAGGTGGCGAACGCAAGCGTGTCTCTATCGCGGAGACTCTGGCCTCCAAGTCGACAGTGGCTTGCTGGGACAACTCTACCCGTGGTCTTGATGCCTCGACAGCTCTGGACTACGCTCGCAGTCTGCGAATCATGACTGACATCTCGAACCGCACGACTCTCGTCACACTCTATCAGGCGGGTGAAGGTATCTACGATTTGATGGACAAGGTGCTTGTAATCGACCAAGGACGCATGATCTTTCAAGGCAGAAAAGAGAAGGCTCGCCAGTACTTCATCGATCTTGGGTTTCAAGCACCTGAACGTCAGACTACTGCCGACTTCTTGACCGCCGTCACTGATCCAGTGGAGCGTAAGTTCCGTCCTGGACGTGAAGCCAGTACACCTAAAGGACCAACCGAGCTTGAGACAGCTTTCTTGCAGTCACCATACTACCAAGAAGTGCTCGAAGACATCAAAGAATACGAGACCTATCTTCAGCAGAGCAACTACGAAGACGCTAAGCAATTCGAGTCTGCCGTCGCAGAAGGCAAGTCAAAGTATGTCCGCGCTCAAACACCATACACCGTCAGCTTCCCACGACAAGTCATGGCCTGTGTCAAGCGTGAGTTCTGGCTCATCTTTGGTGACACCACGACTCTCTATACCAAGGTCTTCATCATCATTTCAAACGGCCTCATTGTTGGCTCGCTCTTCTACGGCGAGCCACTCAACACCGAAGGCGCCTTCACCCGTGGCGGTGCCCTCTTCTTTTCCATCCTCTTCCTCGGTTGGCTCCAGCTCACAGAACTTATGAAGGCCGTATCTGGTCGTGCCGTCGTGGCTAGACATAAGGACTACGCTTTCTACCGACCTTCGGCTGTCAGTATCGCGCGTGTGGTCGCTGACTTCCCGGTCATCGGGATTCAAACGGTCCTCTTCGGCATCCTCATGTACTTCATGTGTAACCTTGACATCGAGGCAGGCAAGTTCTTCATCTACTTGCTCTTTGTCTATGTCACGACTATCCTGCTTACGGCTCTATACCGCATGTTCGCCAGTCTGAGTCCCGAGATCGACACTGCCGTGCGGTTCTCTGGTATCGCGCTCAACCTACTCGTCATCTACACCGGCTACGTGATTCCGAAGACGCAATTGTTGACAGACTATATCTGGTTTGGCTGGATCTACTGGATCAACCCTCTTGGCTATTCCTTCGAAGCTGTGCTCACGAACGAGTTCTCTGGACGTACAATGCAATGTGCGCCTGCTCAACTTGTGCCGCAAGGACCTGACGTCGACCCAGCGTACCAGGGCTGTGCACTCGCTGGTGCTGAGGTCAATGCACAGCAAGTTCCTGGAAATTGGTACCTCGAGACACAATACAATTACAGCAGAAGCCATCTCTGGAGGAACTTTGGTGTGGTCATCGCATTCATCGTGCTCTACATCATCGTCACCGCAATTGCCACCGAATTGTTCAGCTTCACTAGTGCTGGTGGAGGCGCTCTAGTCTTCAAGAAGACCAAGCGCGCCAAGAAGGTGGCCAAGCAGGTCGATGCTCCTGTTGACGAAGAGAAAGCTGTTGGACTTGGTGCTACAAGCACTGGTGACAGCGCAAGCTCGACGAAGAAGGAACGCGACTTTGGTGACTCTTCTGATGCGGACAAGGAAGATGAAGCGCTTCAGCAGATCACCAAGAGCGAGTCTATCTTTACTTGGCGTGATGTGAACTACAAGGTACCATACCTTGGTGGCGAACGACAGCTTCTCAATGGTGTCAATGGTTATGCCAAGCCTGGTGTCATGGTCGCTCTCATGGGCGCTTCGGGAGCTGGAAAGACGACCTTGCTCAACACGCTCTCGCAACGCCAGACGATGGGTGTTGTGACTGGTGAGATGTTCGTGGATGGTCGTGCGCTCGGCCCAGAATTCCAGCGCAATACTGGTTTCTGCTTGCAAGGTGATCTTCACGATGGCACAGCTACGATTCGCGAGGCACTTGAGTTCTCCGCCATTCTACGACAACCTGCTTCCACGCCCAGGTCCGAGAAGCTCGAGTACGTCGACAAGATTGTGGATCTTCTCGAGCTCAACGATCTGCAAGACGCCATCATCTCCAGTCTTGGTGTCGAGCAGCGCAAGCGTCTCACTATCGGTGTTGAGCTGGCCGCTAAGCCTTCGCTCTTGCTCTTTTTGGACGAGCCGACATCTGGTCTTGATTCACAGTCCGCATACTCGATTGTTCGCTTCCTGAAGAAGCTCGCTCACGCAGGCCAAGCCATCGTCTGCACAATTCATCAGCCGTCCTCTGTCCTGATCCAGCAATTCGATATGATCCTTGCCCTCAACCCAGGTGGCAACTGCTTCTACTTCGGCCCTGTCGGCGAGAACGGCAAAGATGTGATCGATTACTTCGCTCAACGCGGCGCACAGTGTCCTCCCGAGAAGAACGTAGCCGAGTTCATCCTCGAGACTGCCGCGAAGCCTCACCGCAAAGCCGATGGCACGAAGACTGACTGGAACGCTGAATGGAAGAACTCCGAGGCCGCCCAGAATGTGATCGAGGAGATCGAGGGCTTGAAGTTGACAAGGAGTAAGACTGTCCCTGAGGCAGTGAGGAAGGAGCAGCAGAAGGAGTTTGCTGCTGGTATGTGGCTCCAGACATCCGAACTGCTTAAACGTACCTTTAAGCAGCACTGGAGAGATCCTAGCTACCTCTACGGAAAGCTTTTCGTCTCGGTCATTGTCGGTATTTTCAATGGCTTCACGTTCTGGTAAGCAGGACCCACGCTTGACACTATGAGTTTGTACTGACATGATCACCCACAGGCAACTCGGCAACAGCACTCAAGACATGCAGAACCGCATGTTCACATCCTTCCTGATCATCACCATCCCACCTACAATCGTCAACGCCGTCGTGCCAAAGTTCTTCACCAACATGGCACTGTGGCAAGCTCGCGAATATCCTTCAAGAATCTACGGCTGGTTCGCCTTCACAACCGCACAAGTCGTAGCTGAGATCCCGTCTGCCATCGTCGGAGCAGTACTCTACTGGCTTCTGTGGTACTGGCCTACCGGTCTTCCCTCCGATAGCGCAACGAGCGGCTACGTCTTCCTCATGACCGTGCTATTCTTCCTCTTCCAGGCCTCGTGGGGTCAATGGATCTGTGCTTTCGCGCCTAGCTTCACCGTCATCTCGAACGTGCTTCCGTTCTTCTTCGTCATGTTCTCGCTGTTCAACGGCGTGGTCAGACCTTATAGCATGCTGCCAGTGTTCTGGAGATACTGGATGTACTATGTCAATCCCTCGACTTGGTGGATCGGTGGCGTTCTGGCTGCTACGTTGCATAACATCCCGGTCGAATGCACGAGCAGCGAGACGGCGCACTTCGATGCTCCGCCCGGACAGACTTGCGGATCATACGCCGGTGCATACGCAGCCTCGGCTGGCGGGCGATTGCTCAACCCTGGAGCATCGCAGGACTGCCAGTACTGTCAGTATAGCTCTGGGGACCAGTATCTAGCCTCCCTCAACATCAATGCTGGCGACAAATGGCGGGACTTTGGCATATTCTTGGTGTTCGTCTGCACCAACTATATGCTGGTATACTTCTTCATCTACACTGTGCGCGTCAAGGGCTGGAGTTTCGGTTTTGGATATCTCTTTGGTGGTCTCGGCAAGGTTGCCAGCTTTGTTAAGAAGCCTTTTATTCGTTTATTCGGCAAGAAGAAGGCTGTGGAGTAGGTGATGATCAGGAGTGAAATTGAATGGACAGGGAGCAATGTATAACAGCGTTTAATTTGAGCGCGGTAGGCGAGCAAGTGCAGCCAAGTGTCAACCTACAGCATTGGGATAGAGGTATATTTGCATAGACATTAGCGAGGAGTTGGGTTTATGTATGGATTTGTCCTATTTACTGTAATCTTGCAACATTCCAGAATCGTCGTTTTCAAACCGTGTTGTTCAAAATTAATGAGCGAACAGGACAATGATAGACGACGACAGGTCTGAATGCAGGGCAGGATGAACGTTTGTCGTCTCTGAAAGATATGAATCAGGGGTTGTGTTCCACGCTCCTCCCGTGGCTATAAATACGCCCAGTTCGGCAAAGATGGCTGTGGCGTCTTGAATCACTTGACCGCATTGGCACAACTGATTTGCTTGCATATCTATAGGGGACTGCTGCTGCCCGCATCGATCAGAGCACGCACATAATGGATGGCGCACGCCACATGCTAATGAGACCCCTAAAGGGAGCGACGAGATGGCGCCTCTCTTCGCCTTTCTGGGCACGAAGCTGAAGACACGCATAGGAGGAAAGACCTCATACGGTGGCGCCATGCGTAGGAAGATATGAACAGCCTGTCTCCTGGTCCACATATGCCCCATCCCTCACCATCCTCGACCTGATCTCGGACCACGGTATGGGAGAGTGGCGATTCCTGGGTGCGGGCGGGCACACGACGAGGCCTTCCATATCGTCCTTTGCTCGAGTGGGCGGGATACTCGCTGGCATTCTAGTACTTATAACATACCTGCACTGGCAATTCCCGCATCCTGGACTGCCCACGCACCTCATCAGCCGACCTTCAACTACAACGACTGAATCTGTTCCGGGCCGGCTCTTAAGGATTAGCATGGTCTATGGGAAAAGCAACACCAATTTCGAGCGAGCCCTTAAGACACACGAGAGCCATTCTAAGCAATGGGGCAATGGCTTCGAGGTCTTACGACAGGATCTTGCGACCGGGTTCTGGAACAAACCTACGTATATCCTTCATGTCTTGACGCAGGAGCTTATGAAGGCACCTCGTGAGAGAGCAGAATGGTTGATGTGAGTCCTTTTCATCTACGATCATACCTTGCCAGCCAAAGCTGATGCACATGGTTTGATCTGCAGGTGGGTCGATGCCGACTCAATCATTATCAACCCAGATATTTCTCCGGAACTGTTCCTGCCGCCAGCCGATCTCTCGCAAATCCATTTCGTAGGTACGCGAGATGAAAACGGCTTGAACACCGGAATCTTCTACCTCCGCGTCTCCACATGGTCTATATCTTTCCTCATCGAAACACTGGCAATGCCACTGTACGAGCCCGATGCTGGGCTTGGGCGTTCGGCGGACCAAGACGCGATGAGCCTGGTCTTGCATAAGGAGATTGGAGGACCCTCGAACCAAGGATACCGTGACGCTATGGTACTAATACCTCGATTGTGGATCAACACCTACGAAAGGGAGGAGGATGGGTACGAAGGCAAACGTGGCGATATGTTGGTGCATTTCCCGGGTTTGGAGGAGACAAGACGGAAGCACATGGGCGACTGGTTGGATGTCGTCGAGTCGAGACCTGGGGTGTGGCGGTGCGCTCTTGAGGAGACGGAGTACTGGAACGTGACTCGGGAGTATTGGAGGGAGTTTCGAGCGGCGTATGAGTTGTGGAAGGAGGTAGAAGCACTACAGGACACAGAGGACATCAGTGATGCTACATGGCAGGCTGCTACAGATTTGAAAAAGATCCTCGAGACTGAAGCCGATGATATTGTGAAAATTGGTCAACTGAGGTCGAAGCTCTCGTCTACCTTCCAGTTTGAAGGGGTAAATTCATGAAGGAATGATGAAAGGCACTTCCGCCTGTTGAGTATTGGAACGGTGGAGTCATGAATTGGTCAAGGGCCATACAAGTAACCCTCGCAACGACACAGTAAACACGCACAAGACTCGGACTGCTCTGAACTACGTTGACACGGAGTCGGAGATCAGCATAGCGGCTACATGCCTCGTGGCGGCAGGTTTCGTACATTCGGATCCACTCCTCGGGAGACTCGCTCGATGAACAGCTCTGGCAAAGCTGCTTCACGCACAATATCATCTAAGGCAACAAGCAAACAGTACATCGCAAAAAGTCACGAACTCTTGAAGGACGGCCGCTACGAGACTATCAGGGAGCTGGGCAAGGGCAGGTACTAGAGTGTGTGGCTGTCAAAGGATTGACAGTATGTTCAATGCACATGTCCATATATGTTAGGTACACTTTTCCTTACTCTATATCCTCAGCAGGCAGAACTCGTATGTGGCGCTCAAACTACCAAGTAGCGACCGCTATGGCGCAGAATATGACATATTCGAGATTGAGATCCTCAAGACCATTACACGCCATCAGATCCTCATCGGGGACACTAAGTCGACTCATATCGTCGAGCTATTGGACACCTTTCAAATAAACGGAGCCACAGGAGTCCACCAGTGTATTGCCATGCCTGTGCTAGGATGCAGTCTTAGCTCGCAAGCCGGCCGCTTCCCTGATGGTAGAATACCTTATCGGATCATGAAGCAGATAACGAAACAGCTGCTGTCCGGCCTTGCTCTCCTACACGAAACTTGTGGAGTCATTCATACCGGTAGGCGGATGCCGAGTGTGCTCCAGCTTGACGTGGCAATCCCGGCTAAAGGGGCAATAGATCTGCAGCCATCAAACATCTGCTTTGAAGTCGATCAAGCTCAGCTTCTACGTAAGTAGCTGAGAACACGTCCATACGGAAGTCACTAACATTTGATGCGCAGTCATGGTTGATAGGCAGACGGCGGAGCAAGTCACTCCAACGATCAGCGAGGGTGACATTGGCAGTGTCAGGATCATCGACCTCGGTGTTGGTAAATCGATTTGAGGACCGTACTGTATCGACTTTCCAGCTGCTCTGACAATGCTGTAGCTTCTTGGGTTGATCATCACTTAAGCGACAACATACAACCGGAACATCTCCGAGCTCTAGAGATCATTCCAGAGGCTCCCTGGGGTCCACCTGTTGACATCTGGAGCCTAGGTTGTCTGGTAAGGCATGAATCCAATGAAGCACGAATATGCCTCGCAGACACGTTCGGATGGAGCACTGCTAAGCGTAAATTGCAGGTCATCGAGTTCGTCAAAGGACATGTGGCTTTCCCTGGAGCAGCTTCTCAGCACGAATCATGGGCGTCCGAGGATGATCATCTAGCACAGTACATGGAAGTCCTCGGTCCGATGCCTCCTGAGCTTCTACAACGTGGCACGAAGACTCCTGAATATTTCGATCAAAGCGGCATGTTCTCCGCAGATCTTTTACCATTGCGTTGCACAGCTGACTCTTTGTCTCAATCAGGTAAGCTCGTCAGGATCCCAGAGCTCCAGATCACGAGCTTGAGGGACTTCGTAGACGGCGCAGAAGGCCCATTCCAACGGCCTCCGGACATGTCGACCGAACAAGCCACCAAATTCGTGAACTTTCTTAGTGGCGCATTGACTCTTGACCCAGACTGCCGCAAACGAGCGACCGAGTTGCTACAGCACGAGTGGCTGCAAGACTTGTAACAACGGCTGTTGTGAACCCTGCTCGAGCGTGAAGGGCATGATGGAAAGATATACCGCGGCCGATCATTTGGCATCCGCCGTGCTTTGCAAAGTCCGGCGGCGCGGTGCGTGGCTATCTGCTCCTCTGCAGCAAACTCGTCGCACCCACATACGACGCCCCGATTTGCCTGCCGGCCAAGAAAGAGCCACCTGGTAGGTATTTTTCGCACTTCCGCTCCCCGATACCCTTTCGCTCACCAGAAACCATGCTAGCTGAGAGTCTTAGTCTAGACGGTAAGTCCTCACAGCTTCGATCGGGGAAGTTACGATTTCCATAGCACGGCGCGCCAGACCGGGAGATAAAAGTCCGTTTTCCTATCATTTGAGCAGGTACACAGATCTCTACAGCCCACATACAACTATCAATCGTACGCCTCCTTGAAAGAACGCCAATAGCTGCACACGATCAAAGGCGTACTATACAGCCCACCCCACCCTTTCATCGCCCAAGCGCCATGTAAAGGCCCATCAGTATATTCATCATCCGAACAGCCACTGCCACTGCCACAGGCACTAGGCGCTAGGCGCTGCCTCTCCTCCGCATACTCACGACTTGCCTCTGCTCATCCCCCTTCTACCCCGTGTTCCTTCTCCCCGTCCGAGCGCCAGCAGCAGTAACACCACCATCAACCGCGTCACCAACGGCTTTAGGCCTTCCTTTCTCCTCAAAGCCAGCCCACTCCCCTCCAGAAGCTGAAGAGCCAGCGCCAAATCCATCCTGCGACCTCCACTCTTTCGATTTCTTCTTTACCGGCTGCTGCTCTCCAGCCTCCGCCTTCCTCTTCCTGACCCCCTCCCAAACCCCAGAATAAGCAGAAGCATCATCAAGCCCACCCTACGAACTCGCCTTACTCTTCTTCGTCTTCTTCTTCGCCGGCTCCTCCTCCCCACCAGCATCCACCTTCCGCTTCTTGCCCTCCTTACTCACGTCCCCATTCACCTTCCCCTCCTTCTTCGCCCTCTTCTCCGCCCTCTCAGCCTTCCGCTCCGCCTTCTCAGCCTTCAACTTCTTCTTCTCCGCCTTCCGCGCCGCCTTATCATCAGGCGCAGTCTTGGCCTCATTCGGTGGCGCCGCAGCCTCCCGTTCCTTTCGTGTAGCGGTGCCGTTGAGGTTAGTCTTGGTAATGAGTCGGCTATCCTCTTCATCCTCCATACTCTCGTCCTCGTCATCGTCCGAGTCGTCTTCTTCTTCAGCGCCGACTTTAACGGGTGTAGATGAGCTTGCTTTGAGCGTCTTACTGCTCGGCGCGTCCACCTCTTCGACCAGCTTTCTCTTCTTGCTCGGCTTGGCGGAGTCACCATTTGTCAGAGCAGCGGCAGGTGTAGCGTCCGCGGCAACACCGTCAGCATCAGCATTGTACTTCCTCGCTTCCTTGATCTCCCACTTTGGCGTCTGAGGTTGTTGTTTTCCACCAGGTCCGATAGCGACACCGCTGGCTTTGAGTGGCTTACCCTCCATTCCTCGTAGTCTTCGCTCGAGCATAGCGCGGCCTTGCACACCGACTTCAGACTTCTCCTCCTCAGTCGGCTCCTCCTTCTCGCCTTCGCCTGCTTGACCCCAGTCACTGAGGGCGTCCACACGAAGACCGAGCGTAGCTTTCGTGGCGAGCATACGTGCGATCTTGCCCTTGTTCTTGCCGCTCGCTTGGCCGATGAGGGAGGCGTGGTAGATAAGTCCGTACTTGGGTGTGTCGTGTTTGGTCTTAAGCGCACGGAAAAGTGCTTTTTCTGCACCGAGGATTTGGATGGTCGAGGCAGGTGATTTGGCCAAGTTCATAAGGGAGCCAGAGTGGGCGATGAGTCGTGCGCCTACGAGCTCGCCGACTAATGCTGTGAGATTAGGTGCGATGGCTTGCATGCGGGCGGTCAAGTAGGAAGAGAGCTGCTGACGGTACTCGGTGAATCCTACGACTTGCTCGGCCAGCTCCTTGATGCAGTCCAGATCGACGTCGGTGATTTCGGTACCCATGGACACTTCAGCAGCAGCCTTGACAGCACCTTCGATCTCCTCTGGCAGGATATCGCTCAAGTCCGTCGTAGCAGCATTCGTCCTCATGCCCATGGACAAGATAACTCTCGAGAAGGCGAGATTGTCGTTGATGATCTTGGCCATCTCAGGGAAATGCCATCCATACCACTCCTTGACTCGCATAGCATACGTATTCAACTCCTTGTCCAGATCGTCCAGCAGCGCAATCGCTTGGATGATCATAGTATCCACCTTATCAGGCGAGAACTTCAGCTTGTGTCGCGACAAGCTGTGCGAAAGACCCAAGCTCATTGTGCCGATCTCTTCTGGTAGTAGGCCGGGAATGAGAGAGGGAAGGTGTTCGCGGATGGCACGGTACAGGTCAGCGGTGGTGGAGTCGGAGACAGGCGAGATGTCGAGTCCAGGGATCTTCGTGATCGAATTGCCGAGTTTCGGGTCGGCGACGGCGAGGGAGACTTTCTTCTCGTCTTTGAGCTCCGAGAGCATGTTGGAGAGCATAGGCGTGACCTGGATCACATGATGTTAGTCCTCACCTCCCACCGTATATCTCCTCTGATATCTATCCGCACTCACCTTCCCATCCGTCAACGCCGACGCCTCCTCCAACGCCGCCGCAGCACTCTCAAACTTCCGGAACTGCTTCAGCTTCAACAAACTGCACACACCCTCTGCCGTCTCGGCCTCTTTGGCCAAGTCATCGCGCTTCAGTAACTTCTTGTCTTTCGCCTTGAGCAGCGCATAGCCGGCCGACGTCTCCGTAAGGATAAAGAGCGTCATGGTGGTGGTCGTGTGTGTATCGTATCGTATCGTGAGCTATTTGCTGCTACAGACCCGAAGCTATTCTGCTTGAGAAATTCTTCCGCTGCGAAAGAAGCTCTCGCACGGCTGCTTCCGTTTCTGCGCCGTGGACGGAGGTGCTTCCGCGAAATCTTGGCGTGCTCACATGTACAGCTAGCATTAAATGTCTGGGACTGGCTTAACGTCCTCACTGACACCAACACCAACACCAACATGTGATCGACTACATATCAGGCCTTCGCGCCAACCAGCAATACTTCTACATGGCAGCTCCGCCCTCACCCTCCACCGACTACTTCTCCGGCCGATCATCCACTCGCACCCGTCCCGGTCCCACTGTCCTCCCACCACAATCGCGACTAGCAGCAACACCAGGCTCCCCACGCACACCCCTACTCGGCCGTAGCATCTCCTCGCAATTCGGCTCCCCCGGAAGCTTCCGCACTGAGCAAGAGGATTTGATCATCTACGAGCTCGGAGCACGACATCTCAGTGCCGGGTTCGCGGGCGAGGGCCGGCCGAGATGTATTCTTCGTTTCTGTCCGGGGATGGGGAGGCGGGTGGGCGATTATCGCGGTCTGCAGGCTGGATACAAAAGTGACGGGCAGCGAGGGTCGAAGGACAAAGGCTGGGGCGAAGAGTACGAGCTCTATCGGACAGATGTTCGACAGCTCGACCTAGGACTAGTGGAAGACAAGCTTGAACGAGCAGTCCGACAAATTCACGCCGACTACCTCCAACTGGATACCAAGCCTCGGAAAGCTGTTCTGGCTGTGCCTTCTCTGCTACCTACGCCTTTGCTAGAGGTAGCGCTAAAGGTACTCTTCGATCACTACACACAGCCTCCTTCGATCGTGATCCTGACCACACCCATACTTGCTTGTGTGAGTGCGGGGCTGCGCAATGGGCTGGTCGTGGATATTGGATGGGAGGAGACGGTCGTGACGGCTGTGGGGGAGTACAAGGAGATCTATCAACGAAGAAGTGTGAGGGCTGGGAAGGTGTTGGGTCAGGAGATGGCTTCTGTGCTTGAGAAATTGGTTGGAGACGGGCATGATGGTCGAGATGATGACATGAGGATTCCTTTCAGGCATGCGGAAGACATCGTTGAGCGAATGGGCTGGTGCAGACCAAGACGAGCTACGACTTCGGACGCAGACCCAGCGACGACTACGTCCAAGAAGAAGATCCCGCTTCCCACCTCCAGCTCCTCCCCGATAGAAATCCCAGCAGAAACCCTCTCCAACCCACCGGAAACTATCTTCTTCGCCCCCTCCACCAACCTAACCGACCACGACGACAACGAGCTACCCCTGCAAAACCTCGCCCACGCCGTCCTCCTCCACCTCCCGCTAGACCTACGCTCCCTCTGCCTCTCACGTATCATTCTCACAGGCGGCGTAAGCGCTCTCCCGGGACTAAAACAACGCTTCCTCTCCGAACTTCACGCGCTGATAAGGGAACGGGGCTGGGACCCCGTGGCTAGCTATGGATCGGCGAGAGCTGCGTTTATGACGAAGATGGAGAAGCGGTTACCGAGTAGGACGAAACCGCCTGATGCCAATAGTCCACCATCAACGGCGTTGACTCATTCACCAACGAACCCGACCAAGCGATCATCTCTCACCAGCACAGCTGATCATAACACCGCGTCTTCAATGCCAGCTCATGCCCGACCTCACGACGACCTTATGGATCCGCGATCCCTCCAAGCAGAAAAGAACCATGCCATTGGCCGTTATCGCACTGAAGCGGAAACTAAGAATGCGGTGCGGGGTGTCGAGACCCTTGGAGCCTGGGCCGGCGCAAGTCTAGTGGCTAGTCTGAGGATTAAGGGTGTACATGAGGTTGAACGGGAGGAGTGGGTGAAGTATGGGTTGAGGGGTGGTGGTGGGGGTGTGTATTAGCATTGACGTAACCACCTATCTTACATCATGCCTCATGCCTCATGCCTCATCCCTCATGCCTCATCCCTCATCCACGTCATCAGCAAGTATTGGAGATCCTCAGCCATCTATCCTCTCAATTCCGCATGCCGTCGACACCCTAGCCAGCCAGCTACTGGAGAGTCTGGTCTGATGTTGCGCCTAGCCAAACAAAACAAGCAAGCATAGCTTCCAACCGGGCGTCTCGGCCCAGCCCACCCCTATCTCATTACTTCTCTCAAGTCCTCTCCCCCTCAACTCCCACCCCCGCCCTCGCCTTCCGCCTAATAGTCCTACGCGCGCTACTCCCAAGATACTCACCCCCCGGACCCTCCGCCCGCACAGCAGCACGATAGGCGTCCCGGCTCAAGCGCCTCTCGGACAGGAAATGGTACGGCTCGCGCGAAGCTGCTTCAGTGGAGAGATCCGCCAACGTCTGTTTCTCTTCTTCTCCTTCATCTGCTGGGCTGCTCGGCCGCGTCATCGCCGTGCTGAAGCATTTGGGCGTTAGTTTTGCTGGCTCAGGCTCGTGTCGTGTTCGTGCAGGCCTGCCCTTGCGGTCGTCGTTGCGCTTGATGGACTTGCAGGATGTGAACAGGAGGGGTTGGCGGGACGTGGCTTGGGTGGAGATGTCTGTGCCGTCGATCTGTTGTGGCAGGCTGGAGTGGACAGGCGTGGGCTGTGCTGTCCCCGGCCCGGTGGATTGCAGGGAGGCTCCTGCTCTACGACCGTCGCACTGTTCGAGAGCGTGCTGTGAGGATGAAATGAACGGTGGGTAGATTCCGGATCCAGTCGAGATTTCTGATCTGATGCCTGCTTCTGTCGTGTACGCGACTTGGGGTCTTGATCGCATTATCTCCGACCATCCGGGCAACTCAGCACCCCGAGCTTTAAGCTCAGCCACACGCTCGAGATCGTACTCCGACATGAAGAACATCCCCCGCCGGGCCTTTGATCGTGCTGCCATATCTGTCGACTGACGATTTGTGCTGAGAGAAATCCTCAGTGTTAGTTCAACTTTGTCCTTTATCGGCTGGTGGGTTTTGGAAGCGTGTCCTGGCTGGGCATCTGTGTGCTCGCCAGCAGATTATTGAGTCCGATCTGGGTCGACCTCATGAGGCATTGTGATAGAAGACGTCTCGTGAGACGCTATTAGCTCACATAGCTGCGCCTTCGCAAGTTGGATTGTAGGATTGTAGGATCGTGGGCATTCGCCACTTGGGCCCTTCCACGTATGGCCATGTTGCTTCGTGAAGCATTTTCCACAACACACTTACGCAGGCTTCTCATCCACATCCTCATGTTCAGACTCAGTAGCTGGCCTGGCCACTTCCTCGGCACCACCTTCAACATCCATGTCGTCATGTCCAGCCCTGCAAGCAAAAATGAGCACATGACCCGACCCTTTTTGGAACACGCATAACCTACCCATTAATCCCACCCTTCACCTTCATCTCATCCGCTCTCAAAAACTCCATAGCAGTATCAATAATAATCTGCTGCTCCTCGGCCGTATACCTCCCCTCACAATCCTCAATCATAGGCGCCAATTGCTCCACACCCTTCGGCGCAAGATTGAAGATCATGAGGCTCTCCGCATCAGTCAGGCACTTCATCTCCTGCTCCTCCTTCATCAGCTTCTCAACCTCCTGCTTGCTCATAGTGGGCAGGAGTCCTTTATATCTCTCCTCCAGCGGACCGCATATCCGTTCCATGAGTGTTTGGTCAAATCGCTCCATTGCATCGTAGGAGCCATTGTAAACGTTCGGGTTCGAAGCGTAAGGGTACTTGTCAGCATTGTTGAGTTCGCGTTCGTGCTTGGCGAGAGCTTTGAGGAAGCGTTTCGGCCGCGGTTTGAATTTCTGATTGTTCTTCTTGTCGGCGGCATCTTCGAGGGCGTGTTGGGACTTCTTGGCCGAGATCCAGTTGAGGACGTCCATATTCGTGAGGTTCTCGGTGCCTGCATCGAGGATCTTCATCGTGACGGTACGGCCTACGAGGCCCTGGGTTGCTGAAAGTGAGTCGAGACGTGTTTCGAAGTCGATTATTTGAAAGATGTTTCCGGGTGGGGGCGGGGGTAGGGGAGCGCCAACGCAGGAACGAATCTACAGATGTACCGCACTATCTATTCTATATATAAGATTTAGATATCTAACCAATCTAACCAAAAATAATAGAGTTAGCTAGTTAGTAGTGTCTAATCCAACTAATTATAGAAGTATTTGTTATATTAGTTCTAGAAATAGAAGCCTCTACTTCTATATTATTGTTATGCACCTGCGGTACAAGGGGGTTAGAGCTCGTTAGACGAGTAAGTTCCAAGCGATGGGTCGGGTAAGTGACTGCTCTAAGGTTTAACCTTTCGGCGGGTTGGTAACTTAGGTTGAACACGAACTACCTACATAAGAAACGCTCATTCTATATACATAGGAGATTCGTGTCTCTACTAATCCGACTAATCGCAGCGCGGTCAGTTCAGTTAGTGGTGTCTAATCCGACTAATCGAAGGAGTGTTAGTCGTATTAGTTGCAGGAGCGGAAGCCTCCGCTCCTAACTTCCTGTCCACTCGCTTATCCCACCAATCGTGTCACAGTGTCCGTAACACCATCCCCTTCCATACTAGTTCCGTCCTCGGAACCTTAAGTAATGGAGGTCCGCTGTTTTAGTAATCCCATAAGCTTCGTCATGCCTCTAACATCTTCCACTCAATACCGAACCCAACTCTCATTAGAGGTCGCGACTAGTACAGAAATAGCTCCTTGTTCTGGTTGTCAAAATGCAAAGGTGAAGCCTGGCGATCTAAAACCGAAATGTGTGATTAGCGCGAAATCGAAACGCTGTTCTAAGTGCGTGCGGAAGGGTTACACCAACTACAACGTAACCCTGACTGCTCCTTAGTAGATCAGGCTTCGGGAGACTCGGAACAAGCTACGGAGAGAGCTAGAGCAGCTTAAGGAGGAGGAGATCTCTTTGTTGCAGCAGCTTACTGCGAGGCGACAAAAGAAGGTTCGAGTTCGTAAGCAGCTTCGACTTGCTAAAAATCGGACGGACGATGCGGTTGGTAAAGAGCTTAACAATCTGGAGGTTGCTAATAATGTCGAGGCATCGTTGCTTCCGTCGTTAGAAGAGGGCGTCGAGGCGGAGGCGTTGCCTTAGCCGGTCTATGGTGTTCTTGAAATGAGTCCTGGCGAATGGGCCGGGCTCCAGAAATTGCCTAACAACTTTTGGGACGATCTTATGGCTGCACTAATGGTTAACGCCGGTAAAAGTCCCGGAGGAGTCCTTGGCAGTTCTTGAGGTAAGTCCTTGGTTCCTACGTGTTGTCTTCGCTGGGGTATCCTTTCCATTTGACCAGGTATTTCTAACCTCTTTTCTCTAGGATTTCTTCTACTTCCTATTCCTAGTTTTCTTAGGACTCGTAGTAGAATGTCGTTTAAAGCGCGGTGTCTGGGTGCGCTAGTTCGAGGAGGGAAACGTGGAATACGGGGTGCACCCTAGCATCCCTAGGTAGTTCGAGTCGGTAGTTGAGTTCGCCTCTTTTCTCAGCGATTAGAAACGGTCCGACCTTCACATGATCTAGTTTCTTTGTTCCTCTCTTAGTTTTTAGGTTCTTCGTTAGGAGATACACCTTATCCCCCGTCTTCAGCTAAGGCGCCGTTTTTGAGGCTTTAAATCTTGTCCTTACTAGAGCTCGCTAAGATTTGGTGATATTTTGTCGTAATTTGCAGTAGACGTCCTTAAGTTCGGAGGCTTTAACCAAAGCTTCCTTGGATGCTAGTCCTTCGCGTAGTTCTATAAACAGGTTCGGATCCTTGCCGTAATTGGCGTAGAATAGTAACTCGCCAGTAGTCTCGGAGGCATTGTTGTTGAGCGCAACCTGGGCCATCGGTAGTTTTTCTACCTAGTTATTTTGGGCTAGGTTCATGTAGTGCCTAAGGTATAGCTCGAGATTTTGGTTCATTCTCTCGGTTTGACCGTCCGTTTCTGGATAGAATGCTATAGATAGCTTGTGTTTGAGTCCTATTGCGGCGACAAGTGTTTTCTAGTAGTTTGATGTAAACTTGGTGTCTCTGTCGGTAATAAAAACCTTTGGTATCCCGTAGTAGCGCACAAGGCGATCGAGCACAAGGCAGCCTAACTGCGGGGCCGTAATCGTCTTGCTGCAGGGAATGAAGTGTGCGTACTTAGTCAGCCTATCGACCATAACTAGGATACCGTTGTAGTGTACTCCTGTCACTAGGTCGGGTAACTTAGGAAGATCGGTTATAAAGTCTATTGTGACTTCTTCCTATAGTTTTTCGGGTAGTTCCCGGAATTGTAAGTTGCCGTACTTCGCGTGCCGCGAAGACTTGTTCTTGTTGCAACTAACACACTTCTTGATATATTCTAAGACCTTTTGTCTCATGTCTAGGAAGGCGAAGTTCCGTCGAATGTGTTCTGTTGTTCGAGCAACACCTGGGTAACCGGAGTCTTCCCCATTATGGTGATCTCGTATACAGTCGTTTTCCTTGAGTGGCGGTACCTTGTACTTGCCATGCTCGACTGGGAATTCTTCGTCATCGTCTCGCAGAACCCGAAGAGTTAAGTTGAACTCTTGAGTCTTTGCACTAAGGCTTCCGTCCTTGTTAACCTTTAGCACCTGTTTTAGTTTGGGCTCGTTGCCCTCCGTGTAGTCGCTTCGTCTGCTTAGCGCATCGGCGCGCCTATTGTCTTTTCCTGGAGTATAAATGATATTGAACTTGTATTGTCCAAGTAGCTCTAACTATCGACATTGTCGTCTCGAAAGATCTTTAGTAGTTGTAAAGAATTGCAGATTCTTATAATCCGAGTAGATAGTCAGTCCTATAGCTCCTTCACAGTATATTCTCTAGTGTCGCAATGCTACGACGATCGCAAGCAGTTCCTTGTCGTAGATCTTATAGTTTTGTTCCGCTAGCGTCATCTTCCTTAAGAAGTACGCGATTAGGTGTCGATTTCTATTGTGCTCCTGTGTAAGGCAAGCACCAATAGCAAAGTCGGAGGCATCGGTTTCGATAATAACATCTCGTTCTAGATCGAACATAGCGAGCGTTGGTGCGGATGCACTAAGTTCTTTTAGCTCCTAAAAGGCTTGCTCCTGTGTCGTCGTCCAATTCCAATAGATATCCTTTTTCGTTAGGTTAGTTAAGGACGTGGCTATCCTTAAGTAATCCTTAATGAATTTTCGGTTGTAGTTAGCTAGTCCGAGGAATGCTTAAATGTCTCGGACTGTCGTTGGGGTAGGCCATTCCATGATTGACTTAATCTTTTCCGGATCCATGCGAATGCCGTTAACTCCAACGATAAAGCCTAAGAAGTCGACCTCCTTGCAGAAGAACTTGCACTTCTCGGGTGCAGTTTTAAAGCCTAAATTGCCAAGGCGTTCGAGTACCTCGCCGACGTGTCTGGCGTGTAATTCTCGAGGACCATTTGTAAAGATGAGCACATCGTCCATATAGGCGATTGCTGTGATGTCGAGGACGTCGCGTAGAGCGTCGTTAACAATTTCTTGGCATGTTGCTGGCGCATTTGTCAAGCCCATTAGCATAACTCGGAATTGGTATAGTCCGAAGCGCGTTCTAAAGGCTGTCTTCTACTCTTCTCCGGGTGCTATGCGTACTGCGTAGAAGGCGTCCCGTAGGTCGATCTTCGAATACTATGTAGAACCCGTGAGTCGGTTCTTCATTTCTTCGATGTTTGGTAGCGGATATCGGTTCTTAATCGTTATCAAGTTTAGTCGTCTGTAGTCGATAACTATGCGTAGTTTTCCTCCTTTCTTCGGAACAAACATTGAGGGTAAAGCGGCAGGCGATTGGGATTTCTCAATCTATCCCCTAGATAGGTTCTTGTCTATCTAGCTTCGCTGCTCTTCCAGCTCTCGTTGTAATAATGCGTAAAGTGGTCCCTATAGTGGTTCCTTACTAGGCTGGATTGGTATCTTATAATCCTATAGTCTGTGTTTAGGCAAGGCCGCGAGCCCTGTCTCTTCCTAAAAGAGGCGTTTCTATCGTGTAAACTCTTTAGGGATTCCTAGAGGTGCGTCCTTGTCCTCCTTCGCTCTGACTTGTTAATCCGGTGGATCTATTCCGGCATCTGTCGAGCTTGGGCTACTACGTAGCTCCTGTTTCGGTTGTTGATTAGCTATGTATGTATGCTGTCGTTCCTCATCTACCGCTGAACTCTGCCGGCGTGTAGGCTCGATGTCGGTAACGCATACGCATCGCTTAAATGTAAGTACTCTCGTTTTCTACTCTATGTGTAGGTTGTGACGTTCCAACCAAGGCGTGCCTAATACGATATCGTGTCTAGCTATAGGCACGACGTCCAGGACTATCGTCTCGTGGTGCTGTTGCATCGCTAGGGATAGTGGCATCGTTTCACTATCCACGTCGGGTAGGGATGAGCTATCGACGGCTATTAGCTTGTACCCGCCATTCTTCCTCCTTCGGGTTGCGATCCCGTGTCGTTGCACGAATTGGGCTAATATGAACGTTCCGTTGGCTCCGGAGTCGATTATTGCTATTGTTTCGTGTCCTTATATGATGCATTTAGTGCGTAGGACTGCTGCTGAAGTCTGTTGAATATTCGTGTTGTTGAGTTCCCGTAATCTGTTCTTACCAACGGGCTCTCCTAGTTTTTTGTCTCTAGAGCTACTAGAAGCTCGGGGTCCTTAAGGCAGACTTCCCAACTAAGGGGTCCATCCTTAGGCTATAGTGTAATTCTTCCTCGTTCGATACTTGTCGATACTAGTCCTTTAGTCGATAATAACAGTTTACCGAAAATCTGTCCCTTCTACACTAGTAGTAGTAGGAGTCTGTAGGTTGTAGCGTGTGACCATTTGTGTAACGCAGTCTTGCACTGCTAGATCATCTCTTATTCTGTGATGAGGTCGTTCTGCTAGTTTTCCTATATTATGTAGATCTCGTCGAATCGCTGTGCAAGCACCTTAACGTAGTCTCGCATGTTCTTGCTAATGTAGATCCCGTCTAGGGCGTAATATCCTCCAGATCCGTCGAACTTGCTTCCTATCGGGGGTGTATCTCGTACATAGGTTTGCCCTCCTTCGAGGTTGATTTGTCGATAATCCTAAAATTCCCTCCGTAGGTTGTTAAGTAGCAAGTCAAAGTTGTTTCGATGTAGTCGTCGTTTCCCTTGCACCTTCGGGAAGACTTCCTCGTGTTGTCTAACTATTGTAAGAATTATTCGTCTAATTGGTTCTAGTACGTCGACACTGAAGTTGAGTGTTTCGTTATCGCTATTATTGTCGTCGTCGGTGTATTCGTATTCTGATGACTCGGGCGTGTCCTCGTGACCGTCCTTAGAGTCTGGTATAACAGGGGTCAGCGCGAAGCTTCCCTAATCGTATATTACGACTAGTTGTCTTAATTCTTCTTTATCGTCGGATTCCTCCTCCTAAGGTTGTTGTGTTTCTTGTAGGGTTGTATCCTCCCACCTAAGTAGAGGTGGAGACCTTCCTCGGGCGTAAATGCCGTCGTCCCTGTCCTGCTGTAGTTGCCGTTGTCGAACTAGCGCTGGTTCGAACATGGGGGGCTGATACGCAGCACTGTTAGATCCCTATAATTCCGTCGAATTGAACTCTCGACGAGGCTTACTCGGGAACTATCCTAAGTCTGCCTTACTCGAGTAGTAAGTCGTACAGGAGTCGTTGTAACATCCTGTCTAGTGTAGTTGTTTGTGTTCGTTATCTAGGTCCTTTCCGACGCTTTCTCCGATCTTTATCATCGTGTCGCGGATGACGTAGATGTTATCCGTGGAGACCGTTCCGAGTAGTTCGAGGAACTTGTTCTCCTATTTGATGATTTCGTCCTTACGATTAGGGTGTCGTTTCTTCATCAAGCCCATCGTATTGGCGATTTCGGACTGCGTTTGTCGTACAGCATTGCTATTGGCTGATTCCTCACTAACGTGCATTCCTGACTAAATGACGTTAATGGCTTCCTGAATATGTTCGGCAAATGGATTACGTCGTTCTGTGACGTTGATCTCTATGGCGTTGACCTCCCTAAGATCCGCCTTGTAGTTCTGCTGTGGTTGCACCTTGCGGCTACGGTAGTCTCGTGCGTAGTGTCCTTCCTTTCCGCACGAATAGTACTTCAGTCCTTGCTTCTTACCCTAGGCGTGGTTCTTGCCCTTAGCTCCTGCTCTATTGGGTTTGCCTCCTCCAAACTTGCGTTGAGTGGCGTCGAGTTCTATAGCGTCAGGGTCGCGACGTTGCTATCCTCCGGTCCGGCCGTAGGGAGCATAGCCAATTCGTCCGCGGTCCTAATTAGTATTGCGTTTTTCCATGTATCGTTCGTAGAGCATATCGTCCACCTTGATTGCAGCCTCCTGCAAGTATTCTAAGGTGTCTTGGCGTCCTCCGTATCTTATAAGCTCGTCCTTGACGTTGTCTTTGAGTCCTCGATAGTACATAGATCTTAATGCATTGCCGTCCCATCCAGTACGAGTAGAAACCTCTTTGAACTTGGCGGTGTACTAGGATGCGGAGGCCCTTTACGTAACGTGTTGGATGTTCCGGATAGCGACTTGCTAGTCGTTACTAAGTCCATAGATTCCCTTAACCTGTTTAGCGAACTCCGAGAAGTCGGCAAAGATCCCGTCCGGGTCTCTGTTCTCGAGTAGGACCATAGTTAATTTAGGACGTATCCAGCTTTGAGCTTCGCCTCGAAGGTAGGATGCTGCGATGCGGCAGCGTCGTTGTTTACTTGTAATACCTTTAAGGGAGAAGTATAGCATAATCTGGTTTAACTAGTTATCGAGCTTGTTGCGATCCCCATAGAAGAAGTCCGGCTTGGCGGAATACTTTGTCCTATCTTTATTAGTAGAGGCACTAGCTCGAGCGGTCGAAGCTATGCTGACGTCTCTTTCGTTATTAGGAGCTATTTGTTTGCTTGGGGTACTCACCTGCTGTAAGGGTGTTCAAAATGTTATGCACCTGCGGTACAAGGGGGTTAGAGCTCGTTAGACGAGTGAGTTCTAAGCGATGGGTCGGGTAAGTAACTGCTCTAAGGTTTGACCTTTCGGCGGGTTGGTAACTTAGGTTGAATACGAACTACCTACATAAGAAACGCTTATTCTATATACATAGGAGATTCGTGTCTCTACTAATCCGACTGATCGCAGCGCGGTTAGTTCAGTCAGTAGTGTCTGATCCGACTAATCGAAGGAGTGTTAGTCGTATCAGTTGCAGGAGCGGAAGCCTCCGCTCCTAACTTCCTGTCCACTCGCTTATCCCACCAATCGTGTCACAGTGTCCGTAACAATTATTATCTACTTATTAACTCTACTAATTACTAAGACTACTATCTATAATATGTTACTTATAGAGATTTGGATATAGTTATAAGGAGATTAAATACCTAATTCTAAAGATAGATTGTAGTATAAATATTGTAGATTCTATCTTAACAAGTAGATATAGTACTAGGAAGTCCGCTTTGAGCGTCAACATCGATCAACACCTCAGGCATCCAGTCTCACCGAAACAGGAAGGTGAGACGACCCCGGTCATGTCCACGTCCGTCAACAATCGCGTCTCCTTTGCGTCTGCATTGCACACCGGTGGCATGTCGGCATCAGAACCTCTTGGGAAACGCCAGGTGCTGGACCTGCACAGGTATTGGTTCATCTGCTGCCACCAGATGAGCTTTACCCGTCCCTTGTGATCCAAGCAGTCGACCCTCATGAGTCAAGCCGCAACACGCAAGCATCGACGTAACCCACGAGCGTGCGATGCATGTAGCCGCAGGAGCGTACGTTGTCCTTATGCTACCGAGCAAGACTTGCGATGCCAGAACTGTACGCTCTACAATGAGGATTGTACTATCGAACGATTGATCCGCAAGCGCGGAGCCAAACCAAAACACAGCACAATACGAACAAGTAGTATCCCCGGCGATTCTTTGACTCATCATGGATCCCTGACTGGAAGGTCCCCAGTGATGACGCCGACTTGCCCTCGTGTATCTGATGGAGATGGCGACACGTACGACGACTGGCGGCTGGACATCAATGTCAACCAAGCGCTGGTTACGGACCTGACGGAAATTTTCTTCGAGGTCATCTACCCGGTGTTCCCTCTTTTCCATCGGTCATCGTTGCTCCGAAAGGTAGCTCGCGGCGAGCATCTCACTAATCGATCGTTGGGTGCTTGTGTCATGGCCATAGCTGCGCTAGCATCCGCACGTGTACGTGACAACGCGCTGGGTTCGAACGCATACGATTTGGCTTCACTACAGGATCCGTGCTCGGAAAGACTGTTTGACGCTGCAGAGCGGGCGATGCCCAGAGACGCTCCATTTACCCAATCGTTCGATTACATGCGCGCTTCTGTCATATTGGCTATCGTGGCTATACAGTATGGCAAGCCGGCGGTAATGAATCATCACCTTGGCATATATCACACTTTCGTCGCAGTCGGTGCGCTGCACGATGAAGCCAACTGGCCCCCAAATCCGACTGCGATTGAGCTAGAAGAGAGACGACGGCTCATTTAGTCAACATACACGCTCGACATCTTCACTTCCGTGGTCTGGGCTGGAGTCGTCAGGAGTCGGGAAGCCTCGTCAAGTGTGTGCTATCCACACAAGGGCGACTTCGATTTGGATTATGAGAATGCACGCTCCATTGCTGCGCTCGACGACCATCCCCATTGGCTCCAAGGATGGAACTTCGTCACGGATCTGTACCGAATCCTGGAGCACGCTGTAGACAATCTACGGCGTCTGCGAACTCCTGTGCGCAGGACACCGGTCGTTCAAGCTTTGTTCGAGGACAACATGGTCTCACAATTCGCCGTACTTGATCAGATCATGACCATGTATGATGAGCTCCCCGACATCTTCAAAACGACCAAGCAGCCGACGGCAATCTCAATGAGAACCTTTTCAGCTTTCAAGCGGCCAACATTGCAGCGACTATACAGCTCGTGCGTATGGTGTACCTCGCCAATTCACATTCCACCCTCGAGCAGAAGTGCCTGGTCGCTGGCAAAGTCATTGCTGGGTTCGCTTCTGTGCCGGTAGCATATTTGCGTGCAATCAGCTCGCCTCTTCTTCACTATCTGGCTGAGATTGGAAACATACTCGGCGCGGCTTTCGAGGACGGAATGACTAGAGCAACCTACCATTCAGTACGGTCTGTACTCCTTGATCTTGCCAAGCTTCTGGCAGACCTTGAAGTCCATCTGTTCTGCCCTCCCGGCGCGAGCAAGAAGCTTCACACTAAAGTCTCTCGTATCGATCAGTTTATGAATGCCGAGCTGCAGCTCCACACATCACGACCCGTTGATGTTGCAATCGAAGCCCAGGCTGGGCCCGCTGCGAGGGATTCCGCCATATCAGACGGTCAAGCATTGCTTCCTGTGCCTACAGCAGACTACTCTTCGCCTCAATATCGCTTTTCACCGGATCTCCTCGAAGATTGGACTTGGGCGTTGAACTTTGCGTGAGCGAGTCATAGCTGCTATTGGTGGGTTTCCGAGCGGCTATCTGGCGATACAGACCCATCGATTCTACTTGTACGTACCGGGCTCATGACCCTTCTCTACACTGGCCACGCTCTTGGCCCTTTCGCCCCCAGCCAGAGCTACAACATCTTTGTTCAACTCGTACGACCGTTCCATCTGGTTGAAAAACGGTGATGACGAAGAGAACATTGCGTCAATCGACTCGAGCGACCTATCTTTCGTCCTATGGGACAAGGGAGCGAGAAGTCAGCATCATTTCCCGGTGCATCAATGAGCAGGGCAGTGCTACTCACTCAGGATACAAAAGGTAGACGATAGGGATCCAAAGGAGGTTGAGCCCGGCAAAGAGGAAGTAAGTCCGGTTCTGGGAAGCAAACAGCGTCAGTCTCGCCCGTGGATATAATCATCGAGGCACATACCTCGAGGTGCCCAAACATGATGGGATTCACGAGGACAGCCCAGCCAACACCAATGGCCCAACCAGTGATTCCAAAACCGTTACCCTGAGCTCTCAGGTCACTCGGGAAGATTTCGGTAGGCACAAGAAATGCAACGGTGCCCCAAGTAGCGGCGTAGACAAGGTTGAACTACCGGATGACACCTTACGTCAGTCTGAGTCTCCCCTAAAGCAGCGTGATACTTCACATACCAAGAACAGCATGGTGACTGCAGCCGGTGCTACTTGCGTAGAAATGGACCGGTTGTGGCGTGCCGCTTCGTACAGAGACGCAGCCTAACGAACATTAGCTCCTTTGTTTTCGTATGTTGAGAAAGCGCTATCGTACAATAAGATTCACGACTGCAAGACCACCAGCACCACCCATAAGGCAAGGGCGTCGTCCGAGTTTGTCGACAATCTGAGCCGAAATGATTGTTCCAACGATTCCGATAGCGTTCAGACCGCCAGCAAGACCGTTTTGCTTGAGCGCGCTGTACCCAGCCTGGCGCAGAAGAACGAACTATACGCAGTCACGGCCGTGATGCCAGTCCAGGACGCCATAATCTGGAGCCAGATGCACAACCATGCTCTGCGTCCGAGATGGGGTGCCTTGTGTCTGTTCATACCAAGAAGGATCTTGATGAACTCGACTGGTGAGCTAGGTCTGCTTTCCTCGGCCACCACGCAGATCTCGTTGAACTCCTGCTCGACCTGCGGGCTGAGTCCACCCCGGATGTGTACCAACACTTCTTTCGCCTCTTGCAGCCGGCCAACAGAAGCATAGAACCGAGGAGAGTCCGGAAGCATCTTGATGCCAACAAGCAGCACCAGCGCTGGGATACATTGAAAGCCCAAAAGAAATTCCATCGGACGTCCGAGTAGCCATTGTCGACGAAGGCCAAGCCGAAGGACAACCAGTACGCTATACTGATACCGAGGTAATCCGCAATGAAAACGTAACCAAGATATCCGCCGCGGTGTGTCGCACTCGAGACTTCCGAGATCATTACGGGTGTGATACCGGTCAGCACTAGGAACAACATTGTCATGTCAGCGAGTGCAGCTGGATGTACTCGTGGAGACCCAGAACGTGTGCTCAGACTTACCTCCTGTTCCGAGCCCTGTGACAACACGAGCAATCAAAATGAAATCGGCGCTTTGCGTGGCGGCTTGAAGAGCACCTCCAATGAGAGCAAAGAATGCGGCGTAGAAGAGGCCATTTATACGGCCAATGCGGTCAGCTGCCCAACCACCAACAAAGCATCCGACGATGGCACCCAGATAGTACTGGAGGGGTGATCAGCTGGACTGTTAGAGACGGCGAAGCAAACGACTCACGATGCTGACGATACCACCCTGCTTCACATCGTTCGTCACGACTCCCGCAGGTGTACCGATAGCGACTTCTTGGACATATCGAGGACTCGCGTTCACACCACCCATCACACCCTGTAGCACGCAATGTGAGAAAGCGATCAACAAATGTGACAAAGGTCTGATGATTGTAATCGAACTTGGTCATAACCCTCGAAGAAGATTGCAATGAGCGAGAACGCTTGGATGGCGAAGTTGAGCTGTCGAGGCGACAGCCTCTTCCAAGCAGTACCGAATGCCATTATGAAGCGTTCGCAAAGGGTGATTTGCGACGGGCCGGCTTAGGATGATGTCTGCTGTTGATCTGCATCCACACCGAGAGCGCAGGGCTGGATGCTTTTTATGTGTTCGAACAACCTGTTTGTGCTCTTGGTCCGAGTCCCTCCTTGTCGCATGACTTTGTTCCTACTTCGGCTCTCTCAGCCCTGTCATGATCGCAACGCTCGCAAAACTGCCCATGGGGTCGCCATGCACGCTGGTCCGGATGGTGCAGCCGTCGGATTTAAGCGATCAAGCGAAAATACGAGACGATTGAGCGAATTTCCATACTGGCGAAGCTTCACTTCTCCACATTCATGTCGCTGTCAAGCGATCGTGCTTCCGCCCTAAGTCGTATAAACATGGACCGATAACGGTAATGACGAAGACGGTGACTTCGTCAAGGCCGCCGTCGACGGAAGCGTTGGATTCCTCTCGTGCCGATGGCTTTCACCATTTAAGTATCCCCATGCATAGTTCTTCCAGGGCAACATTTGAATCTCTTTCGTCTTGCACTCCTGGGCTGTCGAACCAAGAATCAGTAGAGTCACAACCAGCGATCATGTCTAGCTCGGTCCCAATGGAAGGTATGCCGTCGCAGCAACATGGCGCGGACGGATTGGACTTGACTGTAATCGTTCTCAATAGCGGCACGAGCATGGATGGGATCGACTGCGCTCTTTGTCGCTTCCGCCAATCTTTTCCAGATGCGCCAATGCACTTTGAGTTGCTCAAGGTACGAATGTCTGTCGTGTACCAATTCAAGACACAAGAGCTGACCCAATTCCTCAGTATGGAGAGGTACCGCTTGAGAGGAACATCAAACGTCGGGTCATGGACATGATCCTGCACAACAAGACAACACCAGAGGAGCTGTCTGAAGTCAATGTACTTCTGGGCGAGACTTTCGCGTCGGCTGTTGAGGACTTCTGTACAGAGCATAGGGTGGAGAAGTCAGATATCGATGCAATTGGGCCCCATGGGCAGACCATCTGGCTACTCAGTATGCCCGCAGCGGGTCAAGTGAAGAGTGCTCTTACAATGGCCGAAGGAACCTTCATCGCCGCACGAACTGGCATCACCACAGTGACCGACTTCCGAGTTAGCGATCAAGCGGCTGGTAGGCAAGGCGCACCCTTGATTGCCTTCTTTGACGCGCTACTATTGCACCACCCCACCAAACTCCGAGCCTGTCAGAATATCGGCGGCGTTGCCAACGTATGTTTCATCCCGCCAGATAACGCTGGTGGTATCGATAAGTGTTTCGACTTTGACACCGGCCCGGGCAACGTCTTCATCGATGCAGTCGTCCGTCATTATACCGGCGGCGCTCGCGAGTACGACAAAGACGGCGAGATGGGCAAACGCGGCATAGTCAATCATGAGTTAGTGAATGAGTCCCTCCAGCACGAGTACTTCCAACTCGCACCTCCCAAGACAACCGGGCGTGAAGTCTTTCGGGATACTCTCGCTTTCGACCTCATCCGCAAAGCGGAAGCAGCCGGCATGTCTCCGGACGATGTCGTCGCGACCGTCACGCGAAATACAGCACAAGCGATTGTAGATCACTACAAGCGCTACGCACCATCGCAGCACATTGACGAGATCTTCATGTGCGGCGGTGGCGCCTACAACCCAAATATCACCGCACACATCCAGAAGCACTACCCAAACACGAAAATAATGATGCTCGACGCTGCTGGTGTGCCGGCCGGTGCCAAAGAAGCGATCACTTTCGCTTGGCAGGGCATGGAAGCCATCGTCGGCCGCTCCATACCTGTACCCGACCGGGTAGAAACAAGACGGGACTACGTGCTGGGTAAGGTAAACCCAGGGAAGAACTATCGGGAGGTCATGCGCAAGGGTATAATATTTGGTGGTGCTCTCAATAGATTACCGCCAGTGCAGGACATGGTAAATCATGTAGACGGTCGTGTATTTGACAACAAGTGGTAGCTTGACTGATCTGACGAGCAAAGAATTGACATTACACCAGACAAATTTCCGTCATGTGCAGCCTCACAGCACAGACCGGTAGAATGTGTTTATTGTCAGGCTATGCAACGACGATGTCACACTGTCGATATCAAGCAAAAAAGGCAGGAGTGTTCTGATACTTTGATCCTTACAAAACAGTACGCGACTCTGATGGAAGGCCGTCATGTGAGATATCTGCATTCACGAGTGCTCTATTTACAAAACTCCATTGTCGCACGAGCTCGCAGCACTCGAGCACTTTGCGGTGGCCTGTACTGTCTGTTCTTCGGCCACGTAGGAAGTCCTTGTACGTAAGCTCATCGTTCGACCATCGGTGTGAGAGTATGGCGTAGGGCGGCACATCTTTGTCAAAGAACTCGCGGAATTGGAGAGTGTTGACATTGAGCAGGCGCATTGCTGCGCCAAGACTTCGTGTTAGATTACTTGCGCAAGTGCATAACAGCTATAGTCAGGACAGTGTGAGTCGGCTCAACCTCATATCTCGGCATTGAATCGCTTCAGAGACACTGTATGATGGTATCGGGGTTCGCCTTCTCGATCACTGTTTCATGTGGAGCAGCTCGTGTGCTTTGTGCCCAGGTGTATGCTCAGTATGTCTGCTCAGCAGACATCAGCCATAGCCATGAAGTAATGTCTCGGTATGCCACTCTCAATGCAAGATGGTGCAAGAAGAAAGCGAAGCCGTTCACGAATGCGAGCCAAAAATTAGCCATCACGTGCTCGTGCTCGAGCGGCTTTGTGTTGCTCCGCTTCGTCGGAGTGGCGCAGCCAACAAGCGCCTCCTCGAACGCTGCTGCCTTCGCTGACCTTCCAATACGATTCTTCCCTCACACTTATCTACCCACCACTTATTCCTTTTGTTAATTGACCTACATACCCTTCGATAATCACCACCCCGATCGGACACGAAAACAACCAATATGTCGACCGTCCACGTGCTCGGCCACGTAGTCCGCCGCGGTGTGGAGGTCGCCCAGAACCACATCGCAGGCATCAGCCCGGAGACGATTGCGAGGCTCCAGCACGATGCTGCATTGCGCGAGAAGACCGGGGATGAGGTCAAGCCATGGGAGCTGTTGCCGATCCTTATACCTGTGATCTTGTCGCTGGTGCTCGTGGCTAGCATCCGCTACACTATCGGCGATGTCATGGCTTCTTTGGCCATGATTGAGAGCCCTTCTTCCACCGCCATCATCGAGCCCAGGTCAACCAACCCACCCAAGTACGCCGAAGACGCTCCACCAGCATACTCCGATGAGCCAGATGCGCCAATCGCCGAGAAGGAGGCGTTCATTCCGACAGAGACTACACCCGAATCTGATGTGGATGTCGAGGTCACTGTCATCTCCCACAAGCCCATCACCAGCAAGATCGTGGCTACAATCGGCCTTCTTCACCGCACTGGTGGCTTCCGAGCTCGATGGAGGGGTCTTGGTCTCAGCATCCTCTACCACGGCCTCCACGGCACATTCGCTAACCTCCTCGCTGGCCTAATGGGATTCGGCTTCGTCGGCCACTTCTTCAGCTACATCTTTGTCTCTATCGGTCTCATGCGTGTGCACATGGTCTGGACACACAGCATGATCGCTGCCCCGTCCGCTAAGCCATGGTACCGCCGCATCGTGCCAAGGAAGCAGTGCAGGGCTCTTTTGCTGCCATCGCTAGTCTTCGCCGTTGCACAACAGGCTGCATTCATCCTCCCAGTCGCTGTCGCCTTCGCTGTCGGTCTCCCGAACATCAAGCACGAGCACTTGGCCGACGCTGCGAACCACGAGAACTGCGGCAAGATGGTGCTTATGGGTCTCCGCTTCTTGGCTGTCCCAGCTACCGCCATCTTCGTCGCTTTGGCTGTCCTCCTCCCAGCTGCCGTAACCTTGACCCGCGTCGAGGCTCTTCTGCTGCCAGAGGATGAGCAGACCATCGTGCCGTTCGACAAGGCCGCAATCATGGGCGACATCGACCTCAGTGTACGTGGTGGCTGCCGCAGCCTCTTCCTCCAGGCATGGCGCTCCTTCGACCGATCTGCTCGCCTGCGCATCATCAAGCTCTACGCCAAGATGGTCATGGCACAGTTCACTATCATCTTCGTTGGCCTACACTTGGCTCTGCTTTCTCTCTTTGTCATGGGAAGCGACCGCATTGTGATTGCTGTCAAGAGCGCTGCTGCTGAGCTTCAGCTTATCGCTATTGAAGCTCATAAGGAGGCTATCAAGAATGGGGCTCAGTAGACGATGTCTCCTCAAATGTCTGAGTATCAAGTGGCTAGTTAGCTCAGAATGAATTCATAAGGTGTTGAACATGGTGGGAGTCAGGAAATGGGAGGTCATGGTGGTCACTGGTATTGTAATCTTAGCATAGCTTCATACGAACTTCTTCTTGTGTCAACCGCCCATCTCCATCGTCCCACTCATACAGTCCTGACTAATTGCTTGTCTCAATCATAGCATGACCGGCCCGCCTCCACGAACCGCTTGCTTTGACGTGCAGGTGGCTTCCACTAGGGCGACCCACGTCAGCGGCATGTGAGACCGTAACTAGGTGAAGCACCTGTTGTAGAACAAAGAACTTGCTTCTGTCTTTCCTTCACCAATGGACCATATTGATATAGTACTATGCTCGTATATGTCTCGATATCCCTAGCAATCTCCAAGACAGCATGGCAGCTTCGACTCTCACCATGCCTGCGGTAGACTTCAAAGCTCCAGGAACCTACAGCATCCGCCTTGGGAGCAGTTTTGGCGGGAAAGCTGGAGCACCGAAGAAGTATCAGAGTGTACGATACAATCATAGACCGACATTACGACGTGAGGAGCAGAGCACGAGCAGGATAAGCAGGAATTCGGCGAATACCGCGAGCGGGCTCTTGTTGCAGGATGGCGAAGATGAGTACAGATATACTGGCCAAGGACAAGAGGCAGAGGACAGCTACGTGCTCGTAATCAAAGACGGCGAGGATGCAGTACTGGAGAAGCTATCAGCAGACTGGGTCTTCAACCTCACGACTACTCCGATACAATCCGATGCCGATGTGCTGCAGGAGCAACACACTCATGTCAGCTTGAACGACGAGGTGGAAGAGGGTCTGTTCGGTGACCATGATGAGGGCAAAGAGGCGCCGCTAGATCCAGACAACCCGTTCGACTACAGGCATTACCTCAAGACGGCCTCCGAAGCCAAAAGTAGACCTGCCGAGACGGAAGGACCACGAAGCACACTCGGCACACCACAGCATCCTCGGCCTGCGAGCGCGACTCCCATCTCGCGACCTGTCAGACGGACGGCAGACTCAGCACTGGTGCCGCAAAAGAAAAGAAAGATCCAGACGACTGCAGCAACCACTACGACCGCTAAGCGTACTAAGGTTGCTGACTCCCCTGCGACTGCCTCTGCCAAAACGAAAACCACCAAGACCCAGACTTCGCGCTCCAATGAGCCACCACCAAAGATCAGGGTCGATCGTAAAGCGTCTCTTCGGCAACCAGATGACGAAGATGACAACGGCGAGCTAGTACTGGAAAATGGAGACTCGTCATCAAAGGGTACGAGCAGGAATGCCATGTCACTTGCTCTTAGCGGTCAGCTCGGTGAAGCTCCCATAAGTCTACAGTCAGCAGCAAATACCCCCAACTCCCACATCGCCGGCTCTCCAGCTCCCATACGACCAGACGAGATCGAAGAAGCAGCAGAAGAAGAAGAAGAAGGTGAAAGGACCTTCACCTTCGAAATGGGCAGCAGTCCCGAACATTTCGGCGCCAACCCATCACGAAATCCTCGTGGCCATAACGACGAAGACGATGATGCGGATGTGGAGGACCTTGAATTACCTTCCCCTGCTGCGGTACATAAGCCTTCGATTAGCGCTGCGACTGTTACGAATGCTACGGCGGGAGGTGACGAGGATGATTTGGATGCGCAGTTGGCGGCTGCGATGGCGGAGGAGGAGGGGCCGGGGGTGGTGGAGGATGAGGAGGAGAGTGAGGAGGAGTAGGATTTCTGTTCGCCACTTCGGTACGTTGTCAGAGCGCGGACACGAAGTATCCAGACATTGACACCACGCAGTCTGTCTGCATACCCGTCTGAAGTAGACTTGGATGGTTCGTGTTACATCACGTTTGGAGGGGGATAGTGGAGGAGTAGCGGTAGCTCGTGCTCTGTCGTCGTGTAATCAGATCCTATCATAGCGCCATTTGTATCGATCTACTATGGCATGCAGTTTTATTCTGATCTTTTTTCGATGGTATGGTGCGTACTTGACCTCTCGAGAAATTGGCGGAGGATCGGACGTTCCGTGTGTTCTCTGACTGTATCTTGAGAGTGCCAGTTCTGTTTAGAAAGCCTTCGACAAAGGATGGTAAGCTCCTAGTTCTATCTGGATCATATTTTGACCCTACGAAGTATGTGACCTGCTGACAAGGAGAGCGTGCAGGAATAGGCAGTCTCGGCATTGCGTTGTCATGCTGTTGGAGGATAGATATGAAGCATAGGAAAAAGTCACTACCATAACTGCCCTTGAATTCCAACAGTGCGATGTTTCCACGCTCCCCACGTCGCATTGCACGTATCTATCGTGCCCACCTCGCTGCCCCGGGTTCCTGTAGTCTCTCATACTGCTGTCCGTGAGTCGTGGAGGCTTGGAGTTACTTGCCATGGCTTATGAGCGGCTGATATTCGGGTTTTCGTTTTTGAAGGATTATAAGATTTTGGGCTTTTAGGACTGTCAATCGTAGCATCGTATCGTCTTCTGGATACCCCGGTTCGATTCCGGGTACGACCTGCCGCTTGTACGATTGTTATACGACGACCTACATCGGTTGTATGGTGTAGGGGTTAGCACATCAGATTCTGAACTGATGCTATGATTTTTGCCAATTCCTGGACCATAGCTAGTCGTCGTCTTGAGGTTTTATAGGTCCTTTTGTTTTTGTGGTGTGAAGAAGCCAATGGCTCTTGAATCTTTGTGTTTTGGCAGACGAGCCGTCGCCATACTCGGGAACTTTTCGCCATTTGAACGAGGACGCGTTATCAAGATCCAATGGAGATCATTTTCAACGCAACCAGACAAGCTGGGGAGTGACAGCTTTGAACAAGGCAGAGATGGTTAGACCATGGCTAGAGATTGAGTAATAGAAGGTTAACCAACTAGCACATTGTACCGATACTGATGCTTCTACAGAAAATCTACAGATAGGCACCGTAGTGCCTTACATAAGACGAGGTCATCTCGATCTTTGGCGATGGGCAACCATAGCATACCAGAGTCGCACTCGAAATGCTTGTGAGATTTCCCATTATCATAGTACAGCCGGTCCCAAAAACCCCATCATCCTCTTACCAAACTCCACCGGCCTCTGCATAGGCGGCAAATGCCCCGTCTCCTCAAACTTCCCAAACTCAGCCCCCGGAATCTTATCAGCCACATCCTCCAACATAATAGCATCAGCAGCCTTATCCTCCTCTCCAGCCAACACCAACGTCTTCACCTTCCCAATAGCAGCTATCTGATCCTCGTAGTCGTAATCCCTGATAGTGTCGGCGAGTGCACGATACCCAGCAAATGAGCAAGTCAAAACATGTCCCAGGCTCTCCGCTCGAACAGCATCGTCTTCTCGGCGATCACCCGGGAACCATCTCGCAATCGTCTGGTCGGCTAATTCGTGCTTCCCTGTCTTGACATCCTCCTCGAACAACTTGATCCGCTGAGCCCAGAGATCTTGAGCAGCGGCCGGGGCCTTGATACCGGGTGAGCATAACGAGATAATAACTTTGACATCATCTGAGAAGAGCTGAGCATAGCGAAAAGCTATCGTGCCCCCGATACTACAACCCACCACGGCCTTGAGATTCTGCTCGCCCGTGCGTGCTTTGACGATGGCGTGGGCGTGGCGGGTGAGGTCGTCCATATGGAAGTTTTGGGTTTGGTCTTTCGCAGGTGCAGACGTCTTGTTATGGCCGATGTGGTCGTAGCGGATTGTACGGTAGCCATTGGTTGTTAGTGTTTTTACAGTAGCGTCCCACATCCGGAGAGACGACATGAGCGCGTGTATAAGGAGCACGACTGGAGCATCTTTCCGAGCGTTTGTGGGCTGCTCGAGGAGGGTGTAGTAGTTGATGCCATCGATCTCGACGACTCCTTCGGCTGGTATCTCTGCCATCATGCAGTGATAGTTGGGTCAGCTAGTCAATTCACGTTCTCGATGCTTACCCTTCGTGCCAGCGGCAGATATGGACATGCTATAGGTATGTGCTGCTTTATCACACGTACATGTCAGTCACCAGCATTTGGTGATACAGCGGCGCAGAAGCATAAAGCTGCGATGTCGGATGAGGGGTATATATGGTGAAGGAATCCAGACAAGATAAGAGCACTTATACCCAGATATCGACGAACTCGTCTCACTGCTTCAACATCGCGAGTCGCGACCAAGACCGTATTTTCGATCTTCTCTTCTCGGTGCCACATTCTGCATACCCTGCCCAACTCCATCATATAAACCGCCCATAGATTCGTGCAGCCACCACATTACGACCTCCCTGATACCCTTGCCAACTTCTCCATCAGTCATCACACAAACCATACCAGCGGCTGATACCACATATCGACTGACTGCATCCGCCGCTGAGATACCTTGCACAAGCACCCGATCACTGATCTTGTGTTTTCGGTCGTAGCGATATGCTTTCTCTAGTCCGAGCTGGACGTATGGAAGGATGAAGTTGAGGAAGATGATGAGGTAGAATGTCGCTGCGGCGGTTACGCGGTGAAGCATTGAAGGCTGTCTAGTCTGGCTCATCATACCTGGTCGTGCAGTCTTGTTTCCTTCTTGGATACTGACCTGGACGTCCAAGTGACTGTCAATCGTCCTCGGTATGGCAAGACGGTCTGGCAGTGCTCTCAGTACCGAAGCCTCTTCCTCAGCTGTCAGATCGTTTGGTAGTCCTTGCAGCATGTAGCCAATACTGTCGAGATACAGCTTTCTGTTGAATCGCGGATCCTGGTCCAGTGCGCTCTCACCGTCTACAGCAAGCGAGAGTAGTGACAGTCCACGCCGTGCGTATCTCCATCGGACGTCACTGGTCATGTCGTCTGTATTTATGAGCGGAGCTGCCTCTGCCACAGGAGTTACTATGCCACTCGGTGAGATCGTGCCATCTCCATCACCGTCCTCAGCGTCCTCTATTGCCTGATACAGAGATGTTCGTGGTGAAGTATGGTACGATGGCGGTGGAGTACTGCTTCCTGAGCTCGTCTGACTTGGGGTGCGATGATGCCAGCCTCGCTGTGAGATCTCACCATCCTCACTGCTGGTACCCTGCTTTCCGAAGAAGAGTATGGGAGAAAGTCGCCTTCGTATCGTGCGGCGAAGGAAAGAGACGGTCTCATCTTCTTCGTTGTTGATATACTCGGCTTGATAGGCCGCTACTGCTCGTGCTAGCATGTTCATTCACAAAAGTGAAGAATTGTGAGATTGACCAGACGGAAGGGATTAGTATACTCACCAGTTAACAACTATTACTATTATCGCTGCTCCTACGCAAACCCTTCCCAATCTCTAGCACGTGAAAGCAATGGCATGTGAAAGTCCTCGCGTATCTTCAAAGTGTTGAGGAAAAGAGCTGCAGCTGGCCGAGCCATCCCAATAAGCTCAATCGCTGACATCTGACTGAGATTGTGTTCCATCTTATCAGAATTTGTAGCTCACAGCTGCTGATGGCAAGTCTGGGATGGCCGTTGAAGGATGAATAGTACTGTACAAGTCGAACGGTTCGACCAGGAATTGCGAACCGCGGAAAATCATTCTTGGCGCTCAACCGCTAGTGGCCGCAGAAATGCAACCAGTTGATGGTCGTATTGATGGATTTATTCTTACGTACATGCTCGCGGAAGGATGGGAAGATCCAGGGGTATACCAGAAGATGTAGGTGATGCTCGTAATCAAAGCCACATTCGCGAGTAATATAGTGGTACTCGGACAAATCGTCCACGAGAGTGACGTCAGAATGCGACGCGACTTTGTGGTAGAGTACGCGACGAAGCAGGTTCTTGTTGACAGTGTAGGAGAGGCGACATTATGAACGACTATGAGATTCGCCGCGCTGAGAAGATCCGGGCCAACCAGGCACTCCTCGCCGAGCTTGACATCAAGCCCGTGGTTCTGAGAGCAACACGCAATGCAAATGGCAGGCCACCTCCAGCAAAGCGACGAAAGATCTTACAAGAGTCCGCGCCTTCTCGCGCCTCAGCTCGTATAGCAGCAGCACCGGTGAAGGCAATCTATAACGACGAGCCTGACATCAAAGCAATCTCCCTACCACGATCGGTAGCCAAGAAGAGCAAGACAATTGGGAAGCAGCATCTTGGGTCGCGACATGTAGTAGACTTAGAGCCGTTGGTGCCAGTGAAGGGTGTGGATGAGATCAGAGCTGGTTGGACATCGTGGGAAGCCACAGGGCCAACACCTACTCGAGACGATATCACCAAAGAATTCCACTTCTCACACTACCCAGTGTTCATGCCCAACAAATCACCAGCAGAACTTCTGCGGGAAGGCGGTTTCGGTGGCTCATATTACCGCCCACTTCGATCGCGTACATTGGGGATCCAAGTCTCAGGGGACTGGAAAGAGCTGCCGGAGGAGTGGATAGAAGGACTAGACGTAGATCGCTTCCTCACCTCTCCAACCTACGACCCAGAAGTCAACAAATACAAAGTCTCATGTGGCCAATCAATAGAGGAATGGGAGGCCGCAGGCTGGATAAACCACGACCATGACGTCCGAGGCTGGTTCCAATGGTATACCCGTTTCTTTCGCGGACGACGCTGCGACGATGATGACAGGCAGGTAAGTAGATGGAAGAAATGTGTCGGGCCGACAGGACGATGGAGGAGGATGCTGTTGAAGAAGTACGGGGGAATGGGTGTGAAGGAGGTCTTTGATGATGGCGCAGAGGTTGATGAGGATGGTGTCGGGCAGGAGGTTAGTCCGGTTATGCATCAGACTTGTCATCACTGGGCTTTTGAGGTGAGGCAGGAGCACTTGGACGAGTTTTGGAGAGGTGGAGGACGGTGAAACGTTATCTCTGCTGTCGCTTATTGTGTACCCTCTCTCGGAATAATACTCCATTGTACATCTGCATACAGTGCTGTGGAGCTCTCGGGCAATATACTTTACAATCGTCCGAGCGCCAACGATAAGCCGGCTGAAGGAGCAGAAAGCTTGATCTCGCGCTGCCACGAAGGTTTGCTTGGCGTTTGCCCTCCCACATTCGTCACTGAAGTCGCAAGCCCTTGCGACGAAGTCTATCGCAGTTTGTGTTTCGACTCCACTGCGGACGTCAAACTATCAGCGACATGTGTCGTGTGCCCACGAACTGAACCAAGTTTCCCACGACCCAGGCCGCGCATGATGTACTGATGTGCCGCGATTTGTGCAGGTACAGAGTGCATACGCGGCGGCAGAGGGTGCCGTAGATTTCAGCCGCGAGGGCGCCAGAATTCGGTAAAGGTTGGTCGCGATGTCGTCAATGATCCAAATTGTCTGAGAGCCATGCTTTTTCTGGGTGTATGTGAATGCTCATCAAGGTAAGTATTGTCATCCTGCAGGATCAATGCCACACCAGCCCGCCCACCTACCCCTCCTTCCTCCTTCTCACACCACAATCGCGTCGACCCTTGGGGCATCATCATGTGCGGCGCAATGGCTATCGTTATCGCGGACTGGGATGTGAATTAAGCATGTCTTGCATGCCGATTGCGGTGTTACACGCACGACGTAAGGCTAGGATCTGGGCACGGATATCCATTACGACGACTCTCTGCGTACTCCGGTTACGATGCGCTCTTCTGACAAGGCAGGTTTTGGATCATGTTGGACCAGAACCTAATATCGTTGTCGATCTTTTCTCATATTCACTTCCCATATTCCTTTTGTTGTCTTTTGTACTGTACAGTGGCTTCTAACCAGCAAACGAAAGAGAAGCAGTGAGGTGCATTCGACCACCCGCTCTTGCAGAGATACAGACTGACTGCTTCGCCAAGACTTCCAACGACCTTGGCATAGCTCAGCATCGCTATTGGCAGCATCTCAAGGCAAGATCGCCCGGATCCGTGAATTGCGATCCTTTGCGCCTACGACCTTCAGTCGCTTTCCCGGTTTGTGGGTGACACAAGCGACCTTCTTGTGTTCACTGCGACAAACGCGCCGACAGGCTTCTGGCAACTCAGACGAGACGGTGATCTATTCGATACTGTTTCATATGCGCCGCGACGAGCTTCCTTCCCCAGTCCGACCTGCGAGTGCCTAATAAGACGACTTCTTCTGCTAGACGCTCGGTCGCAAGACACATGGTCCAAGTGCCGCCTTCATGAACATCTGCCTGCTCTTCCTATGGCACCTTGCAATCTGTCTCCGCGCCGCCTTCGCCGATGACAATCGCAGCGCAGCTCCTTCTGCGCCACCCGAATACGACGAGGCGATCGACAACGGCACATACGACTATTATCCAACACGAGCATATGCAACGGTAGGAGGTTTGACGTCACCGCGGACGAACTACTTACAGTGGGATGCGCGGTGCGACGATGGACTGTTCAACTTCGTAACGCCACGCGGCTGGAGCTTACCGGAGCCTGGGCCGATGATACTGGACAACAAGGGTGATTTGATTTGGTCGCAGCATTTCGAGGGCAAGTCTAGTGGGCAGGCGTATGATTTTCGGGTGCAGGAATACCGGGGGCAGGATTACCTCACATTTTGGTTAGGCGACGATCGCGTTAGAGGGCATGGTTCTGGGTTTTATTATATGGTGAGCTGATCGCAGGCATTGTGGAGTGTGGTTGGTTCATTTGCTAACAACGATGTGAAGCTTAATTCATCTTATGACATTGTGCACAGAGTAGGCGCAGCCACATCTGGGACTGCCTCTTCCAGGAGGTTGACGTTGCCACTGGAGAGCTCGTCTTCGAGTGGCGTGCATCGGAGCATGTCCCTATCAACGAGACATATCACATCATCGGACCTGGCGGCACAAAAGACGATCCTTTTGACTGGTTTCACATCAACAGTATACAGAAGGACGATCTCGGCAACTACTTGATATCGGCACGCTACACTCACAGCATTACCTACATTGATGGTCAGACTGGCGATATCATCTGGACGCTTGGAGGCCATCGTAATGACTTCATGGATATGAGCAACGGCTTTGCGATCAACTTTGCTTGGCAACACGATGCACGCCTGCATCCCATAGACATGTTCCCGAACCTGTTCTGGCCACCGTCGGAGAAACCTGGGTACCAGACTCAGCTGCTGACAATGTTCGATAATGCTAATGAGGATCAACACTATGATTACGGCATGACCTACTCGCGTGGCTTGCTCCTCGCACTAACCTATCCCACCACGCCCGACTCGCACTCCTCCAAGCATCAACCCGAGACCCATCTCGAACAAAGCGGAGATATCTACACAGAAGCCGAGAACAACTTCAACAAGCTCTTCGAGATCAACGGCACGAATCCAGATTATTCAGTCCGCCTCCTACAATCCTACGTCAACCCTCACCTCATCCACTCGTCCTCACAAGGATCACTGCAGGTCCTTCCGCAACCTGGCGGCGACCCAAAGATTCTAGTCGGCTATGGCTTGAATGCCGCATGGACTGAGTTCGACGCTGATGGCACGGTGCTATGCGACGTCCATTTCGGCGCCGAGACTTCGTTCGAACGAGGTGATGTGCAAAGCTATCGCGCTTACAAATTTGCGTGGACGGGTACACCAGAGACGGCGCCCGCCTTAGAGATCAGCGATGATGATGTGGAGGTGTACGTCTCATGGAACGGCGCTACGGACGTAGTAGACTGGGTGCTGCAGTGCTCGGAAACGGTTACCGAGGATGACGAGGCATGGGCAGATGTAGCGCAGGTTGAGAAGGATGGCTTCGAGACCGTGATACCCCTCCCAGAGGACGCAGCGAGCCAATCTCGATATCTTCGCGTCATCGCCCTTACTACTGCCGGCCGACGACTCGACTACGGCATCTCGAGGACCATCGACCGCGAGGAAGATGACGACTCGTACTTCTCAATCACCGCTAGTGGCCTAAAGGCGCAAGTCGCCAGTCTCTCACCCACGAAAGTTTTCATCATCGTGGCCTCGATTACGGGTGGCGTCTTCTTGCTCTATGAGGGCTACCGTCGCTATTTGAGCTGGAAGACCGGACGACCTGGCGGTGGACCTTTGATGAGGTGGCGGCCGGGCGGAGCGTATAAACTGTTGGCGGGCTCGCCGGCATGAGTGATGACAGCGTGATGCTTTAAACCTGATGATAGCGTGGTGTTGGGGAAGGGAAACAGGTTGGAATGCATATATGAGTCGTTTGGGTGGGCTGTTTGTCCTGCTGTAGATCCTAGAAGCATGGTAGTGCACCATATATGCTCCTAAAAATAGAGCAGGGACACGGCGCTTTCGAGAACGTGTGAAACCATATATGTGCCCTCTGGCCTGTGTAGTCTGTTTTTTAATATCCCTGCAATGGCTATATAAGCTACCCTAGACTCGCAACAACTTAAGCAACAGCCTGACATCCTTCACCTCGGCTTCCTCCTCAGCCACGACTTCGCCATTCTTCTCAACCTCACCCTCATCCTTGACAACACCATGACTAGCCGCCTTACCAAATGTCCCGGCCTGCTTAACAAACATATCTTCCACCAACCTCTCCTGCTCCAACCTCGACACCTCAGCCACAGCCTCCTTCTCCTTCTTCTGCCCATCAGCAGTAGGCGCAGCATTTTCTTGCGCCGCAGCACCATCGCCGTTCGCCACAGGCGCAGGGCCCAGAACAGAGTACACAAGCTTGACATCATCCGTTGGCACAAGCCCAGCCCTCTTCCTCAGCCTCTGCACCCGATTCAGCACTTCTCTCGCTAGGCCCTCCTGCGCAAGCTCAGGGTAAGCAAAAAAGTCAAGGATTACCATCAGCTCGCCCTCAGTCGTGACCTCCCAATTCTCACTTTCCTTGGACGACTTGATCTCCTTGACAACCCTCAGATCCTCTTCATTCAGCTCATGGCCCTCAACCGTCGCCTTACCGCTCGATAGAAAGTCCTGGATTTGTGATTTGCTGAGATTCGGAAGCGCTTTCCGGATCTTCATAGCATCTTTCTTGTACTTCTTGCCTAGACTCGGGATGTCGGGTTGGATATTGTATTCGACGCCGTACTTGCCTTCGTTGGCCGTGAGGACGAGGTCGCGGACATTGAGCTCATCTGTGACGTAACCCTGCAGAGTGCGCACATCGTCAAGATATTCCTGATCCTGGTGCAGAACCACAAAAGTCTTCAGAGGAGTCTTCAGACTGATCGTTCTTCGGTCTCGACATAACCGGCCCAGCTCAATGACTTTCTGCATGCGGCTTACTCGTCTCTCGACTACGGGATCGAAGAGTTCCTGTCGGACGGTTGGGAAGTATTGGAAGTGCACGCTTCGCAGATCTGAGCCGAGTCCTTTGCTCTGCTTTTGCTCCGAGCTCTGCTCAGGCATATGTTGTGCTAATCTTTGAAATATGTTATCGCTGAGGAAAGGAATGAAAGGTGCAAGGGCCCGCACAAGAGTATAAAGAACTTCGTATAATGTATTGAGTGCGTGAAGAGTGTCGTTTGCTTCCTCATCGGCAGCGCCATTGGTCTCGCCATTTGTGCCGTTGGTAGTTGCCTTGGCTGTCGCAGCAGGCGTGCTAGAAGCCTGTCCCTTTAGTCGGTTACGATTGAAGCGAATATACCAGTTCGTGACATCATCCACCATTTTCAGCAGTCGCGGCACAACAGTGTACAGTCTGTATGCCTCCATCTCCGCATTTACGTATTGCAGTAGTGATTGTGTTGCGGCCAGTACCCATTTGTCCATGACATTGGTGTTGCTCTTCTCCAGCTCCTGGTCGTATACGAAGTCCTTGCCAGTCGTCTTCTTCCACAGCAGCGCTTGTTGCGAGAAGAAGTTGTAGCTGTTCCAAAGTGGTAGTAACACGCCAGACACGATCTGCTTGACACCTTGCTCCGAGAAGCGCAGAGGCTCGCCTCGCACGACAGGAGAGTCGATCAAATATAATCGCAAAGCATCGGCGCCGTATCGATCGACCACTAGCATAGGATCCGGAAAGTTCTTGAGCGACTTGGACATCTTCTTTCCATCTTCTGCTAGTACAATGCCGTTGACCACACAGTTTTTATACGGAAATGTGTTGAACAAATGAGTGCCAAGAACGGAGAGTGTGTAGAACCAACCACGAGTCTGATCAAGACCCTCAGCGATGAAGTCGCCAGGGTACTTCTCGAATAGTGCTTTGCCAGGTCCTTCTGTCCCCGACAAGCCGGACTCTGGATCCGATGCATCGTATTGTGGGTAGTCGAACGGATAGTGTGATGAAGCATACGGCATAGACCCAGACTCGAACCAGCAGTCGAAGACTTCCTCCACTCGTCTTAGCGTACCTTTGCCTTGTTGTGATGGGATAGTGATGTTGTCGATGGAGTCACGATGTAAGTCCTTGATATCACCTTGGTGTCCAGACAGCTTCTTCAGCTCAGCGACAGAACCCACACAGACGACCTCCTGCATGTCTTCGCTGACCCAAAGCGGCAAGGGCGTGCCCCAGTATCGATTCCGGCTGACGTTCCAATCTCTCGCACTCGCCAGCCATTGCTGGAAGCGGCCAGTCTTGACCATCGACGGCACCCAATGTGTCTTCTCCAGGTTACTCAGCAAATCTGGCACGCTCTGTTCGACCTTGATGAACCATGAAGGCACTGCACGCTGGATGAGTGGTGTTTTACTGCGTGGGCAGAAAGGATATCTATGGGTAAGTTGTGACTCTCGAACGAGTCTGCCATCGGTTTTCAAACGTTTGATAATGTTTTTGTCCGCAGCCTTGACATGCTGACCCTCAAAATCTGGAACCTCGTTCGTGAACTCGCCGCCCGCGTTGAGAGGATTTGGCGGCGGACGATCACCATTGATGACGCCTTCTCTCCAACTGATAGCATAGTCGTCCTCACCGAAAGCAGGAGACTGATGTACGATACCAACCCCTTCGTCTTGCTTAACATACAGGTCGAGGAGGACTTTGAAACCAATGTCTTTAAACTGCTTCTCAAAGTACGGGAACAGTGGTGTGTAGCGGATACCAGCCAGCTCTGAGCCTTTCAGCTTGAGTGGTAGTGTTTGGAACTTGTCCTTGGCCTTCTTCGGATCCTTGTACAGCACCTTCAGACCAGCTTCCAGCATAACATAGACGTTGTCCGTCTCCTTGTCTAGGACTGCCAGGTATTCGTAGTCAGGGTGCGCGCATAAAGCGACGTTGCTTGGCAGCGTCCAAGGCGTAGTTGTCCAAGCCACGAAGTTGACACTTTTGCCCGACGCGGCATCGAGCAGCTTTTGCACGGTTGGCTGGGTCGCCTCTGGTTGCTCTTCTACACCCAAGAGCGGGAAGCGCACTGTGACTGCCGGGTCTTGCACGTCCCGGTACTCCTCACTGGCTTCACTCTTGCTCAAGGGCGTATTCAAAGCAGTACTGTACGGCAGCACTCTCGCACCATGATACACCAGACCCTTCTTGTAGAGCTGCCCAAACACCCACCAACACGTCTCCATGAAGCTCGGATCCATGGTTTTATAGTCTCGATCGAAGTCGATCCATCGTCCTACTCGACCAATGACTCTCCGCCATTCGTGAGCATATGTGAGAACCACTTCCCGACATCGTCGATTGTACTCTGCAATACCAATCTTCTCCACAGCAGCCTTGCCTCTCACGCCAAGCTCCTCCTGCAACTGCTTGTCGATGATCTGTTCGATCGGGACGCCGTGCGTATCCCAGCCAAACCGTCTCTCGACATGTCGACCTCGCATTGACCAGTAGCGGGGTATGATGTCCTTGATGGTCGAGGCGAGGAGATGGCCATAATGTGGTGTACCGGTGGCGAAAGGTGGACCATCGTAGAAGACGTAAGGTGGTAGATCAGCCGTGAGCTCCAGTTGCCGGTGGAAGGCGTTGATGTCGTTCCACGACTGTAGCACCCGATCTTCTTCGGCGGGGAACGAGATGGAGCCCATTGCGGGCAGTGATTGTCCGTTGGCGGGTGAAGAGTGTTCCCGTACAGTCTCAGGGGTGAGGAATGTCAACCAGTCTGTAGTGGTCTCCCGGCTAGCACAATAGACGAGCTTCGATTCGAGATGTTTCCCTACGACTCACCGCAAGCAGCAGCATGACAAACTTCTTAGAGCTGTGCCTGAGTGCGATAAGATAAGACGGGACCAGCCGGCTAGCGTAGCCTTTAAATTGCTACGCGTCGTCGCGTCCGCCATCGTGTCAAAAGTGATCAGCGCCTCAGCTCTTCAACACGAGCTGAATGCGCTCTCATCGATTAAAACCTATTAAATCGGAGTCATGGACACGATATCTGCCAGGCTGACGGCGCTTCAACGTCGCTGGGATGCTGTATACCAGCCGAATAGTCCTACGGACACCCAGCAGGTGAACGAAGCACTAAACATGCTCGAGCAGCATGTCAGTGACATCGAAGCCAGACAGAAGCCAGCCACTACAATGCTCAATGGTGCAGATGACTTCGATATGGATAGTGCAGACGAGGCAGAGTTACTCACTGCACCTACGCCTGGCTTAAAGAGGAAGTCAGAGGAGCCAATGGCTAGCTCGCCAAAGAAGCAGTGCATCGAAGATGACGAGCCTGCTCTCAAGATTGCTAACGATGTACTGGAGCAGCGTTTTGGTATGGACGGCTTCCGGCTGAAGCAGAGCCAAGCCATCTCCAGACTCCTATCTGGCGGCAGCGCGGTCGTCATCTTTCCCACAGGCGGTGGCAAATCACTATGCTATCAGGTACCAGCCCTCTGCTTCCGCGAGCTTGACAAACAGCAGAATCTTCGACAAGGCCGGGCAGAGACCGGCATCACTTTGATCGTCTCGCCACTTCTCGCCCTGATGAAGGACCAAGTCGATGCTCTCCATCGTCGTGGCATCAGCGCAGCTGTGCTCAATTCTGCTCAGTCGAAGGAAGAGTATCTCCAAACCGTGGACTCGATGCGCAATGGAACACTGGACATTCTGTACTGCGCTCCAGAACGGCTCAACAACGAGGGCTTTGTGGCATCTATGGCGAATGTCCGTGGTGGCGTACGACTCCTTGCAGTGGATGAAGCTCATTGTATCTCTGAATGGGGTCACGCGTTTAGACCCGATTATCTCAAGGTCGCGCGATTTGCAAAGGAGATTGACGCCGAAAGGGTCGTATGCTTGACCGCGACTGCAACCCCTAAGGTGGCAGAAGATGTCTGCAAGGCTTTCGATATCCCCTCAGACGAAGGTGTCTTCCGAACGCCCACTTACCGGCCGAATCTCAAGCTTCAGGCTGCATCGTTCAAGACGAAGAAAGAATCGTACCCTCACCTCCTCTCATTCTTAAAGGCACATCCAGGACCAACCATCATCTACGTCACGCTTCAGAGGCACACCGAAGAGCTCGCATCAGATCTCAAAGGTCATGGGCTGAAAGCTCGACACTTCCACGCTGGCATGACGACACAAGAGAAGACTGTATGTCAGGACGTCTTCATGGGCTCGGATAACACGATTATGGTCGCTACGATTGCTTTCGGCATGGGCCTGGACAAGAACAACATAAGGAACGTGGTCCACTATGACATCCCAAGAAGCCTCGAAGGGTATAGTCAGGAGATCGGCAGAGCTGGACGCGATGGGAAAGAAAGCCATTGCATGCTGTACCTTTGTGCCGAAGATCTGCACTTACGCGAGAGCTTCGCTCGGGGCGATCTACCTTCGAAGGCATCTGTCACGAATATGCTCAACGAGGTCTTCACAAGCAAGCCAACGATGACAGACTATGGATCCTGCCTGGAAACCAATCTCAATGAGCAGTCCAGGACGCACGATATCAAGGTAAGCACGGGTAGCGTCGCTTGGGGGCAGTATCCGACTGATTTTGTATAGCAAACCGTGCTCAAGAACATCTACGCTCAGCTCGAGCTGCGTTTCATGCTCTTGCGAGAGACAACTCCAAAGTACACATCATACAGCTACACAGCCCTCCTTGACACGTCTAAGGACCGTACGCCCTCCGCACAAGCCGTCAGAGCTGTTGCAAAGAAGGCCACGAAGCTCCACCACGTCGATGTGGATGCAGCGTGTCGCTCGTCGGGACTCACACGTCAAGAGATCGTGGCCAAGATGAATGACTGGCATGATAAAGGTTTGGTTGATCTCAAGGCTGGGGGCGTGGTCAATCTGTTTAGGCTGCAGAAAGGGCTACCAACAGCTCGTGCAGAGAGGCAGCGCATCACTGACGAGCTATACAGCGAACTCGAAGCTCGAGAACGGCAGGAGCTCGACCGCATGGACGAGGTCATGGAGCTCGTCAATGGCAGTGCATGTTTCTCACGCACGCTAGCAGCTCACTTCGGGGATGAGTTGCCGGGTGGAGCACAGCGATGTGAGCATTGCACTTTCTGCGAGAGTGGACGGGCTGTGAAGGTCATCACGCCTCAATCAAAGCCCTTTGACAACAATGTCTTCAAGCAGGTACTCAAGGCTGTACCCGACCGTGACGATCCGAGGTATCTTGCTCGTGTTGCTTTCGGTATCAGTAGCCCCAGGGCGACGTCGGCTAAGCTAAGCAAGGATCCTGTATTTGGGAGTATGGAGGGATACGACTTCAAGGTACGACAGAGATTGCGGGTCTCTCGTCCTCGAGCTAAGCTAACCATGCCGCAGACACTACTTGATGCCTTCACGAAAGCCTGTACTTCTGCAAACGCTAGATGAGGTCCCCACAGGCACGCCTAGGACTCAATGAGCTCGCGCAGACCATGTTGAACGTCACATTAGGGGAAGTGTATATGCTAGAAGTGAGTATCATTATTCGCCGCCTTCAAACGCAGCCACGGCACAGAGCACTAGAGCCTCGCCCAAACCCGACGGAATCCATCCTCGTTGACTGAATCTCGCTGCGTAACCTCATGAGTCGCATCATAATCTGCTTAAAAGAGGCCGAACCTCTTCTTCTTTGGTCCAGCAGCTCCAGCTGTGCTTTGAGCAGACGGATATCCCTCATTCTTGACACCTGCACCACGCTTCTTCTCACGCTGGGCGCTGCAGCACGTGAAGAACACGATGAGCATACCGAGAAACAGCGTGACAAAGCTAGCAAGGAGCAACCAAATGGCAGATCCGAACTTAGCCTGGCTGCCAGACTTGTCCGTGTTGACGTGATGTCTCACGATGCCGAAGAGACTGAAGTCGACCTGTTGAGGAGTTAGCTAAGCCCGTACGCTGTCAAATACAGGACAGGGGCGCGACTTACAGCCAGACTGATTAGCACCAAGATCCAGGCTACAAACGCCACGAAAACTCCAGCCAGTGATCCAACCACACCGGCACCCATACTGCACAAAAACGCCACAAAAGTCAATCCACAAGCAACCGGATGCAGCACCATGACTCTCGTCAAACTATCACTCGTGCCAGCTGCGATCTCAGAGAACGAAGTCTTGTCAATCTTCGCCATAATATCCGCTGGCTCGTACCCGATATAGCGTTTTGTGCACCAATCTTGATCCGTTTGAATCGGAGGTACATCGAGGATACAGTAGCCGAAAGTACCGAAGCTGACGGAGGAATGACGGATTTGGGTTTCGTTGGTGAGGGTCACGTGGAGGAGGGAGACGCCATTCATGATGGGGGCGGAGATTGTTGTGAAGAGGAGTAGGAGGGAGGAGATGAAGAGCAGGGCTACACCGATCCTGTTGCGATGGCGTTAGTCTTGGTTTTGATTGCTGTTGTGATATCTTGATGCTTAGGGTGTAACTTCTCACTTACCAGTGAGTGCGCTTTGCCACGCTGTAGAGGGCCATGATGAGTTATGAGGGAGTCTGGTCGCAAAAGATCGTGGTCTGACTGATAGGCGCGCCCACAGGCCGTCGCGACAGAGTCCGAGGTAACGGTCAAGGTACAGTAGGTGTTGAGTGGGCTGCTCAGTAGATGGAATTGTACACGCGCAAGAGAAGCAGGACTTGAGAGCTTTATAATGAATGTCACGGAAGCTGTCACAAGGTGGCACAAGTGACGTTGACGTGTTCACTATTGTACGCAGCTGCCCACATTCCTGTTTGCCGCTTCCTTAGACTGTCAGTACATTCCAATGGCTCGATCAGGCAAGTCCTGACAGCGAAGCAGCAGGAGCGGAAAGAACATGCAAGTGGCTTGGGCTTGCCATGTGCACGAATTGTGATTGTCATGATGTTGTTTGCATGACATACTATGGTAGCTCATTCTTGCGCCGGGATCTCATGATGTTCGCTGCTCGTGAGCGGTCAAACGGTGACCTTGATAGCATCCCGCTGCTTAATCCGGATGTAGAACAGAACCATAGGCATCTATCATTCACGGAGCGACAATGGTCAGGCAGATCGCAGTAAGCACATCCTGATCAGTGTGCATCTTCGAGCCAGTTCATCAGTCTGAGAAGTGCTATCACGTTCTCCCTCCCAGTAGTCCGTTAGTTCTCTTGTTGGCTTTGAGTCGGCTCGATGGATATCTGGTGTTCTCCCCTTGCTCTGCCGGCACTCCACGAAGCCATCAGGATTGTAAGGCCAACATTTAGCAGGCAGGTGCAGCTCCGATCGCCAGAGCCAAAACCAAGGAATCCGATGGGTTCGACGAGCTCAAGCTCGAGTTGCCATGGCGTGATAGTAAGCGTTGACTCCTGCAAGTGGTGATCCAGCACAGTGCTCGACCAGGTGGCCGGCGGGGTTATCGTAATCCAGCGCCAAATGTCGCCTATCATGACTGTCGTGATGCCGGCCAGTGGTGCTTTTGCTCTTGGGGTCTGAGATACGAAAAAGGAAGAAGGAGCAGAGACTTGGTAGAAAGAGAATCAGGCCCACGAGTCATGCAAAAAGCTTTCTGTGCCGTAAACAGTGAATACGTTGATTCAGAGAACGCTTGCTCGCAGCGCTCGCTCAAGAAGGCAGGAGCAGCTGACCCACTTTTCTTCATTCTTGTTGTCCGCACAAACCCTTTTCTTTCGCCGCACAAGCTCCTACAGATTCTTTTCAACGTGAGCAAACACTTGATAGAACATTAGAACTCATCGCGAGCGCATCCACACAAAACTGCTCCATCATCATACACCAGCAAATCATATATCAATACATACCTCTTCTACCCACACACATCAGCGTAAGTCTCACCCCTTGCCGGCGCGCGGCTGTCAATCCCGTGACAAGACGCACCACACTGCAGACATCTATGCTGGCCCAAAGACTGTTGCTGATGTTGTGTAACAGCCACAAACACAATGGCATTTCGCAAGGAGCAAGAAGAGGCCGAGCAGTATGCTCAGATCCTGGCCGGCATGAGGTCGAGGCTCGCAAGAGGTAAGCCGACCAGTGAATGTCTCGCTCAAATGGAGCGATGCTAATTCAATGGTAGACAATGCAGCAGCCCAAGGCAATCAGACTCGTCAAGAAGACCGGCGCGGCTCCAATAGTGGGCCGATCGGTCGTCCAGTCTTGACTGGAGTGAGCAACGCTGGCACGTTTGGTCTTGTGGATAGGCCGAGATATTTCGAGGCGACCGGTCGCTTCTCCGATCCACCACAGTACTGGCAAGAGCCAGGTCAAGCAGTCCCCGGTGAGGTCGCGACTGAGGTTATCGACGAGGAGGCAGAGGAGGACGACGAGCTGGACGAAGACGAGGTCGAGGACGAGGGAATGGTCTGGAAGCTTGGCGAGCCCCAGCCACAGCCACTCTACTATCAGATTCCGACGGCCAATGGCGGGTTCGAGGATCGATTAATCCACTCCAACGTCGATTTCAACAGCAGAGACTCAGTCAACAAGGCCAACAAGCAGCGTCGTCTGGAGCAGTATCGCGCCAAGAAACGGCACGGCTTGCAGCACCAGCTTCTTCGTCCAGGGACCAAGGGTCATGAGTACTCGCAAGCTCACGATACGTTCATTAGTCAACAGCATCAGTCGTACGCGGCCGCAAACGGCAACCGCAGGATCCCGTGGAGCATCCTAACCAATAACTTCAATGGAGCCTTCCCTGGACAGAACAGGACGAAGAACTCATTGTCGAGTCTCGTTGATCAGAGGGCCGGGTTAAAGAGGATGCGTGCGCAGTACGATGGGGCGGACGACGAATAAAGGCGCTGGTGAAGTTGGGGGCCGGGATGATTGTTATTCCGGAGAGCGATGGCGGTAATGAGCATGGCTAGCGGTCGGCAGCATGGGTTTGTTAGCCATGGTACTGGAGATGCTGGCCTGCCACAACAGTAGCAATGCAAAACGTCAGCAAACAATTTGAAGTCTGGAAAGTGAAGTCAAGCTTGCGATTGCGCCAGTTTTGTGCGCTAGTCCCAGAATAGTTGTCACTCTTATTACATGTTATTTCCAAGCATAAACATTACATGTTAATTCATCTCCTGCACACAATAGCACAACTCCTGCCGTGAAGATGCGCCTCTTCGATCTACCGACGGCGCTCCTGGCAGTACTGGTCTTGCCATCTATCAGCGATGCGACCCATACATCCAACTGGGCGGTGCTCGTCAGCACATCGCGATTCTGGTTCAACTACCGACATATGGCGAATACCCTTTCATTATACCGTACAGTGAAGCGCCTAGGCATACCAGACAGCCAAATCATACTCATGCTGCCCGATGACATGGCATGTAATCCTCGCAACACCTTCTCCGGCAGCGTCTTCAACGACAAGAGCAGAGACCTAGATCTCTACGACCAGAAGAAGGACATTGCACCGAGTGAGGATTCGGGACACACAGGAGGCGAAGGTGGCGAGACGGTCGGACAAAGCATGCCTGCCGGCGTAGAGGTTGACTATCGTGGTAACGAAGTAACAGTGGAGAACTTCATCCGCCTGCTGACCGATCGCTGGCCCGCCTCACACCCCACAAGCAAACGCCTGACCACGGACGACCGCAGCAACATCCTGATCTATATGACCGGCCATGGCGGCGATAGCTTCCTAAAATTTCAGGACGCCGAGGAAATCAGCTCTCACGACTTGGCAGATGCATTCGAGCAGATGTACGAGAAGCGGAGATATCACGAATTGCTCTTCATGATAGATACTTGTCAGGCGAATACGATGTACACTGAATTCTATTCACCTGGCATAGTGGCGACGGGATCGAGTGCCAAGGATCAGAGTTCTTACAGTCATCACGCGGACCAGGATGTTGGTGTAGCTGTTATAGATCGCTGGACTTATTACAACTTGGAGTTCTTGGAGACGAGGCTGAACAGCACCAGTTCTGATGTCAGGTTGGGAGAGCTGTTCGACTTCTACACTTTCGACCGTGTGCATAGTGATGCAGGTGTGAGGTATGATCTGTTGGCTGGAGGGGAAGAGGAAGCGAGGAATCGGAGAGTGCTGGACTTCTTTGGAAATGTGCAGGGGGTGGATGTTGAGACTGGTGCTGCTGCAAAGGAAGCGCTGGGTGATTGGCGAGCAGATCTGGAGGCTTTGAGGAAGATCGATGAGAGAACGAGGCGAGGTATGCGGGAGCTGAATGCCACTTCTGATGGCAAAGCTCCTGATTCTGTTCGGGAGTCAGGCAGTGAGCAGACTTTGCGGGCCGCTGGTGATGCTGAAGATGGCGTGCTTGACATGGCTGGTTTGGCTGGCGGCGAGAGCTGGGTCAAGAAGGCCATTGGCGGTGTCTCACTGCTCGTAATCAGCGCTGCATGGATAGCCAGTAGTAGGATGCGATGAATGAGGAGACACACGTCTGACATCCATAGCATGACCCCAAAGCTCCGCCTCCAGCGTTCGCTTGATAGAGCACACCCCGTGTGAGGTCCACGACAATGAGTATGAAAGCTCTGGGTGGAAAACATGGATGCCATCAGAGCTGCATGAGCCAACCTTCGTGACTCGACTGCTGATTGTCGCACACGCACAGCATCAGTGAAGTACCAAGTACGGAGATTTGCGGCTTGCGATTTGGAAGCGGGTGTATGCCAGTCGTACGATCAATTCGTACCAACGTAGTAAAATTCAGGAGGCGGGTGCAGGCCCTGGAGACGGACTTTGGGTGGTAATTTGGTGCGTCTTCGCTTTACCCAAACCCTAACCCTAAGAGCCGGAGACGACGAGAGCTTGCCATCGAGTAAAGATGACAGCTTGAAAACCCAATGTACTTCGTTTCCACACCCATCTTGTGCATCTGCCAGCTCCTCTTGTGTTTTCAACTGCTGTATAGCGGTGTATGGTCGTCGACGGCTCGAACTCACTTTCTTTGCGAATAATGACTGCCAAGGGACAACATTCTGCGTCCCTCATCTCTTTGGGACAACACCAGCGTCCGAGCATCCCTCAAATCCTGCCTAATTCCTAGCTGGCAGATATAACCACTGCTATCATCAGAATACTGCCGTGCCTCTGCACTGCCCAAGGATAACGTGAGATGAATTGAAGCAAGTACCCCTTCGCTCGATACCTACTCTCGCATGGATGAAGGTGCATATATGCCGGCACGATAATACCCCAGGCGACATTATTGATGATCTCCTACTAGTGACCGCCCGAAAAGTTCAAAGTCAGTATGAGACAAGTAGAACGACCATGCTGAAGCTGTCGCCCCTATCCCCTGGGGTGCGCAGACAGGGCTGTCACGATAACGTCCTCGTTGGGCGTTCCGATAACGTATAACGGGCGAAAGCACTACCTTATCATGGAGTAGACATGTCTGGACAGTCGCGACTACAACATGATCGTGGAGCATAGCTATACTACTCGTGCCTACTTTAATAGGAAAGGCTATTCTCGGCCAAGAAAAACCGAAACTCACGATCCAGGCGATCATGCTCGTGCCTAACCAACTCAGACGCTAACTCAGGCTCATCCAATCGCCGACGACCAACATCCGGGAACACAAATTCACTGACATCCACCACCACCTCCTCCACCACCTCCTGCTCCACCGGCTCCTTCTCCCTCTCCACTTCCATCCCCACCGCCTCAGCAAAGACATTACTCCGCTCCGGAATCGTCTCATCCACCTCCATCTCATCATCCGAATCAATATCCGGCACCCTAAAAGTCCCCGACGATTCTCCAGGCCTATGATGCGGGATCCAAGCCAACGAATCCACTTTCACGCGCTTGCGACGGTGAGACTCCATCTCAATAACGTCGGAATCCGCGTTCAGACGATTGAGTTCCTGCTGGAGGTTTCGCACACGCTCCAGTTTCTCCCAGCGGGCATCTGGGCCGGATGAGGTGGTTATTGGGCCGCTGGTAGTGGATTTGCGCCTGTTGGACCAGGGAATTGATGATTGTGTGCGAGCGGCACGAGCAGATGCTACGGAGCGGCGTTGTGGTGGTCGAGATGGCGTGAAGGATGAGATGTAGGAGGTCTCTGGCTCCGTGTATTCGGAGACTGTGCTCAGTGAGGTTGGGACTCGCTTGTTCTTGGTAGATGGCATTAGGAAACGAGACGGGGTCCTTGGTTTCGACGGCGAGCGTCGAGCTAGACCAGATGATGTTTCCGCGGGCGCTGAGTGGTACTGAGATGGTGTCGGACTATCTGCGCCTTGTGCCGCTGCTGCATCATGCTCATGTTCTCCTTGCGCCGATGAGGTGTTCTGTGATGTTGTTTGATCATGCTCTGCCTCGCGCGATGCCATAGCATGCTGAGATGACCGTTGTTCAATTGAGGTAAGTGAAGTCGTCGCAGAGCCATGACCCAGCTGTTCGTCTGCCGTGCCTTGCGAGGATGTCTCGAACCTCAGTGACTTGGCAGGTCTGCCTGTAGTGGTGGGAGTGTCTTCAGTCGCAGCCCGCTTGCGAGACACTGGTGTGAGCTCGCCGAGAATCCCAACCGCGGCACCAAACATGCGTCTCCAAAGTGGGCGTGGAGTGTCTTGTGCGAAGGGAGTCGTGTTCACCTGGTGCAGGTCGAGTTGCTGCTGCTGCGGCGATGCTACTTGGGTCAATGCCATGGAGGACTCCTGGGGGGAGGTCTCTCGGACAGTGGCATCCTCGGTTGTAGTGAAGGACTTTTGAGCAGCAGGCGTGGCCTTGCGTGTGCTGAGGCTGAGCTGCTGCTGCGGAGTGACTTGATTGGCTGTGGCTAAGAAGGATGGCGTTTGTGCAAACGTGTCTGTTGGCGCGAATGTCGATGTGGCTGCTGATAACGGTGTTCCGACCGACTTGTTCTCATTCAAAGCCGCGTTTGTCTCTTTCTCAGCACATGGAGTGCGAGGTACGGTGCGAGTGCGTGATGTGCGCTGGGATGAACCAGGTGCCACGCGGACGCGAGCGGTCAGTGGCGATTCGGACGCGTTCTGCTGTGCCGGAGATTCTGATGTAGCGGAGGTAGCCTCTGCCTTGCGCTCCTTGATCCTTTGCTGGATGCGTTCTTGCATCGCATCGTTGTATATGCTACGCTTCCTCTTCGCAACGCTCTCGTTGCTGCTAGCGGCCTCCTCCAGGACTCTTGCACGTGCTTCGGCTTCGTCGCGTTGGAGTTGAAGCTGGTGAATGCGGGAGGCCAGATTTTCGTTGTCGCTTGCAAGGGCTGAGTAGTGGTTCGCGAGGTCGTCGTTGTGTGATGCAAGGTCGCTGTTGCGGGATTCGGTGACCTCAGCGCGAAGTTGTAGGGTGGCACTCCTGGTCTCGTTGATTTTGACGCGTGACTCGAGGTCACTGTTTCGTGAGGTGATTTCGTCGATGACAGCTGCTCGTTATTCTGGTGTCAGACCCATGATATATTTCCAGTCCCTCTTCAGCACGCGTTTGACGGCAGCATCGAGGATCCATTTGGCTAAGGCTTTCTAAGCCTTAGCGCAGATGGAAGCGATCGAGCCTGCTCCAATGTTGCTGGTGAGCGACTGCTCATAAGACGATGCTTGGGGAAGTGGGGAACGGGCGGGCAGGCTATGGGGCTGGTAGTTACCTAAGTCTCCTTCGTACTCAGGGGTCTCACTGGCCAAGCGGCGAGAGCGTCGTGTGGTGGAGTCTTGACTTGCACTACGTGCTGTCCGGCGTGTCCGGGGCGCCATTGCTGCTGATGTGTATCTTGTGTGTTGCTGTTTCTTCTATGCGCTGATGGAGGTTGCCTTGCTGAAGGTGAATCACTGATCGTTGTTGCGATCGATACGGTTCGCTCTTCAGTGCTGGACTGAGGCTTCCTCCTCATCAGAACTCTGTACACGCGTCTGGATGTGCAGGTATTCATAAGCTTTCGATATTGTATAAAAAAGGCTGAAGGTCGTGGCTTGGGCAGAAGTTCTTGGGCAGTCGCGCAAAGCTCGAGCCTTCGCGGTATCACTCCCGTCTGCACGTCATCTTAGTGCCCGTAAAGCTTATCTGAGACCAAACGGGCTAGAACTGTTACAGAATTACGGCACTCCTCCCAGTAGAATCGCAAGTCCTGGCACAATCGTACTCAAACCACCACTGCATTACTGCGTAGATCATGCTCACACAAAGAGAGCTATCTTTGCCAACCTCGGAACAACATGAGCATGGCAAGCATACAATATCGTTTATCACGCGAAAGCCACCATGGACTGAGGACAGCTACTCTTGAGGACGGGTGCATTGTGTGCTGCTGACCAAGAGTATGTGGTGGCTACCGAACACGAGCGTGCACATGGATCGCCACTGTGATACGAGGCTGGCGCGTCTCCCACGGACTCGCTTGTCGACAGGGACATGGTATTGACTGCTCCACTGTGACGAGCGACAGAGCCTTATGTATCTGCCACTTACAAGGTCTCAGCTGGATCCGTATCTAGCATTTCACCTCGCATCTCTCGCTGCCGGCTGCATCGATAGACACAAATGTGCATAGCAATAGCTTGGTCCTCGATGTCATAAACGCAGCGACAAAAGCAGCCCATTGCAGCTGTTGCAACGCTCAGGGTGTCATACCTACCTTAATTATACGAGCACGTCAGCGAGCCCAGCATCATGACCATCATAAAACATTATTTCGTGTGGGTGAGACGCTTGCAGTAGATTAAGCTGAAAATTCATGGCCTATAGGTACGTCGAGCTTTTGAGGATGCCAAGGCCAAGCACAGGATAGGTGTCTTGGTCGTCGGCACGCATCATGTTATTGAGCCTAACGACAGGCATTTGACCAGTCCAGTAAGATACATCGAAGGGTAAGAGAGCAGAATTTCCGAGGTTGACCGCGCTTGAGCGCAAGACCGCCAGATGAGGGTGGTTCGGGAATCTCGAGGCAAAATGCTCGGATATGCAGAGGTCATCAAGATGTCATCAGCGAGAGTCCTGCACCAAAGCTGCATGCCGAGCGGTAAATTCGCCAGCTTGCAGTCGCCGAGTTGATCGGGCGACCGAAGCCTTGGGTTCAGCATATAAATCTTGGAGGCCGCTTACAGAGACATGGTGAAAGCTGCTTGCGGCAAAGGGTCAATTAGTCCCCCTCTCAATCAACAGCACAGCGCCACAAGAAATTGAAGATCGGTACCTTCGGTAGCTATGGAACAGGAACCAAAAGTCAGCTTGGCATGGTTTCCATCATACTGTGTGGTCGTTGTCGAAGCGACAGCCTTGTTTCCAGCCGGAACTTCACCCGAGAACCTGTTTCCCAAATGAACGAGTGGGGCAGCACCCCGTGCGATCTTCATCCGCGTGCCTGCCATGCTTCCGTCACAGTGAACGTGCAACAGACCACAAGTCAGACAGCAGAAGAAGAAGAACGACCAACGAGTAAATCCGACGTCCGTTCCAACGGCCTCCTGTCAAGCACACAACTCAGGAATAGTCCGCAAGGCCGTTGGAAGGACCTATTCGCGTCTGCTACACAGCCACACTAACTCGATCAAGAATGGTCAAAACGGGCCGCCGCAACGCGACAACGATCGCGCCAAACCCAAAGTGACAGCCTCGTGCCAAAGTGTCCAGGGATCTCATGGCAGAACCCCTGTCTGTTGATCGAGCACGCTGCACGTTGCCATGCTGCAGGTGGTGGAAGAAACGATTATCCTTGATGGTACCAAAGACGAGTTGACTTGGCAGAGAGATGGGATGGGAGGGGGTGGAGAACTGATCGTTTGTGATGTTTTCCTGTTTCTATCTATTCGCTTCACATCCTCGTGTACCTCCTTCAGATTCGCACTTCCTACGCTGGCCTGCTCTCCTAAGATACATCCATCTCTGTCTTTATACATCTCACTACCATCTCTCCATTCTCTGTGAAGGAAGCCCTAGGTTCAACGGTGCTGTTTGGGCTCAAAATCGCGTGGGAGATCGACGCGGCTGTCTCATGTTGAGGCAAACCTCAGTTCGCTACGCGGATCATATCTCGTCTACTACTTCCTCAACAACGGCATCATTCTCAAAGATACATCAATTGTACATACTGTGACAAAAGACACGTTGGATGGTTCACCACTTAAAAGCACGTTCACGACCGGGCTCGTGGAGATGCAAGCCCAAACGTTTTTGGCCCCAATCGCTACGGCTTCCAGCACAGCCTCGAACAGAGCCTCACATCCTTCCGAAGCTTATGGGCCCGCAACATCAGCCTCGTCCCTATACCTAAGCATAGCTCCTGGGCTCCTAACTCCCGCGAAGGATGTTCAATCACATAATGGACTATCCTCTGGCACTGTTGGCGTGTTTCCAACATCCGTATCGAACTTTGACCTTAGCTTCACATCTGCCTTGGCTTTCAACCTGAATCAGAGTCGCAAAGGACAGCCTCTACGTACTACTTCGCGTGGCAACCGAGCAACTTCGACAGCAACAGACGTACCTGTTTCAAGATCGACCATTGCTGCCAGGATCAACTTGAGACGATCAGCTCAGAGACAAACACCAGACGCTCTTACCATCTTGGAGTCCGCCACCATGACGGACGCTAGCCAGACGGCTTCAACAAATGCATTATCCATACTGCTGGATGCAGCACCTAGCGATGTCGCGAAGAGCGTGGAGTCTGTTATCTCGTCATTGTCCACAGCGTTTGCGGGCCCGTCAGCATCACCATCAAATACACCTTTGATTCCGACCAGCCTAACTTCGCAACCTACGCGACCCACATCCTTCTCGACCTCAGCAATGCTACCCTCATCAGTCACACCTGACTCCTCGTTACCTACCAAGATATCCTCGCCCACGCCCTCAACAATGATGACAGTGGCAAGCCAGCCAATTACGACCAGCACGTCAACATCAACGCCAGCACCAACAGCAGCAAGCACTTCACATGGCGCAGGACAACTCAAGAACGCATCAGTAGTCGGCATAGCCACCGGTCTGGTAGCAGGCGCCGTCCTCATCTTCCTAATAGGCATCTTCCTCTGGCGACGACGATCTCAAGGCAAGGCACCCTTCGCCAATCGCCGACCTTCACAACGCTCGAGCAGGAAAGGCAGCAAACGAGTCTATCCGGAAGAAGCCTTCCTCTACGACCCGAAAATGACCCCACGTGCTGCTTCGCCATCCTTAGAAGGAGAAAGACATAGTCGCGACGAATCAGCCACGAGCTTGATACCGGATCCACGCAGAGGCACCGTCGAGCTATCCTCCGCTCCGCCCAGTCCACCACAGCGACCTACGAGTCCACTACTTTCACCCGTCGCAGTCGCAGAGGAACGGAGAAGTCATAATGGGAGCCCAAGTAGAGAAAGGCGAAACAGTGGAGGCGGTAGTCCTAGTGGGAGGAGGAGTAGGAGCTCACTAGCTGTGAGTCGGACGGATCTGACGAGGCCGATGAGTGCGATTTGGGAAGAGCCGCCGAGACCTTCTGTTGATGCTCGGACAGGATTATTGAGTCCCGGGCCGGTGAACATGGCGAGGCATAGTGCTTGAAGGTATGAATATTTAGATAAGAGGATGGTGTTTTCGTGAGCGGTTTAGCGAGGAGTTTTGGCGTTGAATGGCTGCATGGTAACGACCCATCGACATCTTTGGCTTTTGGATATTCTGAACGGCACGAGTATATAAATGTAGATACTAGATGGGGGCCTACAAGCCTGGCCACAGAGCAATACGAATACAAGTGTACGAATAATCTCCATTGGCACAATGACACGATTCTGGGCAGCCGGCAACCCAGCTAGATGAGATAGCAGTGCTTATCATGGAGAGAGGTCGTGAGATGATTATTGTTTCCTCGTCTGGCTACCCAGTATTCTGATTCCCGTTCCCAAACGCAGTACCCATAAACACGACCTGCACTGAAGCTAGCGCCGCCGAAGCAGCAAAACGTCTATTCTTCTTGCCTCCGTGAACACTCCTAGTGCACCAGCGAACAGTCCAGCGAATAGCACAATGAAGATAAGTCGCCAAATTTCTGACCGTATGAAGTACAAAGCAATGATCGAGCTTGTGGGGCAATGCGGAGGCGATCAACAACGTCACAGCTCCCATGAACCTGCTTAATGTCTTCGAAGCATAAACATAGACGTCGAGTTCCTGATCATCTGCTTTTCGGAAGCGGTGGAAAATGGTGCGCCACCAGTCCAGGCCCTTCGTTGTGATGAAGCGCGTAAATGGATCCTGATTTTTGAACTCTGGGTTCAACGTCACTAGGTCCTTCTGAATCGGCTCCCTGTCATCATCCCAGACCACGTAGACAGTATTCTCTGGGTGCTCGAGCTAGTCCGGGTGTTCTGCCTTCTCGCTGGTGATGGAATTGTATATCGAGTCCACGAAACTGCTATCAGGCTTAGGAAGCTCGTGGAGCTGTTTTTGCTCTAGTAGAAGGGCATTGTACTTCTCCAACGCTTTGCTGACTTCTTCGTACTTCTTCCGTAACACCGCGCCGCTGGTCCCGGCTTCGGTACTGAAGATGTGCTGAATTTTGTAGTGCAGATGCTAAGAGACCTGGTTTACCTAGGCCGAGGTAGGTGATATAGTGTTCGCGGATCTTGTGCATCTGCACGATATGCGGAATAGGTACGCACGAATAGATTGTCTGTATCAAGACGCTCATATGCCTGCTACATTTCATACCTCAGAAGCGATCTATTTCGACCAGAATGCCACAAGTCGATCAAAATCTTTCGTAGTCAAGCTGGTAGGATCGCAATTGGCCAAGGTGCTGTCAGCTTCTCTAAGCAGCTCAACTGCTTCCTCGAACGCTTCGTCGGCATCGACATCTTTGCTCATAGCATACAGGGCACGGCTTCGGAAGTACAAGGCTCGAGCCTTTTCTGGGGTGTATGCGGTGCCTCGGTCACCCTTGTAGCGACTGTGATACGCTTTCAGTGCGACATCGAGTAGCGCTCTACTTATAGTTAGCACAAGCCAGGGCACGAATGCTCCTCGTGAACCTACAGTGCGTTCTCGTGCTGTCCCATCCTGATTGAGTGCTCTGCAATCTTTACGAGCATGTCTGCGGTGCGATGATGACCATTACCCAGAGTCGTCTTATAGTGGAGTAGAGCTTTCCGGTGATAGTCGAGGGCCTTCTCTTGATCTCCCAGTGTACCAACGACGTTGCCGAGAGCCTGTAGATAGCGACCTCGGAAGAAGGAGATACGATCGTCCATGCCATAGGCATTCTCACGATCTTTCAAGCCTTGTTCCAACTTCGTGAGAGCTTCTTTCGGCCGTCCTTGCAACCAGTAAGCAAGTCCAAGGTTAACGAGAGGGAGGGAGATGCTAGTTGGCTCGAAGGTGACAAGTAGCTCCATCGTCTTAATTGAGTTCTTGAAGCATTTTTTGCCCTCGTCCCATCTTCGATTCAGCATATGAGCATTACCTAGCTCGTTCCACGCAATTGCGAGACGCATATCCTGCTTGACCAAGTCCGGTGATTTCCTGAACTCTTCCTCCATTGCTCTGTGGAATTCTTGGAAGTACTTGAGGGCGACTTCGGGCTTATTGGTTTCGACAACAATGCACCCACGATTATGCGTTAATTCCGAGAGGATAGTGTTCAGCTTCCGAGTCCACCACTCTCCTCGGCCCGGGTGATGGCGTTCTTCTTCGCGGAAAAGCCACGTCGAGCAGATCTGATGAGCCATATCGTTGAATGACTCCGCATCCGTCGAAGATCCTCGTTCGTGGTGGTACCATCCTGCATCAACGAGCAGCCTTGCAAATGCGAAGTCGCCAGTATCGTCAACGTCCGATGGAAAGAGTTGATATTGCTCTGCAAGCTCTCGAAGTCGAACAACGTGCGGCGCGAGCTCCTCGCATATGGTCCATCTCACTATACCGTGCCTCCAGGTGAAGTCTATGAAAGGCCATAACGTAGTGATCAGTTGGACACAAGCCGTGAATGTCTCACGCAATGCAGCAGGGCTAAGTCTCGTACGAGCAACATCCTGGACTAGGCGATGAACGAACAGCTTTCCGCTCCCTTTCTCCGTGGTCAATATTGAGGAGCCGAGGAGCTCGTTCTTCGCTTGATGGTACTCAGATAACGTCGATGGCAGGCCTGGCAGGTGCACTTTCGCGAGTGTCTCTGTGAAGATACGCTCGCTAATTCCATCCGGATCAAGCATAGAGCAAGCATTGAGTAAAGCTGCACCGTGACGAATGTTCTCGAGCGCGAACACAGACGCAACACTGTGCTCGTACTGCGGTGCCTGAAGCTCAGGCGATGGCGCTGTCTCTAGCAACTGGTGGCGAAGTTCTCGCTCGTTGTAGGCGCGGGCGAAGTCCGCGAACGACATGTCGCTCTTTGTCATGATACCAGCCATCTGTGTCAGCGCAAGCGGAAGGCCGCCCAATTTTCGACTGACGTTCACTATCTCAGAGTGGTTTTCCTGAGCCTCATCTCTTTCTGTGACGTCCAGAAGGTATCTCGATGCCTCTTCAACCGAGAACGGCACAAGCTGTAGACTATTACTCCACCCGAAGGTGCTTCGACTGGTGATCAGGATCGACCCGGGCCCGTCATATGGCCAGAAGGCATTCAGCATACTCGAATCTTCCACCGCATCGAAGACCAGAAGCCACGAAGCTCGATCCGACTCAGGATCGTTGACGTCCTTGCGAGGATCGACAAGCCAACGTTTGACCAACTCCCTCGTATGACTGAAGTCTCTTGCGTCTGCCGAGTCTTCGGCAACAAGTCCCATTTGACAAGCAATGGTATTGAAGTCCTGAGAAAGCTTTGCTGCATCGTCTGCATGCGCCCAAAGTATGGCATCAAAGTCATCGTGATGACTATGGACAAATTCGGCAGCCACCTGTGTCTTACCCATGCCTCCAGGACCATATACTACAAAGGTTCTGAGGTTGGTAGCGACTTCAGATAGCTTTATCGCTGAGGCAGTGGGCGATGTCAAGAGAGCCTCGTCTATCTTCCCAAGCGCATATGAACGGCCAAAGAATCGTAAGTTGCGCGCGAACGGAATGGAAGCGAATGGTAGTTTGGGACCTCCGGTAGACTTTACGGTCTGTGAAGACTCGAGGTATAGCTTCCGCAGGAAACCCTGGAGTACTGGATCCCGATCATGGCCGGCATACTCGAACACAGTCTCCATGAAGCCCCATTCTGACATGTCCATGTCGCCAGATCTTGGGGCAGATACCGACGAACGCTCCAATTCTAGAGCTTCCGTAAACTTCTCACGCACTTCGTCTACGTCCCCAGAAAAGCTCGACATCGACGACATTTCATCCCTTGAACCTCGAGCAGGACCTTCACTGCTCTCGTCAACCTTGTCTGAGTAGTCGGGAAGCGCAGAGAGATCATCCCGCACAAGATGAGCATGACCTTCACTGCTCTCGTTGGCCTTGTCAGAAGCCGAAGCAGCTTCTTCATGGTCGTTACCATCCTCGGGTAACGAGATCAAGGCGATAGATCGTAGATGACTCGCAACATGTCCGACAAGCTGGTGTGACTGCTCGCCCGGCTTCAATTCCTCCTTCGGCTGATACGCGCAAAATGGACATTTGGTAATAGCAACTCCAGGCACTTGTGCACGCTTTTCCAGCAATTGCAGATGCTTGTCCGAGGCAGCGCTGGGGTGGACGGCTCGCATGTGAGACTCGTAGTCGGCCTTAGTCTCAAAGATCTGACGAGGATGACCAGGCGAGCTGTAGCACCACTGTCGCGCATGTGCGTATTGCATATGCTGCACCCAGCTTCTGATATCGCTGAACATGGTCCCTGTCTGCTCGCAGTCTGCGTTCAAGCATATGAATGGCTCGAGGTCTCGTAGAAAGTGTTGCCTAGAACAGCGTCAGCTTGATTACATTGATGCAACACGATTCAGAGCTTACTTCCAAAGAGGAGCTTTCGCTTCTCTAATGGGCATGACAATGTAACAGTATGGGCATTCGAACTCTTTGCTGCCTGGTTCTAGCTTGGGGGGTGGGGGTGGCTGAAATGATCCGACATGTTCATCTGGAGAATACACGACCGTTGAAATGACAGACTGGGCACCAACTACAGCTTCTCGCCGAAACTTGGTGTTCGAGAATGCGGATGCCGAAGTGGCAGATAACGCCGGGACCTTAGCTTGCAGTCGGTGTACAGAACTACCAGGATGCGAAGCGCGGCCCAGTAATCCCATGTTGATCACCGAGGGGGTCGGCGTGTTCTTCGTGCGCGTTGCTGAGTTTGAATCATTCGTATCGACTGCTTGCAATCCTAGCTTATGCTGATGATCCCTGCGATACAAGAAACGCTGCCTTCGAGCGGTCACAGCCTGCGCCAGCTTTGCCACCAGATCCGGCGCTGTTTTTGGACAACGGTGCTCAATGACTTTGGTGGCGTAGTCGTGAAAAGCAGGCGATGCATCGGTGCCCTCGTCGTCTAGCATTGGATGTTGGGCGGCTTTGGCGTTCTGCGAGGCCAGGGAGGGAGTACGAATAAGCCTGGATAGGCGATAAAGCCGATCGATGGTAGCGTCGACACCCTCTAATGGATTCGAAGTTGCTCCTGCAGGGTCTGTGTCTTGCGTGTTGTCTGTAAGCGCATGAGAAGCCTCTGAAGTAACATACGAAGCTATCGACGTGCTGACGCCGTCTTCGGTGTCGTATTCCGGTGGCCCAGATTCAGCTTGGATAGATGATGCGCTATTCGATGTGATCGTCTTCTCGATGGCTACATGCGATCAGTATCAGCATGACAGGCTGTGCTCACGGACGCTTTTACCTTGTCGGAGAAACCATTGGACGGATTGGAGAAGCTGTCGCGTCAGATCGAGCGCATCCTCACTCTCGCGCAAGCGCCAGTCCAAGGAAGCATGGCCTTGAGCAAAGACACCGACGTTGCGTGCGAAAATGTTGAAGCGTCCACGTTGATCGTCCAGTGAAGTTGACGATCCGGACTTAAGTTTCTCAGGATTGGTATCCACAGTGTCGTGCCCAAGAAGTTCGTTAAGGTCGGCGACCTTGGCGAACAACTCCAGCACAGCTTGCGCTTCTCGAGCCAAAGTCACGTCCGCCATGGATATAGGCTGTCGAAGTTCTGTGCTCGAAGCACGGCGGCGGAAGAATAGAAGTCGAGGTCGTCAAGAGTACATGAGGGGTAGAGCTTGCGAAAGCGCTTCGGCGTATCGCGCGCTTGCATGGCCAAGGCTGTATCAAATAACTATGTTGACCGGTTGCCTAGCCTGACGACTTCGCCACCACGGCCCAAGGCTGAATAAGAAGGCAACGAACGGGTCGGTATTAAGGACGCCCGGGCGCAGCTTCCAGCAGCCTCGTCATAAGAAGCGAGCCTGTCGCTAATAGTCTTGTATTTAAGCTGTCAGACACTGGATCAGAGAGCTTACTTCCTGCGAGGTGTGAAACCACACAAGAACAAAATAGTATACCAGGAACATGGGTCCTTTAGAGGCAGCGGGGTTAATCCTGGCGATACTTCCAATCATGATGACAGCCGCTGGCTACCGCGTCAGTGCGCCAGTCACCATTGCCAGGCAAAAATCCAAGGACACCAAATTGCTCAACTTCTACAAACAATTCCACGACGAGTTGTCCTTGCTTTCGAACAATCTGCGGAAACTGGTCGCGAGCTTGCCGCGCATACAAGCTGAGCTAAAAGATCGGCTTTTGGCTTACGACAGCAAGGCTTGGGAAGAAGGCATTGTTGAAGAGGCACTCGAACAGCGTCTCGGAGATTTGCAGCAACCATTCATATATAGTCTCCAGGAAATACTCAGAGCCCTAGAGGACATCGTAAGCACGCAATATGTCAGACTGGAGGATGGAGAGGCGCCGGTAGGTGATACTAGACCGTATATTGTGATCGTGATACTGATAACAGCACAGAGCAGTCCGATCGGCGGCAAACCAATCTACAAAAAGCTGAAGCAATTGCGAGCAGAAGTTGGCAAGAACAAGGAGGGCTTTCGGGAGCGCTGGCGTTTCACGTCCAAGGAAGTAAAGTTACGCAAAAGCCTTAAAATCCTCGTGGATCGGAACCAGTACCTCGAGCGTCTGCTCCACCAGTCAAATGCGCCAGTTGCTGTACAAGATCCAGTCAGCACCACTGTTCGCGCACCGCCACCGAGGAAGATCTGCGACCTGGCCACCACACTGCACTCGTCCCTGGTTGCACTCTCGTCCTGCAGCTGCCATGCTCAACACGAGGCTCGGCTCTGTGTGAATGTGCCGTTCGATACGGAGGCCGGAGTGGTCCCGACACGCCTGGACTTATATCTTTCCATGCCTGCGCAGGAAGCGGGAGCTCGCTGGCAGGAGTCACATGTACATGTTGACATCGACATGTAGGTGGGACAACATCACAAACTGTGAGGTGGTCTAATGTTATCACAGTCAGCCGGAAGTCGCGGTCACAAGTCCCTCCTCTCGTGTCAGATTCGACGACAGTAGTCCTGTGGAACGTGGTACGAAGCGACGTAGGCGATCTTCCATGACGGAGATGTCCAGTATGGAGCAGATTAGCGCCATGTGCAATCTTGTTGATCGCGCATATCACAATGGGGCGAACACCGAGCTTCTGCTCAATGGGCAAGCGCTTTGGCACATCAAGTCCACCTCTCTGCGAAGGAAAGTACCTGAGCCAAAGACATTGAATGATCTGCTTCGCACGAGAAAGCTGCTTAGCAGGCGTAACCGACATCGCCTGGCAGTCATCCTTGCAAATGCATTACTGCATTTGAAGGATAGCGAGTGGCTGCAAGACCGCTGGTCGAAGGAGGAGGTCCATTTTATGCACATGTCCGACGGAAGTACCGACATCAAGCGGCCGTACGTTGCTGTCGCCTTAGACGGATCTGGTCCACCACAAACGACGGCTGGTGCCGATGACTCGATACACGAGTGCCCACCACTACTGAGCCTGGGCATTATGCTTCTGGAACTTGGCATATCGGAGTCTTTGCAAAGACGGCAGCTCAAAGAAGACCTGGTGGAGGGTGTGGCGACCGCCAACACGGATTTCTTGACAGCGTTGCGCGTTCTTGACGAGTCTGTCGACGACCTGCACGACAGATATCGTGCTGCCGTCGATGCTTGTCTCAACTGTCATTTCTTGGATCCCGACATCGCGCGTGACTTTAGCAACGAGGCGTTCCAGAGTTTAGTGTACAATAATATCGTGGTGCCCCTAGAGGATGAGCTGTTGTCGGGCTGGAACGACAAGCCAGAAGACCTGTGGAACCAGCTGAGCGACTGACCATAATGATAGCCGTAAGACGAGTGCTGGAAGTGTTGCACATGGTTTTACAGTGTGCTGTAAGATATCGTAGCCAAGCATCGATGCAATTGTTTTGTCCCGTCCCTGTCAGAAATTCATCGCGCGTCAAGGCTAGGCCGCCTCCAGCTAGCTTCATGCTGCCAAGAGCAGCACAACCTAGCGCGATATGCCAGTCCAATACCTCATCATGCGTGTGATCTCTGCCCTTGTGCTCCTGTATGGAGATGGGAAGGACAGTCGCGTCGATCGTATAGCAATCACGACGATAAGGTGCGCAGCAAGTCTTGCTGGGGCAGTGCGACGAGCCTCGCCCAGTGGCTGTATCTCGGCCCGCAGAGAGGAGGTGGCGGAGGCAAGAAACGCTCGTCCCCGTGCCAATGGCGCACGAGCCGTACAAGTGACACGCGCTTCTCACCGCTCGTGATTGCTAGACAGTTGACCGATGTCCATCATCTCACCATTGCAACATTTTGACAGCTTCAGTGGGACTCCCTGTAAGTGGTGTGGAGCCAAGATCACTAGTGTGGTGGGACCGCGGCTGGTCTGGGCTCATATATGAGTTGCTTACAGCCACACAGGGCCTTGAAAACCACACAACCGCCACGATGGACAACAGTAAAGTTGCCGAGATCAACAACGACAGCACATCCACAGGACATATCGAAAAGACTCAGCCATGGAAGGCGTACTGGCCAGCACCACGTGAACCTCAATCCCAGGCCAACCTTTTCGGCTTCAAGAAGGGCGAGACCATGGTCTTTGATGGCAACGCAGGCAACTTCTTCGCACGTGACAAGTGGGAGGTCAGTGTACGCACCATCGATCCGCACACGGCAAGCTGACTAGATACAGGTTGAGCAGGAGAGTGCTAGCGAAAAGTGATGCTGTCACATTCGGAATGAGAGAAGACTTGAAGCTGGTCTTCAAAGCCTGCATCTCTGGAGCGTAGAGCGTACTCGTGATGGCGAAGACCGCTGTACTGTCACTGCTCGTAATATACAAGCGCTCGAACTTCAATGCTTTCTCGCGGTGCAGCGTTCTTCGGCGCGTTCGGTAAAGGAAAAGCAGTATGGGCCACTGTAATAGGATTAATTTCGAAGGCGAGGTATAGAGTCACATACACTGACCTGTCCAATCACTTCTACCTGTATCCGTCTGCATGAAGACCCAGGCCTCGTTCTCGCGTTGCTCGCTGATGTAGAACCACTGCAGGTTGTCTGAGTGATAGACTTGGCGATTCTCGACAACGTAGTCTGGATAAACGAGATCACATGGTTCGAGGTCATAATCACTTCGTACTGAGTTCGGATCGCAGAGTGCTAGTGGCCAGTCTTGTACAGGGCCACGGAGCGGTTTCCAGATGCTAGATCGCGAGATGAGCATAGTTCGCTATGGCCAGGCAGGAGCATTACTCACTTGACGCATTGTATGCGACAATCTGTGACGGATTCGTCTCGCGGGTTGAGCTGGCGGGCCATAGCATGGCACCACGGTATCGTTGTATCTGTGGGATGTCAGATCTGGTGGGACTTCTTGACCATACCTACGTACCAACGTGGGCGATGGAAGTCGGCTGATTAAATGCATACGGCTCGCCTGTCGATATCGGAAATTCTGCGTGTCGCTTGCGAAGCTACGAAAGATTGATGAGCTCTATCGTAAGGACTGCACATGACAATGACACTCACAGTGTGTTCGAAGATCTGTACCTTCTCAGCGCCCAACTTCTTCCGAAGTCCCTCTGCCACCTCAGCGAGGTAGACATCCTTCACTTTCGTCTTGTCGTCGAAGTCATCGTAGCTCAAGCCAGTATCGAAATCCCAGATGAAACAGCCGTTGCTTTCGAGCGATAAGCTCTTCTTCTTTGGCCGGATGTCATTGACAATAATATCCCGTTTATCGAGTTTGATGTTTGCACGCGCAAGACCAGGAGGAGCGGTGAAGCGTAAAGAGTATGGTTTCTCATGATCGTAGAGTTTGTCGCGCTGCAGGAAGTGAGTATGCGTCAGAACGCTGGTTGAAGTCATAATAGGCTCAATAGACGATTGGTCAGACGTGTTGGGCGTGTTCGTATTGGTTCTTGACAAAGGTACCTGCTTGTGGCAAAGTGAGGTGTGGGGAGTGGCGGGCTTCAGGACGACCAGTCTGACGAGGTTGGAAGAGCTCACTATGTACGCGCCCTATTCCTTACAATGATTACATTACTGTCACGTAAGTCGCACTGGTATGTCATGAGTGTTTACTTGAGTAACTTGTATACCTGGATCGACTTGAAGTAAGGCAGTACAGACTCATCAGATACATCGTTCACTTCAAACCTATCTGGACATCGAAGCTACATGTCAATTTCGATGCAACATCAATGCACGCTCTCTTGGCCTCATTGCTATCTTTTACACGACCCGGCCCTTGGCCTGCTTGAAGTCCTTGACCTTGATATCCCTCCACACAGCCGTCGACACGACAGCCAACACCAGTATGGCGGTAGCAGCGATAAGCATATATCGTTGGCTGTCTCCATATGCCCTGTTGATGGCGTTCCTCGCTGGAGTGCCAACCTCATAGCTCAATTGCGTCTCCAGACTAGCATAAATCGTAAGATAATCCGCCTTCTCATTCTCAGGCAGATATTGCTGCAATTGCTGCGGAAAGACTCCAGTCCAGATAGCTGCAGCGACGGTACTTCCGATCGCACCGCCGACGCTGGCGAACATACCTTCAAGTGCCAGAACTACGGCAACGAACTGATGCGTCGTTGCCGCCATAACGGCCATTTGTTCGCAGATCACCAAAGCGCCGCCAGAAAGTGCGATGAAGATCTGACACATCACCACGTAGCCAATCTTGACACCTGGTTGCCGGAATTTGATCATAAGTGCGACGCCGAGAATCTGCATGGGAACGCCAAAGTAGAGTGCTATCCACTTAAAGCGACCAGTCCATTTGATAGCGAGGCCGACGACGATGGCCCAGAAGCATGAGCCTATGGTGTAGATTTGCCCGACATAGGAGGCTTCCGTGATGGTCAGACCGTTCACCACTTGTAGGAAGGACTGGAAGTAGGAGTTCCAGATGTAGAAGGTGACAAATAGAGTGGCCGCGAGGATATTGGCGCCCAGGACGGTGCGGTCGGTGAGGAGCGAGAACGGGATGAAGGTCTTAGGTGCAATATACTTCTCATATAGCGCAAAGCGGATGAGAAGAAGGCCGCCAAAGGCGATCATGCAGATGATCATAGGTGATTGCCAGCCCTTCGTCTGGTAGCTGTACAGACTGAACGGCAGCAGGAACAGTGCCAGACCACCACAAAGTAGAAGGAGTCCAGCGAGATCAAACTCGAGAACATAGTGCCACAAAGACTGACCAGAAGATCGTCGGTGCTCGCTGATGGGCGTGAGGCCTGCCTTCTTAGCCTTGCGGTAGTTCCAAATGAAGAGGAAGAAGAGTGGAGAGCAAACAATGGGCGTGACGATTGCGAAGGTGCCGAAACCCCATCGAAAGCCAGCGCCGTTGAGGAAAGCAGTCGCGAGCGGACCACCGATCCAGCTCGTGATTATGTGTGGAGATGTGGCGTAAGCGAACATGAAGCTTCTGTTCTTGAGGGAGGAGGTGTCGGCGATGAAGATGGAGAGGCTGTAGTCGAGGCCGTTGTATCTATTCCATGTCAGTACGTGTGTATAGTAGCCTGTAGTATGGGACTACTGCTCACCCAACCCAATAGAAGACCTGAGCCGCCGCATAAGTCTGGACGTTATTGCAGCCGGCCATCATGATCAAACCGAGTGTCAGGCAGCATACCATCAAGGCAAAACCTTGTGGCCGACCCCAGATATCCAGTATCTTGGCAAGTGGTAGCTTCAATAATCCACCAATGATGCTGGACATGATGGAGGTCGTTGCTGTGAGAGAGTGTTCCTGGAACGCGCTGGTGACATATGGTGTCAAGGAGTCTGACATGCTCTGCTGCATAGTATCAACGGAGTAGATGACCCAGATCCTGCGCGATGGTCAGCAACGGGAAGGCCTGTGTTCGCTCTGGTCACGTACAGCACGTATGCTGCTATCAAGTGGTTTCTACTCCATACAGATGTCGTGGCTTCCATTTTCTGCACACCATGCTGAGCGTCTTTGGAGAGAGACTCGCCATCGCTGTCACTCGCTGCATCCTGGCTTTCTACCGCCGTAGCATTCTTGTTGTCAGTGGGTTCTTCTGCTGCAACTGGTACTTCAACAGGAGACCGTATCCGGCTGAGGAAAGGCATGACTGAAAGTATGGAAGAGTGTAGACCAAAGTGAAAGATCTGCGGATCTGATAAGACAAGATGAGAAAGTCTGGTAATGCTTCCCACCTTATAATACATACCACCTTCACAAGTGGCTCTACCAGAAAATTATCTCCCTTCGAGCTCACCAACAGAACGCAGGGCCATGCTTGGTCCTCTCAGCACCCACACCATCCGACATCGGCTTGCCTGTCATTGCTCGACAACCACGTTTGAGCGGAGTCATGAGCAGAAGAGTCTGTGTGCCAATAGCGTCGAGGCGAGGGAGCCAAGGGAGAAGGAACTCGTTCGGGTATGAGAAGCGCGGACCAGCTCTCAATCTGATTAGATTAGATGTGTCATGATATGTAGCCAAGTGGATCCGTCTGCTTGGCGCCGAAGGCGGAGGATCCTGCGACCAAATGGAGGAGAGTGTTTCTGGTACTGCTTCCAGTGGCTCACGGGTGTGTAATCAGGGCACGGGTTCCATGTCAGAGATGTTCTGATTCGATCTAGCCAAGTAGGTCTTCGTTGGGTACGAACGCGGCCAAAGGTATGAGTGTTGAAGTGAGGAGGAGAAGAGAGTTTGCCTTGATTCATTGATGACTTGGGGATAACACAGGCGTACTTACCAGCATGACCGGTCTTAAAGCTACCCAAATCAGTACACCACAACTCCATCTCTCTGTACTTGCGCAATGGCATTGGACTGTGACCGCCTGACGTAGCAGATAGACGACCAGAGATAAACCTCGAGCAAGCAGCTCCTTCACATCAACCATGCTTACCACCAGGAGGCCAACTCAGACAACAGCCCTGTACACTGTCTCCAACCGCGCCACCGCGACAACACTCTCCGCGCAACTTAAAGTCAACCTTCACATCCTGCTCCGGATCATAGCCGGTCTCCTGATCCTCTGTATCGTAGGAGTTGAATACATGACCCTCATAACTCCATCCTCACCCTGGCATTCCAAGACTCTAAACACTCTCATCCACGCCACCCCTGTTCTTGCCAGGACTGCCGGCACGTTGACGACACTTCTTTCATGGTACTACCGCTGGATCATCATTACGGGGACGACCTATCTCATCACTACGAATCCAATTCGTACCGAGTCACTTCTCGTCATCCGCGGTCTGGGCGTGCAGACGTCAACGAGTTCACCCTCCTACCTCTGGACCAGCTCCGCAAGATTCATCCCTACGACTGCGATCCAGGACATCTTGATCCATGAAGCGTTCAAAGGGTTTGAGGTGAGGTTTTATCTGGCAATTGTGGTTGAGGGGGAGGAAGAAGTGGTGGTTGTGTTCCCGGTATGTGACACTCACTCCAAGATTCTACTTCTTTATGTAGTGTAGAGGCTGTGTTTGCAAAAACGTTCTGATGATGTGACATAGAACCTACTACCACGACGAGACGTTCTGGAGGAAGTTTGGAGAGGAACGCGGGCATGTCTGTACGAACCCAAGACTTGAGCTTGGTCGCCTATGAAGGCTGCGTCCAGTACTAGGCTATGATATGCTACTTCAGTCATCCACGTCCGCTCCGCCATTGACGTGACCCTCTCGCGGAGCAAGGCCCTTACGAACGGCATACCTCGCATTCACCACAACCGGCGTCTCAAGCTTCTCCCTCTTCATCAAAGGGACATACTTACCCACTGTACGTGGCCGATCACTGCCATCGAATATACGATCACTACGATCCGCGTCCTCGACAAGGTGACGATTTGGGATCAGCTTCGAAGTGGACATCCGCTGACCGAGCGAGGCAGCAATGTCCATAAGACTACCAGCGAGCACCTCGTCCATCTTCCGCTTCCGCCACAACGACCACAAATCGTCCATCACACCATTGCGGCCGAAAAGTCCATCGTCGATGCCAAGAACGACCCGCTTGTTTGTCTCCCGCCCACCAACCTCATCGCCTACATACACCCACTCTATCGCATCGTCATACCCGTTGCTCGCAATCGTGTCATCAACCTTCCCGTCCCAAGCAGGCACCGAAGCGGGATCCGGGAAGATGCAATCCCATAGTACCAGCGGCTGGTCGTCTGCCATATCGTAGACCGGCTTACCAGGAGACTTCTCGATATCCAGTAGCCGGTCAACAACATCAGGATTCTCATAACCCTGCCCAACAAGAAACAGAATCCCGACCATGTGGCGGACTTGGTGCCAGAGGAAGGCCGAGCCGCGAACTTCGAAATAGTAGAGTTCTGGCTTGCTCAGCTGATTCGAGCCGTTGTTGTTCGGGATGTGGGCCACAGTAGGAGAGTCCACAGTATGGATACCTGCATGAAAGATTCGTCGCTCAAAGCTGGAAAGCTGTTTACTCGGATCCACTTTACACATGTTTCGGAAATCGTGCAGACCTTCCAATTTCTTTGCTGCGAATTGCATGGCTTCTACGTCCAGCCATCCTCCTCCTGCCCCTGCTGCTGCTCGGCCGGTAGAGGCCAGGGCTGGCGAAGTGGCGAAAGAAGGATTAGTAAAAAAGTACCTGTACCGTCTCTCCTTACAGCTGAAGCGTGCAGAGAAGTCAGGGGGCGGATGGGGACACCAGGCTAGGATCCTGATGTCCCGGGGTAGAACGCGGTTGAGAGTCTGTATGTAGGACAATTCGTCACGGATTGAGTCCCATTGTGGCGATTGCCTCTCCTCGACCGTCCTATTGGCCACGCCATCCTCAACTCCATAATCCTCTGCTCCCATTGCCTCATCACTCGTCCCATCAACGCCATTCGCATCCGCAGGCTTAGGTGCAGTCTTGGGCCTCGCACTCCGAACCTTAATCCCAATGACCTGGCCAAAAGCACTCACACCTCTATCCGTTCGTCCACACTTGCTGTACTCACACCCATCCCAGCAGACCTCGTCCTCGCTCTTCCCAGCAAATTCCGGGAAGATCAACTTGGTCTTCCTTAATGCCCGCCATAGCTCCTCTTCGACGGTAGGTAGAGGGGTGGTGTTATTCGCATGGTGTTCGAAGCCATTGTAATTCCCACCTAGGTAGGCGAATTTGAGGGCTATCAGTCTTGTGTGATAGCGGGATGGGTCAAAGGGTTTGGGTGCTTTCTTGAGTTTCTTTGGTTTGGGCGAGGAAGAAGCTTGGCGTAGGCCGTTACTATTAAGACTTCGGAGCTGAGCCTCCAGGTCTGTCACACGGCGAAGGAGGTCGGCATGGCTGTACTCTTGATATTTGGAGACCCAGGCATTGGTGGTAGACATGATTGTGTCGCATGAGCTGAGTTTGTGGGTTGTGGATTGTCTTTCGCCATATGTCGACTTCGGCACTATCGATGTCGATGTCGACGTTTTGTGTAGCAGTCCGGCATAGCGACGAGGAGTCAGACGCAGCGGTAGCATTGACTCATGATTAACTCATATCCCTTCGAAACATTTCATCGCCTTCGTGGCGAGGTCGCGGAGGCTTTCCGCATGTGTCGGGTTGACATCGCAGTCTGCCGCCTTCTCCTGCTCCTTTCTTTTCTTACCATGTGCAGTAGAACAAAAGCAAGAAACGGTATACACGCGCATCGATCCGATGTGGATCAAAGTGATGCTCAGATTACACTTTGGATATCTGCAGCGATGCAACTCTCCGAACAGTCTGGTTCTACTGGCCCCTGGTGCTTCTGGGGCTTCAGTTGACGGGAATAGTCAAGATACGGTAGGTTCGAGCTATACCTCACAGCTCACGACGATCTCAGACCCTAGTTCACTCTCTTACTATACATGCTTTCCTTTGCTTGCTGGCTATACTGTTGTACGAAGAAGACATAAGCAAAATGTCACTTTCCCAGCAGGAGTTCGAGAAGACCTGGGAAGCAGCAGGCGAGAACCAGGCTGCCCACGCCATCGATGCGGCCTGGAGACCCTATCAACTAGTCAACTCATCATCCCACACAAGCAGACCTGAATGCCATGACACTACCCGGGCCGCCCTGGAACGAAGGATCAATTCCCTCGTCCAGGATCCAACCATATCAAAAGCTTCCGCTTCCCATCATCTCATAACCCTCCCAGCAAATTGTATCCCATGGACACCTACAGGTCGGAATCTCAAAACCGGCACCACTACCTCAATCTTCTCCTCCGGACGACTCTGGCGCTCGAAGCTACTAGATCTGTGGGTAGGTCCACAATTCGGCGTCTGGTACCGTATAGGAGTCAACGGCCGCGTCTTCAACTCCACGGCGGACTCCAATACCTTCGTCACCGGCACGTCAGGCGAGCTTTACATCGCCAATCAATTACCGGGCTGGTTCACGAACCCCATCGGAGGCAGGGTGAGCGATAATCTGGGTGCTTATCATGCGACCGAAGGGAATTTCGAACTGCTTGTTATCGTCTGGAAGCCCGGGACAGACGTACAGAGTTTGTTTCAGAAGACGAGTTTACCCGACGATTCACCTGGAGCGCCGTTTGTTAAGCAGGAGCTAGATCGGGCGAAGACTGAAGATGAGCGGCCTACGCCACCTGGGTGAGACTTCCTTTGGTTCCTCGGCAGGTCGACCATCTACATCTCTCCCGCTTCCGCCTCTACGACCACTACCGGTATCGACCAAAGCAAAACTCCTTGCATCCACTGCAAACCCTACCAAAACGTAGGCATTATCCAAACAGATCTCGAACCCGCCATACCCCTCAAACCCGGTACGAAAGTCTCGTGGGACTGGCTCCTCATCTCCCTCCCATCCCGCACCCGAGAAGATTTAGACTTCACCCACGACTACCTCTCCGTCGCCTTCGAATTCGAGAACGGAAGGGATTTGACGTATACCTGGTCCTGGGAACTCCCGGAGGAGTATGGGTACTGGTGTCCCTTTTCCACCTGGACGGACCGGGAGTGCCATGTCGTGATTCGATCAGAGACGAAATTACTTGGGCAGTGGCTTGGTGAGAGTAGGGATATTTATGCTGATTACGTAAAGTATATCGATGATGGGAAGGGGGATGTGGAGGCAATTCCAAAGCAGGTTGTTAAAGTCTGGTTGATTGCTGCTAATATGCTGCAGAAGCATAAGGAGGAGATGACTGTTAAGGATCTGAAGATTACAGGAAGGGAGGGCGCAGTGGTGGAGGTGATATGACTTGATTCTCCATACACGAGATACATCCAACAGATTCCTGAGCTCCGAATTACCAGCTACCAAAGGCGCAAGCACAAACAAAGCTACATGAACTCCCTAGTCTCCCGATCACACCACTCCCAGAACTCCACCGCTCTACCCTCCCCTCCTTTTACACCCATCTCAACCTCCTTCTGAATATCACCCCTCACATCCCCCGCCCGTCCCCAAGGAACTACATACCCACCATTCCTCTCCCGCCTCCCCATCTCCTCCGACCATCCAGCGAAAAGTTCCGTATACGCCCCAAAGACCGCCGGGAACAGCATGAACAGACTGATCAGCGCCATCATGATACCACGCATTTGACGCTGGAGTTCCGTTTTCAGGTTGCCGGGATTGAATGCATTGCTGATGACACCTTTGCCCGTTTCCGGGGAGATGGGGTGGTGGACAGCATACTGTGAAGCCAGGAAAAGATTCCCGACTTTGCTCTGGCCATAGTTCCTCATCGGGTCCTTGGGTTTGCCTTTCGAGTCCGTTGTTACAGGCTCGTGGGTCGTGGAATTCATTTCGATTCCGCCTGGATTGTGGGACTGAACGTCGATGCCTAGACTTCCGGCCCAGCTCACACGGACGGAGCCGGGGGGCGAGCTGTCTGCCGTACTTTTGAGGAGAGGCGTTAGGAGTTGGGTGAAGAGGAAGGGTCCGAGGCAGTTTGTTCCGAGTTGGAGTTCGTGGGTTTGGGGTGTTGTTGAGCCGGCTGGGACGTTCATTACGCCAGCTAAGTAGAAGTCAGCTTCGTAGATCCTGATCGGCGGCGGTAGGGTTGACCGCAATGCGTACCATTGTTGATGAGTACATCCAACCTCTCCTCCTTCCCCGAAAACGCCTCCGCACTGCCCTTGATGGTCCTCAGATCTCCCAGATCAAGTTGCAAGAATTCTAGACGTCCTTTGCTCCCCAGGACAGCCTTCTCAATCTCAGCTATCCGCTCCGCAGCTTTCTTCGGACTGCGGCCAGCGACGTAGACGGTGGCGTTGCGTTGATAGAGGATCTTGGTCAACTCGTAGCCGACGCCTGCATAGCCTCCTGTGACAACCACAACGCGGCCGGTTTGGTCGGGTAAGTTCTTCTCTGTGAGAGGTGGGGCGGGGATGCGGAAGGACTGGCCGATGAAGCGGGACAGGACAGACATTGTGATTGTCGTTGGTGACAGAAGGAGGATGTGACGGAGTGTGTTACGGGTGGCGGCTTTTGAGGAACGGACAATGATGAGAGGTGCGAGGCAGTGGTCTTATATAAGACTCGCGCTCGTTCTCGTCCTGTCAAGCACACGGATGAGGTACACACTCTATCGCGGTGATCTACTCAATGATGCCTCATATGAAACCCATCCTCTTTGCCAGACGGAGGGTAGGGCAAGAGCTGCATAATCGCCGCCAGGAGACTGTTTGCCGGACTCAGTCAATGCGGTTCGTGCGCTTCATGCAGCTCAGATCGGAGTTACGAGGCTGATGCCGTTTTTTGCAGTAGTCGCTATGTAGGCTGCCATATTATGATAGGCCCGGGTTAGTCATCTCTAGAGTCAGGTATTATTGATGGCCAGCTCGATTGCAGTGCGGCCGCTTCACCCGCATCACTGACTCGCGCAATTTACGACACGATGTCCGCTCAAACAGTTTCTCTACATCATTCCTCACACTTACTCAAGATGTCAGATCGCGAGCGCTCAGCTTCGCCGGCTAGGGAAGAGCTCAGGCCGAAAAAGCAAAAGATGAGTGGCTTCAAATGGAAAGATAAGTCGTCGCGCAACGAGGACGGCGCACAGGATCCTCGTGCTTTTGGAAGGCTGGAACGAGGATACCGGAATCGCTCGCCTAGAGGGGACAGCTATAGAGATAGAGCGAACGATAGGGAGAGGGAAGATGGTGGACGGAGAAGAAGTGAGCGTGATGCTGGAAGGGATGAGGAGGAGCGGAGACCGAGGGAGGGTTCGCCGATGAGAGGTGGGAGGGGAGGAGATAGCTGGAGACCTGACCGCTCGACGGACGAGAGGCGCCATGACATAAAGAGCGAGGACCGTGCCGATAAGACCGACCATACTGCCACCGCGAAGAACGATACAGCCACCGCACCGCCCAAAAAGCCCAAAGAGAAGAAACCTAAGGTCCCCACACCCGCTGCACCCATGGGCCCAATGATAATAGTCAACATCAACGACCGCCTCGGCACCAAAGCCTCAATTCCCTGTCTCGCCTCCGATAGTATCAAAGCGTTCAAGGCAATCGTGGCGGCGCATATTGGTCGGCAGCCGCATGAGATTATGTTGAAGAGGCAGGGCGAGAGGCCGTTTAAGGATGTGTTGACGTTGGAGGATTATGGGGTTTCAAATGGGGTGCAGTTGGATTTGGAGATCGATACTGGGGATTGAGTGGGTTGGGTGGGTGGTACTGGATGGGAAGGGAGGTGGGCGTGGGAGTGTAGGGTCAAGGCGGAGGTGGTCTGAGAGCTGAGTTGCGATGATGGTTCGCGCTTGCTGCATTATTGGCCTTGCTGCGCTCCCTGCTGCTGGGATGGCCAGAGTGCTACGGCGTTACATCACGGGGCCATGATGCTCAGAGTGAAAAGGCCTTGTGCGTCTGTTACATGCTATGAGAGCTCCGCCATCCGTGAACCTCGCTGCCAGGCACCACCGCGAGCTGCAAGCCAATCTCAGGATACGGCCACCAGCACTCAGCGCGAACGTGTATCGCCACCTGCTTGTTACCGCCATCATTTGGTAGTCGTCCCTACATCGCGTCCGTCCTGCTTCATTCGTATCTACAAGCACTGCCATGTTACTGAGAACATCTAACCGCGGGACCTCGAAGCATGTCGGCTGCTGTCCGATTCCTTACGGCGCAATCTCTCCTGTCGTTGTCACTAATTTGGGAGCATTGATCAAATTCATGAAGCTAGTCTAGGCCCTCGAAGCTTGGCTGTCCATCATGCCTGTGCAACAAATGAGCTGGAAAGGATCCAAGAAACATCGCAAGATGCTGGGCAGGGTTACTGAAATAGGAGCAGATTACGAGGAGAGGATTTCAGATGAGGCGGATGCAGGCCTGGCCTTGTCATGAAGGTTGTCTCAACGTCACTTCCACGTGCCTGCCGAAAGCGGTTCGAGCTAGCTAGGCACGCTGTCAACCAAGATCCTCCCGCGCACAGCCATTAGCCTACCATTGTATCGTGACCAATAACACACTCTATATTCAACTGATCGTCCTTCTCGATGATACGCACCTGAGGCCGTATCTACATCCCTACTTTCATGTGTTTGACAACACCAACAATCTCGATATTGACCATTGCAGTGTTTCTGTCGTGCCACATCTCAAACACAGACCATCAGTGGCGGGGTCTATTCAGCCAATCATCGAGCGATCCAGGCTTGCGCCACGATTGGCTAGCATCTGCACCTCGGCTGCAGGGCGTTGGAACTAGCAAGTGACTGACTTGGACGATCGTCGCAGCCTTTGAGTGGCTATGGCGAGGCCGCGAGAAAGGTCACGATACTGTTGTCGAGGTGGGCGAGAGTGCTACACTCCTGTCGTGTTGAACAGCTCTTGTTGTTGTTGTTGTCGCGCAAGACGTGGTGGGTGAATGCGGAAGGACTGCTGGTACAGTCGCCATCTAGACACATCATATTCACACTTAGAGACTGGAACATGCGACCTTGAGGCAGGGCTGGAAGATACAAGTAACCTTCCAGCGCAAAAACGGCTTGAACAGAAACATCGTCGCACGACATGGTCTCTCACCATCACCTTCCATCCTCCTACGACCTGCCCTCGCCTGCTCCCTCCGCCCCACCAGCCTTCGCACCCCGAGCAGCCTCAGTCACATCCGGACGATCACATACACGACGACACAGACATGCGCGGACTCACCATGGGGGGTCGGTATCCTCTACAAGCAGCTATGCGCCTCAGAACGAGTTCCCCATCTTCTCAAACACAGGCGATGTGGAAATCACAATCACGAGTGCGAACGGGAGGAAGGAACAAAGATATGTGCTACACAGACTGATCCTGAGTCAATGTTCGGGCTTCTTCGAGGCGGGCACGAGGGCTGAATGGAGCGGTGCTGGTCAGCAAGGTTTGGCGAGGATACGAGAGGATGGCGAGAGTGTGACAGCGGGTGGCAGTAGTTCAAGACCGAGTAGTCAGGACCGGAGTAGAGCTCTACCGGACTTTCAACAGCAACCTAAGCAAAGATGGAAGTACGCACTCGACTGGAAGAACGCAGCAGACGGCGAAGCACCGATGCTTGTCCAAGTCAGCGACACACCTTCCCTCTTCGGCGGCACCACATCCTCCTCCTCCCGAATCCGCCCACCACCACCCTCAAACGAGAACTTCTTCCGCAGCATGACCAACTTCTCTGCACTCAACCTCAACGAACGCTCTCAAGTCTCCGTCCCCACCGAAGCCGGCGACGAAGTCCTGAAAGACTACGATAACCTCTTCCGCACAATGTACCAGTACCCACCCATCCTCGACAGCATCAACATAGCAACAGCCTACACCGAGTGCAAAGCCCTACTACACCTGGCAGATATCTACGACGCACTGGAGATAGTGGGCAGTAGAGTTGATCACCACTTATTGAGATTTGGCGCGAGGTTATTTAAGCAGATTGCCAAGTATCCGCCTTCATACCTTAAACTAGGCTATCTGGCACGAAGTCGCACGATCTTCATCGAGGCGCTTATCCATGTCGTTGGGCAGTGGCCGCTAGGTGCGCCGCAGTTGCGAGGTGGGATCGATAATTCGGTCATGGAGTTGATTGAGGATAAGGTGGATGAGTTGCTGGAGCAGCAAGAGCGGGTGGAGTTTAAGCTGTGGAGACTCAGTCCTATCACGTCGAGAGGGGAGAGAGTCACGCCCGAGAAGGACTTTTTGGGTTGGTTGGCGGTGAGTTTGTTTCGGTCTTGGTTGGCTGAGAATACTACGCCGGCCCCTGCGTCAGGAGCGAAGGATGGGGAGAGGCAGAGACCTGGAAGTGAGATGACGGCTGGTGGAGGTGCGGGAGTGGGAAGGTCGAGTAGTAGGAGTTCGGCGCATATTGCTTCGCAGCGGACACAGCCTCCGCCGCCTCCGACTCCACCGAGTATAGGCAAGATCTTCCGCATTATCGGCGCTCCATCTACCTCTTCCTCAACCACGACCACGACCAGTGGCGTATCTGCGAGCAGCTCGACGCCAGCTTATCTCACCCACGACGATTTGAAACGATTCTTGAAGTTGCAGCCGGACCTTTATACCCGCGATAATCTTCGCCGCTTCGAGAGGAAGATGGACGAGATTAAGAGTCTGGCGAGGGAAGCGGTCAAGCCGTTGATGCGGAATTTCCTGGAATTGGATCTGGGAACGTTTGGGGCTGGGGGTTTGGGGTATCTGACTTGTATTAGGTTGGAGGAGGGGGAAGTACCGTGGGATTAGATCAGACAAGACATAGCGTAGAGGTCTGGTTCTGGCGCGAGATATCGTGAGGATGTGAGGAGATTGCATACCGGCGTTGTTTGGAAAACTCCACAGCATGCATGGCGTTGAGAGTTGCGAATGCGCTGCTGGATATATACCCCATTGTCGCTGTTAAGTTCAGAAGGCATGTATACAGACACAGGAAAGAGTCATTTTGTCATGAGCGCAGGTTGACTGTGCTGTTCATCAGCCTTCAAACTTCTTCCATCTCGTTCCTTTTGTGTCCTATACGTATTGATACTCAAGGTTTCGTTATCCTGATCCTCACCACAAGCAATCGCAAGCAATCCCCCCAAGCCAGACCAAAACATCCAAGTATCGTGGAGTCTTTGCGGAGTTCCTGGAGAGCATTCGCCGACACTAACCTCGTCTGGAAGGAGCAGAGTCGATCAGCGGAGCGATAACATGTGGAGACCACGCGATAATCCACACCTTCCAGGACTTCCGTATCTCGAAGCAGTATTTTGTCATGCCGATCAAGCCGACCTCAGCCTGGGAAACACATTTTGAGTGGCCGTGACCGGCTTGGCTTGGGCTTGTGCTGCGGAAGGCGGGCATCCATATCGTGCAGCGCGGCATGATGGTGACATGCACTGCCTTACAAAGTTGTCGTGCAGGTAGCTGAATCTGACTGGCACGATCTCACTTCTCTTTCTGCCACGCTCACCTTTCTCTGTGCTAATCACTGTCATCGCACATCTGGTCGTGGAAGTTCGAGCACCATGTCTGATCCTCCTGGCTATACTACTGCAGCGCACGATGGCGAGAAGGCTGTTGGTGTGGATGAGGTAGATTACAAGAAGGATGTCACTAGACCAGGAGATATGATAGAGACGGATCCAGCTCTGGACCAACGCATCACGAGGAAACTGGACCTTCATATCTTGCCTTGGATCTTCATCCTCTGGCTCCTGGCTTTTATCGATCGCTCGAACATTGGTACGGATTTCTATACAAGATTTTAGGTCATAATACTGACTTGCACCGCAGGCAACGCTAAACTCGATGGCTTGGTCAAGGATCTCAAACTCACGGGCGACAAGTACAACACTGCACTGGCGGTCTTCTACATCCTCTATGTACTCGTGGACATACCGTCTAATTGGCTGCTCAAAATCGTAGGAGGCGGGCACTGGCTTTCCGCTATCGCTATTGCTTGGGGTATCGTAGGTACGGCGATGGGGGGCGTAAAGAGCTATGGCGGACTGATAGCTTGTCGTCTGCTGCTTGGAGCCTGCGAGGGCGGGATGTTCGGTGGAATCATCCTTTATTTGAGCATGTTCTACAAGAGGCATCAGCTCATGTTCCGCCTGGGGATCTTCTACTGCGCGGCACCGTTGAGTGGAGCTTTTGGTGGTCTTTTGGCGACGGGATTGAGTAAGATCAATTATCATGGTTATAATGGCTGGCCCTGGATCTTCTTCGTAAGTGCAATCTTCCATAGCTGGTGAAGTTCAACGTTGTTGACAACCTCACCAATGCTAACAACTTCACCAGGTCGAGGGCGCAATCACCATCGTCGTGGCAAGCGTCGCGTTCTTCTTCCTCCCACATACACCATCCCAATGCAAGTTCCTCTCCCACGAAGAACAATGGCACGCCGCGCACCGCCTGCGTCTCGACCTCCACGGCGCCTCCTCAGCCGAGCAAGTCGAAGAAGAGCACTTCTCCTGGACCGCGGTCAAACTCTCCCTCTTCAACGTCAACACCATCGCCATGAGCCTGAACTTCTTCCTTATCCTCATCCCAATCTACAGCTTCAGCCTCTTCCTCCCCAGCATCATCTCGGGATTAGGCTACAAAGCTGTACACGCTCAACTCCTCACAGTACCACCGAACTTCCTCGCCTTCCTCATGGTCATCGGCGTCTCCTTCCTCAGCGACCGCATCAAAATGCGCGGCCCGCTCATCCTCGCCGGCGCCAGCTTAGCAGCAATAGGCTATATCCTGCAAATCGCCTCGCACAAACCCGGCATCAAATACGCCGGGACCTTCTTCGTCGCAGCCGGAATGTTCCCCTGCTCGCCCCTCGTGCTGGCCTGGCTGAGTAACAACCTAGCACCCCACTACATCAAAGCCACGGGTCTGGGCTTTCAGGTCGCGATCGGGAATTGTGGTGCGTTCGTCGCCACGTTCACGTATTTGAGCCAGGACGCGCCGGATTATACCAAGGGGCACGCGATCAATTTGGGCGCTATTGGGTTGATTTTGATATTCACGGCGGGGAATATGATGTATATTAAGTGGGAGAATGCGGCGAGGGCCAGTGGGAAGAGGGACCATAGGTTGCGGGAAGGAGGTGGGGAGGATGGGTTGGGGTATCGGCATCCCGAATTTAGGTATACCTCTTGATGTAGAGTTGATATACTTGGCTGTCGAAGTAGTTCTCTACAGGCTGTGTCTATTAGGCTCTCTCGCTCTCGTACAGGCTGCGTTTGCTCTTAATCCAAGGAAGACCGCGTTGGCTTTTGCACTGACGATAGAAGGTTTGATTCATGCTACGGAGTCTTTATAGATGCTCGACTTCTCGCAGTAGATAAGAAAATGTGCACATCTTCCACCACTCTTTAAGGGCGTCAAGTGAAATCCCGCCACATCGGGCGGCGATCAGGCGGGACGCGGCGGAGTGCCGCTGCAGGGTGATGCATGTTCCGAGCAATGCGATGTTGATTCGGCCCTCCCAATAGCTTCACTTACATCACACCTACGCATAACTACGATCCTCGAGACTGGTCTGGACCGGCTACTGTTACTCGGCTTCATCGTGCATACGTACCAGAGCGCATAAGCTACAAGGCTGACTTCGGTGAATGAGCTAAGACATATCGAACTCTACACACACTTTCTCGAGGCGGACACGGCTGAAGAAGCATTACGATTTGAGGGAGCTTGATTGGTAGGACGTTGCGGGAGTTCTCGACCTCACCGCTCGAGCTGCACGATCTGCGACTACAACAGCACTACGGAACAATAATAGTCGAGCGCGAGGGGGTTTGGTCACGAACAAGCACTTTGTCACGCTGGAAGGCCTCAGGCCGCTTGGATCACTCGCGACCACAAGTGGAAGGCGCAGTCACATGCCTCGCACCTGCCGTGATACCCTTCGCTCACTCGCACGGATGCAAGCAGCTCCACCTCCTTACACAATATCTCCCTGATCTGGCTTGAGCCATCGCCGGCAACATGGTCAAGCCGGATGTCAAGCACAGTAAGATCAAGCTCTCGGCATAACGACATAGATGGTGTTGGTACTGACACATGAGCGACAGACTACTACTCCGACCTCGAGCTTCCGAATACGTGTTCCATCGATGACATCAAAAAGCAATACCGCAAACTTGCCCTCCAATATCACCCGGACCGCAATGCAGGCAGAGAGGAGGAGTTTGTGCCCAGGTTCCAAGCAATCCAGACTGCGCATGAGATCCTAGGCGATGCTATATCCAAGAACAAATATGATACAGATCGGCGGAAAGCTGGCCTCTATCCTGCTGCTGCCAGAGGTCCGCCCAGTGTGCCGCCTACGCCAGGTAATCCGACAGGCAACCCGTACTTCGTGCGGTCGGACTATCCACCACCACCTCGTAGGACACAGCCAGGCCCTTACGCGCGACCACAACCCACAGCTGCTGCCTCATCAAACACTACCCCAACGGGTGCGGACCGCTTCACACAATTCACGCGCGGCGCACCTACTGCTCGCAAGGATGCCGGTGGGCCAGCCGCTGGCAGAGCGGACAACTTCCGAGCATGGCAGAACTTGAATGCTATGCAGGAGAAGGAGAAGCGCGACGCTGCCGCTGCCTGGGCTGCGCGTAATCAGCCGGTTCCGCCTACCCAACCCTCACCTGGCCGACCTCGACCGCCTCCGCGACAGGACACGAAGCTCCCGAGTGAGGATGAGATCCGCGCTGGCATGAATTATCGGAAGCCTCCTCCACCATCTCCCGCAGCAGAGGCTGAAGCAAGTCCATCTGCGTGGGCTAGCTTTCAACGGCAAAATGCTGGAAAGCCGGGCGTGTCGCGCAGTAACACCTTCAAGACGCCAAGAAAGCAAGGCTTCGATCCCAATGCGCCAGGCTCAGATGGGCGTCCACAACCCGATGGCAATTACATGCACACTCATAGACGATCTGCAGACTTCGGGAGGCATCCACCTGGCGCATACCCACCTCCACCACCAGGCCCGCCACCCATGTCACCCACATCCCCAAATGGTCATCGACCTTTCGCAGATCCCTTGCGCCCATTCAAGGCTCGTCCTGACGAGCAGGACGCTTTTCCACAAGCTCCTTATACCGAAGGTAACAGGATCCGGACACCGTACAGTAACGCTAGTGGCGAGAGGACGAAGTTCGAACGCCAGAATTCCGATGGATTACGACGCTCAGCGAGTACTCGTGATACAACGAAGCTCTATCCTGACGGCGGCGCGGCTAGAGCTAGGAGCACTAGTCCGCTTGGTCGGCAGAAGCATGGCACGCAAGACAAGAATTTTGTAGACTACAGCGACAGCGACGCATCTGGCAACGGTGATGCAGACATACCAAGTACGACGACCACGCCTGGAGGCTCCCGCCCTGGCATAGCACCACATCCGAAAATGCCTTTCGAGCGACCAATGAAAGTTCCGACCCCACCGAGCAGACGAGCCAATGGCCCATCGATGCCATTCGGTCCTCCCGCTGACGATGCTGACACACCTGGCATGCAGCAGAAGACAGCGAACAATATGTATGCAGACCCTTTCCTCTTTCAGTTCGATGACCTGCCAGACGATAGCATTTTCGAGCGCAACCAGTGGACACCTCGTGGTTTCAGTACACATCCAACATATGGTACTGAGTCGCACATGGGAGCTGCACCGCAATGGACAACACCTAGCTCGGAGCTTTTCAATAGCACCTATGGCAAGGCACCTTCATATCCGCAGACTGATCCGATTGGCAAGCGGCAACCAGGCAGGAGCAGGTTCATCGACGCTAGCATAATCAATGTTCATGATACGCTTCCACCCTCACGTGTCGAACAGGATGAGGCAGCTCTTCGGTTCGTACAACATGAGATCGAAATGAACATTGGCGAGCCGTCGAAGAATTTGAATATACATGTCTTGAATCGGCTTGCTTCAACAGCGCGCGCGGGTATCTCATGTGGTCATAGCTGGATGGACAAGATTGTCACTCGAATGCTCGAACTCTTCCCGTCATACGGTCTGCCTATTATTGACAAGATCTATGCTGATACAATTTCTTTGATCGATAGCTTCAACTACCCTGGCCAGCAGAATTTGTTCTCGTCCGGCAAGAGTCGAAGCGAGGAGACCGTTAACACCAATTTCTCGCCCGATGGCTGGCATGGGAATTTCAAGGGCTCTGATTACTTTGCGCCACCGCCCCCTACGAGTAGGAAACAGCCGAGTCCTTCGAGACGCACGAAGTCTGGACTTCGATCTGCAACTGCTAATCCGCCCGATCCTGATGCTGAAACGAACGGCGCGCAATCGACTTTTACTGCGGAGGAGAGGACGACTACTTCACAGGAGCCGCAGAGTACTCCGGGCAGTGTCAAGTTCAGCAAAGAAGAGTGGGAGCACCATTTCAAAGAACCTACCTGGGTATGGCCGGGTCCACCTCAAGACTCGACGAGTCCGAAGAAGGCACCCAAGACACCCGCACGCAAGTCTAGTCGAACGACTGGCAATGCGTCGAGAGAAGGAGGCCCCTTTGGGCGTGTAAGTGATCCTGTTACTGACAGGAATGGAGGCGATGCCACGGCTGGACAGAGTGCTGCTACAGGTGATGATGGTGATGCTATGGATATTGATGATGAGCCACCGGTGCAGGCTCAGCAAACGACTTCTGAGGATCTCCACTCACGCACAGACGGTACAGCCGAGCCGCGATTATACTCAGTCCCGCCCTCGACATGGCGGCAACAGCAAGAATCCTCGACAAACGGTGGTCACCAGCACGCTTTTACAAACCAACGCTCGACTAGCAGCAAGCTCAACACCAACCTCGACGACCTCGCCCACGTTGAGCCCCTCATCCGCGACACGAACGGCCTCGACAGTCTAGCCGGCATGAGCTCAACTCTACCCTTCCAATCCCAGCCCTCCTCAACACTCCCCACACACCCCCAAGAGCCCCAAAAACTCCAAATGCCGCCCGTCCCCAAAGCACCAGAACCACCCCATAAACTCACCAAAGAATCCTGGCACACTTTCACCGCCACCTTCGCCGCCTACCTGCACGCGTACCACGCCTTTAACACAACCATGGTGCAGCATTTCGCTGCGCGGGAACAGGCGGCCAACGCTCTGATATACTCGGGCTCTGCGTGGTTGGAGGCTGTAGGGGATACGACGAGGGAGGGGGAGCAGCAGCCGATGGGGTTTGCGAGTTATGCGAGGTGTGTGCGGGAGGATGAGATGGTGAGGGAGGTTTGGGGGGTGGGGTGTGAGAGGCATCGGGTCGCGGTTGAGGAGTTTGGGAAGTTGAGGGAGAGGGTCAAGAGGTTGGTGGAGGGTGGGGGGTTGGTGGAGAGGTAGATGAGGGTGGTGGAGATGGAGGAAGACGATCTCTGTGCTTGAGGATCCGTGGCTGAGAAGGACCATTTTTACTCCATCGGCTCAGCACTACGGGAAAGACTGCTTTTGCCCCTTGGAGTGAATGGACTGCTTGACGGATTGTTCACGACAGAGGATATGGCACTTTTCGAGCCGAGTTTCGCGTTTGTACGCTGCGTATGTGAAACACGATAGAGCATTACTTGGGCGGCATTTGAGTCGTTGCATGGATGGCGCTAAGGTTGTTGCACAAAGGATAGAGCCGGGCTACGAATATGGAGCGTTCAAGCGCTGCATGTGGTATAAGTGTACTTTAGTTCGAACGGTACACCTTGTGTCATTGTTCCACTTCCGCACACCCATTACTGTTTGTGTGCAGGATAACATCCTTTTATGCCATGCTTCGTATTGCTATCTACCAATCCCGTATACAATACGCTGTTCACATCTCGAGGCCAAATCAATGACGTGGTTGGAGCGCAATTCCAAAAGGAAGAGCCGAGCCATTTTGTAAGATGCTGATTGACATGGACCGTCTCGAACAAGCATATTTTGCTTCATACTCGCAATGATGAGAAGAGAGGTCGTTCTGTCTCGCTCTTCTGCCCCAACAACTGCCGAAAGCCTCAAGACGGGACCGTGTTCGGCAGAATTGTGCGACTCCGCAGCGACCGTGACGGGATCCACATCTAGCGACCACGGCCGAGACGATAGCACTACACTTCCTCCACATCACTCCGTGGGCTGATGTTTGCTGTCCTACGTCCAGTCGCAAGAAGGACTATATACACCAGTCGATCTTGCTACCAGATCGTCCAACATCACAACCCCAGAAGTCCATCTGCATCGTCAGCGACAATATTCTCATCTCGAACCATGGCATCTCTGACAAAGTGGGATCGTCTGATCCGATATGTATCCAAGGATGGCAGCATCAAGCATGGCGAGCCCATCGTCGACGGCAAAGCTGATATCGATGATTTGGCGCAGAAGGGCAGCTTGAAGGTCAAAGTGCTGGAAGGCTCGGACTTTGTCTCAATGGCGCCGACGGGACAAGAAGACGAGGTCAAAGAATTGCTTGGCCCGCTGGCACCGAAGGATGTTGCCGTTATCAGGTGTACTGGCTTGAACTATAAGACGCATAGTAAGTCGATCGCTTTGCCACCATGTGACCTGAGCAGGAGATCAGAGCTAATCCCACATCACTACAGTCCTGGAAACTGGTTTCGACCTTCCTGTGAACCCAACATTGTTCTTCAAGACCAGCCAAGCAGTAGCAGATACACGAAAACCAACTCCCATCCCCAAACTAGGCCAACCCCAATGCGACTACGAAGGCGAACTGACAATCGTCATCGGCAAGGATTGCAAGAACGTTTCCGAGGACCAAGCTCTGGAGTACGTGGCTGGCTACGTGAGCTCGAACGACGTCTCCTGTCGCGACTGGCAAATGGAGAAGGATAAGGCGGGCATGATGCCTCAATGGTCTTTCTCCAAGACGTTTGACAAGTATGCCCCGCTCGGTCCGGCGATTGTGTCCACCAAAGTCCTGGGAGATGCTGGTGGACTGGCTATGAAAACATATGTCAATGGAGAGCTGAGGCAGGATACTAACACTTCTGATCTGTGCTTTGGTGTCAAGAAACTTGTGTCTTTCTTCAGCACGGGTCAGACGCTGGAAAAGGGAACGTTGATCATGACCGGTACACCCGGTGGTGTTGGCTTTGGCATGAAGCCGCCGAAGTGGCTGAAGGATGGTGACGAGGTTGTTGTGGAAATTGAGGGCATTGGTAAGGTTGTTAACAAAATGCAATTCGAGTAGAGCGATTCTCAGTGTACTGCTAAGCTTTGCCTGCAGCTAGGTGAACCAATGCAAATCGTCACATGGACGTTCCCAAACTATGCAAGCCTCTTCACTAGAACGCAACACAGCCGTGTCCACTATTATATGAAATGCTCAAGTCTTCCCTCGCCAGGTGGGGTAGAGTGCAGAGTACCAGCATCCTGCCGCTCAACCCACACTCGCCGCTCTTCTTCGAAAGCATGCAAGTCACGATCGCCATTCTCGTCAGAGCTTGGTCTATGTCGATGGATACGTGCATGCTGCAAGATCTGATGTGCAGCCGTTGAGGCAGCGTTACGGAGGGCATGCAGAGCCTGAGCAGGTGGCGAGGCATGTGCCGCTGGCGTAGCAGCTGAAGGATAGGTATGTCGGTTCTGCTGACGTTGCACGGGTGGTGGAGGGGGAGCGGCCTGGACTAAAGCAGCCATGGAGGCTTGTGTAACGACATCTGAGCGGCCTCGGAAGCGGTGTGATGGCCTGATCACATCGGCCGGTGTTTGTGGTTGGTCTGTTCCAGGTCGAGCATCATCATATATCTTCACCCGCGGCGTAGCCATGGTTGGACTACTCGGCTTCAAGGGCACGCCGCCACTTTTGCTCGGAGAATCTTGGCCTTTCCCGGCCGACGTATCTGCCAGAGGTCGTCTAGGACTAGATGTTGCGACCTCTGTAGGGAGCTGATTGATGGCGATGGCAGCCGCCAATGAAGCAACGCCCACAGTGGCCGAGTTTGATGGCGCGATAGGTAAAATGTGGGCATTATGCAGTACATTGGCGTCGTCTTGTGAAAGACTGGCATCCGGATCCAGTGGAGATGATGAGAACGTGGCGGAAGAGCCCGTTGGCGGTGCTGGTGGAGAGTCTTGTCGGAAAGGATTGCCATGCAATAGCGATGGTCGTGACCGCTGGCTAGGTGTCCTCTCCCACGAGCGACCGACTGATCTAGGACGGTTGCCGGACAGTCTACTCAGACGCTCAGTCAACTCATCCAGCGGCGAGTTGCGCATCAGCAAGAATTCGTCCGCCGCATTTATTCCATGGCCGGAGAAGTCGCTACTTGACAGCACTCTGCTGATGCCGCTGGCAGCGCTTGTGATGCTTGGCATACGTTGAGATGGTGTGATATGGTCCCGCCAGCTTAGGGAACTGCTACGGCTGGTGATGTGAGGCTGGGTTGAGATGCGAGGCAATGTCCGGGATCCGCTTGGCAGGACGTCTTCCACGCTCGACTGTAAGAAGTCTCTACCATCATGTTCATTGTCCAGTGTAGCCTGATGATCGATAATCGAGGACGACGTATGAATTGTCGGCAATGCATGCGAGCTCACGAAAGAACTTCTTGAAGGTCGCCTGCCTAGAAAGCGAGCAGGCCGATGGGCCACGCTGCTGCGTCTTGCAATAGGTGAGCGTGTACTTGGTCTGAGCAGGGGATAGCGATCAAGTACCGGTAGAGGTTCGTTCTGATCGCTCACTCGGCTACGTCTTCGATTCCGTGGCTGGATTGTCTCTCCACGCTGAGTGTGTGCTTGTTGTCTATGCCGTATTGCAGAATCGACATTTTGTTCTGATGACGACCGCAGTCGCAGGTTTGATGAGCTGTGAGTGCTATCGAGGCTGCTCCACCGGGATTCCAAGCCGACACCGAAAGAGCTCTCATTCGCAGATCCCGTCACAGTGCCAAAGCGTGTTCGTGGGACGAAGACAGGAGCTCCTGGATCCAAGAACGGATTGATGATGCTTCGGCTTTCGTCCGCGCCATCTGGCAGCACAAGCTCCGGCACTGGAGGTGGTAGGTCAGGTACGAGGAAGGTGTGGGATGGTATACGCGAGACATGGCGGTCCTGTATAAAGTGCTGAAGCTCGACTGGATCTTCCGGGATGGATGTCTCGCGGCTGCGTACATGACGACGAGCTCGGGCACTTGATAGAAGTCCCGGTATGTGTCGTTGGGATGGACTGGTCGGGAAGGCATCGCTGTGTATCTCTCCCAAGACCGGAACATCGCGGCGAGAAACAGGGATGTCTTCAGAAGTTGCTCGGCTATGTGCAGGGCTGGCAGCGGGTCTGATTTCGACGCATCCATCGAGCGTCGTGTTTGCGAATCGTAGTGATCGTTGTTCGGCTCCTTCTGCGTCACGATGCTCTTCGACGGTCTTGTCTGAGATATCCTGATTTGCTTTGTGGTCATGGCAAGCTAGGCTAGCCATGTGGTGGTAGCTGTCATTCTTTTCAGTTGTCGCAGACACTGTTGGCCCTTGTGTATCATCGACACTGCACACATTTGCTTGAGATCCTGACGATACTGTCCGTCCGCCGTGATTGTTCTCGAACACTAGCGAGTAACTAGTCCGGCGACTGGGTCCTGGGCTAAGGCGAAAGGTGCCTTTGTGCATTTGAGCACTTCGAGCCGTGTGGCGTGCGAGGAATCTTTGCTCGAAATCGTCCAGGTCCGTGGCCGTGAGGCTGATGCGAGAGGGTGGACAGCGCAGCATATCGCTCATTAGTATAATATTTGTTGTGGCACGAACAGTGGCCGAAATGCACTCGAAGGACGATGGACTAGATCAGCGAATTTGCAGGTTGTGGATTGCATGCAATGTGAGAATGCTATATTATGGTGGCAACAGCATCCAGATGTACTTGCCCATTAGCAACATAACCCGAAAGGTGTCAGCTGCGACATTCCCGACTACTCCTCCTTTGCTCGAACTGCAACTGCTTCAGAACGTTAAGGAAGGTCTTCTGATCGGCGCCCGCCTTCTCCTCAAACCCATCATTATTTCTTCCTGCGCCATTGTGTCAGGATGATCCTGCCCGTAGCACAAGAAGAAATCCTTGAAGCTCGCTTCCGCCATCTCCAGTGCTTTCATAAGATGGTGATTAGGCCTGCCTTCTTCATCGCACTCTTCACAATGACCGTTACCAACAGTCTTTGCCACTTCGTAATCCTTGACGTGCAAGGCAGCAACATGCTGATAGGCCGAAGCCAGCTTCTCGTCACGCATTTTGAGATCCTCCACGGCACGTATGTAGTGAAGCCCATCCTGAATGCGCCTGTTGAGGACATCCTGAGCGTTTGCCTCCGCACCTCGCTGTTCTTCGTCATTCAGACTGCCGTATAGTTGTTTCGCATTGAGTCGGAGTTGGTCGCCTCGTCTGACCTCGGCCAGCGTCGCATCGCAGATGACACAAAGACAACGAAAGTCCCAGCAAGCCTGTAAAGCATGTCTTCGCTGCAGCCGCTTCTGATACGTGGTTTCTGCACTGCCAAGATAATCAAGCAAGATCTCGTCGTCGCTGCTAATCGTGGTGATAGCTCTTACGGTGGCACGGCCAAGGTTGGCGTTCCAGATAACCACAGCGTTGGGTCTGTAAGAATGGTTGGTTCGCAAAATCTTCCCATAGACTCGAAGGACATGGTAGGTCTACCCATCCCTGATCTCTTCGTCCCCGAAAGCATTGGATCTGAAGATACCTTGGGTCGTTTTGCCTTCGCTTTGAAGCTTGTCGAAAGCTGTACGCTGAGCGTCTGTCATGCGCTCCCTAGCTTTGATCATAGCTGATGTTCCACTGAATCTGGCGTCAGTAGTGTAGGAGTGATCTGGATCATGCACTTCGGCAAGGCTGATCAGAAGTTCACATAACGACTCATCGATCAAGATGAGGTCGCCACTTGACAAGTCTCGGCTGGCGATGATCTTCTTCCCGCCACCTACTTGGGCAGCAATGATCTGGTGGTTAGGTCTGGATCTTACCATTCTAGCAAATGTCGTTCGAATAAGGTAGTGATGAGATACTTTATCTGGAGGGAGGTGCGAAGGAGATCTTATATGTAAAAGTGATACAATAACGCGAAGGCTGCCTCGTTTGTAACAAAGCAGCTTGATCGCCCTGTCTCATGTTATGAGAAACCTTTCTAACACGGAGTTCCTGCACGTCTAGGAAGGACAGATGCAAGATATGGAGGCTTCACCCGCCAGCGCCATGGCCCTATTCGGTGTTGTAGTAGCGTGATGATCCACGAGATAGTGTCGAGGATGTCGATGCAAGCATTCGCTGCAAGCCTTCGGTGATGTCGTGGTGTGATGAAGCTACGAGCGAAGCATGAAAGAAACACGGAAAGAGACATGTCGTGCCTGTTCGCACGGACCATCGGGCGCCGAAGCTGTAAACATAGAGCGAGCACACACCTCCACCATGACCTCCATTTCTAATAAGTGCTCAGCATAATTCAGCAAAGATGTCCAACCACGTCTCCAGCGGCCAGTCGCGGCCCTGGTACGAACACATCACAATCGACCTCCTCGCCCGTGTCCTCAACAACAGTATCTTCCAACCCTTCATAGCCTGGCTAGCCTTACTTTGTCAAAGCGCTGTGGGAGCATCTAGCACGAGCTTCAGGTTCAGAGCAACCCTAAATTACGCTTGTCTCCTGTCTCTGTTCTCTTTCCTCAAGCTCCTGGATGAGTTGTACGCTTATGGCAGACCACGGAAGCTGGACTGGGATGAGGAGGTCGTGGTGATTACTGGTGGGGCGAGGGGGCTGGGCAAGATACTGGCCGAGGTTTATGGGATGCGAGGTGCATCTGTGGCGGTACTGGATGTACAGAAGCCCAGTAAAGAGAGCGAAGGCTTGGCTGGGGTGGAGGTTTATGAGTGTGATGTTGGCGATGCTGAGGCAGTGGAGAAGGTGAAATTGCAAATAGAGACAGATGTATGTAGAAACACCAACTCCTTGTCTCTACAAGGTCCGTGACGATCGAGCATCAGCAGTTGACCGGTAAGTATAGCTCGGTATACCCACGATCCTGATCAATAACGCCGGCATCGTGTATGGCAAGCCCCTTCTGTCCCTCGGTAGCCACGAGGTCGAGAAGTCCTTCAAAGTGAACACACTGGCCCACTTCAACACGATCCGCACTTTTCTGCCCACTATGCTCGCCTCCAAGACAGGCGGGACGATAGTCACAGTTGCCTCCGTGCTCGGCAAGCTGGGAGCAAGTCACTTGAGTGACTATACAGCTACAAAAGCAGCTCTCATAGCCATGCACTCTTCCCTTCGCGCCGAGCTGAACTCGCCTAGCACTGCACCAGAGGGCGCAGCAAACATCCGAACAGTCCTTGTCACACCTGGTCAGCTCTCAACGAACTTGTTCCAAGGCGTCAAGACCCCAAGCTCGTTTCTCGGCCCAGTGGTCGAGACAGTAGAGTTGGCGAGGGAGATCGTGAAGATGGTAGACTCGGGCATGAGTGGTGAGATCAGTCTGCCGCTGTATGCGAGGTGGATTGACTGGCTGCATGTACTACCTCCCGGTCTAGGCAAGCTAGTCAGAGGGCTAAGTGGTATGGATCGTGCTATGGAGGGGTTTGGAGCAGCGCAGAGTAAGATTTCTAAAATGGCGGGTGGTGTCAAGGTGCAATGAAGGGATCCATATGTTTGACTGCAGGTGCTCTAGGCATAAAGATTCGTGAGTGATTAATGATGATTCTGCCCCTCTATACAATTCCAACCCAATAAGCGCCATCTATCGGGCCTCCGTACCACGTTCCACGTCAATCCTCAACGTCCAGAATTGAAACATTTACCTCGACCTACTGAAGGCCCTCCTCCAAGAAGTGATTGTCGCTGTAGCCACACTTCCACCACTTGTCCTTCTTGACTCCACCTTAGCAGGCGACGCCGAAGCCCTTGACTCAACTCGACTAATGACACTCATCTGATCACCCACATCCCTTCTCAGCCTCGACTCTTGACCCAACTTCCTTGGTGGCGAAGCCAAAGACCCCGCTCGTATACTAAATGAGTCCCCACTAGACGCTCCACCAGGTACTTCCGGCATAGGTAGATTCCACTCCCTGCCTGCGCAGCACAGATGCTCAATACCACATTGATCTACGAGTATATCTTGAATTCGATCTCGCACTTCTCTTGCTATGGGACGTAGCTGCGCGTTCTGCATCATCATCCTCTTCAGCATATCCAGGAGCGCAGGTATACCACGGAAGACAGGATTTTCACTAGCTTGCTTGCGGCTGTCGTCCTTCAGCAGAGCCATCCAAGCTTCGATTTGATAGGGGTTGCAATGGAAACTGTGATCTATGCGGAACTTTTGTCGGCCGCTTGTAGCTTGCATACGTGTTGCGCGGAAGCGTATGAAGTCTGTTGTCTTGCCTCGCAGGATAAAAGTTATGAGGTCGAGGAAGACGCAGGCCAGTGAATAGACGTCTGACATCTCTGGTGTTGCTTCGGGTAAGTCACGGAGAGCGTTGTAGTCGATGGCTGTTGGACGAGGTAGTATGGTGACCGGGGTGATATAGTCGGGTGACATGGGCAGGGTGGGTAGGCCTGGTGATGGGCAGGGAGGATCTTGGAGGTGGCGGCTGAAATTACGCATGCTGCTGCTCAGAGATGGCCGTGGTCCTGGCGATGGCGACATGGCGGAGACGATGGTCTTGAGGCTGTTCGATCTGCGTGGAGAAGGTGGCGTGACCGGTGTCGCAGGCGTTGTCGCACACATGCTATTGCTTCGTGTGCTACTGTTGGTGGTCGATGATGATGCAGAGGAGCTGCTACCACTTGAGCTCATCTTACGTAGCTTGTTGAAAGCGGACATACTACTTGCTGGTGGACTCGAGGGACAGACTATGGGCGCCTGACAGATCTGGGACTCTGGTGCTGCATAGTCATATGTCTCGGTCTTGTATGGCTTCTTACCGCGCTGGAAGGTGCGAAGGGTGCCTACATCAGCGAAAGCGATGTGGTTGTCGTGGTCGATAATGATATTCGATGGTCTTATGGCTGCGTGTGCACTGCCGCGGTGATGCAGAGATGCCAGTGCGTCTGCGAGACAGTGCAGCCATTCGAGAATCATGCTCGGTCGCTCTGTAGCTGGCACGCGCATCAGCTGCATGGGTGTCCTATGGTCGATATATGTGCTGAGAGTATGTTCGGCGACAAAATCGGACAGAATGTAGCCAGCATCATCTGAAGTGTATGAAGCCCATATGCTGGCAACATGCTCGTGCCGTAAGGTTTGAGCTGTCTGTACATCATTCATGAGGCTTTGGAAGTAGCTACAATCGTTCTCTTTGTCGACCAAAATATATCTCCTTCGCATGTATATCTCCTCCGGCCTTCCAGGAAAGTGTATGCGGTCCCAGGACTGCAGGCTCACGGCTGGTGGCAGTGTGTTGACATACTCCATTGGTATGTGCTCCTTTGGTCCGTAATCAATATGTGTGCCGGGCTGTACTTCTCGTAGCATGTAGACAAATTGTGCATTATGGAATCTGTGATTGAGTGTTTCGTCGTCATCATACGCCAGCTCCAAGCTTGCCACACTGTCAAATGGTAATGGCAGATCGTCGTCGTCCCATGAGTCGTCAATGCAGCCAAAGATCTGGTCTGGCACGCCTATCTCTGTGAGTATCAGGAAGAGTCGTCTCGCACGGTCAAGTATCCATTCCATGTATGTGTCGTCCGTAAGTCCTTCGCCAAATGCCAGCGGTCTATCGAGGAACTGTCGCTCCTCGCCTCGCAGCTTGGAAACCACAAAAGATCTTGTGACTTTCTGCTCAATCCGCTCGTGAGTCCACCATAGCTGCTTCAGTGCGGTGTGAGGCGTGACCAGAGAATGACCACCATAGCCGAATATGTAGGCGTTCAGAGCGATGGTAGCCGCTGTGGGCGGGACGTCAGCGAAGCTCCTCGTTCCCATGGCGAGCTGTACAATATCTAGTGATGCTTTTTTATCAACAATAGCGTTGTGTTGCTACAGGAAGTAACATGCTTGCGTCAAATCGTAAGAAGTAGCTCTGCTCGCGAAAGGAATAGAATGATCGGCGCCTGCATCTGCAGAAGAGCGGAGACAAGCAGAGCAGCAAGGTGTAAGAGGTAGACAAGCTGCAGAGACAGTAACTGTATACTTACAAGCCATGCGACGGCGTATGTCGTACAGATTCCAGCCCAGCAATCTCAGGGGACCAAAGGGCCGACCGACGCATCTCGTACCAGTCAGAAGGATCGCCCAGCTAGGAAATTGGTTTATTGGTGCGAGGTCACACGTCGGAGGACGCAAATCATGCCTGCGTCCACAGAGAGCGCAGGACGTATACTGGAGATGCGAGTGTTGTGTCACTCTCGGTTCACAAGGATTACCGAGTACGGCTGCGCTCCATGCGTGTTCCGGCGGTTGTGTGACGTGCGCTCCTCATCCGGCGCAGTAGGCCTTTGGCAGCTGGAAAAGCACGAAGAGAGGGTTCGGTGTACTGGAGCAGTATACGAAAATCCTTCGCTAAATACTTATCGTGAGCTGCTGGCCTGATGTCGTTGGCACTCCCTCCAAGCGCCGAGCTGTGAAGTCAAGGAAGGTCAAGAATCATTTTCCAACGGACTTTGAACAACTTCAAGCTTGCCAGCGTGGCAGTCCGGTTTCTCTGGGTCATACAGTATGTCAATATGGGCTCCTAGGTCTGAAGATCCAGTACCCGTATTCATCACCGAGCACCTCGCCATATCACCTCTCATCAAGCTCATCAGCCACGGCGTCGCTCGTAGCGGAACGCTGCACAACGGCTGCATATGGCAATTGTCGTAAGCGTGGAGAGATGGTGTGGTAGTACCAGAGTTCGGCCTTCGGATCCTCATGCACCTGCAGATAGCACGGCGCTTACGCTACCGCGCTATTGTGAAGGAGACCAGAGCAGCACAGTCGCATCGTTGGCCGATCCGAGGAAACCTGCTTGACAGCTTGCGAGGTTGGGAGAGGAATGAAGAGAACGTGTCAGCTGCACAAATATTGCTGTAGGCACGACAGTGGACCCTACCGTTGGCTGATCTGCATCGCGTCGCTGCGGTTGTCGAAGTGGATCTCAACGTTGAAAGGACCAACGGTCGAAGCAATCTGGAAGTCGTCAAGCGAGCATGTACCGCTGAATAAGATAGACTGTGCATTTTACCCTGCCGCCACTACGGCATTGAATCAGGATCAGGCGGAAGAAGAGCTGCCAACACACACCGCATATAAGGACCGAAGAAATCCGCAAGCGCGTTCTCTACGCGTCTGTCTGTCTGTTGATGCTGTGCCCGTGTCGCACCTATCAGCATCATCTCACGCGTCCGTGACAGCGAACGGCTCTCCGCCGCAATAGTGAGAAGAGGCGGAATCCGACTTATACTGTCTGTGATACAATATGAACAATCCCCTCTGTCCACCTATGCTACGCTAAAGTAACCCTACACAAAAACCGCTGGTATCATGTACGAAAGTTCTCCTGAACAATGTGATTAACAAGCACACTTCTCCGTCTCCTCTCACACCCTCATATCCTCTCCCTGCCAAACCCTGCCCTACAAGATGCCAATAACGGCAATCATGCCCACCAACCCAATGAAACCCAGAATCATCACGTTCGCGTCAGAAGACGGTACGCTCCTGGCCATGGCGGCCGAGGCAGCGGTTGAGGAGGCAGCCGCAGTGCTGCTTCCGCTCGCGGCGCCTGAGGCGGCTGTGGCACCACTTGTCCTTGAGGCAGAGGCGCTTCCGCTCTTGCTACTGCTGCCGGCCATGCTGCTGGCCCCGGATGTTGAGCTGTGGGAGGGCTGCTGATAGTCGGCGCCTTGGCCGAGGGTAGGAAGTGGTTGGTTGCTAGAGACCTCCCAGAGACCGCTAGTGTAGGCTGGGCAGGCGGGTGGGGAGTTGCTGGGGTTGTAGTTGTTCATCTGGACGCCGCTTGGGCTTGCTGTGGCCCATGCCTTGGACAAGTTGTCGAAATCGGGTGAGATGGGGATCGGAGTGCCGGTCCTCGTGTAGCCTGCCACAATCCCATTACCGGTCGCTGTGGCAGCTGCTGGAGCTCCGTATGACACAAGACCGTAATTGTTCGTCTCTTCAATCCACTCGTAGATGATGGCGCCAGACCAGGTGCCACTCATCTCAGAGCCGAAGATGGCGGCTTGATCGCCGAAAGTGCGCGGTGGGACGGTGTTGCAGCCCGTCTCGGAGAAGAAGATGGGGATGTTGTAGTCACTAGCATTCATCTGCAACTGGCTGTAGCCGGAGACATCGTAGGACGAGTCACCGCACCACTCGTAGGCATTGAGACTGTAGAAATCCATGGCCTCGGATTGGTTAGATCCGCAAGCCACGTAGTTCTGAAGATTAGGGCGAAGGTCCGAGATATCAGCAGCAGAGTAGCCGACGGGAATTTTGCGGTAGCCCTTGCTGTCGCGGTAAGCCTTCATATCGCGAGCAGCAGCCTTAATGTAAGGAGCGGCAATACTGCCAGCACCAGTGGTGAGGACCTCGTTGCCGACGAAGAATCCAGCAACGTTATCGTAGTTGTGGAAGGCATCCATAACCTTCTGGTAGGCAGAGTACTGCGTCTGATTCCACTCAGGGTTCTCTTGGAGGATGTATGTGGGGAAGGTGTCCAAGTCGAGGAAGACGTAGATGCCGGCGTCGGACAGTGCTCCCATGCATGTGTCGTGGTTGGCACTCGGATCTACGTGGTAGACTCGAATGGTGTTTGTGCCGATTGTTTTCATGAGGTTGATGTCCAAGACGCATTGTGTCGAGTCCGCGAGCGGGTCGTCGTTCGTAAGCTGGTAGGCAATACCTAATGAGGCAAGTCCGTTAGCAAAGGTATGCTGAAGCTTGGGGGAATGCTTATCGTCGGCGTACCTTTGATGAAAAACTGATTTCCATCACCAGTGAAGAACTTGGAGCCCTTGATCGTGAGTGCAGATGTAGCTGCGTATGCCTGGCTGGCAAGCGCCAGCATCAGGCCAGAAGTGGCCGCGAGACCGTACATGTTGGTGAAAGTTGGTTCGGGCAATGCAATTTATGTGCAGCAAATCCAATGTTGTGCAACAAGATGATAGTAGTGATTATCGTCGTCGTCGCCTGCAGAATCTCGAATAGAGTAAGGTGTCTGTACAAGAAGCAGAAGGTCTTCAACGAGTGAACGCAGTCTTCACAAGAAAGAAGAAGCTGCTGTGAGTTTGTTGACACAGTTCCTGCTGTGAATTTGCGTTTGCGCTCGCCGCCTTCAACACTTGAAGACCGCTGGGCGCATCTTATTCAAGCACGACTTGCCGCTAATGCACCTTCCCTGCTCCATCTCGGCCTAGCGCCGCTTCAGATGGACGAGAATAAAATTGCCCGAGATACATATGTGACGGCTTGTATATTGCTTCATGATTGCCGTCGTATTGATGAAGAGTCTGAAGACCGAGTATTGAGACATCAACAGCCAACGGTCATTACCAGTTCTGTTAAGATGCATGAGAGTACTGCAGTGCCGTTGCAAGAGTCCAGAGACCTGACCTGTCATCGCCACGGACTCCCGGGCAACCATTGCGCAACCCTGCGGCTGGTACGGATCTAGGTTTCGGCTTCGAACTTGATGCATGATCTCAACCTCCCGTCTAGAATGATCGATCTTATACACACCACTGTCGCCAAGACGCAACGCAATAGCTGCTTGCACCTGGGGATGAACGTCCGTCCTTAACATGACATGATACCCGTCTACCACTCGTAACGACGCAAGAACAATCTACAACGCTGTCTTCAATAAAACACCAAATCTCCACCTGCCGCAGGCATCGACGTGGGGTTCAGCGGAGGCCGCGGAGGAGCCAGAGAACGTGTTCGATCGCTTCGGCTTGACTTGCATGATTTCATGATTCACGGTATCTCTTCGTATCTATGCCAGCTGAACCGACGCGACATGGAAATTCGCCACAGGTTTAGCTGTTGCTGATGGCTCACAGCGATGAGATAATCTTGAGGAATGTTATCACTCATCCTCGTGGCCCGCAAGATCCTTAGTAGGGATGTCAGATACTGATATCTATTGTTCTATAATTCGTCTACTGCAGACGAAGCGTTCAGACGTCCGTACAAGGACATCGCTAGCTAAGTCTGCTATACTGGCATGGCCGAGCTCGTACTGTGCGTGTGGTACTTGGGTCGCCCGATTATACTCCCACGATCATGGATTATGCGAAGCCTCTTTCCGGCAGCCGGCCTCCTACTTTCGAGCATATCCGCGACCTCGTCCACTTCCCAGGCTCCACCCGCGAAGGTAGCGGGCAGTAGTCTGGGGTCTAGCAGTGTTGCTGCGGCAGCTGGTACAACGAGTAAGAAGAACAGTGGCTTCTGCACGAACTGCGGTACACCAGTATAGTAGGAGCGAACTGACCTGACAAGCCTTGGACTTTCTACAACCCGTTCATATATGCAAAACGCATGTTCACGCTTCATAGTATGCTATTTCTCTATCTCCACTCAACGTACCATTCGACCATTTAGAAAACCTCGCCGATCTTTGCAGTGGTCGTATAAGTACACCACCTCACTCACACTCCTCCTCGTCCTCCACTCCACTGCCTCGCTGCCAAAGAGCACGAGATCACCATCACCCTCCCGTACGCTTAGATCGATACCATCACCGTCACTCTCCTGTCCTTGTCCCCGTGCCACATCATCGCCCTTTTTACCTCCATCCCCCAGACCAATCGCCTCCCTCGCCAACCGACTAAAACACCCATACAACACCCCCGCATCCTCTTTCCTCCCCATCTGATACACCCCAACACCCTGACAAGCCAAAAAGAGTGGATCAGCAGATCCCTGCGGCGTAAACGCATTCCCAATATTATTCACCCCTAAACAGCATTTCAACCCATAACTCTGGATCATCTGGCCCGGGTGAAGTGTCGGACGCTGTAGGAGTGGGTCCGTAGGCCTCATCATGAAGAGATCGCTCGTGGGAAGTCCGACGAAGTAGAGGGGTAGGGTGCTGATTGAGCAGCGGAGGTCGTGCCATTGGGCTGGGGAGAAGAGGGTGAGGCGGGTGCAGTGGCCTAGGATTATTGTTTTTTGCGGGTTTGAGGAGGACCAGGAGATGGCGTGGAGGGTGGCGATGACGTGGTGGACGAGAGGGGTTTGGGTGGCGTCGAGATGGTAGTCGAGGTGGAGATCCAGATGTTTCCGGTGTTGAACGGCTAGGTCGACGATCCAGCGGACGTTCTCTTGTTGTTCGGGAAGAGAGGTCTTGACGTAGGGTGTTGAGCCTAGGACGTCTACTTCTTGCATCCTCGCCGCCTCGGTCATTAGTCCACGGATCACGGCTCCAGTTTCGTCGTCAGGACTGGAAGTGAAGAGAGGGAGTTGAGCAAAGGCACAGAGTTGGACGATACATCTCGTTGCATTCTTCCGTTTCAGCTCGAGACCGGCATCGAGACATTTCCGTCCTACGCCTGCGTCTAGTTCGACGAAAGCACGGATGTGGGTTACTCCTGCGCTGACGCTTTCGTCTATCAGTCTCTGCCCTCGTTCTAGTAGGTCCCGATGTTCGAATTGTGCTTTGGCTTTCGAAGTAAGTTCCATGGCTTCCGCGAAGTCACCCTTCTGGATTTGGAGATCAGAGTATTTTGGGTGGGAGAGTAGGTAGGGTTTGTCTAGGTGGATGTGAGGGTGGCATAGTGATGGAGCCAGGAGAGCCGAACGAGCATCGATAACTTGCTCCGTGATTTCGTCTGAAGAATGTGCAGGATCGTGGGGAAATATCTTGGAGACGCCGGGATTGCTGCCCTTGGCTGCTGATGTGGGAGTATTATGGAAATGGACGTCCCATGTTGTGCCCGATGGAGCGTTGGGAAGGCTGGCGTTGACAATCTTAGTTATTGGAGGTGGTGTTGTTGATGATTCGTATGATTGTGTGGAATCTTGTCCAAATTGTATTCGCTGCATCTCTGCGTTGATGTCGATGCCGTGCGAGCGCAGGAATTCGCCAGCCATGATGATAGCACTTTTTTCCAGGTATGCAAGCCGGGTCGAGTTACGTTGTTGTACGGTAAACCTCTGGTGGAATATGAAGAAGGAAGATGAATGTGAAGTGTGTTATCCAATGCAGAGGTCATGAGATGCATTACTTTACACTTATGGCTCGCGCCGAAGCTCGATCTTGGCCGTATACGGCAGGAGGAAGAGCATAACGAGGTGAATATGAGTTACGATGGCTCCACCGCAATGCTACTTCAGCAACAGCAGTGATCAATTGCATTTCCAGTACTACGACTGCAACACGTAATGATGATGAAGACATGCAGTCAGAAGAGTGATGGAGTGGTAGTGCACAGGTACCGTGTGTGCCCCTCACTAACAGAAGGTCGCTTCCCTGCCCAATCCAGCCCTTTTATGCTCGACTCCCCTTTATGCACGTCACGTCTTCCACAAACGCGTCGTCCATCCTCGACTTCATCTCTCACCATCAACATTCATTATTGTTCTTCCACACGTCCTTTGCGGCTCTCACGCTTTCGGCTTAACAACATAGTGTCAAGCTAGCTCTTGGCGAGATCGGCGCACGATGCAGAACTACCGGAACTTCGCGCAGCAGCAGCAGCGCTCGCCGGCGCAGGCGAGACGGGGACCAGGTATACATTCTCTGTTCTTCTCATACTTCACTTCACCAGTCGCGCATTGTGCTAGTCTGGACAGCAGTTGAGGTTGCGATCGCGTCGCGTGAATGAATGAGACGTGAAGCATTCGCGACGACCTCAGCTCTCACCCACCACACTTCCTCCACTCCCTCCCTCTATCCTTCTTGATATTACTACTACCACTACAATGGCCACCTCTCTCGGCCACAAACGCAAGATCTCCTTTGCTGACCTCGAGCGCACCTTTCGCGCTGCAGGCCCTATGGTACCACCTCCACATCACCCCAATCAACAACAACAACAACAACAACCACCACTCAATCCCGCCCAACTTCAAGCCCAACGTCTCGAAGAGATCCGACGCCAAGACGCTGCTCGTCGGATAAGCAAGAAGCCCACGGACCGAGAGATCCCGGATGAATTGTCGGGAGTAATTGTGGGCGATGGAGTGGAGCGGTATCAGAAGTTGAGGGATGTAGAGAGGAGGCTTGACGCGGTCATGATGAGGAAGCGGCTGGATGTGAGCGATAATCTGCAGAGGCGGTATACGAGGCGGGAGGGCGTGATGAGAGTGTGGATTAGTAACACAGCGGAGGGACAGCCATGGCAGGTGATGGAGGAAGGCGGAGGAATGGGCGAGGACGGCGGCTTCGAGTTCGGGGATAACAGCCAGGCGACTTTCCGTGTCAAGATCGAAGGAAGGCTACTGGACGAGGAGGCGCAGGAGGATGGGAAGGAAAAACAGAAGGAGGAAGACGGGGATGTGAAGCCGCCACCGCAGAAACGACCACGACTCAGTCATTTCTTCAAGGCAATCACGATTGATTTTTCGCGCAATCCGGCTTTGCAGCCAGATGGCTATAGCGCGATCGAGTGGCAGAAACCTGTTCCTGGACCCCAGAACCCGACTTATGATCCTAGTAGTAGTGAGGTCAGCTTCGATACGCTGGAGTTCGAGCGGAAGAGCGACGAGAATATCAACGTCACCATGAACCTCACGCGAGATGAGAAGAATGAGCGATATAAGCTTAGTCCTCTACTCGCGGAGATCTTAGATACCGAAGAGGAAGATCGAGCGGGTGCTGTGCAGGGCGTGTGGGAGTACTGTCGGGCGATGGGTCTACAGGAGGATGAGGACAAAAGGAGTATTGTCTGCGACGAGCCGCTGAGAAGGGTATGTCTGATCCCCGACTTTGCCACCCCTTCACCTTGATCTGCCACTAACAGAAGCATTTCCAGCTTTTTAAACAAGACAAAATCTACTTCCCCTACGTCCCGGACCTCCTGCACCCACACCTCCACCCCCTCCCTCCCATCCAACTCCACTACACCATCCGCGTCGACAACCCCTACCTCACAGACCCCACCACACCCTCGGCACCCACCATCTACGACCTCCGCGTCCCTCTTCCCAACCCGACCAACGCCCACCTCACCCGCTTCCACACCTCAAAACCCCACCTCCAAAGCCTCCAAACTATCGTGAAAACCGACGACGATCTCGCCTTACTGGTCCAAGGCATCCATGCCCAGAATGCGAAGAGGAGGTTTTATGAGCAGTGTGCGAGGGATCCGGCGGGGTTCGTGAAGAGGTGGGTGGGAAGTCAGAGGAGGGATTTGGAGGTTGTGCTTGCGGAGGCGGGGAGGAGTGGCGGTGGGGAGGATGGGGGGGTGGGGGGAGAGGAGTGGAGGAAAGGTGGTTTGGGTGGGGTATGGGGGAGCGAGGGGGCCAGGGAGGGGGTGGGGCTTTGGTTGGCTAGGGGGAAGCATTGAGGGGTGATGCATTTGTGGTACGCATGATCAGTGGTACTAAGGTATTGAACGATGGCGATCTAGCACAGTCGACGAGAGTGAAGAACATTATGCGGGTCCAGCGGCATGCTTAAAATTCGAGTTGCCCGGACCCCACCGTTTGATGGCATATCAAAGGCGCAGTCAAATTGCGCAGTGGTTCCCTCGTCGCTGACCAGGCACGTGAGCGCTGGTTTCAGCTCTTCGCACGTAGTAGCTCGAACACATTCTTCTCGCAGGCCCACATCCCTTTAAAGTCCCACCGCCCCGAGACTTCCCAAGCCATGCATCGCAATCGCATCGCTGTGCAATCTCTGGTCTTACCATCACGACCGACCACTCACGACTACGCAACTGTGCTCGCACGGATCTCGCGGCCTAAGGGTGCTCCTGAAAAGCTCCAGATGTCCACTCCACGATCATCGCAGCCGACGCGAGCGGCCGCCTTGAGCACATCGCTCCATCGAATGCCCTCTTCGCGGCGATCAACGATAATCTCCTCGTCATTGTAGCCCTCCTTGGTGAAGCTCCACCGCAGGGATTTGAGTTCTTGCGGCGGCGGCTGGGTGACGAGCATGTTGCGCCAGCTGCCCTTTGCGTAGGACATGCCGAGATTTTGTCCGCTGATGCGGAAGGTCTTGAGTGGTCTATTCGGGAAGGCCACGGGGTCTGTTTTGGTGTAGTCGAAGCCTGGGCTTGCGCTCCAGTGTGCATCGGTGATGTTCTCGTAGTCAACGAAGAAGGGCGCGAGTTCTGGCTGGGCTTTCGAGGTGCTCGCTTCCAGGTATGATTCCCGGCGCAGAGCCGGTGAGGTGGCCATGGCTGCTTGGAAGCTTTTCGACGTGCGTTGTGAGAGGAGCAGCCATTTGAATGGCAAGTGAAGGAGTATCTGCTCGAGGAGCTCGGCGGCGTGGAAGACTTCGTGGACCGCCGTCGTAGTTGAAGCGGGTGTCGCCATTGTGGCCGATTCGAAGGTGGTGGTCATGCTTTTGGTGCTATGTTCGGTCAGTGATCTTGGTTTTTACTAGCTTCACACGTCCTATTGCTTACGTTGGGAGCAGAGCACTCATTGACGTGAGGATGATATGAAAGCTCGGCCGCCAAATGCCGACTTTTGTGAAGAGTATTAGGGGAGGAGGCAGCTTGCAAAGAATTTATACTGGAGCGACAGTCGATCACGTAGCAATCACTCTCAAGCTTGAGCATTTGTGCCTTCGGCAACGGTTATTCCTCATCGACACCTGCCAGCGAGCTGAGAATGTATCTTCGCCGTCTCTACGACCACTCGACGGTGCTTGGCCGTACGTCAGGATGGCAAGAGCGCTGATAGATACCGCAGATGCTCATTACATTGCAGCGAGCAGCCTCAACAAACACATCCACCCAGCGAATCCCGCTATCTGCACGCACAGTGATGGCGTGGTGAATGTTCCTAGCTGGTGCGCGACAGCGCAACTCCAACTGCTTGACTGGTGGTTGCGTGACGAGCATACGCTGCCAACTGGCTATAGGAGGGCAGCTGCTTACAGTGCGGCCACTGACACAAGAGCGATTGATTGGTGAAGTGATAGGTTTCTAGCGAAGAGTAGTTGAAGACTGGCCTTGGGCTGTTCCGGCAGATCGATAGATCATCTTGATTTTCGAAGAAGGGAGGTAATCCTGGCTTGCGGTTGTCGTCGTGGACACTGGGCTCGAAGTGAAGCTTGCGACGCAGACTTGGCGAGGCAGTAATCGCTTCCTCAAACGCTTTGCTTGTAAGTTGGGAGGTGAGAAGCCACTTAAAGGGCAGATTGACGAGAATCTGCTCAAGGAGCTCAGGGATGTCGAAAACCTGTTGCCCGGCGGTGGGTGGGACGACAACCATGCTTGGACTCTGGCAATGCTGCTGCTTCGACTGCGATGAATGATTAGTGAGGTTGCTCTGCTCCATATCATTGGAGATGCTTCGTGCTTACGCTGACTACTCTGCAGTTGTGTTTGTGAGGGGTGAATACAAGGTGTCGGAAGCACATTGTAGCTTGAGCGAGTGGCGAAGCTCCCAGTCACATGCCAAGCCATATCAGCCCAGGTCGCTCCTTCCACTTCCATTAGTCTATCACGACCAACTACGTCGACTATGCAGCGGTAGCGAGATTGCCTATGCACGGGTGACGAGTCATGTCTTGTACTCACAGCTCGACAAGGAAACTCTGCGGCCTCCTCTTTGTCCCACCGATTCACCACAAACATTTCATTCACGCTCATTGTCCTCTCACCAAATCATTCACTGCACGTCCGCATAGTACTCTCTCGATCCGTGCACCGCGGGATGAACGGCCCTGTTGGACACGACTCGTAAGTTCCGCTCCTCCTCCGCTGAACGTAGACAGCGCGGTTTAGCATACTGCCGGGTCTTCTCGGAACAGGCACGGTCATGAGGAGGTGGATTGCCCGGTAGATAAGGCCCTCCAAAATATTTCCTCCTCCTGGCAACTTGCGCACAACAACATCTGGGCCAGGTCAAAATCAGGAGACGACTTGGGGAGTTTCGTGGACGTCGAAGTGTCAAGATTATCAACTACACAATATCAGCATCACCGCTCCATCGCAAGCAGACACACAGCCCTTTACGCCCGCCATGGCCGATGCCGACTCTCCCACTGGCGCCTACGATGGCGACCCCGCTCCGTCGCCTGATCAGGGTGACAGCGACATCGACATGCAGCACTACGCGCTCGAGCAGCACAACAACACGCTGCAAGGCACGCCCGTCAATGATCTCGATGTCAATTTCCCACAAAACACCTCGAACATCAATCAGTCTCACGACCGCATTAACAATCCACCGAGCTTCAACCATTTCTTGGCTCCAGCTCATCAAAGCGTGACTCCAATGCCTGCGGTCGCCAACAATGCTAGTCCACATGTTGGCTTCAATCCAGGCTTCCAGCTACCGTTTCAGCCCTCAAGCACCCCAATTGGCACTCCAGTCCCATTTGGCCATGGACTTCTCCCACCTCAGACCCCTGAAGTCAAAATCATGCCGCCTTCTCGTCTAGGTACTCCTATGAGTCAGCACCAGACACCTATAGTTCAGTACCAACCAATACAGTACTTTCAGCATCAACGAAACATGACCCAGTACACTGGTGGTTATGGTCAAGCTCAAGCACCGCAGTACCTCCCTCAGCCCCGCCCCCAAACCGCGGCAGCTATACATCAACTCCAACGTCCAGCTATCAACTTTGCAGACGAACAAATGCGCGTACACCACCATGCGGAGCGTCTGGCCTTGTTGGACAGGCAGGCTGCGCAGTACCAAGTGGCTCAGCAGCAAGAGGTGTGGGCGGAACCGTTTCCAGGCTATCGCCCGCGCCCGCCGCCACCAGCCATCAACCAAGCCCGCCCGCAGCCGAACAACCACAATCCGCAGGCTTTCGAACGCTATCATGTCGATCAGCAGCCACCGCTGATGCCTACCTATCCACGTATTCCCCTACAGCCAATGCCTACCAACAACATCAAGCTTGAAGGCACAGGCACGGCTCAAGGCCGATCGGATGGTCCTAGTCTCGTTCCGAAGCGCAAGATCCCTCGCCAGAGCTCTGCGGCTAGTACGCCTAACGTGCCAACTCCTCGTGCTATGCCTGTTGCACCCCAGCCTCAGCGTGTATTAGCCCCCCAGCCAACCAACGATATGTTGAGGCAGACCACGACAGCCCCTAATCCACCGGCTATGAATGGCAATCCGGCCGCGGACTTGGCAGCTCACCAACTCGTCCAAGCTTTTGTCAATCGCCACCAAAACAACCCTCTTGCTGTCGACACCTTCTACCGCCTCGCCGCAAACTTTAACAATCATATCATCAATGAGAACCAGTTTTACGTGGATGTCTACAAGCTCTTTTACATGCTCGGCTCAAATGATTTCTTGATCCAGTTGTACCACCAGCGTCCGTTCACTTGGCGCAACACTCCGCTGCAGTGGTTTCACCAGGCTATTCAGCATGAGTGCGACGATCAAGTGCTTGAGGTCATGGCCAAGCGCATTATGCGCACTGGCCGTGTCGAACTTCTGATGGGTGGTCCTGAGGGCACTGCTCCGCCGTCGACCCCGTTTCAGGCTGCTGTTCCTTCAGCTCCTGGTCAGCAGCAGGCTGTCGAGACGAAGATCGTGAATCTTAAGCTCTCTCGGAGTGCTTTGCAGAATATTCGCCAGTCTGGTTTGACCACGCCTGTTGCTCCACCGGCCCCTGACAACGATGCCAACGATACTGCTATTCACCTTGTTGCTGATTTTGCTGGTGTCAATGCAGGTGACGGCGCCGCTGATCGGTGGGACAACAACGACTTCCTTGAGGAGAGTGTGCCGCTGAAGAAAACCAAGAAGAAGGTGCCTATGAAAGGCTACCGTGCTGGTCAAGGCGATGTCGACCCCAACGCTGACACTAGCTCAACCAAGAGGCGTTCGTCTCGACAGACTCACGTCGCTCTTACTGTCCCGCAAGCTGAGCAGGAGACATCGTCTCCGCAAGTCGGCACACCGGCTCAAGACAGTGCTATCGAGGTTGACGAGGGTGACGAGAATGGGGATAGTGAGGACGAGGATGATGGTGATGGGAGCGACGATGGCGACTTCGACGGCCCCACTCGCCAAACCAGCAAGAATTCAAGATCTATCGGCCCAAAAGTCCGTGCCAAGCGTGCGATCAGCAGGGATACCGCCAAACTTCCAGGCAGCGAAGTCCCGCATGTCGGTAAGATCTATCCCACCCGCCGTGCTATCCTCGCCCGCGACGACAAGCCGTACATTCACAATGCCTGTGCCCAAGGCTTCAAGCATCCCGACGATGTACGTAAGCATCATAACCAGAACTGCGATAGTGCCAAAGGCCTGCAGGGCGAGAAGAAGCCCCTGTGGAATGACCATGCGAGCTGCAAGATCCAGTTGAGTCAGCTGGAGTATTGTAAGGTTGAGGATGGGTTTGTTGTGCTTGATCAGGATAGCTTGGATAAGGTGCAGGAGTGTGTTGATGAGGGTCGTGCAGTCAACAATCTGCAGAAGGCCAGTAAGAGGGCTGCGAAGGCGACTGGTCTCAAGGTTGGCGACAAGAAGTTTGACGAGGAGATTGAGCGCGTGGACTCTGCTCTGGCGGAGGGCAACGGCAACCAGATGTTTGACAACGATGATGTTGGGCTGGCTCAGCCAGTGGCTGATTCTGCCGCTGCATACAGTAAGCTGAAGACCACAAGCATGAAGTTTTCCTGCTTACAAACCAAGCTGACCATCTTATGCCAGATCAAGCTATCTCAACCAACCCCTTCACCGTCAATCCTTTAATGGCCAATCCTTTTGCGACCGGCGCCTTGATGACCAAGCCCTCCGTTGTCACCACGCCTGCTTCACTTACCGCACCAGCCACCACGAAGAAGAAGTCTACACCAATCAAGACCAAGACCTCGAAGACCAAGACGCCGAAGAAGACCATCCCGTCGAAGCGTGGTCCCGGCGAGAACGAGAACGAGGATAGTGACTATGGTTCCGCCAACAAGCAAGCCTCCAAGCGTCAAGTCGTCAAGGCTGGTCCGGATTGAAGTTGGTCACGGTACGAAGGGGTGGGAAAGAAGAGTAGATTGGATGACAAGAGTAGTATTGAAGAGAAGGATTTCACGCATGGATGATTGTTTTCTTGTGGGAGTTCAGAGGGCAGTAGTATGCTATGATGACTGATGATTTTAATGAGATTGCTGGGACAGGATTGTGAAAGGCGTTGGGATAGGCGTCTGTGGTGGGTGGTTATTGTTGCGTTGTTGTCTTGCTGGTCAACTCCATGGGCACTGGTGTGTGAGGACCATGTACTACAAGGAGCTGCTATGAGTTGTATGAAAAGTTGATCGATCAGAGCTGTGCCTTGTTACAAAGTGAGGGAAGTGGGACTGTGGTCGGCATATTGCTTGTTCGTCCTGGACCGCTGATCTGCCATACCACAAATATCGAGAAAGGGATTAGTGATAAGGTTGATCCACCATGGCACGGGCCGGTCGATCGCGGCTATGACCAACCACGACCACTTCCGCACTTCTGTCGTTTTCTCATCTTCCCAAGCTACAGCACGATAGCTCCGACATCCACAAAGGATCAATCGCACCACCAAAGTGTTCTCGACGTCTTCGCCCTACATATTTGTTTAGTGCGATGCAAACTCCTCCGAGCTCAAGCCGAAAGGTGGCGAGATAATCGTGGTCGGTGGCTTCACGGTGGTATAGACAGTGGACCATTGACTTCGGCCCACTATGACTTCAGCGTCAATAATTTCTTCCATCATGGCGAAACGTGCGTAGGTCTTATCTACGGACACGGAAGGAAGGCTCGATGCCATCCGACGGAAAGCACGATGTGTAAGCACGCTGGCGAAACAAAAGGTAGGTGCGATAGAGCTGTTTCCTCACCTATATCTCAACTACACCTGGTAGCTGCTATCTTCTATCCTCTCAAACTCTCATCATGTCGCACCTCACGCCCGTCGCTGTCGGTGGCAATCCGTCTAGGACACCTAGCTGCTGGACCAAGGATGAGGATAAGGATGCCGATACGCCATACACGAACAACACTCCAGACACTAGATCAGAAGTCGCGAATGAGAAACACGAACAGACCAGAGGTCGTATAGTCGGCGGCAAGTACAACACATCAGAGAACGCCGCACCTCCGCCTCCAGACCACAGTGACCATGGACCACTCAAGGAGGTCGATATCGACATGCCTCTCACTCTCACCGAACACGTCCACATGAACGGCCAAGACTACATCGTCCTATCCTTTGCCGAAGGCGATAAAGAGAATCCCTTCAACTGGAATCCATGGTACAAACGCGGCATAACTACCATTCTCAACCTCATGACCCTCTTCATCGGTCTCGCCACTACAGCGTACAGCAGTGGCATAAACAGCATGTGTGCCGAATTCGGGGTGTCCACTGAGCTGGGCCAAGTTGGTCTGTTCACCTTTAACATAGCTTGTGCTCTGGCACCCATGATTCTAGCACCGTTCTGCGAGCTCATAGGCAGGAAGATCGTCTATGCCGGAGCATATCTATGCTTCACACTCCTCTTCATTGGTCTGGCACTAGGGAAGGACATCACGACGATCGTTATCCTTCGCCTCTTTCTCGGTCTCTTCGGCTGTGTCGGCACGATCTTAGTCGGCGGCACCTTCGACGACATGTATGAGCCTCGCGACCGCGGGCGTCCGATGGCCATGTTCAGCTTCGTGGCCATCTTCGGCACAGTCGCGGCACCGATCTACGCCGGCTTCATCGATCAGTCGATTGGTTGGCGCTGGATCGAAGGTATACAAGGATTGTCGAATATCCCGCTCCTATTAGCTGTCTTTCTTTTCTTTCCCGAGACGCGCGGTGGTGTAGCCCTACACAAGCGTGCCAAAGCACTCCGAGCAGCCACGGGCGACGAGCGATATGTCGCTGCGGACGATATCAACACGCCTGGTCTGCAATCGATGCTCAAAGCTTCCTCCGTCAAGGCCCTACATATGCTGGCGACTGAGCCGGTAGTCTTCGCCTTCGGCCTCTGGATCGCTTTCTGCTGGGCCATCGTATTCCTCTTCCTCTCCGTTATCCCCATAACTTTCACGGAGAAGCGCGGCTGGAGCGAAGGTGTGGCTGGGCTGCCATACATTAGTCTTTGTGTGGGAACTTTCCTGGGCTGGGCCGCGAACCACATTCAGATGAGAAAATATGAGAACCTGACCTCTGATCCGAATAGGAAAGTCATGCCAGAGTCGAGGCTATACGGAGCCATGTTCGGCGCCATCTTCCTTCCCATCGGACTTTTTATCTACAGTTTCACACAGTACGCCTACCTCCACTGGATTGGCCCTGTGATAGGTCTCGCGCCGATTGCATTCGGGATCTACTTTGTGTTCGAGAGCACATACAGCTATACCGCAGACTGTTACGGTACTAGCGCATCGAGTGCCATTGCTGGACAAGGACTCATGAGGAATTTGCTAGGAGCCATCACGCCGTTGTTCGCGAGTCAGTTCTTCCACAATGTCGGCAGTCAGTATGCTGGACTCATCCTGGCATTATTTGGTACAGCTTTGAGTGCGATCCCTTTCGTAATGTTCGCATATGGGCACATCCTACGAAAGCGTAGTAAGCTTGCAAGGGAGTTCTGAGAGTATGTGAGACAATGGCATGGCGTCCGTGCGTGTGGTGCTATTGTCTGTGGGCATGGAGCGGCGAGCGATTCTTCGAGTAGCTCTCGCTCCTGGCGCTGAACGCCTATCTAGCTAAGCCAAAGAACATGGTACTATACGTACATATATACCCAATGTGTTTTTCTTCTCTTCACACCACGGCTGCCTCGCTTGCATGCGCACCGGCGCAGTCCCATGACTCCAGCGGACTTTTCCGCCTGGAAAGAACACCGCCGAACCCCCCGTCCAATCGCCAAGATGGAAAGGAAAAACAGTATATTTAGTATGACGCCTCAAACCGCTCGCTTGTACGCCCATCTGGAAAGCAAAGCAAAGAAAAGAAGAAAAACAGCCAAGTCGTGACGTCGTAATCTGATTGCCGTGAAGGAATGTCGCAGAAGCAAAAAAGTCTTTTCTCTCTCCGCCAATATTCAGAAAACAGCCGCAAGCCCACTCTTCGAATGCCGCTTCGAAAACCTCTTCCGCCCCTTCCCGCCCATCTCACTCTCGTCCGTCGGATTTCTCCGTAACGTCTGCCGTAACGCATGTCTTTCCACACCCGCCCCAGGTAAAGCTCCGGCTTTATCATCTCCCACCGAATCTGCAGGGGAAGATAAAGCCGTATCGTCGTTCAGGTAGGAAGACGGTACGCCTGAGTAGGAAGAATGCGAGGATTGCTGGGAGAGGGCGACTTCGCGCGCGGAGTCGATGGCGTCGAGCCATTCTTGCGTGGAGTATTTGCTTCCGGCTGGGTCGGCGACGGTGGCGCGGGGGTCTTCGAAGGTGTGGTGCTTGTTATCTCGCTGTAGCCGAAGTCAGCATGAGAAATCGGACACTGACAGGATGTGCAATGAGTCGAAAGCATATTAAACTTACAGTATTCAAACACCACCCCACCAGCCCCTTGGCATCCGTATAACTCCTCCAACTCGTTCCAGGCCCAAGAAGACTCAACTCACTTTTCGCCTTCTTCTCGTTCCCACCAGCCGCAGCGATAATGATTCGTGCAGAGCTGGTGATCAGGACCAGTCGCTCCCTTTTCTTTTGTCCACCGCCACCACCGAAGAATGACTTGAATCTCGGCTTCTCCTTCTCGGAGGGAGTCCCGGGCTCACCACTATTCATACTCGGACTTGATGGCTGGGGACCAGAGAAGACGACTAGGTTACCGAGTTTCAGGATTCGTTCGTTGTTGTGGAGGACGGGCGACCAGTCGATGTCTAATTGACTGGGCGGAGGCAGTTCCGTGGCACCTCGCAATTGAGGGCGGCTGATACCATTCATTTGTGTTGTTGGACTCTGTCCTGTTGGTGAGGAGATGATGTTGCTCATGTTCATGGCTGCTGCTGCTCCGGCCGCGGCGGCCGCCTTCCCCGCGCCATCGAGTTTGATCGGGGCTGCTGGAGGTGAGACGTAGGCTTTCAGTCGCGGTGCCTTTTGTTGCCACAAGCCTTTGCCCCACTGCACGCCATCGAAGAACTGGTGATTCTGTATGTGCTCGACTGGTAGCCGATTCGAAGGTTCCAGCACCAGTAATCGCTCGACAAGATCGCGAGCTACGTCCGGAAACCCATCAGGAAAGGTGTACGCCAATGCCAAAATCTTCTGGAAAGTGAGGTACTCGTTCGCTGCTTTGAATGGCGGTCGGCCTGCTAAAAGCTGGTAGATGATGCAGCCAAAGGCCCACAAGTCCGAAGCTTTGCAAGCGTTCTTGTCGCGTAGTAGTTCCGGACTGACATATTCCGCCGTGCCTACAAAAGACACCGCACGATCCGTCCCAGCTCCATCAGTCGGGTCTCCAGGCGCTTCCTGACTACCCGCGCCGCTCGTCCTCGGGTCTGGTAAAATCTTCGCTGTACCGAAGTCGGTAATCTTGACATGCATATCACGATCCAGCAGCACGTTCTCCGGCTTTAGATCTCGGTGTATCACACCCCGGCTGTGCATGTACGCCACACTATCCAGTATCTGCGCACCATAAAATCTCGTACATTCCACATCGAATGAGCCCATCTTCTTTAGTACACCCAATAGTTCACCCCCAGACGCCAGATCCAGCACAAAGTATAATGATCGCTCGTCCTGAAATGTATAGTACAGCCGTACGATGCCCGGATGCTCGGTAAGTCGATTTAGTGTGTCGCGCTCTATGTTCACGTATTTCACTTTCTTCTCCTTGATGATATGGCGTTTGTCCAGAACTTTGATGGCATACTCTTTCAAAGTCTGCCGGTCCGTAGCTGCCAAAACGGTCGAATATGAGCCTTCGCCTAGTGTCCGCCCAAAGTTGAAGTCCTTCACGCCCTTTTTCACAATCCGGGTCTGCGACTGGCCAGATGCATCAGTCTCTCGCCTTACCGTCGCAGCTGCGCCTCTTTCCTGCCATCCTTCCGTTGTGCGAGGTAGACGGTCCTGGCTGCCGTGTGTCGCTTCTGGCTCCGTGTACGAGCCTGTCGTGGGCCCTCTCATTCGCTTCGAGTTCCGTCTGGGTGGTAGAGGGCCATTCCCGCCATTCATCTGCCCGCTGCCTGATCTGTACGACCTGCTATCTGACCTTCCCATTACACCAGCCAGCACACCTTTCGCTGATCTCGATCCACTCCTCGCCAATCCTGTCCCACTCCCGTCTGAAGAACCCATGTCATCCCGGTACCTGTAGGAGCCTTGACTTGACATGCCCGAACTCGCCGAGCCGTTCTGCTGCATGTACATGCCACTCACCGGTCGTGTAGACGTGCTCTGTAATCCAGGCACCCGCATATTCTGCTGATAGGTCGAGGAGTGTGCCGGGTACTGCATAGCTTGTTGCGCCTGATAGCCCAAGGGCATGCTTTGCCTGTGACTCAGCCTTTGCTGCTGCTTTGCCCGCTGCTCCTCATCGTTGCCGCTGGCTGAGCGAGAACTTTGCTGCGACACTGTTGGTGAGTAGCCTGTATCACGTAGGCTGTATGTTTCCGGGTTGAAGCCGATTCCTTCGTCCTCCACCACGTTTTCGTGTGACAGCGTCGGCGCAAGCATGCGAGCCTCGGTGATAGTGCTGGCGGAAGACTGTGACGAAGCAGGGGGTGGATGAGCGGCAAGTAGAGCAGGAGCGGGTGAGTTAGCCGTAGGTGAGGCTACAGCTTCTTCGTCTGGATTCGCTATCCGCAGGCCACCCAGCGATTGTGACAAGCTCAGGTCACCGTTCATGGCTGACTACTGGTCTGGTGCCTACAAGCACCGAGTATACTGGTGCTGTGTACTGGTGCGAAGCGAGCGACTAGCCGAGGCGGCATGACATTGGTTGACTGGAGCAAGCTACCGGATGCACAGTATCCAGGGACTGACGGCGGAGGTCGGGAGAGCGATGAATGATGGTTCGGGAGGGCGAGATCTGGCTAGGATGGCGAGAGTCGAGTGTTCTGAATGCAATGATGATGACAACAGTGAACAAGGCAGCCGGTATAGAGCTCGGCCGAAGTCAAATGGTGTAGTCACGACTGTATTCGTACCTCGCTCTCCAGACTCGTGATCACCACGCGGATGCAATCGTTTTGCCAAGCCTGGGCCTGAATCCCGAGCGCCACGCCATCACTTTGACACATGCCCTCCCGATGTTCCTCCGAGTATATGCTCTCTCCAGTTCAGCAGCACCTTCTTCCCTCTCCTCCACGCAATGACGCTGCTTCCAATTCATGACACTATTGTTGTCATCTTGAGGACTTGTAATGCTCGAGGCAAGTATAGAGTATTATCGCTTGTTGTCATCGGACACAGTCGTGGTCGACACACTCTCGCTTCATTGTTTACACAACAGCTTGAGTCACGTATTGGAGAAGTGTCCTAGTCGACTGACATCTCGCGACCTCGCGTAGCTACACCATACATTCCAATGCGAGCCCACTCTGTCTGGCAAACCTGGCTGCTGGAGATCGCAGTATAGAGGCACTAGCGTACTGAACAGAACAATCAAGGACGACAATGTCGACAAATGGCCACAACTACGACAACTTCAACCCACATAGCGAGCCTGAGTCACTCTCACCTCCTCCAGGGGGTAGCATTGCGCTATTCGCCTCCATCACCGCTGTTCGACCCTGGATCACGTCGTCATTCGAAGAGGTGCGCTTGCGGGCATACCAACCTGGCAAGGTCCCTCCCATCACATGCGCCACCTGGTCGACTTCAGCTCCTCCAGCCTTCGGCGACTTAGGCTTCGGCATCAAGTACGCGCGGCTCCCATTTCCGCATGAAGTACGACGCATACCACTAGCTCCATCATTCGACGGACTTTTGCTTGAAACGGTCAAGTTCGAGGTTGGTAAGGACAAAGTCACCACATTTAGCGTTCACGAAAACCTCATCACGAATGCGTAAGACTTCGTGCGCAAAGCGTTAGCGTCAGAGTGGAAGGAAGTATGCAGCATCTGAAATCTTGGTCTCAGCCATAATGGCTAAACATCGTTCACAGGCTTCGACAAGAACAATTCCACTCCCCGATGACCAGCCTGAGGCCTTCCGGATGTACTCTCACTGGCTATACACTCGCATGATCTTCAGTCCTGGTTCTGGAAGCCTAACAAGCAAAGACTACCCTTTCCTGGTGCAAGCTTATACACTGGGTGACAAACTTCTCGACACAAGCTTCCAAAACATCATCATCGACACTTTCATCTCCACGCTCCTGAGCACTCATTCCTTCAACGTAGACATCACAAACGCAGTCTACGAGCATTACCTCCGAGGTATCAGCACTAAGGAGGTTATGGTGCGATGTCTACGCTTGGTGTGGCGATTCGTCCTGGCTTCAGAGGACCGATCTGAGTGAGGACGTGAATGCCGAATTTCTCTCTGATCTAGCCAAGGTCCACTTCGCTTTCTGCCAGGGTCGGAGGCCTGAGAGAGTGCCGTTCTTGGCTGATAGGTGTGCGTATCATACACACGAGATACAGAATTGCGATGCGAAGTTGCGATGAGGGATGGTGTGGTGTGGCACTTGTGGGGTTATCGCCGGTGCGATCTGTCCTTTGCCATTGTTACCATCGTTTTGCGGGGATTGATGGCAAGCGATGCCTGCTCGATGTTCAAGTGGTGGTATAGTTGATTGGGTATGGTCAAAGCTGCTCAATTTGATTCAACGTAACATGTTGATCAGCATCAGGTTGTCGAGTCCAATGTGCTTGCATACACCATACACCACACACCATCCTGATTACCAGCATACGCCACAGATTTCGATGCTCATATCGCACATAAGCCACAAGTTCTAAGACAGTAGTCAACTCGGTATTCCAGGGCCGGTCTTCCACCTTACCTGTTCCTGATAGCCAAAGTTTAGCCCTTTCACTTCCCTGCGGTAGTCACATGATATAGGTAGGCATTTTGATACAACCGCAGATCCTGGATCGGGTCGGGACAGGGTGGAGTGCAAATTTTGTCAGGCTCTCTCTCGGGTCGGGCGAGGGTCGTTGTGCGGCAAGGATGGACAGATACAGTATGATGGTAATTAGAAGCTTTGTTTATTGTGCAAATGCCCACGGGAGGTCCATTGAGGCTACAGCTGCCGTTTCTTGCGACTTGCTGTCGAAAGTCACGTGTTCGAGATCTGTTGAGTGGCAGGTCCGTAAAAACACACTTTCTTGCGAAAGCAGTGCATGACTTGATGACACGCGCTTCATGGCGATAACACTCCCTTCACATGGTCAACCTTGGGAATGGTGAAGTACTGCTTGTGTCGTGATTCCCAAGAGCAGTCTTTGGCGCACGTGACCGTCGTGGCGGCTACGCCCTCTAGCCATGGATTTCCCGCAGCGAGTTATGAATTCCTCCGCGGATGCATCTTCATTCCCAAAGCAGGTCTTCTACATATGCTTTGATCAATCATGAACGATCTCGCTTCGGAAAGTGCGTTCGTCTACATGCAGCATCGCCGATCACCTCGACTTCGAAGGTCGAACCCTCGACCCACCCCTGATGCATCGATAGCCTGTCTGCAAATCCTATGCCAAGGCTGACCACAAAGCCTATCCTGAAGTCTCAGGTCTGGAGCCGATAGGCTGAAACGGCTGTCTTCAGTCCTGCGCTTATGGAACAATGACCACATCTTGTCTATTCGTGGCCATTGACATGCGTGCTCAAGCAATAATGTGTTGAATCCCATGAGTGGACAGTCCTCAGTCTGCTAATCGATCCTGACCCACCACTCCATGAGAAGCACGACAAGAAGGGCTCTTGTCATTGAGGCAGATATGTGCTCGGCAGCACTCTTGTGGACAAATCACGGGCCCACCACCGCCTTGTCCCGAGGACCAAGAAATCTCCGACCAAGCAGCTGACGGATGTGACCATCTATCCCTGCAGCATATCCCTCCACCACCATGTTCGATGATAATGTACTGTACGAGTTGTGCTCGCACAGTCACAGTCGCACCCACCGGGCCGCTGGGTTGTCGCGTAGCCTATCTACGTTAGCCTGTCCCTTCCCTGCTGCGTTCTTGTCGAGGCGCCTGCTGCTGACTCGAGAGTTTCATGCCTGCTATGCGGCGAAGGTTACTTAATCGGCGTGGAGCCTTGATTCCCGGAATAACTGGTGACGGCTGTTCATGAATGATGATGAAGTACCTGTTCACATGGGCCACTTCTAGGCATATCTATCTTGAGAGCGTAGTAGCGCGATGCTGTTGGACGTAGTCTGGACCATTGTTCTCCTTCCATTCACTCGACTCCAAAAATCTCAGAATTTGCGCCTCCACGACTCATCGGCTTCGGCGACCTACGACCATAGACTTCACCACCACTTTCCGCCGTCGCCTTGTGGGAGCCGGTCCCGAAGGCGACTAATCGCGCGAGCCAAGCGCAGACATGCAAATATCGAACTGCGATAGATGCTACCGTCGCAAAGGTAAATGCGACAAGCTTCAACCTTGCGGGTCCTGCGAGCGCGCTGGCGTCGGCTGTGTCTACACGGACCGCACCAAAGAACGACGGTTCACTGCTGATCACGTCGAACGCCTGGAGAAGCGCATACGGCAAGCCGAAGCACGGAATAAGAGCCTAGCAGACGAGCTCAGCAGGATCAGAGTCGGCACCCCAGGCGACGGCAAAGTATCGAAGGCTCTTGCTGCTGTCAATGCTAGCAATCTAACGAAAGCGCGAACGACGAACGCGGATGCCGTCGATGAACTATCCTACCTAGCGGTTAGCACAGCTGGCGAGCGTCGTCCTTACCTGGGCTCTGCGAGCGGCATACTGTTTGCAAGCCTCGTGGCATCCAAGGTTCACACATCGATACCGAGTGCGCCAGCCACACGCGTCAAGACCGTACCGACCACCAGAGATCAGGATGTCAATCAGTCCAGAGCGCCGACACAACGTGCATCACGCAAGTATGCCGACTTGCCAACGCAGCAGCTTGCACATGGACTGGTCACTGCATTCTTTGAGGATATCCACATAGCATACCCATGCCTGGACCCACACGCCCTTTTCGACGCCTTGGGACGGGTCTACACCCAGGAAGGCTACTATGAGACGCGTGCATCCTCTCACGAAGTCTTCGTCCTCAATATGGTCCTTGCAATAGCTAGTGTACACATCCCCACGACCGATTGGCAAAGGTACGTAAGATCGCGTTCCTTAGTGAGAGAATCGTGTTGATCATGCTTGTAGTATACCCGGCGCTGAAACTCATCAGACTCGTGCTTTTGTAGAGTTGGAGTCTGTCATGATACACAATACGATCGAGACCCTGCAATGCCTGTTGCTCATATCCATTTGGCGGACAACCAGTGGTATTAGAGATGACAGTGCCAGTATGTGGCAAACAGTGGGTATCGCTCTGCGTATGGCCATCGAGCTTGGCTTGCATCGTGAGTCTTCGTTCTCGGTCAGGCCTTTGGGCGAATCAGATGCTGTGCAGCTGCAAATCTATCGACAGCAGGAACTGGGCCGTAATTGCTTCTGGTGTGTCATCGCCATGGACAGGATTACAAGCAGCATACTTGGACGACCCTCGGGACTCCTGGACAGCGACATCGACACGGAATTACCATCGACGGGTGTGGACAGGCTGCTCAAAAAGAGGCGAGGCTCACATTTGACGGACGTGGCGCGAATCGAGATCTTCAGGAAGATCATCGAGTATCGACTGTTCTGCGGTAAGCTTCTGCCAATCTTACATCGGAAGAGGCCAGCAGAGGTATCGATGGACGATGCGCTGCGCATACGCGATGAGCTTGCCAACGAGCTCGACATTTGGTATAGCAGCTTGAAACAGCTGGAACTCCCAGATATAGAGCTGTCGGACGACAGCCCGCAGTCTTGCTACTCGTCACCCTTGTGAGTATCGGTCGTTACGCAATGAACCACGCTGTCGTTCACTAAGTACAACCAGATGGTTCGAATGCCTTTATGCGAACGCTAAGCTCACGATCTGGCGACCTTGTCCTTTGCTGGCCGAGATGCCATATGACAGGCATGCACTACAGCTCATGTACGACTCCGCTGGCCACGCGATCAACTTTTATGCTTCCCTGCACAGAAGCCGTCTGATCAACTACAGTTGGATCACGTTGCATTCGGTCTTCTTGGCCGGTCTATCATATATCTATACTAGTCGGTCTCTGATGACGCGCAAGCAGCGATTTGTGCTAACCATGTACAGTTAGTTGTCAATTGCGCAGCATACAGCAGGATACAGATGACGCTTCGTGGCCACTCGGAATGGAGCTGGATCCGATGGAGGTCGTGGGGATGACAAGAGCATGCTCGAATATCTTAGTGGCAGTGTCGGAACGGTGGGACACTCAACGCCATTGTCATGAAGTCTTTGACCGACTTGGAGATGCCGTGTTGGCCGATCTTGTAAGTCTACAGTCGGCATCGCATCGACAGCACTCTACCATGACAGACAGCCCTGTTGTCAGCAGTGAGAGCCCAGTCAGTGCAGCCACGGCCTTACCACCGCAACGACAGGCATTTTCACAGCAGCATCTGTCGAACCCGAATCACATCGCCTTCTGGCAGAATCAACAACAGCAGCAACAGCAACAGCACCAAATGGCGCCACAAGCAGAGGCGAGCCGCTACGGGGGCACCGCCCCACCGCCCCCTCGCCTCGCAGTGGATACTGAGCTCATGCACTGCTACGATGATATTCAGAGCTTGTATCAGCAACAGCAGGTCGAGGAGCCTGTTATGCAGTTGACACAAGAATGGATGGGCTATTTGGGCAATGGGGGTGAGCCGGCTGGTGGCTATGTGACCTATGGACAAACAGGGCAGCAGATCGAGCAGCGATTAGCAAGGGGTTCGCGGAAGCCAAGTCAGTATTCACCGCATACTCTACCTTCGCAACGTTAGATGTAAGTATACGCAATCAAGCACGACTGGCGTGGATATCATAGATCGTCGAGTGGTATCGGTCCCGATTGCAGACGATCAGATCTACGGTCGCTGCTAAGGTAGCAGTAGTGAAATACCGTCCTTGATATGTGATCTCATGCGAAGACACCTCTGTTGATTTATGCAGATCCCTGACCGAAGTCATTTATGCATACATCGGCTGCCCACCTGCAAACTCCACATCGGTCTCCGCTCACTGCGGGATCGCTCAGACGTCACGAAGAAACGAACATGGAATTGTCAGATCAATCACGAGTCATGCTAGCCACCAAGGATGAACGTCGGTCTCCTCTCGAACGGGGTTTCGGCAGTCAAACATGGTGTCTATCGAGAGTACGCACTCCTGATAGAGGCAGATAGCCGCTGTTCATGAGGTAGGTGTCCGTCTAGGAAGCATTCGCATCCATGAAGTCATTCGTTCTCACTTCACTCGCGTCCACAGGTCTAGCAAACGCTATCGTCCTCCTACAGCAGACACCAAGCTGTTCGGCTTTTGCTGCTGGTGTGAAGCTGAACAGCTACAACGCTACCGTGCTCAATGCTTTACTTACTACCAAATCCACGGCCTGAACGACTCTGGCGTTCTGAATAATGTCTCATTCTGTCAGGTATACCCGAAAGTATCATACGGAACTGGCAACGACAGCCTGATCTTCGCTCTGTGGCTGCCAGATGTGCTTCAGTACGAACGCCGGTTCATGGCTGTGGGCAATGGTGGAATGGTACGAACAGACTCATTATAGCCAAATCCTGATCCCTTCAAGTTAACAAATGGCATCTTGCCAGGCCGGCGTGATCGACTATGCCAGTATGATGACCCAGCTAAACTCCGGCTACGGCCTAGCGGTCGCCGGAGGTAATGCCGGCCATCTCGCATCAGACAACAATGCAGGAGGCGGTGCGGCGGAAACCTATCTCCCATATCTGCACGATCCAGCTCAAGTCACGGCTTGGATCCACAATGCTATCAGTCTCTTTACTCCAGCTGCAAAAGCGATGGTGGCTGCTTACTACAGTCAACCGGCCCGGTATGCGTACTATGATGGCTGCTCGACCGGTGGCGCGCAAGGCTTTGCTCTCGCCCAGCTTCATCTGGAGCTCTTCGATAGTATCTATGCTGGTAGTCCTGGGAACTGGTACAGTCACTAAGCTTTGAACTTCCTTTGGAATGCTCAGCAAACAAACGCGAGTCGAGCATTATGTCACTTCTTTGGATGATGATTGACTGACTCGTGTGGCCAGACCACGAAGCTTTCCCAAGCCGTCCTCAACTTCACCAACAACGCAGTGGTGGCTGCTTGCGACACATTGGACGGGGTCAAAGACGGCTTGATCGAAGACCCACTCAGATGCAACTTCGACATCGAGAGCCTGGTCTGTCAGAGCACGTACGGCAACCCTTCCAATGGCAGCGTCACATGCCTCACACCCGCTCAAATCGCAGTATTCAAAACAATCTATCAAGGACCCGTTCGTTCAGACAATGGCTCACAGCTATACCCCGGCTTCTGCCTGGGCAGCGAAAACCAATGGCTACTCCAGGAAGGCGTCCTGGCAGATGCTTTCAGCATCCCCATTTTGCAGAACCTCGTCTACAATGACCTGTCGTACAACAGTAGCAACTTCAACTGGGCTTCTGACGTCACCACACTCGATGCCAAAGCCGGCTCGTACATCGACGAGATCAGTCCAGATCTGACTAGCTTTCGCAACCGTAGTGGCAAGATGATCGTGACACAAGGCTGGACTGACCCTTTGAATGCCGCTACCTGGCCCATCGAGCATCTCGAGCAGGTTGAGAACTTTCACAACGGCGATGTATCGTCTTTCCTAAACCTATTCATGGTGCCGGGTGGAGGACATTGCGGTGCGGCCAGGTATCATCCGAGCGTGCCGGCGACATATGTAAGTGGCTCCTGTCTCAGTCCTCGCGAGACGAGAACAAATACTAACTATCCCCGACTTCTCAGCACACCGTCGCCGCACTAATCAACTGGGTCGAGCGTGGGCAGAAGCCGAATCATGTATTGAGCACAAACCCGCCTGATGGAAGTGATCGGACGAGGAAATTGTGTCCATGGCCTGCCACTACGCGATATGTGCAAGGTGATCTGAACGATTGGTCCAGCTATGTGTGCGAATAAATCTTAACTACAAAGATTCCTGATGGGTGAGAACTATTCAAGCGGAAGAGGCCTGGTTCGACCGCGTACATAAGTTGAATCCTTCCGTGCTGCATCTGATGATCACGGGGATATGCTTTTTCCTTTATCATCGCTGGCAAGCATTCCGTGGAAACGGATGGTTTTCTTATGGTCGCAAGTGTAAGTCCACTCGCTCATGGATTGCTTGACCTTGTTAGCCGGCAGTCAACATGCAGAAATACGCCAACACGTTGGCACCGGCCTCGAAGTTGGGCTCGGCATAACTGTGGTGATACAGCGGCGGACAAAAATTTAGCTATAGTATGCTACAAGACTTTTAGTGGTCACATCTCCGGTGTGGTCTAGTGGCTAGGATTTCTCGCTCTCACATGATCATTCGATTGGTCTAGCATGGCCCGAGGAGGCCGGGGTTCAATTCCCCGCACCGGAAGATTTTTTGCCCGGGCTGTAGGAGGTATCCTTGGCGTCCGAGGACATCTTTTGCTAGCATTCTGTCTTCTGTTTACAGATGGGATGTCTACTCGATAAGGCGCGCTAACGCTTTTGCGCGCGACACTGATGCTTCTAGTCCTTTTCGCTTAATGAAGTTATGATCCACGATTCACAAACGCTGTGATGATTTTGCTCGTTGATGGATACGTTCGTAATAGCTGCAAAGAGTCCGAGCATACGGATCATGATGGCTCTCGAAGGGGAATCCATTATTTCTTCTAGAAAAATGTTGGTTTTATGGTGTTAAAGCATGGGCAGAGACAATGACAACGCTCTACATCAGCTTTAGGCACATACCTGGTTACATCTTATGTTTCCCTGTATCCTTCCACTCCTTCCCTCCTGTATAATAGTTTCCTTCAACCTGCTTCACGCCCTCGCCACCATGGAACCAACCCACCCGATCCTTAGTGAACTGCTCAATCCTGGGCTTCAGCTTCGTGTCATGAAGGTTAAAGTCGTCGACGGTCCCGATCCTCAGGACTGAATTGGTGGGAAAGCCAGAGCTACGACGATACATCAGGGTCCCACAGACAGAGCAGAAGGAGTTCTCCATGGTACTGCCAGTGGCAATGGTCTGGCTTTGAGCGAATTTCGTGAGTTTGTCTTCGCCGCTGAGATGCTTCAGGCTGCTGTTCTTGATGATGAAGTTTGAGGCGAACATCGACGCAGTGATGGTGCGGCAGTCCTTCGACAATAGTCAGTGTTGATCAATCGTTGTCCTTTCAGATCTAAGTCATACTGTGCAATTGCAAATGAACGTATCTACGAGATCTACCCCTTCGACGGGCTGGTCGGGGTCAGCTGGGTTCAATTAAGGCATAAGGAAGTATGCGTACGAATTCAAGTTTGACAGCACCGCAGAAGCATGATGCAGTTGCCCGTTCTGGTGCCATGGTAGTCAAGCGGGCGTTGTAGAGGATTCTTCGAGTGGGCAGTCAGTAGAAGATGGACAAAATCATTGTGTTTATCCGCAGAGCTGGTAATGAGGCAGTGTTTTCTGAAGGACAGATGCAGAAGAGATGTATGTATCGCCCTACCATCCTGAACCTACGAACATGAGGAAAGGCTGAATCTCAGCACCTCGGCCTAGAATCCTGCATGCTCGAGACGAGTTCACAGACACGCCGGACCATGCTGCTCTGCTATATTGTCTTCCATCTCTGATTCGACTACGAGGGAATGACTTCTTATCACGTGTGAGTCGACCATTTTGAGCGCTTGGTGTGACAATTGTAGAAGAAAAGATCACGGCCACGAACTCGCTACTGGCGCCTGGCCTGTGCGCTGTGCATTCATGTTGTCGAAGCATCTCCTCTTGACAATCGTCCACATCACACTCCTATCAACATGGTCGGTCAGCAGGACTTACGCAATACATGCGAGCACATCCAGAGACTTACCGGCAGGAATCCCTCCACAAGCCGCGATGACACGCTGTATATCAACCTCCGGCAACAAAATCGCCAGATCCCCACTCATGTACAGCCTGAGGTGAAGACGCTTTCTTTATGCATAATCGTGCCATAAGATCTTCGACGGGCGGAAGAATTAGCCACGAGAAGGGAATATATACAGCTGTGTCGCGGTGGCCATGCTTTGGACTATAAACCCTCCATCGACCGCGCCAGGATCTATTCTCTGTAGGCACCTCCGCATGTCGTCTTGATCGCGGAAGTGGAGAACCCTGTAAGCTCCACGACCTCATGTAGGTACATACATGAACCCGTTTCCTATCGAAGAGTCTCAAGCTGCTCAGCCTCAAGCCGTGCATTGTCCCATTCCCAGCATGAAATTCACCGCGCTCTTCGCAATAGCCCTACAGGCACTTGGCGTCCTCGCGCAACAATGGCCGTTACATGACGATGGCTACAATCAGGTCGTTCAGTGGGACCACTACTCACTCAAGGTCAATGGCGAACGCTTGTTCTTCTGGAGTGGCGAGTTTCATTACTGGCGGATACCTGTGCCCGAGCTATGGCGAGACATCATGGAGAAGATCAAGGCTGGTAAGCAGAACCACAATTCGGAGCTGATTGGACCATATGACTCACATCTATGTCTAGCTGGCTTCAATGCCTTCTCAATCTATGTACACTGGGGCTTCCACAGCTCTGCTCCCGGGCAACTGGACTTCGAAACCGGTGCGCACAACTTCTCCCGCATCTTCGACTTAGCGGAGGAGCTCGGTCTCTACATGCTCGTCCGACCTGGCCCATATATCAATGCCGAAACCACTGCGGGAGGCTTTCCAGGCTGGCTCTTGACAGGCGAATATGGAGCGTCGTTGCGCGACAATGGCACAAAGTACACCGAAGCCTGGACGCCATACTGGGATGCGGTGTCAAGGATGGTCGCCGAGCATTCCGTGACGAACGGTGGACCTGTCTTGTTGCAGCAGATCGAGAACGAATATGGCGAGCAATGGGCTAATGTAGCTAGGCGCACACCTAATGAGACTGCGATTGCATACATGGAGCTTCTCGAGAAGGCAACCAGAGACGCCGGAGTTGATATACCGTTTCTCAATAACAATCCAAACCTCGGCAGCAAGTCCTGGTCCTTCGACTATGATATCAACAAAGTTGGTGGTGACACTGATCTGTACGGCCTCGACAACTATCCAAGCTGCTGGAGCTGCAACCTCGCAGAATGCACAAGCGTCAACGGCTTCCCGCCAGACTTTACGACTTTTGACTACTACACCAATTTCCAGCAAACAGCTCCGACGCAGCCCTCGATACTTGCCGAATTCCAGGGTGGCAGCTATAACCCATGGAACGGACCACAAGGTGGCTGCCTAAACACCACGGGCGTCGACTGGGTGAACGTGTTCTACAGGAACAACATCGGCAACAAAGTAGCCGGACAAAATATCTACATGCTTTTCGGCGGCACGAATTGGGGTGGTCTTCCGATCCCAATCGTGGGTACAAGCTACGATTACAGTGCACCAATCTCGGAAAGCAGACTGCTGACAGACAAGTACTCCGAGACGAAGCTGCTGAGCTACTTCGTCCGATCGGCCAAGGATTTGACTATGGTCGAACGTGCAGGTAATGGTACGACAAACTATACTGGAAATGCGAATGTCTTCGTTCAGGCCTTGCAGAATGTTGATACTGGTGCGCACTTCTATGTCGCCAAGCATACCAACACGACCCTCACCTCGTACGAGACCTTCAAGCTCAGCATGAACACTTCAGTCGGTCAGCTCCAAGTGCCGAGATATGCCGCGGACATCGCGCTCAATGGTCGCGCAGCCAAGATCCTGGTCGCAGATTTCGGCTTTGGAAATGAGAAGCTGATCTACTCCACCGCCGAGGTGCTTACGGTCTCGCTCCAGGCTAGGCCCATGATCGTGCTCTGGGTCCCTACAGGAGAGTCCGGCGAGTTCTACCTCAAAGGCGCGAGGAAAGGGAGTATATTTCGCTGCGATGGGTGTACGAACGTGGCTTTTCATCAAGCTAGCGAGGGCCTGATTGTCAGCTTCACGCAGAACGCTGGCATGACGGTCTTGCAATTCGATAACGGTGTCATGGCTGTTCTGCTTGATCGCTCCGTGGCGTATACGATGTGGCAACCCACGCTCTCGGCCAATCCTTTGGTGCCATTGAATGAGACGATTCTCGTGCGTGGTCCGCATCTTGTCCGCTCGGCAGAAGTCGTGGACGGAACGATCTGTTTGACTGGAGATTACAGTGCGGACGAAGCGACTGAGCTTGAAGTCTTCGCCTCACAAGTTTCTGGCTCAGGTTGGCAGCAGGGAGGCTCTTGGCCACAAGATGGCTCATGGGACCATGGTCCGCAGAACGCAACGACAGTGACGTGGAACGGTAAATCCATACCCATGCGTCCCACCCGCTACGGCTCTCTGATCGGCTCACTCACACCACCCAACACCACTATCGCCTCCCTCCAATCCTCCATACCAGCCCTAAAATCCTGGCTCTCCGCCGACGGCCTACCAGAGCGCCTACAATCCTACAACGACTCCGGCCCAGCCTGGGTCGCCGCGGAGAACACCACCACCCTGAACGCCTGGAAACCCGCCACCCTCCCCGTCCTCTACGCAGACGACTACGGCTTCCACACCCAGAACATCCTCTGGCGGGGTCGCTTCACCGGTCAAGAAGCTACAGGCGTCTTCCTGAACATCATCGGCGGCACATCCTCAGGCTGGTCCGCATGGCTCAATGGAATCTTCCTCGGCTCAAGTCTAGGTAATGTCACGCTGAGCGAGACGAACGCCACACTTTCTTTCCCAACCAACAGCAGCGTAAGCGGCGAGAACGTCCTCTTCATCATCCAAGACCACATGGGTCATGACGAAACGACGGGCGTTCTCAACCCGAGAGGCATCCTGAACGCTACACTCCTCTCTCCCCACAACAACGCCGCGGCAGCACCAACCTTCACTTCCTGGCGCGTAGCCGGCAACGCCGGCGGCGAACACCCACTCGACCCCTTACGAGGACCGTACAACGAAGGCGGTCTCCACGCCGAACGCCTGGGCTGGCACCTCCCCGGCTTCAGCCCCATCACCAACAGCAGCAGCAGCAGCACAACCTGGACCCCTTCCCTACCGCCCACCACAGCCCTCACCTCCCCAGGAGCTCGCTTCTACCTCACCACCTTGCCCCTGAACATACCCTCCGACATAGATGCCAGTCTAGCCTTCATCCTCACCGCCGTCCCCACCGCAAAAGCCACGGTCCGAGTCCAGCTTTATGTGAATGGGTATATGTTCGGCAAATTCCTGCCCTACCTAGGAAATCAGATCGAGTTCCCTGTTTTCCCGGGGATACTAGATTATCATGGTGATAATGTCATCGGGTTGAGTGTCTGGGCGCAAGGCGGAGAGGATGGGGGAGGCGGAGGAGGAGGGGGGGTAGATGTTGCCGTGAAGGTTTTGGGCGTTGTGGGCAATTCGTTGGAGCCGGGCACGGGAACGGAATATTTGAGGCCCGGGTGGACGGCGGAGAGACTACAGTACGCATGATTCATTCGGCACGAGAGGGATGTCTACGCAAATGGAATCGACGATGCGCAGGCGGGAAAGGTCAGCAGTGACAGGAGCCTGCTTGGATCATGTCTCGCATGGTAGATATATGCATCTTGCTAGCATCCAGCAGGAGGCCGACCTAAGTTGTCCACCAGCACACCTCAAAACGCCGACAAAGCCTGCTCTTACACAAGCCTGCCGTCCATGACTACCTTAACACTCCACCACAACAGCTCTACTCATCCTCACCACCCCCACCCCCACCTCCACTCCCCCCCTTACCCGACTTCGCCCCCACAATATCATCCACCCTCAAAAGCAAACAAGCACTCTCCACCGCCGTCTTCACACTCTGCAACTTAATCGCCTGCGGCTCCAATACCCCCAGCTCCCTCATATCCACCACCTTCCCTTGCTCCCCATCGATCCCCCAACTACAAACCCCCTTCATGTTTTCCGCATGCTTCGCCCGCAAAGACGTCAACAACCGGATCGGACTGGCTCCCGCATTCTGAATAAGCGTGCGCGGGATCACCTCCATGCTCTCCGCTATAGCGCGATAAGGCCACTGCGCCACCCCCTCCACCGCTTTGGCCTTCTGAGCCAGCCGGACGGAAACGGCCATTTCGGTCGCTCCTCCGCCGGGGGAGAGATAGGGGTGGAAAATGACGTTACGGGCTACACTCATCGCATCCAGCAGATTCCGGTCGATCTCGTTCAGGATATCTTTACTCGGCCCGCGAAGCAAGATGGTACATGCTTTGGGCTCCTTGCACTCGGTCAAGAAGGTGAAGTATTCATCCCCGATCTTCTCGATTTCGAATAAGCCACATTGGGTGCCTACATCGCGTTCCGTCAAATCGAAAACGGAGTTGACGATTGTGGCGCCTGTGGCGCGGGCCACACGGTTATTGTCGGTTTTGCGCACGCGGCGGAGGGCGGTGATGTCGTGTTTCATCAGGAAGTGCTGGGCTAGATCCGACACGCCCTTTTCCGTGATGATGAGGTCCGGTTTCACGGCTATGAGGGCGTCGCACATGGCTTTCACTTGCTCTTCTTCGATCTGCAGGATGCGGTTCCAGTCTTCTTCTTTCGTGATTTCGATGTTGGTGGCGGATTCACCCTTTTTGTATTCGAGCGTGCAGTCCAACAATACTATCCTCGGATTCTCGATCCGACGTCGCATCTTGGGGTGGGTGATGTCTTTGTTGAGCATGACGCCAGAGAGCACGCGACTGTCTTCGATTTCGCCACCAGGGACTTTTTCCACGCGGGCGTAGCGTTTGATGTCAACTTCTTTCTTGCCGCCGCCGGCGTCGTGGGAGACGGTGCGGACGGCGGTGAGGGCGAGATCGCACATGAGGTCGCTGTAGCGGGAGGTGAATTTTGTGCCGATGGAGGTGGAGATGAGGTCGCGCATGACGGCGGTGTCGTTGACGTCGACGGGTATGCTGGTGTCTTGTATGATCTCTAGAGCATCTGCCAGCGCTCGCTTGAAGGCGGAGATGATGACGACCGGGTGGATGTTGCGCTCCAGCTGTGGGAGAGACATGGCCAGGATTTCTCCGGCGAGGATGATGACAGTCGTCGTCCCATCCCCCACCTCCTCATCTTGTGTTCGTGCCAGCTCGATCATGCTCTTGGCTGCGGGGTGGGCGACTTCAATCTCTCTTAAGATGGCGTGGCCGTCGTTGGTCAGGACGATGCCGCCCATGGGGTCGAGGAGCATCTTCAGCATGGCTTTGGGCCCGAGACATGATCGGATGATGTCGGCGACGGTCTTGGCGGCGGTGATGTTGGAGAGTTGTGCTTGCCGGCCAGTCTTGCGTTCGCCCGCCTGTGTGTTGACTACCATTACCGGTGCCTGCATGTTGGCGGTGGTGTGTGTGTGTGCGCTCGCGGCGCTGGTGCAGTGGAGTGAGTCCTTATTACTGTCCAGTATGCGATGTAGCTGATTCCGGGCGCGGTACTGTAATTGTGCGGGTGTGTTGTTCTGCTCGTCGTGCCTGTTCCTCAATATTATGTCTACCCTGTGCCTGTCTCTTCAACCCACAAAGCTTCAATCAATCAAAAAGTCGCGTCGGTCATCGCGTGAGCTTTTGCCCGCACGGCCTGCCTGAGGCCACACACACCACGGAATTTCGGCGCCCTCTTCCTGTCGTGTCTTCTGCTTCGAGACACTCACAGCACATGCCAAACACGACCCGCATCTCACCTACGCCACCACCACTATCGCCCTGCGTGGCCACCGCACACCTGCATACTGCATACCAATCCCACTATCTACTATACAGCTACACAGCAAGTCACATGTCAGCATCCCAAAGTACCTGGCATCCCTGGACCCCTCCGAATCCGAATCGAGTCTGGAGCCTGTCTCACTCCGGTTAAGCTTCCCGCTCCTGCCTCCCAAAATGGCACTCCACGAGGTCCCCGCGTGCTCAGTGCGCAGAGTATGGCGTCCAAAGCCAACCGATTTCTTAGATTGCTCCCACAGCTCGCTGCTGCAACCAAACATTGATCTCCCGTCTCGCCTCTGCATGGGCCTGGGCGGCGAGTGTCGCCTCTGTGCTGGCTATCTATAGTGGTATGGATATAGGTAGGTGGCTTATCACTCTTCCTATCGACTTCCTTCTGATCCCGTCTCTTCGCGCGCACTGCTTGCTATACCATTCTGTCTACCCCTCTGCGCTGCCATTGTCTATTACCACACTCGCTATGCACAATCTCCTACGCGCCTCCGCGCTCCTCGCGCTGGCCGCACCCCTCCTCGTCTCCGCCGCCCCATCCCTCACAGACGTCCTCGCCAACCACCCAAACCTCACCCAGCTCAACCAGCTCCTTACAACAAACATGCCGGACTTCCTCAAGAACCTCCAAAACACCCCCGAGCCTTTCACCTTCATCGCGCCCAACGACCACGCTTTCATTCGGGTTCCGTATACAGATGTCTTAGGTCAAGCGTTCAACAATAAGGATTACGAGGGCGACATCACGAATATTCTGAATTATCATGTCCTGCCTGGTGCCCATCCGACGTCGAGTATGAATAAGAATGGCAGTTTTCAGTTCTTATCTACTTCGCTTGGGAATCAGAATTGGTCGGCTGTGACCGGTGGGCAGAAGATAGGTGCTGTGTTGCAGGGGAACAACCCACCACAGCTGGTCTTCACCAGTGGGCTGAGCACCAGGAGTTCAGTCGTGGATCAAGACGTTGAGTTCGACGGAGGGTGAGTTATCGCCATCAGCCCGAGCCAGAAGACACACTGTCAAGAACACACACCGAAGATCCATTTTACTGACGCAAAAACCAGCATCATCCAAATCATCGACGCCTTCGCCATCCCCCCCATGCCCTTCGTCTACACCGCCGACCAATACAACCTAGCCTTCACCGCCCAATCCATCCTCTCCTTCCTCGGCGCCGTGTACTCGCAACCCTCGAACCTCTCCCTCGCGACCACCCTAAACACCACCAACGACCTGACCATCTTCGCCCCCGCCAACATCGCCATGGAACTCGTCTCGGGAACCCTCGAAACCCTATCCCCCGCCACCCTCAACCAAATCCTCAGCTACCACATCCTCCCCAACGGACCCGTGTACTCGGCGGATTTCATCAATAATACCCAACTCCCAACTTTACTCGGAGGCAATTCTTCCGTCTCCCTAACCTTCACCTTCAACTCCTACTTCGTCAACTCCGCCCGGGTCATCGCCTCGGATATCCTAATCAAAAACGGAGTCCTGCATATTCTGGACAATGTCCTCGCCCCCAACAGCACAGCGGTCAATATCAACCCGATGACATATACTCAGCAACCCGCCCTCCCGACCACTTTCTCCGGCTCCCAGAGCTTCAACAGTTCCGCCGCGCCATTTACCACTTTCGTGCCTAACTTTTACATTTCAGCCAGTCCGAGCTCGGATACTGGAGCGGCGGCGACGGGGAGTGGAGGGGCGGGGGGGTTTGGCGGGTTTGGGACGGGGACGGGGAGTTCGAGTTCTGCGGTGGCGTCGGCGACGAAGAAGGGGAAGAGTGCGGCGGGGGGGAGTGTGCGGCATGTTGCGGGGGAGTCGAGGTGGTTGGGCATAGGATTGGGGATGGTGGCGGGGGTTGCGTTGGGGGGGTGTTTGGTTCTCTGATTTGACGGGATGTTTCTTTGGGTTTCAGGGATGGGATGGACGGGTCTGGGGTCCGGGGGATGTCATGAGTGAGGACTGGGCGCGGAGAGTCGAGCGAGATTTCTGCTGCGGTCTTTTGCGCAGGCGCTATGGGGGGTTTTTGGGCGGAAATTTCACCCTTTTGCTGGAGGGCAGACGTGCCTGTCCATATAGAGTACGATACAAGTACTATGACTTTTCCGAGAACTGTGTAAGTGCTGACGTTGGTTTCGATCTGCTCTGGTCGGCTGCGTTGGCGGTCGGACGGAAATCTTCGTCAATCTACTCGACCGGATTTTTTCTGAAGACCATTATAGGTTCCGTGTTCGCAGAGGAAGGGCTGTTTAGTCTCGGCAGCATGGATGGAAGGTCGTCCATGACCTCACGAAAGATCCGCTGCACGCATCCTCGTCTCTATTCCACATGTCCGTCATAAGCGCAAGATTTCGCTGACTTGGTCCGGGAATTTCCTGGACGAGAGCAAGATGGTTCATGCACTTTTATGGTTTCGTGGCCCCAGAGTTTCTGCAGCCCCTTTGTTTGCCGAAAGCTTCGTGCCGAACGCCTTTGAAGTCTATTCGCACTTTGGCTTCACTTGGCTTTCGTGCTTCTTTCCCATCGATTTACGTGGATGTGGTGCTTGTTGCGGACTTGGCACCTTGAGATATCACGGACGATGGGACCACAGAACGACTGCGTTGTCTGCGGGAGCTGATGGGAGTTAATCCGGTCAATTGCACGACAGACACCACATCAGACCACCAGTTTCCGTTGATTGACCTGACCTGATTTGGGCATAGGAGGATTATTATGCCTATCTTCTCATACTTTGGACAGACTTTAGCCCAGCTGCAACGCCAGCTGATTGCGCATCCTGCTCTCGGTGCCTGGCGCTGACGATCATCCTCGTGCTGAGGCCACGCTCGCATATCGTTGTATCACAGGGCAGCAGATATCATCGCGCAGTCACACTGTGTAGCTGCTCCGCGCAAAATCCTGCGTGGCTGGCGTACGCTTTCGCTTACCGCTCCAAATCATTGGCCGTGGCCCATACGAGATTGGAGATTTGGCGACAAGACTGGCCGTTCCTCGTCGTATGTTCAAGCTCGAAGCTTCGCTGCGGGCAGTTGTGGTATGAGCCTAACCACCGATACCAACGAGATGAGGGCTGACGCAAGCCTTGACTATGAGGGAAAGTATGTTTGTTCCCTTCGAGGATCGCAATGGCTATGTACATGCTTATCGCGGCCAAAGCTTGGGTGGGATCGCCCAGGGTTAGCACTGCATAAGTATAGCATATTCCTAGTCTTGTTATTACGAGCCCAATAATCTCGTGTTTGCATCCTCTCCCTATTCGCTATCGGTGCTATCCAGAAGCATAACAAGAAGAAATCTCACTGAGCCTATCAACATTCAACACGATCACGTCCTTTACAGCAAGATGCCACACTCCGAGCACAGCGACAGCGAGAGCTCCGACACTCCCATGGACGCTATCCTCCCCACCACATCAGAAACGATCTATTTCGTCACAGGTGCAAACCGTGGTCTCGGCCTAGGCTTCTCACGTGTCTTGCTCTCACGACCGAACACTTGCCTCATAGCCGCCGTCCGGGATCCAAGCAAAGCCTACGATCTCTGGAACCTCCCAAAAGCAGAGAATAGCCGACTCATCATCGTCAAGATCGACGGCAACATCGACTCGGACCCCCAAACAGCAGTCGACACCCTACGACAAAGCTACGACATCAACCACCTGGACGTCGTGATAGCGAATGCCGGAATAGAACAATGGTTCGGTCCCACAACCAACATCCCACTCAGCGAACTACGCACCCACTTCGAAGTCAACGCCCTCTCCCCCCTAGCACTCTTCCAAGCAACCTACCATCTCCTCTTTGCCTCCCCCACCAAATCCCCAAAATTCGTCCCGATCTCCTCACGCCTAGGCTCCATGACCGAACTCGCGAAAGTTCAGAATCCGGCCGCTGCATACGGCGCGAGTAAAGCTATGCTGCATTACCTCACCTGCCGGATGCATTACGAGAACGAGGCGTCGGGTCTCGTTGCTTTTCCTATGAGTCCCGGGTTCGTGCAGACGGATCTGGGGAATGCGGGGGCGAGGAAGGCGGGGATGAAGAAGGCGGTGTTTACTGTTGAGCAGAGTGTTGAGGGGATGATGAAGACAGTGAGTCCTTTTTTTACCCTTACCAGGATGGTGCGAAAGCGTGTTGAGAGGTGGTGCTGACTCATTTGCCGCATAGATCGATAATGCTACCCGGGAGAAGCATGGCGGCACATTCCAGTCCTGGGATGGGACGACCTTTGAGTGGTAGTGATTGACGAGAGGATATGTTCGGGCTTTCGATGATCGGAGACTGCTCTTAGCTGCGACTAGGCTTCGTAGAGAGGAGATAGAGGCGCGGTCTGGTTGGTCTGCCTGCTTATCACTTGTCTCGTTTCGAGTCCATCAGTGCTCGTGTCGCCTTCACTGCTACGCCAGTGACGTCGGACTACGCCGAGAACATGGCGGGTCCATTAGCGTCATGTCTGAGACCAATCAAGGGATTCTGTAAAGTTGCAAACGAAGCAACTTGGTTATCACGAGATATTGTATCGAAAGCACGCTGAAACGCTACATATGTGTGTATCCCTCATGTCTCTCTCCTCGTCATCTTCAGTATCTTGGTCCATCGCATTGCTTCGTCTGCCATCCGCGTACTGCTCAGTGTCTCTAGTTCCTCATTCCTTGTACTCGGCTGCTCAGAACTCTACTTCGACCGCCTGATCACAAACACACCAACCTCGATTCCTCTGGTGGGTGCTTCATCTTCAGGATAAGGCTTGTTCACAACTCCATCAAGCAGCTGCTGAATCAGCTCCGCCGGCGTCGCGGGCCGCTCGATATGCTCATTACTACTCTTCTTCTGCGCCTCATTCGCATACCTCGTCACAATCTCCCTGACTCTAGGCTTCTCCTGCTTCGTCCACCAATCTCGTGCCCACACTTCTCTGCTCAGCTGGACCTCTTTCTTTGCAGAATACTCGAGCGTGAACTCGGCTTGGCGGCCATGGAGACGGTGCAGGCCTGTACTCCGGGTGGTCAGGATTGCGCAGAGGCGTGCTATTGAGCGCTCAAGATCTTTGTGTTCCAACAGCCGATCGACGGCGGACATGTTACCCAAGATCTTGCCCATGTCTGATGACAAGCCATGGCTGACGCAGATGGAGCGAAGTAGTGGTGCCCACAATGGGTCGAGGTAGTCGGTCATGAATGTGTGCGCTCCTGTCCTCGTCGGATATATGAAAATTAGACAGCCGTTGTTCGGTGAGAGCTCGACAAGTCGATCAACAAGTATTGATGGGCCATGCGTGTCGAACATATGTATGAATTCGTTGTGGCTCGTCGGCGGGATGTAACGCTCGACGACGGCGACATTAATGGACGAAGGTGGCACGATCGGTCTTGGAGATCTAGGTAGTGATGAGAGATCGCCTTGATAGTCTGTGATCGGGACAGCGCTGTCGAAGACCTTTTGTGTAAAGTAATCGTCGCCACCAATAGGAGGTCCCGGGGTGGAGGGCGGTGATGTAGGTAGGTCTGCTAAGTTGAACCGTCCTGGTATCGCATGGAAGACGTTGATCCACTCGGTAGATGAGCCAGGGGTAGAGTCGTGTATATGCTCAAGTATGGAGGAGAATGCGTGGCCTGTTGCGGACGGGCTGGGAAGAGCATGCGAAAGCACACGCATGGGATTACTCGGAACTGGTGCCGTTCTTAGACTTTCAACTATTGACAGTCAGCTTCGCCAGTTGTGAGTAGTATCATAATCACATACGCAGCGTCTGCAATGCTCCTGCTAGCCATGACTCAGGTTGATCACGCAGAAAGGGAGTCGGGAACATTCCCTGTTGAGAGGCGCCTCCCTCGGCTTGACCTCCGCCTCCTGACCCTAAGGACATTGTGTTACCGGGATCAGTGGCAGGCGACTCCATAGGCTTATTCGTAACAGCGGCTATGGACGACCAGTCCATCTCCCCGAGTTCTGCCGGTGGTGTTAGTGTAGATATGAAGTGCTGTACTTGATTCTGTACGGCGGGTCCGCCAATAAGGTCAGATCCCGACTTTACTTCTTTCGTGTGCGCAAAGGACTCCATTCCGAATGGTCCGCATAGTGGAGAGGTATTGACACTCGGCAGAGCCAGTGGCTGCTCTACAGCGCCATTGGAGGAGAAGTGTTGGCCAAAACGATCAGGGTGTGGGGCAGCAATACCTAGAGCTTCGAAGGAAGGGAGGCGAAATCCAGGACCAGGTTTGGATTGTTGGTGCTGTGGTGCGGTCGTGTGTACGGGCGCAAGAGCACCACCAACAATAGTGTCCATGTCAGTATAATATGAAGGGTCGGAGGGCGGTGTCTTCAAGGGAGCAGCAGCAGTCGCTGCACTGGGTTCGGCTGGAAGAATATTCGCACCATCAGACAGTAGACTTTGTGGTGTCCAGAGGTTCTTTGTGTCGGCGAGTGCTCCGGCGAGCGTAGGTGTCTCGAGAGAAGCCGTGATGCTAGCTGGTGATGGGAAGGCGTCAGCTATGTGCAGGTCGCCCTGCACATGTGAGATAGGTCCATCAGGCGAGTTGTCTGCCTGATCGGCAGGACCCATCTAAGGGTTCGAGGCAGCTGCAAGGTGCCGGCCACGTTGTACACCGAGGCAAGCGGCAGGCTTGCGAATGGATAGATACTGATGCGTGATATCTGCTGCTTGGGCACAAACGAGAGCTTGCTTGTGGGAGCTTGAAAGCTGTGGTCTGTGCTAGAACGAAGGTAGGGTACTCAAGTCTCTAAGATGGCGCAATGGGTGGCCATTAGCAGCACCTGAAGCGGTAAAAAGCGAGAGTGAGCGGCGCAGCGGCAGATTGGCAGTCGGTGGAAGTCGGTGGGAACTTGAGACAAAGGCCTGCAGGCGTGTGAATCTGCAGTGCACAGATGGATCCTGCTGGCGGATAGGGTCGGACGAGGCCCAGAACACGACAAGGCCAAATGTTTAATGGGGCGACGCTGAAACGGGTTTAGAGTTTTTCCTGCAAGGTGAGCGACGGCAGAGTTCGCTTCTGCACCTTTCCGCCTGTCAATAATATAGCCATACCACCGGGACCGCCACAATATTTTAGACGTTTGGGAATACGTCAATTATATGCGAATGTAATGTCACTTCCGCTGTCAAGACTGATGAGATGAATCCATCTTGTTACGCAACACTAGTCACCTCGTTACTCAAGACCCAGGCTGCCGGTCAGCAGTTAAGACGATGAGCAAGCAATGCAAAACAGACTCGCATTGCTCGCATTCATGTCAGTGCGGCATTTTGCGTCTGACACACATCTATTCCGCGGGATTAAAGCAGTCCGTGATGGGCAAGAAGATTTGTCCAGAGCCTCCAATCAGGTTCGTCCGTACATTCCGAATACGTGAACAACGAGCTGTGGACGACTTGAGGAGAGCAGTTCTAGCCGTTCGCAAGTGGAGCCAACCTCCGAAAATAATTGCACTAGACGGCAGACCTTCGTACGCTTTGCTCTCGTTTCGGCCGGAGGTTCCACTGTATTATTGCATGCATAACGCTTGCTTACATATTTTGCAAGGGAGCTTATTCATGTGCTCCGTGCACGTGCTCTGTACTATCTAGCCCTGCCTGCAGACAAAGAAGGCGCCAATGGCATCGCTTCTAACCGGCGTCCTACGCCCACTTGCCCAGGAGAGCCATGATACCAGCGCCAAGTAGAACACAGCAGACCATGAAAGTCAGCCGACGATCGTCGTGCGTACGATCAGGATTGAATAGGAAGTCTCTCGCCAGCAGCTCCACCAGGCCGGTATATAACAAGATTCCAGCCGAGGTCGCGTCCAACACGCCAGAGACGATGTTGGCTGTGAAGCTGCCAGCATTGTACGTTGTACGCACACCCAGAGCCACTGCGATGGCGATAGGTGTAGTCAACCCATAGACGGCACAAAGCCACCATGGCATCCAGCTGAGTCGTCTCGGGAACGGGATGGCTGATAGACGAGCGCCGATACCAAGGCCTTCGAAAGACTGGTGGAAGACGATGACCTAGAATTACAGCATTAGCATACCGCGCCGAGCCGATTTTGCTACGAGGCACACTTACAGGGTACAGGACGGAGAACTCTGCTCCAGCAGTGCCAAGCGTCAAGCCAATGATCACGCTGTGAAAGATCACGCCAAACTCCAGGATCAAGAATGCCGCAATTTGTTGTTGAAAAGCCGTAGTGACCGCCCTTTCTTTCTCGCTGTCAATACTTCCCACCTCGGTGCTCCCATTACCCATCTCAAGCTCCTTTGATTCCGTGGACTGGGCATTCGCTGGCGAGAGCGCAGGGTAGTCCTGCTCGCCGGAGTGAAGATGCTGATGGCTGTGATGTGGCGCTGCAGCCAGATGTGACGGCCTATGAGACATCGAGTATCGTAGTGCGGCGGCGTCGATGGAGCCATGGCGCTGCATGCCAGCAGCAGCATCTGTCTGTTCCGCCGAGAGACCGTGCGCAAGTCCGTACTTTTCCTCCACATACCGTTCGGCGGCGAAATCCATGAGGAAGACGACCATGCAGGATGTCAAGGCGATTGCAGGAGGCCACGAGTACTCTGCCCAGCCACCAGTCATGCCTACGCAGGTATTTGGCCCTATCTCGGCGTATGCTGGGTCGAGGAGACTGTAAGTCATTAGCGCTGGCTCGCACCATGGCGATGGTCTCGAACGACTTACTGTATGAATGCAGTCGCCACGATGACACCTGCGCCGAAGTATCGAGCGAACAGATAGATGTATAGTGGAATCCGAACTTTCTTTATCCTCGTCGCCATCACCGGGAAGAAGCTGTGGACGGCATGCGGTCAGCATACCAAATTGACTATGTCTACGATGAGGCATGCGGTGCCGTGGTACGTTCGAATGCTTACTGCGGGTGGTATTAGTATGAAAAGCTCGAATGCATTTCTTGACAGCTTTCGCTTACCGTGACTGCTGACGATACCGCAAGGATGACGAAAAGCGCAGATACCCGTGCTCCCAGTTGGCCACTGTACTCGTTTTGGGAGGCCTCAAGGTAACAAACGACTGCAGCAGGATTCGCTGTACTGAGATCGGCGTTCAGAGGGTTGAAAGCACTAGCATCTTGCCCTGCGCTTGTGCTCGAAGCCATCTTGAAACGATTGCGGTCACAAGATGCGAATATCACTCTGTGGAACAGAGTGCCAGAGTTTCGGTCACGAAAGCGTGCTACCAACGTGAGTGTAACGTGTGCAGGAAAGGCTTGATCATCGTGGCGTGAAAGTTTCGTATTCGTAGTCTTGACCATCAAGGTCACCACCAAAGTACCATCAAGGTGATGGCGCATGCAGTTTGGAAAAGTCAATTCCGAAGTCATGATAGACAGCTTTTCCCTGATGAGTGTGCTGGCTGCATTTGTGCCGTTGCGTGTGCACCTTGCTGAAGGCGCGGCCTGGATGGTAGTACGTTCTTGCTTTCTATGACGGTCTATATACTGCCCATATGACCACATGCCAGCGCCGCGCTAAAAGTTAAGATATCCCATCCCCATGGCCCAATAGAGTGACAATCACCGCCATCGCTCTTTACTTGATCGAGCCGTAGTCAAGACCAGAACCCAAGGTATTGCGCCTAATACCAGCCCAATGAAAGCCAGAACACTGCTCGCCCAACCCATAGCCAAATGCTCGTACAGCGGTCGAGCAAACATGACAAAGGCGAAGCTCAGCAGGTACCTCAATATCATGCTGGCCGCTATTGCACTTTCACCATCCGTATTCCCATATGTCTCCTTCAGATACAAGTTGGAGGACACGAAGATCATGAGTGTTGAAAGGGCGACACCTGCCATGCCAATGCATGGTACTATGCAGTGTAGGTGAGACTTCATGCTCCAGCCAAACAAGAACAAGGAAGCACTCTGAAGTACTGTAGCTGGAAGTGCTGGCCAAAGCCTCCATGAAGCTGGCGCGAGCGGCACTTTGAGGGATGCTACCGCATCCCGCGGTATTGACTGTGAGGTCAGAGGCTCGTCCAGCGCAGCGGCGGCAGCAGCATGGTGCAAGCTTCTTGAACTCTCCAATGCCATCTGATATGATCTGCCCAGAGCGTCTTGTGAGGTCGTCATGTCTGGCATGGCATCGACAAGGGCTTTCGCGAGCTTCACCCTATCAAAGCGCAGCTCGTAGCTCTCCAGTGCAGCGCACAGGTCGGTGAAAGCCAGGTTCTTGCAAAGCAAAAGCATTATCCGTTCGGGAAGGATGTGCTTCGTGTAATTGTCTGGCACGCTGTTGAGGTACTGAGAAGCTGCGATGGCGAGGCACGTGTTCTTCTCCATGTCCATTGCCAGCGACAATTGTGATCTGCTTGATGCATCCATGTCGGACCGGATTACATGAACATTACCCATGAACCTCGGAGAGAATGAACCGGCTGGCGAGCTGGGCTCTGACCATTTGGGCATCGCAGGTACTTGTGGCTGCGGCCGAGAGAAGTTGCTGGTGCCGCTCTTTCTGGTCTTGGTGCTCGTAATAGTAGCATGGCTGGCTCTCTGAGTTCTGCGACGCAACTTTTCGGCTTCCGCTGCCCTCTGAGCTTGCCACGTCTCTGCTCGTGGATTGTACGCCAGGGCGTTGCATAACAGCAAAGCTCCAGCTCCGATGATCAAGCCCGAGATCATGCTCACGAAGACTAAACCTTGTGATCCGAGATTGAGGGCGTATACTGCTGAGAAGTCTCTGGGCCATGCAATAAAGCTCGCGTAGATAACGGCCAATCCGTAAGACGAGGACAAGCTCACGAAAAGCGCTTTGGGTCTCGTCACGAGCATCTTGATAGGGCCGATGAGCGCGGTGTACAACGGTCTGTTCCTGACACCATGTCTCCTCAGCCGGATGATTGCCTTTGAAGTCTCCGCGGTGAATATGATCGGTAATACGCATGCTGCCAGAGCACACACAGCAACAAACTGAGTCCATCTGAAATGGCCGTAGCTCGTCACATAACCACTGACCACTGCACCCACCACGGCGCCCAGTAACGGCATCAGGTCCACGAGTAGAGCCGCTAGGAACCTACTCTCTGTCCGCCACAAGTCAATCACAGTGGCAGAGCTCTGGTTTAGGGCTGCTCCACCGCACAACCCAGACAACAAGTGGCATACTGTAATTCCAGGTAGATTTCTGCCGAAGCCGGACCCGACGGCCAGAGCGGCACAGAAAAGAACGCCAGCTAGATATGTCATTTTGCGTCCTGCAAGCGTAGCAAGAGCGCCTCCCAGCAAAGGTCCAGATGCCATGCCAAGCAAAAAGAGTGATAGTGGCAATGTCGAGATGACTTGCGAGCCATGGTATTTGGATTGCAAAGCCTCTAAAGACAAGGCTGCAGTCGAAGATGCGAAAGCGACCGCAAAGGCGACGCCTGCTGCCACTGAAGCCTGATACCACTTCCTCCTCTTCCGCCAATTTCTAGGATTGCACGAATCACGCTCCCAGCGCGGCGCTCCATCTCTGTCATGGCCTGACTTTTTCAGCTGCACTCGACTGTTTCGTACGTCTATTGTCGAGGTGACTGAGATCTGCGAGACAGGTCGAATGTTCCGCTCTATTTGCCGGTTTTGTGTTGGCAGGGGGTCCGTGTTGTTGCCGCACGCGATCAGCTCTGTGTAAGATTGTCGCATCAATGACCGACGCCGCCATGCTTCTTGATCGTGCTCGGCTGGAATTGGAGGTACTGGCGGCGTCAATGGGTCTTTCTCGATGTCTCGTGCCATTTATGTGACTGGTCCTTCGTCCGTCCGATGTTCGAGCTGCAAATACAAGACCAACCAGGACGTGGGGTCGTCTGGTTTGCACCTCCCTCAAAGCTGTGGACTCTGACCAGGGGTAGCATCTGCTGGAGGTCGGAGGTGCTGGTGCATGCTGACAGTAAGAAGGATGAAAGATAAAGATTCACGCAGCAGACAGTACGAGACCAGTCTCACACACACACATCAGCAGGCACAACGCCAGTGACTGAGCAATAATCAACTTCGGCATCGCCAAAGCTGAACCATGTCCTGGTAGATCCGAAGCCTTTGGGCAGACTGACTTTGCTAGACGAACGCCTGGGTTCCGGGATGGAAGAAGGATGCTGCCAGCTTTACCACATCCAAGCAAACGGGCGCATGCTACGAGAGCAGATGGGGGCTGTTTCTTGGTGGAGGATCGACACTGACGGGCCCGAGAGCCTGGAGTTCACACCCGACTTGCGCAGGGACGCCTAGGCTGCCATGCGCACCAATGGTACAAAGACTTGTCAGCCATATTTGCAGAAACGGGTTCGTGTAGAAGTCTAAAGTTCAGCTTAGCAAAGCTATTTTGGTGCAGGAGAGGTGAAGTCAAATGACTAGCGCCATGCTCGGAGATTTCGGCATGCCGGCCGGAATTCTGCAACATCTTGATGCGAAATGGTACCAACGTTTCCAAAGCCACGGCTTCCCAGACCTACGTAATGAGCTGAGGCTGGATGTAGATGCTTGTGAACGAGGCGTTTTCGGTCAAGTTATCATAATGTGGGATGCATCCCGGCTTGCTTTGACGAGATCGTCCCCCCCAATGACCAAGTAGCGACCAAAGCGATTTATATGTACAGCCAGCAGTATACACCTCCCCTCGGCTTTCGAGACTGTGTCTCTATAGCTCACTCGCATTAACTGCCTGCACAATCATACCACTGGCGGCGCCACCGCCGTTGCAAATGGCTGCACAGCCATATTCGCCCGGCTTCAGCTGATGTAAAAGTGTGACCAAGATCCGCGAGCCTGAGCTTCCAAGAGCATGACCAAGTGCGATTGCACCGCCACGAGGATTCACGTTATCGACACCGAGACCGAGTATCTAGACGGGAACGTTAGCAACTGGCCTCGACACATGTTGTCAGCAATCCAGCGCCACCGACCTTTGCATTTGCTTTGATCACCGCGGCAAAAGCTTCATTGAATTCCCAGATCTTAATATCTTCCTTCTTCAATCCAGCCTTCTCTAGCACGATCGGGACAACTTTCGCCGGCGCAACAGGAAAGTCGATGGGATCTAACGCCGCATCTGCGTATGCCACAATCTTCGCGAGTATCCTTTTGCCTTGACCATATTTCTTAACTGTTTCCAGGTCTGCGAGAACAAGCGCAGAGGCACCGTCGTTGAACGACGAGCTGTTGGCTGCTGTGACTGTACCACTGCCGGACCGGTCAAAGGCTGGCTTCAAGGTCGGTACTTTGTCGAGCTTCAGCTTATTGTATTGCTCGTCTTCCTCGATGACAGTCTCGCCCTTCTTACTCTTGACCGTGACTGGAACCACCTCGTCCTTGAAAAGACCTTGCTTCCACGCTTCTTGTGCCCGCTTATAACTGAGAATGGCGAACTCGTCTTGCTCTTCACGACTTATGTTGTGGTCCTTTGCCGTCTTCTCGGCACAATTACCCATGTGAACATTGTTATACACATCCCACAACCCATCCTTGATCAACCCATCGTCAACCTTCATGTCGCCAAATGGCGCTTGCTGTGATGCTCGGGCAAGATAGTATGGCACTCTCGTCATGTTTTCCATGCCACCAGCTATCACTGCACTCTCATGACCAAGCTCTATCTGCTGTGCGGCGATTGCTACACTCTTCAAACCGCTGGCACAGACCTTGTTGATCGTGGTCGCTTCTACACTCGAGCTCAGTCCGGCGAATATGGCCGCCTGTCTTGCGGGTGCTTGACCAACAGCTGCTTGCATGACATTGCCCATATACACACTGGTGATCTGCTCTTTCGGAACCCCAGACCGGACTATCGCTTCCTTGATAGCTGTCGCGCCCAGCTGCGTAGCCGGAACAGTGGTAAACGAGCCATTGAACGCAGCCACAGGTGTACGGACAGCAGAGACGATGTATGCAGACGCGATCTCTTTCCGTCGCCGAGGCGTGGTCGCGAAGTGCCGTTGAATATTGGCTAGTCGTTTTTGTGGTTGCGAGGACATCGTCGACCGACAAGCGAGGCAGACAGGACGAAAAGCTGGAAGAGACATGGCAGGAACGGAAGAATGACCGCAGGTAACGATCTACAACGAGGTGGTGTCAAGGTCACATTGAAAGTGCCTATAGCTTCTGACTTTCTGGTGTCGTCCTGTTTGGAGTGCCGGAGAGTGTGGAGGAGCAGCCGATTTCAGCCGAGGCCGAGGCATGCACATGAAAGTAACCCGCGCCTTTCCGAGCATTCACTTACAAAGCATCACAATCGCTATGTTGGCTCGTGATCAGACGTGACTACATGACGATCAAGTCATACAGGACTGACAGCTAGATCGGAGTACGTCTGTCCATGTTGGTTGTAAAGACGAGCATAAATATCTGTATACTTCGTACACATTTCAGTTCCACCAGAAGCTCACAGAAAAGCTCGTGGTCAAGCTTTCCACATAGTGCCACCAGCCCAAAGGTACGTACAGACTGTCTCCAGGACCCAACACGCCCTCAAAATAGTCGGCGTCTGCGAACAACGGAAACGTCTCTCTGAACAGCTTGAGCTTGCTAGCATCAGTTTCTGGCTTTCTTCGACTAAGAAAGTTAACATCAATGCTGGATGTGTTCTCCATACTGATGCCTGACTCGTCCACGCTCCTGGGATATAGACGCCTGGTCTCACTAGGTGAGTAGAGACGCACATACTTGTAGCCGACGACCTGACAGAATATGTTGTGATATGGGTCTGTGTGCAGAGGAGTCTTTGTGCCTTTGGGCCCCAACCAAGCATGCATTAACGGCTCGTCGACCAGCGCGATAGTCGAGAGTCCGGTCGTCTTGAGAGCATCACAATCGGCTTTCGGTGGATCAGTATAGCAATAATCCGGCACCGAAACGTCTGCCCTTAGCGTGGGTATCTGCTGAAAGAGGTCGTATTGTGCCAGATAGCCAATCGCTTCAGGGCGCTCAGGAAGTAGGTGCTGGAGCACGAAGTCTTTCATTGTCATAGTCCGCTGAGTCCAGCCTTCAGACGTATAGCTCTCACCAATCTCGACTGGCACGATTCTGCGTCCATCTAAGGTATTAGAAAGTAGATAGTTAGGGTCTTGCCATCTGTGACAGGCGGGCCAGTGATCAAAGGCATCTGCGATGATCAAAGGTGTGCGCTCCTTCTGCATCCAGGATTCGAACGACCCCAGAGATAGAGCTTTGCCGGCGAGCGAGATGGGCTTTTTGAGAGCAAGCTGATGTGGTAAGCGCACATCAAATTGCTTTGGCATGTCGTTCTTGCCAGGATCATCACAGATTGAATCAAGACACTGGAAAATGGCATCGAAGGTAGTTTTGCGGCGGGGAGCTCCAGTCAACATAATTGCTTGATCAAGCACCGCAACCAGAGCTTGCAACCAATCATCTTGACCAACGTTGCGAAAGGCAAGGCTTGAGACTCTGCATGCTTGACGCTTCCCTTCTCCTGTGGCGGAGAGCCCGTCAGCTCGACGACGAAGAAGAGCAGCAGCTTTCTGCAAGCTCGCGTCTTCGTACAGTCTGCGCCAGTGCGAAGGTACATCCCGGAAGTGGAAGGACTCTATGGCTTGTCGTGACACTGTAAGCACGTGGTCTGGGTCTTTCGACACCTGCTGCAGCAGATATAGACCGCAGATCAGGATTGTATCGTCCGAGACCGAAGCATTGAGATCGTCCTCGATTCGACCTAACTAGTCTTGCTGTCAGCCTTGGGCCTTTTTCATCGCTCAGTGACGAGATTAGATAGTGCTCACAATCCTCCCTATTCTGTCGGTTAGATCCTCTCCATTGCTCAAGCTAGAGCCCCAATTTGTGATGGCTGGTGGCGTTGTGCTTGCAGCACGTTTTCTGCTCGCCGCTGTCATGTCACTTCCATCGGGCATAATCTGTGTAGAAGGGCAATGCACTGCTGTAAGACTGAATTATGTTGCGGCATACTGTGGTAGAAGAGTGGTAGTCCAGAAAAGAGATCAAACTTGTTCGATCCAAGCAGCAGAGCCTGGTCAGGAAATTGCAGAATATTCCTACAGTCATGAGCAGCTAGCGATGTCAAGCTTTTCCTTAATACGACCTATCCTTTGCCTGGCCATCATTGTCCTGTTTCCTTGGAGGGTTTGAGGTTCGATGAACTGGCAAGCAATCCGCCCGACTGCATCCCATGCCGTCGTCATACTCGCTCGCAGTGGCGGGCCGCAAGGCTGCAATGCCGCCGAGGCACCCACAAACAATGAGCTGAGCTGATATGCACCTCTGACCACTCCATACCGCATGATATAACAGACCACGAACTTCATCGTCCTCCACTCCGCTCGATCATGACATTGCGATAACCAATCTACCAGAACCCATCATCTCACGGCAACAGAGCTAATCCCAAGAACCACCATGCGCGATCCATTCCCCATCCCACCACCAGAACTGCTGGTCCGCGTTGTCAAGCCTTTCGCAGACGCGCTATCTCTCTCAACCCTACCACTACACGCTCACGAAGTTCTCTTCGCTCTAGGCTTGTACACCTTCACGTGTACGGTGGTCTCACCCTGGCTCTCGAACAGCTTTTACCCGCAGCGATACAAGGCTCTTGACCGCCGAACTAAAGTCAGCTGGGATGTCCATGTCGTCTCGTTCGTACAGTCCTGCATCATCTGCAGTCTATCACTGTACATCATCCTATTCGACGAGGACAGGCACACGTGGAGAGGTGCTAATGCCTGGGAAAAGCGGGTATGGGGATACAGTGGTGCGACTGGGCTGTGCCAGAGCTTCGCGCTTGGGTATTTCTTGTGGGATCTTACTATCTGTGCTTGGAGAGTGGACATCTTTGGTTGGGGAATGCTCGCGCATGCTATAAGTGCTGTATCAGTGTTTGCGCTCGGCTACGTATGTCTTGGCATGCTCACTCGTAGTATTCAAGCTAACCTCTTGCCTAGCGACCCTTCTGCTACTTCTGGGCTCCGGTATTCTTGCTCTACGAGTTGAGCTCGCCCTTCCTGAACATCCACTGGTTTTGCGACAAAGTCGGCCTCACAGGATCAACCATTCAAGCAGTGAATGGCGCCGTGTTGACATTTTCCTTCTTTGGCTGTCGCATCGTCTGGGGCATATACAACTCATTCAACACCTTCCATGATATCTACAGCGCCTACACAGCCGGCCACGCGAATGCGCCACTGCTCACAAGCGACTCAAACATGCGGACCAGTGTAAGTGGAGATATGGGTATCTACTATGACAATGGCAGGCAGGAGAGGGCTTTCATGGGAGAGCAATACTTGCCACTTTGGCTGCCTGCTATCTACCTGGCTTCGAATCTTGTCCTCAATGCCCTAAACATCTGGTGGTTCTACAAGATGGTCGCGACTATCCGGAAGCGCTTCGATCCGCCTTTCGGCACCAAAGGCGTGGGACCTGATATTCTTTACTATGAGCCTGGGTCTAGAGTAAGGACCATGACCGATAGCGTGAAGGATACTGTACAGGCTGCGAAGGAGAAGGTGGGACTGTCCGTAGGTGCTGCGGCTGCTGATCCGGATGAGATTGACGTTCAGCGTGGCGTGTACGCGGACGGAACAAGGAGTGTAGAGGTCACTGGAACCACAACGAGAGGAAGTGTGAGAAGTCGAAGGAAAGCTTGATGGCATGATGACCGGCATCGTAGAGCATGACTAGATTGCGGAAACGTCCTGGGGTGAGGATGGTATCGACAGCAGAGTCCTGTTTTTGGCTTGGCTTCTGACTGCTTGCACTTAGCGATGCGCTCGATGATACACATGGCGATCTTTGCGACGAGGTATGTGATGTAGGGTTTGCGATACATGGACTAATGCAATGTGGAATGAACTTCGTATGCCACAAGTGCGTTTCTTGTCCGAAGCAGCTTATTGCACCTGGCAGTCTCGGACTCGTCGAGGCCGCCAGCTCTCACCGAATCTACTTCAACATGATTGGACCCCCATAACAACCAACCACCACTCCGCAGCACTGTATCACGACTAGCTGCCGCATAGAACCATCGGGCAGCTCTTCAGCCATCCAGGCCCAACGCCTGCCTTCGGCTTGGCGCGCTTGCGTCAAAATAAGGCTCTTCGGCTAGCGATGTCACCCTCGTACCATGTCGTGGCTCGCGACCTTCGTAGTCCCAGCTACTGTATGATGCGAAAGGCATGGTCAGTGATGCGATCTTACGACTCCCAAGCGCGCACTGCAAACAACTTACGCATTATGGATCGTGATTCTATTGTCCCACCTGAAGAAGTTTCTCGTCAGCTTTGGGACATTTTGAGGGAACCATCCAACTTACAGGGCAGAGGTCCGTGGGGTCCACTTGAATCGGACCTGGATGTCGATATTGCCTTCATGTACGGAGAAAAGGTAATTCAAGATCACGTCACTTCCTGCCTGGTCGAGACCGACAATGCGCTTGGTGAAGCTTCGGTTTACCCACAAGGCTTTCCACCCTGTGGCTGGGTGAATTCGTACCAAGCTGTGCTCTCGCTCAATATGCTTCGGCCCAGCCTCGGGATCGTTTCTGTCGAGGTATAGCCTGTTCGAATTCCAAGCTATGACCGTGTCTCGTGTATTTGCTGGCGAAGTGGTCTTACCATCTCGAGAAGCCATGCGTACGGAGTACAAGGAACGCATATCTCGCAAAGCTGCGGCACGAACCCTGCACTCTCTCAAAGGCTATGGCGAGGAGCTTGCGTATGTCAGGGAGCTCATGGCTATGGTCAACACACCAGCTCTTTCACCAGCCAGGCATATGACCAGTCACAGCGTCAAGCTCCTTGAGTCGTACGAGCGGCGACGAGCTTATATGCAGACCTTGTTGGGAAGAAATGATCAGAGGCTGCTTGAGTAGTATATAGAGTGTAGATAGCTAGATATTCACTGTACGTCTCAGGTTGAATAAATGGCTACTTTTGCGCGGCCATAGTAAGGTCCAGATATGTTCGCCTGTCGTGACATGACCCGCGTGCGCGGAAATGCTTTCACAACGATTCTACGCTGGCGTTCCCATAACGGCGGCCCGCGCCTTAGCATAAACAGGTACGATACCCGTCCACAACCTGAACTGATGCACTCCCTGACCCACCAGCGCCTCAAGACCAGGCACAGTGACCCAACCGCTCTGCTCTGCGAGGCTCATCAGAGCAGTAACAGACGGCTTATAAGCCATCTCGACCAGAACTTTGGACGTCGATTTCGCCGCCCCGTTTGTCGCATCAGCAGAAGACGCCGACCTCGCAAAGATAGCGTCAAGAATGTCTTTCATGCCAGGATCGACTGGCGAGTCACCCGGAATTGTCCCAACACCCACAACAGGCACGCTTCCCAGTTGTTTGACCTCCTCCACCTGGCTCACGATCTTGATCCGGTATACCTCGGAAAAACTGGCGGTCATGTCTTCCAACTTTCCCTTGTTCCTGCCTACGACATAAATCGGCGCATATCCCATTTCTTTCAACGCATAGATAGCCGCTCGTGCCGTACCACCTCCTCCGACCACCATGGCGGCTTGTTGTAATCTTGGCCCTACGCCGGACCCAGCGCCAGCGTTGCGGAGGGAGAGCACAATACCTTGCCAATCTGTGTTGTGACCGATGAGGCGTACGTTCTCGCCCTCACCCTGATGTGGGACAATGGTATTTACCGCACCAATGACCTCAGCTGCATCATCGATCTGGTCGAGAAGGGGCATCACATCCCTCTTCAAAGGGATCGTCACACTCCCACCACCAAACTCCTTGTTTCGTATCAGCTTCTTCAGATCCTTCGCCTCATTCGTCTCGCAAAGCCCGTACTCATGCGGCAGGCCCGTCGCTTCGAAGAGATCATTATGCAAAGCTGGACTTCTCGATTGTTTGATAGGCGTCCCGAACAACCAGAACTTCTTTGCAGGAATGTCGCCGACTATACTAAGCACTTTCCTGATCTCGGCTGCCGAGACTTGTCCTGGCGCTGCTTTCGATGGAAGAGCAGGGTGTGAAACGGGCGTCATGAAGCTGTTCTCTACACGAGACATCTTACCTTTGTCACCCATGTTGATTGCGATGAACGGAAGTCGATGGCACTTAGTCGCGACCTGCCGACGGAAGGTCTTGAGGTCGTCATTATCTTGGCTTGATCTTGCAATGCCGACGAGCTTGACTATATCACCATAGCTTCTCGCCTGCTCGAACAGCTGCATCCAATCTTGGCCAGCATTGCTCCAGGACATCTGACTCTTCGGGTCGTGGTGGGAGGCGATAATATTACACATCTTCCGATGCTTGAACACGAAATCCTTCACCTCCTGCGGCGCAGTAAGCTCCAGATCCACGAAATCGAACCCCATCCTCAACCCCACACGATACAGACTCAAGGCCTGCTCGATCTTGGCTTCTGGCCATCGTCCACCTTGGCTCGCAGATCGCAGGGTGAAGATGAGTGGTAAAGTCGTGTTGGCTCTCAACAGCGCAATCTGGTCGACCAGAAACTCGTCCGTTGGCAACCCATCTTCCGCCTTAGGATCAACGAGGAGATCTACGCGAAGCTCAACCGCATTAACGCCGACCGTGACTTCCTCAAGCAGCGGTACCAACTCCCGAACATTCGGACTCGTGAGTGCGACAAAAAAGCTCTGCGTCTTCGCCTTTATCTCTTCAAGCGCACCACTTCGACCAGTCATCGTCTTCAGAAACCTTCCAAAATCATCCAATGGGCTCCTCCACCCAACAACCGCACTCCTCTCGTCCACGACCTGACTATGATAATGCAGATTACTACACTCTTCGAACCATGGCTTCCGCCTCAGATACACCCCCATCATGTCTTCCACATAAGCCGGCCTCGTCTTATCAATCTGCAAGAACCCCATCACGGCCTCGATATCTCTCGTCACTAACAGTACCATTCCTTCCTTCTGCCACTCCACCAACAGCTGCCGCGCCTCGGGTGTCTCAACGACCCCGCCACCAGTGGCGAAGACATGGCCTTCGGGTCTCTCTCGCATGACTGTTCGTAGGAGGTCTACCTCCTTTTGTCTGAAGCCGGCCCAGTCATTGTTTTTGAGGAGTTGAGGGATGGTGGTGTTGTATGTACGTTCAAGTTCAGTGTCCAGATCGATGAGAGGCCAGCCAAGGATTCGAGAAGCCCAGCCGCCTGTTGTTGTTTTGCCTGCACCGCGCATGCCTATGATGAAGATGGATTTCTTCACCTCCTTAGCCATAGTAGATGCGTTAAAGCCATTTGTCTTATTGTGACCGTTGGTAAGTGCTTTGAAACCAGAAGCGTGGGTATTCGGTGGGTCCAATCCCTCCATGTCCACTCCAAAGACACCACTCAACTGGTCCCACCATCCCGGCCACGTCTTCCCCACACACTCCCTCTCACCCAAGGCCGTCCCGATCGGCGCCACCAGCCCGAGAACAGAGAAGGACATAGCAACGCGATGGTCGTCATGACAGTGCACCTCCTCTCCAGCCGCCAAAGCCTTCAGCCCGCGCATACCCACCCCATCGATCTCGATCCCGTCTTCGAGTTCGCGACACACGACCCCAAACTTCGCAAGCTCAACACGCATAGCCTGTATCCGATTGCATTCCTTCTGCCTCTGATTCGCAATGCCCGTGATTCTCGTTGTACTGCCCGACTGCGCCACAGCGGCAAGCACACTAGCAGTCAGAAAAGCGTCAGTCATAGTCTCCATGTCCACTTCTGGTAGAGCCTTGAGGATGCCACTTTCTGGTCCGGAGACAGTCGTGCTGGATTCTGTTTGTTGGACCCGGCATCCCATAAGCCGGAGAACCTTCGTCGCAAAATCCGCATCGCCCTGCAGACTTCCAGAACCAATGTTAGGCACCGTGACCCTTGTTCCCGTCATCGCAGCAACAGCAAGCGGATAGGTAGCAGAACTCGCGTCGCTCTCGACCTCATAATTTCCAGGATTCGAGTACCGTCCTTTGGGGACATGATACACATCCTCCAGATCGCCACTCGCAGTCTTCCCCCTTCGCACTGTGATCCCGAAAGCAGCCATCATTGATAAAGTCATATCAATATACGGCTGACTAATAACCTTCCCACCCACCAACTTCAATGTGACCGGCTTCTTGGCGTAAGGAGCACACATGAGTATGGAACTTACGTACTGCGAACTCACTTTCGCCTCCAACTCGATCTCGCCTCCTTCTAACCCTCCAGCAGCTCGAATGCGGAGGGGGAGGGATTGCGAGGGAGGAGGATTGAGGTACTCCATATCCATGCCATTATTTCTCAGAGCCGTGACGAGAGGACCCTGAGGTCGCTCTTGCATACGTTTGTTACCCATCAAGACCGTGCTTGTTACGCTGCCCGCGGGTCGAGCGAGCGTAACGGCTGTGGTGAGAAAGCGGGAGGCGGTGCCCGCATTACCAATATATATCTCCTCCTTGCACGCCGTAAGTGCTCCACCATTGCCTTTCACCGCGAGCGTTCTGCCAGCATCTTCCCATGTGTAAGTCGCACCTCCCAGCTTTGCAATGGCTGTGAGCATGAATTGTGTATCATCGCTGTGAAGGAGGTTCGTTATTCTACACTCACCTTCTCCCAGCGCTGCAAGGAGCAGAACTCGGTTGGAGATGCTTTTGCTGCCTGGGGGTTTACACACGATCTCTTGTGGTAGCTTCCGCACTTTACCCACGCCCGGGCGCACTCGAATGGCAGGGCAAAGAACAATGTTGATATCTTTATCTGCAACTTTTGTGGCGCTGGGCTCGTGGCAAGCGCCAATCGAAGATAGCAAAACCACTTTCTTGGCACTTCCAGCATTCTTCTTGTCGACAGCCATTCGACGCAGCAGCTCGTCCGCAGGGCACTGTTTCGAAGTATGGTTTGTGATAAGTCTATCCTGTATCGATATCGGAAGGCCATAGGACGCAATGACTTTCGTCAATCGCGCCACAGCGCCGGAATCCAAGATGCCAAGATACCTCGCAAGCTCCGCCTCTTTCACCATCCCCACCGCTACAGCCTCACCGTGTAAGATCTCCGGGGTGAGGAGAGCTTCGTAAGCATGTCCAATGCTATGTCCGAAGTTGAGCAGATTTCTCAAACCACCTTCGCGCTCATCCGCACTGACTACCTCAGCCTTCACGCGAGCAGAACCAAGCACGATCCTCTTGAACACCTCCTCTACCCCCTCGAACCTGCCCTTGCCCACAGGCTTATCCAACGCAGTCATGATAGCAGCTGCACCGTCTTCGAGTCGTTCAAACTCCTCAGCATCCCATATCGCGGCCGTCTTGACCACCTCAGCCATTCCGTTGCATACTTGTCTCTTGTCCAACGTCTCGAGAAATTGAAGATCGATATACACCCTCTCCGGCTGCCAGAAGGAGCCAATCAAGTTCTTCCCAAGAGGCGTATCGATTGCCGTCTTACCACCAATAGACGAGTCGACCATTGCCAGTAAAGATGTAGGAATCTGACAGAAGCGTACACCACGCATGTACGTCGCTGCCACAAACCCGACCATATCACCAATCACCCCTCCACCTAATGCTAGAATGACGGTGTCACGTGTACATCCTTGCTTTAACAACCAATCCTCGACTTTACCTTTCGTCTGTCGACTCTTGCTCGTCTCATCTGGCCGTATTTGGTCGTAGATCAGCAAGCGTGCCTCCTCTGGTCTCTTGCCCAGACTCTCACGTGTACTCTCGAAGCGAGTCCTGAAGGCGGAGATGTAAGGTAAGGCGGCAAGGTTAGTGTCGCATATGAGGACGTAGGTGGTCGAGAGGATGTTGGTGAGGAGGTCGGTGGCTATGTAGTTGTTCCAGAGGCCGTAGTCAACCACTATCGCATCTTTGCCAAGGATTGATATCACTGTCGCCGAGGACGTTTGGGTGGTTTCTGCCATGGTTGTGTATTGTACGTGTAGTGAGTATATTGCGGTTTAGCTGATCACTTGCTCGCTGACCAGCAAGCTCGCAGACCTCGATGCCAGGACAAGGTCGCAGGAATGTAGACCGATGATATCCCCCAGGCGCAACTGGCTGATACAAGCTCTCTTGGGTCGTGGTATATACAATGGCTCATGCTCGTACGAGTCATACCATTGACTCGAAGCTCTGGAACTTTTTGGATAATGCAGACCAGCATAAATACTTTCGTAAGCGTGCATAAACTTGCTCAAACGTTTAACGACCTCTTTCTCATCCTCTTCGTCCTCTTCATCCTCTTCGCCAACACTGCGGCACCTGTAGACGTATGGACCATGGCGGAGGTAACTCGACTACACGATCACGTCTATCCACTGCCACATGCGGCATTTTGCTGGAGTCCAGGGACCTCATGCACTATCCAGATTACGCCCATTGCCAAAGACGAATTACAGCATCGACTATATCTCCATGCTAACCAGGTAGCTTTCATGTACGAACATCATACAGCCGAGTTCGAAGTATAAACCGAATGGGTGAGACAGTTTGGTATGAAGCTTAGCGAGATATTCCTTTCTTTATTGTCTTCTTTGTCCGCCACCAGAAGCGGAAGTATGGAGGGAACCAACCCATATACCCTACTACATGCCCCCCATCATCCTAGCTTTCAATCTCTCAGCATCTCGGCCATAGCATTGGACTAAGAAAAGTGCCAAGATGCATACCATTACCCTTCTGCCCTTCGCCCTCGCCGCCTTCGTCGCAGCTAAACAGCACCACACATCATCCTCATCTCATAGGTCTTTGGGAGGGACTCATCCGTCTTCGCATGTTACGGCGGTAAAGCCAACTCTGAAGCCGACTTCGATCCAGTATGACCCCCTGACGGCTCACGCGTTAGGTGGCGAAGGTCTCCTCGAGCGAGACGGCCTTGATAGCGAGGACAAACGATCGGCCTCCTCTGACGCCATTCGGGCGTGGGAGAAGGCTCATGGCGGACAGCCCGTAAACTATCAGGCCATCCCTAGTGCTGGAACACCAGATGTACAAGGACATTACTTCGAGCCTAGAGCGGCAGATAACGAGGGCCATATCGCTGACAAGTCCCGCGAGGAGCTTGACAAGTACTATGCCAACCTCGCCGCACGCTGGGCTTCAAGTCCTCCCACTCCTTCTGCCGTCTCGCCAACGACTACTGCTAGTCGCTCCCATACCAGGGCTCACACCCATACTGGCACGCACACCCGCCCATCAACTGGCAGCTGGACTCACAAACCATCCGTTACTCACACCCATAGTCCCATCTCCGGTGATCCATGGCAAGCAGGGCCCCACAACCACGGCCCGCACGAACACCACTCCCGCTCAGCAAAAGAACTCAATGCCGAACTCCTGCACCAAGCAATGCCACACGACCCGCATATCGAGCACCTGCACAAGCGCTCTCTGAACGAATACTACACTTACCTCTCCGCGCGCTCTATTCCAGAGTTCCCAGAGCACGATGAAGTGGACACTTCGCTGGCCGGGTATCCCGTCCCAAACGATAACGCCGATGGTGCGCATGAGCATTACGCTCGTTCAGCACAAGAACTGAACGCCGACCTCCTCAGCCAGTCGATTCCGCCCCACCCTCATCTCGACCACCCGGATAACCCTTCGCTGGAAGAATACTACGCGTACCTGAGCACTCACTCCGTTCCGGACTTTCCAGAACACGACGAGATAGATACTTCATTGGCTGGCTACCACGTCCCATATGACCATGTCATTCCCGTCCCCGCCGCCGCCGCACCAATTATCACACCAGCACCGGTCTTGAAAGTCAGAGGTCTCAAATCGTATTGGGAGACCTTGAAGAGTGAGTATGCCAGTCTTGGCGCCTCGATTAGGTCGCATTGGCATTAGAGAACGGTGCTTTGGACTTTGGACTAGTGAACAACATGCAGGCTAAAGACAGGGATAGGGCAGGTCTGGGGACGTCCCGTGCCTACAGTGTGTTGAGCGACAGTAATGATTGATATCTCTTGAGAATTTCATGCCCATACACCATTTCCATGCATATCACTACCCTGCGAAGCTCACCTTACTGGAGATAGGCACCCCCCGTCTCCCGATGAATTTGATCAAACATGGGCTTTGCACTAAACCACCCTGCACGATGTGACCCGACGTTGCGGCAAGTATATTCGGCAGTCTCGTCGTCAATGACGATGGGTTTCTCGCCTCGAGAGCCGGCGGCCGCTTCGGCCATGAGTTGGCTGTGGCAGCATTTCTCTAGCGAAACGAACCAGAATACTGCCTAGAAAGAGTTGTTGAAATTAGCATCAGGCCATCGCTTGCAGTGAATTTATGGTATGACGTACCTCTTCGATCGTGTGGCCGACTGTAAGTAAACCGTGACTTTGCAGAAGAGCAGCCTTCTTCTGTCCCAATGCCTCCGCAATCTGTTTGCCCTCGGTCTCGGCCAGCACGACACCGTTGAAGCTATCGTACACAACATGATCATCGTGGAAAGCGCATGCATCCTGGGTCAGAGTATCGATTTTCCGTCCAAGACTGCACCATGTGCGGCCGTAGATGGAATGACTATGCGCCGCGCACATAACATCTGGGCGCGCCTCATGAACAGCATGATGAATCATGTATGCTGCTGTGTTTAGAAGCCTCACCTCGCCACCATCAATCACCTTTCCTTGCGCATTGACTTGGATCAGATCGGATTTGTTTATATGGCTGAACGCCACTCCAAAAGGGTTCACCCAGAATGTATCGGTTTGGACGGGATCGCGGAGAGTGATATGGCCTGCTACTCCCTCGTCGAAGCCGTTCTTGCCGAAGATGCGGAAAGCTGCTGCCAGGCGGCCCTTTAAGTACTCGCGCTCGGCGTATTTGTCGTCAAACTTGGGCGGGCGTGGGAAGTCAAGCATTTTTCCTCGTGCGATGTTCTTCTTGACGCCGGGTTCCAGTGGTGCTTCACCGGCGTTGACAGGCTCGGTGTTGCCATTGCTGTTCAGGCCCTCGGGTGCGTCTTCTGCATGTGGGGCCATGCTTGCTGTTAATCTTTGAGTAGTTCTGTGGTTGCGAAATTCTTTCCAGTCTGTCCTTCTGATGAGAGTAGTGTATCAATGCTTTGGTATGGGATGAAAGCAGTTCAGAGGATTGAAGGAAGTAGAAGTGGCGTTAACGTATAAGAAACCCTACCTGCGTATCTTACCCCACACCTACCTAGGTACTCGGAGGCTATACTCGGGCAATAGTACGTATGCTCGGCATAAAGATTGTCGGATATTAGTACTGTCTCCGATCGAGACGCTGGGTCTCGAGCTGAGATGGTGTTGAGGCTCCATGTGGCTCGGGCTTGCATAGGACCTCCATATAGTCTCGCCGGGACTGATTTTGGCCTTGGAAGGACACCAGTAGTTGGTGTGGCGTGGAGGGGTGGGGTCGGTGGAACTACTCCAGTTTTCCTTGTCCGATATCGCCGTTGTGTTCACGTGAGAATTGTGGTCCATTAGAAAGCGGGTCGTTTCCGCACTTCTCCTTGCTCAGATTAACTACGTATTATTTTACAACGACCTCGAGGCCACTGCTAACGACATCTTCACTGCATAAGACACATGAGGCTGATGTACCTCGAGACCGGCCGGAGATGACGATGCTGCGCTTACACTGCAGCCGGATTTTGCTCCATTGATGATGGCCTTCCTTAGTAATCCACGGAGTTCAGCGGCAAGAAATCCGTGCTGCCAAAAGTAGACACCTCAATTCTAATGGCCATGATACGGGCGATACAGTGGAAGTCGAGAGGCACACTTCGGAGAAACTGACAGACCACCTACTTTCATGGTCTTGCATAGGATGCGAAGTCATCTACACACCTCGAGCACATTTCGCTGCTCAGATCTTTCCCAACTACGACTTCTGACCTTCGCTGTTCGTCTGAACCGCACTTGCATTAGCCTAGCCGGGATCCACCGTTCACACAAGCACTTGCAGTCTTGTAGAGCGCAGGGCGTGCGGCTTGTCCTATCTCGCGTGCCCAGAAGTAACCAGAGATGACTCCGTAGGTCTTTCAGAAGGCTGAACGAAAGGTGACTGCTTTCCTTTGACATTTTCTTGACATAAGTTTCACGCCCTTCGACTACCTGTCTCATCACTGCCATTGGCATACTGGCATCGGTAGGGCGTCGCCGATCATGGGGGACGGCCATGGTTACATTGACCCTGCTGCATTGACGCAGGCTGCTGAGGGTCCGATCTTCTCGTCAAGCTCTCTGGACATTCCTGATGCCTTCACAGTCGATGCGCTGGTACCTGAAGGCAATTGCCCTTCCCATCCTGGAGACTTGTGTCTATGTCACGGCTTCCTTGGTGACTGGGACGTTGCAGCACCATTCCCTACTGTGACGGAGACGCTCACTGCCTCGGGTCTAGACGAGCCCGACTACTCGAAGTTCGAGAATTGGATCCCTCGATTTGTACGACCAGAGAAGCCTTGCGACTACTGCAAGTCCAAACGCCTGGACTGCTATCTGCAACGTGGTCAAGCTAGCTGCACTCCTTGCAAGTCGCTGTTCCGAGAATGCAGTCTTACGAACTCGCAGACGCTGGAGTCCGTAAACTACTTTGACAAGGACAGAGGCACCTTCCTGGACACATTACATGCTGTAGATGAGGATCAATGCTGTCAAGGTGGTCTGACTGGGATCAAGACGCTGAGGTCAAGGGGACACGCTGGAACTGTTACGCCACCGGTATTCGAAGATGATGCGCCAGGGAGCTCGAAGAGAAATGGTGAGCCCTGCCAGAAACTGGTCTCCACATGCATAGGATATCCTCCATGAAACACAATACTGATACAATCATGCAGGAATTCGCTTTCCTCGAAATGCAGTCAAGATATTGCGGGAATGGCTGGACACTCACGTCGACCACCCATACCCCAGCGAAGCAGAAAAGATCGAGCTTGAGCGAAAGACCGAGCTTAAGCCTGCACAAATAGCCAATTGGTTAGCGAACGCACGTAGAAGGCGAAAGGTGAACGATAAGGCTCGGCCTAGGGTAAGTGCTTGTAGACTAGTCGATAAGCACGCCTTAACTCACATCTGCCTGCTAGGTCTGCGCGTCACCCTCTTTACGACCAACTACTCCGGCTCTACCAATACCAGGGGCGACTGAGAAGCCGTGGGAGGAGCTCAATCCTCTACAGAGATGGCAGCACTCTCCACCCGAGAACGAACCAGCTGCTTTCACCGATATTGCGAACGCCGTTGCTAACAGCGACCTACCGGACGACGGATCAACTTCGCCTTCTAGTGCTGGGCGCCCAAAGAAGTCAAGTGCTGGTTCCGGATTCTCCAATTTCCGTGCACCATCTACGACTTCGCTCGACACATCTGGCGCTCAATCGTCTTCAATTTCGCAGTCTAGTGCGGCCTTCTCACAGGGATCTTCGCAGTCTCTGGGCTCATTTGGCTCTTTCAACTCATCATTGGCGGGCAAACGTGATAGACGACGCAGACGCCGACCAACCGCCCTTGCGCAACAGAGGCAGTCGGAAGACAAGAAGCGGATGTTCCAGTGCACATTCTGCACAGACACGTTCAAGTCAAAATACGACTGGACGCGGCATGAGAAGTCCTTGCACTTATCGCTCGAAAAATGGATATGCCATCCGCTTGGTCCAATGTTGGTAGACCCAGTCACAAATGAGAAGAAGTGCGTATACTGCGAGGAACGTGATCCGTCCGGTGAGCATATCGAGGGCCATAACCACCGACAATGCGAAGACAAAGGACTTGATGCACGAACCTTCTACCGGAAAGATCATCTGCGGCAGCACCTACGTCTGATGCATGGATGTGGCATGACAGCTCCAATGGATGTATGGAAGTCCACAGCAGTCAACATCAACAGCCGGTGTGGCTTCTGTGCTCAACGGTTTACTGTCTGGCAAGAGCGTGTAGATCATCTGACTGCCCATTTCAAAGCTGGTGTGCGCATGCGGGAATGGAAAGGCTGTCGAGGACTCGACCCTGCTGTGGCGGCACAAGTCACAAACGCGATGCCGCCATATTTAATTGGCATCGAGGCTGTAAGTCCACAGCCCTTTAGCGCCACGAACAGATCGTCCTGGCACCTTCGCCGTCCTTCTCAAGGTGGACAACAGGTATATGATGCGTACTCCAACGACCCTCTGATGCGACCAGCCGTTGACGAGGCAGACAATAGTTATGCAACAAAAGCTACATGCTGGGAAATCCTTACGGTCAGGCTTGGCAAATATGCCAATGAGATGGCGCAAAAGGGAATAGTCCTGACCGATGAGATGCTACAGCAGCAAGCACGACGCATTTTATATGAGTCTGATGATTCGTGGAACCAGACTGCCGCGGACAATCCTGAGTGGCTGGATCTGTTCAAGAAGGCACATGGACTTGACTTCATTCCCGATGCTGTTGGTGGCCAAGGTCTCGATATACCAGAGGATCTGGAGACTTATGGTGATCTTGGTCTACGGATTCCTTTCGCTGTACAGCTTGCTGCTTACAATTCCAAGCAAGCTGTCGGTCAACCATCGAGCAAATTCGTACCAGAGGCATACCATGAGGCTTTAGCGAACAGGCGAACGCACTTCCGGGATCTGTATGCCCAGCTTTATGAAGCTGCTAAGCTACACGACGAGGACTTTCGATGTGGGCATGAAGAGTGCAAAGATAATGTGGCCGATATCAGCTGGCTAGATGCGAGCGATATTTCTGGGTCGAAGCACAAGCGCTGGTGCAGCCAAGAAGTGCCCTCCGAGCTAGTCAAGCCTTTTGCTGTCTACGGCCGTAGATCACCTGCTTCGACAGCCACGCACTCTGTGCAAAACAGCGTGTCTGTGGGGCGTAGCATGGGCGCGATACCATCACATCTCACCACCGACTGGCTGATCGACAATGCGGAGCAGAGCAGCCGAGTGAAGGGACTTGAGGCTCTAGCACGTATGGAGGTACCTATGGTGGATTGCCCAATCCCGCCGGGCGAACGCATTGGTGGACGTATACCGAGACACAAGATGGAACTCCCTCCGGATCGTGCTCAGAGATTTGCGACTGTCACCGGACCTTGGGAGGATGCTGGTATGATGCCTGACGCTATACCTGGATATATCGCTCCTGGTGCACTGTCGGCTGATTTGTCACTGCCGACGATCGAGCAAACCCGTCAGGTCACGACGGGAGCCGTAATGGAGTTTCTAGGTGGCGGAATGGGAGGTCATCTGTCTTTCAGCACTGACGCGAACACTTCTGCTATACCCCTGATGGCATCTGCTAGTGAACTTGGCCAAATTGACTGGTCGATGCAGGATCTTGATGAGCTGATCGCTGCGACTTCGACGGCTCCGCCTGCTACTTCTACACAGCTCGCTACCGCGTGGCACGGTGGCTCGAGTATATTTGCTGCCCAGTCTCTGGTGCACAGCAACTCGCGATCATCTTTGCCCACGATAATGGCAGAAGAAAGTCTGGGAGCAGATCTAGTAATGGAAGACTTGAATTTTGACGACATGACGTTTGATGCCGCGTATGATCTGCCGCTAGACGACACGTTCCTGCCGCAGATGGAAGGACTATGAAATGCCGAGACAGCTAGATTATAGAGTTGTTTGCTGCTTTAGAATTTGCAAGTCGTTGTTCGGCGACTTGACAGGGAAAACTAGGAAGTAACAGTTTTTTTTGGGAATACAAAAGCAACAAGACTGTCTTTATGTACAAGCACATACATTTCGGCCTCTACAAACCGGCAGTAGAGTGTTTCGCTGTGTTTCCATTCGTTTCGTAATTCATCGGTTTTGCTTCATGATCGACCATTCATTCCAGCTCAAGAAAGCTCCACGATCTTAGCTAGAACTTCGTATCCTGTATTTTGTACCGACATAGACTGTGTTTCAATATCCCCACTGAAGTGCCATCGACGGGGCCACGTATACGTCCCGTCGATACTCTGCTCGCCATCGAGCGTGATTGAGAGATTGTGAAATATCTTCCAGTGATCTCGCAAGGTATCAACCAGGTTGCCAGCGGTGATTCCTAAAGGTGTCGTGTTCTCAATGTGGCTCCGTGGGCAAGTCCCGTTACCTTTCAGCGTGCAAGAGATATTGAGATTGTGGACAGGTGGGTAAGCAATGGACATTCGGCGCCACGATGCTTTCCTCTCGTACGGTGATTTGACAATTTCTGGACCGGCGCTGCTAGATACAAATCCATCGTGGCGTATACCCTCCCCTCCGTCTCGTGTCGAGATCATGCTTTGAATGAGGGGGTGGATGAATAGCTCCTTTTCGTGATCCCAGGCCTCCCACTTCTGGATCATCCATCCGGAATTGGTATACCTGTCAAGCGTAATCGTCCCAGATGGAGCGAGGAAGAGGCTTTGTTGTATCAGTTTGCTCTCGCGTACGACGGCCCTCCATGTGGTATTTACGCGTTGGACGAGTAGTACATCAGCTACTGGAAGATACAGAAGAATATGTTGCAACAGTTCCGGAAGGGCGAACGTCTTCTCTGCGGCATCCATGCTGGAGGTATTATTAATGTCGTACAGATATTATGTTACCAATCCACAGTCTCAATCGTCTAAGGCCGGCTGAGTGTCGTCCAAGCCGATGCCTATCGCTAGAGACGATCTGATACCAAGGATCAGGCGATAGCAATGGACAGAAGGAGATCCCAATGGCTGTTTGAACTTGCCCCGTGACGAGGTCCATTTGTGCCGAGAGCCGTCTAGGGCGTGGAGGTGAGATCCACCTCCACTAGTGACGGTCTATTGACGGTCATGACTGGCTCTTTCTTCAAGAGATGCTCGGTTAAGCTGTGACCGACAGCGGCGAAAGAAATGTACTTGCCTGTGAGGTTGTTTGTAGTGTGCAATCAACGTGTACCTGCGATCGCACCTCTCGATGATATTGGGTAGGTCTCGTGACTTGACTCTCCTCTTCTCGCCTTCTATATACCTCCAATCGAGCTAGGATGCTCGAATAAGGATGGTCAAATTATTTGATGACCATGAGACGACTGAGCATAAACACACTTCTGGCGAAGAGAACCACGAACTGCATCGTTCACCTGTCGAGGAAGCATCTGGAGCGACATCGCAGGAACACATTGACGAAATCGAGCAAGTCTACGAGCCTTACGAAGAGGACGATCATGAGAAGCATGGGGAAGCGAAGCAGAATCGACTCGAGCTTCACCGCACTACAAGTCGAGCAAGTCGAATCAGTGCCGTAAGCAATAGGCTCGACAGGACGTTCACGACGAGATCACTGCCTGAGCCTGGTCCACCGCCAGACGGAGGGTGGCGTGCTTGGAGTCAGGTGGCGTGCGGATGGCTGGTTATCTTCTCTTCATGGGGCTGGGTGAACTCTTATGGCGCATGGCAAACGTACTATACCTTGAGTCTCGATGCACCGCCGGCAACGATTGCATGGATCGGAACGGTGTCGAATTTTGGGACTTTCTTCTGTGGTATGTCATCAAACCCATATCGAACGAGTCTCGCATGCTGACAAGTGACCCCAAGGTGGTAAGCCTACATAAGATCTGTTGTCAGCTCTTAGATGTGCTAATGAAGAGTCTTAGCCTTTAGTGGCCGACTCTTAGACGCTGGCCTGTTTCTGCCTACAGTCCTGGTCGGTGCAACGATACAGGTGCTCGGGATCTTCCTGATGAGCATCAGCACAAAGTTCTGGCAATTAATGCTGACCCAAGGCATTCTCACTGGTCTTGGCTCTGGCATTCTGTTCACACCATGTAAGCGTTCTCCATAGACTCGCATGTCCTCGAGAATTCTTAGGCGGCCGCTGATAACCGTGTAGGCATGGGTCTGATGGCGACATACTTCTCTAAGCATCGCGCTGTCGCACTAGGTGTAGCAACCACAGGCAATGCAGTCGGAGGTGCCATCTACCCGACCATCGTTGCGCAGCTGCTACCCAAGATCGGCTTTGCATGGACAGCAAGGGTGCTTGGCTTCCTCAACCTGGGTCTCCTTTCAGTTGTAATAGCGTTCATGCGACCTCGTCTTCCACCACGAAGGTCTGGACCAATGCTGGAGCTCTCCGCTTTCAAGGAAGGACCATATGCTTTCTTTGTGCTTGCGATGTTCTTCGCCTTCTATTCCATCTACAGCGTGTTCTACTATGTTGGTAAGCTGGTCAGAATACTTTGTGCGGTCCGCCATCTGTTCTGACTTTCTTTCTAGCATCTTTTGGGCTGCAGAAGCTCGGCATGTCGTATGAGGCAGCAACGAATATGGTTGTCATAGTCAATGCTATTGGCATCCCTTCACGACTTATTGCCCCATACTTCGCTGACAAGTACGGCACGTTGACGACCGTCGGACCCTCTATGATGGCATTGACTATTGTGGCATACTGCTGGCTAGCCGTTCACGATATCGCTGGGCTCTACATATTCACCATCTTCTATGGTATCACTGCCGCAGCTTTCCAGTGCCTCTTTCCTTCGACAGTAGCGAGCCTGACACCCCGGCTTGATATGCTCGGCACGCGGATTGGGATGGCTGGTAGTGCTTGTTCGTTTGCAGCGCTGACTGGCCCTGCTATATTTGGGGCTATACAGACAGCCATGGGAGGCCGGTACACTGGGTCCATGATCTTTGCCGCGACCTCCACGTTGCTTTGCGTCGCATCTATAGTGGCTTCTCGATGGTGTAAGGTAGGCTGGCATCTGCATCAGAAATGCTGAGCGATCGAAGTATAAGGCGAATTAGCGTGGCGTTCTTCAGGATATACGAGATTGATTCGAATGGAGGGTCTGTCCAATATAGAAAGCATTGCATGATGATCTAGCATAGCAGCGAGCATATACAGCACACGAATTATCTGTATTGCGGCACCCACACCTGCGGCATCAGATCTCGGCTACTGTCAGACTTGTTGCGGACTGGCATCTCGACGTCTGTGTCCTCAAGCAATCCTACAAGCCTGTTCTTGTACATAGCTAGTCCGCGATACATTCGCGACTTCTCCTCAAAGCACTCTTCGGTCCCCAGGAGAGGCAGCTGCCGCAGAATTGCCGCAAGGATAGCCACCTGCATGTTCAGTGGATTGACCAGCCCGGTTGTCATGCTTGAGGCCCTTACGATAGCATCGTAGTGGAAGACCAGCTGATGTGCTCCTACGTCGCGAACGTCACCGTCTCGAGATCCGGTATCCTGGACAGCATTAGCTCGATACGCCAGCCATGCACTGATGTGGTCGAGCTGAGATCTATTTGGCGCATTATCGACGACCAAGCGCACATATAGACTGGTGTTGCTGATGAGCGCTTGCAATGTCTTGCACGGCATGGCTTCAATCGAGCTGGTGAGACCGGTAAAGTCATAATTCGGTGCTTGGAAGTGAATCCTGGCGTTGGCAAGAAGCACGTCCCGAACCTCAAAGTGGATCTGCTTGCAAACTAGCAGTACTGATAGTGGCGGCGGTCTTCTCCGGCGCTTCGAGGGCACAACCGGCGACAGCACCATGTCTGTTGCGAGTCGCTCATACACGGCATTTCGCAGTTCGGATGGAAGGCCTAGGAATGATGCTTTTGTGGAGTTCCCCTGTTGATCTACGAACGAGTCAAGAATGATCTTATTGTGCTGTTGGGCGCGGACTGCCATGCGGCCGCGTCGAAATATGTCAAGCATTGTGCTCGCAAGTAAATATCTGTGGGTGAGCCACAGTCCAGCCGCCAACCTCTGTTATGGTGAGGTCAAGCGAACGGGGTCATCTTGATGTGGTGGTGGAAGAGGTGCGCTTTGCGGGGGCTCGGGTGGCGTCACCACGTTGTTTCTCTAGGCATACCATTCAATGATAGACAAGGCCGTGGCATCAGCAGACGGAAGGTGTATCATCGCATCTAGCGACGCTCCGTACAGCGTTGCTCAGCTACAGAGCTCGAGTCAGTTTTGATTGTACGATAAGTCGATGGGAACATCTGACCAGTAATTGTCAATTATACCTCATCAACGACGTCCCGCCTGACCACACTCTGGATATTATCCTTTGCTCAGTAGCATGGTGCCTGATTGCAGTGGCGGCATTGCCATCAGGTGGACGGCTAAGGCTCTATACGATTATTGCGATCTAAGTGATTGGTTCTTGGTTCTGTCGTGGGTCAATACATGGAGCCGCCCGCACCTGGACGCGGACTGAAACAAGAAAGCAGGCAAGGTCGCTGATATCGTCGAATGCTGTATCGATGATCTACTGCTTATCCACTTGGCCGCTATTGTCAACACCTCATCATCCTCCTGGTCTTGAAGCACTTAAGATGGACCTATATGTGACTCTCATAGGCATCTTTAATCACTTAATTGGCTGCCTATCAGCCGCCCTCTAGATACTTACCCTTGAAGGTTGGCAAATCACGTCGAGGCTGGCGATATGTTCTCTGCGCACTGCTCGCTCCACAGGTTCTGCTCAATGGCACACCGCCGGAAGCTCTCACTCGTTCTTCTGGGGTGGACTTCGTTGTTATCATAACGCGAGGCGAGTCCGGATCGACGGTCGAGCTATATTGACGGTCGCACAGACCTAGCAAAAGTTGCTACCATAAGTATCTCCTCTCGCGCTTACGCAGGCCGCAAGGCTGTGCCAATATCTGTTTCGCACCCAGACATTGGGCTGATGTGCTCAAGCATATCCATGGAAATATGACTCCGCGATCATCCACGATAAAGACCACAACAGAGACGCAAGTCAAGGGTAAAAGGATGAAGGCCGACTTTGAAGAAAATACGGAGCAGCTTGCACACAACAACTCATCATCCAAAGCATACTGTCAAAGTACGCAAATTACATCGAGTGTTAAGACTGTAATCAAACGGCATATATCTACCGCTCGAGCAGCCTTGCACATATCTCTTTCCCATATTCCACAGAAGCTCGCAGAAGCCGCGATATGCACAGGAGCGTTCGAGCTGAGCGTACTGCCGCTTGTCATGAGTGAAAAGGAGTCTCAGTATGCGTACGTCCTCAAGGTGGCGGAGCACATGGCAGGTGGCAGCTTTCTTGGCAAACTACAGGGCGATCATACTCTTGCAGGTGTCCAGTCCACGGGCAGGCGATGGCAGGGAACATAGTGTCCAGCCTACTGTTGGGATCATGACTATCATGAACAGAAAGGAACAGTTGTCGTAATGCTAGATTGAAGCATTGAGGGAAGAATTAAACAGCGACCAGCGCCTCTCGTTAGATTACATACTGTTATAAGCTATGGAAGATATCGTACAACTCTCGAATGAAGCTCTTAGCACGCTCAGAACAAATACGCGCTAACCACCAAGAGTGCAACACTTTTTGCCGCCATGTTTCGGCGACACCGCGCCACGCTATGCATACAATGTCTTACAATGTAACCACTTCAAACATTCATTCGTCCAGTGCTGATTTGTGTTGTTCACCATCCTCATCATTCGTGTGAAAAAGCCGTCATATTCCGAGCCGTTGTTCTCGAACAGCGGCCAAAGCCGACGACTCAAATCACTCCGAGAATTCGGCCGCGCCAAGGATTTCGTGCAATGTCACTGTCACCGTCAAATTCGTGGCCAGACGCCACCGACGTGAGCGGTATGTCGTGCATTCTTCTCGATGCATCTATGCGGTGCGACCGAAGACTCAATGATCCGCGGAAGACATCGTGATGATGTCGTGGATTAGACCGTGCTGCTTCGTAATAGTGGTGGCTAGTTGATCGACTAAGATGACATCCCGTACAGGCTGACGTGCGTACTCTGCACTCGTGATATGCTGACAAGACGGAGCGATTTCATGACCACAAGATTCCTGCTGAGAAAGCCGGGTAATGATCACTCACTCCCTCTTCCTCTTCCCGAAGCTCTCGACTTCTGGGTGCACCACCCTCATGTGCCTGGTAAGCGCATCGTTTCGTGAGAAAGTTTTCTCCTCACGACACATAGGACACCTGACCTTCTGCTTCCGGCCATTGTGTATCGTGTCCTCGTGCCGTGTAAGGTCATAAGGTCTTGAGAAGATGGTATTGCAAGGCTTGTTAGTGGAAGGATTGATCCGCGTACACTTGTGTGGTCCAGCTTGCGAGTTGCGTGCCAGGAGAGCAGCAGAAGTCATGCCACTCGCTGAAGGCGCAGGTGAGCCAGATGACCGACTTGGTGACGCCGAGTCTGAGCCCTCGTGGTTGGTGGCGGGTGACGCGGCCTCCTCGCTTGGTGCGACGCTTACAACGCTCGTGTCCCTGTTGTGCTGGTGCTGCGAGCGATGGAAGTCACGCTTGTGCTTTTGAAGGTTGCCTGGCGAGTCGAAGCGCTGTGTGCAGCCGTGGTAGGTGCAAGTGTATGTACCGGTAGCAGCCCGAGTATCTGCTGGCCTTTGTGGCGCAGACGTGGTGTTGGCGATGCTGTCTTGTGATGATAGGAGTGGACCGTTATCACTGATCGATGACTCCATGGTAGTCAGGTGGGCCGGAAACTCTGGATTAGACTCCATCTTTGTAACCGGGTAGGTGGTGGTGAGGTACGAGTTGTTTTGTAGCTGGCCTTGGTCAGAGGGTGGCAAAGGCTGGTAGGCCAAGGGATCAGGCCCGGAGTATCCGTCTGCTGATGTGGTGGCGCGAAAGTTGGGAGGCGCCTGTAACGCGTTAAAGCTCGTTCCAGTTGGACCAAAGAAGTTGCTTTGCCACTGCTCTGTGCCACTGTTGTGCTGCTTGTACCCAGCTGGGACACTATCTTGGAACAGAGATGGCTGGTCCTCGTTGTATTCTAGCAGCGCATCCTTGGGTGAGATCGTCTTGGTGGCCTCGCGGTTCAATTGGGGAATGTGCTGTGCCAATTCTGCTTGCTCGGCCTGCTCTTTCTGTTGCTGCCGTATGCTGGCTGCTGTGCCCATACCACCCACCGCTTGTGCAGGCGATTGCCAATTTCGGGCAGGTGCGAGTGGAGAGTTGTCTCTAAACGGCGACCGCTCTCGTGAGACGGAAGATGTAGGAGACTGTGATCTCGCTAGATTCGCGGTTTGTAATCGCTCAGTCATGAGGTTGCGGTGTGGCGAGAGAAAGCTGGATGCTGACTTGTTCGGCGCAGGTGCAGGGACATGGCTGTGAATCGTGGTAGGTGGGTTGTAAAGCTCATCCTGATAAGCTTGTGAGTCTGTTCTCCAGAGCTGTACGTTTGGATTTGTCTGCGGATAATCTGCATCACCAAAATGTAAGCCACCGTAGTCATCTATCACCTCTTTGGCAAGGATCTCACCATTCTGAGGTAGAGCATACTGACCACTCTGCGCTATTTCGACAGCACCAGTTGGTGGCGTGGCAGGTGAGTTGCGTCCGCGACTGGACATACTTTGGCTAGCGGAAAGATCTGATGCGAACTCTCCGTTGTGATGATCGATAGCAAAATCTTTCATAGCATCATGGGCTCCACCGGTATGAGCGGCAATACTGGGCGTATAAGGTGTGCTCATATAGCCGTTGTCGCTCAAGTATAAATTCTTCGAGAAGCTTTCCGTCTGATCTGGGTATTGGTACACGGAAGTATTCGGGTCGAAATCGGTGTTGGCGATGATCGGGTTGCCGTAGTTCTGGGCGTACGGGGAGAGAGGACCGTTTGAGCCGACTGTCGATGCCGATGGAGTGCGCTGATGACTCCTCCCTCGTATCAAAGACTGGGTTGCTGCTGCGCTCGGACCTGACATGCTATGGTAGGCCGACCAGGCAGTATATCCGTTCGACGCGTCCGTTGAGGAGTTCGGGGCCGAGATGCTGTTATAAGGATACCCAGACGCAGCGGATGTTGCGATATATTGCTGATGTGACTGTCTTCGGAAATCGGGTGTGAAGTTATTCATGCAAGTATACTGGATGGACTTTTGCAGCTGCGAGATTGCGTCGGATATTATGGCGGCGTCGAGAAGCTGATGTTCGGAGGTGTTCGTATGCTCGGCCGATGGTGACTGCTGAGGATGGCGATATTGGTAGCCTTGGAAGTTTACGGCCGCTGGAGTCGGATGGTTGTATTGTAGAAATCGACTTTGCTGTATGCTCGATGACGCGTGTGAGGACATACTTAGCCGAGACGAGAAGGTCCCTGATGCCAAGGCCGCTTGACTCCTTCGATCCGAAGGGCTTCGAAAGAAAAATTGGTCAGCGGTGATTCGACGATGTGTGGCGTAGTCGTCCGTTTCTCGCACAAGTATCGTTTGCACGGTCGTGTGATCGTCTCAATTAAGTGTTTAGAAAGCGAGCGGATGCGACAACGAGTGCTCGCTGTTATTGCTTGTCTCATCGATATCGCGGGATCTCATCGACCTTTCATATTCCTTCATAAAGCTCTGCAACTGATCAGCAAGTACCTACCCACTTGGGAAGCACAGCCACGCAGCACTCTCACTGGCGAAGACTCTAGATCTTCCCTGCAGTAGACCTGCACCTACTGCAGTAGACCTGCAGCTACGAACGCTAGCTTCATCGAATCACTGCGCGAACTTGTAGGGCTTCCGCTCGGCGCACCACGTACCCGGCAGGACGTGTCACCCATGTCGAGTGCCTGAACACGCATTGGCACGTTGATCGCTGTCGCCGAGGATGTTGAGACCTCTTCTTCCAACCACTCATGGCCGAGATATCTCATCAGGCTCATTATGCTTAACAACAAGCGACTCGACCGGGTGCCCGTCTACCCGCAGAACCTCATGTTGTCGCGTGGGCACTGCGCCTCAGGCTTTGCAGTCCACGTATGATTCTGCTACCAGGCCTTTGCAGTAGCGAGGATGAGGAAGTGCTTTGGTTGGCTGCGACTATTCTCCAGCAAGAGAGATCAACAATCGTGGTTCGACTGATCAGCCTCGTCTTGTTTCAACTGCTGAACACCACGTCGCTTCAATAACAAGCCTTCCTTGCTCGCTTTCACCGTCATCCAGACCTCTCCTGCAAGCCATATCAACACATCGACTGAGCTGACTGCTAAACTCTATCACCTACTTCCAACTTCACCCCACATCTACCAAGAATCAATTAAAAGCCGCTAGCAGTCTCTACACGCCATTGCCTATACAGCTGAACCACCAACCCGTCACCATCCATCTCTCCACAAACACGCAAGACGCCTCATGCAGCCACAACTCGCGGTCTCTGCAGCTCCCGCCTACCCATACCTAAAGTAGAAGCTCTTACCTTCTGTACCGTTTCTCATTCGCTGCTATAGACGTCATGCCAGGCCAGCTCAGCCTCAGCACTAGCCACTGTGGCTCAACAATACAGGACTCGCAGAGATCTCTAGGCTCTTGACCGCGATTCATGGTGGCTTATCGGTGTAGGCCGAAGCCAAAGTACCCTCGACGATCTAGAAGCCCATGGACTATCTATGCAACATCTCCACCTCGAGAGGTATTGTCTCACAGCTCAGAGGGGGATGCAATGTCACTGCAGACCAGCATAGACTTTCCAATTACGACCTACACTTGCTTGGATACTGTCATAGGCCACGTACAATGAGGTAGGCGGTGTCGTGATCTTCGTTGCTGTGGCATGCGCAAGAGCACCGCTGAAGTCGAGTGAGCATCAATTGGCAATCCTAGGACCATCGCGATACCACTACTCTATCCATGGCTTCCCAGGTCCTCCTGCATTGCCTGAAAATACGCAACAATAAATTACTGATCTACAGTTTCGTCGTCGCTCACCTAAACATAGAAACACTCGCAACCACATCATTGGAATCGAACGAGCCGGCTTTAGACGGCAAGACGGCAATGATCGGCAGATTGTAAGAAATTCGTGCCTGCCGAGTGGCCGAACCGAGTCCATCGTCCACGAATTTTGAGGCTGCGATTGCTCGGCAGATGTGCGTCGTGGTGTTACGTGGTTACATTGCAATATATTGTCGTGGGCAAGAATAGCATCTTACGACATGCAAGAGGTGATGATCTTATGATGTTCTTCGTGTAAGGGTCACGAGTGCAGATCGTACTGCACGACTCGTGAAGTTCAGGAGAGCTCGTATATCTCGTATAGCATTCGTGAAATCTTGGCAGTCGAGGAAAGCTGCTGCGCATACTGCAGACGACATGGTACGAACATTATGCAGCGGGCGACACTACGTCGCCAGCCTGCGGAATATCTATCGCACTCCGCTTCCTCACACCAGTCCCGACGCCGCGAGCGAGCACTTCGAGTCGCGACGCCTGGATCCGATGTTTCTTCATTACTTGCACCCACTCATCCTCCCTACCGCCTTGCGACTCGTGCTCCGCTGACCCATCGTCCTCGCCCAGCAAAGCGATCATCAGCCCGAAGTCCGCTCCTAGGCGCCCGAGACTTCCTGCACAGTAGAGGATTTGTGTGAGGAGAGACTCCCGGGATGTTGGATCCGTGATATTCGGAAGGTAGGCTCGAAGTGTCGTTGTCAATTTTGTTATCAAGTGGTTCGTGAATGATGCCAGGGGTGATGGAAGCGGCAGTAGCGGGTCGTCTAGCACTTTCGAGGATGTGGCTGAGAGGTCTGGGGAGGGTAAGCCGGATGGGAAGATGCTTTTGTACATGCTTATTATGGCGAAGCTTTGCTCGCGGAAGATCTCGATGTAGCGTTTGAGATAGCGCTCGCTGTGGTTGCCAAGGGCGATTGATTGTGGTTGCTGTTTTGACCTGGCGCCATTGGCCGAATGTAGTCTTCGTGTAGTCTCCTGGTCTGCTAGCTCTCGCAGTGGTTCCAGCGCTTCTAGTGTGATGTTCAACGTCCGGAGTCGACACACCAGGAACAACGAGCAAAGAGCTCCAGTGCTGTTTGTGGCAGCAGAGGAGAAATTCACAGACTTTGTCGACGTCGCCGTCGCTTTGGACGAACTGTATTCGTCGTCTGCGAGATCAGGTGCCACTCTCCTCAACCAGCCCACCGTCCGCATGGCACCCGCCAGCTTCAGCGTTGGGCTTTGTAACGATGTGATCAGAATAGTCGTCAGATTCTGTATCTCAGCATCCGCCTGCTGCGAAATGCCGGCCACGAGCCCAGATTGTGGATACAACGAGCTCAGCCGCTTGATATGAGCATGCAGATCCAGCGCAGAAGCATAAGAAGTCGTCGAGCTTGCGGCAGAGCTACTGCTAGGTGCCTGCGCAGCCTGTATGGTTGACGAAAGCAAAGACGGTAGCTCAAGCACATCTGACACCCTGTCCACATTCCGACTCAGCAGCATCGCCCTCTTCCGCCTGTCTAGGACCTCGTTCTCCGTACTCCGGTCGTACTTCCGCGCAAAGTCTACCGCTGCGGACTCTAGTTGTGGTACGGCATCCTTGAGCTCGTAGGCTTCGCTTCCAAGGGATGGAAGGAGGGAAGTGAGGTTCGAGAGATGCGAGGATGATGCTATTACTGCTTTGTGGGAGCGTTTCGAGAGAGCCTGGAGGTTACGTAGATGTGACTGCGCGGCATGGAGGAGGGAGGCTGGCTCGGTTGTCGTGAGGTTGCCCAGGGAGAGGGTGCTTAGGCGGTTTAGGTAGGTTGTTGTTTGTGCATCGCGAGTGGTTGGGTTTGTTCCCGAGGAGGGGTCATGGTCATCGAAATATGGTGCTAGCAGATCGTACAAGTCGGACATGTCGTTATGGCATGGGCAACCGCCCAATGGTATCGCATAGGCGAAAGGTGAATATGAGCTTCATGCACATGTTAATGTGGGTCCGTGCAGTTTGCGGCGGCCACTTTTCCGTGCCTTCCATCAAGATCCTTGCTCGAGATTTATTCACTGCGACGTTTTGCGATACATCATAACGCATTCCAGAGGACTCCACGTCAGCAAACGGCCGATACACTGGAGTTCGCAACGTCCTGCTTCCTGTTACTATTGCTAGTGGAATTAGTGCGAGAATACTACCCTCCTGGCGACGACATCCAGCACGTTTACATGGAGAGCACACTGCATTCCGACGATATCGTGGCAAGTCTTGCCGATGATTCCCGGCTAGGTGTGGTTGAACGCACACACGCAGACGTCGATACACATGAACCACATCCTCAAGACACCGAAGAAGGCCACATTAAGCATGATCGTGGGATCGACCAGTTCAGGTTTCGACAATTTCTCAAGGAGGGCGTACCGCCGAAAGGCGCCGTACTGGTACGATGGCAGAACAGCCAACAAGCACAGCTCATGCCGGCCGACGATTTGAAAGTACTGGATCGATCACTCCTGATTGGCGATGTGGTGAAGAAGAATGTCAGGGAGGCCATGAGTGGCGTTGTTATCAACACGCATATCAAGTGCATGTTGCAGCCCATCTACGATGTGACGTGGAAGGGTCGTAAGCTCAGAGGGTTGCTGCCTCCGACAGATCTGGAGCCTGGCTTCACACGACCACCCAAGACGGACAGACCTTCTCTCATTGTGGATGTACCTGCATCAGAGCTACAAGAGAGCGATGACCTGACTGAGGAGAGTCTCATTATATACAAGAACAGGATAGGTCGTGTTTATGGTGTCATCGAAGCGCTGACACTCAAGCTGACTGACAACTGCGTGGTCGAAGTCATCAATGATGATGACAAAATCGAGCATGCCGATGGCGCATTCGAGGCCTTTACTGTTGGCGATGTCGCCGTCACCAAGAAAGGCGAGCTCCGGACAGGCAGATGGATCTTTGGCCAATATAATCCTAATACACCTCCTGTCGGTACAATTGTTGAGAGTAGGCCGAGCAGTATCGAAGTGGAGTGGTTACAGCGAAGGATAGGAAGTGATGATGATAATGAGCCGCCTACGCTACTGGAACGCGATGAGATCGAATCCAATGCTTTCAAAGTCTACGACCGCACTCGGCGGCCACGACGACAGACGCAACTCAATCCTAGCAGTACGCCGAGCACGATCTCACAATCGGAAATCGATGCCCGACTGAATCAGCGCGTCCGTTTTCGAGATCTTGCAGGTGCTTGCATGAAATATGACGGCTCTACACCTCACGGCAAGCTTACGCGACTTGAGCGGAGCGAGACGCTAGGCTATGATCTGAACGTATTTGACATCGAGCGCTTCGAGACTAGTGTGGAGGTACAATGGCAGGATCTCACGATTACAACAGAGCGATCAGTGGATCTCGTGCCGGACTCGGCAATCGACGACGAACATTCGGCCTGGCCGGGAGAAATCGCACATACCCTGGACATCACATCTGTGGCTGGTCTGAAGGAAGTGGAGAGGCCTGGTAGAGTGGGAGTAGTGCAGAGCGTGAACGCTGAGGAACGGATGGCGAAGATTCGGTGGGCACCGGATGCAGTGGTTGAGTATGCTGTTGGCGAGAAGGATGATGATGGGAGTAGATTGCTGCTCACTGGTGCTGTCGGTCTCGCTACCGGAGAAGTGGAGGAGGTCAGCTTGTATGATCTTGAGGCGCCTGGGGTGATGAACGTCAGGAGAGGTGACATTGTGCTTGTCCAGCCTGGTGCTTTGAGCTCTGCCACGGAGGCGTCGATGGGCAAGCATTGGCTGGGAGAGGTCGTCGATACCTGTCTGGATGGTACACTTACCATTCGACTTGGTGCGGCTGACGACATTATTGATGTCAGACTGAAGCGAGAACAGGTCGTGGTGGCCGTGCGATCTGATGGTACTCCGCACGAAACAGGCTGGGAAGGAGAGGACGAAGACATGGAGGATATCATCAACGACTATTCAGGTTCAGAAGATATGGAAGCTTCTGACGAAGAGGACTCTGACGGCGATTCCTGGTCTGACGACGACGAGATGATGGATGCTGAGGCAATGTATGAGGACGAGAATGGCTTGCCGCTCGACGAAGATGATGTGATCAACGGCGACTGGGAGTCAGAAGATGAAGACGAGACCATGCCCGACGCCGCAGCAGCCACGAAAGATACACCACCAACCTCAACTTCCGCCACCCCACCAGATACCAGCAACCCTCAATCCTCTCCCATCACATCAGAACCACCCCAATACCTCATCCTCGAAACCCCACCCCCCAAAACCCACCACTACGCCTCCCAAATCCCCACCTTCACGCCCGCCCACACAAAAGCCACCCAAAAAACCCACCTCATCCTCCAAAAACCCGGCGCCCTGCCCCCCGGAATCTACGTCCGCACCTGGTCCTCCCGCCTCGATCTCCTCCGCATCCTCATCCTAGGCCCCTCAGACACCCCTTACGCCTCCTGTCCCTTCCTCATAGACCTCTATCTCCCCCCAACCTACCCGACCGAAGCACCCAAAGCGTTCTTTCATTCTTTCCCTGCGCCTACTGGCGGGTTGGGTGGAGGGGAGGGGAAGGTAAATCCGAATCTTTATGAGGATGGGACTATATGTCTTTCGCTTTTGGGGACGTGGGAGGGGAGGAAAGGGGAAGGGTGGGTGGCGGGGAGGTCGACGGTGTTGCAGGTTTTGGTTAGTTTGTTGGGGTTGGTGCTTGTGAGGGAGCCGTATTTTAATGAGGCGGGGTATGAACACCTTGTTGGTCTTGAGTCTTCGAGACGTGCTAGTGCTCTTTACAGTGAGCGGGTACTTATTAAGGCGAGGGGGTTCGTGGTTACGGCTCTTGAGCGGCTGCGGGAGCGGGGGGAGGCTGGTGCTGCTGTTGTAGGGTTGGAAGCTGTGGAGGATGTGGTGCAGTGGCTTTATCTCGCTTCCGAGGGCCCGAGGATGCTGGAGGGAGTGGTGAAGGAGGTGGAGGGAGTGCTGGAGAGGAGTGCGAAAGGTGGCGGTGAGCCGGATGGGGTGGGGGTCTTGAGTAAGGGGGCTTGTATACCCCTGAGACGAGTACTGGATAGGCTAAAGGGTCTCCAGGGGATGATGCACGGATAGTCAATCTGTAGATAGTCTCACACACGGAGAGAGAGAGAGAGAGAGCAGTGAGATCGTGTTGCTGCCGGCCTGTATGCTCTCAGGCAGCAGACCATCTCCACCCCACCTCTCCCTCCTCACCCATCCCAGCTCCTCACTCCCCCTTGACCTCACTCAAACCGCACGCTCTTCCCCCTCCCCCTCCCCTTCCCCATCCCCATCCCACCTGGCCCCATCTCCCCACGCAACGGCTCCCTCACTCTATCCCTCCTCCCCACCTCCTCCTCCTCCCTCTTCTGCATCTCCACCAACTCCACCGCCCGCCTCACAGCCGCCATAGCCCTAGCCCGGGCCTCCGCATTCCTCCTCTCCTGTTCAATCATTTCCACCAGAGAAGCCTGCCATTCTGAGCTGCGGGGATCTATGATGGCGTTTTGCGATGGCATAGCGCTGGGATTGATCATGTCTTGTAATGTGATGGGGTCTGCAGAATGGATGTTAGTAACTCCTGGGTTACCCTGTCCATTTGTGGTGAAGACGACACGAGACGGTTGGGGTGGTGGTAGTGGCAGCGGCAGCGGCAGCGGGATCCAAGGGGGCCGGCGGTGGTGTTCGTGTTATTTGTGGCGAGTATAGTTGCTTTTATGCTGTTGATGGTCGCTTGAGATATCATACAAACAATGTGGGAGGGAAAAGGGAGAGCGTGAAGTGGCGTTGAAAGGGGAGCTCTGTTCGTATTATACTACCTTTTTTTTGTTTCATGCATGCATTAAAAGACGTGAGAGCGAGGGAAGATGCTTTACTTCGGTGCTCTTCAATCATCATCGTGGATCGTGATACCGCCGCTTTCCTCTGCAGCAGCTGGGACTCCGCCCTCGTCGCGGGCACCATTGATTGTCTCCGTTGCACTCGGGTTAACACCTACGTCTTTCCTTGGCCCAAGTTTCCTCTTCACCCCAGTCATCCCCTTCTCGAACTCATCTACATCCTCCCTAACCCCTTCACCCTCTACCCCATCCCCTTCCACCCTCCCCCTGGCCTTGACCTTCCTCGCCTTCATCTTCTCCCTCCTCGCCCGATTCCTCCCCAACTTCTCCTCCTCCACCCGCCTCGCATCCTCCCTTTTCAAGTCGAACTCCCTATCCGCCTCCTCCCTCTCCACCTCCTCGTCCATCCTTCTCAACCTCTCATACTCCCGTCGTCGACTAGCCTTATACACATGGAACTCGCCGCTGCCGGCTCCGGCCGAGGAGCCTTGGACGTTTGTTACGATTTCGGGGGGGACGGGGAGGGGTCTGTTGGTGAGGGATGTGCTGGTGGTGGTGGTGGTGGGGATGTTGATTTGGCGGTCCGGGTTGGCGAAGAGGGCGTCGAGGTGGGCGGATTGTTGGGTGCTGGGGGTATTGAGGGCGCGTTTCTTGGCGGGGCGGTTGTTGGAGCGGCGGTCGGCGCTGGTTGGGATGCTTGAGGGGCCTGGTTCCGACATGTTTCTTTATTGTAGTGTGCTGATGAGAGGTTTGCGACTGCAAGAAGATGACTTTCACATGTCATCTGGAGCTTTGTTTCGTACGGCCGACTGTTTGTGTGGAGAGGAATCATTACGTAGTGGTGGAGCACATATGATTGCGTGAGCTTCCTTCTTAATCGACGACACACTCACCTACTCATATCTACTCCCCAACATAATCCTCCCAAGATGGGCAAACCACGCATGATCCTCCTCATCCGCCACGCCCAAAGCGAAGGCAACAAGAACCGTGAAGTCCACCAAATGATCCCGGACCACCGCGTCAAACTCACCGACGAAGGCCGATTACAGGTACACCCCCCCAACCCGCCTCCTTCACCCCTAATACATCCATTCCCTAACTAACCCTCCAGGCAGAAGACGCCGGCTGCCGCCTCCGCGCCCTGCTGAAACCCGACGACACCCTGCAAATCTACACATCCCCCTACCGCCGCACTCGGGAAACGACAGAGGGGATCCTGAAAACCCTCACCGCGCGCTATGATCCCGATGATCCCGACGCCGATGCCTCTTCACCCTCCCCGTTCTCGCGCACGAAGATAAAGGTCTACGAGGAGCCGCGGATCCGCGAGCAGGATTTCGGCAATTTCCAGCCGAATGGTGGCGAGATGGAACGGATGTGGCGGGAGCGAGCGGACTACGGTCATTTCTTCTATCGGATCCCGAATGGAGAGAGTGCGGCCGACGCCTACGATCGCATCAGTGGGTTCAATGAGAGTCTCTGGCGGCAGTTCGGGGAGGCGGACTTCCCATCTGTATGTGTGCTGGTGACGCATGGATTGATGACCAGGGTGTTCCTGATGAAATGGTATCATTGGTCTGTGGAGTATTTCGAGGATTTGAGGAATATTAATCATTGTGAGTTTATTGTGATGAGGAAGCGGGAGGAGAGTGGGAAGTTTGTGCTGGAGAATCAGTTGAGGACGTGGAGTGAGCTTAAGCGGCAACGACAGATTGAGGCGGAGGCGAAGGCGGAGGTGCAGGAGAAGAAGGGTGGGGCTGGGGAGGGCAGGAGTGTGATTGTGGATCCGCAGAGGAGGAATACGTTGACGGCGTTTTTGAGGGATGCTAGTCCTGTTGTTTCGCCCAAGAGCAGAAGGAAGGGGGAGGAGGGGATTCCGGAGGTTGAGCTGCCGGCGCGGGCGCAGCAAGTACCAACATCGACGACGACCCCGGGCTCTATCAGTTCAGCGCTCGATGGTTCGGCCGAGTTGCGTGCCGCCGCCATGCCAGTAGCTAGCGTACCACTACGACAACCTCCCGCAACAACGACAACAACTTCGCATCCTCAGCCCCCACGAGGGGACGGCACGAACACACCCCATGAAATGTCGGACGAGGAAACGGAGAATTACTTCGCAGACCGAAAATCTGGGGCGTTGGCCAGGGTGTTGGGGAGGAGGACTCGGCCGCAGAGGAAGGCGACGGAGCAGGATATTGAAAGGTGGACGAAGGAGTCGGGGATGGGGGAGGGGAGGAAGGCGGATGCTTTGGGGGATGAACCTGGTGGGGAGGATGATGAGGAGGGTCCTCTTGTCGAGGCCCAAGGGGTCAGGGAGGAGGCGGCGGAGGCGGAGGAGAAGAGTGTGGCTGGGAACGTGTACTGACTGAGGCCATGCACGACGCTTGGCAGGGTCGTGAAGCAGGATGATGAATGAGTATGAGGCTCATGTTAGCAATTGTACGAAGAACACGAAGGGCGACGTTCTATGATAGAATTAAAGGTACGATTTTTTTGCATAGATAGATCCTACAGCATACCACCCCCCCTTAGATCTACACCTAGACCTATGCCAACACATCCGAGCCAAGTCCGCTTCTTTCATATGGGATGAGATGTTGATTACTATACACATGGCCACATTATTACTAGCACGCAGTAATAATGTCCGGTGCTCTCTTGCTCACGCAAGCATGTCTTCGGTGATTGGCTGGACGCTCACATTTTATCCCCGCATAAATCCCTCGATGACTTTGCCGTTCATGCGGCGATGACGTTTCACTCTTACAGTAGACCAGCAATGCCTATGCCTAGGTTGAAGGGGGACGTAAGGTAGTTGTGTTTACAAATGCGATCGATGGTGTGATGCTTATGCTTATGCTTATGGTACAGTAGTAGGGCACGGGTGGTAGGTATATATGACGCTTCCCTCTCTTCTACCCCTCTCAATCATTAATATTATTGACTCTCACTTGCACACTGCCGTACAAACTACTGTACTAGGGTATCCATAACCATCGGCAGAATCACACAGCTACAGTAGTCAGCTAGACACAATGTCGACCACCACCCAAACCGAGACCCAATCTAAATTCGCCACAACCAAAGACTCCCCCATCCCACGCGGCGAGACCAAATCCAAACTCACCTTCTACGCCCCTCCATCCGACGGCAGCAAACCCTGGAACTACGTCGAAGCCCCGCCAGCCGGCTCACCACAACGCAACTTCGGCGAAGACGAACACGAAGTCACCATCACCGACATCCGGGGCCGGGAAAAGGACTTCGATATCAACACCAACGGCTTCGGCGTCCTGCAGAATGTGGACAGTGAGATGCAGTACGAGCAATGGAACGACGACGCCCGGGTGAAAGACGTCTACTACAAAGAAGTAGAGGACTTGATGATGAAGAATGTGCCGGGTGCGAACCGAGTCTTCATCTTCGACCACACCATCCGGCGCTCAGATCCGAATGCCCATCGTGCACCGGTGAACCGAGCCCACATCGACCAAACGACCGCCTCAGCCACAGCCCGTGTACACCACCACATGGGCTCCGACGCCCCTGCCCTCCTCCAAACCCGCTTCCGCCTAATCAACATCTGGCGGCCCCTCAACGGCCCCGTCGTCAGCAAACCCCTCGCCTACGCCGACTCCCGCTCCGTTCCAGACAGCGATATCGTGGGCGTAGAACACAGATACCCGGACCGCACGGGCGAGACGGCAGGGGTCAAGTACACGGAGCAGGGGAGGTGGCATTATTGGAGCGGGATGGGGAATGAGGAGAGGATATTGCTGCAGTGTTTTGATTCCAAGGATGGGGCGCGGACGCCGCATAGTGCTTTTGTGGATCCGAGGACGGAGGGGGAGGGGTGGAAGGGGAGGGAGAGTATTGAGGTGCGGGCGTTGGTTTTTGGTTGACAATGGGGATGAGATTGGGTGAGAGGAGATGAGGTGAGATGAGAGGATGGGCGGTATGATTGTGGTTGTACCGACTTTAGTGCTAAATTTATTGTTATATATAACGACTCTACGACTGCTTTTCTCTTGCGACATCTCTTACTTAACGTCGTAGCCATCACCCTCCTTTCCATCTTACAAGGAACTGGGCCCCGAAGAACCCCAACCTCAGTCGTTGATTGCCAAGCTGTAAACCGCGGCTGTCGGGCCTTTTTTCAGTCATGCTACAGATCAATTTCGACTCTCTCATGTACTTGAAGCAACGTGCAAACTCTACACGGCTACCAATCACATCATTACCATGCTCTACCGGCCGGAACTTACAGAGTCGGCAATACCACCTGGCAGGGCTCACGCGGTTGCACGTACCGTCTGGTGCCTCGAATGCATTAGGTTGCGCTCTCTCTTCGTGTTGTACCCGGAAACCACATCGAGTGGCCCTGGATAGGATAGCATAGAGAAGAGAGGATGCTGACGACGATGGGGGCCCCGGTGTTCGGCAGCTGCGTACCGTGCACCGATATGCGTTGCAGCGCGCTAATCATCGCGCTAACTACGTCTCGTATTCAGCAACCCGCTTTTGTGCGTCGTGGTGTGACACTTTAAACTTGAAGCGCTGGAATCCTGTACTTTCCGGGCGATGTTGCTCGTTGGGGCGGATGAATTGTTCGTCCTTTCATACATCTGATCGAGTGGTCAGGTATGCTCTTAGCTCCGTGCGGGCGACGGGGTTGGGATGTGCATGTCCGTCTGTTCTGGTACGGAGGAGGAGGTATATAAGGTAGCTCCTTGCTATATGTCGAAGCATCCTGCTCCAGGACATTACGGGACAGCACTACCTCCGTCTCACCTTTTCATAGGTTGCTCAAGCGCTGCCCTCGACTATTTACCCAGAACGAACTGCCGGGGATCACCGTACACACTACCTATCATGTTTTCCACACCCTTCCTCAAGAACATCGCCATCGTAGGCGCAGGTGGCAACATCGGCAGCGTCATCGTCAAAGCCTTGCTCACTAAAGGTCAACATATAATCACAGCCATCACCCGTCCGGACAGCACATCAACCCTTCACCCGGGCATCCACCACATCAAGAAAGTCGACCTAGCCAACCACACCTCCCTCGTCTCCGCCCTCAAAGACCAAGACATCCTAATCATCAGCCTCAACGTCATGGCCGCCCCATCCACCCAAACCGATCTGATCAATGCCGCCGCCGAAGCAGGCGTGAGATATATCATCCCCAATGAATACGGCGGTAACTATTCCGACGCAGCATTCGGCGAGAGCGTTGGTCTCGGCGGCAAAGCTCTCGCTATTCGCAAACATATCGAGGAGAAAGGCATGAAATGGATAGCCATCTGCTGTGGCTTCTGGTACGAATTCAGTCTTTCTGGTGCTGAACTACGTTATGGATTTGATTTTCCAGGGAGGAAGTTTACGATGTTCGGGGATGGGGAGCAGAAGATTACGACTTCTACTTGGCCGCAGGTTGGGCGGGCGGTGGCGGCTGTTTTGTCTTTGCCGGAGAAGTCGGGAAGGGATGGGGAAACTGCGCCGTCGGTTGAGAAGTACGGGAATACTCAGGTCGTCGTCGCTTCGTTCCGGGTCAACCAGAAGGATATGTTCGCTTCTGTGCTCCGTGTTGCCGGGACCAAGGAGTCCGATTGGACGATCAGTCATGAGGATGTCGAGGCGAGGTATAAGAGGGGCAGGGAGATGATGATGAAGGGGGATATGGTTGGGTTTGGGATCCAGTTGTATTCGAGGTCTTTCTTCCCGGATGGGAAGGCGGATAATTTTGAGATGTTGCAGAATGAAGAATTGGGGTTGCCGTGGCAGGAGGATTTGGATGAGGCGACGAGGGTGGCGGTGGGGTATTCGGAGAGTGGGAAGAACAAAGCTTGGACTATGGGCCAGTGATGCTGGTCCTGATGGATCTGAAGCAGTTGAATGCTCGATAGTGAGGAGCGAGAGGCTATCAGCTCGACTTGCTGCGTGAGTGTAGCTGCAAATAACTTTTGGTCTTCGTACCGTATGTTTTACGACATGGGTGACATAGTTCCTCGTCTCCCATCGTTTATGCTTAGTTTGGGGAGATTTGCCTTCGCCGAGGACTAGGAAGACACAAGTCATGTCATAGAAGCAGTAGTGAGATTGCTACTTCGCCTTCTCGATCATCTCGTTCGAGCTGGCAGCGGCAGACGATCGAATTACGATGCCATCAATCGTGGTCCGTGGTCGACGAGTGAGCACGTGTGCGATTGGAATACAAGTATGGGCGTGGAGGCCAAAGCAGTCGGAGACTTACGCTCCGTCGGCTTCCTAGTATGCGAGATGATGTCCTTGCCATGGATCGATTCTAAGGTTATCAAGGCGTGGATGATTTCTGCGTCTCCTTATCGACGCTTCGTTAGTTAAAGGCCTACGCAGCGTGGTGACGTCCCTTGCATTGAATCTAGCGCACTTCTGTTAGACCATATGCTACGCGATATCTATGCCAACGTTCGGCAAAAGCGAAGCTTGGCTATGTCGTGCTCGCCTGCACAGCGCCACTAGTCGGTGTGTTGCTATTGCCTTTCAGAGGATTTCAAAGACTCTGCATACACGTCTATGCTGCCGGAGAACCGTTGGAGCCTCGCAGCTGGATCTTGGTCCGAGTATTTCGTCCTGTCAGTGAGGTATCCTATGCTCCGCCAGCGCAGCACTCGTCTTCAATCGCTTTGCTGTCAGCACCCTTTCCGCAAATCGGTACTGTAGCGCCTTCAAGTCGAAGCAACGCTTACACTGCCAGTCACTTGAGCATAGGGTTTCGACCTCAGTCGTCTTACAAAGCCAACGGAAGCGCAGTTTGCAATTACGAATATCGCCACGAGCTGCTCTGACACGCCGACACCCACGAGAAGGCATTCCACCCAACATCGCGTGGACTACATCATGTAGACTGCCGCCATGACGGTATAGACGTGTCACCCGTAAGAGGAGATAGCCGCGACGCTTGATGAGCAGCGAGCAGTAAGAGCAGTAAGAGCGTAGCGTAGCGTGGAGTGAAAAGCAGGCACCTCGAGAAATCTTGATATGGCTGTGTAAAGTGCCGTTGACAGGGTCGTCGCATCTGGAGTCATTCTTGATATACTGTACGATCTCTGCATCGGAACAGCGGACACAGAAGGAGTAGGCCCTCGGACTGCGTACAGCGCGATCACGGCAAAGGTGACGCGATGCTCTTCGACAGGACAGAGCACAAGTGGCAAAAGCATCGCGCCCACGCGGAACCAACAAGGATAGGCTCGCAGTGATCTCGGCGGTCCGGGCGAGCGTGTGAGCCCCAGATACAATGCATTCACTGTGACCACTTCAACCCAAGGCGTGATAACGCACCTGTGGGCCAGATAATCGAGAAAGAGCATGGGAACAGTTTGCCTCATGGGCGGAAGTGCAGGAGGCAGGTGGCAACTATAGCTTTCGGGACAGACGACAGAGCCTCAAGGACAGAAAGACGTGATGCGAGATCATGAAGATGTCGGCGAAGGATGTATCCGCAAGAGCGAGGCCGAAGATCAAGGAGGAAGCTGAGGTGGCTCGCATAGCTGGCCAATCGTGCTAGTTAAACCCAGTTATAAAGTCGTGCGGAGGCGATCATGAGGAAACACATTTGGTGAGCTATCAGGGCCCAAGTGTTGCCCGTGTTGCAGAGGAAGGGGAGCAGATCTTCACTATCCCAAGTGAGCTCGCATGATCCTGGAGTCGCCTGCGGTGTAGTAGCATACATACACAGGTCGAGAGTCCTCTGTGGGAGAGCTACAATTGCCCCACGATCGGCTGTGCCGCAGGTACAGGTGCTTGACAAGTCAAGGGATATGGATGCCGACTTGTGAGGTCTGCCCTACCGGCTGTGCTGGTAGCTCGCTTGACCGAGCTTTACATCATCCTGAGCGAGCTGTTGTGGCCTGAAGATCTAGCTATGCATATAGCTCGCACGCCATCACATTCGTCTGCTTGGCGAGCTATCGCGGCCCCAAACCTGGCTATGTAGCACGCTCGAAGCGTCGACATCCTTTACAGTCTGCTTGGCGCGCCGGTTGGCCCTAGCTCCAGGAAAGTCATGTTTTACTCCGAGCTCGAAGCTCACAAAACAGCTGTCGAGGTTCTCCGCAATTATGGTCGTGGCCTGGCAGCTACCGCATGTGTGGTTCGATGCTGTCATGTGATCCAGATTCCATAGCTCCAACAGAGAGAGTACTATATGCACACTCCGTTGCCGGCTGAAGACGATGGTCGTAGTCAGCCATGGCAAGCACGGCGGGAAGTGCGGTCGTTGTTGGTACTGTATGGTTACGGTATCGTTTTGCCTCGAACCAACAGCATGTCGAGGTACCTTATAGAGTACGGCTGGAGTGGCGCCATCTCGATCTGGCGTCGTCGAAATTGTGCCTGCTGCAGGGCTTAGTCCACAATCCCAGTCGTTCGATCACGCCAATCGTTTCGTCCCCGGACGATCACCCAGACGAAAAATGGTGGTCTGCTCTCGTGTGCCATTGGCTCTGTGGAGAATTTTACGTACGCCTCCTCACAGCGGTATCAAGCTGTACAGACAACTCTCCCGTGGCAGTGACAGTCCACGTTGCTCCCAATGCGTGCAAGCGCAGGGTAAAGAGCATGCATGCAGCCGCACGAGTGATGGCGTGCACTCTCAAGTCAGAGGTATAGGAACAGACGGGTATGTACCAAAGACCCTGCCGCCGTTTTTCTGGTCACGATCACTTTCTCCGCATTCTCCAACAAGCCCCTGAACCTTGGCTAGCCCAGGGCTGGGTTGAGAGATGAAGAACAACCGTGCAGCAGGGCCCGCGAGCTACCGCCTACTTTAGCTGCATGAACCTCTCTCCTTCTGCATTCTTGCCCTCTCACACAATACGGCCAACAGGTCTGTCGCAAGAAACTCAGATATCCAAGGCTATCCTGCAGGTCTCGCTCGGACGACAAAAGGCGAAGGATCTCGGTTATCATCCGACGGGCTAGACGGCAAACCTCACCAAAGTCTCGGTTACAAGCGCGCCACCCGTTCGTCTGGTCTTCCCCACAGCACAGCACGCGCCCACTAAGTTCGAATCCACTTCAACTTGAGCCGCTGGCATAACGTCTCCTCTTCCTTTCACACATCGACAAGACGAGCTCGTCGACGTCGTTCAGCTCAGGATCGAACTCGTCGACAACGACGATCGACATCGACGATCAAAGAGGGGTCCGTTGACCCGGCTTCAAGATACCAAGTGGACTTTTGCGCGTGGCAGACACGCTGTCTTTCCTTCCCCACACACCTCAGATTTCTCCGCACGCGAGCTCCTGGATTGTGGACCTGGGCGAAACAGCAACTCCTGCCTCTCATGTGAGGGCACGTCATCCGATCTGAACTTCACCCGGGGATTTAGTTGCGCATATACTGGTTGTTGTTCGGGCCTGGCGATGCTCATAGGTATGCATTCCTCGATGCTTGTATTGTTGCGATCTTATCTGTGGCTGGTGATGGTGAGATCACATGAAACATATCTGATATGCTGACCAGTATATGCCAGACTTATATACGGCATAGACGACTTCTGACCATTCGACTGTTATGTAGTAGTAGCTCCACCACATCTCAAGGTATGTCCGCCCTCGATCAAGCATACATGAGCTCCGGCTAATGTGGCGCCAGCTTTATCCAGTAGACATAGACTAGAAGCTTGGAAACGACAGTAACGACCGGAAGCGTTTGATTTTGGTGAGTCGATTTCTCTTTCATCCAGCAGCCATGCACGACTTTGTGAGGGACCTGGACTATCTGCAGCTGAGGGCGCACCAACCATGCGATAGGTGCTGGCGAGCCTCATGGCCCGGCATTATTGGGCTTCTCGAGGCTGGCATCTCGTTGGCAAAGAGACTGCATGAGTCGCGCGAGTGCTTTTGCTCTGAGCCAGCAAGGTGTCTCGTGGATGGAGATATGCTGTGGCCATCGCCGCACTCATCCCGACATCCACCCGCCAGCAGCGTTTATCCAGCTCCTACATACCGATCTGCTTGGAAAAGCATTGTCCCGTATCGACGCCTGCCGTATCATTGACATCCCTGCCCTGCTACATCTCGCACGTCGCTGATGTCCAGTCGCTCGCCTTCCCGCAGGCCCTCGCTGACTATCCTCGCAGAATATTCGTGCCCGCATTGTTGTAGATCTTGCTCTTGGTTGTTCTTCGTATCATAATGAATGTGAGTCGTGGTCATCGTGCGCTCCATGGTGCTCCTGTCGCGCTGGCTGGAGGTGGAAGGGTGCTGATATCATGTCGCAGTCTATTCGCAGAGGTGGAACGCCCGAATCCGAGGCGGTGGCGTCGTCAGAGGATGAACGACCATGGCCGTCTTCTACATCCTTTGGCAGCTTGCCGCGGAAGGAGAACGGCATGTCTGGCCTTGGTGGCGGTATCTGGGCGACAGGTAATCAGAGAAGGGGTAGCTTGAAGCTATCCGAGGCAGCGCAAAGAAACGCTGCTCGAGAAGCGCGCTTGACGGCGCCGGGGAGTCACAGTGCTTTGCGGACAGCTAATACACCTTCGCCTTCTATCAGCGATGGGCAAGGCGCATTGCCGTTTGCGATCCCCTTGCAACCGACACCAAAGGCACATAGATCTCTATCGCATTCGCAGGGCCAGCGCGAAGCTTTACAGGCTCATATTGCCGGACAAGCTGGAGGAGCGCTTCCGCTGGGTTTGCTGGCGGAGGACAACGAGACAGAAGCTGATGCGGACTCTGATTTCGGAGGACATCTCACGCAGACCGTCTCGCACCCACCGATTGGGGCTTTGCAACGCGCCGCTACGTATTCTGCTGCTTACGGGGGCTCGAATGGAATGGGCAATGGCGCAGGCGAGTATGAAGATAGGAGACTGCAAGCTGCGCTATCTCAATTGACTATGGGTAAGCGTCGTTTGGTGTCTGCTACCCTGCAGTTTGCGCGCGTTTGCTGATATCGATGACCACGCAGACGCTCCCAATCGCAAAGCTCGATGGGAAAGCCATCTTGGCTGGAGTGACCTCCCAAACATTAATGAATCTCGCCGACACTCCTTGGCTGACATCCCAACTCGCCGCGGCTCCTTCTCGGACGATATGGGCTTCGCATACTCTCGCGATCAACGACCTTCGCACGCTCGTGTTCCCGCTACTAACGGCTTGAATCCACTGGGAAATCGTGCAGATATTGTTCAAGGAGGTAAGTTGATCTGATCCTTCACTCAAGCTCACTTCACTCTGCTCTGTCAGTCACTACACTCTGCAGACCACACCGCGTGACGCTACTAGGCGGCGATATAGCTACCTCTAATGCCCGGGTTCTGACATTGCTTCCGTACAGACTATCAACAACACACAACCATGCGGTACAACGAAGATCCAGATGGGTTCAACATCCCCTCCATGTACAAAGTCCCTTTCGTCGACATCAGCGCCGAAGAGGCCGCCAGCGGTCGCCCGCCGCGTTCTGCTCTTGCAATCGCGCCAGCTTATGGTCCACCAGGCAGTCAACCCCAGCGCAATCGCCGCCAGCTTTACGTCGTCAGCTTCAAGTGCTCGCGCGTCGGCATCTTCTACCTCCTCGACGGCACCGGCCTCGAAATCCGCGAAGGCGACATCGTCATCGTTGAAGCCGACCGTGGTCAAGACCTCGGTACAGTCCAACACTCCAACGTCACGCAGGAGCAGGCCCGCCTCTACCTCCGCAAGTACGCGGAAGAACAGTACAAATGGCTGATGATGTTCTCTGTCAACAACGCCCCCTCCAACGTCAACCCGAACGCTCAGCTCTATGGCGAAAGTAGCGCCATGGCTGCTTCGCGTGGCCTGCTGGCTTCTGCGCCAAACACGATGCAAGGCATGCCTCGCGAGAATAATGCCAGTCTTAAGCCGAAGGCCATTAAGCGTCTTGCGAATGCTCATGAGATCAAGATGCTGGCGGAGAAGGAGGGCAACGAGGCGAAAGCGAAGAGGACTTGTCAGCAGAAGGTGGCGCACCTGCATTTGCAGATGGAGATCTTGGATGCTGAGTGGCAGTGGTATGTCGTGCATCCTGCTGCATCGAACCTCAAAACTAACACCCATCGCAGGGACTTCCAGAAACTCATCTTCTATTACTACGCAGACCATTACATCAACTTCAAAGATCTGATCACCGAGCTCTACCGCATCTACAAAACACGCATTTGGCTCTCCGCCGTCAACCCAGCAAGCTTCTCGCAGCAGGCGATGGGTCAGCCACCAAGCGGCATCGGTCCAGGGGCCATTACACAGAACAACAGCGGCGTCAACAACTCATACACGATGGCATACGGTGCGGATCCCGATCCTTACGGCGCCATTCCTCCCTACCGCGTTGGCTACGATACGTACGACCCCAACTACCCAAGCATCCCCGGTGTCGCCAACAGCTTCGCGCCCTCATCCTCCGTCCATCAAGCGCCTGCCGTTCAGCCAGGCGCAGATACAACCAACTCGATGGCCGACTACAACTTCTACTACGAGCGTGGTGGAGACCAACGAGCTCTGATGTCGCCAACGGCACCGACGATGCAGGCACCCATGAGTCAACAACAACAACAAATGCAGCATCAGTTGCAACAGCAGCAGGCGAGCCCTTATGGCAGCACCGGCTACTGGTCGGGCATGTTCCCAGAGTATCCCACCCAAGTTGCTCCTCCTACACCAGCCGGCGCCGTTACTCAACCCCTACGCACCAACTTCCGCGACTTCTCCCCTTCCCCCTGGAACAACGCCAACTCGCCCATCAACCCTGCTTCCGCTGGCCTGGGTCGTCAAGGTGAATCTCAGCAACCCATCGGCACTCGTCCTCGCTCGAACGGTGGTCCAGGGATGCCAGGTCAGGCTATCACGCCGGGCTCACAAGGCGATGTCGGCGAAGACCATGTGCGTCAGTACCGCCATAGCCATCAGCCTGCAGGCTACGAGACCCAGCTGCGGAATTTTGGCTTTCCGTTCTTGCCTAACGCATCGATTCAGGCCGGCGTTCGTCACAATAGTACGACTGGACAATTCATCGGTAACGCTTTCGAGACTGCTACTGCTCCTGCTAACGGAGGCGCTGCTATGCCCGGTCCGTACGCGGACGAGATGTCGCGTGAGCGCTGAAAACCAACCTACCTGCCTACGGTCAATCAAGAAAGCGTCTACACAACTTCCAGTATCATTATAATCAGCTAAAGCTTAGCTACGAAGAAGCTCAATGGGAGCTACGACTTGCAGCGGTGATATTTCTGAGAGGGTAAAGCGAGATACTTTGGTGCGGAGGAGGAGAGGCTTTACGGGACAATTTTGTGCTTGCGTTCGAGGCAGATATGGTACCATATCGATGGTTTTAAGATATGCTATAGTCGAGATAGCTTCGGTAAGGACTTGTTCTCACCTCACCTTCTCACTTTTGTTACTGCCGTTACCGCCATTGTGTTCCCGCGCCGTTATGGACGTATTGGCTGGCGTAAAGTCCTTTGATAGGACAACGTCGCTTAATGTCGCTGTCGCTGTCGCTGTCGTGGCATACGCAGGAGTTTCTGCGCGAATTGATCGGTTCTTTTGCTGGTCCACGGCCTACCACTACGGTAACATCACTCAACGTCAAGGCGCATACTTGAGCCTTCCCAGGACTATTGTGAGGAGGATCTGGTAGCGTGTGAACCGCCAATATTTCGAGGACCATCACTACGACTGTCGTATACTTTCGACCAATCCCCAAGATATGTTTGAAAGATGTTGCTGGCGTACTGTCTACCAATGTACCGAAAGTATTCTACACCCTTGACGACGAACTTTCAGTCGTCCCGGCGCCGTTGCGCACGAACTCGCCGGCACACTCGCCGCCAGTGCCCCTCACACGCTCTCATCAATGCCAGAACCCCTAGACAGGACTCCACCACTATTCCCAGCTCCGTCATCTGCCCCTGCCTTTTTGGCGGCCGCCGCAACTATATAAGAGTTAGCTACTCTACTCGGGACCTCTCAGAATAATCGATCTTACCCTTCTTTTCCTCCCTCTTCTTCCTCACCTCCTCGCGCTTAGTGACGCGCTCACGACGGGCAGCAGCTAGCATTACGTCATTGTAGATGTTTGTGGTTTGGGGGTGGCGCTGAGAGTGGCCGGGGGTCTTGGACCAGCAGATACCCATGTTTTGTTTGTGTGGGATTGGTTGATTGGTGTGGAGTGGGTAGTTTCTCGTTGACTTGCTATTTGAAGATATAGTAGCGTGAGATTGGGAAAGAGTTTTGGGGGCGTTTTGTTGTCAAGAAGGGCCTGGGTTGGGTTGTGTTCGGCTTTAGTGCGATGTTTGTGCATGTGACTTGCTTGCTGACAGTGAATGGGGATTTTGTTGTTTCCAATAGCGCAGCAAGCAGCTACGCAGCCGTGCCGGCCGGCCGCGGTGTCACATCAAAGGACATATCGGGGTTGCTGATCACTGACGATGAAAACGAGCCAAAGACCGCGAAGAACCGGAGTTGTCAGCCTGTCGCTGACGCAGGCTACTCGTGATGCTGAACACCGACCTTCTCCTTGCCCTCGAAAGCGTCCTCCATGTCTTCCTCAGTCACGTCGAAGTCCTTGCGTAGCCCTGGTAAGCCCTTGCGAACGAAGAGGTAGTCGACTTGTTCGAGAGTTTTGCCTCCAGTCTCGGGACATAGTAGGTAGACGAAAATCACAGCTACAACATTGCCAGAGATTACCCAAAGCCAGAAGTACCAACCAATCTGTGCAAACCCAATGGCTGTCAAAGTGTCAGTAGCTGTGTATACGGATTTGATGATACATCGAAGCACTCACGACCTGCAAACACTGTGATGAAGGTCATCAGCCACTCCCCAGACGCTGTTGCTGCAGCGCCGATATGTCGATACTCGAGTGGCGCAATCTCAGAGCAGTAAAGCCATACGCATCCTTGCCACGCATAGCCGAAGACAAACAAGAAGATGAACAAGATACCGATTGCGGTCCATTGGATTGCTGGGTGCTCTGGTCCGGTAGCGGCAAGTGCAGTGAAGATACTGATCAGGACGGTCATCGCAATAGCACCGTATAGCAGCACAGAGCGCCGGCCGACTCGCTCGACTGTGAAGTACAGTGGCACGCAACCGAGGGCGTAGAAGATGTTGAGGACTCCTGATAGAAGCGAGACGAGAGATGGTTTGGCAACGGTGGCGAGGATGACGCTGCCTGAAAAGTCGCTTGTCAGGATCATTTACCACCGATACTCCAGCTACCCTGCTTCCGACTTACTGTAGTACGCCAACAAAGACGACCCCATCCACTCTCTAATCATCGGTAACCAGAAACACATACTCAAACGCCGAATGATCTTAAGTCGTGTCTTGTCAACAATCCCCATGGTCAAGAACGGCTTCCAATTCAAGCTGGCATTGGCCTCGAGTTCTGCTTCAATCGATGCCAGAATCTCTTGTCTCGTTCGCTGGACCTTCTCGGACGACACGTCGGCATCGTTGAGTTGTGCTAGGGTGGCATCGCCTTCCTCCCATCGATTGACTGCATAGTACCATCGAGGTGTGTCGGGGAGGAAGAACATGGTACCACCTGAGATGATGGCGAAGATGCATTGGAATATGATGGGAACACGCCAGCTTGCTTGATTGTCCATCATGATGAAGCCATAGTCAATCTAGTAGTGGTCAGCGTAACTCCGGATCAACGCCATATGTACGGATCGCCTACCCAATATGCCAACGGGACACCAGAGATGAGTAAGATGGCATTGAAAGCATTAGCTGGACCACGATCTCCAATCTCTACACCAGTCTCAGACAGATATGTAGGTACGGCACTGGATATGCAACCGATAGCGAAGCCAGTGCATAGCCGTCCTACAATCAGCTGTGCAACACTGTATGCAGATGCTTGGATAACCGAGCCCAAAATCGCAACGAGGTTACCAAGGATGACAGTACCACGACGACCCATCCGGAAGGAGAAGAAAGCAATAACAACAGCAGTGACCGCTGCTGCTAGATCGTACGAGGCCACAATCATGGGTATGGTATATGTTGCTCTTGGGTTGCCGATGGCGTCTAAGAATGGCTGGTGAAGTAGTACGCCACCTAGGACGCCGGCATCGTACTGCAACACCGTTAGCCTGTAGTTGGAAATCAGTTCTCGGGCATACTCACGCCATACATCATGAAGCTAACACCACATGTTATTTTCATGAGCAGATACAAGGTTCGTCCCCTGAGCTGTATTCCTCTCATGGTTGCGGCGAGTCTGGCCGATCAGCCTTATGTCGCTGTTCGAAGGCGATAGCATGAAGCTGATGAAAGAAGAACAGCGATACTTTCCAGTGATGATATCCATATGATTCCAGCACCTTGCTATGCAGTACCTCGGGAATAGTATGCGATCTGCAATCCCCGCACACAATGTCCTACCTCGTGGCTACCTGGTGTTTCGGTGTCGTCCTACGGCAGAATATGGCGTACATTAAGCTTTTACAGTGGTCCTGTCGGAGGATGACGCAGGAACGAGGATGCCGACAATCTACCTGGATAATGGTTTCCGGTGCCATCCAGCTTGTATGCTACATCTCTGCTGCCACATCTCTGCTGCCACATCTCTGCTGCCACATCTCTGCGATAACAACACGAAATGCGTCGTCGATGGACTCGTATCAGGGAAGATAGATGCTGGCCCAGGCTCGCACACTAGGTGTTGATATCGTGGCTAGCCGAGAGGAGATGTCGTGGGATAACAGATCATTTGGCCCTGGCCCTCACCATAGACATGGTATGCCACATCCTCGGACTTGATCAAGCCTTCAGAATTGGACAAGAAGGCCGCAGGGATGATGAAGCTTCTGAAGTGGCCTTTGATGGTGAAGAAGGAGTTGAGATGAAAGTATGAAGCGGGCTTGGCGGCCAAGCGTCCATCGCTGTGTCACCTTGGCTCTTGCCACAATTTGAAACATTCCAAAGCCATCCCTCATAATGCCCCCAACAGTCGGTTCATGTCTGTCCGTGTTTGGCGGGATTGTCACGAACCATCAAGTCACAAGGCGTCCGCAAAGATCCGACCTCGCGTCCATGCATTACTGTGATGCCTTAAGAAGTCTATCGTAATCTTTTTCCACGAAGGAAGTGATAAAGATGACAGTCATGGCAATTGAAAGTGAGCTCTCGCCAGGAGGTAGGATTATAATCTTCAGGAAGGCCATGGACACAACAGTAGCTCACAGCATTCTCCAGAATCCATCACCCACGACCCAGGCCCTCAGAGCGGACCACCAGCACTCCACCTCCTGCACTTCAACGACGTCTACCACATCTCGCCCGGCTCATGAGATCCAGTAGGCGGTATAGCCCGCTTCAAGACTCTCTGCAAATACTACCAGCACTCTGAAAAGTACGCTTCTGGACCGTCATGTCTTACACTCTTCAGTGGCGATGCCTTCAACCCCAGCCTGGAAAGCAGTGTCACCAAGGGCAAGCATATGATTCCTGCTCTCAATGCATCAGAAACGAGTGCGGCCTGCTTAGGAAACCATGATCTCGATTTTGGGGTTGAGCAGTTCGAGTATCTGGCTGGGCTGTGCAAGTTTCCGTGGCTGTGTGGGAATGCGCTTGATGATGATGATGGGGAGAGTGTAGCGTTGGGTAATTGTCGGAAGAGTGTTATGCTTACGACTTCTGATGGTCTGAAGGTAGGTGTGATGGGTTTGGTTGAGAGGGAGTGGCTGGACACGATCAATACTCTTCCACCTAACCTGAAGTTCCTGGAGCCTGAGACGGTTGCAAGAGAGCTTGCGGCGGAGCTGAGGAAGCAGGGTGCTGAGATTGTGATTGCGCTTAACCATCAAAGAGAGCCTAACGATATCGAGCTGGCTGAGTCTCTGGAGCGGGGCATTGTCGATACCATCCTTAGTGGACATGATCACTACGATGCTCATTCAGAGACGAATGGTACACATATCCTCCGCTCTGGCTCTGACTTTAAGCAGCTCTCATATCTCGAGGCATGGAAGCGAACTAACGAGAACGTGGGATCTGGCCCTTCCTGGAACTTTCGCATCGTGCGTCGGGATGTCGTCTGCTCGATAAGTCCCGATGCAAAAGTAGATGAGATGGTGGAGAAGATCACAGCAAGTCTGCGCCCGAAGCTTGAGAAGCCGATCGGCTATACGGTTGCACCACTTGATGCTCGCTTCACGACTGTGAGGACGAAGGAAAGTAACATGGGTAATTGGGTCTGCGATTTTATGCGGTATCACTACAATGCGGACTGTTGTCTGATGGCAGCTGGTACGATAAGAGGAGGTAAGATCGTGTCCCTCTCAAATCCACCTTGGCCGCCCTCTAACCTTTCTTTTACAGATCAAGTCTACCCTCCTGGCGTCCTCCGCATCAAGGACATACTCGATTGCTTTCCCTTCGAAAACCCTTGCGTCGTGATTAGCGTCAAGGGCTCAGCCATCTCTCAGCCATCGTGGCAGCGCTGGAGAACGGCGTGAGCAAGTATCCAGCGCTCGAAGGTCGCTTTCCACAAGTCTCAGGCATCACGTTCTGCTTTGATCCCGCACGACCTGCTATTTCTCGCTGCAGCAACGTAAAGATCAACGGCGAGGTTGTGCAACTTGAGAAGGAGTACACGATGGCTAGGACAGAGTACATGGTCAGAGGTAAAGACGGCTTTACGTCCCTCCTGCTCGAGTACCATGGCGGGGTGGCGAAAAGCGTTGTGGGTGATGAGACGGGCATGTTGATTAGTATGCTGTTGAGACAGTACTTTATGTCCTTGAAGATTCTCGGCAGATGGAAGAACTGGAGTGCGCCTATGGGGAGGCATTGGGCGAATGTGCATGAGGATTTTCATGAGGTACATCTTGTCAGGGAGCCTGTCAAGCCTGGCGAGACTTTGCCGACTACAAGCCGTGAGCACAGCAGGACGGTAGCGGGAGAAATTCAGAGCGGCAGTGCTGGACTTGTTAGGACTGCGCTACAGTCTGGCAGTTCCCGGCAAAATCACCTGAAGTACGATTATACCCACGAACATATCCTTCAGCACTCCGACAGCGAAGACGAGCACAGTCATCGAGCTGATCTACCAGCTGTGCGTAACATGCCTCAGAATGGACATCAGGACACGGGAAAGCGTGAGCGAGAACTCATGATCATGAGGAGGGTTATGAGGAAGTGGTGGCGCATAGCCAAGTTACCAGGTCATCCAGCTATGGCCGAAGATCACGGAGAAGACTTTGGCGTCCACTGGACAAAGGGAATCTGTCCCAGGGTTGAGGAGAGAATTGTCATGATTGGAGGGTAAGCGGACCCTTCAAAGCATACTCTTTTGCACATTATTGCCAGGATCTCAGCCCTTGACTACCTACCGTGTCTGTAAAGTCGTGTTCTGGGGTAGAGTGCATGCCCTAATGGCGATCTACTCACTACCGTGCCTTCTTGATCGGGCCTAGCCCCAAGCTCGAATCTCCGAACACCCTCCACCTTCTCCACGTTGCTGTAAATTTATCTCGAGCGGCTGACCCTGCCATAATTATCTGCCGCATATCCTTCGCCATAATCTTCACCATAGCACCCTGTGCCCAGAACCTCGCACACAATACGAGACAAAATGAGTGTGGCATGAGAGCATGATGACAATACCGCCAGCAGTTGTCATCATTGCTCGACATGGGCCACGCTTAGATGCTGCAGATAGTCAATGGCATCTGTCTACGCCGACACCCTACGACCCTCCACTAACCTATGGCGGCTGGAACCAGTCCCGAAGCCTGGGTGTACGAATAGCGAGTCTCCTGCATGCGCGAGAGCAGGCAACGAACGATGCGCTTAGCGAACCCACGAAGGGCGATGGAGTGACGAGCTACGACTTTGCGCAGAGAAATGGCGGAAGTCCGCGGTCAGACGAGAGTCGAAAGCGCAAAAGGAAGCACAAGGTAGTGATACACAGCTCGCCTTTCCTGCGATGCGTGCAGACGAGTGTTGCCATCGCGGCAGGCATGGCTCAGTTCCAACCGCCATCTGAAGCAGGGAGTAGACCGAGTACGAGTAGGAGTCGGACGCCGAACACATTACATTCTGCTTCGCCTCGCCTGCGAGCACTGGAAGGCAAGGGCTCGCCAAATCTTGCACCCATATCAGAGCCGCGGGACTTTGCTCACGTGATTGCAAGACGCGTCCTAGCGGAGCACAAGAGACACAGGAGATGTAAGCTACGAGTCGATGCCTTTCTAGGCGAGTGGCTGAACCCAGGATACTTCGATCACATCACACCTCCACCACCGAGTGCACTCATGCTAGCAACAGCCAAGGCAGAACTCATGCGTCACGAATCTGTGGACATCTTCACACCTACGATCTCAACCAAGACTTCACAAAGTAGCTTATGGGGCGGCGCAAGCAATTTACGAGGGGACAGCAAAGATAGCACAAGCGAAGACTGGGAGGAGCCTCAAGACACCCTTCCACCATCGCCCTCCCGCCGCGACCGCACAGGTAGCATGAGTAGCATTGGAAGCAACGACAGTGCTTCTGGACGACGATCGCCCTTCCGACAGAATCACGCTACTCAGGCGGTCACATCCAGCATACCTAAACCGGAGACTACAGTCTACGTCCCACCAACACCACACTATGCCATCTCAAGCTCTGACCACATCCCTCGCGGCTACATAGCGCACGCCCGCCAATCCTGCGTCAACGTAGATTATCAGTGGGATTCTTCTCGACCGCCCCAAAATTGGGGTGATGGAGGCGAATTGGGCGAGGAATGGAGCCAGATGCATAAGCGTTTTAGGAAAGGGCTGAATCATCTGATCCACTGGTACAGTCAGCATAATGTTGATGATCGTGCTGAGGATGCGCTGGGCTTTGACCAGGCGGAGAGACATGCGCTTGAGGCTGAAGTACATGATGATGACGATGAGGTGGAAGATCTGGTGGTGGTGCTAGTTACCCATGGGGCGGGCTGTAATGCGTTGATTGGTGCGCTAACGGGACAACCCGTGTTGCTCGACGTGGGAATGGCTAGTCTGACTGTGGCAACGAGGAGGGATAATGCTCACGTGGTACTGCCTCCTGTCGCAAGCCGTGACGTGGAAGGCAATCCTGGGCCTTCGCCGAGTCCAGAGGAGACATTATCTGGCCAGGCAGCAAGGAGGGTTAGCCTGGATCTTGGTTTGTCGTCGATATATGAGATGAAGCTCGTGTCTTCGTCCGAACACCTCCGACCAGGCGCCGATCCGAGACGTGCTCCTTCGCTATCGTCACGATCAGATGATCAGCGATCCGGCCTTGGGGCACCATCTAAACTACAAGATCAGCGAGGCTCTTCTAATGGGAGAGAAGCAGCCGACACAGGCTTCGCGGACTGGTCTCTCACCGACTCATCCCGGAGCAGTAGCAGCAGTCGAAGCGGTACTAGCAGTATGCTCGGCTCCGCTGTCCGAAGACCTTCGGTTCCTGTTCTGAGCTCTGCTTCCGGTGGACTGGGTAGGAGTAATACTCTGCCTGTTGTACCTGGCCGAAGTGAGCCAGGAAGTCCTGGATTGTGGACACCGCCTGGAGCTGGCAGTACGCCGGTGCTGAAGGCGAAAGAGGCCACGTCAGATCAGAAGTCTGTAGGCGAGGCGTTGCCGGAACCTGCTGGTGCTGCTGCTCAAAGCATTCCAGCCAGTGTCATTGCGAAAGCCGCTACCTCAGACCATACGGAAGGCTCGAGCCGCAGTACGGCCATGTCCCTCGCCCTCTCCGGGGCCCTCGACGGCGCGGCAGATACGCCTCTGCCACCCGCCATGATCCAAAACGCACTGGCGCATTCTACCAACGGCATCAATGAAACCCATGGCAGTCCGCCTCAGGTCCAGCATACTCACGACCACAAGCCCAGCTTATCAAACGTCAGCGATTTGCCTGCTCAACCCCCACAATCTCTGGGAAGGACAATGAGCCAGAAGGGTCTGTGGGGTGCTAAGCCAGGTGGTGATAAGGTAAGGAGGGATTTTGGGGAGGGACCGAAGAAGAGGTGGACTTTGGTTGTTGACGAGTAGAGGACATAGATAGATGATTGATTCTTTGAGCGATGAGGCGATTGGTAGGCTTAGCGAAGGTGTTGGATGGCGCTTTGCATATCTGTGGCTCTGGCAGGACTGATGATCTCAGCTTGACACGGTACAGAGCCCTACGAGTCTACGAGGTCCTCTACTTATTTAAAAAGACTATTGTTGCATTCAGAACGACTGCACCCTCACATGTGAGTGATTGCAAGGAAAACTTCTTCCATACACCGTGCCAGCTTCGTTGGTCGATCGCTGGCAGTCGTGTGTGAGCAAGCGGGGAGGGGGTGGAAAAGACAAGGACGAGGTCGAGGACGATTCTAAGAATTAGTTTGAATAGACATCCGTAGTCCGCTGTGAAGGGAGGTTCAGCAGCCGCAGATTCCTTCAGTGCATGAAGAGTGCGGGCTCGCTCTCCTCGACATAGTGTTTCCTTTAGCTCAAGCGAAGTGAATGGTCAGGATTTGCTTGGCATACTCAAGCCACAGTCACATGCAAATTAGACGCGGCCACGCTATGACTTCTTATTTGTGCTCAGTCTTTGCGTTTCTCTACAACCCGGAACAGAAACATCGTGACCCACTGCATGATGAATGCGATGTTCTTCCTGTATGCTGGGCTATGTCATGCCATCCGTAGTGCTTGGAGGTTCATTCAGCAGCATTTCCAGGTTCCAATATGATGCTATAGGTGGCGCACGGTTCTGCTTATGACGCTATGTGGGCCAGGGGGCGCCTGTGTGTGGGAGAATGCGGCTCACGAAATCAAGAATCGAGTGTCAAACAATTGTTCCAGGATCAACACCCCTCCTCAAGCTCTTTTCCTCTGTGACAAGTAACTACATCATCTCTTCATAATCAACTACCTGAATCAAAGCCTTCATCAACGACCACGAAGGGATACATCAGCAAATCTCCTCAACAGCGTAGCAAACTTCCAACATGGCAGACCAGCAACAATACCCCAATCTCAATCCTTACAGCAAGTTCGACGGCTCCAACGACACTGCCAATGTCCAGAGCAATGTCGGTGGACAGAGCAACATGACCGAGCAAGCCAAGGGCACTGCCAACAACCTCATGAACAGTAAGGTAAGAGCACTCCCACAACAATATCAACCCCGAGTTCCGGTCCCCCCAAAGAGTGCTGCTGCACTGGCAAGAGCTCCGGTGAACAGCTGGCATATCGAGATCTGTCCTTCACTGCGAGGCATACGTTACTGCAGCTTTCATAGTTCATTCGTGCTGCCTCTAAACATCACTCTTTTGTACACTGCTGACAGCAAACCAAACAGTATCAGCAGATCTCTCCTCCAAACATCCCACAAAAGCAGGTCCCTCCTAACATGTCCCTCATATCAGACGCACAATCCGCCATGGACTCCGTCAAGAACTCCCAGACCGTGCAGAACATCCAGAACGGTCCCGTGGCCGACAAGGCCCGCGCAGAGACCGCTGCGGTCAACAACGAGTTCTCCAACCTCGCCAACTCCCGTCAGACTCCCAACACCCAGACTGCTACCGGCCAGCCTCTGACGCACTACCACTCCATGTTCTACACCCTGCTCTCGTGGGAGAACCCGCGTGCCACCGCCATCAGCTACGCCGCCATTGTCCTTGCCATCTTCGCTTTCCGCTACCTCCCCATCGTCCGCTACAGTCTTCGCCTGACCTGGATCGTGCTCGGTATTACTGCCGCGGCCGAGGTCGCTGGTAGGGTGGCGTTCGGCCAGGGTATGGCTACCAAGATGAGGCCGAAGCAGTACTACACCATCCCTCGCGAGACTTTGGACAGCATGATAGGTGATTTGGAGCAGCTGGTCAACTTCTTCGTCATCGAGTTCCAGAGGATTCTGTTCGCTGAGAATATTTCTGCTACTATTGGTGTATGTTCTCCTCCTCACCCACCTTCCACTCATATCATACTAACATCGTCTCCAGGCCTTCGCCTCGGCCCTTACCACCTACTTTCTCATTAAGGTCACTCCAGCCTGGGGTCTCGCTCTGCTCTTCACAACCGTCATCTACTTCGTGCCTTTGATCTACATCAGCAACAAAGAGCTCATCGACTCTCACCTCGAGAACGCCGGCAAGATCGTCAACGAACAGACACAACAAGTTCGCGACCTGGCTTCTCAGCATACCAGCAAGGCCATGGAAGCGAGCCAGCAGACTTTCAAGCAGTACTCTGCCCGTGCCTCTGAAATGGTTGGACAGACCAAGGAGAAGGCTGTGCAGCAGGGTGTTGCTGCTAAGGAGCAGGCTGTCAACCAGGGTATTATTTCTCCTGAGACCGCCGACAGGACCGAGGAGAGCTTGAGGAGCGCGCCTAGTGCGCCTGCTACTGAGCTTCCTGGTCATGCTCAGGATGCGATGCAGGCTGAGCACCGTACTGCTGAGCCTGTTCTGCAGTAAATGACTGCCATGAAGCGAATTCAATCAAGCAGTACGATGAGGTTGGGCGCTAGGGCTGCGACAACTTGCAGCTTCACCCGACCTGACAATCAGACCTGAGATGAGAGGAGAAAACACCCTAACGAGTGATGCACCAAGGACGGAACGAATTGCGGACCTAGAGACGGAGCGTGGAGACGCATTGTAATAACATCCCCTGGTATGGCACTACTTGGCACAATTGAGCGATGCGAAGCGATGAGCATGATGGGGAGCGAGCATATGAAGCATTGTCTGTTTCTTCTTTAATTGCCTGAGGCGTTTGTAGCATGAGAGTAGGCGTGGAGATTGAATGCGACCTGAGACTTCTACTTCATATTGCTCTGGTCCTCATGGCCGTCATCAGCGTTTCATGTGTGGCGTATCGTCGTACCGTGCTGAGGCAAGGTGAGGTCACAAAGCTGCTCCTGCCTGACGTTGATCGGCTGAAGAAAAGCCGACTTCGTCCTCGCGCCGAGACAACTTCGTTTTCCTCGTTTGAGCTGTGCTGCCGTTCGTCTTCATCCCTTACGCCTCTTAACCATGACTACGTCGGCTGTAGTCTTCAGCCATGCCGCGATGACAACTTCAGCCTCGCCGCATTGGTTGCTCCACCATGCGTCCGCATGTGTACCTGATATCAAGTGCTTGCTGCGCCACATCGGGGCCAGCCTCACGACCTGACAGCACACGGCGGGTATGAAGTCTCAGCTGCCTACACTTTGGCAACTTCGACAGACTTACATGGCCAACTGCTGCCCTCCCTCTATCTTGGAGCGACAAGTATCTCGCTTGCGCCCAATATCTTGCTTAGTACGGCTTCTTTGAGCTGTTACCTGGCTCCGCAACAATCCATGGCAAGCTCATTCTACCAGCCTCTCCCGTCGCCGAACCATATCCGGGTGCTTGATCTCTCCACCACTTCCTCTAAGGACCAGCAGCCTGAAATCGTGGAGTGCAGTCTACGCCTACTGGATCTCAGTGACCCGGACAATGAGGCATCATACGATGCCGTCTCCTATACCTGGAAATCTGAGCCTGGCGAGCCGGATGGGATTGGCCACATAATGTGCTCGGGACACGAGCTACCCGTTGGCAGAAATCTGTACGAGGCGCTGAAGCAACTTCGCACGGCATCTGAGGCCCAGCTCCTGTGGGCAGACGCTATATGTATCAACCAGAATGATCTGGAGGAGCGAGCTCAACAGGTGAGGTTGATGGGGAGTGTTTTTCACAAGGCTCGATGTGTACATTGCTGGCTTGGCATTGGGGATGATGAGTCGAGGCTGGCTTTGCGGAATATTGGGCGTCTGGGTATCACTATCATGAAACTGCTCGAAGATAGAATCTGACCCTCTCTGGTAGGCTGTGCGCTCCGCGAGAAGTTGACTGGGACTCACGAGGCCTCTGAACAAGAGATCCGTCCAAGGTAGACAGTTTAGTCTAGTCTGAGGGTGTAGCTTACTGATTGACGGCCATATACAGGTTCAACGATCCAGCGATTTTCGAGCGCATTGAGCAAAGACCCTGGACTGACCTGGAGTGGTATGATATCGGTCAGAATTTCGGGCGTGCATGGTTCAGTCGAGCATGGACACTCCAAGAGCTGACCCTCGCTACCTCAAGTATGATGTGGATAGGTAGTCAAACTTGCAAGGGTACCGATCTATCAGCCTTCATTGATTTCATCAGCAGAATGGGATGGGCGTATCCCATACACGACCGGTGCGGCTTCGTCTCACAACGAGGCGCTGAGGCTCTTATAGGTTGCGAATCGTTGCGACTTTGGCAGGGGGATCGAAGTATACGGCAGCATGCTATATCGAACCTCCTGGTTGGGGGCACCACGATGTATGGCAAACAAGCACACACTGTAGAGGCACTATCTGGTTATCTGGTGGAGACGTGCAGAGGTCGGCATACGACTGACCCAAGAGATTGCGTCTTCGCTCCTCTGGCTTTGGTCGTAGTATACCTAGAGGTGATAGGACCGGTCTTGGTGACTCCCCAGACAACCATGTCTGACTACACCCTGAGTGCAGGACCGATCTATATTGACTTCACAAGTTGGCTTATCAAAGGTACACGCAGTCTGACCATCATTGGGCAGGCGGAGCGGACTCAGCAATTCGACGAGGCGGTATCGCTGGCTACATTGGGGCAAAAGCTACCGTCTTGGGCACCCGACTACTCCTGTCGAGCAAAGCGGCTGCTAGTGCCATCGAGGAGACAGACAGCTTTCGATGTGGTCGCACCTGCATCGGCATGGGATGCTTGTAGTGGGCAACAGCTAATGTCCACCTTTGTGGACCAGCAAAGCCATCTGCATCTCGACGGGTACCGTTTGACAACCGTCCGTCAGTCCCAGCCTGCATGCGGGGAAAGCGGCTATCATATGTTGCGCCTCCTAGCTCTCGCAGAGGGACTCTACGAAGGTAGATCGGATCTTGACTGGGTACAACAGCTGGCCGAAGTCCTTGCTGGTGGCTCGCCAAGCGTGACACGAGCCAAAGAAGATTTCAGGACACAATTCGGACACTGCGTGGCTATCGACAGCACCATGTCAGCCATACTCCGGATGCTGTTCTACGGGTAACACGACGCACAGCTGACCAGATTGGAACAAGAACACCTTCGGATTTTTGAAAAGGCCGAAAAGAGTAGCTTCTGGCCTGGCAGGAGACAGGTACGACTCTGGTTCGAAGAGTACATTGAAGCATTGTGCATGGTTGAGGTGCACGATCCTGTGGCACTGCACAGCAATGCAGTACTGATGTCCATTCAACAACGGATCGAGACGTACTGGAATGAGATTGCTTCTCATTGTAGGCTGAGGCGTGTTGTTGCAACCGACGATGGCTGTCTGGGTCTTGCACCAGATACTTGCGAGTCTGGGGATGAGGTCTGGTTACTCCCGGGTCTCAATGCCCCAATCGTACTGCGTGCGGTGGGCAACGGGAACCATCGGGTTATTGGCGAAGCGTATGTGCATGGCAGGATGATGGGAGAAGCTTTTCAGGACGACACTCTTGTAAGCGGTGAGACTGTGGCTGTAGTGCTTGAATAGTGCAAGCTCCGATGAAGTCAACGAGCTTGCACATATCCGTCTCGTACTAACATTCGCGACGTGCTTATATCCTATCTCTCTCAGATTCGGTCGGTGACCCTAACGATTCTGACCTCGAGCGATCGACAAGCCTGTGCCCTTGCAGTGTGCAACGGCATTATCCAACAATGCCTGTTACACCGAATGTGTTTGCACGGGTACTGAATATTTCGTCGAACCGGAGTCGGGACAACATGCTAATGCCGCCAGCTGTATGTCCTTGTCAAATGTGGATCGATTTGTCATCGAGATTTCGACACCGTTGAAGGCACTTCGATAAATCGTTTCGATCACCACATCATCAGAAGCGGCTTCAATACACTTTTATACCCATCCAAGTCCTCATATCGTACCTGTCATCCTTGATATCACGCAATCAATTCCAGAAGCAATTAATCATGGCGACTAACGGCAATGCAAACGGCCAATCCGCCACCAATGGCCACTCGACTCACAACATGCAGCCCAAGATCATTCTCTATACCAACCATAACTGCCCTTACGCCCAACGAGCTCATATCGCTCTCGACGAGCTGAACTTAGAGTACGAAGAAGTCATCATTGACCTCAACACTCCACGACCACAATGGTACCTTGACATCAATCCTCGGGGCTTGGTTCCGTCCATCAAGTACAGCGTGCCCGGTCTTTTCGACGAGGAGATTATCACAGAGAGTGCCATCGTCGCACAATTCCTGTGTGACGCGTTCCCGTCTCATCTCTTGCCTGCCAGCAAGGAGTCGCCGCATTCTGCTCTGACGAGGGCAAGGATCGCGTTTTTCTGTGACACTTGGCAGACAAAGATCTCGACCCTCATGTTTCCCCTCATCATGGCGAAAGAAGGCGAGGAGAAAGACGCCAAGGTGACAGAATGGATGAAGGCGGCAGAGAAGGAGATCGAGCCACTCCTGGCCAGTGCAAGCCCTTTCTTTGGAGGCAGCAAGGATCTGACGTTCGCGGACCTGTTCGCCGCACCATTTGTGATGAGACTGTATGCCCTCGCTAGAGATGGTGAGATAATGCCGAAGAGTTTCGTGGAGAAGATGGACAGTCTGCCCAACTTCAGTGAATGGGCGAAGGCTATTATGGACCACAAGAATGCTACGAAGATCTTCGACGAGGAGAAGTTTGTGGAGGCTACCAAGGCTAGAATGAAGAAGACGCAGGCTGATAGGAAATGAATGAGGTGTGTCTCGTGAGGGGCGACTTGACGATTACCGATCGGATAGGGGCAAAGGGATGGCCACTACATGACTGATGACCAACGTATCCTAAATGCGTCTCTAAGCACACAGTATCACAAAGCTTGTAGCCAGACCTTCAAGCTCACTCGTCTTCAGCATGCCGTCCGCAACTTCCCATCCCACTGAGCCCCAAGGCTGGCTCGTCACGCCCCTGATAGCGATGGGAAGCTCAATCGTGATATCCTCGCTGCTGTCTGCGTAATCCAGGTTCGCGAAACCCAGCATTATCGTCCCATCAACCTCCCAATAAGCTACATCCAGAAGCTCATGTCCCGGCACCACGATACGGACAGGCTGTGCGCCGACTAAGAGACCCGAGACTGGTGAAGTCGTGGCGACCTTGGCCATAGTACCGTGTGCCTGTTCGAGAGTGGTGCTCGCCGGGAAAGTCCAGCTCATGATGCCCTTAGCACCATGATTAAAGCTTATCAACATCATAGCCCAGGTCTCATCGGGCGTAGGATCTCTCGCCCAGTAGCCTTCGCCACTGAATGCCTGCAAGACAGCCCACAGTGGCTTCTGTGTCTCGCCAAGCCAAAGCTGGTAGTTGAAGAAATCATCGAGACGATTGCTGACATCTTGCAGTTCGCCGATACAATCATCGCAGCCGCAGTCACCATAAGTCTCGTTGCATGTAGTATTCCACTTCGAATAGGTAGCGTTGATGCCCACGGGATAGGCGTCTTCCATGATGTAATCCGCACCCGAGCTGTACTCGTTGAAGTAGTAATTATCGCAGTTCAAGACCAACGCTGTGGGATGATATGGATCCACCTCCTTCAGGATGTCGTATGCAATCTTCGTCTGATTCAGAGCGTACTGCCACCCATCTGGCTCATCAGCCGTATACCAGCTCAGCAAGTTCGAGCGATCCTTAACGGGTGGCAAAGCTTCGATCAGCTGAGATGTGTTCAAGCCGGTGTCGAAAATATGCCGCATGTCATATTGGTACCATAGATCCAGCTGATCCATCCAATTGAACACGTTGTCGAGATCACCATCCAGAAATGAGCAGACGGGGTTGATAGCATTGAAGCCGAGATCTTTGTATGCAGTAACGTTGGCTAAGCTGTAATTTAGGTACCCACCACAATCCGTGTAGAATCCGAAAGGCAAGATATCGACAAACGAATAGTTCGTGACGTGATTAGCCGCGACTAAGCAACCATACAGATTGTCGACTTTGACAGTGCTTCCATTGTATTTCGCGGGCAGGTAGTAGATCTTGGTCGTGGCAGTGTATGACTCGTTCGCATATGAAGAAGGCGGTGCCCCGTACAAAACAATGTCATATGGCTCAAGCCGTGGCTGTAGCACAGTCAAGTCAAATTGCACCACATTGTTCGTGGTGTTGACCGCAACACTGTTCGATGCCAGGGGCTCATCGTTGTCTTCCAGACGAATGTCGAAGTCCAGCATGCCGAAGGGTGCAGTCGCAGAGCCTCCAGCATCTGTTGGGGTGGCATTCGTCCATGGCTGTCCGTGGTAATAAGATAGACCGGCGTCTACGATGAACTCTCCATAACGCTCAGAGGAGTCGTATATACTATGGCGAGGCTGTACCTGTACGAGGAGCATTGGCGATGGTGATGGCTTCGGAGGCTCAAGTTCACCAGTCGGGTCGTAATTTGGGTAGCCCAGCTGATAAGGCTTGCCGCACCATCTTGGTATATCAGTATACTGACCAGACTGACCACCGATGAAAGACTGGGCCCACGCAGTGACAATGATAAGAGCGCTACAACCCAAGAGTCGGTACATGACTGATTGAATGAGATGGTCAATGCGAGCGTTGGCAAGAGGAGAGGAGGTGCACTGAATGAATGGTGGTATCCCTACCTTGATCTACCGGTACTCACCGCCGATCGTGCGTGACAGCGTTACACTCGTGTCGAGTTTGTTCGATGAAGTAGGATCACCATCGTGAGGGGTCAGGAAGCAAAGTGGACAAGTTTCAGCGCCGTGACTAAGCAATGCGCCTTACCCACATCTCATTTCATTGGACGATCCGCTCCCTCTTATCAACGACTTCCTGCCGTCGATCATGACAGCACCACCGCGCGTTGGCGTTGGCGTTTTCGTGTTCGAGCAGTCACGTGGTGGACGCTTTTTGATAGGCAAGCGAAAGGGCAGCCTCGGAGCAGATACTTGGGCTTTGCCTGGAGGACATCTCGAACACGGAGAATCCTTAGAGCAGTGTGCCGTCCGAGAAGTCGAAGAAGAGGCCGGTATACGACTTGGTAACCCCTACTTTCTCACGGCCACGAATACTTTCTTTCGGGAAGATCGCAAGCATTATGTCACCATCTTCATGATTGCTCAAACGACCCATGTTGTAGGGGACCAGCCGCAACAGGCTCAGGTTAGTAATATGAGAATGACCTTCTCGAGGAATCTTCATTGCTCACATCGAGTCTGATGTAGCTGCTCGAACCTGAAAAGTGCGAAGGCTGGACATGGTCGACGTACGAAGAGATGCTCAATCTCCAGGATAATCAAGGCAACCAGCTGTTTCTGCCCCTGATATCTCTACGAGACCAGCGTCCTGATGTTTGCACATATCTGAGGTCTATGGGAGAGAAAGGTTCGTATTTGGCTCCAGAGATATATGGACGACTCTCCGCGTGAACGTGCAGCTGGACGCTCGTGATCCTCAGTTTGAGTCAACATCCGATCACGAAGGATAACGCAAGAACCTCTCGAGCTCCTTGTTAGAAGCATATTCTGGCAAAACCTGGATGATGCTCCGCACAAGCAGGGTTCAATCCTCATGCCGGCAGAGTGACAGGACTCGAACAACAAGCGAAGATGGCGGCCCAATTTCTGGCTCAGAAAGAAGGACGAGCGTGCAGAGGCTAGGGTCTGCCAAGAACTTGTGGCGACAGAACGACTTGAGTGCTGCTCGAGCATACTCTTCCTCGTGCATGATTCTCTTTCAAGTTTCGCTTCCGCAGCGCCCGTTGAAGCTGTTGCTGTGTGGGGCTCCTCTGCGGTGTGGCGATGATGATCACATTCGTGCGAGAGGTTATGTCTGCACTTGTTTGGGTATAACGAGCAATACATACACTCCTAATATGCCACTAAACGCTGTCCTTGAGCCCGAGAAGTAGCCAACACCTCGCTCATGCAGAATGCACTCATGTAATCATGACCTATGCCTTCATCGCTGTAAGCTTGCTGGGTAACCCGCCTAGTGAAATTCATTCACACTTGTCCTCGTGTTCTCCACACACCCTTCCTGCTCAGCTCAATCATCCCAGCTCTTCTCGACCGTTTCGCGTACACGCTTCGTATACTCCTTCCTGTTGTCCTTGTACAGATTGCTCGCCTCGACGTTCGCGGGACTAGATGTATTCGGGTCGTTGAGGAGACTGTGCATATTCAGATCGTTAGCATGTGCCGCAAAAGGTAGCACCTACTGCCTTCTCTCGAACATCCTCATCAACCAGCTCCCAGGTCTCCAACCTGCCCCAAAACTCCACAATCTCTACTCTTCATCATACATACCTCTGCACACTCGTCAAAATCGCCGCAACATCGTACGTCGGACTCCATCGGTTCTGCAAGATATCCAAACATAACTCCCCACTGCCGTAGACATTCGGATGAAACATCTGCGAGATGAATTTGACTCCCGGCGGCTTGTTGGGGTATTGCTCTTCGAAGTGCATGACCAGTCGGAATGTACCGTCTTCGAAGGGTGTGTCGGAGGGGCCGATGATTACTGCGTTCCTGTGCAGAGGAAGGGTGTTAGTCTTGCGCCCGTGGAAGGGATGAGTGTGATGGGGACAGGTCATGGAGAGGGCGGCGAGATAGCAGTGGCATGATCATACCATGTCATGACATTGTCGGCGATGGGACTCGCGCTCACGCCTGCTGGAGGATCGGTCTGCATGCGCTTGAAATCCCGCATCAATCGTCTCCTCGCCGCCGTCGACATCTTGCTTTGCTCCTGTTCTCGGACAACCCTTTTATTCCTATTTTTACTCTACCAGCTTCGCTTCTCGTCCCGCCTGTTCTTCCTCAATCACACTCAATTGCCACAATAGGTGGGATGAGTATGGCGGGGCACGTGAGGTGTGTTGATGAGCTCAGGATTGTTCCAGTGATGTGAAGGATGGTATAAAAGCAAGGTCTGATCCGTCCAGTTGATGCTATCGTTGTTCGGAAGATGTTCAGGGTTTGTAGATGCTGATGAACGTACGTGAGTCAAGGAAGGAAGGTGCGAGCTAAGCTTGGGGGACGTAAAGCGGATCCACTTCCGTCACCGAAGTGGCGGTACCATTCACTGACAGACTTGATAAAGCACAGGCCGCATGGTATGAGAAGCATCGAGGTGGTCACGTTGTATCGTCTGCAAGACTTGTAGTACACGAACGTTTGACGAGAGTGGAGATGGCCGTGAAGGTCAGTACCGCGCAGCGAAAGGGATATCACATTATCTACACGTTAACCAAAAGCCCACAGGAACGCTCCAAGCTCTATCCCACACAAGATAGGTATGGTCAGATTATCATCCAGTCCCCACAAATCTATCGCTTCACTCACGCTCGCCGCAAGTCCAGAAATAACACTCAGCACAGCCAAAGCCGGCCACCCAGTGACCTTAATATGAGACTGCAGCATCCCAGAATCCTTCAACATCTCAGAACCCTGAAACCGGGAACTAATATCCAGATTTCCCTGGAAAGCGAAACTATTGATGCCGGTGTTGTTCTGCGTCGAAGCTGGGACCAGCCCACTCCAGAAAAGCAAAGCGCAGCCGACGCCAACAACGAAAGCGGCGAGGCTACCTGCTAGACTCTTGCCTCGGCGGATACGGGGTGTATACCTTCCCCACGCCCTTCCGATCGTGGAAGCAGCTGTATCGCACCAACTAAGCAACAACACCGACATGATCGCGACATCCTTCCGACAGAACCTCATCGTGAACCAAATACCTGCTAGATAGCTTATAACCCCGTTGAACTGGTCGTGGGCTTCGGCCTCGCGCATGAATGGTCCAAGGGCGCGGATGTATACGCGATTCAGCGCTGGCCAGCGGAAACGGACAAGGTCTGTTGCTCCGATCGGGATGAGGAGAGAGAGGAGCAAGGGGTGGATGTCGGTTGGTTGGTAGCCGGCGGAGTAGAGGTAGAGGGCTAGGAAGCCTATCGAGACGTGGAGGACTTTGCGGGGGACCTTGACGACATATATGTTAGTATCAACTTTGCTGAGCGCAAATGCTGTCGTTGATCTGGATGCGACTCACCTCATGCTTATGCACAAAAGCCCTCCATTCCCGATGTATAGGTATCAGTCCCAACGGCGACGGACTCCTTGACAAACTCCGCCAGTATGCTGCACCGAAGCCTTCGCCTTCTTTTCGCGCACTTTCTGGGGATAGAAGTCCGTTTGCATCATCATCACCTCCTCCTACCGGCTGTATCCTATTCACTTCCTTTCGACTCCGCAGTGGTTTCGATCCGGCGACAGAGCTCGAGATACTGCCATTAGCAGTTCCCATCGCTCGGGTCTGTGGTCGTCGTTCGATTTGTGGAGAGCGACTTCGTGCTCGCGCGCGTGCTAATTCTGGGTCTTCTGCGCCGAGAGAGCCGTTTGGTACAGCTTCATCTTCTTCGATAGGTGGTATTGCGGTCTTCTGCTGTGATGTTGATGGGAAGTAGCCGTCCCTATTGCTCTGTTCGGAGGGCGTAGGCGAGGGCGAGATCACGCGAGGTGTTGCCGGTACTTGGTAACTCGACATGGTAGGAGCGGATCGTAGAGGGTGCTCGGGAGTGGACGGATGATAGATTTGTGCCTGCCCAGGCTAGATTGTAGGATATTTCGGAGTGCAGCTTCAAGTCCGGCTTCGTTTGATCCTGTCCAGAGAAATGCAGTCTGGATTCATATGACGGTTCCGTGGATATCATACAAGATGACAGGTGGCTATGGCATTGCTGCCCGTGGTAGATACAGAGTAGGGAAAGTAATGAAGCTGGAATGGTCCCGTGAGCTTGGAGCGTCGAGAGGGTAATGGTTGTCCAATATGAGCCAAAAGCCAGATTATCAATACTGGTAGTCAAGATACTTGTTATCGGAATACTAGAGGCTTGTTTGGCTACTGTCACATGTCAAAGCGCCACTTTCGCGACGACCCCTACTGGGTGACGTCGACAAACACCAAATATTTGTTCCGACAAATCCATGACTCCTCATCCAATCAACCATTTCGAATGATGCCTTTCGATATATCAAAATGCGCTCGGCCTAATATCCTCGCTTTAGAACCCTACCGCTGCGCTCGAGATGACTACAAAGACGATGGCACAAACATCCTCCTCGACGCCAATGAAAATGCATACGGGCCTGGACTGGCATTAAGCTCAGATGGCAAACTTGTCAATGGCGCGAACAAATCCGACATCTCGATCGATTTGCTAGGATTGAACCGCTATCCAGACCCACATCAACATGAACTCAAGCAACTCTTATGTGATTTTCGTAATACCCACGCCCACACGAACAAGGATCTCTCGCCGGAACACCTTTTCGTAGGCGTCGGCAGCGATGAAGCGATAGACGCCCTCCTCCGCGCGTTCTGCACACCAGGCAAAGACAAAGTACTCACATGTCCGCCCACGTACGGCATGTACGCCGTCTCGGCTCAAGTCAACGATGTCGAGGTCGTGAAAGCCACCTTGGACGTCAACAATAATTTCTCCATTCAAGCAGACAAGATCAATGTGCGCTTGTCGGCCGATCCCCAGATCAAGCTCATCTACCTCTGCTCTCCCGGCAATCCTACAGCGAGTCTGGTACAGAAAGAAGATGTTCAGAAAATCCTGGAACATCCCTCCTGGAACGGGATAGTAGTGCTAGATGAAGCTTACATCGATTTCGCTCCCGACGGTACGAGCTTAGCGGAATGGGTCCTCGAGTGGCCGAACCTCGTGGTCATGCAAACGATGTCTAAGGCTTTTGGACTTGCGGGCATCAGACTTGGAGCTGTCTTTGCGAGTGAGGAAGTGGCGAGGGTGCTGAATAATATGAAGGCACCTTACAATATCCCAAATCCAACGTCTCAGCTGGCGGTCCAGGCGCTGCAGCCGCATAATTTGCAGGTCATGCGAGAGAATAGGGCGAAGATCATTGAACAGCGAGATCGAATGTTGAAGGCTATGCCAAAGGTACCGGGTATCGGTTGCTTCCTTGGTGGTCGCGCCTCGAATTTCCTTCTTGTCGAGATGCTGGACAAGCCGAATGGCAGACCCAGCAACGAAGTCGCGCTACAAGTCTACGAGCGGTTGGCTGAAACGAGAGGGGTTGTGGTGAGGTTTCGAGGCAAGGAGCCGGGGTGTCTTGGGTGTTTACGTGTTACTGTAGGCACGAAGGATGAAGTTACGAGGTTCCTGCAGGAAATCAAGAGTGTGCTGGCGGATGTGTATGCTGGCAAGGGCAAGGTAAATGGTGTCAATGGGAAGATCGAGGACAGAAAGGAAGTCGAGGCGAATGGTATTATTGCTTGAGTTGGAAGGCTCTACATCCGCAAGGATATTACATGAGCTAGATGAGATGTGTGGTTAGCGAGCATAAGGCGCGACGCCCGCAACGTCACCAAAGACGATATCTAGATCGTGATTTAATGTTTCTTGTTAAGAACGCCTTAAACGGCCGTCATATTTCGGGCCTCAACTCAGCCGTGTAACCAGTGGTATAATTTGTCACGGCAGCTATCAAGCTAACGGAAGGGCTTCAACGGCCGGCAAGGAGCTGAGCACGTGTGCGCCATGGCTGCAGTGCTAAGAAAAATTGTAAAAGATGAAATGAGACTGGCTTCTCCATACGGATGTGCCAATGGTCCGGCGATGGTTGGTTGATGCCCTTTGTTTGCGAAGAGCAAGGCCGTGTGGACGCCGCGCAGGGTGTTTCCGGGAGTGCAATAATGATGTCTGATTTGCAGAGTAATGGCGGAGACTAGCGGATGCTCAACTTTGTTACGGAGTTCCGCTGCTGGCGGACCCGGTGTTCTCTCCTGAGGTTTCTGTTCAAACAGTCCAACAGCTTCCCTCTCGCCTCCAGTATGCTTTCATGAGTAGCAAAACGAGTGACTGAATTTCGACCCTGCCAGATGCTCAAGTGAGTGCTCCGACATCTGTCATCGACATGGCTTCCACAACCAGGTGGGCCACCTCAGATTTCTTCGCGGAACAGCATCGTTCGTCCAGAACGGAATGAGCAGCGCGTCGAGACATGCTGCCTCGGTTGCATACACCACGTCTTGCTTCCGGATGCATCTACAGATGGTGACAGTGTCTCGACTCTGATATTCCGTCCACTTCCCGACTCCAGGTGGGGATAGTCTCCACCTCCGCTTTCTAGTCTCCACCGCCATTGGAATCTGCCGGACTGCAAAGAACATCCGTAGCCAGATCTATTAGGATTCCACCAATAAAGCCGTGCTTTGAGGCTGAAGTGCGCAGCTCGTAGAGTGGCCACATGGCGATGGCATGGCGATGCATCCACCACTCTGAGCTGCAGGTCACTGGTAAGGTTTGTCCCGACATTTGGGTCTTGTATATATGTCCTTGGCTCCTAGGCCTACCATGTGCGATTCGTGATAACCCTTTGGCACGACAGACCTCAGAATGCTCACTACAACATTGATTACAGCAGCGCTGCCAATTCTTGCTTCGGCATTGCCACAACAGCATGGTTGGCCAGGACAAAACTGGCCCGGTCAAGGCTGGGGCGACAATGGTAACAACCAGCCTTACTTCTACAAAGGTTTCGACCTTTCCTCCTTGAAGATCGAGGAGGACGGCGGAGCTGTTTTCAAGGACACTTCACGTGGCAATGCCACCCGGCCTGTCGAGGACATTCTTGGTGATGGTGGTATGAACACTGTTCGACTCAGGTTATGGGTCAATCCCAAGGCACCTTATGATGGTAAGTATGGTCTTCGTCCGTCTCACAACGATAGGCTGACAAGACCTCTAGGTGGATACTACGAGTCGTATGGTCTCAACTACACCGTGCCGCTTGCGAAGCGATTTTACGACAAAGGCTACAAGGTAGAAAGCGAGTCGGACGGTATACATACGATTCATTGCTGATCAGATCAGATCTATCTGGATTACCACTTCAGCGACTACTGGGCGGATCCAAGCAAGCAAGCCGTGCCCGTCGAATGGCCAACGACTGTGCAACCTCTCGCTGCAACCCTTCGAAGTTATGTCTCAAGCACAATGCAAGCATTTGCTCACGCAGGTGTCGATCTCTCTATCGTCAGCTTGGGCAATGAAATCAGACACGGCATGCTGTGGCCTCTCGGCGAAGTCGATGTAGACATTGAGCCCGCGCAAGCCCGCGTCGCCAACTTCACAAATTTCGCCACGCTATGGGCTGCCGCTCGTAATGGTGTTAGGGATGCTGTTGCTAGCGGGGTCCACCAACCGCTTACTATGATACATATTGATGATGGGTGAGTCCTAGCCTTGCCTGAGTTGAGCCTTGACATGCTAAGTCGACCGCAGGTACAACCTTACTCTACAGCAAACTTGGTTTTCGTCCCTGACAGCTACTGGAAAGGTCAAGACTAGCGACTGGGGTATGTCCCGACTTCATCTGGATCTTCTACGTAGTCATTACTGATAGCTTTTCCAGATGTCTTCGGCTTCTCGTTCTACCCCTTCTATGGCACAGCGGCAACACTCTCAAACCTTAACGAGACGTTGACGACATTGGCAAACCAATACAATAAGCCTCTCCATGTCGTTGAAACAGACTGGCCAGATCAATGCTCAGGACCAACAGCACCCGAGCTCAGCGAGCCGAGTGTGCCTGTCTCTGTGGCTGGCCAGACCGAATGGGTACACGACATCATCGATGTTGTCAAGGGCGTTCCCCGTGGTCTTGGGCAAGGTATCAACTACTGGGAGCCTGCCTGGCTGAACAACACTGGACTTGGCAGTGCTTGTCAGGATGCGATTTTGTTCTCGGCAGACTGGAGTCACTATCCCAACGTGACTGGGTATAGCAGGGACAGTGTGAACATGTTCAAAGGTGTCTGAATCATTCAGTATAGATTAAGTGCTGCTACACACAGTCTTACTCTACGTGGCCTCTACACTATTCGTGGACATTTCGGTTCTCACTTCGCCGGAGCCGTTGTTGTTACATGGTTCTACAGCACGTTTGTCTGAGGCATGGTGCCCGTAATGATACACTTCAAGCAGGCGACCTAGTCAATGGCCTTGTATACTATTTCTCGTGGTATGAACAATGAGATAGGATCGCTCGACATGTGTTCCGTTGACCATCGCGATAGCAGTGCGCCCCAAACCTACAGCCCGGACTCGGACTGCGCTGCACTGGGCCCACTTCCTCGCCTTCTTTGAGTCATTTGTACTACCTAGCTACTTCCTAACTTAAAGCTACTAAGCAGATTTCACTGAAGCCTACCCATCAAACCCGTTCGCTACTTCTGATAAGATCTGCTCTTGCCATCTGGAGGAAGGCAACTGCATGCTTCAATCTTGCACATCTCGCAAACATGTCTAACTCCTGCCAACCCCCCAGCTACACAGAGTGTGTACCGCTCAATGGAAACGAGTCTACAATCTTAGGTTCACGAACGGGATTGAAACACGACGATTGCATGCAGCCAGACCCTAGTCCTGCATCTAACAAGTCCACAGAGGTCAACAGTATGGCAATGGGCTTCGCCCTTATGCAGCGACGCGTACATATCGGAGGAGGAGGTTGTGATCAGACTTCTCGCGAGCTCGAATACGCTGCTCAGAAGTTCCAGGATCACCCAATCTTTTGGGAGGGGCGCAGACCTGGGCTTGGGTCACAAATGCGCATGCATCGATTTACAGCATCATTGTCTTGGAAGACGTCTGGTGCCCTCGCTATGGTCGCTGTCTGGCTCGTGTCTATAGCTGTGGTGGGTTGGCAGTCCGGGAAACACAAGGAATGGAAGTGCAAGTCAGTCTGGTATACCTTCCTGGCCTCGATCGTTGCGTTTGGACTAGGCTACGCCGCTTCAGGATGCTTCCACATCGTCATTGAATCACAATTAGACAAATCTGGTTACCGCCAGATCCTAGTCGTCCTTCGTGGCTACCTCCCCTTCTTCATCATGCTCCTGAGCGCTGGACTCGCGACATACCTCAGCCCGAGCTGTTGAGTGGCAGCCATTTACAGAGCCCGACAGTAGACACTTCAAGCAAGATAGCTCTACCCACCATCTCAACTCGGCAACTCCGTCCTCGGCTACGAAGTTTAGCCGGCTAAATGGATGAATAGCCATACAGAAGTGGATACCATGAAACACCACACTGCAAGTAAGCCTTCTATGCAGCTTTCCTGAAGTATGCTTGAATTGTTCTTCGACATTCAAATTGTCCCAACCACCACAAATTTGGGACAAACAGCAAATTCATAGGCACAATGCCTCCAATAACAAACCCAATCCTCCCAGGCTTCAATGCCGACCCCTCCATTCTGCGGGTGGGAGACGACTACTACATCGCCACCTCAACATTTGAATGGTTCCCGGGCGTCCAGATCCACCACTCCACGGACCTGGCGAACTGGGACCTTGTCACCCGGCCTCTGAACAGGAAATCTCAGCTTGATATGCGAGGTAACCCTGACAGTTGTGGTATTTGGGCTCCATGCCTCACGCACGATGGAGAGAAGTACTGGCTCGTGTACACAGACGTCAAACGCAAGGACGGCTCTTTCAAGGACACGCACAACTACATCGTCTCCGCGGATAAGATTGAGGGACCTTGGAGTGACCCTTGGTATGTCAACAGCTCTGGTTTCGATCCATCTCTATTCCATGATGCGGATACGGGAAAGAAATGGTTTGTCAACATGCTTTGGGATCATCGTCGTCGGCCACGAGCATTTGCTGGTATCAGATTGCAGGAATGGGATGCTAAAGCTGGAAAGCTCATTGGTGAACGAAAGACAATCTTCTATGGTTCCGAGCTAGATTTAGTTGAGGGCCCACATCTTTACAAGCGGAATGGGTACTACTATCTTCTGACCGCCGAGGGAGGCACAGGCTACACACATGCATGCACCCTGGCCCGATCGAAGGGGATCTGGGGACCCTATGAGATACATCCCGAGACGCACATCTTGACAGCCAAAGACGATATTCACGCCGCTATTCAACGATCCGGCCACGGCGACATCGTCGATACTCCAGACGGCAAAACTTACCTCGTCCACCTCATGGGCCGTCCGACGACACAACTGCGACGTTGTGTCCTTGGGCGTGAATGCGGCATCCAAGAGTGTTACTGGAAAGACGACTGGCTGTACGTCAAGAATGGTCCCGTGCCCTCCCTGCATGTCGAAGTTCCTGGAACGAAGGACGAGGAGAAGTACTGGGCCGAGCAGAAATACACGTTTGACAAACAGCTCCACAAAGACTTTCAATGGCTTCGCACACCAGAACCCGAACGCATCTTCTCCATCAACGACAGCCAACTCACCCTCTACGGCCGCGAAAGCATAGGCTCCTGGTTTGAACAAGCACTCGTCGCCCGTCGCCAAACACATTTCTCCTATGATGCCGAGACCGTAGTCGACTTTAACCCAGAAGATGAACGACATTTCGCCGGTCTCACGGCGTATTACTGCCGCTTTAACTTCTTCTACCTCACCGTCTCCGGGACTGAAGACGGCAAGAGAGAACTCCTGCTCCTCACATCCGAAGTCTCTTTCCCACACGGTGATTTGGAGCAACCACTCGCAGCTCCGGTGCGGCTGCCAGATAAGGGGAAGGTGAAGCTTGCTCTTACTATTCGTGGGGCCAAGCTACAATTCTTCTATGCCGTTGTGGGCGAAGCCCAGGAGGAGCTAAAGAAGATCGGCCCGGTGTATGATGCTTCTATCCTCTGTGATGAGTGTGGTGGGCACAGGAATGAGGGCTCGTTCACTGGTGCGTTCGTGGGTATGGCAGCTTCGGATCTTAATGGTACCGCGCCCGTGAAGGAGGCGAAGTTTGATTACTTTCTTTACAGGCCGCAGAAGCATGTGACGGATAGGTATGAGGTGAAGGGACAATAATCGTGTAGTCATGAGAAGCGTTGTCGAACAAATGACGTACTCCCATTTGGCGTTGTCCACATCTGTATCTTGTCCATCCAGGAATATCCGTCCTGTATCCAGCATCATACACGAGACCCAGATCCTGCATCAAGCACTTCCTATTGCCATCGATCCAAGATGAGAAACGCCGCGCTAACCCAAGATGACCAACATTCAATACCTAGACACAATTCCAACACTGACCTAACTACTCTTCAAATGCCCTTCGCCACCAAACCGACTCGAACCAGCGAACCGTACACTCTTTGCCGTCCCTCCGGCACCTGCCTGCCCAATCGATCGTCCAAATATACTCGTCCGCAGAGGCGGTAGAGGCGTTGTACTCTCGCCTCCTCCCCCTAGACCCGCACGGAAGCCACCAGCTCGCAACTTTCGAGCAAAAGGCGTAACCTGAGGCGCCAACGCGTCTAAGCCACCAACGCTGTGATCGACCGTTGTGGTGTGATCGATCGCCAAAGACGCTTGCCTGGTTCCGAGTGGGGCAGGCGTAGTTGCTAGATAGCTGCGTTCGAAAGCAAAAGGTGTTACCACCGCAGGCGTGGGCAGTGGTCTGAACCTCCCGGCTCTGCGCGAGCGAGACGGTGTACGCATATACGCTGGCGTTACCTGTGGAGGCGACGAGGTGAGATGTGAATCCCTGTACGGAAGAGCGGAAGATCGCTCAGCAGCGCGGCTCGCAGGGCGTAGACTAGGACTCTCTGGCTCCTCATCTCTGCCACCTTGTCCCTCTTGCTCGCCCAAGCGCATGGCCCTGCGTTCCGCGGTCTGGACGGCCCAAGTACGAAGCATATTCCTCACATGTGCGTCACGATTACGAAACCAGAGGGCTTCGGCGCTTTGTGCTCGTTGTGTAGCCGTAAAGTGCGCCCACTGTATTCTTTTGAAGGCCGAGGCTAAGAGCGCAAGATCGACGTCTTGCTTGAAGACAATGGCTTGCTCCTTGACAGAGAGCAGAAGGACGTGCCGGTTTGCGAGAGCCGAGAAGGCGGAGGAAAGCAGGCGTTGTTCGTCCAGCTCCGTAGCGTGCTCGCGCATCTGCTGTACCTGTGCAGCCTTTGAACGCCATCTTTGAAAATTTCTGGTGCCAGTAGTCATCGCACGCCGCTGTGAGAATTGTTCCGCCTCTGTATTCATGCTGACGCGAATTTGTGTCCTATTCTGCCACTGGTCCAAAGCGGAACTGACAACTCTGATCTTGATCCGCGCCCTCACAGCAGCATAAGCATTCCGTCTCCTCGCATGCTGCTCCTCGGTCGTCTGCTCATGCCATACAGCCAGCGTCCTCGTACAGAGGGTATAAAATCTGGCGTCTTGTGCCCACTTGTTCAGCTGCTGGACTTTGCGAAACTTCGTCGTGAGAGCAAACATTGCGTTGGGCAGAGCGCGGGCGGAAGCAAACTCAACGGCGGCTCGCTCTGCGTCCTCGCGTTTGCGCAGAGCGAGATTCAGTCTGACCAATCCAATGCTTAGAAGACGGCGTTCTTGGGCTTCACGGAAAGCCACCTCCATGTCCTGGGTCTGCGTCTGTAGAGTGAGGAGTCGTTCGGTCCAGACACACATCACCCGCCGCAACAGCTTCGCTTCGAGCGTCCGTCTAAAGAGGCGCATGCGTTCGGCAAGCACCCATTTGTACAGACTTTCGATCAAGATCCTGTCATCGATCCTCTGACCAAGCGCTCGGCAGCGTAGAGCATCATTCCATTGGGTCCATGCAGATTGTAAGACACGCTTACGCTCGACTTCACCGGCTTGCTGGGTCAACAAGAGGTGTAGATGCCAGATACGGAACGCTTTGCGCTGAAGATCAAGTCGTACTTTGAGCGTCAACGCACGACCGAATGGCTCCAGGCGTGCTTGGATCGTAATGGTCTTGAAGATCCGACAAGTAAAGGTTCGGACGTAATATGCTTGTGCCTGGTGCGAGGCCTGTTGATGGTGGGCAGCTCGATTTCGCACAGCAGACATGGCACGAGCCAAGGCAAGCCGCCTATCGTGCTGGCGCGCCAGGTCCTCTTGGTCTTTCCGAACAGCTAAACGTCCCTCCCAAGCAGTCAAAGAGCGCCTCTTCGTGTTGTCATCTCGCCACCCTTCTACTCTCCTGGAGCAGAAATGCCAGAACCACGACTTCCAACATCTCTGCACTTGCTGTTCTTCGCAAAAGGCCACAGCTTGTTCCTCTTTCAGCTGTCTCCGCGCAAGCTTCTCTCTCCATACAGGGAGATACTTCTTCCTCAAGATACTACGAGCTTTCACAATGTTCTCCTGAGCAATTAGCTTCCAGCGATGAAAATATCGATACTGTAGCATATGCCGTAGGCCCTCCGCTACTTGCTCGCGTTGATATTTAATGGAGGCGTCCCAGTGGGAAATACTTCGGCGCATGAGGTCACGTATGTACCGTTCGCTTGCGACTGCGTCCTGGTGTTTGCGGAGCTCATCTTCAGTTTTTGCATCTTGGCGGACTGTGAAGTGAGCCCGCCATTGGTCCAAGGCTTGCTTCGCTAGGACGTGGCGGTCGTGTGCAGTGGCAATCGCATTTGCCTGTTGCTGAGACTGGTACAGTGCAAGTGTTCGATCATGCCAGATATGAAGTACTCGTCGAGCAATACGGATGGCAGAGGTGTCCGCGAAGGCTTCAGCGTTCTGCTCAAGCTGGGTCTGGGATGGTTGAAACAGTAATGTTGGGTTAACATGATCATCGTACTCCGAGGTATAGTTGGTAGAGGGCGATACTGGCCTCTGGTTCGGTGCTGGCCGACTGCTAAAGTTCCGAGGTTCGCGATGAGAGCTGATCGATCTGGCGCGTCGTTCTGTCCCATCTGGTAATCGTGCTCGTCGCGCTGGTTGTGCGAGTAATCTAACTCGTCTCTGCTTCGATGGCGAGATTGCCACAGAACGTGAGTGCTCACTCAACCACGTCTCATCCAACCTCGCATCATTGAAGCTGACTCTCCTCTTCCCGGCCTGCTTTCGCCGCTCACCAGAGTTGACGGCATCGCCCGCATGACCCTCTCGTCCTTCCTGCTCCCTCGTGACCTCACTGACACCATCCCCACCATCACTCTCCTCCAAGACGGTAATGCCCTGCGACTGCAGGATACTTTTCAAGCATCCCACCAAATCCAATCGCCCGTCCCCTGCGCGACTTCCTCCCTCGCGCGCGGCCTCTCCCACGCGCAGTAGGTAACGAAACACAACACCATCGTGCTCCGCCTCAATAGCTTGTTCCTGGAAGATGCGGTCATAAGCCGAGAAAAGCGCTCGAAAGGGCGGGGCATTGTTGTCGTTGGCTAGTGTGCAGATTTGGTGTAGCAGGTTGATGTCTGATGCGCTGTATTAGCAGGCTCGTCGCGTCATGGTCTGAATCGATTGCCATACCTTCGTCGCTCAGCTCAGGTAGCTCATCGGGTATGGGAGCATTATCAGACATGTGCCGGCTTGGTTGATCGATCAATGGATTATGGCCTTCCGCCGCACGCGCTTCCAGCACAGCCAGGTCATCGGGCGTGGTATGGCATATGTACTTACTGTCGTGCTATCGCATACAGTCTAGGACTGTTCCAAAGCAATGCGCCAACAGTTCGTGAATTGCGAGTGTCTATCGCATCGAATTGTTGTCAAGCGCGTATCGAGCGCGTTCCAGTGAGGCGGAAGCATCCCGCTGTCTGCGCTAGCCGCTTCCTTCGATATGCGCCTTCGCGCCTCCCGGAGAACTACGTAAAACATACATCCAGCGATGTTACCAGTGCTTCGCTCTCATGCGCTACGGCCTAGCCGTACACTGATACATCGGACAGTGCGTTTCTCACGAAGACACAACGGCGTCCCAAACAATAATGGTCCACACACGACATACTTCCAACCACCCCTTGAGCCGCCAAAGACTCGATGGGGGCGAATCACAATCGCGGGACTCTTACTTGTGAGCTCAGGCTTCCTAGGTGGCGTCTGGATCTCAGCAAAGGCTCTCACAGCTAAGAACCTGGGCGCCGAGCTGCAAGATCTCGCCGAAGATGCTGCAGCTCTCGAGGACGCCATGGCGGAAGCTGTGCATGCGGCAGCAGCCAAAGGTGTTCCGCCAATGGATCTGGAACGTTCGCAGGAGATGCTGGAGACCCGCGCTGGATACTCGGTCAACCACAAGGTAGTCGCCCACACAGCACAACTACCCAGTAACCTTCCTTGCGAGGATCAATGGTCATGTGGCGCGTTTGATCTCTATCACGACCCCAAAAAGGACTGGGCCGAATTCGCTATCTTTGACGGTCATGCTGGGCCACGAATGGCTATGTTGCTAAGGGATTGGCTACCCGGTACCATCGGCCAAACAATGTGGAGCGAGAACTGTTTCGGCCGTCCATATGTACCAAATGATCCTCACATCATCAAGACGATCAAGAATATCTTCTACTCATTCGATAACGATCTTGTCGAGACTGGCCTACGGCATATCAGAGACGGTATGCCAGATCGAGCAGCTGTTGTTGCCGCTGCTGCCGCTGCTTTCTCCGGCTCCTGCGCTCTTCTGGCCCTCTACGACCCAGCGAAAGATGTCCTACGAGTGGCAAACGTAGGTGACTCACGTGCAGTGCTCGGACGATGGGATGGTCAACAGAACAAGTATATCGCACAAGCCATGTCCATCGACCAAACAGGATTCAACCAAGACGAAGTCAAACGCATCAACGCCGACCACCCAGACGAAGAGGTTATCGACCACAAAACCGGCCGCATTCATGGCCTGGCAGTCTCCCGTGCCTTTGGCGACGCACGATGGAAATGGCCGCAAGACATCTCCCGTCGCGCACATGAATTATTCTGGGGACCAAATCCACGACCAGATGCTAAAATCCTCACTCCACCATATCTTACAGCCGAGCCCGAAATAATGGAGACCAAGGTCCGAACGGGAGATAAACCTGACTTCCTGATCATGGCTTCCGACGGCCTGTGGGACCAGATGAGCAACGATGACGCCGTGATATGCGTGCAGATGTGGTTGGACAAGAACAAACCAACCGACTTCGCTACCAAAGCTGCAGAGGCAGCGAAGGGAGCGGCGATCAATCCTTTCCGCGGCAGCGCACCAGCTCAAGCTACTGCTTCTCTACCTGGCCTCTTCGAGAATCGCAGACCCGGTTTCACCTCACCCACCGACCTAGACGCTGGGTCCGAGGACGAAGAAGTCTACTACGACGCCGACGAACGCACGTTGAAGTGGAAAGTCAGCCCCAAGCACTTCGTTGTCGAAGACGAGAATTGTGGTATCCATCTGATCAAGAATGCGCTTGGAGGGAGGAGACGGGATTTGTTCATGGGTGTCATGAGCGTGCAGCCGCCGCTGTCGAGGAACGTTAGGGACGATATTACTGTGCATGTCATTTTCTTTGGGCAGGATGCTGATCTCAAGTTCCTTGAGGGTGCAGGTGTGGGTCGCAAGTAGTGGGTGGTGTATGTGCATTATTATTGAGAGATGGCTTGGGGAGGCTCAATGCATAGCGGTGGCGTTCTTTCAGGCCGTTGGGCTCTCTGATGAGCAAGGGAGCCGGAATTCTCTGCATGTAGCGCATACCCAAATAGCGAGTAGCAGAGTAACGTCCCTCTATACTTGTCTGCAGCTGCAAACAACGAGCTTGTGCCGCGCGGCTAGCATACACGATGATCAATAACGCATGCTATCGGATCTCGGGGGACGTGAGTTTCCACCACTAACGATGTCTCGCAATGTCCTTCGTACCCATACTGCCATGCTCACTACCATACAAAGTCCCATCACGAAGTCTAGAGCCATTGTCGCTTGGCCAGAAAGCCCAGTAAACAGCATAAGTACGACATGAAGAAGTGCTTTCAGTATAGACCCTGTGCCCTTGAAACACGAGTTTACTATATCCGGCAATTCAATAGCGTGTTGGTACTGCTTGAAGCTCGTCACCCCGACATCAGGCTCCCAGTCGAAGATTGGTTCGCTCGGAATGAAGGCAGCAAGACTCGAGATCGCAAGTGCCCAGCAGAAAAGAAATGAGGTGAGGAGGATTGCCAGTAGTCCGCATATCGCGAGGAAGGGAATGAGATAAGCTGCGATGCACCAGTGCAGTGCCGTCCTTGTCGCTGACCAAGCTACAGACGAGCCCAGGTATTGTTGCAGGAAGTGTTGGGTCAGTGGCGATGCGGACAAAAGTATCCCAGAGATGAACATAAATGGCAAGAGTCGGAACGCTAAAAACTTTGCGATGTCCCAAGGTACGATCCAAGGATAATGATGGCACCTTCGCTGGATATGTCTGTATGCACTGCGAATCGGGTCGAATTGACGCTGGATCCATAGCCATCTCAGATCACGCTTTCTCGGCATAGGCGTCGCGTGCACACTGGCTTTTCTGGCCACAAATAACAGATCCCGCTTACTCAGTCCATTTATCCTTGCCAGCCGACCCACGAAGAGCATTTTCTGCGCCAGACGGCAAAACCGCTCCTTCCCAAAATTCGACTGCCTAAAATCCCGACTCCCGTACGTATCAAAGCGCAGACAGGTGGGGTGGAAGGTGCGTAATCGTGGATCCCAGGGTATTAAGGCCAGATAGTCGCCATTTGGGGAATGGTCAAAAGACTCATTATATCGATGATTTAGAGGGTTAGTGACATGCAGAACAATATCGATGTGCTTGATTGCGGCGCATGCCGGCGGGCCTATGTTTAGGAGCCATTTGTAAAAGTCTAGGAATTCGGCAGACATGGCGTGGCTCATGATGTCAATCCGAAACCTGGTTAGAGCAAAGAACATAAGATATGTTTCCAAGCGTAGCCGTTGGCAAGTCTGGTGTAAGCCAGGCATCTTGTCGTCCTTGATGTTGTGGGTGCCTATCGAGAAGAAGCAGAGCGTCCATATTTGGGCACGAATCTCGGCAGGCAAGGCCAGGAGCCGGCCGTCTTGTACACCAGTACTGGCGTCTTCTTCTGAGCCAAAGCTTTCATCTACGTTGACAGCCTCGTGATCCGCTCGAGCTGTGTCGGCTTCATCTCCCTCGATCATGCCTTCTTCCCGGCCGATTTCTGAGGCAAATATCAATTATGAGTGGACTTCATGATTGTAAGGAACATCGTACCAAGTAGCAGTCCTTGAGTCTCATGAACTCCTGAGCGCACATATCCTTCTTGGCGTTCTGATAATTTGCTGCTATGCATTTGCCGTACACGGCACCCTGCGTGCTCTCGTTAGCCAGATTCATCAACATGATATCGTGGGAGGCACACTTCGGCAGTACACCTCGCTGTAGCTTCCGCGAACTTCTCGATGGGCCTTGTTCGTCCTGGCATGATTCGTAGCGCAGGTGTGAGTAACGGCAGACGATCATAGGGATGGAAGACGAGACGAAGTCAACTCGTGATCTCATTCGAGGTTCGGCCCGCTCTAGCCCGAAGCTCTGACGGTACAGGTCGACGAGACATTAGCTCCTATGGTTTCTCGTTCTTACTCATAGTACTGCCAGTGTTTACATGAGAGTGTACCAACGGTACAGAGTAGCGCCCATCGCAAGGGCTTAATTTCCCCCTTAGCAGCGTTCGTTAGCATTTCCTCTAGTCAGAACGCCTAACGTAGCTACCTTGCACGAGATCATCCATCTGGAAATATGAACGCCGGCACTTTGCTCGTTGGATAAGCTCGGGCTGGCTGGTTTCGCAGCATTGGCATGGAGATAGGCTCTAGCATGGGAGGAATAGCTAGGTTTGCATGGATAAAGTAAGGCAGAACTCCTCGAAGGAAGCACGATTTTGCAATTTGTAGCTCTGGAGCAGGTCAATGCCATCATCGTTGAGTGGTTAAAAAAGTACAATCCTGTCAGTTCAGAGACCTGCGATCGCACTGATGAGAGCAGACAGAAGGTCGGTATTTCACGATCAAATCATACAAGCCGCAAGCTCGTTCCGTGGGTATCTCAGTCATACAGTCGAGATCATCTTCATATATATCCCCCCCTGCTAGCATCTACACCTGGAATGCTCGCGACACAACACTAGGCTTGTGGCCCTCAGACCAGCTCGCACGTCGCTCCTGGGCGTTTTTAGCATCGTTCGCAGCAATGACATCCTCGCCCGTCTCGGCATGATCCAACATCGATTCGTGATGCGGGAAGAAGCGGTTGAAGAGCCAGTAGAAGATGCCGGCCGCAAAGAAGGAATAAATGTAGCCGATCGCGAAGCTATGGTTGTAGTCAGTACCTACGTATTTCTGGAAAATCGCGTCTGGTCAGACTTACAGATGCTGGCCACCAATCGTGACACTAGTCTTCTGACCACCTGCTTGCTGGATGTTGTCCACAAATCCGGGAAGAGCTGGTGTGCAGCCAATGAAGAAGGCCACCACGGCTCTCCAATTCGTCCCGAATTTGGGAGAGTAGCGATAAATACCATGAAAGTCGTACATGTCTGGTACGGAGACCTTGGTCTTGCGGACAATGAAGTAGCTAGGATTTCATGTCAGGACTCAGACCGCTCCTCTGCCATCTGGTGGGACTCACTCGGTCATGAGGATACTCGTCATCGGGCCTAAGAATATCGTATATCCTCCCAGGAAAGCAAGGAACTTCGCTGCGGAAGCCAGGATTTTCCACTACATAGATGGTCAGTGAACGCCATAAGGTTGGAGGTCAGAAGGAGGACTTACTGGCACGAACGCCCAGCTACCAATAACAGCAGCAAGTAGCTGACCTCGTCTGATGTTGATGTACTTCGGGCAGAAAGCCATAAGATCGTTGGCAGCACTGATCGAGTTGGCGGAGATGTTGATACCAAGGGTGACAATGAGAAGACCGATGGCAGCGAAAGCCGCCGCAGCACGACTGGCATGCGAGCCGGACTCCATCCACAGCTTGACGATGTCAATCGGATTCCACATCACTTTACCGTAGGCCGGCTCTGCGGCTGCGGCAGTGAAGATGCCGAGGAGGCCGACGATGGCTGATGAGGTATTGAGTCAGAATGAATGGCTGCTCAGAACACGACATCGAGTACTTACTGAAGACGATCGGGATAACGATGGCCTGAACGTTCTGCGCACTAGGTTTGTTGGCATAGCGGGAGAAATCGGCAATGTTCAGGCCGAGAGTGGCGTAATTCCCTAGTACTCCGTTCAAGTTGCTGAAGAAGGCCCAGACGAGCAGGGAGCCGTTGATTTTGGGTTCGCCGATACCCGTGATCACGCTGCTGTTGCTGATAGTGCCGCCTGCCTTGTGCAATGTGCTGCCAAAGATAGCGATGAAGACGATCGGAGCGATCACACTTTTACATGCGAAAAAGTATTGGACCTAGAGTTATGTGAGCAGATTCATAGATTGATGCTGTGGGTCACAATAAATACCTTCGTGTAGGGGATGCACAAGAAAGGTAGTTGCAACAGGAAGTAGAGAACGAAGGCACACATGCCACCAGTCGTGATACCCTCGCTCAGTGGGATGGTATTAGGGATGTTGGCGAAGCTAGGCCAAATAGCTGTGAGCAGAACTTCCATGCATTGTCCTCCAGTGGTCGTTTGGACACTATCCTTTGTCAGTGTGAGGACTACCGAGTCGATGTGAAGTATGCTCACCCGAGCCAGACGATGGCGAGGACACAGCGGGACAAGACAACGAAATAGCTGAAGTAGTAGCCAAACGGCATACGTGCGAGAACCGGGAATGGCGTATGCAGCTACTAAAAGTCAGCATCAAGGTCATGGTGTCCAAGACCATGCACTGCCTTACAGTAGCACCTATTCTGCCATTCGTCGTGATGACCAAGCCCATGAGCGTATTGCCCAGGACACAGGCACCGATAGCCATCTTCCAGCTCAAGCCAACCGCGATCATGGACGAGGCTGTGCCGCGCATGTCAGCTACAATTCCAACCACACATCGACTTAGTCCAGGAAGATTAGTAACTCACCAACCTCCCAATTGGACACAGCCCAAGCATCGGCCATCCAGTACGCGACATAAGCACCCCAGTTCCATGTTCGCTTTGACGGCGGAATGGGATCGAAATCCGCATTGGACGCATTTGGAGTCCGGGCGAAGGAGCTCTCTTCCTGTTTTACTGCGAGACTGAAACCTGGCATGCGACTCCGAAGCTTTCCGACCTGTCCTGTGCCGACTGGTTCGACAGTGGAGGACGACGGGGAGGTCTTCTCCATTGGGTACGCAGATTTGTTATCCATGGCTGACTGTGGTTGAATTACAAGTTAATCCACAGCACGGCTCAGGTAGCTTCGTACGTTGTATGTGTGCCGCGATGAACAACAGTGGTACGGCAGAATGGCAGCGAGAACGGCCAGTGAGATATACTTCGCTCACCACGATAGTTGAGAAATCTCTTCCTACCGATAATATAGATGTTCACACGGTCACACGCGAAAAAGCGTGCGCACGTCGCCGTAGGCCGGCCATGCAATGTTGAGCCAGTCATGAAGAAGCAGCTTATCGGACGTGGGAAAACGCTGTCGCAGGCAAGCTCTTATCATTGACCATTTCGTTCTCGGACCTTGCTCACCCCGGATCTGACTGCGGCTCTTGGCGCGGGGCGTGATAAGCTGCTCATCGTAGTGCAAGCTTAAGCGAGGAGACATAGGGCTCAGTTATTGCTCGCGTGTCATATTCCTCGGGCATATCGAGGTTGTTGTCTGGACAAGTCGATCGCTTTTTTTGCTTTTGCCAGGGCTCGTCGGCGTCGTGAGATCTGCTCTCGATCATCTTGCGATGTGATCGCCGGTACCGCACACTGATCGACTAACCCGCTGTAGTCTTCAGCGACCGCATCAGCGATTCATCACAGCAGCGATCTTTTCGTGAGAGACCACACGATTGCAAAAGCCTCACATGCTTCGCCATGACGGCACTACAAACTCGAGTTGCGTGGCCGTCCTGCAGCGTCAATCTTTTACGCAAGACTTAGCTCACAGAAGGCCAGTAAATTGTGATGTTGTTTGATGTTGGATAGTTTCGATTCGCTCTTGTTGTGAAGACTCATCTAACCAGAAGTGTCGTTCATCCCATTCGTGGCGGTCACATCACGCTACACTCCGTGCCTTGCGTTTTGCCGCCATTGGACGTAGTCGTCATAGCAGCAGTCTTGGCGATATCCTCGAAGACCTCACGGCAGAGCTTGTGAAGTGATCAGTGCATATTCTCGGGTTGTTTTTCTACCCTGTCCTCACCTCTCCCGTCAAAGCACTGCACTCGCAGTACCGGTCACATCTCATTTCCTGGGCGATCCTAAGCGCCTCCTGCGGATAGACGAACTGCCTCTTCTCGTTTACGTTGCCTCCATAGTCCGCTTTGCTTCTCACGTCCCGCTTCAGTCCTAGCACAATCACTGGCATGCTCTCATCGTAGTTGAAGTGTGTCTCGACTACATTCTTCCATGTTTTCTGCAAGCTCTCCAAGCTCTCAGGGTCGCCAATGGAGTAGCACATGATGATGACGGATGGTCGAAGCAGGGTGTAGTTTGTGGGCGAAGCCGTATCAGAGAATTCGAAACGGTAAGGTCGATTGTACATCCTTATGTTGAACGGGTAGGGTTGGTCCAGATCTCGCAAGCGAGGGAGCTTAGCATCTGGAGGTGCATCACGGCCTAGGGTAAGACGACTGTGCCGAAGCGACGGTTATGAGCAAGGAGATGGTCACGATGCCGGGATGAGGAAGCGACGTACGAAAGGAAAAGTGATTTGCCTACTCCCGCGTCTCCAAGAAGTAAGATTGATACTTCTGGTGGGTCTTCCTCAGGATACGCCATGGTAGACTTGATGTTGTCCTTGACATTGATGAGTGCATGGAATCAGGAGCATGTGAAAGTGCAAGTGAATGCTTGTTCGCGTACCTCATGTCATCCTATGGTCCAAGCGCCAAACTGCCGAAAAGAATAGCTAAGCCACATGAAGAACTGCGTTTCTGAAGAAGTAGTCACAATGAACAAAAGCACGTATTTGACACGCGAGTTGAGTCTTAGGAGCTGCTGGACAGTATCAAAACTAAGCTCAAGGGGGCTGGCACACCGAGGTGAAGCATCGAAGGGTTGAGTGAAGGGAGGGAAAGGACAAACTTCATACCACTTTGGCCATCGAAGCAATCTGCAGCCCACCTTCACCACAGTACACATCTACTGTATAGATCGACATCCGCTGGGCCACCGCTAGGATGGTCCGCAACATTGTCCTCTTTTCGGGCACCTCGCACCCACAATTGGCGGAGACGATCTGCACACACCTAGGCATACCACCAGCCAAGATTCACCTCTCCAAGTTCAGCGTTGGTGAGACACGAGTAGAGATTGGCGACAGCGTACGCGAGAAGGATGTCTTCATTGTGCAGTCTGGTGGTGGAAAAGTCAACGATCACCTTATGGAGCTGCTGATCACCATCAGCGCATGCAAGACAGCAAGTGCCAAGAAAGTCACTGCTGTATTGCCTCTGTTCCCTTATAGTCGACAAAGTGATCTGCCATACAACAAGATCGGTGCGCCATTGGCACGTATGCCTACACAAACTGGTCAGGAGGGAGAGAAGAAGAGCTTCACATTCGACAGCAGACCTACGACACCACATCCTTTGCAGAGGGAGAGTGGAGGTGTAGAGGGCAATGGTAGCGCGAGTCTTAGCAGAAGACTGAATGGTCTGAGCATCGGGCACAAGAACGGCGACGTGGACCCAAAGGCACCCATGCCGAGACGGAAGGACACTCTGGATAGTATCCAGTCTGACACGTCCTTCTCAGCAGCAAGTGGAACGGGCAGCTACTTCGATGAAACCAACCCGCAAGCTCCGACCTCAGCTGCCGCGGCAGTCTCCTCCACATCAGCTCCTCCTCCCGAGTTCAAGCCGCAGCGAGGGTACAAGCAGTGGGTGGCCCAGGCTGGCACACTTGTGGCTGATCTCCTCACTTGCGCTGGCGCTGACCATGTCATTACTATGGACCTCCACGACCCGCAGTATCAAGGGTTCTTCGACATACCTGTGGACAATCTGTATGGTCGACACCTATTGCGCAAATACATTCAGATGCAAATAATTCCTAAGCACGGTGGTCCAGAGAACTGTGTGATTGTGTCACCCGATGCTGGAGGAGCGAAGAGGGCGACTCACATTGCAGACTCATTACAGATGGACTTTGCATTGATTCATAAGGTATGTCCAGACTTCACGGAGCTGCACTAGCCTTTACTCATAATGGTTCACAGGAACGCCGTCCAACCCACGCCCAAGACCGCCAAAACGCAACCATGCTCCTCGTTGGCGCAGTAGCAGGCCGAACAGCAATTCTCGTCGACGATCTAGCAGATACCAGCAACACCATCACTCGCGCCGCCAAACTTCTCAAAAAAGAAGGCGCTTCTCGCGTCTACGCACTCGTTACGCATGGCGTCTTCTCCGGTGACGCAGTAGAGCGTATCAACGCTAGTGCCCTAGACAAGGTTGTCACTACCAACAGTGTGCCACAAGAGGAGCATTTGGCGAATTGTCCTAAGCTCGAGGTTCTGGAGGTTGGGCATGTTTTTGCTGAGGCGATTCGCAGGGTGCATCATGGAGAGAGTATTAGTGTGCTCTTTCAGTATGATTGAGTGCAGGCGACCAGTACTCCGACGTCTGTCAGTTCCTGCGAGGCGCTCTGTGGGGTTGGTGAATCGGCGTTGATGGTTGTGTCCCGCAGGTAGCGGATCATCTCGGCTTGCCATGCCGATGTACTTCTACATTACCTAGTGGCTTGTCATCTTGGCCTCTAGCTCGATATGTCACACTCATTCCATTCTCATCCGCATGTCAAGCAACGTTCTATGCATTTGACGAGAATCCTAAATTCTGATGCACCAATCATTGTGACCTCCTGGCTGCGGAAGTCAGCCCGTCTCGACTCCAGACTTCAAACTTGAATTTATCCGCCACCACCCTTGCGTAGATAGACAATATGCCGTGTGAAATGCGGCGCCGCAGAGGCCATAGTTGATTATTGGAATTACTGGCTCGCTCGTGCATACTGGTCTCGTAACGACCAACGAAGGCAACAACTTTCGCCATGGCTCCTAATCCACTCTTCGCACCCATTGCGAAACATCGTGTAACGGAGAGCACACCTGTCCGCGAGAAGGATGAACTGGATATTGAACGCTGTGCCGCTCTGCACAACACTCTCACCTTATACTCATGGGTGTGCTCCGGTCGTCCAATCCCAAGCATGAAAAAGCAGTCCTGGTGGTCTCGCTACGGTTCTCAACCCTTGGAAGCCATTGTCCAACCGGAGGTCAGAAAGTACTTGAGCAAGATCTTCGATGTTGAGGTCCCGGGGCATCAATCGATCTTCTATCATCTCACTGGCCTGGCGCGACCGCAGCAGATGTTCCAGCTTGGTGATGTGCTGGAGGATCAGGAGCATGATGTGAGTGCAGGGGACCGAGGCGAGAAGTACAGGTTCATTGTCTTGTATGCTGCCAGTAGGGCTTTGGTTAGCCATCCGGCTGGGTTGGTGTAAGTGCATTCTTTCTTTATACCCAATCTCGTTCGCGGTCCTACTGCTTGGTGTACATCGTGTTCGAACTTGAGTATGTTCGCTGAGATTGTTGACTTGAAGCTACGACCAGCAGAAACATCGAGCCATCTTGATGCCGACCTACCATCATATCTTCGATTTGTACACAGCAGACTTACCCTGGCAGAGGTTAGAAGTCATACTGAGTGCATACATTGACATGATTGATGCCGAGAAAGCTACAGCTATACCAGAAAGCTGGCATCCGGATACTCTCGCTTCGGCTGCCGCAGCTGAAGCAGCAATAGCTCGTGGCGATACACATATGACGGTGCGTCCCAGCACGAAACCCTGGATTCTGCAGCCGTACACACTGAGCGACCTTAATAATTGCCTTGATGCCTGGAAACGCTTGATCAAAGCTATAGAGGAGAAAGCCGATATCAAACGCGACGCCGAGGCAAATGTCGCACCGCTCTGTACCCGATCGGCTCTAGATGTAGCCGGCATACCCAAAGGCTTTGCCTACGATCTTCTGCTCCATGCTCACAGTAGTGAGATCTGGTTTGTAGCACCAGGCATCCGCCTGCCAAAAGTCGAAGAGTTCATCCATCAACCTTTCCGACACATACTAGAAGAGTATCCAGACGAGACAAAGGAGATGAAAATGCCCTTCCTGTTCATGCGATGTCCTGGCACCGTCTCGGCCAAAGAAGCAAAATTCCGCTATCCCTTCTCCACAGTGGACTCGGTACCCTGCGGTCTCTACCTTGACGCCTTCCCCAACGCCCAGAACCCCTTCGAAGATGCATGTCGATTCGTCCTTCCTATCCGTCTTGGCTCGAACCGGTATGCCAGGACCTCGGATTTCAAGCCTATTAGGCGGAGCTACTGTGATTTGTATCAGGTCGATATCAATCCTTTTGTTATGAGACATGGGCCGAAACTTGTGGGTGTACTAGAGAATTGGGCGGAGAACGTGGAAAACGGGCATTGGGAGGTAAACGGTAAGGGCGTGGAAGGTGGAGTTGGGGTATGGAGAAAAGCGGATACGAGGGAGGACTGGTGGAGGTACCAAGGCGGCGTGAGACATCTATATCTGTAGGATGATGTCGCCTACATTGCATGAGGAATGTTGATATGATAAAATATGGAGTGCTTGTGGTATCGTGAGGGAGAAATATGGCTAGGGGCTGTGGGAGGGAGGAAGAAACACGTTCGATGCCGCTATGCCCTACACTGTTACTGCTGGGATTACTAGGCTACGTCGCCTCCCATATGCACATTTCTTGGGAGCGACTGGACTGCTGTTCGCCACGCAAGACCGGTCCTGTTCGTCATCGCCTACAGCCTAACGCTAGGTTTCGACTCAACCAGATCTATCAGCGATGAGCAAGTCGAGCATCATCCTTATTCAATTGCAAAAGCATCAGGGCAGCACGTTCGTCCTCAGAAGTGTAGATGGCTTCTTCTTCGGTCTGCCAATTGGGCACACGAGCGGACTTGGGCTGCTTACGGCGTTGACGTTTCTTGGTCGTTGTTGCCGGCAAGGTTTGACTTTGCCTGGAGTGCGGGCTAGCATAGTCAAGATCTGAGCCGTCCTCAGCAGATTGACGACGCTTGTGTGAAAGGCGTTCAGTCTTGATGGGCAATGCCGTGAATATGGGCGTTTCGCGAGGCTGTGTGAGCAGCGAAGGTGATAACCTTATTTTTAGGGCGGGCATTTGAAGTGCAGGTGAATTGATGCTGGTCCAGCCGGACAAGCTAGCTGCTGGTGAGCTTCGCGGTGACACCCCTGGCGATTGTGGTCTGGTAACAGCATGAGTATAGGCGCCATTGGTAGCGTTGATATCGATGTCGAATGCGGAGCGTGCACTGAAGGTCGGGCGCTGTCGAAGCTCTCTTCCTGTACTTGCTGCTTCGGTTGGAGGTACACTGCGTGGTACTTGCTGCAAGTCGACAATAGCACCACCAACACCCCCAACGGGAGAGTTGACACGTCTATCAGTAAGGTGTTTCCAACTTTCTGCCTCACGCTCGGCATAGCGCACGACTTCACCACTGATTCTGAATCTGCCATACCACGGATCCTCGGGCATCAAGCAGTCTTCCACGAAGTCAACGCCGAAGATTGGTGTCAAAGCCCAGCGGATATGGTAGCAGAACGTGATGCACAGGCTTCTTGCACATTGGTATGGCAACCAGTAGCCTTGTGCTGCGAGAGCTCCACCGGTGATGGAGTGTGCAAGGTCCTTGAGGCGCTGCGTGGCGCCTAATGCTTTGGCTGGCGCAGTCTGTGGTATGTCAGTCCTTAATGATCTACATGGGCCTGTTGAGTATCTACCTTGGAGTAATCAAGAGCTTTGAAGAAAGGTGTGATGCGGACAAGACCAATCTGATAGTCCCACATAACGACATGCTTCTTTTCCGGATTGTTGGGCATCTGGAATGTGTACTCGAATACTAAAGAGACACGGTCAGCAGAATGAACAGCACGTTGCGATGATTTGACCTACCTTCTACCGCTTCTCTTGCTGTCTTCTCTGCGAAAGTCTTCTTGTCACTTGAATATGGGATGCGGCGAGGACAGTCTTCAACACGCCTTCCGCTGTCCAGACCAGGATAGATCTGGAAGATTGCATGCTGGTGCGCAAGCTCTCGAACCAACTCTGCCCTTCTGTGCTCCGAGATCTGCAGAAGGTCATCTACGCCCTTCGGAGGGTACTCCACCGGAGCTGTCGGCGTGCCTGGCTTGAATATTGCACCGTCCTTGATCTGCTTCTGACGTTTTTGTGGTGACAAGAAGGGGATGGGGCTGCGAGAGGCCGTAATGTCTGGACTAGACCTTGCTTGAGAGTAAGAAGGCGTCGATGGAGGCGTACTGGACGAGTTTGATGGTACGTCTTGGCGATATGGGTTGAGCATGTTGTCGATCTTCATCATGCTGCTTTTGCTGGTCGTTGTAGGCTGGGAGTGCTCGTTGATTGCAGTGTCTGCTCGACCACAATCGGTCAAGCAAGGTGACAATAGTTGCTCAGGTGTGGGAGACATCGTGAAGAAAACCGTCAGGAGCTTGGAGCAAGGTGCCTGGTGGCTATCGAGAATGCAATCAACGACGGGCGGTGAGTGCTCAGGTACGAGTCGAAACACTTGTTCTGTACAGAACAAGGTCTGCAGGCCAGTCGTGCAATGATTCTTTGGCGGAGAGTGACGACTACCCACCGACATGCAGCAGTCAAAGAGCTTCCACAGCTCGGACCGCAATATCTTGACATTCGCCATGTGCCAAAGACGCCATGCAATGCAAACCAAGCAATAGTTCGCCAGAAACGTTTATGCAGTGCTGCGGGTGAACGGTTCGGCGTACTATGAGCGAATTTGCGTCCTGCGGGTACCACAGGTCTGGACAAGAGTTTGCGGTGTGCGACAAGCAGATGTCTTGCATGCACCTCTACCTGTTCGAGACAGTAGCCTTCGAAGCCTTGCGACCATCTGGAGGCCGGCGACATCATCCTAGTTTTCAAGCCACAGACTGGCCACTGCTTTTAAGGCCCAATACAGAGAGTCCGAGCAGGAAAACCTTAGTCGACCACAGTATCTTCGCTGCTGACGGAAAGTCCTGCGTAGCAAGCAGCGGTAACAAACGGTGCGATTGGGTCTCTTGAAGAGCCCAGCACAAAGGTGCTGCTATCTGAAGGAGGGGCCGCGTTCTTGCAGAAGAGCTTCACCGTACGCATGCTCTCGGCGAGTGAGGTGCCATTTGTGGCGGACTAGCCAATGATGGACAAGTAACACCTTTGGTGGATCGCTAAACCAGGCACCGGCTCGTTCCTGTGGCGCCATAGGTTCCAGTACACCGGTACCCTGCTCGCAGATGAGTGGCTGGTCACAAGATGGAAAATGGTGTTCAACAAACAGGATGCCTGTCCGCCTTGTTTGCTGGTCGGTGACTGTCATACGTTTACGTAGATTCATCTTGAGCACTTATGACATGAATGTCGACTGTCTCTGCGATATTCGAATTACAAGGCAGCCATTCGGCGATACCCAGCGCTCGACGAGCCAGATCCGTGTTCATTGAGCCATATCTCGGTAACAGCCACGCGCATAGACAGCGGGTGTTTGCATATATGCAGGCTACCGCTCACCGAGCCACCATCCGGATGCTGCAGACTGCAATCGTTTGCATACAGACCAAGAAGATATTCTCCGAGACACATATCGGATGCTGACAGTTCCTGGTGGACTTTTGCAAATAGACATGCTTCTTTCGTGTACGTACCCCTTGGACCCGGCATCAGATGTTGGCGTCAAGTGTTCCAGGAGCCAAATGAGCCCCCACCGATTCCGACGGGACTCAACTTGAGAATCAAATGATAATTGTGGGTAGCATTGGCCAGTACATGTCCCTGAATCCGTGTGCATCGGGTAACCGTGACCGCCATTCAGTAAGCACCCCACAATGGTCATCGTCAATGACAGCCAGGACAAAGGAGATTTTTTGGGTCGGTCTGCGTCTAGATGGAGCACCCAAATCATGTCGCGGGCTCTGAAAAAATAGCCTAGGTATAGTGTCACCATTGACGGCTTCAAGGGGCAGAGAAGAGCACTGGCCCGGGTTGTAGTTGCCGAGACTTGGCTCTGACCTGCTGTGGTAGCACGTTCTCCACAATCCGTACGACGGAGCTGTCTGTGGCTCATGCACGCACCGATGGCGTGCATGATGTTGTACGTGATGTCGTGCGTGATCAATTGTGCAAGAGCTTTGAAGCTGCCCCTGACTAAGGGAAGATGCCAAGCCCGGGCTCAGTAGTAGTGCAGAATATAGATGAATGCTCGGGAGATTTATCATACTTGAAACCAAGCGAGTCGAGCCCGAGGTGGTAGGTTGTTTGTACAATAAGAAGCTGACGCCTGTCCTGCAAACAGAAACAGCACAAGTCTGAACGAAAGATGAAGCCGAATCGGGTAGCGTAACATACAGGTACACCATCTAGCGTTCATATCTTCGAAACGCCACGCTGTAAGAGACGCAGCAACACGAAATTCGTCTCCTCATACACCTCAACCTACCACTTCGCATTCCCTCTTCCAAATCTCCCTCTAGTGATCATCCTCGTCATCGAGCTCAACCTCGCTCCCCTCCTCATCACCCTCATCCTGCCCGAAACTGTCGTCAAGAACGTACTTGCCCTTCGGCTTAGCAGCCGCCGCACGTCTTGCAGGTCTAGCAGCACCAGCACCAGCAGCAGTTTTCTTCAGGATCGGCTCGTCATCAAGCGACTCGTCACTCAAGATGTCGTTGGCCAGCGCTTCGACATCCTCATCGTCTTCGGAGTCGATTGGCAGCTTACTTGAAGTCTTCTTCACGGGTGCCAGGGGCTTGGAAGCGGCGCCGACTTTGGCTTGCTTGGCAGCGTAGGCTTTGGCGGCGGGTGAGAGAGTCTTAGAGGCTAGAGGGGCGGCGGCAGCAGGATCTTTCTTGGCTTTGGGCTTTAGAGCAGCAGCGGGCTCCTTAGCCTTGACCGCAGCAGATTTGGCCTCGACCTTGGCCGGTGCAGCCTTCACAGCCTTCTTTGGCTCGATGTCAAGCAGCTCATCGTCCTCGTCAGAAAGCACAGTGTGCGTAGTAGCCTTCTGCGGCGAGTTCTGCGCCAAAGCAGCCCAGTCCGTCTCATCCTCGCTCACGTCCGAGTCGACTGTGATGCGCTTGCGTGCTGCACCTGCAGGTCGACCTTGGTCTCTGCTGGTAGGCCTGCTGACAGAAGGAGGATGGAAGAGTCGAGTCGGCCCGTCGTTGTTGTTACGATTGCCGATACCCTTGACCATTGCGCTGACATCCTCCAGAACTTCGTCCGCTGCGTCAGACGCAGACTCCTTGTCAGACTCAACGGCGTACTTTTTCGGCTTCTGTGCTGCTGCCCGACCTGTACGAGAGCTAGTGGTGGCAGGCTTCGGGGCCTCATTGGCTACAGCAGCGAAGACGTCATCCTCATCGTCCTCCATCTCATTGTCCGAAACCACCTTCTTCGTCGACGCAGGCTTCGCTTTGACCGGGGGCTTGGGCTTCACTTCATCCACCTTCAGCGCCGCCATCTTAGAAGCAGCTGTAGTAGGCGGTTTCTCAAAAGCGCCATCAAGCGTCATCTGCAAATCAGCCGCGGGCTTGACAACAGGCTTCTGCTCGACACCATTGACCCTAGGATAGACGCCAGCAGGCCTACTCTCAGTCTTCAGCCCCAACAACCCACCCCTAGCCTTCGAGGCAGCGGCCTTAGGCTTCTTAGACACAAACTCATCATCGTCATCGTCAAAGTCGCTATCGTCACCCTTGCGCTTCTTGCCTGCCTTGCCACCGAAACCCAGCTTAGCAGAAGCACGACGGCCCTTGCTTCTGATCTTCTTGTCACGCTTGGCTTCCTCCTCGAGCTGCTTGTTCCACTCCTCGAGCAGCCCATCGAGATCAGTCCGCCACAGATCTTTGACAGTCTTGCCAGAAAGAGCGTCAATCTCCTCTTCCTTGTCGCCAATCTGCTTATTCAGCTTCGTCACCCTTTCCTCGGTCAACGACCAGATGGCCATGCCAAGCAAGTAGTCAAAGTCGTTCCCACCAGCAATGGTCGCTTTGTCGTCACTCGAATCCTCACCTTCTTCCTCCACCACGGCCTCGAACTCACCCTCTTTCTTCGCATCGGCGATCTTGGGGATACGCTTGAAGCCAAGCTTGTGAAGCTCAGCAACGAGCACAGCCTTCTTCTTCTTGCTGACCACAAGGCGACCATCAATGATCGTGCGAATGAAGCGAGCTTGATTCGAAAGGCGATCAAGCTCCTTCTGCATCTCGTCGAGCATATGCTGTTTGCGCTTGTGGTACATCTCGAGGCGGACTTGGTAAAATTCCTCCATGATGTCGAGTGGAGAAGCGTACTTGTGAATGCGGCCGTGCTGGTCAAACGCGACGAGGTTCGAGGTGGCGATGGGCTTGGACAGTTTGAAGAGCTCCGCAAGCTTGGCCTCATCAGACTCCATCTTCTTTTCCTCCATCTTGATGATGAAGTGGACTCGCTCTGGCGTGTTGTACTCAGTGTAATCCTTGATGAAGCTGGGTACCTTTTCCGCCTTGATGATATCCTCCAACTTGTCCTTGAAGTCCTGTGTCCAGACGCGGACCGGCAGCTCCGTGATCTCAACAGTGTTCTCGCCTGTGATCCTCAAGGTCCCATTGAACTTGTACTGATCCTCACGCGACCTCTCAGTCTCGCCAGTCCAGCCACGGAACCACGGCGTCATCTCGACCATGGAGTCTTTGCTGTCGGTGTTCATACGGCGCTTGAGATTGTCAATGACATCTTCAGGTTTGTAGTTGGGGATGGACGTGCTCCAGCCAGTACCGATACCATCGGCACCGTTGATCAAGATCATAGGCACAATCGGCGCATAGACCTCAGGCTCGATTGTCTTGCCATCATCAGTGTTGTACGTTAGCAAAGCCTCGTCGGTCTGATGGAAAATGCGGCGGGCGAAAGGCGAGAGGCGTGTGTAGATATACCTGGCGCTGGCGGCATCCTGACCACCTTGGAGACGAGAGCCGAAGTTGCCGGATGGCTCGAGACAGTTGATGTTGTTGTTGCCAACGAAGTTCTGCGCCAGACCAACGATCGTCATTTGCAGCGAGGTGTCGCCGTAAGCGTAAGCAGTAAGGCCAGAGACCGAGCCAGCCAGCTCCACAACCTTGACATCCTTCTTCAGATTGCGGCGAAAGCAAGTATATAGGACCTTGCGTTGACCAGGCTTGAACCCATCGATCACCGAAGGAATAGATCGCATGTTGTCGGCCATAGAGAAAAGGATGAGCTCCTTGTTGATGAAGCTGTCGTACGTGATCTCCTCATTCTTCGTCATGTCAAGGTACGTGCCAGGCACAAACTCCTGCAGCCACTGCTTACGAGCATCCGCCTTCTTTTTGCTGAAAGCCAGCTCGAGCATCTCAGGCTCTCCATCTTGCATTCTATGGAAGCGCTTCAGATGCTTGTCGAGGTCGGCAAAGTAGATCTGAGCATCACGAGTGTCGGAGGTACCCAATCCTTTGTAGTACTTGTGCTCCCAGCCCTTTTGATTACCATCCTTCTCGCGCCACGCCTCGTATTCAGGCATGGTGAAGAAGTCACGCTTCTGTTTCGGATGCTTTGGGTCACCCTTCCACACCTTGACAATAGGCGTGATGAATTCCAGTAAGAAGCCAGGAATTTTGAGCAATGATGGAAACTGTACTTGCAAGAAGTTGATGAGTAGACCCTTGATGTGAGAGCCGTCGTGATCTTGATCGGTCATGATCATCAAGTGGCCATATCGCAGTGACTTCGTGTCAGCATAGTCCTTCTTGTGCTGCAAGCCCATGAATTTCTTGATATTCTGAATTTCTGCATTCTTCGAGATCTGGTCGACAGATGCATCGCGCACGTTGAGTAGTTTACCACGGAGTGGGAAGACACCGAACAGATCCGGATCGACCACAGCGCGGCCAGCCAAAGCCAGCAGCGAGGCTGAGTCACCCTCTGTAAGGATCAGAGTACAGCGATAGCCATCCTTGGTACCAGCTTTGTTAGCATCGGTCAGCTTGCTGTTGTTCATGCGCGTCCGCCTGTTGCCGTCAGATTTCGAGAGAACCTTGTCGGCCTTTTGCTGAGCGAAGTGCAGGATATTGTTCACAGCCTCGGTCTTTGCGATGTCCTTCAAGAACTTCTCACTGACCTGCGGCTTGCTACCGAAAGCGCTAGGCTTAGTGGTGAGCTGCTCCTTGGTCTGAGAAGTGAAGGCTGGATTGACGATCAGCGCGTTCACGAATAGGAAGATGTGGTTCCGGATCTGTGCCTTCTTGAGCTTGACACCACCCTTGTTCTTCTTGTTCACGATCTCCTCAAGCCTGTCGCAGATCTGGTCCGCAATGAAGTTCACATGGCTACCACCGTGCGTGGTAGCGATCGAGTTGACGAAAGAGACCTGTTGGAAGGCACCATCTGACACAGCAAAGCCGATCTCCCATCGCTCGTGCGGGCCGTCTGTGAGAATGACCTGCTCGGGCGCTGTGCCGTCATTCGCGAGATTCTCAGTCTTGATGGCTTTGGTATACATCTCCATGTACTGCTTAAACTTGGAGATCTTGATGCGCTGGTTGTTGAGGTAGACCTTGATGCCCGTGCAGGTACCAGCCATATCGTAAACTCTTCGCTTGACCATGGCCTCGAAGTCCTCGTCCATCTTCTCCATGCCGAACTTGGCAAAGTCGGGCTTGAACGTAACCTTGGTGTAGTCCTCCTCCCCCTTCGCTGACTCGATTTTGGCCTTGCCCATATCGCTCATGTTGTTCTTCCACGTTTGCTTGTACTTCTGCTTCGTCTTCGAGTCCACCGTCTCTAGATCGAAACGAGTGGAGTAGATGTTTGTCAACTTCGCACCATATCCGTTGCGGCCACCAGTAGTCTTGGCATCCTCGTCGTCGTAGTTGGAGGAGGTGAGCAAGTGACCGAAGATCATCTCAGGTATGTATATACCCTCCTTGTCGTGCATGTCGATCGGTATTCCGCGACCATTGTTCTTGACAGAAATCACGCCAGTCTCAACGTCAACCCACACCCGCATCTCATTCATGTTCTTGTCGCGCTGCTTGTTGTCTGCGGCATTGACCAGAATTTCGTCGAAGATCTTGTACAATCCAGGCACGTAGGTTACTTTGCGGTTCTCCATCTGCTCCGTTTCCGAGTTGAACACCCATATCTGCTCTGTCGTCTTCTCTACCGATCCAATGTATGTGTCTGGGCGCTTGAGGATGTGCTCGAGTTGTGTAAGCTTTTGGTATTGCTCAGTAGACGTGCCTTTCTTCTGCAGCTTAGGCTTAGGCCGCTCGTCCGCCGCGCCGTCCATCTGGAAGCTCTCATTCTCCACCTCCATCAGAGGCTTCGTCGCTGCTTTTGCACGTGGCGCAGGTGCCTTCTTCTGCTTTTTGGCAGATGGAGGTGTGTTGGATAAAAGAGAGTCGTCGTTCATGCCGTTGTCCATGTCTACATCGCTGTTCTCATCATCGCTGTCCGGCTTGGTACGTTTCTTCGGCTTCGGTGCGGCTTTCGTGGTCTTGAGGGTTGTTTGTTTGGGTGCCGCCTTTGCCTTGGGAGCAGCTGCTTTCTTGGCGGGAGCCTTTGCTGCTGCTTTGGCCTTCTATACAATTATTAGTGGAGCTCAGGTGGTGGTTTGCGAGTCAAATACCGGCTTGGGCGCCTCGAAGTCGCTGCTCGCGTCAACCTCGTACGCAGAGGCATCCGAATCCATGGTGAAGTGTTATTGGATTGCGGTCCTGTCGCGTGCCTCGCGCGTGCTACTGAAAGGTAGAAACAAGCTGATAGACCATCAGCAACTATGCGATGCGTTAGTACAGGTAAAAGAGCGTACCACTACGGGTCGGACGATGTGGTGTTGATCTGTTTAGATCTTGCTGTTTGCGATTCTCGAATGTTTACCTCGACGCGGTGCCCATTCCGCTTCAGCGCTCAGCGCGTGTGCGTGTGAGGTCCAGGGTCCAGTACAGCTCGTGATTGAAGCTACTACGGTGAACGAGTTTTGAGCACGTGCGCCGCGTATATGTGGTACTGGCTCGTGGCAATGGTGTGTTCCTGGTCGTTCTTGTTATGCGTGGTGACGTTAACAGCTTTTCGTCGACTGTAAGAAGGTGTTGAAGGCGCTACGAAATCGGACAGAAGAAGAAGGCAAGGAAAGAGGTCACCAGAAGCTTGGAATCGGCTACAAAGTGACGAAAACGACCGCCAGTGAACAGTGATATTCACCTCACAGTAGGATTGGACGATGTCCACTAGCTTGGTAGCAGAACTCCACCAACACCACGCTAAAATCACACAGCACCTCTGAGAGCCCCCAAGCAACAGATTAACCGCGCTACCAGCAAGACAAGTCAGCAAATCACCCCATCATTCTCAACCTTGATCTCCTGCACACCCAACCCGTCCTTCGTCTTCCTCCGCTTCTCATTCCTTTTCCGTCTCTTCTCCTCCCTCTCCCTCTCCTCCTGATCTCTCGCGACTTCAATGCGACTAGTCAGATCCACTACCTCTCTCGCCTTCTCCTCTTCCCTCTTCCGCTTCAAATACTCAAATCTATCTTTGACCTCTTCCAGCGCCGCCCTCCTCACCTCACCAGATTCACCAGTAGCCACAAGATGCTGCCGGCTGTTCAAATGCTCCACGAATTGCAGATTGTCCTTGTACGTCAGATCGCAAGCCTCGCAGTAGAAACCAGCACTCTTTCCTCGTTTGCCTTGGCCTGCTCCCGCGACTATGATCTGTGTCTTGCCGACCTTATCTGCAACATTGAGACGAGCGCTCCGGGCTTCGGTGTCCTTTGTGTCCTCAGGTGTAGAGGCTCGACGATGATACTTCTTCCCTTCTAGAGTAGCTTGATATCGAGCTTTGCCCTCTTCCTTGATTTTCTGGTCTCGGTCGGCGGCTTTTGCTGCATATTCTGATCTATCCCAGGTTTTGCGGAAAGAGGTATCGTTGCTTGAGGAGGCGCCGTAGGCACCTTTGTGGTCCGCCATCTTCTTTCGCCACTACACTGCGGAAATGTGCAACCAGCCACGTTCCATAAATTTAGATGCTGTGCATGACTCGCGACACATTTGACACGTGCAAGAAGTGCAGCTCGTGTGCCTAGCGTGTTATTCGAGTTCGCTAATCAGGGGTAACGAAGGCTTGTTGAAACACAAGGGTCTGAGAGCATTTGGCCTCCCTATCAAGCACCCAAGCGTTTCACCCTGTGCTTTCTCATTCTGTTTCTTCAGTGCTGGTCCGAGCAGTACAGATAGACTGTTGCTGTAACTACATTACTGTCCACAGATACAGCATAGAACGACACCAACGTGCTAAACGTCCTTGCATTGTACGGATTTGCCGAGGAGATTAGAGGAGACTGGCTTTAATGAATGACAGGGGTGAAGCGTGCTGCTGCTCTGCACCACGGTAATACTAAGTGTATCTGCTTCGCCTGCCTGGCCGCCAAAGCACATTCACGATCTGCTGGACGGACGTTGAATAATTCTAATCCAATGGCGGACGGAAACGAAGCTCAGGGGCTGATGATGGAGAAGGAGGAGGATTGGGACGACAGTCCTATGGTCTCTGCACCAGAATCGCCGATTGATGGAAGAATAGAGATGGCTGTAGAGTTGCCTACCCAGAAGCACGCGGGACTACATTTGCACATCGATACCGCAGCGCCAATGGACAGTGAGAATGGACCAACGGTATCGCCTTTGCCAGACTCTGAGTCGTCTCCCAAGGAAGTGAACAAAGAGCATCTTGCCGCGGAAAAGGTAGCTTCTGGCGCGGAGATTCCGGATCACGGCGCAGACAAAGCAGAAAGAGTTAAAGGCCTGACTTCACCTTCACATTTGACAACGGGTACGTCGGATCAGGTCACTACTTGGATCGAGTTTCCCAGCAGACCGCCGACCGAGCCTACTTCACCCACTCACTCCTCAGTCGACGTGCACGCATTGTCTCCTGGTCTTCCCATCGAGCTTCTTGCCGGGTCGCTAGCAGAACTGCCAGCTGAGCGCCACCACGAGACTACGCCGCCTTCGTCAGAACCTGGAACATCAGTATCTGAGCGCTCAGCATTCAAGATCGATACTGCGCCGATTCGAGAAGCCAGCCGAGAAATAATTGAGTCACCACTATTGTCTACACCATCGACCGATCGCCCTTACACGCCACGGCAAACATATTCGCCAAGCTCTGACTACGGTCCCGGAATTCCACATGTACCGGTATCTCCACTGACAACGGCAGAAGCATCAGTAAGACTTTCGACCTACCGGGACAGTGTACGGGACAGTATGGCATCCATCGCGCTTTCCGAATCGAGTTTGGATTACGATCATCTGTCTCCCGAGGCAGTAGAGGAGGCTTTGTCGACACCTCGTGTAAGAGCGAGTAGGCATACAAGAAAGCCAAGCAGTTTGGAGATTCTGCAGAATATGTGGGGAGAGGATATGCGGCCAACCCTGGTAAGGCAGGGTACACTTTTCGATGCCACCAAAGACCAGGCATCACCCGTCGACCCCGAAAGCAACGTCTGGAACGAGGAGAGCACAAGTAGAGGTTTGCAGGCGCCGGTCATCACGGTTGGCAAGCGGACCAGCAGTTTGTTCGCACCCAAGCGAAGATCCGACACTTCTGGAGAGGATCTTGAGCTGGATTGGCAACAGCTAGACAAAGAAGAGCAATTGGAGAAAGGCGAGCGGGAGACTGAAGATGGCGCAGAGGACGAAAGTACTGCGTTTCTGCTTGCTCGGTTGGAGCAGGAGAACGCAAAGATTGAGTCCTTCTCGAGCTCGACGAGTTCCGTTGGTAGCCACGCGGCGGTATCGAGGCTTCGGAAAGACAGTAAACCACCTAGTATGGGTCACCTGAAGAAGCTTGTACAAGACCGCAGTGCGCCTTCGGTACGATATAGCCTTGCTCTGACACCAGGTGCAGAGATTTCGGAAGAAGTACCGGAACCGCCGCCAATGACTGAACTGGAATTCTGGGCTGCTCTTGTACAGGACTATCCTTCCACCGCTGCAAGATTACCGACTCTGGCGACAACAAAGATTCGGGGTGGTATTCCACCGCCCCTGCGTGGGGTGGTTTGGCAGTCTATGGCTGGTGCTCGTGATCGGAGTCTGGAGGACTCTTTCGAGAAGCTACAGCACGAGTCTTCTCCTTACGAGGGAATCATTAATAAGGATGTTGGGAGGTCTTTCCCAGGCGTCGAGCTGTTTCGCGATGCTGAGGGCGAAGGGCAGAAGATGCTTGGGCGTGTGCTGAAGTGTTTCTCGTTACACGACAAGGACATCGGTTACTGCCAAGGCTTGGGTTTCCTGGTTGGCCCACTTCTTATGAACATGGGCGAGCGTGAGGCCTTCTGTGTTCTGGTCAGACTGATGGAGCACTACACGCTTCGCCCATCGTTCTTGCCCAGCCTCAGTGGACTGCACATGCGCATCTTCCAATTCAGCAGCCTGCTAAAGCAACACCATTCCGCGCTTTCCGAGCATTTGACAAATATGGGTGTAGAGCCGGCGTATCTGAGCCAGTGGTTTCTGAGCTGCTTCGCTGTCACTTGTCCCCTACCCATGCTTTTCAGGATCTACGATGTCATTTTCGCAGAAGGCGCAAACGAAACAGTCATGAGGGTCGCTCTTGCTTTGATGAGGAGGAATGAGCAGCGCATGATGGAGAGCACCGAGTTCGAGGAGGTCATGCAATTGTTGCTCGGACGTGGTATATGGGACTGCTACGGGATCGACGCCGATGCCCTGGTAGACGATTTCACTTCCTTGGGTGGAATCATCACGCATGCCAGACTTGCAGAACTCGAGCGCGAGTTTGAGAAGCATGATTCTGATGCTGTTGGGCAGTCGGCTGGTTTCTTGCCGGATGTGCAGGCTGCTGCAAGCAGGTTCTTAGGACGTCTCTGGGCACCTAGCCACTCCAGCGCTAAGAGCACTAGCACACTCTCGCCTTCGACTGCCGAGAACGAAGCAGGAGGTAAGAAGAAATCCGCTGGTTTCTTGCGAAGGAGTGCCAGCAAGCAGAGCATCAGCACTCTTAACGAGTCTTCCGGCAGCGAATCGTCTTCCAATTCAGCCAGTACCTCAGCTACAGACCCGGAGATCAACGACTCAGTATCCGCCATGCGCGAAAGCCAAGCAACAGATGCGATGTCCTTCAAGTCCAAAGCAGACTCTTTGAGAACTGTATCCTTTAGCACTCCCGGTATGAGTAAGGAGGAAAAGGATATGCATGGTCAGATCGAGGACCTGCTGACGGCATTGGGAGAAATGCAGAGAGAGCAGCAGGTTCTAGCTGGTATGTTGCAGAGGGAGAGGGAGGAGCGGGGTGAAGACCAGATAGTTGTTCGGAGGCTTGTCAAGAGGTTGAGGAAGAATGACGATAGGAGTGAGGCGGATGCAGCCGGCGATAAGGATGTAGAGAAGGAACAGAGGCGACGAACCATGCCTCCACCTGCTCGAATCGAAGAGGTCGATGGCGGGACAGTGACGAAGCAGAGACCTACAAGTGTGCTACTTGCGCCTAAGAAGCCCGTGGACGAAGAGACTCTCGACGACCTTGTCGAGACTGTGCACGATCGCTTGGACACACCTACACGCTTCTCTCATTCTTTTGAGACCAAAGCACAATTACGGTCCAGTTTGACACGAACGTGCGAGCAGCTGGCTGTGGCTGAGACCAGCTCTCGCGACCTCGCCACTCGATTGGATGGTGCTGAGACTAGTCTCGCAGCCTTCACGACCGAGTCTGAAGACCTTCGAAGTGAGGTCAAGGAGTTGAGAGTCAGAGTCAACGAGGAGTTCAAGGCAAGGCAAAAGCTTGAGCATACTATCAGTAATCTCAGAGCTGAAGCGAGGTCGATTGAGCGCAAAGAACGAGAAAGGGTGGCTAGAGCAGAGAGCGGGCAGGACGCTCCAGCTACAGGCTCGAAGAGAGATAGCATGGCTCTTGCGGGTCCAGGCGGACTGAAACGCACCGAGAGCTTCAATGGCGTTGCAACAGGCGATCGTGCTAGTGGGCTCAGAGAGCTGAGACTTGTGCGACGAGAGTCCACGTCAAGCATTCACAGCCTGCGCGCTCCACGAGCACCGCGACCCACTCTACCAGAGATCAGCATTCAGACACAGTCACCAGTTGATCTGGCCGCCAGTCCACCTCACTCAGCAACGGAAGACACTGGCTCGCCTCTACGTCCGATGAGCATCGTGCAGGACCCGCTCACCCCAATATCTGCCCCTACACCGACCACACAACTACTAGAAACACCCCTCTCTGCTGCTACACTAACCTTAGGCACTGGTCTCGCAGTCCCACAGCCCACAGCTATGTGGCATGCCCGCACCTCTTCCCTCGCCACCCGCGAGGTCTTCAGTACACCCGAGCACTCCGCCGTCCCTGAAGAGGCACTCCTACTTGAACTCGTGAACGCCAAGACCAGCGAAGCTACTTCTCGCGCCGAAGCAGAGGAGTCGCGCCGCGCTCTTACGCTTTCGAATAGACGGCATGAGCAAATGCTAGCAGCACTACAAGGACAGATCGAGGCGGCTAACGCTTCAGCAAATGCTGCACGACTTGAGGCTACAGCCGCTAGAGCTGCAGCGGACGGGTACAAACTTGAGGCTGAGGCTGCGCAAGCCGCCATTGCGGCGGGAAGCGGTGGCTACAGTGGTTTGAGTGTGCCGAATACGCCAGCGACTTATGATGGCGATACTCGCAGCTTCGGCTCGACTAGCGAAACGGTCACTCCTGTTGAGAAGGGTCCGGAGGTGCCACCAAAGGAGAAGGCAGTAGTTGCTGGAAGTGCTAGCAGCGGTGGAGGCTGGTTCTGGAATCGGCGTTCGCCATCGACTACCATCAAGGTTGCGGTCACGCCACCTGCTGTTGAGTAGGATTCGAACGAATGAGTGGAAGATGTACTGCTTGCTCCACCTCATAGCGTTCTAAACGCCATACCGTTTTGACTCATAGCTTGATAGCTAGACATTTGTGTATGTAGAGGCATAGCTAACACGTCAGCATGTATGAGATAGCCAGGCAATGTACCAAAGGGCACAAGAACTCGCATCATCTGCTGGCTGTTGTGAAAAGAACATTATGTTATTGTACCTATGTATTTCCATTTCTCCGACGCTAGCACAGAGATATAGAAGACCATAGCCACGCTACACCGCACAAGACCACCTCCTTCACGCTCTCCAAGTCTACTATCTTTCCTTGCCTTTAAAGCTCCATGATACCAGCAACTAAAACAACGGCCATGGCAATATAGCTCTGCGCAGCAGAGAAGCTGCTTGCAGCACCGTTGTATGGAGCGGGAGGTGCAGGTGTGGTACCCTTTGGTGGTGCGGGCGATACGGGGGCCGGCATGGCTGGCGCAGCAGCTGGTACCGAAGGAGCAGCTGGCATTGAGGGAGCTGGGGCTGGCAGAGAGGGAGCTGGGGCTGGCAGAGAGGGAGCTGGGGCTGGCGGAGAGGGCGCCACGGCGGGGACAGATGGAATCGATGGCATGGATGGAGCAACGACTGGTGCTGAAGGAGCTCCGGCGGCCTCCGTTTCCGTCACGGCCTCGGTCACGTATGTAGTCGTCTTGCCATGCATGACTGTAGTGGAAGTCTGCGGCGTAACGATAGCTGGTGGCGGGATGATCGTCACTTGCGAGCTAGAGATGGGAGCCGTGACGGTAGTGTCGTACGTGACATAAGCCGTGGACTTGTGCTTCAGCGTGATAGTAGCTGTGGTTGTTGGTGGAAGAACGATGACAGGAGTCGTGCCGTTGATTTGCTCGGAGCCGGTAGATGTGGAGCCACCAAACGTGATGGTCGTGTTGACGAAGCCTGTGATGGTGGTGCTGGGTGTGACGATCATTTTTGTGTACGTCGTGCAATTCTTGCTGGAAGTGATGACTGATGGTGCCGTGGAAGTCGAGCAGTTGACCGAATTGAGCTTGCTGGACATCGTGCTGCTGACTGGCAGAGTAGTGTTTGTCCATATCGGTACAGAGTTAGACTTGGAACTGGGCTTGGTCGTGCAGTTCGAAGAGCTCGTGGTTGTAGTGACGGGCTTAGTGATAGTACAAGGACCTTCCATGACCGTCAGGGTGGTCGGCTTGTGAACCGTAATCGTGGTGTTGTTAATCTTGATCGTCGTAGACGAAAGACAGAAAGTCGTGAAGCCCGTTACGACTTCGGTGGTGTAGACTGGAGCGTTGAACCAGTACGATGTGCTAGCGTTGGCGGACTTGGTTGATGTCGTGGAGTGCGGTTTGGATCCGGTACAGGCGCCTGTTCCTGCGGCTATGCCATTATGCGAGCAGGCCTGAGTATAAGTGACCAGGAGGGCGGTGATGGCAGCGAGCGTGAATCTCATCTTTGCGATGGTTGTGGGGATGCAACGAACGAGTGTGCTTGGTGGTGAAGGAGGGAAAGGGAGAGAAGCGAAGGAGAGGCAGAAGAGGGAGTCTGAGGGAGGAGTACTACCATGTTCTCCTCGACAGTTCTTACTTGTCACATGGTAAGCCAGCAATGATGAAGCGGAAGGTCATCATGGTTGAACAATGTGGTCCGGACTAAAATCCATCTTGGCTTGGGCACGAATAAGAAGGATGGTGTTGCTGACCGGCTTCGCCCATCGTACGATGGCTTCAGTAGTTGGAAACTTGTAGTACGGACGATTCGTGGAGCACCCAGTCATATTCAAAAGCATAGAGCTCGAAGTAATAAATGCACACAGCGAATCTGTGTACTCGTACATGTCAGCAATAATTCCTTGGTCATGGGCAGTCGTCCACTAACGGCTGTACCCTCAACAGCACCACCAGGATTCCCTTCGACCAGTCAAAAGCGCGCTCAATTCCAGGGGTTCTTCTCGATGAGTGGAGCTTCGTCCCGTCTTGCCATGGTCTCCAAACAATCATTTCGTAGTTCACCAGACTCCTTGTATGCTGTAATCTGTTACATCCATCTCTGGGGAAAAGATGGCCTTGCCCTCCCATTGCGTACACGCCCACCTGGGTATCGTCAAAAGAATCCAATCGCACCATCACGCATGTATGCATAACCACCATCCCACCATCCCATCCATATCTACCGCATCTCGCAAGCTCATCTCCCGATCCACACTGCTCTCAAGGTATCTAAATCTAAGTCCTCTGATTGAAGAACCAACTCCCTCTCTTCCCACCCTGATTCCCATCCGAACTCCCCGGCGCAGCCTGCAAACCCGCAAACGTAGGAACCATCTGCGAGCTCCCCTGTCCCTCACCACCTCCACCGCCACGGAGGGGCTTAGCAATTCGTCCACCAAAAGGATTCGAGTTCGCGAAAGGACCACCAGCACCACCAGAGGAATTATGATGAGAAGGCAGCCCACGTGTCGAACCGCTCTTGGCCGCTTCTAGTCGTTCTTTGACGGCTAGGAGTTGTGATTCGAATCTATCGCACACATTAGCACAGTCCTTGTCACCACGGTTGTGGATCTTGGCGGATACGTACTTGTGATTAGCCACCATAAGCTTCTCCTGACTCTCGCCCACCAACGCCTCCAGACCCCGGATCCTCTCGCCCCTAGCCACCAACTTCCTCTCAGCAATCGCAACCTCCTTCTTCAACCCGGCATTCTGCTCCACCAGCTGTCTTTGCACGAGTGTAAGCTGTTCCAGGTTCCGTTCCAGAAACGCCAGTTTCTTCTGCTGTTGCTTGCTATTACTCGATCGAAGGATAGAGTTATATTGCTCGCGCGTAGAATCGAGAGAGATCTCCAGCTCAACGACCCGTTCGCATCGGTTCTGCAGATCGCGCATCAAGCTCTTCTTGATCGTGTCAAAGTCCGATAGGCTCTTATTGAGATTATTGCCGTTCGCAGTCGTGCCATTGGTGTGAGATTTCCTTAATCCCTCAAGCTCATCCCTCAACCTCAAATTCTCCTCCTGCTGTCGCTTGTGCGACAAGCCCAGATCCGAACCATCGGGTCCCTGTTCCTGCTGCGCCGCGAGAGAGTCGTAGAGGTTGCGTTTCACTTCCTCCACATCACCTTCACTCAGATTCTTCTCCAGCACGGCCTGGTAATCCCGTTGAGCCTGCGCGAGTTTCTGCTCAAGAAGAGCAGTGTTCGCCGCATCGCCACCACTGTCCGCATGACTGTTCGCAACGCCGCCGATCTCAGCCTGCCTCACAAGCCCTTGCGTCTCCAGCAGCCTCTCCTTCAAAGCATGCAGCTCATCCGGCGCGGCCGCCTCGCCACCTTCCGATATCTCGAGCAGATTCTCGACTTGCTGGATCATAGACCGGACATGGACCTCACCATGACTCATCCCACCATCACCAAGATCGAACCCAGCCATCATCTGCGCCATCCTCTCCTTCTTCAGCCTCTCCCTCTCATCCTCCTGTTGCGCGGAACTCTGCGCATTCATCTTGGCGTCCAAGAGCTGGTGCTTTACTTCATCCAATTCGCTCGTAAGCTCTGTATTAGCCTCCTTTAGCGAGTCCATCGTGATACTAGCTTCCTTGGTCTCGAAATTGACTTTCTCGATTTGCATCTTCAGACCCTCGGTTTCACCTTGCAGTTTCTCGTTCGTGCGAGAGGTCGTAGCGTGAAGGGTGCGAATTTCTTGCAGTTCGGTGCGAGCTTGTTGGAGAGCTTGCTCGGCGGCTGCGAGAGTGGTTTCGCGCTCGGTCAATTGATCTTGGAGTTCATTTTCGCGTTTCAGGAACTCCTCCTTCTCGTCCTTGTCCATGGGTATTGTAGGTGTGCCCGCGCGCTCGATGTCCATCCTGCTGTCGGGTCTTGGTGTGCTGGGCGTCTCATTGCTAGAGCGTAGTCGACTAGGTGTAGCAGACCTCGGTGGCTCTGGTCGTGATGCTTTCCCCATATCCTTGATCGCAGGCGTCCATTGCTCTTTGGGTACAGACTCGCCCTTCCGCCAATTGCCGACCTCACCCTCCAGCGAAGAGATATATTGCTCGAACGTCTGGACCTGTGTCTGTGCCTTCTTGAGTAAGGCTTTAAGCTGAGCAGGTGAAAGCTCCTCGTTGATCTTGGCCTTCTGTTTGATGGTCTTCGCTCGCTCACCAAACCGCAGTGTAGAGACCGTCTCGGAATCGTTGTAGCTGCTAGGCGAGCAATTGATGATCAGTGTAGTCCGCGAGTTACCGCCAAGCGACTCTTGCAGGATGCGTGTGAGCTTGCTGTCTCGGTATGGGATGTGCGAGCTCTTTCCGTCAGATAGAGCATTGATGACCATGCCCAGTGCAGAAAGCGACTTATTGATCTTCTTGGCCTCCTCCAATGTCTGACCAGAAGCACCGGTCTTCCCGACCTTCTCCGAACCAGCCAAATCAACCAAGAACAACCTTCCAGATCTTGCGGAGCCTGTCTCAATATTCTTCTGTCCAATCTCGACCACAAAAATTGAATGCGATCGCGAAGATTCCTGATTCATGTTTGTTGAGGCCACAGCTCTTGCATTGCCACCAATCTCCAGCACTTTATAAACATCCTCCGTCGAGCCGACATAGACCTCGCTCAGACCCTTGACATATACGCCTCTCTTCTGGTCCTCATGTATAGGCAAATTGTCGTTCTGCGGTTGGAGTAGATCGCGGATCTTCTCCATGTAGATCTCCATATAAGCCACTCGCACCGTGAACTCGATGCTGCCGTCGCTTCGCAGGATGCTGTCGAAAATCTGTTCCACGATTCGAGGGATGATACCTTTGCCGTTGTTGTCGTCCAGATCTCCACCACCCATCATGGTATACGTCTTTCCTGATCCCGTCTGCCCATAGGCGAAGACAGTCCCGTTATACCCAGCCAGAACATCGTCGACAGTGCTGCGGATGGAGTAATCGAAGACATCATGTTGAGGTGTGTTGGTAGGAAAGACGCGATCGAAGGTGAAAGCACCGGAAGCTTCTTTGCTTGTGATGGTACATGTCTCTTCGCTCGAGAACTCGACGACCTGTTCGCTACCAGCTGCCACTTCGATCTTGTTCTGCGGTCGGAAGCGAGCGACGACCTTGATCGTGTTGGCTGTAGACATCTTGAGCGAGTGGAAGTGGTCCTGGAAGTGGTCCTGGTCGTGATGTACGTTTCCGTGTTTCGGCCAGTATGAAGATCAGGGATTCCTGTGCTCCCAGCTACCGGCCCAAACCGTAGTGATCGAACGTACAGAATACCACGAAGGGAGATGAGGACCAGCCAGAAGTCGCCCAGCGAAAGTGATTCGTGTCCACAGCTGTATGCACATTCACGAGGAGCCGTCACACATCACACATCCAACGCTCGTGTTTATCGCATCACCAAGCCAGCGCAATTCCGCCGAACTTGACCCGGTCCCTGCATAAGCGCGAACCACTCTTTCGCTTGTGCATTCAGTGTGCCTCTGTTGTATATACGATATATACCTCTCGAATTTCCTAAGTGCCAGCTTCATCCTGCCAAATAGCCACCAGGGAGAACTCTCCAGCAACCTCAGATCAACATGAAGTGTCAATTTCTTAATCTAGGAGCGGTTGACAGGATTGATCTGCTCCAGCCAAGCAGTCAACGGAGCTAGACTGTAAGTCTGAGCTCGCGGCATATGATAGATGAATTGCATCTTTTCGTACCAAGCCGGATCATGGTTGACGAGAGGGCTGTAGAGATTGAGAAGGATATCATCAGTTTGAGCTTCCGGAGTCATGATGCAGAACTATTTCAGTACATGGACCGTGTGGCGAGCGAAAGATAGGCAGAACGAAAGCGCCTTGCTGTTGCATACACCAAGACCGCACCTACTGGCAATGACTCTTGCCAGGTTTTGCGTGTTTGTAACATACAATCATAACACTCTCTTGAAACGGGGAGCCATAACGGCCCGAAAAGGAGACGCATCAACGCTGACCAAGAGCCAATAGGGAATGGTTTCTGCAGAGGTTATACAGCATCATCTACGTGGCACGCACGCTTCTCGCACCGCATATATCATTGGGGAAGGGCGGACATTGTATAAGAGATTCAGACGTGAGTAAGTATGTATCATTATGTCGTTACGCTCCCTCGAAGCTATCTGGGTATGTACGTGATACATAGATGGCAAGCAGTATATCTCGCATATTCCTGTCCAGCAAGATCTCTCAGCACCAGCAGGACACAATCAACACAACGTCGGCCGTTGAACCGTATCGTAAGCATTAAATATGCTGGGGATACGGTCCCTGGATCAGATTTCGACCAATTCCTTCCAGAGATCCCCTTTCAACCCTCCCTCCTCAACCGCCCAACCAAAGCCCGATGCCCCCAAACATCACAAAGCTGACACTCATACCTCTCCCTCCCCAAATCCCCAGGGACCGCCTCCCCCATACATCTCACATGCTGCCAAACCCCACACCCGGGTCCATCACAACACACCATCTGCCCTCCATCATCGTCCCTCGCACCACAGACACAGCGTACCGAATCCTCTTCTTCGCCTCGAGGGAAATTGGCGCGGGAGAAGAATTCGGGTGGGAAGTCGGGGGCGCGGGCATCTTTGCTGTATTTGCGTGGGGCGGTGCCTGAGGAGGCGGCAGTGGTGGCTGCACGGGCGGCTTGGAGCGTGGCTTTGTGGGCGGCTAGGAGGCGGTCGTAGCGGAGGGTGGCGGCTTGGGTTGCTTCTGCTTTGGTCTCGGGGAGGGCGGTGCCGGCTATGACTGCTTCGAGGTGGGACTTCGTTGCCGAGCCACGACGTTTGGCAGGCGCGGAGGTTGCTACTTTTGCGTTTGCTGCACTCTTTGATTTCAACTTCCTCTCCTTGGGGGCCTGTACTTCGGGCTCAGGGGTTCCAGCTTGGGACGAGGTTTGAGAGGGATTACGTGGTCCAAGGAGCTTGAACTTCTTCTTCGATCCCTGCTGGTCATCCATTGATGAAGTCTCGCTCGGAGCTTGACCCCCGCCATCGACTACACTGTCCGTCGGCTCCGGCTCCGGCGTCTCCGCCTTTCGCTTCGTGCCACGCTTCTGCTTCACCGGAAAATGCATACCACGACCAGCCAGAGCCGAAGTATTCCTAGATGCGTACAAGTTCCGTGACGTAGCTGGATTTGCCGAGGTGAGATTGTCCATGATGTGGTGGATGAGCTCGGATTGATACATATTGGCCACTGATGGGGAGGAGAAACGCTTCACGCCGAGTGGCGAAGATTGGAAGGCGCTAGTTGCCAGTGTAAACATGTCGTTGATGGGTGAGCTATTCGTTGGCCTGGTCAATGATGTGCTTGCTCCGATGTATTGGTTTTGGAATGGAGATCTTGAGCGAGCGCGAGTTTGCTCGTCTACGCTAGTGGCATTGTTTGCCGCATGTGTCAGGTGCGTGGGCGTGTCTTGGACTTTCTTTGACTGATCAATCTCAGCTAGGCTTGACACAGCGTTCTCAGTCAGATCTTTAACGGTAGTAGCTGGTATATGGGCCGGCAGACTGGTAGCTCTTCTGTTCCTTGCGCGAGATGCACGACGTACTGGCGTCCACTCCTCGGCTGGATAGCTGCGGAAAGAGTCGATCGTGTCCGTATTCTCAGTCGTTGGCAATGGCAGAAGAGGTTCCATGTACTTCAGCATTTCCCTGCGGCGAATGTTTTGGATGGAGAGCGCAGGCTCATCACTGTGAAAGATAATGTTGGCGTCACGCCTCGCAATGGGAACCAGGCCGTTGATCTGCTTGTAGTCCGGATGGACGCTGAGATAGTAGACACGGCGCTTAGTGTACTCTTCCTTGGTGTAGCGGTCGTTGAGGACTAGGCCTCCACGTTCTGCAGCGAGTGTGGCTTGCATATTGGCTGAATACGGGTGAATTCTTGTTATCGGACTCTGCTTTGAGTCGAGACGATGTCTGCAGGCTGCGTCGTATGGCTTTCGAAGTGACCTGCACTATGGTAAAGCTGCAGTACTTGTTCGGGTAGCGATGTTTGCGATCCTTGCTGGGGTCTTTGTGTTGGCAATGTTGTTGTAGAGAAGATGGAAGCTGTTGCATCTCGCAAGACGGGTTATGAGTGTGAAGTGTGAATAATAGGAAGCTCCAACAATAAGCCGTGAATAGGTCGATTGTGTACAGGGTGAAGTGAGGTTCCTGCGCGGAAGCCAAGCGTAAGGATTCGCCCATACTTGCCTCTTGCCCGCCCAGCAGCAGATGGATATGCTGATATTCACGTCCACATCCTACCACAGAGCTTTCACAAATGTGAGAGTGGTGTTGCTATATGGAAGATAATGTATTGCATTGGACAGTGCCGTGTACTCCAGCCAAGGTAATAACGTGAGACGGTGAGATCTGCACTCGTCTTCGCTCGAGGGTAGTGACTCCTGGTGGAAGTGCGATAGATAGTGCGAAGCTCTCGGTCAAGAGCGCTCTGTGACGACGATCGTGAGTAGATAGGCATGGCTGTCTCAGAGACAGTGCTCATGTTGTCTCGCTTTTCTTCATGTCGTGTCACACACCCGATCTGCTGCACGGTAAGCAAGACGTCAGCATGAATGATTCAGCATAGGCGAGGTTGGCCAGGACAGGAAGCCGACGCGAGCTGGGGACAATCAGTGAAAGAGTGGTAGTCAAGCCCGGCTGGTTATATATCGTGAACGATGCCGCTGGCCTGCATCCCGAGTTCCTTTCGATTTCTTCTTCCCATGGAATTAGAAGTGCTCGCCTCTGACCGTGAATGAGGAACGGTCATCAATCCCTGCTCTTAGGACGGTACCAGCCAACATCAGCCATGGGCACGGTGAGGTGGGCAAACACGACCTGGCTGCTGGTGAAAGAAAATGTGATCATGCACAACTGCCGTTGATCTTCCTCACACCTCGGTCAACCAAAAGGCTTATGGCAGCGGTAACACAGCCCTAAAGTCAGATCGCTTCGAGACTTCAAGCTCTGCGCCGAAGATGCTTGCGGCACATGGGCGACACGCCATCAGAAACCTTCGCAAACTCTATCAATACGGTACGCATGAGGCTCCTATCTAAATCGAAGAGACGGATCTCGACGAGTCAGTGGCGCCTGTTCCAGCTGTTCCAGGCCATACGAGAAGAGCATCACTAGCGCGTAGAAAGTCTTCGGCAATGCACAATCGATCCTTTGCCGCAGCATCCTAGCGCCAAGTACGACCCGGGCGCTCACTAAGAACGCACGGCTATGCATCTGCCATCTCTGCCAACCGAAGCAGAAATGCCGTCCAACACTTCCGAACAACTGCATCTGAACCTCCCCGCAACCAACAACCCATGGATTATGGAGCTGACCCCACGATCTCCAACGAGGCGTCTTCTCCAAACGCGACCAACCCCCAGATTGCGCTAGCTCTACAGCAGAGGCGTTGTCGTTGTCGTCAATGTTCCTCGAATGGCAGAAGCCGACAGGTTGGTCCCGACCGAGCTTCCACACGCCAGGCCTTTTCAGGAGCTCCACCCTGGCCTTTCTTGCTTGCGGGAAGGGTCTCGTACCAAGCGTGACCTTTGCGGCGCGTGGAAAGCATGTGGGTTACGAGATGCTCCACGCGAGAATGATCTGCCTATATGAAGGCCCCGTTCTTCCACTCAACCAACGCAAAGGCGATTTTTTCCCGCCCTCCCTGTTTCATTCTTTGCGATCGACTTCCATTGCGCTTTGCTGTAGCGCATAACTATTCACAAGCAGAGCGCTCTGCAGCGCAATATTCGCTTGAGGATTCGTCTCGACGTCCGTCGATATAATATCGCTATCGTCCGTTTGAACGAGGCTTCAAGAGAACTCAACGACCTTCCTTCTGCTTCGGCAGAACACATCACGGCAAGATGGAGATGAACTACGATGAAGCGGTGCGTAGCAGAGTCGTGCGCGTAAATGGTCACCATCTAACATCATACAGGAGCTCCACCAGCTCGAGCAGGAGCTCCACACCGAGATCTTGCCTGGTACAGAGATCATGGCAGACGTCGGCACCCATCATTTCGTCAAAGGCGGCTCTCACGTCCTTGTCCCACAGCCATCTGCGGATCCCCACGACCCATTGAACTGGTCACCTTTCTGGAAAGGCCTCACAATCGCTGCCTCGACTAGTGTATCCTTCACACAAGGTTTTGGTCCGCTTGCATTGGCACCCATGTTTGGCTACTACATCAAGGATTTTGACTCGAATCTTCCTGATGTAGTCAAGTTTACTGGTGTGGCTATCTTGGTCCTCGGATTCAGCAACTTCATCTGGTAGGTCGTTCGAGAAATGCTACTCGGAAGCATTATGCTACAGTTCAGCTGACAGCAGTACTACAGGGTCCCACTCAGCACATCCTTTGGCCGTCGACCAGTCTATATCGCCTCCCAGATCATCTGCCTCGTTTCCTCAATCTGGCGCGGTGTCGCGAAAGATTACAGCTCGTTCATGGGTGCTTGCATTCTCAACGGTATCGGAGCGGGTCCAGCTGAAACCATTCAGCCAGCTGTGATTGCAGATATCTTCTTCCTTCACGATCGTGGTTTCTGGAATACTGTGTACTGGGTGTTCTACATGGGATCCTTGATGGTCGGACCAATCATTTCTGGTTCCATGGCTCTGCACGTCGGCTGGCGTAGCTTCTGGTGGTTTAACACGGCCCTCATCGCGCTCTCGCTAATCATGGTCATCTTCATGTTCCCGGAGACCAGATGGCATCGTCTCCACCCGGACGAGGTGGTCAAGAACCTGCGACAAACCACTAAACAAGCATCGCCAGCTGGCTCAACGGAGAAGGTGCACCCAACCGAAGCCACGGAAGATCCAGAGAAGTTCGGCGACCCGGTCCACCAAATTCCAACCCACGGTACCATGCCAGACCTTTCCGCCACCGCAACAGCAGATCGCGATCCGTATCTCGGCACGGGCAAGCCCAGCAAAGCCCAATGGCGACTCTTCACCCCAAACGCCACACCTTTCAAGTCCATCCTTCTCGACCTCTGGATCCCGTGGAAGCTGTTCGCCTTCCCAATCGTGGAATTCTCCGCCTTTGTCGTCTCTTGGTCCTGCAGCTCCTTCTTGACGCTGAACCTGACGCAAACGCAAAATTTCGCCGCGCCGCCATACAACTTCAACTCTCAGGACATCGGTTTCATGAACTTTGCCATTCTCATTGGTGCCATGATCGGTCTCGCGACTGCGGGACCTTTCAGCGATTGGGTATCTGCGCGCGCCACTCGCAAGAACCGTGGTATTCGTGAGCCGGAGATGAGGCTGACGGCCATGATTCCTTACGTCCTCATCATGATGCTGGGCAACTTCGTTGTGGCTTTCGGATACCAGAACAAATGGCCATGGCAAGCTATCGTCGTTATCGGCTTCACGTGTGCTGGTATTCAGGTCGCCGCTCTGCCTGCCATGGTGACGACTTACGCCGTTGACTCGTACAAACCTGTTGCTGGATCGCTCATGGTTGCCATTACAGTCAACAAGAACGTTTGGGGTTATGGATTCTCTGAATTCATCACCAAGTGGATCGAGAAGAGTGGTTGTAAGTCGATCTACAGTGTAAACATTTAGACGGGACACGAGTGGATGCTAACGATCGCTTTTAGATGTGCCACCGATCATGACCAACATGTCGCTCATCACCCTTTGGTGCTTGTTCGGCGTCGTGTTCTTCTACTTCGGCAAGACATTCCGTCGCTGGTCCAAGAACAGCTCTGTCCACAAGATGTAAATGGCATCTGTTTACTTCCTCTATATCCAGGAGAACATCTGAGGAGCACTGTACTTATTCAGGTAATCTTACATTTGTGAATGAGAACATATTCAACATCTTAAAGAACTATGGCCATCGTGAACTCAATGCTACAACCCTACATTTGACTCCTGCCAATGCTTCTTACAGTGGGATTACACCCGCAAGGCGAGGGTTGAAATCAGGCACCGATTGGACAACGCTTCAGCTCCTCAGTATGGTCCTCAAAATTGCTCTTTGCCAGCCCTCATGATCATCTGAAAGATCTTCAGATCCTCTGCCGCGTCCTCGACAGTGGTCTTCACCTTCTTGCCGCCTTCGGTCACAAGAGCATACAGCTCCTTCATCTCGAGCGTGTACGGGTCCTCGTACGTCTTCCGCACTACACGAGTCTGCAAACCACCATCCACATTCTCTCGTACGGTCATCGTGATGGGCAGACCTTTGATATAAGGAGTATCGTACTGAACTGTGACTTGCTTGCCTTTGCTGTAGACTTCTAGATGGGCGTCGAAACGTGGTATGTCATCAATTCCGGACTCATAGCTTACGGCGAAGCCCTTGTATTGGAAGAGAACGCTAGCACGATGTCAGTAGTCGGCGTGGATAATCAAAAGACAGGTACGCACTTCCAGAAGGGCGTGTCAGCGTTGAGTGAACAGCCTAGCACTTTTGGAGGCATGCCTAGGGCCTCTCGCATCACACTCAAATCATGGGAACCTAGACCTCCGAGCAGGAACCATAGAGTCGAGGTCTGCTCTGTCACAGGAATGCCCAAATCTTCTTGCAACCCCTGATGTAGCCAGTCCTCTTTGGCCTTTTCGAGAGCCTTGCTATCCTGATCGGAGTAATCGGAAAACTTCTTCGGAAAGATGCCTGACTGGTCGATGAACATGGCATTCCGTCCAATAATGTCTCGGACTCTGGCATAGGTGATCTTCTCTATGCCACCGATCTCCTCAACAGCATCCAGAAAAGCGGTGGCGTACCGTCGCATATAGCCTACCATAACGGTGCCTTTTGATGCCTTCTCTGCATCGATAAGTAGCTTCACGTCCCGATTATTCATCGCCATTGGCTTTTCAATGAAAGCGATCTTGTCATTTTGTAAGGCCAGTATAGCGTGAGGGACATGATATTCGTTGGCATTGATGACGAAGACCACGTCCACGTCTGGAGAGGAGCACACTTCCTCGGCGCTCTGCGTGAGCTTTGGTCGAGCAGATCCAGCAACCTTGGTCTCGCAGTGCTTCAAGGCCCCGGGAGAGGTGTCGCATAGGTACGTGATGGTAAAGTACGCGTTGAGATTGGTGAGGGTCAGTATGTGAACAGTCTGTGCCACCTCGCCACAGCCAATGATGCCTACACGGACTATGCGTCTTGAGGTAGACATAGTACTTATGTCGGCCTTGTGTCCGTGGGATGGAGTGTGTTCAAGAGCGTCCCTCAAGGAAGAGCTGACCGAAATGGCGTTTTACCTACCTGTTGGTGGCTGGCCGATCTCGCGGGAGGGACCGAGAATAATTATGCTATGGTACCTACATTGTGGATTTCTCGAGCAATCAGTGAATACGATTGTCCTGTATTCAGAGTGATGCCTCGTCCAAGCACTGGATCCCGTTTAGCCAGAGGACAGTCCAGTCTACAGGCACCACCGAGAAGCTTTCGTGTTTCGCTCCACATCCGGTGCTCCTTCTGCATCTGGCTTGGTCCAGACCTCGCCAAGGGTCCTGTCAAAAACGCCATCCCTCGGGCAGTGCAGCTCATGCCCCAGACGGTACATTCATGTCCACTTCTTCTACAGTAATGGCCCGACTATGGACTCACCAGATATGAGCCTGCTGCTTCTCACTGTGCCGCCTGAAAGTTAAGTCATATTCCGTTTTCACACCCGTTGATTCATTTCTATGCCGGTTCTGCCTATCTACGATGCCTCACGCCATTCGCCCCTCGTACTTCCGTTCGCTGTCTTCTTCGAGCCAAAAGGACAAGCCGAGATTATATCTGGGACTGTATCCTCGCTGTAGTGGCCATGGCGACTGCGACTCTTATCATTGGACGCTCCTGGTAGGACCAGCTACGCCTGTCAGGAAGGACATAACAAAAAGATATCAACTCGTTCACACTGGTTCTTATGCCCTCAGTGAGGACTGCGCGCAGTCTTCGATGTTTCACGAGGACGACCTGTCAGAACTGCCTCTCGCACAAGCAGGTCTGATGGTCCGCATCACCGTTGCGAAAGTGCTCGATCCTGAGCGAGTACAGCAAGCTCTGCAGAATCTTAGACCTAGGAGTAGCGGCAAAGGTGTCTATGGGCAAGAAAGCTGTGCACAGTGGACCAGGAATGCTATCAAGGCATTACTGTCCGATCCGGCTTGCGTGAGAAGTGTGCTGGACATAGAAGATTGGGACAAAGTGGAGAAGACTGCTCGGGACTACTGCAAATACAAGAGAAGAGACGGTCGGTTTTCGGATACTGCGGATGGGAACTGGAATAATGAGGAAGTAAGCACGTACAATGCTTGGGAGAACAGGGAGACGACAGCATGAGCTTGATAGGCTGCTGCGATTTGGGATGACTGAAGCTGTACGACACTAGAGACTTACAGAGAATGTTGGATGTCGCAACACCAAATGCATCGTGAGGTCGAGAGCCTGTCTGTCCAGGTGGAGACGATTGCTCTGCCCTAAGCCGCCAGCAGTGCCGACTCTAAGGCCAGGAACGCAACACCTTCTATCGTTTCAGTAATGCTGCGCTATCTTTCGTTTCGGCTTCAAACTATGACCAAAGGCTCCTGCTATGGCCTCGCAACAGGGGCTCCCACCTTATGCCCAGGCGTGGACCAACGCGAGAGGCCACGTTGTGGTCAGGTTCAGGCAGAGTAAAAGCATCGGCGCCCTGAGGTGTCAGCTACCAAGTGTTCTCAACCACGAGAGCTTGGAAGGCTCAAAGTAAAGCTCTGGGACCATAGTATCTTAGTATCTCGTGACACTCGATGTCTTGCCATCCAGAATCAGTATGGTCGCTACAGAGTAGGCTGGCGATTCTAGCAACGAGGACGCTTGACACATTATGATACATATACACCATCAGCGGACTTTGTCATCACGCGTATGAATAAGGCAGTCAAGCCGTTCTCGGCCTATGCGACAGCTCATGTATTGCACCTCTCGTTCTTGCCGTGTCCTACAGCCGTCAGGGCACACTCACAAGGACATGCGGATCTCCTATCCCTTACTGACCTGTTCTCAACAGGCTTGTGTTTTGAGACTCGGGCAGGGCATTTACTCGAAACCTAGTCTGTGACGTTACAAGATTGGGCCTAAGGTAGGACTGACGATCTGGCGTATCGCCAAGCCTTACGAGAGTGCCGTTCCGATAAGCCAAGAGAAGGTTTGCGACGACGACAAGATAGAGCTTACGTTGCGCGATTGCGCCGGTCCACGTGAGATGATAACGTTCTGGCTAATAGATGGAAGTGGTAACAAGGCACGTGAAGCCGAACAAACGGTCTCTCCTGGAAATATGATATAGGTGTTGTTGCAGACTGTGGTATGGATGTGGGGCCGTTCCCCGAATCATGACGTAGCTGTCTCATTCTTTTCTACCATGATCAGGACGCAAGCAATCGTCCTCTCGTTGAACATTCGGTACATACCCTCCAAAAAGATCAGCGAAATTGAGTTGTCGCGCCAGAAGTGGAGGTGGCTGAACAAGCCACGAACTCGCTGACTTGCTTGCCACGACAACGGAGCGAATACCTGCTCGGCATCCAATCAGCTGCATGTACCAAATCGACAACAGACGATGATTGCCAGGAACAGGAAGGTGTGCGCTGAATCGACAAGGCATTTACCCGCGGCGCCTCAGCGAATTATTGGTTACGCGGCGAAGCAAGTCTTTCATATCCCTGTCGCACGGCCCGTTGCAACACGATCTTGGTGACGCAGTTTCGTCTCGCGGCCGTCATTTCATCCTTGACCCCGTTACAAGGGGGGCTCAATCAATCTCCAATGGATATGCAAATACCTGGGCATAGGTTTCGGCGTATCGTAATGTTCAGGGCGGTGTAGTTGTGGTTTGCGACTACCCATTCGTGAGTATCATATGCTTCCTTGACTCTTTCCCGAGCACCTTCACCTACCAATTGCTGTATTCCATTCTTTGCACAACCTAACTACTGGCTGGCCCATTGACGACTCAATACTCCAAACAAACTACAATTAATACACACCATGGCCTCACAACCTTACACCCAAAAACCGGTCACCGACATCTTCACATCCACAGACACAGACATCAACAGACGAGAATGCCGAAGGACGGTGCCCATGAGAGTACTCGCCCTGGGTCTAGGACGAACAGGCACAGCATCATTACGTACAGCACTCAAGGAACTGGGCTTCGATGACTGCTACCACATGATGTCTGCTTCGGTAGAGAACCCACCAGACTGTCTCATGTGGTCGGACGCACTAGCAGCCAAGTACGACGGGCAGGGAACTTTTGGACGGGAGCAATGGGATCAATTGTTCGGCCACTGCCAAGCCATCTGCGATTGGCCTTGTGTGGCATTCGCGAAAGAGTTGATTGAGGCATACCCAGAAGCTAAGGTGCTTGTAACGACGAGGGATGTGGATAGTTGGCATGCGAGTACGATGAAGACTGTACATTGGAGGGCAACAGAGCCTGAGCTTCAGCTTGTGGCCAAATTCGACTGGGCAGCGAGCATGTACCAGCCTATGCTATCTAGTATGCGCAATGATATCAGCTTATACTTGAGCAACCACTAATACAACTCCCAGAGTTCTGGACCTCCTTCTGGGAAGGCGACTTCGAGAAGAACGGCAAGCGGCGATTCAAGGAGTACTACGAGGAAATTCGTTCGCTAGTGCCTGCAGAAAACCTACTTGAGTACAAGATGGGCGAAGGCTGGAAACCACTCTGCGAGTTCCTAGACGTCCCGGTACCAGAAGGCAAGAAGTTCCCACGCACAAACGACACAGATGGCTTCGTGGACCGGTGCCGGAGAAGAAACAGAATGCAGATGCTTAACGTTCTTTTCCGCGCTACTGTTGTGAGCGGTAGCTTCGCTGCAATTGTGTACGGCGCGACGTTGAGCTTCAGGAGATTCTTTGGGTCGCGATCACGGGCATGAGGGCGGGTTGCATAATGGTTCTTAGCCTGGTTACTGGTGTTTTTGGCGTTTCACAGAGGGTCACTTGCGCGACACATCGATCTATGCATCGGGCCGTTGCAGTGTGGCAAATGCCACCAAGCACAAGCTTATTGATATTGTGCGATGGCCGAGGCGTCGCACGTTGAGCTGATTGTACGGAATTTACATCTCTTGATCAACTGCCAGCATTTCACACGGGGAGGGCCGTGGGTAGAGGAAAGCGATGGGCACAGAACGGTAGGCGCATGTACAGGAAATAGTCAAATTGCATTTGCTCAAGGGCAACGGCATACCGCTATTGCGAATACTTACTTCTGTACTACTCCTTTGTTACTCCTTTGCTACCATGAATAACAAAGATTCCTGGACTTCTGAGCGGAGCACCAGGAACGACCGCGACACCACTAGACTGTTCATCAACACCAAGCTCGAGCTGACTCCCTTTCTCCTTGGCGACGTTGGGGACGAAAATGTCCACGTCATGCAGTGCAACAAACAGAGCCGGCTTCCGTTCAAGGGCTTTGCACCTGTCTACTATTGCTGTTCGTCTACCGGAGGACATTCGCCAGGTAACTCTCGAAACCTAGTCTATCAGCATCAACGCGAGCTGCCAAGCAGTGCTGTGCTTTGCGCGCGCTTCTCACACTTCCAGTACATCGTTATGTTAGGCGCTTTGTTGTCTGATTTGCGAATGGAATGTGTCTAGCTCGAAAGATGCCGAGAGCCTTAATCCTTGCTTGCGCAAGTGCCTTGGCGGGGTCGCGTGCGTTGCCGATCAGTTTAAGTGACTTGTGTCGTTCCGCGAACGAGAACAATGAGAGGCCTTCACAGGCTAGCAGTTATGCACATGTCGATGTCCGAGCGCGTTGTCCTAGACGTGGAATTACAGCTCCGTGCTCGAAGTCGTTCCGTGTCGCATATGTGTGTAGCAGGTTGAAAGCAACGATCTGCGATATCTCAACTCGGGCCTTCGCAGCAGTACTAGCGGCTCAAACACTCTGGGCAGCCTGTTTTATCTCAAACCCCTTCCGGCGGGTCAGCAACAAAGGCACTGACTAGGATCTGGTCTCGCGCCTGTGATGCAGGTGAAAAGCGGGCTGCTCGATTGTACTGCATGCCGAAAGGCCATCTTGGCCAGCTCCTGTTATTCGATGTTGACGTCGACCTCTTGAACTGTTGTCCATCACTACTATTGTTGGCGTCTGATTTCGCCATCTTGCTTGTTCTTGCGTGCTTTCGACCATCTAGCAGAGCAGCGCTCTTTGCATTACATTACGATCTTATAGTACGAGTGCGCGGCCACTGCCTCCATGTCATTCTTTCTCTCACACAGATCTTCCATATGGGCTGGACGGATATGGGGACTTCTATTATTAATACTGGCCAGAAGTGCGAGAGCAGACCTCGATAATGAGACTTCACCCACACATCAGTTCAGATCAGTGAGTTTGCTTACCTCTTGGCTGCACCGTACTTGCTTTGGTGGCTGACCGAAGCTTCTTCTGGCAATAGCGACCCGACCTTCACGCTCCTATAATAGATTTTGAGATATTAAGACCAGAGCTTGTGACACCAGGCTACGTATTTCTTGCTCCTTACCGCAACCTCGACCCGGGACCATACATCTACGACAACTGGGGTAATCTGGTGTGGTCTGGTGCAGGAGAAAGTGGACCGAAGACGGCGCATGCGCCAAGAGTGTGCACATATCGAGGGACTGATCACTTGTGCTTCTTCGAGGGCGAGCAACACCAAGGCTTCGCTCGCGGCCATGGCGTTATCATGGATCGGAACTACAGGGTGGTCAAGACGGTGGACAGCTCGGGAGCAGGAGCGAGCGCTGATATGCACGAATTCAAGATGACACCGTACTCGAACGGGACCACAGTCCTTATGACCGTGTACCAGCCGCGGCAGTACGACCTTACAATCAACCCAAGATTCAATGTTGAGCGTGGCATGGGTTGGATTGTGGAGGGTGTTTTCCAAGAAGTGGAGATTGAAACGGGCAAAGTGCTATTCGAGTGGCGGTCACTGGACCATGTGGACCCAAGCCTTAGCTGGACTATGCCTGGAACCACAGATACCAGCGGAGATGGGCTTCACGAGGAGTCACCATGGGACTACTTCCACGTCAACTCGATCGACAAGAACATCGAAGGCGACTATCTAATCTCAGCACGACATGTGAGTGCGATCTACAAGTTATCTGGTGAAGATGGGCACATCATGTGGCAGATGGGTGGCAACGCTGCTACAATACACACCACCAACTTCGTGTTCTCATACCAGCACCACGCACGCTGGATCTCTGAGAACGCCACGCATACTGTCTTGTCTTTCTACGACAATGGGAGCAACAACTTCAACCACACTGGAGACTTCTCGCATGGCTGGATCATCGAGGTTGATCATATAGCGGGAACAGCCGCGAAAGTGCAAGAGTGGACCGCTCCAGAGCCAGAAGGTGGTTTGCTGTCCGGCTCCCAAGGCAGTATGCAGATGCTGCCGAACGGCGGCTGCCACATCGGCTGGGGTGAGCATGCTTACTTCTCTGAACATACTGCAGACGGCAGCGCGGTGATGTATGGCAAACTTGCAGATCGAGCATCGAATGTGATGATTTACAGGTCGAACAAGTACAACTGGACCGGGACACCGGAGACGAAGCCAGCATTGTGGACTTTCAGCAAAGATGGACAGAAGATGGCTTTCTTCGTATCCTGGAATGGTGCTACTGAGGTGCAAAGCTGGAACTTCTACACCGCGGACACCGCTGTTGGGAACTACACATACCTTGGCAACACGAAGAAGAATGGCTTCGAGACGGATTTCCATATTGACATGGCGAAGGCGTGGTCTTTCGCCGAAGCACTAGATGTGTATGGTCGAGTCCTTGCCTCGAGCGTCATCGCACGAACCTTCAGACCGAGCAAGTACCTAGCACCATTTTGTGACGATTGGGGATGCGAGAAGGCGGAAAGAGTGCCTGAAGAGAATCTGGTGCCTTACGAGGCAGAAGTTGCGCTGAACCCGGACTATCTCTCACCCAATAGAGGATTTGATACCACCAACTACTATATGGAGGAGCCGTCGAACGAGACCACCGCGTACGGCCAGAACCTGCCACCTACGAGCGAGCATAACAGCGCTCATGATGTTTTTCTCGTCGGCCTGGGTGCGACCATTGGCTTCGTCATCATGACTGCTGGTCTCATACTGCACAGCCACGGTGCGCTGAAGAGTCTCGAGCCCATTGCTGAAGGTGTCAGTAGACGCACAGGCGAGATGACGAAGACGGTCTTTGGATCGAGGGCACTTGGCAGATATAGCCGTGTTCATCAGAAAGAGGACGGGTTTGTCAGTGGGACTAGCAGTTCCAGGAGCAGTGGTGGTGGGTTGGCTTGATGTTGGCTTTGGATGTACCCTTTGGCATACAGTAAAAGTTGGGTTGCATGTGAGCAGTATCTTAATGACTTTGCTTGTATTTACTATTTGATTTAGAGCGGAGATACCATTTGTCTGTGCGAGTAAGCAAGACTTTCAGTCGTACAACAATCTTCTGTCTTCCTATGAGTGTCGTCGTGATTGCCAGATCTGGCTGCGTGTCTCGTAGACTTCGCTAGTTCACATCATCAGCTACTCGATACCACATCACCTCAGGATCATACGTACGCAGTGCTGAGTTCTAGCACCATGTCTCCGCATCACAAGATTTTTTCCCTCTACGCCGACACGATTTTCAGGAGCCAACAGCATGATCGTCTCCACATGTTCTCCTGCTACGACATTGGATCCATTATCGCTCTGGTACCACGAGTCGTGTCCAGCTAGCTCTGTCCCCGTTGCATACGCATAGCCAACACATCCGCAAGGCTTACAATTAGTCACTATCACCAGCCATCAGGTCTCCTTCCCTCTCTGGTCTCCTCTGACGATTCTCATCACAAATGCCTTGCGAGAAGACGAAGTCGTTGAATACTTCCTTGCGTTCTTCACACCTTCCTGAAACATAGCTTATGCACAATCTTCATCAGTGCCGATTTGGCCGACTGGCCGCCTTGGCATGCAGTGGTGGCGCTACCAAGCATTTCCTGATCCTTGCTGCACGCGTTCTATCGAGTTTCCATTTCATCTGCACGGAGCGGATTTGTCTCCTCTGTCGGCATCGAATCATGAACTCTCGCTCGCATGCAGTCGTCGCGGAAGAGCGACAAGCGTACGCGGTCACAAGCCTTGGCAACTTTGTGCACGTTGCCGTCACACATAGTCGGCCAAATCACAATGTGTAGTTGCAACGGTAGAGATTCTCGGATCGAAGCCGGCTTCAATATCAGCATCGGTACCTGACGCATCAGCGAGGGCCCGCAAAGGCAGGCACGCTGCGTCGATCACGCTGGCAGGTCAATGCTTGGCAGTGTATCCTCTTGCTACCTTAGAGCACATGTGTTCAGGTGTACTCTGTATGCAAGACTTGGTGTTGCCCACCAAGAACATCCTACGGAAGCTCGGATCCGCTACCGCTGGCCGCGCGGACGTAACCTATCGCCGGCATGTCGCAACGTCAAGCTTCAGGACATCATCTTCGGAACAGATCACGTTCCGGGAACCTGAACTTGGACGAGGCTGGGCGATGGCCGCAGAACAACCGGCGAAGGCCGTCAGAGTATAGCGATTCGCCATATGCCGACAATGATTTCTTGGCTACGGATAGTGGCACGCGCACTCCAAGCTGGTCGCCTGCAAACATTGAGAATGGTACTGCAGACAAGACTGGACAGTCGTATCCACTACAGCCACCGCTGCTGTCACCACCAGCGCTGGCGTTACCTTCTAGCTTCTTGACATTGCCGGAGGCTACGACAATGCATGAAGACTCAATAGCAGCACATCCTCCTCTACCTCCCACATGGCGCAATATCCCGAACAAAGGCCAGTTGGCTATACTAGCCGCATCACGGTTTGTCGACTTCTACCAGATGGCAGCGTTACAGACGTACATGGTGCACCAGCTTAAGTCCTTCGATCCCGAGCTGCCTGATCAGACGATTTCGCACCAAGCAGGTGTGTTGCAGGGAGCGTTCACAGCGGCACAGATCATCACAAGCATACTTTGGGGCCGAGCAGCGGACCAGCCTAGTATTGGCAGGAAACTTGTGCTGAATATTGGGCTGGTAGGGACAGGCATTGGATGCATAGGAGTCGGATTTAGCAGGACATATGGACAAGCAGTGTTCTGGCGGCTAATGAGTGGTGCCATCAATGGTACTGTTGGTTCGGCCAGAACAATGGTTGCAGAAAGGACTCCAAAGCCCTGGCATCCTCGTGCGTTCCTGTTGCTGCCAGCGGCCTTCAACGTGGCCAACGTGCTAGGACCGATCATATCTGGTCTGCTGGTCAGTCCAGTCACGAGCTTTCCTGCGTGGTTTGGACCAGGGAGTACCTTTGGTGGAGTCTCCGGGGTCGCGTGGATGGAGCGACACCCATACGCTCTGGCCAATTTGATCAGCACAGCATTGTTGTTTGGAGAGGCGCTTATAGTGCACTTCTATCTACAAGAGACATTGAAAGGCAAGCGACCATTAGAACTATCACGTTTCAATCCCATACAAATGGCTAGGGATCTGTACAACCAGCTACAGGATGCAAAAAATCGTGGATACCGGATGGTACAGCAGACGCAACGGCAAGGTCTGTTGTCTGGACAGGATCGACCTTCACTTGAGCTAGACCGGTTAGCATCGAACGGCGAGAAGGTAGAGTCACGACCGGCACAAAGGCTTCCATTTCATCGCATATGGACGCCAAACGTGCTGTGGACTCTGGTCAGCATAGCTGTGTTCGACTTTCATATGGGTGCCTTTGCGAATCTATGGATCCTGTTTCTTGCAACTCCACGTGAGTTCATCCCGGGTGTCTCTGATGCGATACCTGAGGTCGAGCCTCTGCCCATCAAAGACGAACAGCTTCGGCCAAGAAGTGTGTTCAAGTTCGCTTCTGGACTTGCATTTCCGCCTCCGACCATTGGTTTTGCAATGGCCATCATCGGCTTCATTGGAGTAGCTTTGCAGTTCCTACTCTATCCTTACGCCAATGCTCGCTTCGGCCTCATGCGATGCTTTCGAGGCTCGCTCTTCCTGTTCCCTACGGCATATTATCTCGCACCATACATCGCGCTGCTCCCGTCCGCCTCGCCATCACCATATCCAGCAAGCGGTTGGGTGGTCTGGCTTGGAATTAGCTTCGTGCTCTTCCTTCAAGTGTCCGCGCGTACATTTGCACTACCAGCATCGATCATCCTCCTAAACAATAGCTCTCCACACCCAAGCGTCCTGGCAACTATTCACGGGGTAGGCCAAGCATGCTCAGCAACTTTCAGGACCCTTGGCCCCATATTGGCCGGCTACTGGTATGGATTGTGGACTGAGAGGGGTATTGTGGGCATGGCATGGTGGATCACGGGCTCGCTGGCCGCTATTGGCTGCGTGGCCAGCTTTTGGGTACGCAATGGGAGCGGTCACGAGATCTTTCTGCCTGGCGAAGAGCAGGAGATGAAAGAGACTGGCACTGGCGGTGGCAGTGGAGACGGTCGGTAAGCAGTCTCGGCCTTTCATGCCTACATGACTCGCTAGTCTTCTTGTCGCCGAAAAGTACCGTCGTGTACCATCAAGATCGAAATGTACAAGAACCCTAATATCTGCCCAATTAAGAGTCAGTAGCAACTCGTGGCGAGCTATTCGCACCCCAAAACAGCATCCTCACGTGTCTCTAGTGTCACAATACCGTGTCTAGACCAACATTGAAGCTTTCGGAGTTTCTTGTCGCGTGGGCGCCACATGCAGTGAGAGTGATCTCCCGAAGGTGAGCCGTTCGGGTAGGTTAATCCAAAGCCCGGCTACGCTTTTCCTCGAGCTAAACGCGGAGACTGGACCGACACTGTGCATGCCTAGTCAACAGCGCTCACGGTCCAGTTCGCCTCACGACATCCATGAGTATGGGACGGGGTGTGTCTAATATATTACTACCCCATGGGGCCTCCACTCTCTCGACTTCTTTGGTTTCTTTCCGTGGGATCAACTTGTCCTTTGGCGCTTGCTGTTGACATCGACCTAGCAGCGATACCAACAAGGCAGTAACCAGCATATAGGCGACGACAACGAGACCACGAAGGCTCGATACAGATCGATACTTCTGGCCACCCGGGTGTGAAGATGTCGTCGGCGGAGAAGTCAGCAGAGATACATCATGTCGAACAGACTGCCCATCATGAACACCCCACGGACATCGAGCTTCATCACGATCATGTAGCTTCAGAAGCCATCGGTGGGATGGTGCAAGACCTACCTCCGAACTACTATCGATCACCTGCATTCATAGGAACGCTGGTAGCGACGTGTTTGGCGCAAATCTCGGGATATCTGTAAGTAGGGGTTGCATCACTATTGTGTACTACGACTGATGCATTGTTCAGAGGATGGGTGCTACCAGCCAACACTCTCTCCTTGATCAATCTCGCCCTTGGTCCTTCAACGAATGTCATCTGGCTCGCCGTGGCCTGGCAAGCTGGCTTCGCTGTTGCATTCTTGTGGGTGGGAAGATTGTCAGGTATGAGTTCGTGGTCCATCACCAACAAGATGGAATACTAATACTCTTACCCCGGCAGATATTTTCGGTCGAAGATGGTTCTTCATCGGCTCCTCCGCGCTCGCAATCATCGGCAATATCCTTGGTGCCGCAGCTCAAAGCATCGAAATGCTTATCGCTACCAACATCATCAACGGTCTTGCCGCATCTGGCCAGCTCTCTTTCAGTGTGGTCCTCGGCGAACTCGTTCCGAATAAGAGTCGTGGTACTTTCAATGCGATCGTGCTCTCCACCAGTGTCCCATTCGCCGTCTTTGGCCCGCCAATCGCCAGAGCATTCTATGAACACACATCGGTGACTTTCGTAAGTGTGATGGGCTGAACCAAGGTCATGGCTTCACACTGACACTCTTCTCTAGCGAGGAAGCTATATCATGGGTGTCGCTGTCAACGTTGTTACAGTCGCACTTTATGTGATGTTCTATCACCCGCCATCATACAAGCTTCTACACGTAGGTGGCAAGAGTAAGATGCAGCAGCTGAAGGAGTTCGATTGGATAGGCAGTGTTCTCTTCACGGCCGGGCTGACGGTCTTCCTCATCGGTCTGAACTGGGTGAGCAAATATTCGCCGACATGACTTATGTCCCTTGCTGACAATCTTCGCAGGGTGGCACTGTTTACCCATGGAAATCCGCTCAGGTGCTCGGAGCTTTCTTTGGCGGCATTGCGGGTCTAGTCATCTTCTGTGTCTGGGAAGCCTACTGTGGGCTGGACTATCCCCTCATGCCGATGCGATTGTTCCGCAACCTGAAATACGATGCTATAGTGGCATGCGCTTCCATCGGAGCCATGGTCTACTACAGCGGCACCGTCATCTGGCCAACAATGGTAGGAGCTCTATTCACAAACGATGTCACGGAAGTTGGATGGCTCTCGTGCGCCGTTGGTGGCAGTATCCTCTGCGGGCAGATTCTTGCTGGTATCGGCGTTCGATCGTTGCCTCGCATGAAGTGGCAGATGACTATCGCTGGCGCAATCATGATGGTCAGTACAGCTCCCGTTGATGGTCTGACATCTGCTGACATTTCTAGACTTTTATCGCTGCCTTGTCTGCCTCCAGCGGAAGCACTCGCTCCATGACGATCGCTTTCCTCATGATCGGTACTGCCGGCGCCGGATATGTCGAGAATCTGACTCTATCGACCATGGCCCTCGTATGGGAACCCGATGACATTGGGCTTGTCGCCGGTGTCCTTGGCTGCATCCGTACTGCTCTTGGTGCCCTCGCCACGTCGATGTACAGCAGTATTCTGGCGAGCTCGCTCACGAAGTACCTGCCAAGATATGTCGGTCCAGCAGCCGCAGAAGCTGGTTTGCCAACAACCAGTCTTCCGGCACTACTGGCAGGGGTCGGGACAGGCAGTTTCGATGCAGTCCCGGGCGTCAACGCTGCAGTCCTCGCCGCCATCGGTGCGCCGATCAAGCAAGCATATGCTATGGCCTTCAGGACCGTGTTTTTGACCACGATACCATTTGGTATCATCTTGCTGGTCGCTGCGATCTTCTACTGCCCCAATGTTGAGGACTATATGACCGATGAGGTTGCAAGGAAGCTGCAGGGAGTGTCTTCGAAACCAAAGGTCATGACGAAGGAGAAAGATGCCGAGCAGGCAATGTAAATAAACTCTACTTTCTGGCGCTGTAATCAATGCTTGCAGTCTCTAAGCAGAATAGGAACACTCTTGCAAATGTCGAATGTCGATAGTCCGCTCTGTCGACCAGCTCGCGTGGGCTTTGTGACTGCCATCACCCTATGTGGTCTCTGTCCTGTTTCGTGCTATGAGTGCATAGCTTTCCAGCTTGTTCTGGTATGCTCTCCGATCCTGGAGCCAGAAAAGACAAGTGCGAAGGTTATGTGTATCAAATGTGAGGTCTGACGTAAGGTGAGCCGATCGCGCGGGTCTCAAAGAAGTGATCCGCACCAGACTCTTCAGCTTGAGAGAGTGCATGCGGCTGACCCAACATCAAGTAGGTAGCGACGTAGCCAAGAGGCCCATGCTACCGCTACGTCTGCAACACAATGGCTGACTGTGTCATCCGAGGTTGCACCAGGAGCGAACACTATCTTCTGCACTTAGCACTTTCCAATCGAGATGGTGTCCCACTTTCCTTCCTTCGGGTATTGCAAAGAGCAGAATATAAACACTCCTCCTTCGCAGCACCGCTTCTGAGCATATCCATCTCACCCTACAGATCTTGTCAATCTCGAATCTGAAGACCATCATGATCTCCTGGCTCCTTGCGTTCGCCACTGCTCTTGCGGCAGCCAGTGCCCAAAGGCCACTTCATCAACCACAGCACGCACATCATGGTGGTTCTCGTGGCTCAGCCTCAGCAGGGTGTGGCATTAACCACTCTTCAGGCTACAACTACCAAACCTCCCCAGGCCACAACTTCAGCATAGTCTCGGACAATATCAGTCGCTACTACAGCGTCCAGGTCCCAGATGGCTACGTAGCCTCAAAGGCGTACCCTTTGATCTTCGACTATCATGGCAACACCGATACTGCGTCTGACCAGCACAACAATTCCGCTTACTTCAATTACACGCAAGACTACCTGGTCGTGTACCCACAAGGCTTGAACAGACACTGGGAAGGTCCATCATATGCTGTCAAAGGCATCAACGATACCCTCTTCACCACTGATCTTCTTGACCATATCAAGACTGATTACTGTATTGACCCCTCCCGCGTATACGCCAGCGGAAAGAGTAACGGTGGTGGGTTCGTCGACCTCCTCGCATGTAGCGATGCTGGAGACGAGTTTGCAGCATTTGCCATGGCGAGCGCGGCACTCTACAACGACACCAGTCTAGACATCTGTACCAAGCGTCGAGCGATCATGGAGTCGCACGGCAACATCGACACCGTAATCTCGCCTTACGGTGGCCCAGGAAGTGGCGGTGATCTACCGGATATCCTCGAGTGGGTCTCGTGGTGGGGCCAGCGTGATTGCGGCGCCGATGCTACGCCGGTTTACGACACAACGCCTGCTGGGTACAATATCACTACCTACTCCTGCGGCGACTGGGATGATGTAGTGGTGCATTATCAGCTTTACAATCTTGGACATTGCTGGCCAAGTAGCACAGGGACGAACTTCGATGCGCTGCACATCAGTGAGACGCAGAATTGTACTGGTGACAGGGATTTGGCTTATACACCAGTAGTACTGGACTTCTTTAGCAAGTGGACGTTGGAGAGTGCGCCCCACAATAAGGAGAGTTGGTGATGATCTTGGATCATTCTTTGCCTTGAAGCAATAGGTATATGTCTTTGCTGGAAGCAATCAAGCTGTTGACAGTCCAAAGGCCTTTGGCAAGTATCCACATGTACAGCTCATAGACCTGTAAGTTCTGTCTCGGCGCACTATTGGCGACCTGCACGCCACCGCTCATATGCCTCCCTCGTGAGCAGGTGGGCCGCGAGCTCCTTTGCTTTCCGCTTTCTCTCATCCTCATTGGCGAATTCGGCCTTGCAGTACTGGTACAACTCCGCCGAAACAGAGTTGAGGTACGTGAGCAAAGGCTCCACATCCTGGTCACGAAGATAGAGTCAGTATCACAATTCACTAGACAGCACATTTATTCGTATAGAGCTAACCTGAATCGTCATCGCCTGCTCATCAACCCTAGCCAACACCACACTACCCGTCATCTTGCGGTACCTGATCTTTCCGAAGGTCTCGAGATCCTCCGGGTCGGTGTGAAGGAAGAGGCCGAGGAGAATCTTGTTGGGCACTTTGCCGTTCTCCCCTGGGTAGCGGGCAGCCTTCAGCGGAAGACCCAGAGTAGCGGAGATCGGGCTGGCTATCCACTCGAGGCCGGAGGAATCGTTCTGGGAGATAGTGTGTGGAGTGTACACTGTTTGGATCGTGGTCTGATTTGTGGGATCTTGTGGGACTGGACGAACGAGAATGGTTGAGATCGTGGCTGAGGACGAGGGGCCTGATGTAGTCGACATGACGGTGGTCGTATGCTTTTCGCGTAGTCTTGTATATGTATGTCTATGATAAGATGGATCAAAAGGAAAGAGCCAGAAGGCAAAGCCTTTATATAGGAATCTTCCTTGACGTACAAGTGTTTGTAGGTGAATGAATGACCAAGAAGGAAACTCTGCTTGACCAGTGCCTTGACAATCAGCTGCCAATCCTTATGAATGGACGGCTTCCATCGGCGCAAACAAGAATGGCTTTTACCTTGACCTGTGCAACTGATTGTCCGCGCTCGAAGGAGGAAACATAAGCTGCGTGCTGGAACAGCGAACTGTCGTTCAGAGTAGATCAATTAGTGATGGCCGACTCGACCTCATGATGGACGTGTTTATTCCTGCCATAGCGACAGTGTTGGATAAAGCCGCTCACGAGGCTTAGATAGTGGCCACGTTACATAGGACTCCTAGGTGTGGGCGTGCCTGCCTAATCCGGACAGCGCTCTGTCGTCACCGGAGCACATGATCGAAGCACGTGGTCGGTAAAAGGCTCATGCGGCGCATCGCAAGTCGTACTCTTCCAGATCTGTGCTGGTCTTGTGCTGACGTACTATCCAGACTTCATCATTCGATCGCAACGCGGCCCTTCCAGTCCAATATGGTTGGCTTCATCGTTCAGTCTTTTTGGCAAGACTACTACTCCCGTGTCCCGGCCTTGGAGAAATAGACAGGGCATTGTACACATCATTACTCATCTCTACCAAACTCCACAATCATCGCAACCCGAACACTCCTCCCTCAAGCCGCTCCCACATCTCACTACTCCGTCAACCACCCTCAAAACTTCCACGTCCAGTGCTCAAACTCCTCGGGATCCATCCCAGTCTCATACGCATGATTCTTCGCATTCGTCCTCATATCCACCAGCTTCCCCCTCGCCCCAGCGCCCTTATTCCCCAACACACTCTTCAGACTATCAATCGCCGCAATAGCCAACGAGAACCGATCGGCCTCATTCCGGATCGCCAACTCCAGGGGCGTATCAATATTCCCCTTCTCCTTATAACCCCTCACATGCATCAGATGCTGGCCCTCGCGCTGGTAGGTCAAGCGGTGCACGAGCCAGGGGTACGAGTGGAAGTTGAAGATGACGGGTTTGTTGTTCGTGAAGACCGCGGCGTATTCTTCTGCTGTGGTGCCGTGGGGATGGTATTTGTTCGGCATGAGCTTGAACAGGTCCACGACGTTCACGAAGCGGATTTTTAAGTCCGGAAGCATTTCCCGCAGGAGTTGCGTACCCGCTAGAGCTTCTTGCGTCACGACGTCACCGCACGAGGCCATGACGAGGTCGGGTTCGGCGCCCGCGTCGTTGGAGGCCCAGGGCCAGATTCCCAGCCCTTTGGTGCAGTGCGCGACGGCGTCTTCCATGTTGAGGTATTGGAGGTGGAGTTGTTTGTCGGCGACGATGGTGTTGACGTAGTTTGTGCTGCGGAAACAGTGGTCCATGACGGAGAGGAGGCAGTTGCCGTCGGGGGGCAGGTAGATGCGGACGACTTCGGGGGATTTGTTGGCGACGACGTCGAGGAAGCCGGGGTCTTGGTGGGTGAAGCCGTTGTGGTCTGTAATATGACAAGTTAGCGTACTATTTGAGGACAGAAGTTTGTGGTAGTGGGGAGATGTTACCTTGTCGCCACACAGTAGAAGTAAGTAGAATATTCAAACTGCTCACCCGCTCCCTCCACGACACCTCCAGACACTTCTCGATCCACTTGCAATGCTGATTAACCATACTATCGATGATATGAATGAAAGGCTCATACGAATTGAGCAGGCCATGTCGACCACTGAGCGTATAGCCCTCAAGCCAACCTTCACAAGTATGCTCGGACAACATCTCCATGACTCGACCCGCAGGTGCGAGGTTCCCGCCATCTTCGTCCTCGGGCAAGTAGCCGTTCATCCAGACTTTCTTCGTTACGTCGTAGACTGCTGACAGCTTGTTAGATTCTGTTTCATCTGGGCCGAAGAGGCGGAAGGAGTCGGGATTCTTCTTCATGATATCTTTCATGAAATCGGCAAAGTTGGCCATGGAGGGTCCTTCCGTGGTGCCGGGCTTATCGACCTTGATAGCCCACTTTCTGAAATCCTCCAGCTTGAGTGGCTGTCTGATCGAGCCGCCATTCGTGATGGGATTGGCAGACATGCGCTTATTTCCCTTTGGAGGCAATTCCTTAAGCTCGTCAATCAGCCTGCCATCCTTGTTGAAGAGCTTCTCGGGCTCATAGCTCCGCATCCACTTCTCGAGCATCGCGAACTGCTCCTCATCGTTATGCACCTTGGGCAAAGGCACTTGATGAGCGCGGAAGAAACCTTCGAGATAGTGACCCCCGACTTTGCGAGGTGCAGTCCAGCCTTTGGGTGATCGCAGGATGATCATGGGCCATTGGGGTCGGTACACCTTACCGGACTCACGAGCTTCTTTCTGGTAGTGCAGAATTTCTTGCACACACTTCTCGACTGTCCCAGCCATAGCTTGGTGCATCTCTTCCAGGTTCGATCCAGCGACCACATATGGCTTCCAGCCGTACCCTTCCATGAGCTTGATCAGCTCATCTTCGCCGATACGTGCCAGAATCGTCGGATTATTGATCTTGTAGCCGTTGAGATGTAGCACAGGTAGTACCGCACCATCCGTGATGGGATTCAAAAACTTGTTGCTATGCCAGCTCGTTGCCAACGGTCCAGTCTCCGCCTCGCCATCACCAACAATCGTCAAAGCAATGGTCTTGGGGTGATCGAAAACAGCACCAAAAGCATGGCTGATCGAGTATCCGAGCTCACCACCCTCGTGGATGGAACCCGGTGTTTCCGGTGTCATGTGGCTGCCCACCCCACCTGGGAAGGAGAATTGCTTGAAAAAGCGTTGTAGACCTTCGACATCCTCGCTCTTGTTTGGGTAGACCTCGCTGTAGACACCTTCGAGGTAGAAGTTGGAGATCAGGCCTGGAGCACCGTGGCCGGGTCCGGAGACTACGAAGGCATCGAGGTCGTACTTCTTTACCATACGGTTGAAGTGGATATACCTATATCATTCTCAGCTGATTCTCATCCCAGTCTACTATGACATGACATACGTGAAACTCTGCCCAGCGTCACTTCCCCAGTGCCCGAGCAATCGAGGCTTGAGGTGCTCCTTCTTCAAGGGCTCTCTTAGCAGTGGGTTGTTTTTGAGGTAGAGCATGCCGAGGCATAGATACAACGTGGCATGGAAGAAGCGGGTCAGCTTGTCCAGCTCCTCTTTGCTCAGCGGCTGCTCATTGACAGTCGACCTCGTCGCACCGTAGGCCGACCACTTGTCCTGCTGTGCAGTGAGTTGAGAGCCCTGCGGGACCTCGGACGGCCCAGTATCGTGCTCCATGGCTGCTCGTCAATGTTGGAGTGTAGTGTGTGGGAGAGGAAGTACAGGAGGTAGAGGTGTTAGTAGGAGAGGTAGTGTTGTTGGAAAGGCTGTCTCAAGCGAGTCCTCTTTCCAACGTCATTCACCTACTTTCCTCACCTGTTCTACTGAGCTGGCCTGGTATAAGGTTCGAGGTCAGGTGCGGTTCACGGAGCTCGCGGAAGCTCCAATGTTTTGCAGCAAGCTTGTGATGTCACCCTACAGCAGACGCACCGCTCTGCAGCCGTCGTATCATCGTAGTGCTTTGCACATTCCAGTATCACACTCATCTAGTGTGCTTGGATAAGGAATTACTGATGTTCCGCGCGTGATGATATATGCGAGTCAGTAGGTAGACGTCCAGCCTGTGCAATGGCAAGAGGAGAAGATGAAGCACGTTTGTGCAGAACGGCCGAGGGTCGCCGAAAGCGAGCAGTTCATCCATCATCATGTTTCGATTCCCATGTCAAAACTGACAGTACCATCTACGCACGTAATTGCAGTGAGGCAGACCAGAACCGACACATGTTGGTGTGACTGAATAGTTGCCAGGCCATCATCCCATATGAGCAGCATTGGGGGAGAAGGATTGCTGCCCACAAGATGCAGTGCATGATTGTCCTTGGCGCCGTGGCGGAGCAGCTCATGGGAATGGCACCGCCTTCATGAAGTGGTGTATCCTCGATATCGATAATCTCACTTTTGAGACCTCGATGAGATTGTAGTGGAAACCACTACAAGGCTTGCGAGTCCTACTTCCATGCTGACGCCCAGACTTAATGACATCTCTGCTTGCACATACAGGCTCGCGAGATGTATATCAATGTCGGATCGAAACCGCGCTCGGCGACACGAACCATCGTCAACGATCTTCTTTGGCCAATCGTCTTCTTCATCACCACAATCGCCTTCACCATCCCCTTCTTCTTACAGAAGACCGCCGGTGTTTCCACCACAGATAACCCCATGTGCTTAGCTAGTGGCGAGCCCTGGTTTCCCCGGAACGGCACCATCAACCAATACTGGGATGTCTCGACCGCACTCTTCATCACCCTAGGAAATGGTTCTTACACCTATCCTGAAGCGAAAGCCATCGATGTCACCTGGGATCTGCTAGTTGGGCGAGGCGGCCAGGTGTTAGCGACTGTCATGGGCTATAGTGTGATCAGAAGATCTCTACTATACGCTATGGAGCAGGCTGCCGTGTCCATCCCTTTGGTCCATTCCATCTACGTCGATAAGCTTGGTTCTGGCTTCCTCGGGACCTCGTTACGACATTTCGGACATTCGAATCATCCCGGACAGACTCCTGACACCAAGAGGGTTCCGGTACTACGTCTCCTTTCCTGGGCCTATATCTGCATATATGTCGTCATCCTGCCTACCATCATGTCAGCCATGACGGGTTACCAGACAAACAGCGACATCTTCTTCCACCCACGGCTTCTGAGCGATGACTTACTAGCTTCAGCAACGGCCTTGAAACCGAATCCACCTCTCGTCATTCGTGATGGCCACCGCATAGGAATGGCAGACAATGTTCCAATCACGCTGCCAGATCCCAGCGGTATCGACTTCAACGCGACCTACAATACCATGCTCGGATGTCAGTATCACACCCCACCCACCTCAGCCCGATGAACGCAGTGGAGCTGACGCATACGCTTGTAGACTATTTCGTGATCAAGTACGTCCTGGGGGATTTCACCACCAAGCCAGATTGGAGCTCTGGCTGGTCCGACTTCTCCGACACCCTCGGTCCACCCTCCATCGATCCATCCAAGCCGGTCTGGGGCATCTGCACCTTGACACGGGAAAGGAATGGCTGCAACGCAACGCAACTGGTCGGGAATGCCACCATTGCCCCGGACCCCTATCTTCCTGTCAGGCCTGTGCCATCGCTCATCTGGACGAACATCACGCTTGAGAACCATACGTATACTTTACAATCGCCGCCTCTGGATATCGAGGTCACGGGTCCACCGAGTTCGTGGTCGCTTTTCCTTGGGAGCAATGATGCCCTTATCGGGTACTTCAGCAATGCGACGGTAGCGGATGGGGCTGTTTGTCAGCCTACTGCTCAGTATATTTGGGGTTTCTCGGCTATGCTGTTGTTGCTGCTAAGTGTTCTGACGATTCTCTTCGCCACAACGCTTCTTGCGCTGCAGACGGAGGTCTATCTGTGTAGTCAGGCCAACCGTTCTCAGGTTGTGGAGAATGGGTATAAAGATGCTGTCTATGTCGTGCAAGCGCTGAAGGAAGCTCATGATGTCAAGGAGGAGGATGAGTTGTTGAAAGAGATGGACGGCAGGGGCTATCGGCCTAAGAAAGGTGGTTTGGCGGTACAGACTGAGAGTTTGCCGCGAGCTAGGATGAGGAGAAGAGGCTTTGTTGGGCGGTTTGGTGGAAATGCTCCTGCTGATATTCCATTGCTTGAGCGTGAGCAGAGTCTGATGACGACTAGCACGATTACGACATCATTCGCGAAACTGAAAAAGGACCGTCCTGCGTACTAATACATAGTGCGGAGGACTATCCGGGCCCGCCATCTGTTCTACGATAGTACTACATGCAGCAACAGATCCCATCGTCTACAGAAATCGCTCGTGTCTACACTTTGTCGGCATGGTTCCTCGTGTTCCATCACCTCAAATCACACATCCCCAACAGTCTGAAAACTACTAACATCCCATCCATTCTGAATATCATACTCCCCCTCCGGCGTCACCCCCTGCAAAACCTCATAGTGCACCTCCCCCACCCCACAATAAGCTCCCGTCTCATTCCCTACCGCACAACTCTGCTCCCCGAGCACCAATTCCGCGATCCTCCCCCCCACCTCCTCCCCCTCAAAGTACGCCCCGTGCAGGAAACCATAGTACTCACTACTCGTCGCCTCGCCCGCGAACCACAACCGCCCAACATTCGCCCTCAAATTCTGATGGCTCTGCAGACTCGTTCCCACTGGCCAATTAGAATAGGATCCATATGCCCAAGGCACCTCAGACCACCGGGGGTACATGAACGCTGTAGGCTCTGGGACAATAATATCCGGGAACATCGTCCTCAAAACACCCATGACCTGCTCCTTTGTCTCCTCATCACTCTGCGCTTCCACGGTATAACTCTGCTGATCGACCACCGTGACGAAAATGATGTTACTCCCCTCGATGAACCCCGGGGTCGACAAAGATTGGAAAACAGGGTAGTAACCCCTCGTAGCTGGGTCTGCATAGAGAAGGAACTGCGTCGCCTCCGGCCAGAACGTCTCGTTGAACTGGAGGAAGATCTTGGTATATGTCCCCATGGCGAAGGAAGCAATAGCTGCTTCCTTCCAGTCGGGGAGGCGGGGCTCGAAGTCCACGACTTGGTTTTGCAAAACACCTAGCGAGAAAGTGCAGATGGCGTAGTCAGCCGAGACACAACTCCCGTCTTCGTTCGTGATGGTCACACCAGTATCAGAGTAGGAGATATTCGTCACCACGGTCTCGAGCAACAATCTCGAATCGTTCGCCGCGAGGAAGGTGGAGGCTTCCCCGATGATGAAGGCGTTGAAACCGCGTTGGTCGAAGACGTAGTTGTTATCCGCACTGAACTGGTAGAACGTGGTGTTATAATTCACGATCCCGAACACCTGACTCGACTGCTCAGGCGGGAACGCGAACTCCCAGTCCCATTCCCACCATTCAACTGCCTGCTTCTGTGCATCTCGGGCTGGGTTCCAGTCTGCCAGCCGCAAACCAGAACGGACACTCCTATCCTGCAAGTTCTCGACTAAAATAGTTCCGGCATCCTGCTCCAGCGTCGCGTATGCGTCCTCGTAGTTGGATAAGAGATCGCTATAATCGTTATACCCACTCTGATCATAAGTCAGGATATCAGAGTAATTCGAGTAAGTATTCGTCAGATTCCATTTCTGCGCCAGTGTCCAGATGGGATTCGAGGGTCCGCCATCCGTAGCTGTTCCCTGGACCCAATTGGCCCCGAGTTCGACCACGTAAGGATTGCCATTAGAATCGTTACCGAAAGTCGTGTGGGCTACTCGACCGCCGATGCTAGAAGTGTATTCTACGATGATGAAATCGGAGATATTGGCCAGAGCGAGCTGTTGCGCAGCTGTGATGCCCGCTATACCGGCGCCCAGAACGACAACCTTAGTCCGGCGACATTGTTGGGTGTCGGTAGAGTTGGTCGTGCTATTTTCGACACCTCCAGAGGACAGTGGGACGGCACTACTGCTGCTGCTGCTGCTGCTGGACGAGGGAGGCCAGACATGACCGCTGCTATACGAGGGTGGTGGCCAATTATGTCCACTCGCTGACGGCCAAGCACTACCGCCATAAGATCGGGTCCAAGTCGGCGCGGGCGAAGCCTGCGTTGCCACTATCCAGAACAGAGCCGACGACAGCAAAACCGTCGTCTGCCGAGGAAACATACTCAACCGCAGGATGGACTGTCTACACCAGAACGTCCCTTGTCACGCCAGTGCACCCAGTGAAAGATCAATATGCTTATAACTCGAGGACTGGAGACTCAAAGGGAAGGGGAGTGCGAGACGGCCTACCTTATCAACCCAACTCCCTCCCCTCCCTATCTACACCACGGGCACCCTAGTCTTTCCTCCCGCACTGTCCTGCACGGGTTGCGAGCATATCTACCCACTAGCATAAACGCTAAATCGCCCGACTAGATAAGAAGCAGGAAGGTACAAGCGCGATAACACCCATGTTTCTTTTTTCCTTGCTGCAGGAACCGAGAAGGATTTGCGGGGGAAGAGCGCGGCTTACAAGGGTCAGCTCCGGGGGCTGGGATGACGAGGGACGAGAAGATGGAGACGGGATGATCTGCTTGTGTGCAGTGTGTAATGAGTGAGAATAAGACTTGGTTTCCAAGATATACATAACACACCTCGTACAGAGAGGGTGGCCGAAATTAGTAAGACAAGAAGGCCAGATCACATCATAGCCGCACCACCACCTCGTCTCCTCCTCCTCCCCGACCCAGAACCAGGCACAGATACTTCACCACCAAGCTCACTCCCCTGCGCACTGCTAACCCTCGACATGCCCTCCCCTCCCCCACCTCCAACCCCACCCGCGCCCAAAACAGCAGCCAAACTCCCCCCCACCACACTCCCCCCCAAACTCCTCGGCAACTGTCCCCCAAAACCCGTCAGTGCCCCCTCCACTCTCCCTTTCCCATTCCCATTCCCACTACCATTGAGCTGATCACCAGAAGTGATACCCTGCAACTGCGCGAACCCCCAAGCCGCCGGCCTCTCAACCCGGGGCCCTACAGTCGCCGGCCCAAGATCACTGAGCGCGGGTCTGAAAGGCGGAAGCCCTGTAGAAGGGGTCCCGAGGGCTTGGTCCAGGAGTTGGGTACGGAGGGTACGGGCTGAGTCTTCTGCTGCTGCTGCTGCTGCCGCTGTGGTATTCTGATCCAGACCCGCGTCCAGCAATGCACCATCTTGTTGCGAGGCGGAGGTGGAAGATGTCGAAGCCGCGCCAGCTCGCCGGATCATCTCTAGATCGCCTTCTACATCCACAATTCCCACTCCAGCCGGGGCGGGAGCGCCAGATTTCTCGCTTCGCGCTATAGCGGTGTAGGCTGGTAGGACGGGCGCGAAGGGGTTCTCGCGTTGCGCGGCTAGGCCTAGTAGATTGAGTCCTGATGCTGAGGACGAAGAGGCGGCTGCTGCGGCCACGTTGGCGAGGTCGGAGAGTGCTGCTAGAGGGTTTGCGCGCAGGGTGCCGCGGGTGAGGACTTGGTGTTGATGTGTTTGTTGCGAAGCTGTGCGGTCCATCTCTGGTGCTGAGGCGGGGGGAGGGGTGCCTGTTGCACCTCCGCCAGCTTCTGTTGTGGCTCGGATGCCGCCTGTTGTTTCGTCTCCGTCCAGCCCAGGATCGGGCAATATCTCGCCGTCCACGCTCGTGTCCGCGGTGGTGCTCGCCGCGGCACCATCAGCTTGTGTGGGTTGTGCTGTGGTGCCGAGCTGTGGCTGATTGAAGTGGCGATATGTAGCCTGCTGCGCTGTAGCACTCGCAAGAGCCAACTCTTTATCCGTGAAGATCCTCTCAAGACTGTATGCTGGAGCTTCGAATTGCGTATACCCATTCTCCTTTCTCGCATCCTTAAATGGACTCCTGCCTCCTCCCAAGGAGTCTGGTAGAGGAGCACGAAAGACAGGATGGGCAGGAGCTGAAGACTCATTCCCTGCATCCTCTCCTTCCAAAACAGCTAGCTTTCTCTTCCTCTTACCATTCTCGCCTAGATCACCTGCACCAGGACTCGCGGCCCTATGCCTCAGATGTCTCGTCTTCCAATTCTGACCTGCAATACCACCTGGTGAGGAGGGGTTGTTGATACTGAATTGGTTTGGGTGAAGGAGGAGGGCATTGGCGTCGCCGATATCGAGTTGGTCTTTGTCGCGCAGCAGGACCTGGCGTTTCTTGGTGATTGTGGTGTGCAGGCGATTGCGGATGGTGGAGGAGAGGGCTTTGTGCTCTTCTTCTGCTTGGTGGAGCTTCTGCTGGGTGAGACGGTCGAGGGCGGCTATGGAGGAGTGGTAGGAGTTCTATCAATCACAGTCAGTAGATGATATAGCATAGATATAGCATAAATATAGCATGGATATAGCACAGATGTATGGATATTACACACATGCAAAGCAGTCAAATCCGCATCCCGCTTCTCCAACTCATCGTTGACCTCAGCGGCAAACTCGCCATACCGTTTCCCAGCCAAGGCCAGGTAATCCCTCTGCGCACCCTCATCCCCCATACTCGCCGCACTCAACATCCCTTCCACCAATGCGCCCACATCCTCCCCACTATCCATCAGTGGCTGAGCGTCGTAAGGGTCGGCGCGCAGGACGAGGGTCATGTCGACCTGCACGGCTTGCAGTTGGGCACGGTAGTGGGCATGTTGGTGGGTGGAGAAGGTGTCGATCATGTTCTGTAGGCGGTCGGCGATGCGCGTGCGGCGGAGGTCACGTTTGGTGGGTTGCGTCGTGGTGGTGGAGTTGTTTTGTGGTGGTGGTGGTGGGGAGGGGGACATGGGCCTGGGCGGGTGTGGGACTGCCATGGTTTCGTGGGCGATGCAAGGGGTTTGGTAAGCAAGCGAGTAGGCAGGAGTGATGAGCGGATGGACGAAGCTCTTCACGCTGTGCGCAAACAGCTCAAACCAGGGCACTTCGGAACATTATTGGATCAAACGCCGATGAGCCGCCAACGTCACTGGCCACCGTACTGACTAAGATATTCTGTCCTCAGTCTTCAGCCTCACCCATATTCTACCATTACAACTCAATTGAAGTGGCCATCTCAATGTCCACATGTGCGAACGACTCTTCGATAACACGACGGCCTCGGGAGGAATGAGGTTACATTGCTACGCCATGCCATCTGTTTATCCGGTGGTCATCCAAGGTTCAGGAACAGCATCTCATGCAGGTGCAATAATGCGGGGCCATTATACGAGCGAGAAGCATGCCTATTTCTCCGCCTGTCAACATCCTCCCCCATCGCTCTTCACATCCGCATATCTTTCGCCATGTGGAGACGGACTCGTACGCTCCTTGACCAGACGGAGATGGCGTCGAAGTTGTTATGCACGCCATACGTAGTGATGCGAATAGGACTGTAGTATAATCTCATATTGTTTCCTTGCCCCTACTCACTTTCTTCACACCTCACGAGCTGCTTCCAGAGCAGGCGGAATAACAAGATGTTGCTCCTTCCAACATTGAGCATTATGCTCGCCACGGCGGCAGCACAGTCGGGCTATGGCAGCCCTCCACCACCCTATGGCTCCACGAACAGCACAACCAACTCATCTCTCCCCTACAAGAACCCATCTCTGCCAATCGAGACCAGGGTCCAGGACCTACTATCAAGAATGACCATCGAAGAAAAGACCGCCCAACTAATGCAAGGCGACATCTCAAACTGGCTCAACACCACCGACGGCACCCTCAACACCACCGGCCTCGCCCTCAACTTCGAACAAAAAGCCGGCATGTTCTATGTCGGATACCCAATTTCCTGGGACTGGCTAGCCTCCAACATCAAGATCGGGCAAGACTACGCCGTCAACAACACTCGTCTAGGCATCCCCGCCATCGTACAAACAGAAGGTATCCACGGCTTCCTAATCGGCAACGCCACCATCTTCAACAGCCCCATCGGCTACGCCTGCTCCTTCAACCGCACCCAAGCCTCACTCATGGGCCGCCAAATCGCTACCGAGGCTCAAGCCTTGGGCGTCTCCCAACTTTTCGCTCCCCTAGCCGACCTCGCCCGTGAGCTACGGTACGGACGCGTAGAGGAAACCTTCGGCGAAGACGGCTACCTCGCCGGCGAGATCGCCTACGCCTACATCCAAGGCGTGCAGCATCTTAACGTCTCGGCGATGGTGAAACATTACGCCGCTTACTCCAACCCGGAACAAGGCTTGAACACCGGCCCTGTTCATGGAGGGGAGAGGGAGCTCCGCACCACCTGGCTGCCTTCTTACAAGAAAGCTATTATCGATGCAGGAGCATGGAGTATCATGTCCGCCTACAGCTCCTACGACGGCGTGCCCCAAGTAGCAGACTACCACACACTGACCGAAATCCTCCGCGAGGAATGGGGTTACGATTTCTGGATTTCTTCCGACGCAGGAGCTACTGACCGCTTGGCGAACCCCTTCTATATCTGCCCCTCACCACTAGGCAAATACGGCGACAATATCACCGCGGGCAACGAATGCGTGACCCTCAATGCTCTCCCAGCAGGCGGCGATGTAGAAATGGGCGGCGGGAGTTTCAACTACCGCTCCATCCCCGAACTCGTGGCTTCCGGTCGCCTGAACTCCAGCATCGTGGATACAGCCGTCTCCCGCTTACTGCGAGCGAAATTCACAATGGGATTATTCGAACACCCATACCAAATCGCTCCGAAAAGCGAATGGAATAACATCATCAACAGCCCCGCCGCGCAACAACTCGCGCGAGAAATCGACCGCGATTCCATCGTCCTTCTTAAGAACGACGCGAACATCCTCCCTATCAGTAAAGGAAAGAAAGTGGCTGTTATCGGGCCCATGGCGGATTTCATGAATTATGGGGATTATGTCGTTAAAGATGCTGCTTTATTCGGGGGCGTGACGCCTTTGCAGGGGATTCAGGATGCGCTGGGGAATGGCTCTGTGAGTTTTGCGCAGGGGTGTCAGAGGTGGTCGGCGGATGAGAGTGGGATTGCTGAGGCGGTGAAGGTGGCGGAGGCGGCGGATGTGGCTGTTGTTGTTGTGTGAGTTCCCTCCCTACCTTACTGTCCTTTTTTTCTTGTGATCAATATACTGTAATAAGGGGTTTCCTTTCGGGGGGCCAAGTGCTGATGGATTTTATCATATAGCGGCACCTGGTCCCGCGACCAAAACGAACTCTGGCAAGGCCTCAACGCCACGACCGGCGAACACGTGGACCTCGCCTCCCTCGACCTCGTCGGCGCCATGCGGCCCTTGGCTCAAGCCATCGCCAATACCTCCACCCCGACCGTCATCGTTTTCTCCTCTGGCAAACCGCTGACCGAAACCTGGATCTCCAATACCACTGCCTCGCTTGTGCAGCAGTTCTATCCTTCGGAGCAAGGCGGGAATGCGCTTGCGGATATTCTGTTTGGGGATGTCAACCCGAGTGGGAAATTAAGTGTCTCTTTCCCGCACGATGTCGGGACACTGCCGATTTACTACGATTACCTCAACTCTGGCAGGCAATCCTCTCCGGGGTTTGTTGGCGCGGACGGGCAGCTGTATTTTGGTCACCAGTACGTCCTCAACACACCCGAGCCCTGGTTTCCCTTCGGTCACGGACTCAGCTATTCCAATTTCACCTACTCCAACGTTTCGTTGAGCTCGTACGCCAATGTCTCCGCTACGGATTCCGTCACCGCCTCCGTCTCCGTTACGAATAATGGTACGGTGGCTGGTGCGGAGGTCGTCCAGCTCTATGTCAAGGATATGCTGGCTTCGGTCGATGTGCCTAACATGTCTCTTCGCGGGTTCGAGAAGATTATGCTTGGGGCTGGGGAGACGCAGGAGGTGAAGATTGAGGTGAACGTGACTGATCTCGGGGTGTGGAATCAGAAGATGCAGTATATGGTTGAGCCGGGGCAGTTCGTGGTCCTCGTGGGGAGCAGCAGCGGCGATCTTCGAGGCAACGCTTCATTCTATGTGGTTTAGATATGTCTGTCTTCGACCCCGGTTACAGGCTGCTGTGGAGATGCAAAGATTGTGAGGATGTTGTGAGAGGGGTTTGTAAAACAATTGGATGCAATGGTACATTGAATGGGGTTAATGTCGGACTACTTCGAACTTGCAGAGCAGAACTACGTAGATCCCGGACCAAAACCAACCCATTTCTCTCCTTCATCCCACAGCTTCTCTTGGATCTCTCCCTCCCTTTGAACTGAGCCTTACCTTCGATACAGCCCGGCTACTGGGTGTCGGGGGTCACGCATTGCCGAGCGATCTTCCAGTCTCGAAGGGTGGGAAGAATCGTTGATGGCAAGAGCCATAATGCGTCCATATCCGCCACTTGAGGCCAGCACACAGCTCAGCTGGAAGGTTTTGGGCAAGACCAGAAATTAGTGGATAGGCGGGACTTCGGGGAAGTTCACTCAGTGAAAATGCCCAAAGCACCGTAGCGCGGCCAATTTCTCCTTTCCATTCTCGGCTAGAGCTTGTGGCGCTGCGAAAGGTCTGCTTCACTCTTCCTTCGTATCAAAGCTATCGAATTTCGTCTACATCGGTGGTAATAGTCCACCCATGACCTCGAGCACCCCCTCCACCCCTTCCTTCCTCATCGCACAGACGGGCACAGCCCTCACATCACCGTTCCAGACATCCTTGCCGGCCTTGCTAGAGGGATGAGCTTCCTTGCCGCTGTTGATCTGCTCCAGATACGTGCGTAAAGTGGCGAAAGCTTCTTGCGTTTCTGGCAAATCGGCTTTGGTCGCTACGACGAACCAGGGTTTAATTGTAATGGCAGGGAATTGTAGCGGAGGTAGAGTAGGGATATTGGCGGGAGGAGCATCGTAGCCGTGTTCATGCTCCTCGAACGCCTTCTGATGATGTGCAGGCTCCGGGTCCATACCGGGCGAAATCGAAGACTCGAACGGTTTGAACTCGACCATTATATTCTCGTCCGCGACGAGGTTCTCAGCCAGTAAACCTTCAGCAGACCCATTGAACCGCTCCTGCTCGCGCAACTGTTCAAACATCCCCACTTCCCTCCATAACCCTTTCACCCCTTCCACAGGATCCGCAGCACTGAGATCGATGACGAAAGCCAGGACGCCGGCGCGCTCGACATGACGGAGGAAGCCGAGACCCAGTCCGCGATCGAGATGGGCGTCGGGGACTAGACCGGGGATATCTGCTATGGTGAAGTGCGTCCTACCATTTCTCCTTGCACCTTCTGCCATCCCGGCAGCACTACCGGCAGCACCAGGTCTCCCCCGAAAAGAGTCAAGTACCACAGTCCCCACGCTGGGGGCTAAAGTAGTAAACGCCCAACTACCCACTCGTGTCCGACTGTTCGTCAACGCCCTCAACAGCGTACTCTTCCCCGCATTAGGTAGTCCAACGAGTCCCACGTCCGCCAGTAACTTCAGTTCCAACTGAAGATGTATCCGTGTCGATTCCTCGCCTTTCGTGGCATACTTGGGCTTAGTGATGGACTTGGTAACGAAATGCGGATTTCCCAGCCCTCCCATCGCTCCAGCCGCAAGAATCTGTGGCGTACTCATTGGTGCGCTCAGGTCCAGGCGGAGAGGTGCGGGAGGACACGTAGCGACTAGGTTATTCTTCCTTGGCCGCGGCAGAGCAGGGAAATCGGCGGAGGTGAAGGATTTGGGGAGGGTGCCGGGGTAGAGGAGCCATTTATCCCTGCGCCACTTGCGGGTTTGATCTGTGCCTTCGGCTTCGGGATCGTCGTCGCGCAGGTCTTGACCGTAGCCTTTTCCTCCTCCTAGGCGTGCGTCGTCTTCTAAGGGGTCTTTGCGCCAGATCTCTCGCACAACTGTTCCGACGGGGACGTGGAGGACTACGTCTTCGCCTCTCACGCCACCTCGTAGACTGCCCTGTCCATTCCTTCCTCGTCCGGCTTTGAGTGTGCCGCGCCGGGCTATCTTGTGTAGACTCGTTTCGCCTCGCACGGCTTGGATGTAAACGTTGCCTCCTGTCCCGCCGTCACCGCCGTTGGGTGGGCCGTTGGCGATGTACTTCTCGCGGAGGAAGGATATACAGCCGTGCCCGCCGGGACCAGAGGAGATGGTTAGGGTGCAGGTGTCTGTGAAAGGGGTGCTGCTGTAGTCTGGTGGGACAGGTGTGAGAGGGTCATATTGACTGACATCTACGGAGCTCGAAGGTATTTCGTCCTGTGGCTGTGGAGGTACTGCTGTCGCTTCATAGCGGCGGACAGTGGAGTGGATATGCCTCCTTCGAGGTCTTGGTGGTAGGCGTGTCACATGACGACTCGTACACCATGCATTATCAAGGCATGGGTAGAGGAAAGGCGTGAGGGTGCTTAAGAGAAGCCGGGAGGCGGTGGGAGGAGGATGCATGTAGAGTCTCAACTTCACTTACTCCATCTCGCACATATATCTGAGCATGTGCCACTTCCGCGGCCACGACCATCGGTGAATGGCTGTATACATCAACACGCTAAGGAATGACCACTCGTGCTCGCGCGCCGCCGTTGGACAGACACTGTCTACCCAGGGCGCTACTCTCTTGGTTCGTTGATAGATGGACATGGCCACAATTGTACCCGGTTGATCGCTTCCAGTAACCACAGATGCAGTGAGGCATGTTGATAGTGATGCCATTTTCCCAAATTGGAGAAGCACTACGCAGATCAGATTGGCTCGGGGTCCCCGCAGCAACTCCATGCACGATGGCACCACTGCTGGAAGCTTTCAGCTAGTAACGTTGTACATGTACCGCGGCTGCGAGGTATAAAGGTACAGTATATATCATTATAGCTGACTGCCATGTGAAGACTGCAACCTTGCTGGAGATAGCCCCCTGTTGCATTCGACACACTGCTCGTCTGAACGTCTCACACCCACGACTAGAGCACAACAAAAGAAGTAGACGGCACCATGGCCTCGGCACTCTTCAACCTCGCTCTCAATCCCGTTGTCACAGGCCCAGCCTACTCCATCCTAGGTCTACCATCTCCCTACTTCCGGGACCCCATATCAGCACATCTCTCCAAATACATCCCGGCCTCCATCCTCTCCAAATCCATCTCTGGCCTAGGCTACCTCTTCCTCCTCGGCCTCGCCCGCCAGACCAGCGCCTACCTCTCCCACCTAAGCCAAAATAACTGGCGTCTAGGCTCCGAAGCCCATCGCTATGACTGGCCCAAAGAGATCGCCGTCGTCACAGGCGGCACAGGCGGCTTCGGAACTCTGATCTGCAAATCCCTCGCGGCGAAAGGCCTAACCGTAATCTGCGTCGACATTTCCCCCTCCATATCCGAGGAAATGGAGGCAAACCCCAAAATCCACTACCACAAATGCGACATCACCTCCCCCGAAGCCGTCGCCCAATTAGGCGAGACTGTTAAACAAACCTATGGCCACCCAAGCATCCTAATCAACAACGCCGGAATCGGCTACGACCACCCCGTCATCCACGCCAAACCCGCCGACCTCAACCGCATCTACGGCGTGAACCTCCTATCACACTACTACCTCATCCAAGCCTTCATGCCCCATATGATCGCCTCCAAAAAGGGGCACGTCATCTCCATGGCCTCGATGGCCTCCTTCGTCTCCCAAGCCGGAATGGCAGATTACTGTGGCACCAAAGCCGCCGTGCTGGCTCTCCACGAGGCCCTGATGCAAGAAACGCGGGTCTTGCATGGAGCGCCCGAGATCAAATTCACAATTGTGCATCCAACCTTTGCGGATACGCCGTTGTACAGACAGTATCAGAAGAAGATTGATGCGGGGGGAACGACGGTTATTCGGCCGGAACAGGTTTCGGATGCGGTGGTCGGGCAGGTTTTGAGTGGGAGGGGTGGGCAGGTCGTGTTAGCGGCGGGGATGGAGTGGATTAGTTCGATCAGGGGGTGGCCGCAGTGGGTGCAGCAGGTTCTTATGGTCGCGAGTGATGTTGGGGTGCGGAGAGGGATGGCTGTCAAGGAGGAGGGGAAGTGAGGAATGGTGGCCGGTGTGGAGGGTAGAGGTAAGAGTCGAATTTGTCGTCAATCTGTTGCAGCAGAGAGTTTCTCAATTTATCTACAGACGAGCGATCGTGCTGGCTGATTAGGCTGGCAAATATGGCAGCTCCCCGAACCAGACCATTCTAGAGTAATAGCACCCGCTCCTCGTACACTTTTTTCATATTACGGCATCGTGCAATTGGCGTCCAATACGGAAGGACAGATCCGCTTTCCAGAGTCTCGGGCGGATACCTCGCGGCGACTGTTTTGCTATCGTCTAAGATGCTATCCTAAGCACGCATGCGTGTCATCGAACGTTGGTGATCTAACAATGGCCTGTTGAGGTTTTCTACTCCAGAGACTCAGGGAGAGACATGTCACGGCCGAGAGCATTTGGATGAAACGTGAGTAAGAGTAAAGTAGAGGAAGGCAACGGGTTTCTCCATCACACACATTCACTGATACGTCGGGCGTGTAGCATCGATGGCGAAACCAGTATTTCCATGTCTTACTCTCACGACCGTGACATGGACGATGTAGATAGACGGGATCAAGAACCAAAAAGTAGCGGCACTGAAGTTTTGGTTGGTATGTACGTGGTAATGTCGACGCCAAAGATCTGAATCAGCTGCTGACCCCTCATAGGTCCGAGCCGCCAATCGGTCGACCTCGCTACGCCTCCAGTCTCGCAAGCCTACTACCTCAGCGCCTCCTTCATCTCAAGCCGCCGGGAAGTGGGTGACAGCATACTTCGCCAAAGTCTGCGCGGTGAAGAGACTGGCCTCCGTTTCATTATCCTTTTTCTGCTTCGCCTCGATACTCTCAAACTCGGTATAAGAGAACGTCCTGAGTCCATGCGAGATCTTGTTGAGGAAGGACAGAAGAGCGTTGACCTCCTGTACGCAAATGGTCAGCACTACCATAAACCGCCCGGAATATCATAGAGAATTACACATCCCAACGCTGACCGGACCTTCATCTCGACGGGCGATAACAGAGGCTCTAGTGATCTTCTTGTACTGAATAGTGCCGAAGGTGTCGAGTTTCGTCGGGTCGAAGTCGGTGTAAAGCCCGAGGACAAGCTTGTTTGGGGCACGTTGGTTGTCCATCTCTGGTTGACGAGCGGCCTTGAGGGGAAGACCGAGGTGGGTGGAGATGTCGCTGGTGAGCCACTCAATGGTGCTGGCCTCGTCACGTGGGATGCTCAATGGGGTGAAGCTGGTCTTGAAGGTGGCTGAGTAGGCATTGGTGGCATGATTTGGATCGGGGACTGGTTTTTGTGAGGATCCCTGGAATCGTGCCAGGCTTGGGACTCGACGTGTTTGAGAATGAGGACTTGGGAGGAGTCACGGGTGGCTGGAGTACCGAAGACATTGCTGGTGAACGGGCTACTTTATGGTGTCGACATCGTGGATTTGCCGGGGGTGGGTAATTTTTCGGTTGATCGATGATCAGGTATGTCGGACAGGATATTTATATCAGTGTGGACGTGGTAAAGACCGTTGACATAAAATCTATCGGCCGAAGCAGGAAGCAGCGCGGCTATCAATTACTTGTACTTACCCCAAGCCAGAGTACGAACAGCTGTAGATGAATGGACGACAACAGCAAATGGAGTATTCTGGGACGCACGGGGACCAAGCGCGAGTCAGGAAAACGTGATTGGATGAGTTCTGTAGGTATGTGTCTTAACAGGTTCGGGTTGAAGGGTGGCCGAACAGACCCGGAAGTCTGCTCGTCAGCTGGTCCATCAAGCGTTCGAGACTATTGTGAATATATGGGCTTGAGACTAGTTCGTCATCTACCTGACCTTCGGCTCGGGTTTGCTGATGTTACACTGAGGTTCGGGAGTCGATGGATGTCGGTACTGATCATATGGCCAAGACTCGTTGAACAGGGATTGAGCTGATGGATCATGTCCGCATACACCCTCTTGGGTCTGCCGTCGTCGACGAAGCTCAGGCCACGAGAGGCCGATGCTCCACGATATGGCTCAGTAACCGAACAGAATGGATTCGCGAACCGAAAGTAGCAGCTCTGGTGACTCAATGCAGAAGCAGTAGCAGTGCGAAGCTTCTCGTCAATGTGTAGAAAGCCGCCTGGCACTGGGTGTTGTCTCAAAGTAAGATCAGCCCTACACGAGGTGCGACTCATGCTACGCAAGGGGCCAGGCTTTGTAGGAAGAGAAGAGAGTCTCTGGCTACAAAGCAGCAGCATGCTATTCATGAAAGTCCGGGGGAGTTGCATTCAGTGACGTGGACCCGCCACCTGGTTTGGAGATGAAATCGTGCATCTCGTGTCTGGCTATTGGTGAATATGGCCCACAGTTTCTGGTTCACAACGAGACTGCTGTGACATTGTACCGGCAGTGATCATGGTGTGTAGAGTGTAGTTCTATAGGCGTCTTGAGCCATCCGATATCGCAAGGGAGTCTGCCACGAATGTCAACGTCATGGGCATGTATGAGAGGTGATATAGGGATGCCATTCTTATGCAGATCCGACCACAGCATGTGCTAGTGGACAAAGGCGTAGGATCGAAGGGATATGCGCTTAGTCAATTCCGTCAGGCCGGTGTCGTGTTTCATGTCAAGGCACAGCAGGTCATAGGTAACTCGTCTCGCAGATCATGCTTGATGGTTCAATGTTCATTGGTCTGTAAGCTGATGCCTAGCAGGCAGTGTGATGCGGGAAATAGAATGTCACAGGCAGAAGTTACGAGATGACGAGCGTATAGCCAAACAAAGTTGCTGCTGGATGTCTTCAGCTGTCATCAGAGCTCGGTGTATGGTTTGGTAGATTACTGTGGCTTGCACGTGTCACCGTGGACGTTCGAGACGAGACGATGAAGCATAAAGAGTTCGTCGATCAAGTCTTGTTATGCTCAAGCTTCTGTTTTGACGCCTTGGCAGCTATAATCATTGCAGCATATCTTCCACTTCCCGACAACTAAACCGAATAATTGCAGAGATCGCTCGTTACCGTCATAAAGTTGTTAACGTTCGAGGTTCGACACGCCATTGACGCCAAGGCCACGCGGCCGCTCTTCATGCAAGTAGTCGAGCCTCAGGCACCAACTCATGCAAACAAAGCATATCAACCTCCTTGCTTCGGAAGCCTGTCTCGTAACAACTGTAACAATTCAATGTGGCCGCTACTGATCTGGACGACTGCGGCGACGATTAGCATTTCGACGACACACCATCTGATCTGGTCAGATGTCAAATTGCATTATCCTTTTCGACTGTTGACGATCCACGTTACCGCAGCGTTTGTTTTCCGAGCGATATGGATGCTCGTGGTATGGTCGCGACAAGTCCGACCGAGTGAGCTGACGGGTGGAAGGGCCAGATCACTGGAGGCGCGCCTGCGCGACGCCCTGTTTGTGGTGGCGGCCAATACGACGCTTGGGTTCGGCTATAAGGCGTTGCTCGATATGGGATCGATCTCGACAATCGCGATGGGATTGACGGTGCCTCTGCCTCTGGAACATGTTATGATGAAGCTGTTACAAGGTCGTAAGCACCTGGAATCGACGGATTCCGTCGGACTAAGTCGGGGCATGATTGTAACCTGCTGCTTCGCTGCGATCATCTTAGCAGATCGGCAATTGCACGGCCTGGGTCTCATCTGGACATTGATTACTGTTACAAGTGCGGTGACCGCCCGCATGATGAGTGTGTGGGTCTCTCAATGGACAACAGTCGGGCCTCAGTCGAGAAGCTCTGGCGAGCAGGAACCGGATCGTCGCATACTGCTGGCGCTTACGATTGGCGCTCCTGCGGCGGTCCTCCTAGCTATGTTCGGCGAAGAAGACAACATTGGGAGGTTCAGAATTGCAGCGATGAGAGTACCATGGCTCATGGCACTGAACATCATGGCTAGTGCTGTAGCCCTTGGCATGTGCTGCAGCATTTTCGGCAATCTGCCGCCGCTCGGTGACGTCGAAGAGGCAGTTCATGGGCCACCAACATCGAGCCACTCGAGCCAACATAGTCAAGTCTTGCAGTCAGCGATGTTGACAGGACTTATTCTGGTCTGCACGACGCAGCTCACTGGTCGCGGTACCGGACTGACACTTGTGCAAGCTGCTGCATATTTCATTGCACTAGCGGTCCAGCTTCCGTCACTTGATGCTGGAGGTCATGGCAAGTTGACTGCCTTCATGTTGCGCCAAGACGACCTGCGGACTGTTCTGCTCGAAGATGATAAGACTGAGGGTGATAGCAGGACTTCCAACGAGAAGGTCCAGTCGTTACAGGTCACGGTGCGGAAAGATTACGCTAAGAGCGTGGCCACTAATCGAGCAGTACTGAACGTCGTGACCACCACATTGATCCTGCTTGCATTGACGCTCTTCTGGTCCTCGCAATCAGAAGTAGTTCCAGCATTAACAATGCCCTTGGTATCGCTTCCAGGCTCTGGCTCTCTTGATATCGTCGTTTCTCGCTACCAGGAACCATACAGCAGCGTCGTCTCCATGCTCGATAGCATCCACAACATTGCAAGTATAGCCAATCTGGACAGTACTCGAATCTTCATCTACGACAAGGCTCCTGAAACGGATGATGCTTTGTCCCCTGACCCCTGCATCAGCCTCCATCATCCTGGCGTTCGGATCTCGCGCATCACTCGCCCCAATATTGGCCGTGAAGGCGAGACGTACATCCATCACATCCTCACCCACTACAGCGACCTGGCACAGCACACGCTCTTTCTCCAAGCCGAGCCTCACGATCGCCTGCAAGCTCTTCGAAGGATTCGAGACTACTTCCACCCATCATTGACTGGATTTCTGACCCTCTCATATCCGAGTAATATCTGTGCCACATGTGAGGACTGCGTGGACTTCTCCGAGTGGGAGGAAGACTCGTCTGTGCTTCGAGATCTGCAAGGAGCCAGCTTCGACAGGGATCAGGTCTGTAAGAACGTTCTTCTGACATACCACGGCCAGTTTCTGGTTTCCTCAACCCGTGTCCGATCGAACCCTCTTTCATTCTACGCCGAAATTCTCGATCACTTCATCGATCCAGCCAGCGATAAGCACAAAGCACCATATCTGAACCAGACCTGGAATAAAGACATCCCGGACTCTTTGTCCGCTCCAGTGTTCGGATATACCTTGGAACGAATGTGGGGATCGATTTTCGGGTGTTCGGGTGAAAGGATCAGTATCGAGTGTCCGAGCCTGCTGAGCGGGACACTAGGGCACAAGGCGAGTGCGCTTGATGGGTGTCAATGCCTTGACAGCGAGAGTCTCGACGATCAGTATCTACTGGAGTAGCATCGTAGAGCATAGAAGTCCTCAAAGTTCGACCATATTGGCCAAGCATACCTATTCTCGTAGATGTGGCACACCACCACTGGCCAAAGCAAGATTGACAATACTGACCAGACCCTCCCCCAAAATCAGCCCAGATGCCAGAACAATCATAGGCGTCTCCTCTCGCCCCTTCCACCTCGTCCACCACCACGCCAACACACCTCCCGCAGTTCGTGCGATAGTGAAGGAAGGCGTGTTGTACATACCCACCGCCACCGCAATGCCACCTGGTACATAGCTCACCCACCACGCACCCTTCTCTCCATTAGGCTGCCGGACGCTATTGCCATAGATCCTGAGCGCAGTGAGTGCAGCAAATATAGCCGCTGCACCGCCTGCGAAGACAGCTGTCTTCTCCGGAAGTCCTTGGCCTGTTACTAACCGTGCAGTGAAGATCCACACGTAGCCCGTAGGGACTTCAAAGAGGCCGCCGGGAATCGTGTAGACGTGGGTGTAGAGTTTGTAGACGCACGCGCTTACCACAGCACCAACGGCACTCCCAATGAGTTGTCCGTAGAATTGTGCTTTCGGCGACGCACCAAGTAAATGTCCAGTCTTGAGATCTTGAAGCAAGTCTCCTGCCTGCAGCGCCCCAGATTCGGAGATAGCACCGGCGAGGAGGTTTATGACCACCGCGTTTTTGCTGCCGGCTGGTGTTACGAGGGCGAAGATCAGTTGTGTCAATTTGCTTATGCCCGAGACTGGGTTGAGATCTGTTTCACCTAGGGCCCTGACACCCATGATGCTTAGTAGTAAGGCGAGGAGTAAGGCTAGGACTGTGAGGCCAATGCTGATTATGCCTGCGAAGGAGTACTGAACTGCGAAGACGCAGAATGCCAGGCTCAAGATGAGGCCGGTGACTGTGATCTTCCAGCCTATCTGGTGTTCTGGTGGGGCGTCGTACTCTTCTTTCCCTTCGTCGTCAGTGGTCATCTGGTGTGAGGTGCTTTTGGAGACGCCATCGACATGAGGGAGATGGTCGTCATTCAGGTCCACGGGACTGTAGCCTCGGCTTCTCGGATTGAGGATTTCCATCACGAATCTGCTCAAGCCTTTCTCGTTTACATCTCGTGTAATGGCCGGGCCATAGACTCGGATATACCAGATCGTGGGTCTCATCACTAACCATCCCAGACTTACAATAGCATCCGCAAGCATTATCGCCAAACTGATCCAAACTATCCAGCCTTTACTTCCTGTGTTCCAGTCACCTACGTCGCCGCTTGCCCAGCCATTGTACTTGGCAATGGGCGAGAGTATTGCCCAACCGATTGTTGCACCGAGGAGCATATGTATCGTTGTTGCCGGACCCATGATAATGCCTTGACCAACATAGGCTGGCGATGGGTTTAGATTCCATAGCCAGGTATTTGCTAGATAGGTGCCGAAGATGGGAATGGAGTGTAGTTGTGGAACGAAGAATGAGAAAAGAGTCTATTACGGACGGAATTTTGTCAGTGGGTTTGGTGATGCGTGAGCTGAGGAGTGAGGAGTACGTACGTATGAACCGCTGACTCCGAACGCGTAAGTGAGCAGGCGGATCTGCTTCTGCCAGTCTTGCTTCATGCGATCGTTGTGGTCTCGCGCCCCATGTACATCATCGTCCTGAGCTGCGTCTTGGCTTTGCCGTGCCTCTGGACTCGCATCGCCCATCAGGGCTTGACTCTCCTCGTCTTCACCACCATGGCTGACACGTTTCCGTTTCCGTGCATACTGTTCCTCCGCCTCGCCTTCTACTCCTGTCTTTTCACCACCATGCAATACACCAATGACCAGAGCTGTGGCCGTGCCGGAGGGGAACTTTAGCTTCTCCCGTACAATGACCTCCTTTCGTAATGGTACCGCGAACACGACACCAAAGAAGCACAACCCAAGCGCCCACAGCACTAGCTTTCCCAGAGGCAACTTCAAGCCACCGCCCTCTTGTGCAGCAGCCAATGCAGCGATGATCTGCGGATCACTACTCCCACTTTCTGGTGTCTCACTCGGCTTGAGCAAGAACTCTAACGCTGGTACCACACCCACAAACCCACATCCGAGTGGCATAGTACCAACACTACCAGCCACGGTCTGTACAAGCACATTTTCCACTTCTGAAAATCCTTCTCCAAATCCGTATCTACTCACACTCTCTCCCAACCTCGCCGTCAAGGCCCGAAGGCCCTTGAAGTACGCGAACCCGATCAAAGCGCTGGGCATTGCCATTCCGGATATCCATCCTGTCTGCAGACCAAAGTAGGTATTGCTGAAGGCTATCAGAATGCCTATGAGAAGACCGACCACCAAGGCGCGCAGTGTGAACTGCGGCTGTTCACTCCGGGCGGCCAAGAAAGACTCAGAGGGTTCGCGATGCGGATCGATAGGTCCAGAAGTGGTGTGCTCATCGCCATCGACCCGACTGTTGTCTTGGGACATCCTTGGATTGCTGCTGGCGGAGCCACTCTCGCCACGACCTCCGTCCGGTGCCATTCCTTGGCCAGCCAACTCCGCTTGGGCGCGACCAAGTGGAAATAGTCCAGATGACGGTACTCGGAGCACGCCATTACTCGGCTCGCTACATCACCGCTGCCAACTCCCGATGCACCCCACACGGCTACGCACGCCGTTGCGCTGCTGCCGAAACTTTATCGCCGATAAACTCCATCCGCGAGAACTATTATTTTTCCTCGCCAACCGCCAGCGTACCTTTCCGTCCTGGAAACCGCCACCTCATACTCTTTCGTTATGGATGGTAAACTTCCGGCAGGCTGGCGCGTAAGCAATAGCACAGGTGTCTGGTCTGCGCCTTCGCACGTGGAAGACAATCCTGATAACGACGACATCGATGACGACAACGACATATCGACGAATTTTCAAGGAGCAGAGAACAAATTGACGGAGGAGGACTTACGGCCAGACTCTCCTGGATGGGAGGATCTGGAGGATGATGTCGAAACAGAGAGTTTCACATGTCTTTTGTGCGAGGTGACGCAGCCCAAGGTGCGGGATGTCGTTGAACATATGAAGGTAGAACATGAATTCGATTTTGATGTGTTACGAAAAGATAAAAGTCTGTATCGCGATCGCTTTGACCTTAAGCGTCGTTGCTGACATTGTGCTCAGAGCTCGACTTCTTTGGGACTGTACAGCTCATAAATTATATCCGGTCACAAGTCAAGTCGTCAGGTTCTACAAAGCTTGACCTTGCGACACTGGACTCAAAGGACTTTGTGCAGGATCAGTACATGCAGCCTACACTAGAGGACGACGCATTACTATATAGCATCGACGAGCTGGCGGACCCTGCGGATCTGAACGATCCTCTAGTGCAGCAAAGGGAGGACGACGTTGAAGCCAAAGCGGGTGAGGGCGGAGCAGAGAGGGTACTTGTCGATAGGGCGCTAAAGCAGTGATAAATCAGTTCGCATGGGCCTGCGTTACGGCCATGGGTCAGACTGGAAGGGTGCCACTCCTGCTGTGCTGAGGATTGAAGACCTCGGATGGACGACGCAGTCAACCTTGGGTCCTTCTGGCCGTGCCATTAGACTGGTCTTTGGCAGTATCTCTACAGTCTTCAAACGAGAGGTACAGTACCGAACAGGCTGCTCAAGCATTTCTCACACATAAGCGGACAACCACCCACCAAGAAGCCTCTCTTTGTGTTGGTACAGATTTTACATGCTTTCTACCAAGACGTAACTTTCCAACACTTCCCTCGATCAACACTGACTGTCAGATAGACGAGGCTGCGTTACAATAGCTTCAAGTCAACCTTCGCAACTCCAATCGCTGTATAAGCTGCCGAATCATGTCTGGTCTGGTGAGACAAGCTTCCCAACTATAGCCTCAGCGAGCTTGGAGACGATTTCCGGCTTGGCTATGCACGAACTCCTCTTCGGCAGTAGTGGGCAGGCAGCCGATGTACGCTTTCTGCACTACAGCTCCATCTACTCCGGACGTCATTGTCGTTTGAACACGTCTTCCAGTACCGTCACTCTGCCGACTGTTGCTCGGAGCGAAGTGTAAGCGAGCTGCACAATAGCACATGACTGATAGTGAGGAGAAGGGGAGTGCATTGCACATCATTTTGCTGAGCCTCGGACGTCGATTAGGACGTTATAAGAGGAATCAATGCGCTGCGAAGTAGAAATCCCGGGTTTCTGCACTCTTACCTCGAACATCGTCCAGTATGTCTTTCTCAAGCTTAGCAACAAGCGCACTGCTACTGATTTCTACAGCTTCGGCAGCAGCCACGAGACGCCAGGCTGCGTCCACGTACCCCTCCGCGGCTACCAAGAATGGCACTTACACTGGAGCCTACGTTGCAACGTATGGCACCGAGCACTTCCTAGGCATGCCGTATGCCCAGCCACCCCCCGGGCCACTACGCTTCCATGTTCCAGTCCCACTGAATAGCTCCTGGACTGGCTCGAAGAATGCTACGGAGTATGGTCCCGAGTGCATTGGATATGGTCTGGACACGGAGAGCCAGGGTAATTATGTTAGTGAAGACTGCCTCACCCTCAATGTTGTGAGAAGTCGAGGTGCAGGTGGCGGTCTGCCAGTAGTCGTGTGGTTCGGACGAAAGAGTCCTTAGTGGCGCCATTGATAATCAGCTGACATAATACAGGATACACGGCGGTGGCCTGGTGGAAGGCAGAAGCGCAGATCGCCGCTACAATCAATCATTCATCGTTCAGCAGAGTGCGGAGGCTGGCATGCCTATTGTGGCAGTCAGCATTAATTACCGTCTGAGCAGCTAGGGTTTCTTGTACGGCCAAGCGATTCAGGACAGCGGTAATACCATGAACGGCTTTCGCGACCAGAGGCTGGCACTCCATTGGGTCCAGGAGAACATCGCCGTCTTTGGAGGCGATCCTGCTCGAGTCACCATCCAGGGCGAAAGCTCTGGTGGTACGAGTGTAGGTGCTCAGCTGCTTGCATATAATGGCCGTAATGACAAGCTTTTCTCTGGTGCGATCACCGAGTCTGGAGCTCCGGTCTCTTTAGGGCCGGATATCACGGTGGCGAGCTGGGATCCAGTCATCGCTAACATCTCGAAGGCCGTCGGATGCGATAATAGCTCGGATGTGCTTGCCTGCTTCAGATCAGTTGACTCAGCGAAGATGAACGCTGCCATCAACTCCACTGCAAATCGCGGTGCGCGTTACGGGCCTTTAATCGATGTAAGAGAGCCATGGGTAGGATGGTCTAGTGATATCCAAGATATGTGCTGACCCAGACATCGGGTGGACACCAGGGCGACTTCATCGTCGGTCATGCGGTCACCCAAATGGAAGCAGGCAAGTTTGTTCACGTCCCATGGATCATCGGCCATAACACGGATGAGGGCGCTGGCTTTGGAGCTGGCAATATCAACACGACACAGCAGTTCCTTGCTTACCTTGAAAAGAGCCAAGGACTCGACAATGCTACAGCGCAAGACATGGCGATTCTATATCCTGACATTCCCTCCATCGGCATTCCAGCAACCATCCATGGACGTCCGGGCCCTGACATCGGCTTGCAGTTCAAACGCGGCTCTGCGGTTGGCGGCGATATAGCTATGGCCGCGCCCAGTCGCCTCGCAGCTCAACTCTGGGGCTAAGAACAACGGCACTGTGTACAAGTAGTGGGTGCATGAACATTGTTGGATGTGCACTGATTGCCCCACTAACATCATGTGATGTAGCCGCTTCAACGTTCTGGTCAACGGCATGCCATGGTGGGTCGGTGCTGTGCATTTCCAGGAAGTTGCTTTCGTCTTCTACAACACCGAGGGTTATGGCTACCCTCAGAATCTACTTCCAAACCCTATGGGCGGGCCAGAGAGGCCGAATTACCTGGCACTCTCACTGCAGATGGTCCGGCAATGGATCAGCTTCATCAATTTTGGCGATCCGAATATGCATCTGGGTGGTAAGCGTTGCCAACACACGCATCTGTGAAGTTGGCAGCTGCTGATTTTGCAAACAGTGGACGCAGAAACGTGGCCCGCCTACACTCTCGACGGAGACGGCCCACAAAACTTCGTGTTTGAGCAGAACGTCACGTCACACCCTGAGCCAGACTTGTTCCGTGCAGAGGGCATTCAATACATTAGCAATCTGATCGTGGCAAGGGCCGGTCGTAATTGTAGTGGTCTGGTGGCTTGTGGCGAAAGTGACACGGATTAGTCTGGGTCGTCATTGGTCCGCGCCTTCCTGAGACGAATCTACTAGACTTCGCTGAAGTCAAGCAAGGCTTGCTATAGGTGTGGCTGTTGTGGTCGGTGTACGAGCGCACCTCCTTGGTTGCCATCGAAAGGGGCGTACCCTGAGTCGCAATCACGATATTCTGAGTGCTGTGAAGTCTCTACTGTAGCTACATTCCGCAACAATGGTGTATCTGCTGTTGGGTGGAGATGACATCAGAACATGCGTCGCAGGTCCCAGCTTTCAACAGTCGGCAGAACGCCCGTATGGTACTAGAAACAGAATGAGTTCATATTGCAAAGTCATGCATAATTTCAACGAGCTCGCCATTGACGAGTCGAGATCGGCACACACGCATCTCATGTGCTCGAGTCGCCTTCACCACCAGGAGCTGTAGGTGGTGAATGCGCATATCTTCGGCAGGAAGCCTGGAGTCCATATCCTGGTCTTGCACCATTGCTCCACCAGGGTACAATGGCTTGCCATCCCATGCGGGCGGGGTCAGACCAAGTCCTTCCTCTTCAATGGCCATCAGCCGAGCAGCTATCTGTCCAGTCGAGGTCGCGCCCCACATGGCTTCCTTTCGCGGTGCTCTAGCAAGGAGACGCAGTGCTTGTCTCCTGATTGAAGGTACGCGACATTTTGTGGCCGTGAAGTATAGAGGTGGGATGGCACCCACTTCGAATGTGAATGTCAGGCGTTCGTCCTCTTTGCTGGTGATGTAGATTTCGGCGTGGCGCAGGACCTCTTCAAAATGAGCAGTGTGATCATCGAAGGAAGACTCCAAGAGCGTGAGCCGGGTGCTTAACCAGATGTGAGAGGTGTGGAAGTACAGCATTAGGCTGCTCACGGCATCTGTTCTTTGGCTCTCAACGAATTCACACATTTCTGCATGATCAACTCGCCATTGCCGGAGTCGAGTTTCGAGTCTATTCTGTTCGGCTTGCAATGTCTTCAGATCCGATTCTGGTGATGAACCATCCGAGATTCTTTGGCGCCCGGATATGCGAGGTATGGGGTCCGAGTAGTCTTTACCAGTGTAACATACAGCACACATATCTTCTCCGCCATCACAAGCACAGTGCACTTCGCCATGCATGCCATCAAACGATGACACCAACAAAATCCTGTCCTCTTTAACCTCAGGCCGTCGCTGATCAGGTGTCAGAAGGCTCTTCACGTTCGACTCGGGTGCGATAGGTTCGCTAGATGCCAGGTTGATGTCGCTATCTTCGGGCCTTCTGTCGTCCTGTTCCTCATACTTGGAAGGAGTTGGAGGTAGCATCGTATTACCAAATAGCTTCGCTCGATATGAAGAGACGTTGCGTACAAAATCGTGACCATCTGCCATGATTGAAAATAGGGCATTTCGAGCGTCGTGCATATCCTTGAAGCGTCTCAACTGGTCACCAGGCTTTTTATCGGGGGTATAGCTTTGAGGCCTCGGGTGGCCAAAAGCTGCAGCTAGAACTCCCATGCGATCTAGCATGAGCTTGACTGCAGTGACGAGTCGCCGCTCATCGTTGGTGAAAGCCTGACCTTCGAACTGTTGAAGGAGCCCAGTACTCTTGCTAAACAGTCCCAGGGCAGCATATACATCATCACGTATCACCTCGATACAGATGAATAGCACGCAGCTAACCAGTGCTAGCAAAGGAGAAGCTTTGCCGTCCTCCAATCGCTGTCGGAATTTCGCGATTGCTCTGTTATATGCGTGAAGAGCGGCAGCATGATGCTGGTCTGGCGGTGATTGGCCTTCTTCACTCTCAGCGGACAGAACGACTGTGGCTTTCTTCCCGTCATCTTCATCCTGGTCTGACGGGTCCGAAGGATGGCTTCTACTGAATCGCTCGAGGTACTGTGGATGTTCCTTTGCGCGATGTCAACGTGGAGCCTACAACATTCCGCAACTTTCATGAGCCAACTTACGTAAAGGGTAGATATGGCAAGCAAGCTGTCCAGGACACAAGATTCGAAATGCGCGAGCTGCAAGATGTCACGAGTCCAGAAGTCCCTATCGAGTGAGCCTGCTAGTCTTGACGCGCCACAAGATATGTAGAAGTCGAGCTGACGCTTGTCTCGGTCAGGCAAAGCCAGGAAAGGAGTCGTGGCGACGGACGTTAGCGGTCTCGCATGGATGGCGGACAGACCAGAGAAAGACCGGTACCCCTCGCATTGCCGCCCGCCAGTCTGGCAGCGGCGACAGGCTGGCCGAGTCTCGTCGCACTTTACCTTGCGTAGCCTACAAGTGTTGCATCCAGTGCGAGACTTCTTCCCGCCCAGGCGCGCGGTATGCTTCCGTGCGTTTTGCAGATGAGCAGCTGTTCTCGCTTGCCAGGAGTTATGCTCGAGCTGGGAAGCATCAATGAATCGTGTCATGGCGACGAACGTCGAGACTGCTTCGAGTATTCCGTCACATCACTAAAAGTCGCCCACGAGTCTCCTACCATGCATCGTGGAAAGTGCTGGAATGCCGTATGTCGTATTATAAGATGGTCGACAGTCTGTTGGTAGTCCGACGGTACGGCACGGCTTAGCCCTTGTGCCGCGAGCGTTGAGCGTGACTCGTGCCGCCAGCCAAAGCACGAAACCTGATGCCTCTGGTCCGGGCCTACACAATGCACACCAATTCGTCCTCTCGACGACCAGCAGGTGCATCGTCCTGATCAACTTTCGGTCGGGAGATGTGGTTGTAAGAAGATGCCGTGAATAGTGCGATCTTAACCAGCCACGATTTTCTGTTTATTGCCTTCGGAGTACACCCGATGCTCTTGGCGATGACGCACTTGCGTCTATGCCACCACAAGCCTACATGTACGGGCCACGGCGCATTGGTGGAGAAAGAACAAGGAAGCAGGCAGTCACGTCAAGCTTTCCAGGTGATACAGTCTGTCCCTTCGCACGCATGATTACCAGTTCTGCTGCCTAACATGACAAAGAAGCTGTGTAGACGCTACACTCTTCCCTGTGTGGCGCATGGATCTTGCCTCGAGCCCACTTTCAACTAAAAGTGTGCCACTGTAACCCATGACAGCATGGCCGCAGTAGATACGGAGTACCGTATACCAAATGATGGTGTACCCCTGCCATGCGTGACACAGCCACCACACCTTGGCACTGGTTCAGCGCGCAGCCAAAACAAGGGCGGGGAGGAGGGCGTACACCCGTGTCGTGCTAAAGCGCAAAGCGTGACCTCGTAGCCGGGTAAACGGAGCTGGATTTGGTCGCGTTGAGCTTCGATTCGACCTCAGCGAATAGGCAGAGGACTTAGTTTCGCGGCTCTCGCACAGTTTGCGAACGGGTAGCGTGACTGTGTTGATGGTTCGTGGTCAGAATTGTCATTTATGAGCTGGAAGCAACTTGCGAGGACTTTGACTTTTGGCCAGGCCCGCGGGTGTCTGTGCTCCGAATTTCGTGGTTCACCTCAATTTGCGATGTCGAAGACAGACCCGCAGTCGCCATCGCGTCCTACACCAACCATCCATCCCCATTCAGCCCCCTTCGGTCACCCCATGTCCCTATGCTTCTACAGCAGCTCTTTCTGCACGTGATCGCCAAGCCCAATGGACCCAGGCGCTGCTGGCGAACGACTTTCAAGGCTTCGCCCCGGTCTCTCATATGAACACGAAACATTACGACCTCGTACGGAGCTGAGCCGCGAAAAGGACGTGTACAAGTATCTCAATGCTTGGGCCAACTTGTATCGTCCAGCGGCCCTCTACCGCCATGCTTTTCCGCATGAAGAGCAACCTCTTCCCAAACCCGAGCCTTGTGCTGATACTGCTCTAACATCTGTCGCCCAGCTCTGTGCTTTACGGCTGAGGGCACGGCGATGCCTGATTACGTTAGTATCGAGCGGCGTTGAATATGTCCTGACCGAAGCTACCCGAACGATGTCAATGCAGTAAGCAACGCAATAATATCACTTTGTACATGAGATGATGATCTTTCTGACTATTGATCGAAGATATGACAGCTTCGAAGATCCCTTCGATCAGCCATGGATAGGCTGTTGTAGCTTTCCAAGAAGTGACGGCCTGAATGATCTTGCCCTGAACCACTGGAGGAAGGCTCGGCAGTATCGCGAACATCCAGAGACTGCTGATGAATACTATAAGCAAGGCTACTCGCCACACTTTATGATTGTGAGCGACGCTAAGAACAACCGAGACTATACCGACCGTGCGTTCGTGAGTCGATCAACCAGTCTTCGCTTCTACTGCTCCGTACCAATCCGCGACGGCAATGGTTCGGTTCTCGGAGCTCTCTGCATCCTCGACGACATACCTCGTTATGGCGTCAGTGCTGCGCAGATGCAATTCCTCGAAGATAGCGCCGAGACTATCACTTCTCAGCTCGCCACAGCAGTGGCCACAGCAAGACAGCAAGGCAGTGAGAGGCTTATCAAAGGCTTGGGCTTGTTCAACAGCCACAAGAGCTCACTACGAGACTGGTGGCTTAGCCAGGACAATGAGCGCCTACGCCGCGGTGGTCGATACCAAGCCGAGAACGATCAATCTGACAATCGCCAAGCACGACTCGATCATGAATTCGGCGTTCAGGGCAGTCACGACCGGACTGCCGCTGCTCTGCGCCGCGCGCGCCGTGGAGGCGGCACTTCGGAGCATTTTCCAGATGAGGATGCTCCACCGCACATGTCACAAACTACGGAGACAAACATGTAAGCAATGCACAAGAGATCAGCACCTAGTCACGTTCACGTCGGATTACTAATGGCGCTGGGCAGGAATGCTAACCACGCCCGCATGACACAGCATGTCTCGGGGACCGACTTTGGCCCTGTTAGCCAAGACACAGAAACGCCGTCTTCGTCGCATGCTGCAACTTCTGCTCCAGGCGATAGCACTGGGTACACCACATCTGACAACTCGGTTCCCAACAAAGATGGGACAAGCCCGAGGAATTCTGACATGGCTGGGAATATCTCCAACGCTTATGCTCGAGCCAGCAATTTGATCTGCGAAGCTATGCGTGCTGAAGGCGTGGTGTTTGTTGATGCACGTGCAGCGTCAGCGACCCTGAAGAAGCCGCCTAGGAAGCTCGCCCGTAGTTCAACCGACGCCACTTCCTCGAATCAAAGTGACACTGGGCCTAGCAGTCTGAGCGACGACAATTTCTCTGATCACGGCCAAAGTACGAGGCTCTGCCGCATATCAGGGTTCGCCACTCGCAATTCGTCCTCTTTGTATGGGTCTCGGGCCTTCTCCTCTCGCCGCATGGCTCTTCAAGAGGCTGAGCTACAGAGCTATATCAGGCGCTACCGCCGGGGCAAAGTATTCAACTTCGCGGACGCCGATATGATATACTCTAGCTCCGGCGAAGATCCATCAAATGTATCAAGCGAAGACAACAGCCAGCGATCGAATTCGAGTGGTCCTCGAAAGACGCGAGCATCACGTGATGCAGCTCGACTCGGCAAAATCATGGGCGGTGCTCAGACTATCGCTTTCCTACCGGTATGGGATGATGCCTCTGATAGCTACAGCTCCTGCGCGTTTGTGTGGAGCACAATGCCATTACGATACTTCGATGCTGAAGAGGATCTCACCTATATTGCCGCTTTCAGTCATAGCTTGACCGCTGAGATTGCTCGGCTGGAAGCTGTAGCTTCTGATGCGGTAAGTGCCATTCGTTGGATCATGCTTGAGACACCAATGAAGTTATACTGACGCCGCTTTCAGGCCAAGAGTACCTTCATTTCTTCTATATCTCATGAATTGCGGTCGCCTTTACATGGCGTGCTCGCCGGCGCTGAGCTGCTGCAGGATACTGATCTCTCCCGCTTTCAACAAGACATGATATCCACAATTACCATGGCGGGCAGGGCTCTACTTGATACGTGCGTGTCACAATTCCTCAGCCTTGGGTACCCACGCTAACCTATCCGTCCAGCGTCAACCACGTCTTAGGCGAGTCAATACGAGATGGAGCCTTTCAATCACGCTGACAGAACCTAGATTACTCCAAGATTTCTAGCCGGCCACGACTTGAGAAGAGGACGACGTCTAGAACTCAAAAATCGCCATCAGACTCAGTCACGGTAGATCTGGCTTCGCTGACTGAGAAGTACGTACTGTAATCCTTGCTCCATGTAGCCCGCTGATGGTAGTAGCGTGGTCGAGACTGTCGTGTCCGCACATCGCTTCCAGCGTTCGCTCATGCCCAATTCTGCTGGCGATGTGGACCCGAGCCGATTACGAACCCAGCGCTTCAGGGCTCCTTCAGCAAATGACGATGAAGTGGCAATCGTGCTGAATATTCAAAAGCAAGACAGTTGGGTGACTGACATTCCACGTGGTTCGGTGAGCCTACTCCGCGTAAATCCTCAAACCTACCACGAACTCAGACTGATACCTCGTAAAGTGGACTAGAATCCTCTCCAATATTCTGGGTGAGTGTACAACGATGACTAGGACCGTACAACGTGTCTACAATCCTGCTTGCGTTGCTTTATGGTGGCATGGCCGGACGAGCCACGCATTAGTGGTGCTCTAAAGCTTATTACTGATTGACAGTCAGGTAACTCCTTGAAGTACACGAAAACCGGAGTCATTTCGGTCACCTTGAATGCTCAGAAAAACGCTCGGGGCACGGCTACTGTCGAGCTTGTCATCCAAGATACTGGCATCGGGATGACTGAGAGCTTCCTGGCCACTGATTTGTTCACGCCATTCAAACAAGCAGATCATCATGCGATCGGTACTGGCCTTGGCCTCAGCATCGTCAAGTAAGTTTGGTGAACCAAGCAAGGTGTCAGGTTTTGATGGCAACAAATTGACTCTTCCCAAAGGCAGATATCAAGAGATCTTTCTGGGAGACTTGACGTCCAGAGTACGCTTGGCAAGGGTACCCGGACATCTCTAATCCTGGACATCGACATTGTGGAGCCTAACGCCGATGACATTGATCGTACGGACTCGCAACTTTTGGAACTAGCAGCAACCCAGATTTCCCGGCCATTCCACATGCTAAGCATCAACGATGATTCGACTCACAGATCAAGACTAGGCCGAAACGCTACATCCCAGAGTGTGTCTAACATGGCATCGGAATGGCTAAAGTGCTCTGTCTCCTCCGGGCCGACTTTCGAGGGTCACGCAGAGACTGGAGTGTGTGCGATCGTGGAGACCGACCTGGTACATCTTGCAAAGACTGACCCGAAAAGTCTGGCCACGATGACGTCTGAGCTGGCAGCCAGCGATGCCCAATTGATAGTGCTGGGCTGCAGCCTACAGTCGACTCTGTCTGGTATATCTCTCGAGGAGTATGCAGTACAGCCAACGTTTATCCAGCAGCCGTAAGTCAAGACTTCTCCGTCATTACGTTGTTGTCTGACCTGACGCGCTGCGCTTCGAGCAATGCATTCGTGTGCAACGAATGACTGACGATGATTCTATAGTATCGGTCCTCGCAAATTGATGCGTGTGCTCAGCACGAACGACAGCTCTATGGGTGCCTACACTCACAGCTCCTTGCTGTATACCACGACTCCAGACCTATCAACACCCCTGGTTGTCCGGCGGAACGGTGAGACATCAGGTCAAGATGATGCGTTTCCCTGGAACAGCGATGGCAGAGGACGCGCAACTTCCGACCATGGGCCTGCCGCGTCGACTGTGGCAATACGAAACAGGCCTGGCTCGGTCATAGCGCGCAAACAAAGGCAGTCATCTTCGACTGCAGCAGCGGTCCCATCAAGGTCCGACAGCGACACGGATCAGGACGGTAGAGCTGAGGGTGCTATCGCTTCTGGTAGTACTGTATTGCTTGTGGAGGACAATCCTATCAATATGCGAGTGAGTACAGGACTTGCAGTGACGATTCTGCATTCGATCGCCTGACAGACCATACTGACTTTTCCCGCAGCTTCTCAAGGTTCTGATGCAAAAATTAAAATTTCCGTACTTCACCGCAAACAACGGTGCGGAGGCCCTCGCCATGTTTGTCGCCGACCCTGGGTGAGTAGAAATACAGTCAACCGAAATGTGAGACATTGATTGGTCCGAAGACTAACGCAGTTGGCAGGAAAATCTTTTTGATTCTCACAGATATATCTATGCCTGTCATGGTAAGCATAAACAATACTGTGAGACCCTAGCAAATGGTCCATATAAGCTGATGGTCGTTTTCTAGGATGGTAACGAAGCCACGGCCAAGATTCGCGAGGTTGAGCGCAGGCAGAAGCTTCCAAGGACGACAATCGTGGCGATTACAGGCGTCACCTCTGCAGCGTCCAGGAATGCCTCGATTGCCGCAGGAGTGGACAGATACTTCACTAAACCAGTCAAGATGGAGGAGGTCAGTGCTCTACTCAGCGAGATCCGACCCTCGAAAGTGTAAGAAGGTCGATCGCAGATGTATTATCCGGAGCACTTTTCCCCCCAAATGGGCTGTGATTCCTGGCACTGGTAGCTCGGCATGATCTATACCAGGCCTTCTTTTCTCTGCTGCTCGATACGAACCAGGACTGCCCTCCGTGGGTTGACAAGCTCTGCAAGTCCGAACCAAGGCGTATTGATCGGGCTTGGACCAGTGAAAATGAAGACATCGTATCTAAGCTTTATAGTCAGAACTCGTGCTTGCCTCATTTCCGGAACTGCAGATTTGCTTGCTTACAGGATGCCACCGAATAAGCAGCCTATGAAGGGTGCTACCATCGGGACCTGTAGAGGTTGTGAGCAGAAAGCCAAGCTTCCACTAGACACGACCTACCCAGAAATAATAATTGCCAGCGCTCCAGACCTCATGGCCATAACCAACAGCGTACGACATCAATCGTGGCCCAAAGTCTCGAGCAAGATTGATCGCATAGCCGGTCTCGTAGCTGCGAATTACCGAATGAGGAATCAGCAAAGGTCCCAGGAGTACTGCAACGCTGTCAGCTATCGGTTGCTTACCCGAAGCAAGCACCAATGCCGAAGATCAAGAAAAACAACGCAAGCGGAAACCAAGCGCCGCTGGCACTGAAGCTGCCCTTGTTGCTGTCGTCTTTTAGAGCGAAGATGACGAACATCAAGATCGAGCTCGCTAGGAATTCTGAGAAGAACTGGCTGGCCTTGGTCAATGCCGGCTGAGGATATGTCTGCGGGACAGTCAGTCAACGTTACTACATGATCGCTTCACGCCCCTTACGCAGAAGATCCCTGCCGTAGCAGTCTTCGAAGGAGGCACTGTCCGGATGTTGTGGCCCTCTATTGCGTTTATCTCATTGATGTAATTGAGGTAGATCACGCCTGCTGCACAGAAGCCACCAAGGAACTGGGCGAGGAGATAGATTGGAAAGCGTCGCCAGGGGAGCTTGCGAAGGACCTTAGATCACGAGAGGATTCGTCAGCGAACCCACCATCATCGGTATCGGATAGTATGTGGGAAGAACATGAAGTGCCGTTGACAGGACGAGTCGCATCGTTCAGGCTCTAAGACGTGTCGACTTACTGAAACCATGTTAGCACACCACAATCTGGACGTAGTGTTCGCAAGGCTACTCACCACAGCTAGTGAGGGTAATGGCGGGACTGTATAACACGAAACAGGTTAGAGACATGCTGTTGGGGAGGTAGACGACACTACTAACTTCAGGTACGCCCTAGGAATTGAGGGTCAGCTTGTTGATCCAGGTTGCAAGGATATTAGTCAGTCCTGGATGCTAGTACCCGCTGTCGCCAGCTACATATATTCCAAGCATCACACCGAGACCCCAGCCCCAGTTGATGCTCTGGTAATTGCCAAAGCCGTTGCCGCCTGGTGCTGATGCTTGGCCCGTGCTGAGAAGGACTTGGGCCACCGAGCCGTCACCAAAAAGTACGAGGATGAACGTCTATATATTGATAGTCAGCATACAGGAGGACAGATAGCACGAAACCAAACCCACGCCAAAGAATTCAGCAAACGGCTCCTTCAGTGCTATCCTGATTTTGCTCCACCTGTAACACATTAGTGGATGGTACAAGCATCACTACAAGGCTTGACTGACCACAGCTTAGAATGCTCAGCGTAATCGTGCTCCTCTTCCACTGGTGCCGATGGGTGTAGTCCTAGCCACTGCCTAGTGTGTGCCAGATCGGAAGTTGTCTTAGTCAACCTGCTCGATAGACCAGGAGACTGCGGAGCATGTTCATGGTATGAAGTTTCGCCCATCGGCAGGTTACGGATGGCCAATGGGTCCTCCTTGTGTGACTTTCCCGACGATCCGTCCATCGACACTGGTTGGCGAGCTGCTGGTTGTCTATATTCCGTCAAGCCAGCTAAGTCTACTAGCAGACGCAGGAGATAAAGTCAAAGTCTTGCAGGAACAGGTTTGAAGATTGAGGTTGGAGGCGTAGTTGAGCACAGAAAACGTCTAGTGATACTTCCTTCCACCCTTCGAAGACCCCAATGCTCAAGGAGCTCTTACTGCGGGGTTCTTTGGCATGACCGCCTCGTTGGTCCAGCTGAGCAGAGCCGGAGAGATATTGTGCTTAAACCGCGATGATAGCTGTGAGGTGACGCAGCGTCAGCCGCGTATAGCTAGCTTTGAGTTAGAAGCGCGGCAAAGGTGTCAGAAAGGGTACGTACACAACGTGGTGCTACAGAACTAGTCTACCCCCACATTCTCCTAAGACATTCATGTGGAGAAGTGCGGAGGTGGATCCGATGGAGAGACTTCCCATCTATTGTGGACTTTGATGTTATTAGCTTCGATGGCCGACTTTTCACAAGGACGAATGCGAATAGTGTCGAAGGAAGCCGTGATAGCAAAGAGGACGTGTCCAGAGAAATGCATATCCACTTTTCATTCTCTTTCGAACGCCATTTTGGGTATCGAAGGGATCGCACATACACTACAGCCTCGGAATAGCATTTCATGAAAGGAGACGCTGTATGAGACCAACGAGTGAGTTATAAGTTGTCTAATTGACGAGGTCCGAAGTAGAATGTATACAAGATAGTCCTCACATGGAGCAGTCCTATCCGCTACTGAGAGCTGTCTCAAAGCCTCTGAGCCTTGAGCTTTGGCATCGCTAATGATCTGCGGAGTTTGCGCTACGTTCTGAGGGAGGCAGGATGTGGTTCGACCTGGGCAGATGTTCGGACAACACCGGTATGATTGTATCTGAGTGAGAAGATCAGCGGCTGCAGTGCTGGACGTCTGAAGTCTACCGCTGATGATATGATGATGTACTACGAAGCAGCAAAATAGATGAAGCTGTGTTGCTTCAGTCAAACAAGCGTTTCAACGCACGCTTTCGAACCTGCCCAGTACGCTGTGGCATCAATGATCGCTACGAGACCGTCATCCATCTGAGCTTCTCACACAGCGAATGGGCTCTGCTTAGGCGTCTCCTACGAGCTTCCACGATACGGCGTGCCTACAGAGACGATCTGGTTAGTGATGCCGTCCAGTCACAGAAGCTGCTCGGGCTAAGACCTACCGTCAGGCCTCAACACCAACCCATCCTCGATATCAAACACCCGTTCCCTCGCCCAACCATCTAGCATCTCCCAATCAACACATTGATGCTCAATATGCAGATCATCAGCAGGATTGTCCTTATTCTTCGATTCGTCCCAATCGTACGTCCAGATCGCTGAGGAGGGCTGACACATGAGATATTGGCGCAGCATGTCTAGGCAATGCTCAATGTGGTCTGGAAATATGTGACTGGGCAGAACGATCATTTGCTCGTGTTGCATCTCGTCGGCGTAGTAGTCTGGTGCCATCCAGTGCCGGACTATCTTCAGGCAGTGCAGATGGTGGTAGATGAGCATAGAGCCATAATAGTCTCCAGAACGATCTTGGAGCTTGAAGGAAGTCTTGTTCAGCCCTCCATCTCGTCCGCGGTGATGCGAAGTTTGTATGCTGTTGGCGTCTTGCTGTCAATCTTCTCTCGCTGGGATGGATTGATCAAGAGGCCACTCACGAGACAACAATTCATCCCAGGCAGCGTCAACCTCCGGACTCGGACTGCCTCGATACCTTCGGTCGTAGGGATCGCCGTTCCAATTCGAGTGGAGGACGTTGTTGTATCGTGCTGCTTGTGATGCTCGAGTTATGGGGGTTGAGCAACATTGAAAGTCTTCTACCAGGAAGAGGTACTAGTACTTACAGTATGGAGCTGGTGTATGCCATGTTTTCAACGATGAGGTGTCGCGTAAGTAAGAGCTATGCAGTAGTACGGCTGTGATAGCTGTATAGACTGCTATAAGAAGGAGATGGGCTGCGATTGAGATGACAACGTGTTTCCCACTCCATGATTGGGCAGTATCTCGAGTAGATGGTGGCCATGCTTCGTCTTTGGGATCACTGTCCAAGGTCAGCAATTTTTCGGACTCCATAGCATCTGTCGACCGTCCAATGTTGTTCGTCATTGCATGACTTTGATGTCACCATCAGGTCCAGAGCATATGAGTGGCAACAGTGACCGAGCACAGCGATTTAGTAGGTGACACAAGGACGGGATATTCAGCCGAGTCATTTTGGCTGAGCTGAAAGTACGTACCCGAACCACAGAACTATGCATATAGACGTGTTGAGGTGCATGAAGATGCTGCAACCCCAGCTTGTGTTGTGGGCTCATGGAGAAGTGAGACTGACAGACCATTCAGCGGATGAGATGACCCAACGATATGGTACCAAGCTGCAGGCGACAAATGCGCAACTATTTAGGCCGACGCGAAAGAAGCACAACTTGCCTAAAGAAGAACTCGGTCCTGACAGAAGCTTAAATCTAGGTAAGGCTGGCTTGCAGAGGCACGGCATTCGAGCAAATGATGTTGTTTCGATTGTTTGAGTCTCGTTCGGATATCTTATTCATCATGGTGCCGTGCCCAGGAGTCGCTGGTTCTATTCATAGGTTTGTAAACGATGGTTCTTGGTCATCCCTTCATGCCTAGATCGACGTCCAGGTTCTATGCAAGCGAGGTCGAACTGTACCCATGGAGTATCGTGGCGGTGCTTATCACCGGTCGTGGGCTTGGCGTGGCGTGCCGTCGAAAGGCGTTCTCTCAGCTTCCCGTCAATAGCCCCTCCTTCCTTTCCTTCTCTCCCTCCTTCAAAGCCTTGACCTCTTCCTTACTCATATTGTACGTTGCCGCCACCTGATTAAATGGGTTGTCTGGATGCTTCTCAAACTCCTTCCTGATCTGTTCGATCTTCTGCTGTCGACGCAAACCCTTTTCGTCCTTCATCTCCTCAAGCCGCCGCTCCTCGTACGCCTTGTACGCAGCTGGGAAACGACGTTCCGGGTGACGATCGATTTTGTCGTTGTTGGCGGAGGTAAGCGAGAGTGCATCTAATGCATTGTCGATGCCCGTTGCGTTGAGAGCGGAGAGGGGTGCTTTGGACGTGGCAGGATCGTCAAGGCCAGAGAGATCGAGGCCGCGAGACTTCTTGGGTGGTGGTGCTTTGCCTTTAGCGGGCTTACTAGGTAGAGAGGCCTCCTCTTCCTTGAGCAGGGCCTCCTTCTCTGCTTTCTTACGAGCGGCTTCTTCTGCTTTGGCTTGCGCGGCGGCGCTATGAATCATTTCAGCAGTGTCCATCCATCGCAACGGCTCCCTCCACACTCACGCTTTGCTGTTGTCCTTCGACCCTTTCTGCCACTCTGCGTCCTCTGCTTGAGCTACCTTAGCATCCGATACTGCCTTCTTGCTCGCCACCGCCTCTGCCTTCTTCGTATTCCCCGCGACCTTCTTCGAGTTGTCGCCTGTTGCCTTCTTGCCCGCCATGTCTGCTTGTTCTGCGTGTGCCAGGTATGGTGACTTGTCGATGTGCGAGGAAGATGATGATCGGTGAACTGTCTTAGGCTGAGTCTAGGACAGTGAATATAGGGAAAGGTGGAAAGCAAGCATTATCAATAGTTTGTGACTCAAGAAATGGACCAATAGCCACCCTACATTCACTTCCATCTTGTGTACCTGCCCAATGTGAAAGGCCGAGCATATTTTCAGAATTAGTCAGCAGACCCAAGTCGAATCTTGCCTGGTACACCTAATCTACATCTTTGTTTCATTACGATTTTGAGATCGATCTATCGAAGGGTAGGGACGTTTGAGTAAGAGCATCTTATATCTAGCCGCATGTGCTGATTTCATGACGAACCATAAAATAGCGACATAGTCCTTCTAGTGCATAGAATCCCTGCATGTCCAGCTGCGTCTAGTATACATAACCAACCATGGTCCAAAAACACAACAAGTGCATCCCAGCAGCAAAACAATCGACGGCAAGTCTAATCTCGTTCTCGTCCGCATCCTCGATATCGTAAGCTTTCGCCTGTCTCCACCCTCGATCCCCATACTGCTTCCTCAGTCTTCGAGAGTCCAGAGCTTCCCGTAGTGCAGTAAGCATCCAGACGGTGGCCAGAAACACCATCGTTCGGCTCATGGATGTGGCGAACAAGAGTGCGATGGGGACCATCCCCGTGTTGAGGTGCGCAAGCGCTGTGTTGAGATGGATCAGGTCGACTATCAAATCGACTTCGTCGACAAACAGAACGCGAAAGCGCTGCGGACAGCGAGTTATGTCCTTCGTTGAACCCACCCTTGATGTGACGGCGACAGAATGTGTGGCCGCATGGCAGGACTTGTATGGGACTGACAGGTTCCTCGCGGCAGATGATACAATCGTCGTCGATAGGGGCGTACAGTGGCTTGTAGCAGGGTTCGAAGAAGTGGGATTTGGTCGGGGGCTCGTCGTCGTTGCTTACTGCTTGGGTAGTGGCTTCACCGCTGTACAGGCAGTGGCATGTGGCTCCGATCGCAACGATGCATATGCTGAGTCTTGTTTGGAGTAGATATACAGTCGTGTACAAGGTACAGCGAAGGACGACGAGCGATAATCGCTAGCAGGGCAAGGATTGCTGCCACACTGCAGGTTCGATGATATGGGCGTGAGGTAGATGGTTGTGTACTCACGTTGCTCAAAATCTACGCAGCTGTGTATGTGACAGTCATATGCTCTTGAAAGCGCGTTGGCCCAGCGCTAGCATTTTGTCACGTTTGTCCTGAAATCTTTCTGACCAGATCAGGCAGTCAGGACGGTGGGAAAGCTAAGATCAGCTTAATAATGTATCAAATTGGGGGTTTGAAAAGGTGTAGACAGCGTCAATGATGACCTTGTGAGCATTGTCGCGTGGCTCTTGGCCTTGTTGGATGCTCATCTTTCTTGAGGCGAAATGTGTAGCCTGAGTCCCGCAAATGCTCGTTGCAATGATCGGTGGACGAAAGCCATGATTGATGATTACATTGAGGTCTGTTCGTAGGTGGTGACCGGGTATTCATCGCCCTACGAAGTAACGTGTGAGCATCAGAAATGACCGAGAGCTGATACTGGTGTGACATTCCAGTCCAGTAGCACACGCAGCCACGCACATGGTATGGTAGAAATCAACGTGCGTACCTCTTAAGACGCGTAGGAGGTCGTCTACATGTAGCGTATTTGGTCAGTTTACATCATCAGCCATGGTCGATGTCGGATGGTTGACGGTCGATGAAGTGGAAGCAACCAAACAGTCCGAAGAAGTCGTAGCACATTTCCGAACCGAGCACAGGCCATGGTGACGCAGCAGGGCGATGGTGACACACCCCTTCCGCAAGGCTCCCATTCTTCTCAAAACCTCACCATGACTTGTTAATCGCTGCAAATCATCACGATAACCACCCCGACGATGTTTGAGCACTGTCAACATTCTACGATGCGATGAAACGTAACCAAAGCTGAAAAGCTTGCTCAATCAACCGCCAGCGCATGCAGGACGTTCCACCCAATCGGTCCAAAACAGATCATGCAAGCTCTCCATCAACCGCCACGCCAATGACGGGGACGATGGCCGTATATGGCGACACGCGAACCACTTGCGTAGGTGCTAGTATTTGCAGTAGCTCCGCATAGTGTGAGCGGAGCATGGTGGAAAAGACTGGACTGTCAGGTAGGAATGCTTTGTTGTACCTCCTCATACATCTTCGTGGCCACTTGCTACCGTGCGTTCGCATCGAGTTGATGGAGCTCACCGCAATATCACTATGTCGTCTTTTGAGGCGCGCGGTATGATCCGAACCGGCTCACAGTACAGCAAATCGAGAACTCGAGTATCACTAGTCCTAGCAGACAGATCAAATGGCTGCACCTTCCGGGATGATCCCCTCGAGCGTCGATGCCAACTGTGCCATCTGCAATGCTCCACCCATTCCAGAATGTCCACACGAAGGCGAGCGACTGACCCTAGCCCTCGACCATGCGATGGGACGATGGGCGCAATTAGAAGCAATCAGGTATAGTCGACAAGACTTTCCAACAGCGAATGTAATATGGCTAAGCAGTCTCACCACCGCAGAGACTGGGCCGTCAAACACGCTAAAAACAACGTCATCTCCAAATTCCACCAACGCCGACACTCCCGATACCAAAGAACACTGGGCTTCCTTCAAACCCTTCCCTGTTACGGTCTCTACATCACTTATAACGGCCGCCCGCCGATCACGCCTCAACAGCTCGGCGAAATACAATACCATATCCGGAACGCCAACGAGGCTTTCCAGGCTGGTGTCAACGAGGATTGGCGCAGGAGCTGCATGGAGTACCCCGCTATCCTTGATTATTTTCTTGGTCTTGTGCAGATCGAGTTCCCGGCGGACCACGAAGATGTGATCAGGTATCCGGCTTTCGCTGGTGGTGGTGCTCCGCTTGTGGCAGAGCAGAGGAAGGTCAAGAGTAGACGGGACAGTGTAACGACGGAGCATCGGAAGAAGGAGAAGAGGCGAGGTTAGGTGATGACTTAGTTCTCGTTGATTGATACACAATTCGGCTCTGAAGTCAGACGCCGGCGACCGAGCATGCTGCCAGTGAACGCCAGCTTTTGCTTGAAGTACAGGGCGTACAGATCGACCAGCCATCAGCTCTCCTCCTCCTCTGTCACCATGCGTAATCTGCCAGCCTTGCGCTGCAAAGTCCCTGTGCTCCGCTGCGCCTGCAACCATTTGTCAAGCTGCGAGACAGTCCTACTAGGAGTCAGCAACCACTAGCTCGCTCCTAGACCATCGGACCAGATCAGATTGATGGGGGCAATCAAGAGGAGGTGGAGACTTACTGCGAATCGGGCAAACTAGTCTCAATAGCTGTCTCGAGCGGGCTATGTCCGAAGCCGCGATCATGAGCAGGATAAGGTGGTGGGACCTGTACAAAGATCTGTATTAGTACACACTTTCTCGGGTGTACAAGTCTAAGAAAGAGTCCATGGAACTGCTCGTGCGTACCTGAACGACAGTTCTAGCGGCTGCGACATGGACTTCTGTTTCTTGTCCACTGTAAGCCGAATGGCTTCCATCGTCTTCGTCTTGGCTCGGTTCCACCAAGAAAGTTCCAGAGTGCTGGGTAGCTTGGTTGAAGGCGTGACGATGGTCGCGTGTGGGAAGTGGCGCGGTATAGGTGTATTGTGGATAGTCTCTGCTACCGAATCGTTCCGGATGCTTTGCTGAATCTTTCGGTTGTTCGTTCGTCTGAGCTGCCTGGGTCGTGTGGTCGCGGATCCGTGCTTCGAGTTCATGGACTTCGACTTTCTGCTGCTGGTGGGAATCTCGTTGTTGCTGGGGCTCGCTCTCGGTCGAATAGAAGCTGTGATCTGTCATGGCTGGACTGAGCGCTTGGGATGGATCAGCAGCGTTTTGGGTGATGGAGCTGGTACTTGTCGAGTTGTCCAGTTCTGCAGGCCGCGCAGACATGTTGCCGGCATATTTGGCTAGTTCGTCCGCTGTGTACATTTCTGGATGCGTGGCCATGTGGTTGTTGCCGATGTAGGTCCAGAATCGATTGGTTCGCTGCTTTATGCTGCTGCCAGTGTTTTGGTGCTGTGTGATCAGGTCGGCCAAGGACATCTTGAGTCTGCCATCTTGGCTCATGTCTGGTGACATCTTGGCTTGTGTCTCTTGCCAGGAGTCCTCGCTGTGATCTCCTCGCCCGTAGCCTCCTGGAAAGGGACCGTTGAGAGATATAGCGTCTTCGTCACCGATCGTCTTAGCCCGGCGATGATTTCGTGACTGGTCCAAACTCTGTCGTGGTTGTCTCTTTGCCGGTGCATTCGCAGGCTCCCCGAGGAGTACACGAGGAAAGCCGCTTATTGGGAAGCCATCCGGTTCAAGGCCATCATGAGCCGTAAGGAACAGCGTGATGGCGGTTTGTCTTGAAGCATTTCGGAGCGGTATGTGTATGTTCGGCAGGCCGAAGACCGCAGAGTCCGTCATACCGCGAATCACATCAATGGTCAGCGGTACCATGAATGAGTCGTGCACCGATTCGTTGATCGGCCTGATCATGAAATACGGCTCAAAGCCATCAACTCTTCGCTGTTCCAGGATTCTGCCAAGGGCACACATCTCCATGCTGCCGTCATCGAATCGACACTTGATTGCGCCTATGCAGATCTGTTCGCTCTTTTCTGCGAGATTCTTCGACTGAAGTTCCAGGTAGAACGAGGAGGCGACTAGTCGATGGGCGACGTTTCGCAGGGCTGCCATCCTGTGAGGCGTGTGAAGTCGTCTTCGAACGTTGACTTGCAATGCCTCGATGTCGTTCCTGCTGTCTTGTGCTGGTGGCTCTCGGTCTAGATCCGGATTGAAGCGGATAAAACGGCGGCCTGCGCACTTTGGTCAGTACCGCTCGAGTTTCATTTGTGTACACAATACATACCTTTGGCTTCGGAACGTTCTCGTACGGCGTAGTTGCGGAAATCCACCCACGCGATCTCCGCATCGAGAACATCGTCCACACGCTTGGATCGCCATCTTGACGCTTTGCGGGCTTCAAGTGCTGTCTGCCCAGGCTGTGGTATAAGTGTGGTCGTGGTTCCATTCTTCGGACGGGAGGACAACTTCTCGAGCACAGATATTCTGTTTTGTCCGGTGCCCAAAGACAAAAACAAGTCCGGCTCGTCTACATCAGGCCATATGAGTCGCCGTTCTCGGTCCGCAATGAAGGATGGGTTGGGGCAGCGCAAGCCACCATCAAGATATGTCTTGGCGTGATGATTGAAGGGGCGAAAGTAGCTTGGTGTTGCCATTGACGCAGCCACACTTTCCCACACCTTGAGCTCCATATCTGGCTCATGTGGCCTTTCAAACGAGTACACAGGCGTCGGATCTTCAGGTCGGCGATAGCTAGCAATTAACATTGTCTCCCTACCAGTGACACTAGTCGTGGTCAATGCCACTCGCACGCCGGAAGTGAATCGAGTTGCTGAGCCAAACATATCTGCATCGTCTTCGAATGCTGTCTTGAGAGCACCGTGGAGTGGCTTCGTTTTGTACTTTGGTCCTGATGAAAACGCCATCGCGATGTTCGATATAATAGGCACACCTCTCAGACGAGGTGTGAAAGCGTGGTTCGAAAGTGCACAGAACATATCAATGCAAGAGTCGACATTCCGATCACGATACGCAAGCGCTGCGCCGAGCATGCCACCAGTGCCGGTCCCCACGATTAGATCGAAGAAGTTCTGGACTGGCAAGAAACCGCCTATGGCCTGCTCGATAGCTCGGAGTACTTCGAGTTGCACGATTCCTCGAATACCTAAGTACGTTAGCCAGAACCCTGTCATCTTTTCAAATCTAAATACATACCACCACCGTCCAGTGACAGAACTCTGACGCCTGCGCCAGGCGGCTTGAACTTGATAATCGCTGGCTTCGCCCACTTAGTAGATGCTCGATGCAGCGGACAGCTTGGCAGTGTCACAGCGCTATGAGCAGTCTTGCCGTAAGCTTTGATACACGCTGTGCAAAGCACATGTCCACAAGGTAGTGGGTGCTCTGGTACGTCCATCAGGCAGCAGAAGCTGCGGATATCTCAAATCAGCTTAACTGAGTCCTCGCCTGTGTTCACGTATCATGCTTACCAGGTCGCATGACTGCAGATGGAAGATGCTGGGCCGACAAGCTCGAAGAATTGGTTCAGATGCTCTTCATGCAGCACTAAAGCTATCTTCTCCTCTGGTATGGCTTGTGTGTCTTCGACTTGGGACAGCTGCTCCAATTCATACGAGAAGTCCCTGTGTATACCTTCGATGGCACTTCTGAGTTGAGTCTTCCATGTTGGCGAAAAGTTACCATCAAATGCCGCCTCATAATCACCAGCGGCAATGATACCTTCATTGTCCTGATGGCCCTTAGGTTGATGTCGGGCTTTGACAAGCACACACTTCCTTCTCCCGTCCGCGCTCACATACGAGCAAGGATAGTGCAGCTCCAGAAACTCCGACATGGCATAATCGAAGAACTTCTCGTAATTGCCAAACAGCTCATCCACGCGACCTTTCCGGAAGCGTGCACAGTCCAGCAATACGCAAGATGCTAGCATTACGCTCAGCCTTTCAAACATGACTGCAACTTTGCCGGGCTGGTGTTTGGTCTGCTGAGAGCTGATCGTGGTGCATAGCTGGAGTATGTGGCCTCCGAAGTCGTTAGTGATTGGATTTCGCAAGAGTGATATTTGCATGAAGTTGAAGGGGACATTCAGATGTGTCGTGAAATGGTCAAACCCGCTCTACTCTATATCAGCTTATGCGGTGGAAGTGTAGCGATATAATGTGGGAAAGCCATGCAGAAACGCCGGCGATGGGAGATACTTACTTGAAGATAGACATTCAGCTCATCGGCATTCGTCAACATCCTTGCCCGTCGCTTCGTCCGGAAAGAATCCTCGCAGTTCGTCTTGATAATCTGATGGAGCTTGCCAATCTGCTCGTTGATAGTCATGTATCGAGGCTTGCTAGGTATTCGAACGACCTTGAATGAGCTATAGTACCGCAAGATCAAATCCTCCACTGTGTAAATGTGCTTGCCAAGAGATCTCCAGTACTCAGCGAGCTCTCGAAATCGAGGAACACCCTCGACATAGTCCAGGGCACCTCTCACAGAGGATAGCAGGCTCTGTGTAGCATAGTCGACGTCCCACTCACGCTCATCCACTGAAGGATCGGTACCATTAAGCGCGACTATACAGTGAGGTAGAGCTGGCTGATTGATTGACTTCTCAAGCGCAGCCACACCCCAGTCGAGTAGCTTTGTGAGTACAGCGGACTGGAAAGTCTTAGCATTTCGCAAAACAAAGACTACACAATCGGAGAATGTGTAAAGTAACCTCGGATACAATGCCGTCACGGCGTACTCCCTCTGTCGCTGTTCTTCAGTGTTCGCCCACTCTATCGATCTCGAGTACACATTCCCGGGCCGCTCCGAACTCTCACTGGAAGGATCTGATCGAGCTCGTCGTCTTGCTCGGGCTCCAAGTGGTGTCCTTTCGCCGCCCTCAAAACCTTCGCAGTCGGCGTACAGGATCGGCAGCTGCTCTGCATGTGTAGCCGGATCGGCATACAAATGAACGTCTCCTGACGTGGGTAGCGTATCATTGACAACGCTACCAACAACGGGTGACGGGAATAACGCTCGGTTTTCCAGACTGACACTATCAGCATCATGATTGACCAGCATCTTGATCAGTGTTGATTTGCCAGCATTGGTTACGCCGATGAAGGAAACGAGCTGCGGGTAACGGTTGGTCATGCCGTTTTCGCCGATGGGCGATATGGTGGACATCAGCGAGGCATAGCGGCCATAATCCTCGAAATTCGGTCTTCCAGTGAGATCCCGAGCCACACCGAACCATTTCGTTGAGGCATCCTGCTCGTGCAATTTTTGGATCTCCTCGGCCTTCCTAGTTGGGTTGAGAATAGCTTTGAGTCGTCGGACGACAAAAGGGTTTTCCTTTTGGTGGACCATACCATCTCGACCTTTCTTCTTCGGACGATGAGGTCCTTGACGAGGCCAGCAGTCGCTACAATACGAGCTATCGCAGTCCACGCAATGCCAAATTGGTGGTTGAGCGCCACCGCAACGATCGTCTTCGCATCCCTCAGCAGGACCCTCGCTGCTGATCGAAGCAGAGTCGTCCTCCCGGTAGGCTGTTTCTATGGTCATGTCTCCGGCATCTGCTGGTTCTTGCGAGTCGAGCTGGCGACCGTGGTCCGTTTGGTGCCGTGTACGGAGCGCGGTAGCTACCGCGCTCAGGCGTTTAAGCTTACCGTCCTCCAGCTTTCCAGATGCTCGCGATTGCTGAAGTCCATGTAAGAGAGAGTGGATAGGCGTATTTCAACAGCGATAATATAGCGGAGGAGCCTCATGTGCAGGCGAGGTCAATATCAGGGGCTGCAGGATCTGTACCATGGGGTGGTGGAATGCCAAACATGGCCCCTTCTCGCCTAATGCGAACAGTTTCAGGCTTGTCAGCCTTTCCGACACTTTGCCTTTGATGGCGTCGGGAAGTGATGCGGCGCATCTCCCGTCGATAAGATGACCAATAACCTAGCCTATAACTGCTCTGCTAGCGGTCTATCCCGCAGTACATATTATATGTAGATTGGATCCCTTGTGACACGCATACCGCTACGCCGTGTGCTGAGGTCCAGACCGTGAGTACGGCGGCCTTCTGAACACCGACAAAGAAGACACCAGATCTGTGAATTTGTATGTTCTTCAGCGTTTGGATCTAAGGGAACAGGGATCCATCTCACGCTAGCGGGTCCCATCGCACGTGCATAAGATCTGGACCCACTGTGACAACGTGTTGGCTCCAATTTCAACCGACGACCCCCATCCGCCCTTCCCAGCGATAAGAAGTCCCAAGAGAAGCGTCTGCAAGACTGTACCAACTTTCAGGATGGCTGCCCACGGAAAGGGTATGAGTGTAGCGCAATGGAGCTGACCATGGCATGAGCTGCTGAAGTGTGTTCGGGCATTCCGCATGATACGAAATCCTGATGTGTTGTAGCAGAGTAGTCTCAGCGTATCTGCATTCAGCGGTTCACGTCAGCTTCTTGCAGGGAGTAATCTTACTTGATCTCATCCAATGCAACTTTCGTGGATCGGGATAGCGATATACAAGCGAGCGCGAAGCGAGACGAGTGATTTAGCTTGCTAATAAAAGTAGGCAAGGACTGAATCATGGTAAAAACACGTGAACGATGGGCAGTTCATCAGACCCTCCGAATGTATCTTACATGGATCTTGCACGGGAACATCGCGATTGGATTACTGTTCTATCTCTCGATGACATTCGCAAGGCCGGTCGTTCACTTGGGGAACGCATGTCCAGCAGCGTGCGGTGCACCACATATCATACGTCAGTTGGCGAGGCACAGCACAGGACCAGAGCTTCGTAAGCTATAATGCTCATCTCAACCTCTTAGCCCCCGTTCCTGACACACCTACTTTGGAAGTCTTTGGACGAGCTTGCTCATTTGGCTTCAGCAGCTATCATCGACCTGCCACCTCTCGAGTGTCAAGATATTGTTCGTGCAGCTACTACTCGGTGGCCGCGCACCTGGATATGTTATATTTGCACACCACGAAACTGAGCAGGTAGACCTGGAGTTCAGCTACGTACTGGCTCGATTGGTCTCCAACGGATATGCTTACCAGTAAGGCCTGCGGCTGCTATTTCCGGTAACGACCGAGATGAACGTCAAGGGTTGCGTCAGGGGTTGAAAAGGATACATATGGGTCGCTATACAACCTCGTGAGGATGTTGATGAGCTGTCGTCCGATCTGTAACCTCTGCTGAAGCTTCAGGGGTGGTGAGTCAGCCCGCCATCTGATCGTCTCCAAGCTCCTTGCCCATCCCGAATCGCCACGGAACTCTCCAGCAATGATTTGTGCGACACGAGACTAGCTTCGGGTTTATAGAAGACGGCCGTATGCCGTGCCGTTTGAACCTGCAACATCAAGCAAAGACGCAACGCCGTACATATTGGAAATCGTCCTTTGCAGATCACATCCACCGTGGCTCGTCACTTCCTAGAGTCTTCGGCATATGGTCCCAACCAGGCTTCGCGCCCTCCACTGTGGCAGAATGGCGGAGAGCCCTCATCTTGCCAAAGCCAGACTGCTGCTCCTCAAAGTATATATCGGGCACGTCGGAGTCATCGGGTGGGATGCCGTGGGCGCCCGTCTGTATGCTAGGCATGATCTGTCCGAGACTGCGGAGATAGTGCATGGTACCTGCCAGACTTACATCTATACGCCAGCTGCCGCCTTCCTTCGCCCTCTTATACACTGCACATGCAATTCCAGTGGCTAGGAAGTATCCGCTTGCATGATCCAAAGCTTGAGCGGGTAGGGGTCTGGCATGCTCGCCTTGGCCAAAGTGCTCGGCTTCTGAAACATTCATGCCCGAGCAGGTCTGGACAAGGCTGTCAAAACCACGACGATCTGCCCATGGACCTGAGGTGCCGAAAGCAGTAAGACTCGCATAGATGATGCTTGGGTTGATGGCGGCTAGTGCCTCGGGCCCGAAGCCTCTTGATGACAAAGACTCGGGGCGGTACGATTGCAAAAAGACGTCGCAGTCTTTGATCAGCTTCATCAGCTCGTTGCAATCCTTTCCATTATGCAGGTCAAGCTGTATGGTGCGTTTCCCACGCGTGGTATCCTTGTCGAGCTCCGGAAGATCTGGCAAGGTTGGTGAAGTCACCCAAAGCACATCCGCACCATGAGCCGCAAGTGTTCTTCCAGCTACAGGTGCGGCGAGCACCCGACTTAGTTCAAGCACGCGAAGGCCTCGCAGGCACCGGTCATCGCTCCGGAGCATGTGGGCTGGCAACCCTTTTGGACCTTCTCCCGCAATTCTGATGACAGATATGGGTAGATCAGGTAATGCTTGGGCTTGAGGCAACGAGTCCCACTCGCCGTACGACCGCAGGGCATAAATGGCGAGCTTGTTCTCGTATGCTGATTGCTCGAGATCAAGCTTCGCCCACTTAACCACTCGCTCAGCAACTTGTTCCCTGGTCGCCGTGTTCTCGAGACCGAGTAGCTTCAGCGTTCCATTACGATGATTTGAGAAAGAATCATGGATGCGGACATAGCCATCAGAAGTACGATGTAGTCCTCCGATTGGCGCCTGAAGAGGACCACCATCATATCCTGCTATAGTGTATAGTCGCTCGCTCTTGAGCTCGATACAGGCATGCTCCAATGGCACTGTCACTTTCCTCGGAAGAGATGACTCAGGCCTCCGTAGGCTATCAACGAGTGCGGCAGAAAGAGCAGACAGAGCAATAGATGCCTGTGCTAGGTGGTCGACTTTGTACGAGGACACATATCCTGACCCACGACCCGTCAACTCAAGTACTGACAGTGCATTTTGTGGCAAGCCAAGATGCTGCCAGATTTGGCTCACGGTGTCCAGAGGCTCAATCGAGGATCGATCTATGATACGCTGAGACATGCTGATTGTTTTCGTGTCGTAAGCTTCTACAGACCAAGACCTAGCTGTAGTTCCCTTCAACTTCTGAAGTGTCGGAACGCAGTAGTCTTTGCTGGCGTCAACACATCCAGGACATAAATGTAAGATAGAGCTGCTTCGCCGATGTCGGTGGACGCAGTTGACACCGCCATTCGGACAAATCCTACACTGGAACACTCGAGTTATCACACATCAGTTGTTCCAGATTGGAAAATCGTGGTTGGCAGATGCTCTTTTGTGTGCGCTGGTCTCAATGGTCGACCACTGAGCTCGGGACCCATAGAATTTATTTCCGACGTGCCATACATTGTACTCTAACCTTGGCATCGTGTTTTCGCACCCTCTTGCTACTAAAGGCCACCATTATACGAGCTTGCCTACAGGGCAAACGCTGGCAGCACACGTTGTATGATGTGCTGGCTATAACATCAGTCGGTACAACGGCCCATCGTTGTGGCTTAGCCGAGTGTGGAGTCGACATCTGGTATCGGTTTATGGCCATACCCTGTTGAGGCTCACTAGTGCCTGCCATAGAGCAGTATCTTGCTCGCCTTTGGGTGGCCTAGGAAACACTGGCTCATCTGCACGATAGCCTTGCAGTGGCACAAGATCAGGCTCGCAAAGCTTACCATAGCCATCCCAATCTTCGTCCTTCAGACCGCCAACCTTTCCAGGCAACTCGCCAGTCTGGAAATACTGTCTGATAGCTCTTCCACTGCACATCGATACGCTGCCGTAAGTGCAATGGCCTTCCGAGTCCTGATGAAGTACGCCCGCTCCTTCGAAACCAGACGCCATTAGGTATGCATTATACAACGGTGTGACAGGGTCGATCGTGTTGCCGGCGAATAGGATTGGATGCGCAGTCGTGTTGTGAAAATTGCCTTCGTACCTCCAGTGTGGACGAGCGTGCCATGCTGTACAAGGCAGCTGGATAGCCGCCCAAGCTGCTCCGATCAATCGACTTTGCGCCGTAATGCGGTCGGCATAGTCTTTGAACTCTGCTTTCGACTGATTGAGTCGATCTCCTGGACCGTCACTACACGCAATGGCATATGTGCCGTCCCAATTCATCGAGCCACCGGGCGTTGAGGTCTCGAAGCAAGCAGGACTGTATGGCCCGCCTTGCTCGCACTGCTTGTTCAGTGGCTCGCCTAGACCGGCTGGAAGCTGCTCGCGGGCCCAATTTGCAAGTGAGGTGCCGTTGCGCGTGCCAAGGTCACGAAGGATATGTGCTGTAAGCGGAAAGTACTTGAGCGGGTTGTAGACGATGTCTCGAATCAAGCGAGCAAGATCATTAGCTGTTACAATTGCTGGACCTGCACCTGACACTTCTGGCACCTCGATCGGATCGTTCTTTAGGTCCTGGACGGTGCTTATAATGTTGGCTGCAATGACAGCTGGCCCATCTTCATGCCATATGGGACAATTGCCGTTCCCACCTTGCCAGCAGTAGTCCGCAAGCTTTACAAGAGTTGTGTCTGTGTCACGCAGGTTTGTCGACCAGCCACCTGCCATGTAGTCATGACTGTCTGCTACACCATCAAGTACTGCTCTATGAATACGGTCGGCGTACATCGTCGAAAGCGTCGCCCCAAGGACAGATCCGTACGAGAAGCCCTACCAAACATGTCAGTCTGAACCCGTCGATGTCTCACAGACGGATCAATCTATCGCACTTACCCAGTACTGCAGTAGCTCCATGTCCTTGTGCCAAGCTGTGCGTTCAATCACTTCTTCCTTTTGCTCGGTGGTGGAGGTACGGTCAAGATCCAATAGCCGCTTGGCTTCTTCTGCTCGCCACTCGCCATGTCTCTCGAAGATCTCCACTATGTCTCGTGCCACAGAGGCAGTAGACATGTGCTTAGCGATGCCCTACGAATTTTGATTAGCCAGTGCTTGCCATCATGTATAAAATGTTTGAGAATACTTCTTCGGCCATCCTCTTGCTACAGCCATCTGCCACTGCTCGCTTGCTGGCCCAGACGTTGTCAAAAGAGGTATCCGAACTCCCAATAAAGCCGTGGGCAGTGTCCTTGAGACTATATACTGCTGCTTCAATGCGGTTTGGGAAGCATGTGATTAGTGGTCGAGTATTGTTGATGCCTCGAGGATCGAAGCCAATAATATCGAAGTGCTGTGCCGGTATCAGCGCTCGACGAAGGTGAGCTTGGCGGGGTGGAGACATATGATACCTTTGCGCTAAACTGTTCCGCATCAGGGCCAGCGGAGAGAATGGTACGAACGTCCTTTCCTCCTTTGAGGACCTGGCTGATACCTGAGCCGCCAGGGCCACCTGATGAAGTCAGCTTTACATGCACCTCTCACTGCTTTGCGATAGTAAGTTGGCGACCAAGGACGGACCAGGGTTCAGGACCACAGCACCGCCATATCTTGGGTCTGTCACTGGCACAGTAGCTTCGATCTTGATCACTGCTATCTCTACCGTCCTGTTCGCCTCGGTGGAGCCACCTTGCCAATCCATTGGTACTTGTAGGCGAGCACATTTGAATTCCTGGTAGCAGGATTGCCAGGCAAAGTATTTTTGTGGTTTGACCTTGAGGTCGATTAGCTTATTCTCCCGCAAAAAAGTGTATCGACTTCTAACATCATCCCATCTGAATGCTGTAGCAGGAGAAAGTGTCGTGAATGTAAATTGGTTCTTAAGCCATGCTGACGACTGCAGCAGAGCGCTGGGTAGTGTATCGACGTGCATCCCCGAGGAGGCTCAGTCGTGAGCCTCGGAATTTCGACAGCTGCTTTGAGCAGGGCGTCACTCGAGACTGTGTGAGCACAAAGCTGTGTGCATGCGCACTCCCAATATATATACAGTGGATGCACGATGGAGATCAGAAGAGAGTGCACCTCCGAAATGCCGAACTCCTAATCTCGACCCCGAACTCCGCAATGTGCCATGCACTTCACCCGCTGTCTCTTCATACCTCTTCTCCTCCTCGATTCTCGTGGCACCTTGGGCGGCGCATGCAGTGCGCACCCTCAGATCTCAGCAGGTGCCAGATCTAGATCATCTCGTGCCGGACTTGGTGCCTAGCTTGATGCCAGAATGGGGCATTTGTGTTGATTTCACAATCTACGTCGCAAACGTTCTTTCCGCAACAGAATCAGCCGTCTCAGCACAACAATCGCACAAGCCTACAAGGTCATTCGGGCATCAACGCCTCCACTATCGTCTCTCAACTCAATAATATCAACGCGATCTACGGGGAAGATTAAGATCATGCTACGATTGATATATCCACTTTTTGGCAGCTTCCTACTACTGTTTGCTAGGCTCGTGTGATTAACTGTATCACTTCACAATGCCGCCAGTATGAAAATTTCAGGCGCTCGCAGTAGCCAATCAATGCCATAGTAGCATTCTCGTAGATGGATATCAAAAGAGTGTCAAATCGGTCAAGTCACTAGCCTTCGCATACTGAAATGTCAGCCTGGGTGATAGCAGCAATGACACGGTACATGCACTTACTTTGGCGAGCCATGGCCTCCCAGACCTCGATCTGAGCCGTCATCTCCTCGTTGACACTCATGTTGAGCTCTTCGTTAGCGCGGCTAGTAGCAACCACGCTTGGGGGAGGGAAGCCAATGATAGCGTCGTTGAAGCTAGTCCCCGGGCGATAGGCAGACTCAAACGCACCAGGGCCAATCTCATCTTGTATATTCAAAGACACAGCCTCAAAGTCGTTGCGGTGCTTATTCAGCAAGGCATAGGAGCTTCCCTGCGTCTCCTCGACGATCTGGACGATGTACTCATACATCCGACCGCGAAGAGGTTTCTTGCCTTGAGCGCGTTAGTACAAGTGCTGGAGCGCAGCTTGAGCCGCGAGCGAGGTAACTATACTTGGGTCATCGATGATCCTGTCGATTGTGATATCGGTGATATGCTTGAAGATACTTCGAGCGCAATTGATAGATGTATCTTTGCCCTTGGCAAGCAGTACGATGATATCGGCCTTTTGTTGGAGTTGGGCTTGGAAGCCGGACTGTGGAGGTGGAGTCCACGCCAAGCCTGCCCACTGAGGGTCGAGGCCACCGGCGACGGGTGGGCTAGGTGTACTCGCGACGTTGTCGATGCTGTGGATAAGCGTGCGGCCCCTTGAAGCAGAGCCTTGTGTTGGTGAGGATGCCAACGAGTGCTTTCCATCGTGGTGCGAAGGTTGCTTGAGACATCTTAGAATGTGGGCGAAGATCTACTGCAGTATATACATAATTAGTGATATGATGATGTCTTTGAAGATACTAGATGAAGCTTACAATAATGAAGACTGAGAATCTATTCCCAAGGTTTGCTGCGTACGGTTGTTCTTGGAGGATATGCTTTGTGGTCCGGGGCTGGACACTTTGATGGAGTGGAGGGATTGTTTTCTCGTTGTGCTTGATCTTTGCACTACTGCAAATATATTGAAAGTCTTTATACTCACTCGAAGCCCGTGTTCGTGTCTGCGCTAGTACGGGTCAGGCTAAACGCCATCGATGAATGTTGAGGATGCGCACGTCGAGTCGAGGCTATTGTCGTGTTCTGTGAGCTCTTACGGCCCGGGGATGGTCGTCGATTTCACGTCTTACATGTTTTGCGAGGTGAATGGATCGATTTACAACACCGTAACTTGTTCTTCGACCAAACACAGCGCCGTTAATATTCGACGAAGAGGTGAAGCACGCTTTCCTACTTCTCTGACGACCTGCCACAGTCAAAGTGATATCAGAATTGCACAGCCAACAAGTGCCAAGGGGTAATTACCGGCATCAACTTACACCAGGACGAACATATATCGACAAACATGGCTGCGATCCATGTCTTCGATGATCTCTTTCTCGCCTCGCTGAATAGTGCATTATCCAGGGCGGACGTCAAGACAGCTGGAGTACCGGCAAAAGTCGAGGCATCCATCCGTAAAGTTCTCGATGTGCGCATCTCTTCCGCCGGCGCACATATCAGTCCACTTAAGAGAGAGAGTGCCCTTGAGCTTCTACGTTCGCTGGTGAAGTCCTGGCGTACACTGCTACCAGAGAATGGCTGTCCAACTGATAAGCTGAGCTTGAGCTACACTGCCGTCTGTGCTTCCAACCGGATCACTTGGCACGTGGTGCAGGATGGGAACGACTTACTCGCTTGCTTGACGGGTCCGCTGAAGGCTGAGAATGGGCTTGTTGTCCCAAAACTCGTCGTGGAAGACATCATCATAGCAGCCTGCAGGATGTACCTTATCTTACATCACGCGACCCCTGAGATCGTCGAGGTCGATGAGTCTCAGCAACGGATGCAAGCCGTGAAGCTGACGCCGACTTTATTTGACGAAAATGCCTCGATTTCCAAGTCAGTCAAGCTCCATCAGCTAGGAGATCCGGGATACCTGCCAGCCTATCCGACGTTCAGGGCACCTACGACGATACGACTTAGAAAGCTGCCCAAGGACGGAGTTACTTCAAGCAGTACTCCGCAGCCGGTAGCCATTTCCCCGTCTCCGCCCAAGATCGTCATGGTGGAGGATACAAAAGAAAGCAAGACATCTAACACTCCGTCGAAAGACACTGGCAAAGGCAATTCGACCCATGCTACGGCTGTACCCTGGCTCGAAGACGAGCTCGAGTTCGCCATAACTTTGCTGATCGTGTTCCGTTCAACATCATGGGGTCAGCTCACCGACACACTCAACGAGCATTTCCGCAAGCGCCCTGGTCTCTTAGGTGGTAAGGTGATCCAGCGAGGGAACCGAACCAGGGACAGTGTCCGTCAAAATCATGCCATCAAGTACGTGCACAGCCAGCTTGCACGTCTAGATGAACAGAGCAACCCGCAGAATCCGGCAATCGATATCGATTGGGCTGCAGAATACCAGCGAATGCATGCGGCTGAAAGTTCTGAGGTCGAGTCGAGTAGCGGCGAGGAGGAGGTGAAGCCGAAAGTCAAAGAAAGTGGATGGCTCGCTATCAATTCTTCTAAGAAAATTGACGATGATCAAGACACACTGGAGAATGGGGGCGACCACGATTCAAGCGGCGGAGATCATGATGCTTTGGGCGATATTGATGAGATGATGCGGCGCGATGGCCTCGGCGAACTTGAGCTAACCGAAGATGACTTCATTGCTTGATTCTGTCTGTCACACCCGTGGGTTGGAGATAGCAATTGTTCAGAGCAAAGTAGAGGAGTATTGTGGTGGGAAAGATAAGATAGCGAATGAATGGCGAGTAAAGCTCGAAGAAAGCGGTCTGTGCAAAGCTGTTTCCGGCGGAGGCGCGTCATCGAGTCTAGATAATCAAACAAAGGACCATTGTGTTGATGACACTATAGTGGACAATTACTGCTCTAACTTTATCGAGACACGAGGACTCGTACGGCACGTTGCTGGTCAGCGGCGTTGTATGATACTCGGAACAGGAACAGGGTCCACCTGTATTTCGCCATTCGGAGCTCAACAGCAGACCGTTTCATTTTCATGACGAAAAATGCATCAAAAGCAGTATCTTCATCAAACCAATACAGCAATGCCCCTCCCTGAGCAGTACCTCCTGGTGTTCTCGACCAGTCTCGCCGCAGCGCACTGGTCCCCGTCACTCAGAGGCGATGAAAGATTGTTTGACACATCGCATCTGGTGCTTATGTGCCTCAATCCTCAGCATTCGTGCTCCCTTCCTCCATCAGGCAGTGGCCAGTAACCACTCTGATCTCGATATCACGGTCAACGATAATCCACGAACAGCAGAGACGTGAAATCGGGCGTCTTACTGCCCGGCTCAGTGAGCGGACTGTAGGGTGGCGCTAGAAGGGACTCCCCACCCCAACGACCGGCGGCCTCTAGAGTGTGACTGGAGTGAATGCTAGTGCCAACACGCTCTGTGGTGAGAGTCTTGGGCGCGGCGGGAGCCAAGGTCTTCTCGCGATCGACAGCTGAGGTATGACCAGAGTCGCCGGAGACATTTGCGTGATCGATCGGGCTCGCTACCTGAGAAATTATGGCTGCATCGACCTTCGGTCCTCCGGCGGACATAAAGGCTGGTGCTTTGAGGGGCGCGCTCGAGGCCTTTGCTGCCGGTTCCTTAGCGGCGGCTGCAGGACCAACAGCCTGGCGCTTTGCCACGAGCAGATCTCCTCCATTGTGTTCATCATCAATCTCATCCGCTTTCCGCTTGGTTTTGCTATTCGATGGGCTTGCTGTAGCTGTACTGGTTGCCGTAAAAGTGCTGGCTATCTGACCGACCCCAGCGTTCACCACCGTTGGGGGCCGAACAGGTGGTCTCGTACGAGGCACGAGCCTGCTGCGCAGATTGCTACCAATCCCAGTCCCCGGCTTACGTCTCGAAGCCTGCACCGGCTGGCCTCCATCGCCGTTCTTAGTCGAATCCTGATCGTCGACGCCTTGCAACTGATATGGGAGAGGCTTCCAACCCGATACCGCTGGGCACAGTGGATCGTTCACCCATTCGTCAAACGAGACGTTGGACTCCTTGCGATCCCATTCGCCAAGATAGAGCGATGTGACCAAAAGATCAACGTACTCGGCCAAGTCCTTCCCACTCGTGCTCTTCATGTTCTTCGACAATGGTCCACGTCCTGTCTTCGACAACGCCAGCTTGATCCGCTCTTCCAATCCATGACCTTCCTCTCCGATCTCCAGAAGCAGCTTCTTAACGTTTTCCTCGTCAAAATTCACCCTTCGTGTCTGCAGGTCAGTACGCGATCGGAGGGAGTGGAGTTGCAATGCAGCGCTCATGCCTTCATGGTGTGGCTTGCCTCGCACCGGAGGAGGTTGCGAAGGGAGTCCGTCACGGATGGCGCGCTCGATCGCGGTGTGTACCGTTCGCGTGACATTCCTGAAACGTGCGGCGATGGTGTGAGCAAAGGTAGCCATGTTATCGTAAGGGGTGAACGCGGATCGACGTAGAGACTCTCAGTTTCGTGCTTCAGTTGACGTCGTGGTAGGGTTTCAATTTTGGTCACTGGAGCTCGACTGCTCGATCGACGATTAAGGATGTCTCCACCTGTCGACTGCCTGCCTCAAGCAGCGAGTACTGTGTCTCGCACCAGTCTTGCGTGTCACTTTCGGCAGATGACCACCGAACACTGAACAACAGACTCAGCCACTAGCGTAAGCTCGGACTAAAGCGGGATCCGACAAGAGTAGGCACGACATTCTTGAAACGCTCGAGGTTACATAAGCACAACAACGAGACATACAACCATCTTGACCTCACTTTGAATCCGACCCAGCACTTCAGATCGTTATGGCAGGCAAAAAAGTCAAGGAACAAGGCTGCAAAAACGGCAAAAGTGAGTCTGGTGATGTATAACCCGATTTTTGCGACATCGCTAACCGCGCCTCAGCAGAACACACAGGTCTCTACGAGCGACACAGCGTCCCAGGCTATCTCGACGACAGCGGAAGACCCAGCCGAGTTTACTGCTCAAGAGCTTGCCGATGGCGAACTTCTCTTGCAAGCGATTATAGCCGCAGAATCCGACAACGAGAAGCCTGAAAGTGGAGGGTCTGAGGACAAGGATATCGTTTACGACATGCCATATATCCTCGCTCACATGGATCAGAAATTTCACCACATCGGCGACGGTCGGTACAAGCGCGGTCCCAAGCCGAGGCAGGACGGTGAGGGAAGGAAGGACAAGGAGGCGGGGACCGCAGGCGGTAGCAGGGGGTGAGGCTCAAGAATTGTCGAGGTTCCGAGCTGCAAAGGTGTCTGGTCAAGGGCTAGCTATATGGAAACGAGCGACACTATGAGCGATGAGGCTTGAGCATTGGATGAGACTGCTATGAAAAGTCCACCGCTTTCTTTGGGGCTCTCGGTAACAATAGTTCTCCAATGACCAGTCGGGAGAGACATTGATGTCAAGACGAAGAATGCAGCGACCTTTTCAATCGTTCGATCGATCGTCCACGATTAGGTCACTATAGACTGCCTCTCGGTTGTTGTCCTCGGTTATACTACCTGCTAGACACATGAGCGACATCAGGATCTAGAACGCCAACTAGATGACACATGTTTCCTTCGCGGCACCCACTGATACATTGTTCGGCATGACTGTTGGCAAGCGAGCCCATCGCGGAATAACGGTCAGTGACTGTGATGCCCCTGCTTTTTGTAGTTTTCAGGGGCATCAAGGACAAGCTAGGATGAATGAAACCGGCTAACGCACATCTTGCTCCAACAACAATCACACGTACACACAGCATTATGACACTGACAAGATGAAGTTGATCCCACAGTACGAAGTCTTCTTATGTTGATACCACAAGCTGCGCGCCCTAAGCGTAAGCTCGACGCTACCCTAGACAGTTGATTACCATGATGTTGATGACGCTATGACTCGTTCTAGACAGATTGGTTTCGGGCCGCACAGCATCATGACATGATACCCAGATGCTGATGGAGACAAGCTCGATGTGGCCAACACTCTCAGCGAGCCGGGTGCTAGACTCGAATCTGCCGCTCGCCTCAAGTCTGCCAACCTGCCGTATCATGGCTTCGTTTGCCGTGCTCCACGAGAATGTCAGCCTTGGTACGCTTCGCCGCCGGCTCTGGCATATCTTCTTCCTTCTCAGCATCACCTTGGGCTTCGTCATCAGCAGCAGCATCGTTCTCCTCGGCTGTACGTCGCTTGCGCTTTGTCGAGACTGGACTGGTGCTGTGGATCCTCAAATCGATCTGATTCATGTCGATGCCACTATCGCTGCTTTTACCAGCCTTATCTGCTGATGTAGCTACATCAAGACTGTCGATCAGAGCTTTTGCTGTTTCGGAAATGTCGTCCGCTATAGCTTCGCCCACAACGTCTCTCATTTCCTGGTGCGTCTTCTTGTCCTTCTTGATGAGCTGATTCATATGCTGTTCCATCGCGCACCATTGCCTGATGGTCCGCTTCTTCGTGTTCTTGGCAGACCAGCCATTGAAGGCGATCTCGCGCATGGGAACCGTGACAGCTCTCTTACGATTCGTTGCCTTTCCATTCGTGTCCCAGAAAAGCTCCCAGCACATCAGCTCCTCCGTCGGCTCCCACTTGTCACCTGAGCTCTTCAGACCAGTTGACTTTCTCTCCTTGGCGGAACTATCACCTTCGATCGAGCTCCTGTCCTTGAAGGATCTTCTGCTGCCGATTTGACTGTCCTCTGTCAGCTGGGCGCCGCCAGAAGTCGGTTTTGGCACACGCTGGATTTCGCTAATCTGCCGAGTCATCTCCAGAATGACAGTCTTGAGACCTTTGTCCATCATAGCGAGCTCTGTCTTGGTCTCGTCGGTGACGTAGTGACGAGAAAAACCGCTCTCACTGTCCTCACCGAAGTTGCACTCGTACCAGAAGGTCTCGATGACAGTCTCGCCGATGATTGTGCGGAGCTCGTCGAAGCATGTGTACTCCTGGTACTCGTCGTCGTCACCCTCCTGATTGATTGCTGCCCGTGTGGACTTGACAAGCCCTGTCTTGCGCGGTGGATTGGCCTTGTTGATGTACTCGATGAGACGAACCGAGATACGCTTTAAAGTCTGCCGCATGACGCGCCGTGCGACGATGTTGGCTTCCTCGCTTGATGGCATCATGGGATGCCTCAAGATGTCGTAGAGACGTTCGGCAATATCGAATGCTACCTCCTCAGGGTCGTCGCCGTCGTGAGCCTCAGACGTAAGTGTACGGCGTTCTTCCGCAATATTCGATGCACTCAAATCCACCGACAAGATGGTGTCGGGGTCGTCTACATCTTCCTCCGCGTCCCCTGCAACGGTATCATCATTCCCAGCGTCTGAATCTTCTCTCACAGTCTGTGCAGCATCTACGACTGCGGCCACATTCTCCTGCGGTCTAACAACAGCAGCAGTCTCGGATGCGACAGGCGCAGAGTCTTGCATACCGTGGCGATCAGTGGTGGCTGCAGCTGTAGTCTCTGTGGTCTCACGACGCGACTCGACTTCTTGGTAGCGCGCCATTTGGTATCGATACACGATATCTGTGCCTGTGTCGAACTCCGCCATGTATGATGATCGGATAGTGATGTTGTTGTGGATGTGGGGAATTTATATGTACGTTGGATATAGAAGCATTTGATTGATGTTCTGTTTTCGTGTGGGCAATGGAGCGTATGGTTCAAAGTGGATGCGGAGACGAGCTAATAAAGTCTATCTCAGAAAAGCAGGAACGATGTACTAGCGCGTTTCTGACAGACATGCATGTTTCAAGCGAGACATTCACAAACGAGATCAAGTAACTCTTTGAAGATTTCTAGACGTACATGACTAGTACGAGTCACTATCAGGGTATTGTGTCTCAGTTGCTCTTGTATCAGAGCAAGCAAACCACCAAAATTTGATGGCTAGTGCACTGTCACTGTCGAGAAGACCAAGACGATGACGATGACAACAACGCATTGACTTCTCTGTTCAGCCTGCCCCTTTGCTCGATAGCAACGCAGCCGCACCTGCAGCACATCACCTTGAGTAGTCGTTGGTAATGCTGTCTGTAATTGTAGCCTCTATCGCCATATGTTTCACTCGATGTATGACCTCGCACGTTGTCGACGACCATCTTGAACGATCCCTGCCTTCAAGTCTCTCTCGAAGTGATGGCTTATATTTTCCACAAGCCATCTATTTAACGCCCTTCAGCCTCTTTTTCGACACAAAGCACTAAATCTCATCGCTCGATTCTGATCTCGCCGTCCCTAGACGGTCTGTGAAAGACATAGATCAGACCTTGCTTCCCGCGCGGTGCACCACTATCTGCTGCGTCACCTCCATGAGCAGCTCGAGTATCTCGAGACTGCCACATCTTCCTCTTCAGCTTAAGGATTGGTGTCGTCATCGGCACTGCATTGGAAGGCTTCTCAAGGGTACTCCCTACTGCTGCGTCGCCTACCTTACCAGAGATTGAGGCGTCGTCGCTGGAAGTCTCGACTGTAGCCTCACTTTTGAATCCTGCCTTTTTGTCGTCCTTGCATGGGTGCTTGGGTGCTGGAACATAGTGTCGAAATCTGAACTCCGTTTCTGTTTTCTTCTCCTGATTCAGCTTTACCTTGTCCTCCTTGAAGTACGGTGAGCGTAAAACTAGAAGCTGCCTGTACTGATCCCGGATCGCCACCTGCCAGGCTTCAACCTGGACGCAGAGTCGCTCGCGACCACGCGCGTCCTCTTTCTCAAGAGCTTGCTCAACAATCTCGTCCACACATTCAGATCCAATGCGGATCTGGTTGACCAGGTCCTCGAAATGTTCGCCACCCTCAAACTGCTCCGACCCTTCACGCTTTGTGCTGGAGGCTCCGACAAGATCGAGAAGCGTGATAGCAGTTAGGTACATGATGTCCTCGTGATCTTCTTTGTGTGATGGATCGCAACGGAAGAGAAAGTCGACGACAAAGGCATCTTTGTCTAGGATCGAGTGCTGTTGGAGCTTGCTGATCGACTGGACAATAAGAGCCATAGCAAATTGCACCTTGAAGCCATCACTGATGAGATCCTCCTTTCCGATGAGGACATCAGACAGAGCTGTCTCAATCCGGTAGCCGATGGAATTGTCGTCGCGTCCAGGATCTGAAGTCGTGCCGTTGTCCACAAGTGCGTCGAGACTACGTGCAGCTTCGCCATCCTCGCTGCCGGCGTCTCCAGCATCATCTGCAGAAGTAAGTCTCATTGTCGGACCGACTACATTGACATCGCTACTACCGGCCACCATATTGTCGTCGACTGAGCTTGATGCAGTGCTGTAAGGCATTTTCATTGTGCGCTCAACCGTTGAATCGATTCCTCTGCCCCAACCCGTCAGCGTTCGAAATTTGGACGCCTGCTCACTGTCGGCAATTGCGTCTTGAGACCACAGGTGCCCGCAACCACCTTCTCGTTGTGCTCGTAGCCAGCTCCCAGATGCAAGAGAACATTAGAGATGCCTGAATATCTGTGGTCGATGTTCTACCTTTACTAGGCCTCGAAACTGTGGAGCGGGCAGACTTGGCTTTCGTGCCTTCCTTGTCGAGCGGATGGCAAATCTTGTTGATCACGAGCTCATTGCCAGGACAACACAGGGACGATGAGGTCTAATTACCAAGCCAAACTTCAGAGAATTCATGGAGTGACCTTTGCAAGCGGGTCTTGTGACTTGCAGTTAGAGAGAGGAGGGTCATGATAGGTAGAGTGAATTCAGTTGGCGTCAGGACAAAGCACAGGATCAGGAGAGTTTCTTGGGCAAGTTTCAACGTGGAGTATACACCCTCAACCTAATACTACGACTATCAAGGGCATACTACGAGTCCGCACGAATCAGACGGTGGCGCCGGACTATACCAACGGCCAACAAGGATCTGTATCATTGATAAGGATCGAGTTGATGTCAGTGCTGTTTCGACTTTGCCTACCTTCAGGATCATAAGCAGGACCAACATCATAGCTGGAGTCTCCCATCATTCCATCATCATCCGTGACCTCTCCTCTTTCTCCAAATCCTCCCGCACCTCCTTCTTCCTCTCCTCCTTCCTCAGCGCCTTGACCTCGCTATCCCCTCTTTCATCAACGCCGGACTCCAGATGCCTGCCCAGCTCCACCTTGTTTGACCCAGAGGACGTACTGCCTCTGTTGCCCCTCGCGTTCAGCCTGGTCGAATCGCTTATTGCGATCTTCAGCCTCCGCCTCGTAATCCTTGATGATCAGTGCGATGAAAGCCAGAGTATTACAAGACTTCAACTGCTCGCGTACGGAGCCCGATATATCCCTCCTAGCAAAAATAGCTCTGAGCACACCACCCGCTACCACGGCACCGGCGCCAGATTTGTCCTTGGCTGGGTTGTCGTTGATTCGCTCAAGAGTACGAGGAAGGATCCTGTCGTCGAACTCTGCATCGTTGAGATGATCGCGCTGTGTGTATACATTAGCTGGTGAGCACTAGAGTCAGATGTGAAGGTCCACTTACAGTTTGTCACCTCGGGTCAACGTAAGTGCTGCTCTCAAGACTCTGCTCGTAGTCAAGATCTTACTTCGCCATCATCAACGCGGTGAGGCTGTTTACCATATCAGTCGCAACCTTATAAGCTGGCTATACTATTGTCATGTTTGATATACCGAGTCTAGCGAATACTCGGTCGATGCCGTTCCTGACGATGAATGTGGAGTTGGCTGCATCCTCCAACGCAGCGTCAGGGAAGGCGATAGCGATCAGACGCGTTTGTCGCTTGGTCAGTGTGGTCGCCATGGTATATAGTGGTAGTCTATCCAGTAATGATGTGTATAAAGACGTATTTGCAGCTGTAGCGTGCCAAATGTATTGTTGATTGATGTGGAAAGGAAAGTCTTGGCGTTGCGAAGCGGAGAGGTGTCGCACGAGTCAGTCGTGGTACATACATGATTGTAGGAGGGCGACTTGTCGGCGTATGTCGGTGCAAGCCACTCGCAGTTCATGTCGAGCACAGTACTATTCGATTTTATACCACACGCGGCGGACATATACAGTTTCCCACCATGCTTTCTGCGTAAGACGGCCGTCGCGTACTCAAAAAAGCATTTCAGACCATCGACAAGTCAACAGAGATGTCAGAAAACCCTTCAACGCATGTCTCGACCACTTGAAGCACAATTATGGGTAGATGTTTCAACATCAGTTGACTAACAAAGGCCCAATTTGCCGAGGACGACGCCAAACAGGGACACACCACAAAGACATAAAGAAAGTACTCCCAGGAGCCGATATGCGAGGCAGCCAGATCCGAGAGGACATGATAGTCCCTCGGGCGGCATGAGCAGTCAGAGAGTACAACAATGCAATGTGCAAGATGCCGTGTCGTGGTCGTGCGATCAAACACCGGAAGGATGGCAAAGTCTCGCACATCAAAGACACTCGCCCGTACATCTCAGCTACATGACCAGCACCAACCCCGAGCGGCGTATTCGTCCCCGAAAGCACTCGAATTCTTGGCATAGCAATGCAATTCTCTGCTCCCGAACATTATCTATACGCTGGCACATAGTATGCTTCCTACGACGATCAGCAGACTAAATCTGCCAGAGCATGCCGCCATACTAGCATTCTGAGAAGGAGCAGGCAGGCATCAAGGACTCTACCAAAATTGAATTCAATGCTTGGCCAAACAGATGCAGACATGATCGCGGGCTCGGTGCTCATCGCGGCAACATGCTTGGAACGAGGTATCACTCCTCCGCGAATCTGGATCAGTGATCATCAGACATACCATAAGCCTCGGGATCATGCTCAGTCTATGTGGGCATGAAGCACACCACCACGAAGTCATCATCCGAAGCATGGCCTGCTTGAAAAGCATGAGTGATCATCGCGGGTCCTGAAGCTCATCGCGGCCTGAAGTATACGGGGTGGCGAAAAGCACGCGCTGGAAAGCCGGGTCTATTAACCAGCAAACTCGAGATCATCGTTCGTAGTTGGCGCTTTGCTTCGTCTGGGAGAGACGTACACGGCTACAAGCGATCAAGCAAAAAACGGAAAAAACCAAGAGAGATAGAGGATCTACGGGCATGCCAACTGCGCACGGCATTTCTGGACGTTGGGCAGGCTACCAGCGGGCACATCCTGTGCTCACCGCGAGCACTGGACTGCTAGCGATCTGAGCCGTGTCCAAAGGACGGACATGGATGGCTGGAAAAGATGTGACTATGCGGGCACGCTCTATGCTCGCCGTATATCTGGCGACCGGCATGCTGCGATGGCTTGGCATGGTTTGATCGGGGGAGGAAGAAACGGGCTGAATGTATGCGGGCATGTTGAATACTCGCCGCAATGATCCACCCCAATGTGTGCATCCGATTAGTCTTACCAATCCTGACCAGATATCGACCGTTCAGTTGGAGGTGGTGCTGCTGTCGAGACTCAGTAGTGACAGCCTCCGCCACTTCATTCATAGAAGACCAAGTGAGGACATCCAGGATCTCCAACAACGCCAGGTCCTTGCAAAACTTCCAGTAAAACCGGTGAGCCGAACGAATGGGCCATAGTGCTCTCCATCCGCGAGACCCCGATGACACCGAAACGGATGAGCGGCTGGTTCCAGTCCCATGGAAAGGATGAGTGGGCGTCAAGCTCTTCACTATCAATCCTGATGGGACGGCGGAGTCAAAGCTGCTCCAAGGTCTACAAGATGATCAGCGAGTAAGGAGCGCTCTGCTTCCTCTCGCGTCCATTCGGATTGACGCAGGCCAGCCAATCTTGCCATACCAGCCGATGCGTCCAGCACTGCTCAATCTTCATCGAGGAGATATGCGGGCACAAGAGCTCTCCGCTGCCTGCATCTCGGTTCTTTAGTGTCCGTCGAGGACGGATGGGGCGGAAGCCCTGGCCATCATCAGCTGAGACAGATCACGAACAGACGGAGCAGAAGCTCACGCGCTCAGCTCATCTCAACGCCAAAGTAGCGGAGCGCTAGCGCGGCCGTCATGGCACTGCGCGGATCTCGCGGAGACGTTGCGGCTTCTCGCTCATCGCCGGCACATGCTCCATCGCGGCAGTGAGCCATCAGTATAGCGGTAGTGAGTGGGCGGTAATGCTCGCCGCGCTCTGAAGTGACGGTCTCGGTGAGAGGGTAGAGGTGATGAGGGGAAGGGGAGTTTGTTTGCCTTGCCCTGCTCAGTGCGGAGACCTTGCCACCTCCCTCGACTCTGACGGAAGGGACTAGATAGGTGGAGCGAGATGTTATGAGAAGCAGAAGAAAGGCCAAGACAGGCTGGAAAGTCAGGGCCCGTGAGCGACCGATGGAATCAGGTAGATGATGACGTCCGATGCTATCGCTATGCATGCTGTGCGTGGACAGCATGCGATGATGGGGAAGAATAATGATGATGCTGTGTCGTATGATAGAGATGCAGTCGACTTTCACTTCACTCCACTTCAACTCTACTTCAACTCCACTCCACGCTCCTGCCCGCTCGGAAGCAGAAACGCCGAACATGGAAAGCGCGAACGCCGCTTGTTTGACGGACCAACCCGGCACTAAGATCGCGTCCTCCACGATCGCGTCTTCCCAAGCGTCAGAGGATCACGAAAGTACAGTAGCATTGAGCATTGAACATTGTACAGCTCCACCTACTAATAACTCCAACATCCCGATGTACACACAATAATATGCATGTGCACTCCCGACTACCTACACCCCGAGAATGTACCTCCCACGCGCCCAGATCGCCCAGCTCTACACTCATCTTCTACGCAGCATCCACCCTTCCTCACCTCCGCTGCTAGTCCTCACAGCCTTGAGTGTAGACGCCCTCTGCGGCGTGCGTATACTCACAGCACTTCTCAAGCGAGACTTCATTCCGCATAAAGTGCAGCCGGTAGGCGGCTACTCGGATCTCCAACGCGTGGGTGAGGAACAGGTGCAAAGGTTGAGGAGAGACAATGGCGGTGAGGGAGGTGTTGTAGTATGTGTAGGCTGTGGGGGTGGAGTGGATTTAGCTGAGATGCTCGGGCTGGGTGGAGAGGATGGAGTCGAGGTTTGGGTGGTGGATTCGCATCGAGGGTGGAACTTGGAGAATGTTTTTTCCGTTCCTTCCAATAGTGATGGCGGAGAGGATCTGCGGAGAGTCGGTGTAAAGGAAGGACGCGTTTTGGAAGGTTATAGATCGGGCAAGGGCGGCGTTATTGTGTGGGACGAGGGTGATGTTGAAACCGATCTCAGTACTGAGAAGGAAGCATGGTTTGCTTTGCAGAGTATGCCTGAGATTACAGAGGATGATCTGTTGGCTATGGAGAACGGTGGCGATGCGGAGGAGAATGACGAGCAAGCAGAAGCGGGCGACGAAGATGAAGGACTCTCAAGCAGCCAGACACGAAAGCGAAAAGCATCTTCCCAAGACTCTGACGCCGGAAGTGAAGCAGGAAGCGACGATGACCGACCACGCCAACGTCGAAGAAGCAATAGCAGTACACCCATCCCATCATCCCAGCCGACCTCAGCACAACCAACATTTCCCATCGAAGCCATCCCCTCCTCGCCACCCAAGCAACCATCCCAACGTCATCTCCGCCGGCAGCTTCTGAAACTCCGCCGAAAACACGAAACCACGATAGAGAGATACTATGACCAAGGAACCTGGACCGGCGAGCCCGTAAGCAGTATCTTCTACTCCCTCGCCTCTGAATTAGGCAGGGAAGACAACGAACTCCTCTGGCTCGCTATCGTGGGTGTGGAGAGTGTGGAGATGAGTCCCTACACCACGACTGGACCTAGTGCTGGAAGTGGCAGAAGGACACTAAGCAGAATGGAGCAGATCAAATCCGTGCTCCGAGACGAAGTACGCCGTCTCAATCCCGTCCCCGAGACTGATCTGCGCCGAAGTCAGCACGTGGGTGAAGGTGACATTCCTACCTCTGCTAGAAGTCCAACGGATACTTCAATCCGCCTGTCACCCGAACCTCGTTTCCTACTCATCCGCCACTGGAGTCTCTACGACAGCATGCTCCATTCACCCTACCTCTCCACCCGACTACATGTCTGGAACGAGCAGGGTCGAAAACGCCTCAACAAGCTTCTGGCGAAGATGGGCATCAGTCTCGCGGAAGCCGGAAAAGGCTACTTGCATCTTGACGTGGAGGTCAAACGAAGCTTAAGGTCGAAAGTTCTGAAGTTCGCCGAACAGTATAACCTCGAAGGTCTGGTCCCAGCTAATGACTCAGGTGGTGTTGGGTGGGAGGGGCGAAGAGGATGGGGGTTTGTGCGAAGTTGGGGGTGGAGAGGCACGCTCAGTGCGGTGGATGTCGCGATCGTGGTGGGAGCTATCCTTGAAGTCGGCACGTCTGCAGATGCGAGTGGACAGACGTTGAATCTAGGACATCGCGACAGCGGCGCTCCAGACCAGAGCTACAGTCGCCGTGCCGCGCATCTACCTTCGCCGCCGCACTCCTCAGACTCTGGCATGGCTGACTCAGACACCATCGACTCACGAAACGCGAGTGGCCACGATATTCCCGACTGGACGACCCGCCGCTTCTTCGCCGCTTACGACGCTCTGTCACCTACCACCACAACCTCAAACAATATAAACCACACGCCGCAGGGCCTACCAGCTTTGCTGCACCAGATCCCTCTCGCACAAAGCCTGGCCAGGGCTATCCTCCGCACAGGCAGCGCCCTGATTGCCAAGAAACAGATCCGACACCTTCGCTCCTTCCGCCTCGGCGTGGTAAAGGAAGGCCCAGACGTCTCCACTTTCACTCACCCAGGTGCGCTGGTCAAACTCGCTGCGTGGGTCTCTGAAGCCGTGGCCGTGCTGGAAGCAGAAAAGGGCGTGAAAGCGAAACCGGCTGAACAGGCGCTGGTACTAGGTGCCTTGGATGAAGGGAGGGGGGTTTATATCGTTGTGGGCTTAGGGGGAGGGGTAGGGGGCGTGGGTGGCAAGGGTTTCAGGACGAAAGCTGAGCAGAGGGCTAGGGAGGAGGGGAAAGTCAGGAAGGCGGAGGAAAGGAAGCGGAAAGGGGTGAGGAAGGCTGAAGTAAGGGAGGAGCGGAGGAGGTTGAGGAGGGAGAGGGACGAAGCGAATGGTCTACTGAATTCTGATGACGAGGACGAGGAGCATGAAGCGCAGGATACCGAGTCTGAAGCCTCGTCCTCTGGTTCTGACACCGGTAACGACTCCGACACGGACTCGGACTCAGCATCCGACAACGAAGACCCCCAGCAAATTTCCGCCAAGCGAAAACGAGGCGGCAGGAACAAATTCGGTCAAGCTTTTCAGTCGGTTATTGCGGAGACTGGGGCCAGGGTCAGGATAGATAGTTTTGAGCACTGTGTTGTTGAGGTGCGGAAGGAAGATTTGTCGGGGTTTTTGGAGGGGTTGAGTTTGAAGGGTGTGGTGGGTTAAGGGAGAGAGGGACATGACCTTCGCCGTCACGCAGTGCGGTGTGAAGATGAGCCGCACGTCGGAGGCGATGGCTGAGATATGGCTAATGCAATGGATATGGCTAAGCACAGCAATGGCGTTGGGGCCTGGCAAGAAGTGTTAGTTTGGATATTTAGAAGGATAACGTTCGCAATGCTTGTACAGTCCGTCCAAATCCATCCATCCTTGCTCACTTCGCCTACTACAGCAGACCCTGTACTACCCACTTCAGGCCGCCTGCTACACACATCCCGATCCAGCTATTAAGCAACCAGAATAGGTCACATTGTCAAGTGAGAACATTGAGACTTCTTTCACTGAGGCATGATGCTTTGTTCCCTGACAAAGCCGGCCAGTAACTATGGACTTGTTCGCGGACTGTGTATACTACCCCTACGAAGCCCACCAGTCAAGCAAACTCCTTCATCAAACCAGAACATACTGCATCAAGACTACCGACACCAATTCCCACACCAAAACCAAGATCCCACATCAAAATATGTACACCCCCGTCACCCTCCTAACCCTCGCAACCCTCACCCTCTCCGCCTCCCTCCCAAACTCCACCACCTTCCTCTCCCCCCGCCACGCCCCACGCGGCACAGTAACCTACTGCTCCTCCCCCACCATCTGCGGCACCATCAAAATCACCGATGACGCCTGCCACACTTTCGGCGCCGGGGTGTCGTACACCCAACTCACCGTCTCCGCGGGCCTGCAATGCCACCTCTTCGTCTATCAGAATTGCGATACGGATTTTGCGGGTACGAGTCGCAAGGGCCATTTGCCGCATGTTAGGGGTAGTATTGATACGGCGACTGATGCGAGGGCGAAGAAGGCGGGGGTGGGGAATGTGGGGAGTTTTTTTTGTATGAATGGTTAGGAAAGGGTAGTTTTGGGGATGGGGTGTGGAAGTGGATGGGGATGGGGATGGATATGTATTTGGGGAGAGTGGCGGCGGATGGACGAGCTGGACTTGTCTTTGTTGGGGCTGCTTGGTGCTGGTACTGGATATGTATCACGTCGAATTGATGATGTTTCTGTGTCTGCTGTCATCGTAAGTCCGCCATCCATTCCCGGCGATACCTTATTTGACTAGTCGATGACGTCTTACCTTCTGGGCTCGCCTCACAGCCAGGTCAACCTGTATCGTTCGAGCTGTGTTGACCCAAGCCAACCTAGAACTCAGCTCTGCCGCTTGAGTCGAGACGGCGTCAACAATCATGATAACTCGCGACAGCAGGATCCGTGCTTGAACCCAGGCTGCCGAAGACTACTAGTATGCTTGTCTCGATTCGTGTAGGTACGACGAAGAGTGGTGTGGTTGCAGCCAAGAGGTGTCGTCGGCAGAGCGGTTCGACCCGTCGATTTCGTCGGCTCAGCTGATCTCAAATCGGCAATGTTGACGATGTTGAAGGCTACTGTTGATGGTCTCGGAAATGATGACCGTGTAGTATGGAGAAGCCAAGGCTAAACCATGGCGAAGCGCTCGGGCATTTGAAAGGTACAGTACATAGCTGGAAGTAGGCAGCTAGATATGACCCGAGCCTCGCCTCCAAACAAACATCATCCTCACCAACGCCGGACTAAGCGAGTTTCGGTCTCACAATGCATCAAGTAGACGAGCAAAGCCGCTCAGGCACTTCCCAGCCACAGTCTCGTCCTCGCATTCTGCACATTGGTGGTCCGATCAAGCACAACCCAGAGCTCTACGACCAAATAGCTGAAGAATTCAACCTCATCCGACCTGAGTTGGCAGAACTGGAACGCAATGCTTTCATGCAGAGTCTCAAGGATCGACGATGGGGTGACTTCGACGCCATCATGCGACCTTTCTGGAATACTGGTGGCGAGATGGGTCAATGGGATCGAGAGCTGATTCCGTTATTGCCGAGTAGCGTGAAGGTATTTGCTAGTGCTGGAGCAGGTTACAATTGGGCTGATGTCGAAGTGCTGGCCGAATAGCGACAAAGTCCTGGTCGACGCAACACTGCTGAAGAGACTCAAGAAGGGCTCCAGATTAGTCAACATCGCTCGTGGCGGACTCGTCGACGAGAAAGCGTTGGTCGATGCTCTCGAGAGTGGTCATATTTTCGCAGCAGGTCTGGACGTTCATGCCAATGAACCGCATATTCATCCCAGACTAGCTGGCAACTCGACCTGCGAATGATGCCTCTCATGATGTTGATCTGTAAGCTACCAATACCACCATCATCTGGTTTTAGAACTAATACCGTCCAGACGTCCTGAATTATCTTGATCGTAACAACTTGGCGACTGCACGATTGGGCAGCTTCGAAAAGGACATCGGCCTGCATGGCACACAATACAACACCGTCATCAGTGAGTGAACTGACCTCGGGTCCAACGTCCTTCCAATTTTTAACGTCTCCCAGATCTGTTCTTCGTCGGCTACATCCTTACACAGATTCCAACCAACATGATCTTGGACAAGGTACGGCCTTCACTCTTCTTGCCTGCGGTGATGGTCTGCTGGGCTACTGTCTCAGCTGCCACCGGTGCAGTCCACAGCTACAGCGGAATACTCGCATTACGCTTCATACTCGGGTTCGTTGAGGCTCCGTTTTTTCCCGGAGCATTGTTTTTGTTTTCCTCATGGTACACTAAGAAAGAGCTCGCTGTCCGAATATCGGTCCTATACGCTGCCGGGCAGATGACTGGGGCTTTCGGAGGACTCCTGGGAAGCGCAATCATGTCCGGGATGAACGGCGTGGCAGGACTGCCTGCTTGGCGCTGGCTGTTCATCATTGAAGGTGTGGCGACGGTACCAGTCGCGGTGGCGGCCATGTTCATCCTGCCAGATTACCCGTCGACAACGAAGTGGCTATCCGAGCAAGAGCGCAACCTTGCAATTCTCCGTGTCGCTGAGGAGGCCAATGTCGAGGATCGACATAGCGACACATCTGCGTTCGGAGGACTCAAGATGGCCTTCACCGATCCGATATTGTACATCATCTGGATGATGCAGCTTGGCCTCAACACTGCCGCAGCTTTTACCAATCTCTTCCGACGATGGTCAAAACTCTTGGCTACGGTACAAGCAAGACTCTCTTGTTGTCTGCGCCGCCATATGTCTTCGCCGCCATCTTGGGTATCTGCAACTCCTTTCACTCGGACAAGACTAGAGAGCGGTATTTGCACGTGGTATGGCCGCAAATATTCTGCTCCATAGGTTTCATCATTTCTGCGGTCGCACTCAAAACAGCTGCTCGCTATACCTCGACCTTCATGATGATGAGTATCTACGGATCCTTCGGCTGCATCCTTTCGTGGGTCTCAACTTCTCTACCTCGACCGTCCGCGAAGCGTGCCGGGGCGTATGCTGTGGTCAATGCCGACTCAAACTTTGCTTCGATCTATGCCAGCTACTTCTACCCAGCGGAACAGGGACCAAGATACTGGCAAGCGAATGTCGCCAACGTGGCCTTCTCTATGGCTTGTATTGGAATGGCTTTACTGCTACGATTCGTCCTTCAGCGTTGTAATCGCCTGCTAGATCGAGCTGCTGAGTCTGCTGACCCTACTGAGGCTGAGCAGGTCGCGTCAAAGTGGCAGATCAGCCCCGATTACAGCTACACTCTATGAATCGGAGAATCCTTTGGATTTGGTGAAAAGGACGCGCAAATGACCTGCTGCCGGACAATTAATTCAGTAGCCGCACATAGACTAATGTGCTCAATTTCCATCGCTAGTGATCTCACATACGTGAGTGCTATAGTGATGTGTCAGTCCCACGATGCGTAAAACAACGAGCGAGGAGTAGATGTGCAACTACCATACCCAGCCTATCCACACATCCGGGCGGAGACCCTGCCGAGGTCCGACTTTAAATCGTCTCCAGGCCATACCAATCACAATCTCATCAACACCAGCACAGCAGATGATACCAGGAATTCGCACGATCCTCAAAGTATGGCAGACCAATGTCCAGTCGTGGTCCTGTTCGGCTACGAGGCCAGCCCGTTCACGTGGAAGGTCCGACACGTCCTCCGCATCAAACACATTCCATATACATTCATCACAGTCCCGAGCATGATGCCCAGGCCACTACTCAAGGACACTTTCGGCCTCACATATCGCAAAATACCTGTACTGGTCATTGGCAAAGAACTCTACTGCGATACTGCCATCATCATCGAAGCACTGGAGCATTTCTTTCCAGAGGATGAAGGCTACCAAAGTATATATCCTCGCGCAGCTGATGGACGGAATTACCGATCTATGACCCGAGGCTTTGCTTCATACTGGACGGATCGACCGCTGTTCCGTGCCACGACTGGACTGATTCCGGCGAGTGTGTGGCGAACTTCTTTTGGGGAGGACCGGGCTGGTCTGATAGGACACAAGCTCGATCCTGATAAATTGGAGAAGAAGGTGCCAGAGAACACTTCGAGGCTAGATATGCAGCTGTCGTTACTAGAGCCACTATTTGATCAGAATGACACGCCCTGGATCTTCAGCACAAATGCACCTTCGCTGGCTGATATATCGCTCTACTATCAGCTCTCGTGGGGATTAGGTATCAGCAAAGGGCACTACATTGGCGATTTGACGGCCGGCGGGACGGCCGATACTGATGCCCCGGGTGCGGAGATGGTCTTCAACGGCCAGCGATATCCTGGCATATACGCTTGGTTCAAGACATTTGAACGATATTTTGATAACCTGCCGTCAGTCGAGAACAAAGACCCTGACTTCGGCAAAGTGATCAAGCAGATCAAATCCTCCCGAAGCCTTGGTCGAAAATCGTTGCTGCTTCCGACACCAAGATCGTCACATGCTGAGCTTGACAAGAAATGCGGTCTAGAAGAGGGCGCACTGATCAGCGTGGCGCCTGATGATACTGGTCGCGGAGATCCTTCCGTCGGTACTTTGGTCGCATTATCGCCGGAGGAGATTGTCGTCAAACCAAGACCACTCGAGAACGCTGCAGAGGTCGAGGTGAAGATGCATTTTCCACGGCTGGGCTTTACTATCAGGCGTGTGGACAATGCAAAGCTGTAAGCTCAAGCTAGAGTATCACGACGTGAGATGTGTGCCACAACAGTCGAAGCGCATCCACATCACGTGCTGCAGGGCATCTCTCGCTTGTCGTCTTACTTTTGGTCTGGCTTGTTTGCTCGTCGCCACAATTCTCAACCTGGAAACGGACATCACAACTCCGACCCTACTGATAGCTTTCGCTCTCGCTTCGTGGAACACCACTTGTTCGATAGTTACAGTCTATGCTAATCAATTTTGACACAAGTGTAGCTGTCCGGCACAGAACACCAGTCAATACTCTCGATGCATACATCGCTGCTTAAGTGTCGGCGGGATACACAATAGCAATGCTCGACATCGTACTACCTGAGATGTCATCGACTCTCGGAGTCTGGGCCAACATCTCCGCTTTCGTCGGACTAGTTTGGAAGGCGACGCGGAATACAACAGCTACACCGTCTAGTGTTCCAGCAGAGTTCTGGTACTCATCCGCCGACGATCTACATCGATCCCCAGTACGACTGAACTGCTGAGAACTAGCTGCTGGTCTTTATAACAACTACTATGTCTTGCATCTCGATTGGGATCCACGCGTTGCCCCTTGTCGTTCGATATGGAGCATCACTCGACAAGCTCAACGCTATGGTGATCTGTAATCGGGTGCAGCTCTTGGCCTGATATTACGCTTTGGGTCGTACGACGTTTACTTGTGCGATTTTAGCTGCCGTTCTTCGAGATCTCTACTGCTGCTTTATCATCCAATCTGAGCATTATATTGTGTCGTAAAACGACGATGTAACACGACCACGTATCTTCTGCTTCTATCGTTGCCTTACTTCGGACTCTCAACGTTGCATGTACGTCGGCATAGCACGGGTCGCAGAGAACCTGTGCCTTCCACTTCTGTCGGCACAAAGCTTGTGAATTTGCAACGCTTTGACCATTGCAAACAGTTCCACCCGACCAATCATTGTTCTACCGTTACCCTCCTCTTCTTTCACGCATATTCATCTCACTGCACAAACTACACAACACATTCGACAACAAATCACCCATCAACAAGGCGACCAGGTCAACAATATGGCTCCGACTAAGCCTACCTCTGCTTCCAAGCTTTCGTTTTCCAAGCCTACTTCTGCGACGCAGTCTGGGAAGATTGTAAAGTCCTCTCCGGCCAATCGCAAGGGCAAAGGCGGTGGTGGCAAGAAGGACGACGAGGACGACAATCACGGCTTCATTGGCCCGGCGCCCCGTCGCAAGGAGCAGAAGATGCGCTGGGACGAGGCTGCTGACATCAAACTCCTCCTCTTCGGCATGGATCGTGGCCCGATCCAACGCAGTGAACACGAAGCGATCGCTGCATCTTTCAAGGGTAAAGTGCTACGGTCGGCTTTTCTTCGAGTTCAACTACTGACAAGATACAGAGAAGCCGACGGCCAAGGCCATTGGCGAGCGTCTGAGTAAGCTCGGCACGGAGCAAAGGACCTTGCTCAAGCGTCTCGGCATCTTCGACATTGATGCTCAGAAGCCCAAGGTCCAGAAGAGTGGAAAGAAGGGCAAGGGCGATAAGGACGAGGAGGCTGAGGAAGACGAAGTCGAGGAGCAGCACGTGGACGAGGAGATGACGGGTGAAGGAGACGACGATGACGAGCATGTGGAAGTTGACGAGGACGTGGAACTCGTCGAGGATCATGAGGGCGAAGAGAGCGAGTAGACTTTCTACTGTAGTTGGTCATAGTCAAGTCACCGCGCCCGACAAGCCCGTGCGCTTTGTTTATACCTTTTTGAGCATTCTCCATGGTGCACTACGTTGTCCACCTGTGCTCTGGTGCGATAATGTAAGTATCCAAGTCATGGAGCAATCGCCCTCCATGGGCTCGGCACAGGGAGAGGTAATTGCAGAGCTATGGTGAGCTTCGGAACAAGCATCACGACCTCAAGGAGAGTGTAAGTGATGGCTGTAATCGGTGAACCTGAATGTTGCCACCAAAACCCAAGACATTCTCAATCTCCTGTGCCGACAAAGCGTCGATACCATGACAAGGATCCTTGGGCAAGTCACTTGAGTGGGCATGGCGTCCACGGTAGAGGATACAGTGAGTCGCAGTAGCCGACACCTTGTGTGCAAGAAGAATACCTGGACTATCAAGAGAAGGTTAAGAAAGTCGCGCCCGTTCCTGGACCTCAGTCTCGATCTATGGCATGCTGTGGATGTAAGACCTGTTATGTCTCAGCCCCACTCACTGACACGAGCTCCCTCTCGTTGCCTTGTCAGAGCTTAGTATACTAGCTGCGACTTGATCCAGTCAGGAAGGAGAGACACAGCAGTGCTGTTGGATATGGCGTTGTCGCCGCTGCTGTCCTCAAGCATGGTCCGGCGATAGGAAGCTGCGATCAGAATACCCATCAAACTTCTGTCCTGACACCGGGCTTGACACTGTTCAGCTTGTATCAGGGACATTGTCCAAAGTGCAGGGTTATCTATATGTGGTGAGAAAAATGAGGTAAGTAGAAGAAGATCGTAGAGCAGAACTCCATCCTTATCGCCGAGCCCCGAGACGGGGCATCTATACCGAATCGTCATGGGGCTCAAACCATTTGGCATGTACAGTAGTGCTATGCTTTTCTCCGCTACTACCTCATCCAACCCCAAGCCATCGGGAATACCATGGCATCGCCAGGAAACCGCCTTGGTGCCAGTCCGCCAAGCGGCTCAGCCTCGGCTGCGATACTGCTCAACAGGCAGTTCAAACAGATGCAGACAGATAAGGACATCCCAGGCATAAGTTGTGGACTAGTTGGCGACAGTGTCTTTGAGTGGGAAATCATGATCATGCTGGACGAGGAGCAGGACGGTCTGTATGGAGGTATGTCATGCAGGAAGAGCATATCCGTGTCCTTACTGGCTATGAATGATTGCTACTCGGGAGGAGTATACGTGCTAATAAGTCCATATATAGGCGGCTGCTTCAAAGGCAATATGTCTTTCCCGCCTACCTATCCACATGCTCCGCCACGTCTTAAGTTTCAGACACCGCTCTTCCATCCAAACGTCTTCGAGAACGGCGAAGTCTGTATCTCCATCTTACATCCGCCGGGGGACGACAAGTATGGCTACGAGAGCGCTGCAGAGCGATGGTCACCTGTGCAGACTCCCGAGACTATCTTGCTGAGTGTGATCAGCATGCTGGGAAGTCCAAACGACGAGAGTCCGGCTAATATCGAGGCTGGGAAGTTGTGGAGAGAGGACAAGAAGGAGTTCAAGAAGAAAGTGAGGAAATGTGTCAGAGATAGTCAGGAAAACGCTTGGGACTAGGTGGTTTTCATTTGGCACGGAGAGCCTCTTTGGCTATTATGGTCTCGACAGCTAGACTCTGGTTGCGTAGGACGCATCCAAGCGACTCACACGGGATCGCCAGCCATGCTTCGAGCCTACCATCAGATCGTGAAAGCAGACGGCAGTCGCAACGTACATGCAAGGACCTTTCTGATAGGCAAGTCTCGTCAATCTTTGAGCAGCAAGCCTGAACAAGGACGTGCCCGGTGGAAGCTTCGGCCTTTCAGGACTGTTCAGGTTGAAATGGTAGCTTGTGAGATGCTAGCCACCACAGCTGAGGAAGCCGAGGAGCTCTACCATTTGCGAATGGATGAACCTCCTGACTGGTCTCTTCCTGTCGAGTCAAATCAAGTGGCACTTTCACGTGTTACGAACGATATCCGATATTGAGAGGCACCTGACCCACTTGCGGTTGCAGCAAGTTCGATGGTGAATTCTTCCATGGGATCCCTACTCAGGCGCTCTCAGCATCGACAACAGCGAATGAGACCATCTCAAGCTTTCAGAAATGCCACTTACCATTGCCGCAGCAAGAAACGCGATGCGTAATCGAAGACACTCGCCAAATATTTCTTGTTCCATGGATATACACCTTTCAACAACGACCTTCAAGTAGAACTGTTTTCGTTTGACACAACGTTTTCCAACCCAGAACAGGTAGCCCGTCTTGCCAGCCTGTACACCTTTCTTCCGGTGGTCGTCGTCGTAAATGGCTTCGGCTCAATAGCTTCGGTTCGGATGCGACCCGCATCACGTGAATGGCCCCAGACCTCGAACAAGTGGAGTGTGGAGTATACAGCTCGGCAGGATGCTATGCCGAAGATTGCTATATTGGACTTCACGTCTTGGGACAGTTTATGTTTTGGCCTGAAGCACTCTCCCTCGACATAATCGACAACTAACACTTCCGAGCTTTACAAGACATATCAGCGTCATGCCCGATTGGAGCAAGAAAACATGGAGCGTCGAAGTCCCTGTTGACCACATCGACCCGCCAGTCCCAGGTAGAGGCTACGAAAAGTGCAGCCCTCGGCAAGAAATTCTACCTGCAGGCTGGAATGGCTTCAAGTCAAAGGCACTCACATCAGACATCCTCGTCGACCATGATGTTTCCTGGCAGGTCCGTGACGGCGCAACACTCTATGCCGACGTTTATCGGCCACCGCATACAGATGAGAAGGTTCCGGCGCTAATCTGCTGGTCACCGTTTGCGAAGAAGTTCAATGGGATTACCTCGTTGCAGGTCATGACTTATGCTAACCTTGGCATTCCGGATGGGACTCTTAGTGGACTGGAGAAGTTCGAGGGGCCGGATCCCGCTGATTGGTGCCCGAGAGGGTATGCAATCATCAATGTGGATGTGCGAGGGACCGGTGACTCGGAAGGTATCATGGCTGTGCTTGGGTCGCAAGAAGGTGAAGACGGGTATGACACTGTCGAGTTCTTCGCCAAGCAACCCTGGTGCAATGGTAAGATTGGACTTGCTGGCAACTCACATCTTGCTATTGCACAGTGGTTCATAGCATCTCAGCGTCCACCATCACTCACGGCAATTGCGCCTTGGGAGGGTTGTGGCGATCTGTATCGAGAACAGTTCGCTCGCGGTGGTATCTGGGCTGGAGATATGTACGAGAAAATCATCAAAAAGTATATGCTGAGGGGCCACCATGGCACGGAGGGGATGAAAGCTATGTTCGATAAGCACCCTCTTGCAAACGATTGGTGGAACGACAAACGACCGGATATGAAGAATATCAACGTCCCGACGTATATCACCGGAACGTGGTCGAATACTATGCACGGTATGGGTGCTATTCGTGGCTGGCTCGAAGTTGACACGCCCGATAAGTGGCTGCGATGGCATCCGTGGCAGGAGTGGTATGATCTGTGGGGCAACAAGCAAGCAGTCCCCGAGCTCATGCAATTCTTCGACCACTACCTCAAAGGTGCTGACAACGGCTGGGAGAAGACGCCAAAGGTCCGCATGGGTGTGCTCAAATTCGGCAAATCGAAACCTCTCTAAAATGTGGTGGAAAAAGACTTTCCAATCCCGCGAACGCAATACCGCAAAGCATATCTCCAACCAGGCAATAAGCTAAGTCTAGAAAGCACGCCATCAAATCCCCAGACCGTCGAGTACGACTCAACAAAATCAGAGAGCTACGCCTCATTCACTCACACCTTCGACAAAACAACCCAGATCGTCGGCATGTCGAAAGCGATCCTCTACATGTCCTGTGACGACCTAGATGACATGGACATCTTCATCATGCTCCGTAAACTCGACAAAGATGGAAAACCTATGCTCGCTCTCAACGTACCTTGGGAAGGTCTTCCGGTCACAGAATTTGATCAGATTCCGAAAGAAGGCGCGACAGAAGTCATTCTCTACGCCGGTCCTACAGGCATCCTACGAGCCTCGCTACGGGCGATTGATTGGGACAAGACTATGCATGAGAACTGGCCCTTCTATCCTCAAGATAAGGAGGAGAAGATTCAGCACAGTAAGGTCGTGAGGTTGGAGATCGGGATATGGGCTACGGGGATTGAATTTGAGGCGGGTGAGCGCATACGGTTTCAAGTTGCTGGAACGCCGCAAGGGTTGTTGAATTTCCCGATGACGGATCATGTGAAGAATAAGGGAATCCATAAGATCCATGTGGGTGGGCAGTACGATAGCCACGTTGTTCTGCCTTTTACCTAATTCTACACAGCGTTGATATTCCAACAGTCCGTACATATATCAATGGCTCCATTGATGAGATATGCCATCAGTTCCCGTGTGCTTCGTAGGCTGACCACGTCCCAAGTGCTTTCGCATTCTTATGCTGGTTCGAGCAGCGCTCTTGTCTCCTTCAGAAAGTTGGTTAGGCACCCGGTGCAATAGTGCGGAGGTACAACACTCGAGCAGGAGAATGTCGACTGGTGGTCCTTTGGAACGAGGGCTGCATTTCCTACATACAAATACATCACTGCGGCAGGTCAAAAGCAAAAGCCAGGGCATCCCAATCCATGTCCATACCGTCTAGCCCGCCAAGCAGGCTCGAGTCGAACTGTGTAGACGGTGGCCAGCTGGTCATGGCCGGAGCGTCAGGTACCACACGCTGCCTGTTCTGGTTCATCAGAGCATGTAGATCTTGGTCCAGACGCATCTGAGCATCTGTTCGGCTCGCAAGACTGCCGGTACTCGGAGGATCATGCGGCGAAGGCATCTCAGCGGATGATGGCCCACTCACTGGGTACGCTCTGCTTGACCAGTCCGTGGTGGGTGCTTGTGTGGATCTTGAAGAGCCTGTTGGTGTATTTCGTGCTGTCTTGTCAACATGGAGTCGGACAAGTCTGTGCAGCTGATCGAGTAGCTGCGACGTCATTTCATCTTCTTCTACGTCAGCCATACCTTGAAGTGCATATCGTTTTTGATGCTCTTTCAAGATAGCGATGGCGGTCGCCTGTAGCTCCAAGTCTGATCTTGCTGCGCTAGCAGTAGGATGTCGTACGATCTGGATAGCTAGTCCGTAGGCTGCAAGAAGTGGTCCGTGACTCGAGTTGAGCACTGTGTGTGCGTTATTCTCGCGCAAGTGACTTAGCACGCAACAGTGCTGCGAGTAGCATTCGAGCAGATTACAGTACCATTACGCAATCGATGTCGATATGGTTCGTTCGGAAAGTGTCTTGCAACTTCCGCCTGGACCGTGTGCATGTTCAGCATGAGGGCATGCCTGTGGAGTAGAAAGAGCGTCTGATGGTATTGCAATGCTAGATGCGCGACACTCGGGAGCGACTCAGCATCACAGTATGAGTACTCCGAAGGTCGTAGCTCCGGTGGTCTCCTTTCCGCCCATGCCGTAAGAAGGCCGTCAAGCTCGCCCACAGCGCGCATCTTGTTGATGATGGCTGCTTCGAGCACCACATCATCTGATTCCTCCTGTGCTCTCGACTGCATTAGACGCTCACTGACCTGACTCTGTATCTTGGCGAGCTCGATTGCCGCCAGATGTATGTCATCGAGGTACGCTCCTGCGTGGGGTGGACTCTCTTGGTTGCAGTCCAAGTCTCTAATGGACGATGCTCGTTCTAACTCCAAGCATAGCATCTTATCCAGGGTATATAGAGACCACCAGAGACGCATCTGATCAATATTTGCCGCAGTAGGCTCTCCCTGTATTGTAGCGTATGCACGTCGGTGCAGACAACAAGATTGTGCGATCGGTAGGGCCAAGCACGCCAATTGCCACGCGATCTCCGTCTGCCCACACGCACGAAGCAGTAAACCTGACAGCACCAAGAGCCTGACAGAGGACAACGACTTATCTAGCATGATCGACCCGAGATTGGACAAGACCGCATTGAGCGCCGTCACCACATCGATCTCCTGCGGGCCCAGTGATGGGTCAATTGAAGGTCCAGTAGCCTTAAGGAGAAGTGCTGAGAGTCGTTGCACGATGGTTCCGGATACATCAGAGGCGCCGTCTTCCTCCTCTAGGCCATTGCCCCGCAGTGATGGGAATATCGGCGCAATAGCAGCATACCACCCCGACTGTGTCGACTGGCGCATGCCATGTTCCAGGGACCTCAAATTATATAGCGAAGCAGAGAAAGGTGAGCTACTGAACCTGCGCGTTCTGCGGTAATGCTGCGAAAAGCGTTGTGACGATCCAAGACGGGCAAAGGCCAGGTCCAGCCATTGTGTCAGCAAAATCAAGCTGTTTCCGGCTATAGCAAACCGTGGAAGAGCTGGGAGAAGCTCTCCAGGGGAAGCCGAGTCTGTCTCGATCTCTGTTCGTTGGCGTTGCACAGGCAGTAGCTGGGCTGAGCTCGTGCTAGAGACAGTCCTGTGTAGATTGTTGGCCGGTGAGGTTTGAGCAATTCCCTGTGCTTCGCGTCTTTCGACCTGACGATCTGGCTGTCTTGGGTCGAATGTAACGCACTCGACGCCGGCTTTGATACAATTTGAGCCTGAAGGAGTGTTAGTGGCTGGGCCCGAATCGCTCTTGCAGGGCGTTCTTATCACGTACAAGTTGGCTGTAAGTCATCGCAGCGGACCTTTCTATTGCTACGGCACCGAGAGTATCAGCCCCTTCCGCTGACCGTACTCAATAGCTGCCAATGGTCGTTACTGACCGACATCGTGTGCACGCGTTCGTGAGGCGTTTACGCTTGCGGTCATTGTCCGCCGCCGGACTGTGCTGGATCATGCTCCCGACAAAACTTCCTCATCGTCCAAACACACCCCTGCTCTACCCTTCACGCGATTGAAGCAGACCAGAATATGCATCTTCGAGCGGAACGCGAGGCAATGTTGTGCGCACATAACTCCGCAACAGACTTTTGTGGCTTTGCAATTGACACTCCCCCGCATCTCCGGTGTTGTTGGATAGACCACGATGACAGCACTACATGGATTCATTACAACATGGGTCGTGTTCGAGTATGGCTGCACCTATGCAAACGTTTACCGAATGCACTGGCACTGATCAAAGGACACGGGAAGAATGCTGAGAAGTTGCTTCATTGATTCGTACTACATTATCACATCAGACCTTCATGCCAGCGTGCCCGAGATACTATGTCAGAGCTCAGACCATGCCTCCTAACAGGGCGAGGTATGCGACACTGTAGTTCTTGACTCTTCACATGTCAACTTGCTCGATGTGTGACCAGACTGGCAGTGTGGGCAGATCTCACCACACCCGATAATACATTGCTAGCGAGTGAGCCTTGGGAAAGCTGAGACCGCAGCAGGTGGAAAACGCCCACCAGGTTCCGAGCTTCCGTCAATCCATAGCCCCGAACCGAACCGAAGCACAACATCAGATGTGGTCGCGTTCCAAATGCTATCGTTCGGACGCATCTCAAGACAGACAGATGCTGACACGGCGAGGGAGCCCAAGGCATCTGACTAGATCATCAGTTTAACAGCGAGATTGAAAGCCACGATGCGGACGACAACCTCTATAACGGTACGAGCGGAGCAACGAGCGGACCGCGTGATATGGAACGGGCGGTTCTCACGATTCCGTACTGGACGATTTGGCATAAGGTATCGTGCGGCTCATTATTCTGGCTCTCATGTCCATCCCACAAACAAAAGTCTTATGGAGTCGTCACCGTCAGTTCCACTGTCCAAGCTGGCTTGCCTTATGAGCAGCAGATCACGGCTCGAGAAGACCCTTCTTGAATGTCTTGGCTGGACGTGGTGCTTTCACACATCTGATTTCACTCCTCATCTGCTCAAAGTGCTCGGTACCGTACCCGAGCAGCTCGCCGTAAGTACCAGGCTCGGAATCCATGCCAGGGTTGTGATCCCAAATGTATCCTAATTGTAATCCTTTCGTGGTACCTTTGCCATTGGTGACTTTCTGCATACTACACTGGCTCAAAAGGTGCCATGTAAGCTCGTGAGCCTCGGCATACTCTGGTGTTTTTGGATCAGAGTCCAGACGAAGAGCCAAGAGGTCAGATGCTCGTTGACCGAAGTCCTTGAACCCAATGGTAGCTTCGGCTCCCCAACTCCCCAATTCTCTTGTAGAACGTCCCGGATCAGGATGTGCTTTGTCCAATAATCTGTCCGGGAAAACTTGTCATTGTCCGTGGCTTCGAGCAGACATAGGCGTGTCCAGCAAAGGACTTGATTTATGTACTCCATGACGACCTTGGCATCGACCGAGAACTGCCAGTGGAAGCTGCTAGCCCGGGTGTCGTCGAAAATGAGGCTCTCTTGCAATGGAGCGAAAAGAGCATTGTCGATCAGCCCCTTATAATTGTCATGGCCTTTCCAGACATGCACAAATAGATCATGCCTGTACAGACCCAAGTTAGCGGCGCAGGTAGATTCAGACATGTGAGCTTACCAGCGCTTGATGAACGGATCGCCCTTGCGAACTCGCAACAAAGTTGTTCGCTATTATTGTACCATACATCCATGGTACAGCGACCTGGAACGGGGAGTTCGGGTCTTGCAGCTGACTCCAACACACGCGATCCCATTCGCGGATGAGTACGATGCCAACGTCCATGAAGATGCCGCCGTGCGTATACAAGCATGCGCCACGCAAGAAGTCGGCGGAATGTGGACCAACGTATGGTCCATCCATGGTGCCATTCACGAATGCTTGTGGCAACATCTCAGGCGAAACATAGTTGAGCGCATAGTTTGGAGAGTCGGGTACGGTATCCAAAACACGAACTGTCCATCCTGATGGGCTGTTGATGCGGATCCAGCTCAGGATATTCCGTCTGCACCAATCTGGAGTCTTGTCAAGACCCGAGTCCCAGAATGACCAGAGGTTCTTCTCGGATGTCACAGCTTGGTACGAACGCAATCTCTTGAGCATATCGACCTCTTCGCGATCTTCTTTGACCGGAAGAGATCGAGCCCTCGTAGTCCTGCGGTATATCGAGGTTTGGTGACATTCTGGCAGTCGGCCTCAGACAAGACCTTGGGGTGAGTATAGTCGCGAAGACACGATCTACTTTACTGTAATCAAAGACAAAGTAGTTCGTGCTGTTCACTAAAGATGACCACTATATATCTTCAGCTGGTTAATAAGCCGTGAGCTCTGCGTCGTCGCACATGTGCGAAAGCGAGTGCAATCATTGGATGTGCCTGTCGTCAACCGCATCTCGCTTGGCACCAACAATATCGATGTGGCCATTTCAGTCCACGTAGGATGGGGTGCAGAAGGCGTGAATATTTCTAGCGGGGCTGAACATTTCCTTAGGGCAATGGCCCATTGTGACATCTTCTGCCGGAAATCAAACACCGACTCTCGTCTCGCGGTTGTGGGGAGCAAAACGTTCGTTTTCGGCTCTGTACTGCTCATCCAGCCGTCTATTTGGTTCCAGTCACTTTTGAGCCCTACTTTGAACCCGACTTTCATCCCTGTCCTCTGCTGGATCTGGCATATCACCGAGCATTGTCACATCGAACAGCTTCGGCCTATCATAACTTTGCCCATACAAGTACAAGACCGCCTGCAGTCGGGGCAACTCGCGTTCCGCATGCTCAAAGCTGCTGCAAGGATGGCAGCAAGCACCTGTCCGGAGTATGACACTATTGTGATTGGTGCAGGCATGTCAGGTCTAGCATGTGCATCAAGACTGCTTGAAAGTGACCACTACAGTGGCGAGGATAAGCTGCTTGTGTTGGAGGGACGTAACCGTATCGGTGGTCGCATCGGCGCCGTCCACGTGAACGGAAACCGACTGGACACTGGTGCTAATTGGATTCATGGGATTGGTACGGATGATGATCCGAATCCTCTGGTTGACATATTGCCGCACAAGAAATATCGTGGACTCTCCGGGAGCGTAGCGTTTCGCCGGACAGCCAAAAGTGCTCGTGGCCAAGCACCATCACATCCCAGTACGCCAGGCCCCGACGGCGATTGGGTAAAGGTACGAAATGGTGGCACGGAGTCCATCGAGAGCCCTGGAGACGAGTCTGAGGATCTCATTGTACCATCGGGGTTGTCTCGGGTACTGAGTGGAGCGCTGTGGCGAATGATTGGCGGTCTCCACGAAACAGCAAATGAGACGCCACCAGCCAAAGCAAAGTCAACCACGATGCTGAAGGCCGTCATTGATTCGACACACAGACGGGATGCGTTCAAGCATGTGCCAACGGAGTATCATAGCACGCTCAGCTGTATGCCGGCCGGGCTCGAGGGAATCGAGGCCGCTCCCTTAGTAGCACAGTCCGCAGAACACCTAGAGGATCAGCCAGGCATGAGCTTACTCGAGTACGCTCTTGATGACTTCGAAGGGGACCAAGTCTTCCTGCAAGATGGCTATCTTGCCGTGATCGACGAGATAGCGAAGGATTTGGTCGCAAGCAATATGATCAATTTAGGCACGCATGTCAAGCAGATAAGATGGGATAGCAATCCTATCGAGATCATTACAGACAGCGGGCAGTATAGAGCAAAGCAAGTCGTTTGTACGCTCCCTCTCGGAGTCCTGCAGCACGCCGATAGATCGAGATCTCCAGATGCACCTCTATTCAGCCCCGTGACCGCAGGACAAAAATTTGGCTATAACAAATCTTGGCTTCGGCACTCTTGACAAAATATTCATGGTGTACAATGAGCCTTGGTGGCTGAACGATCCATATCTCGCTATCTTCGAAAAAGGTCTGGTCGGATCTGCCACCGTTGAGGCCAGACTCAACGACGAAGGAGAGATCGAAGGCCTTGATACAATCACCGGCTTTACTGACGAGCTGACGGGCATAGAAATACAAGAAGATGGCACAGTAGCAGCAGGACCACGGATGCTTTTCATCGTTAATTTGCATAATCTCACTGGTTTCCCAGCCCTGCAGTGCTTCGTCTCATGCGCCAACGCTGCACATGTCGAAACACTTGGTGACAGAGACGCTGGTGGGATCGTACACAGGGCGCTGAACAAGTGGCTGGGCGTGGAGCCACCGAATCCAGACGCAGTTCATGTGACACGCTGGGCACAAGACGAGTATTCAAGAGGAAGCTACAGTCACATGATAACAGGATTGTCGGAAGTGAAGCATCGTGAGGCCTTCCAGGAGCCGATCGTGAACAAGAACGGTGGTATTCTGAGGTTTGCTGGCGAGCACACGAGTAGGAACCACTTTGCCACAGTACATGGCGCACTTCTCAGTGGTTGGCGAGAAGCGAATGACATATTGAGCAAAACCTGACATGTAGAGGCCGAGATTGAGGCATCTGCTACGCAGCGGCTAGTGCCCCGCATGAGTGACATCCATTTTGACCCGACAGCGTAGTGACAGCAGTAAGCCGCTCGGACTCCTGATAGTACGCATTGGCGAACTCAATAAGTATGTTATATAGCATATCCTCAGCAAAAATACACCACTTGTCCAACGACAAGCTCCTGTCTTCCGGTGATCCCTCACCTACATCACGCACCCGTCCGAAGCTCTGTATGTAAGCTTCTCAAGCGTCCTAGAAATCAGATAAGCCCATACCGCAACGTGATCGGAACACAAAGCGAAGAAGAGTTGAGCGTAGCCGCTGGGCCAAGTGCCAAGAATCCGCCACAGCTGCTGAAGCTGTTTCCAGTGGTGTTTGGGTAATTGCAGAACAGAGTGTTGTTGCAGCCAATGCAGCTAGGAGTATTCTGTGGTGCACTAGTGTTCAGGAGGTACAGCCAGGGAAGATAGTCGAAAGTGTTCTTGGCCACATACTCATCATCGGAGAGATTCTCGAGGCGGCCTTGTGAGTCTAGCGACCATTGGTCAAGCGCTGCATCGGACGGACTGAACTGAACGACAGTGGTGTCGCCATTTGTGAGATTGGCGGCACGACCAAAGTACTTGACGACGGTGCCATCAGAAGAAGTGTTGGTGTATGAGATGCTGAATCTTGTCGGCTGAGGGGACGATAGTGTCGTGGTCACTGTCGTGGTTGTGACGATGGTGGAAGTCCCGAGGATCACAGTCGGTTCCTTTCAGCTGTTAGCGGTCTCGTTATAGTGCTGCTTCAAGTGCTAGCGTACCACACTAGTGATTGTGGTAGTGCTCATAGTATTGAAGAGACTGGTCTGTATTGAGGTGGCCGTAATTGTCGGAGGGATGACAGATGTAACCGTAGCCTGGGATGTTCAGCTTCTGCCTTTCAATGCACAATACCATCTCAACGACTTACGTCAATGGTAGTAGTTACAGTAGAGGTATACACTGTCGAGACTGAGGAAGTGGCTGAGATGCCCAGACAGCCACGACAGATTCCCCACTTCAACTGCCATGTCGCGAAGTTGATAAGCTGGCCGACGCATGCAGTCGGCAGTGACACAGTAGTCGAAGCATCCTGGCGTTTAGTGACAATGGGAACAACCGAAGAGGATGACGAGCTGCTCGTGATAGATGCAGCGCCAGCTGTGGCACACGTGTACACAGTCGAGTTGCTGTTCAACTTCAGCAACGGCCTTGTCACCACGCAAATATTTGACTTACACTGTATAGATAGACGTGGTAGTAGCTGTGTTGAACGAGAAAGTAGGACTGGCTGACGCAGAAACCGCCGTGCTCACGCTACTCGGTCAGCTTTGCCGTCGACATCGACGAGGAAACTTACATGGTGGTGGTCACAAATGTGGTGCTGAGATAGTCAGCTCAGGTGTATCAGTATCTAAAGATCAAAGGACTTACCTATTCATCGTGACGGTTGCAGGTGGAGTAGCAATCACGGTCTGAACCGCAGTAGTTCCATTGACCGTCACGGTGGTATCGCTGTTCTCTAGATCAGCTTCTGAATGTCATAGAACTGTGATAATGTCCTACGTAGACACAGTGGTTGCCGCGGTAAAGAACGAGGAGCAGAAGGCCGACATGGACGATGTTCCGATGGCCAGCTCACAATTGGAAATGGCATTCTGGTATGCGGTGCTGGATGGTCCTGGGGGGCAGGTGCTCTGCGCCTGTCTAGCCTGCAATACGCCCAGCGGGTTCGCAGACGCATGAAAGACGAGTCCAAGCAAACCAATGACCGTGGTAAAAGCCATGATGTGCTGTTCGATGAGTCACTTGTATTCAGGTTGAGTCTTGCCGTGGTCTGGTATCAGTTGGCAGGAGAGCTCTTTTTGTATATTGACCTGTGGCGAATCATGCCATCCTCGTATAGTCTCGGCATGGATTCGAAGAGTAAGATTATGCTATCGCTGTGATACAGCTTGGCAAGCCCTTCGGGAGAATCAATCCCAGACACGATGTCTGTGGCTAAGACATCGTTCAGAAGAGAGCTGATCAGATCACTTTGGAATGGATGCAGCCAATGGCTTTGCCTGACCAAAAGGTAATACAGGGGTGAAGCGGATCACAGCGACAATGTGAACGCGGACTCGACCTACCGTAGCTACGTCGAATCCTCTGAGCGGTATCATTTGCAAGCCAATTTCAAAAGTGTATGCCATGGTTACAGTCGTACGGTTCATGCAGCCAGGAACGGCTCTAGTGGCTTGACAGATGCAAGCCCAGTTCCTACGAACAAAGACTTGACACCCTCCAGCTATGGCCGAAATCGTTGACCGAGCCAGCACGGTCGGTAGGAGTGTAATCGTGCTACTTCGATCATCCTGCAGGCTGAAGTCTTCGACTAATTCAGCAGCGGCATTCTACCACAAAGCCATTCCATTCTCGTTGTGGCGTCGTTGGATTGCGTATCGGACTTGGCTGCGAGTCGAGGATTCCTCATGCAATTGGCTAACAGGCCGATGTGCTACACTGTCTGACCATTGCCTGAAATGTAGAGATCTCGTGTCCGAAGGTGAAATTTGATGTTATCTTGACATCGTCTGATTGGTATTACCAACAGCTCATCATGATAGTCCTTACCATAGTCCGGCAAAGGCAATGATACCAGGCTGATTCGTCGTGATGAGCGTCGGGAAGGGGACTCAAGACGGTGAGCTCAATTCGCTCCTGAAGAGGAAAGGTGATAGGACGTGCGATGGAAGTGATCTCGATGGGAACCGGCATCACAAATCCGCCGTTCATGTCATCCTCTCTAGCGCCAAAAAAGAAAGACCTAGGTAAGCATGTGAAAGTCAACCCTTCGCGTACGAAATCATGGAATCATACGCGGGTCAGGTGAGATTACCTTCGGCCTTCCTGGCCTCGGCATCGTTTTGATCAAGGCGTTTGCAAGTCACGAGCCAAGATATTCTACACGTTGCCGTAAGGTCGCTTTCACGGAGGGCACGTCTCGTACAACCGGACCGAGCTCTCGTTCAAAGCGGGCATTTTTGAGCAGTCAGCGCGGCCTTTTCGACGTTGCTATGGCCGTAGCTTCCTGCCCCGTAATATAGATAGAAGCTCGACGAAGTATATTCAGTGTACTAGGAGTGTGTGCAACCTCGTCAAAAATATCTCCAGAGCTTCTCCGCTGGCAATATGAACATCTCACGACTTCCACTGGTGGCCAAAGCGGCGGCATTGCTAACCGTCGCATACATCCTCTACCAGATATACATCCAACTTACTATAGGCGCCAAGAGACGAGCGTTCCAGCGCGAAAAGGGGACCCTTCCAGTGCCATGGCTATATACGCTGAAAGACAGATTCATGGGCGTCGATGTGTTCATGGAGAATATGAAGGCACTCAAGGCACGTAACATCCTAGCGCTTGGCAAGAGCCGCTTCGACCTTCAGAAAGTCCGGACATATCGTATGGTCATGCTTGGGCGGGACGTATTCATGTGAGTACAGTGCAGGCGTAACGGCGACGATCCAATGGTTGACGTTGTCACAGCACCATCGAGCCTGAAAACCTCAAGACCATCCAAGCTGTCGACTTCAAGAAGTGGAGTCTGGGAAGCAGACGTAAGACCGCTTTCAGACCATTGCTCGGCATTGGTATCTTCACCTCGGATGGCGCAGACTGGCAGCACTCTCGCGAGATGCTGAGGCCGAACTTCGCACGCTCACAAGTAGGAGACCTGGCGACATTCGAACGACACGTCTCCCATCTCGTCGAGGCTATCCCGACCGATGGCTCAACCGTCGATCTCTCCGAAATGTTCTTCAGACTCACGATGGATTCTGCGACGGAGTTCCTATTCGGCGAGTCCACCGAGTCGCTCACGAAGGGCAGCAGCGAAGGCTTCTCAGATGCCTTCATGAGGAGTCAAGACTTCGTCGCCAACAACAGCCGATGGGGTAGCTGGGCGAAACTCTTCCCTGCCAACAAGCAGTGGCTCGCTGATCAGAAGTTTGTGCACGACTTCGTTGACTACTATGTGCAGAAGAACATGGCCAAGCGCAGCGAGTTGCTGCGGGAGAAATCGAACGCGGAGAAATCTGGACGCTACATCTTCATTGATGAGATCGTGAGACAGACCGAGGACCCCATCCGCATTCGTTCAGAACTCCTTAACATCTTACTTGCTGGCCGTGATACCACGGCTTCGCTTCTGACCAATGTATGGGATACTCTAGCCAAACGACCGGATATCTGGTCGTGCTTGCAGTCAGAAGTCGCAAAACTCGATGGCAAGGCTCCCACGTTCGAACAGCTCAAGGAGATGAAGTATCTCAAAGGCTTGCTTAACGAGTCACTTCGTCTCTACCCGGTAGTGCCCGTCAACTCGCGCGAGGCCCTGGAAGACACAACACTGCCGCTTGGTGGCGGACCGGACGGTTCTGCTCCCGTCTTCGTACCGAAAGGTCAAGTCGTCTCATGGTCCACATATGCCATGCATCGGAGACGGGACTACTATGGCGAGGATGCGGATGACTTCAAGGTCGAGAGATGGCTGGATGATGCCGAGACTGGTCGCAAGGGTCTTAGACCTGGGTGGGAGTACCTGCCGTTCAACGGAGGTGCACGCATCTGTCTGGTAAGTGATTCCTCACCTGTCAAGGCGATACAAACTGACATTTTCAAGGGTCAACAATTCGCCTTAACCGAAGCAAGCTACACTACCGTCCGCCTGTGCCAAGCCTTCTCGAAGATCGAAAGCCGCAACCCGAGTCCTTGGACAGAGAGCCTGACACTGACTTGCGTGAACTTGCACGGCGCCAACGTGGCCCTGAAACTTTGACGAGCTGCCTAAGACTACAACGGCACAGGTCTAGGCGCCATGACCCTCACAGCAATTAGATCCCTCTCCTCCTCCTCCTTCTCCATAGCCGGGATATAAGGCCGCAGGTACTTGTCCACGTACTCCTTTGGCAGACCATGAGGTGCAGCATCACGAATAGCTTTCTTAATCCAGACAATATAATCAGGCATGATGACACCTTCGTCCGTCCGCTGAACATCTACATAAGTCATCGTCTCGACCTTCTGCCCTGTGCCCTTCCCCTCAGCATCGATACGTTCGACCTGAAGCGTGTGCTTCTCGTACATCCAGGGCACGCCTTCGCTTTCGTCTAGGCCTGCTTCGTCGCGTGGCGAGAGGAAGAATAAGCTGCCGTAGACGTGGTCGCCTTGCGAAGGCATGATGTTTCCATATTGTGTGTCGTTGATCTGCCAGCGGTAGTCTTCGAGTCTTGCGAGACCGCAGAAGATGCTATCGGGACAGCGGCCGGACATTGCTTTGGGTGAGAGATTGGAGGCGTAGCCAAAGTATAACGCGCTGAAGCGGCGCGAGGTGTCTACTGTTTCGTTGCGACTTCTAGCCGGCCCTTGCATTGATGGTGGATACATGATTTCTGTTTGTTGGTTCGCTGAGACTTGTCTTATTGCCCTGGCTTCTGTCTGCACCAACTTGGAACAGAGAACATTCGGAGGTAGGACTTCCAAGATGAGGTGAGCAGTGTGTCTGGACCGAAGGATGCGGGGATGTCAGGTAAAAGCTGATCAAGTACTAGTTGGAAGTGGTGGCAAGCCGACATTTACACCTTGCAGTGCTCTTACAGTACGTCCACTTCGCAAACCACGTTATTTAACCATCCATCTCATTGATGGTAAATCCACCGTCTATGACAAGATTGTGACCACAGACAAGACTCATACGTGGAGTGCTCAACAGCACGACCACGTCCCCAACTTCATCGAAAGACGCCTCCCGTCCTTGCCTCGCCTCAAACTTCGACCATGCACCTGCCGAAGCGTCCGCACCACCAAGCATGCTCTTCCCTGTCGCCTTCGTGAACTCTTCCTCTAGCAACTTCGTCTTGAGGAAACCGGGGCTGACGCAATTTATCCTCACGCCCTGCGAGCGGGCTTCCAAGGCACCGGCTTTAGTCATACCGAGCACGGCGTGTTTGGCTGCTGTGTAGCCTGAGCTTCCAGCGCCAGATTGGATGGAATTGACAGAGGCGCAGTTCACGATGCTACCTCTTTGATCCACTCGTCCGCTTTCGACAACGATGGACTCTTGTTTGACCATCTGTTTGATTTCGTGTTTCATGCAGAGCCAGACCCCCAGAGCATTGACTTCAAGCACCCTTTTCCAAGCATTGGTATCTGTGTCGACTACAGAAGAAAGTGGTCCCGCTATCCCGGCGAAGTTAGCCGCGTAGTCGATGCGACCAAACTCTTTTACCGTTTCGGCTATTGCGCTTTCGACTTGACTTTCATCCGTGACATCCGCGTGGATAGTGATGCACTTGATCCCGCAGGCCTCTACCGCGGCTTTGCCTTCCGCGAAGGCTGTCTCGTCTAGGATGTCAACCAGAGCTATACCAGAGGCTCCTTCCTTGGCGAAAGAGACGGCGATTGCGTTCCCCAAGCCCCGGGCGCCGCCTGTAATGAAGGCTACGCCTGGAGCCACTGGGCCAGAGCGGAGATGGGAGGGTGACATGATGACTTGGTGGGAGTGATAGACACAGACTCAAGATCGGATCAGCAGCAGGTCTGGTCCTCGATGCCTTCGAGGATCAGTCGAGTCCGCAGACAAGACAGCCGAAGTGTCCTAGCGCTTTCCTTTAAGTTCCTCGATCCGTCCGTAGATCCAGTATAGTAGCTGCCTTATCAATTGTCCAAGATCGATCCTCTGGACGGAAAAGCGCAGGCAACACAGAAGACAGTATTGTTTGTATACCTACCTGACATTGTCGTAGACCCGCCATCTCCACAGCATACGGCAGTTCACGTTTCTGCCTCACACGATCAGCGTTTGCCGGTACCTCATGGGAAAGCTTCCCCTCCATCGAAAGCTGTTTGGCAGCTCAGGACCGAGGTCACAGGGATCTTCATGGCGAGAAGTAGCCGTAGACTCGGCATCATATCGACTGTACAGGCAGTACCCGAGGCTCATGTTTAGTCGCTACTATACCAATCGTACAGCATCTGATGGGCCTTGAGCGGGACGGAGGTGGAGGGAGAAATCGTGGTTAGGCCTGAGAGCTGCGGATCTAGCCGAGATTATGCAGGCGGGCGATGCGGCCGACATGCCCGTGTCTGTGTCATGCACGGCGTTAGGTGAGCTTCTAAAGTACATCTACGATAGGCGAAGCACGAGACTTGCTTTGGAGATCGCCTGCACATATCACATTGCCTGGCTCCGTAGGGCAGCGCAAGACGTTCTGCCACACTGAGCATATACTAATTCCAACGTCATGAGTTTGCGACAACGATAACACTCCCGCAATGCCCTCCACTTCTCCCGGCCCAGAGGCAGTGCCGCCCAAGGCAGCCGCCGTATCGAGTAGTGACTTCGCCCAGATCTTGCCAGGAGCGCCGACAGCATCAGTCCAGGCGACAGCAACCTTCATCTTTCGGCATAAACGATATGTGACATATATCACCAGCTCACAGCTGAACATTTTGACCGGACCAACGAAGCTTGTGCAAGCCCTCGCCTTTGCCGAAGGACTAGTCGCCGTAGCTGTCGAGTCGAATACAGGGAAGATTGCGGTCGCTAGCAAGAGCCAAGTATACGTCCTTGAGCCCATCGCAGAAGGATGGACGAAAGTCTGGTGGGAGAAGAGCTTATGCCTGTGCCTATGCGTAGGCAAAGAGGGCGTAGAGGACGAAGCAAGCTACCTGAGCTGGGGCAGCGAAGGCGAACTACTGGTCGGTGGTAGTAAGAACTTGAGTCTGTTTTCTACAATACCTTCGTCTCGCACAACCACGCCAGCGGTCAGTCCCGTGGACGGCGAGGCCGCAGTAGAAGAGAGGAAGGCATTATGGTCCAAGCCCGTCGCGTCAGCTATCCAGTACGTGGCTCTCTGTCCTTCGGCGAACGTGATAGCGAGTTGTTCGTGGTACGATAGACTGGTCAAGATATGGCGTAGACTGTCATTCGAGGAGGGTCTTTTCGACCATACGTACCTTGCGCACCCAGCCGCGGTCACACATCTCGAGTGGAGACCCCTGGATCAGCATATGAATGAGAGACGAGGTAGCAGTATCAGTGGCCGGCATGACGAGGATCCGGAGGTACTCTGGACGATTGCTACGGATGGTGTGCTACGAATCTGGCGTATGGGAGGGATGCATGATGCGGATATCATGACACTACACACTGCTGTCGATCTTGTAGGAGCTATACCGCAGTCTCCAACCCTCAACACAAACGGTACTGCCTCGCACTCTGCAAAGCCACCACGCTACGCCTTCATCATACCAGCCAGCTCCTTTTCCGCCGCTGTCAACGCTGCGCTTGGACGAAGAACCAACGGCAAGATCAGCCACTCACTCGAGCACCTCAAAGACGTCATTACAAGATCTCCAGATGTGATCGTCACTCTAGATGGGCATGGTCGGATGTCAGCATGGGGTGTACAGAGCATTGGACATAAACGACGGCCTGAGACCCCGAGTGCGGAGCGGGCGTTCCATATCGCCCATGCTGAGGATCTTGGCCTTACCGTCCGTGTGGGTAAGAACATGAGGTTCCAAACGTGGTTTGCGGATGACGCATTTCACCTTGTAGCACACAGCTTTGACGGCCATGTGCAGTGGTGGCGAGGTGACGTAGAGACTTTCTTCTCGCCATCGGTAGCTGGTGGAGAGAGATTACGCTTGGAAGCGGATTGGTCTGGACATGATCGACCGCTGGCTGGAGCGATAGCATCTACCGATGGCGAGCTCATTACGTGGTCGAAGAGCAGCGACATCAGTCTATGGTCACGATCGAACACGGGCCAATTGGCAAAGAAAGGAGGGTTCTCCACGCAGAAGACTGTGTATGCAGCTTCCTGTTCCGTTGGCGGTAAACTCATTAACGTCGCTCACGACGAGAAAGTTGCGCTCTACAGGACCGACAGCAAGCAGGTCGACAGTCTAGTCCACGACCTCAGCTCTGAAAACGGTCTGCAGCTGGCGGAACTAGGCCAGGACGACAACAGTCAAAGCCATGTGTTATACAACAGAACTACAGCTCTCTTCTTCCGAGAAGTGGCAGATGAAATTGGGGATGTCTTGCTCGAGCATGTTGGTATGATGAACTTGGACAATCAGTGTCTCTATCACTTCAGTGCTGTCAGCGATGATGAGGTCATGTACTTGGCAGTCGACTTGACAGGGACGCTGCGAAGACAAGTCATTCCAACACCCCGTACCGAAACCGAGGATGAACTTGACATGCCTATTTCAACAAACGAAACGATCGAAACTGGCCTCCAGCAGCCTTCGCTACTCGAAGCCAATGTCGATCTCGCGGTCGCAGCATCTGGCGATGGCAACCGATTCGTGATCTTCGATCTTCGAGACGGCTATATGGAGTACGAACAAGACTGTTCGCAAGCAGTGGAGTTTCTGAAACTTTACAAGAATGCTGCTGGGAATCAGTACTTGGCTGTGGGATACAAGTCCGAGGTTGAGATTCTGGTCCAAGGACGATACGAGCATCATAGGGAGGCGAAAACGTGGTGCAAGGTCAAGCAGGTGTCTATTGAAAATATAGGACTCAGCATCACTACATTGGCGTGGTGCGGTGACGGTATGTTGGCTGTAGTCGCTGGGAGCGTGATGTTCATTACAAGCGAAACAGTCCTCGCGACGGATCTTGAGCCTGAAGTGCAAGAAAGGCTCGACTTGGACGCCCGAACGAAAGACGAATTAAAAGTGACAGAAGTCTCGGCTCGCCTGGCGCAGCCTGCACCGGTGTGGCACCCGCGTCTGCTCACCCATTTGTTGTATCATGGCAGCTATGCTGCAGCCGTCCGCATACTCAGACAATTGAGCGAGCGACTTAAGTTCTGGAGTGAAGGTGAGTATCTGCATTCGGCACTAGACCTGCCACACGATGCAGTCATGGAACAGTCCAACACATCTGCCGAGTTGGACGACGCAACAGTACGTGACATCCTGGAGCAGCTGGCCGCGAAGAAGCTACCCGCTATCTCCGATTCGGAACAGAGGCGCCTGCAAGCAGTCGTGGAAGCTCTACACTACATCTCAAAATACCGCCGTGGCTTAGACGATAACGCCCTGCACTACCTCTTCAGCTTCAACCTCCAGCTGTCGTACATGGCTGCCACCTCTACCACCACTACTAACCAGCCCAACGGCACGTCCCACATCCAACAGCCACCTGTTCCCCAAATGTCCTGGCACGACATAACTTTCGCCAGCCACAGCAGTACCCAGCAACCCCTCCTCGACATCCTGATCCAGCACTACGACAACAAACTCGCCTGGCCCATCGCCCGAGCCCTCGGTCTTACAACCTGGCTCTCCGACCGCGAAGCCCTAGCCACTGTCTTCGAGTCCCTCGCCCAGTCCGCATACCGCTCCACTTCCCCTCCCGATCCCACAAACGCAGCGCTGTTCTTTCTCGCTCTGCATAAGAAAGCCACGCTACTGGCGCTATGGAGGATAGCGACATGGCATAAAGAACAGCGCTCAACCACCAATTTCCTGAAACGAGACTTCTCCCTCCCCGAGGCCAAGACAGCGGCGCGGAAGAACGCGTACGCGCTGATGGGGAAGCGGCGATTCGAGTATGCAGCTGCTTTCTTCCTTTTGGCGGATGATGCGGGAAGTGCCGTTGGTCTGCTTGCTGGGCAGTGTGGGGACATCGGACTCGCTGTTGCAGTTGCGAGATTGTACGGAGGCGAGCAGTCGGAGTGTCTACAAACACTCGTGAGGCAGAGGTTACGGCCGCAGGCCGAGAAAGAGAATGATCGCTGGCTGATGTCGTGGTGCTTCTCGGCCTTGAAGGAGAGGCACGAGGCGGCTAATGCGTTGATCAAACCCCTGGACGGAGTGAGGAACTGGCAGCAGGACGATCCAAGGACGATGGTTCTGTATCGACACTTGAGGAAGGACAGGTCGGAGCAGGAGGAGTATCGAGCTGTTCTGCGCGCGGCGAGAATCTTAAGGCGGATGGGCTTCTGGGTGCTGGCGCTGGAGATGGTGAAGGGCTGGGAGTTCAAGCATGTATCAGCTGCTGCAACCCACGCCAATGGCAAGACTGCCAATGCGGAAACCACGACCAACGGCATCCACCACGAACGACCGAGCGCAGAAGATCTGGCCGCCAATGAGCCCTCGCTCCTCGACTCTTTCTCCTCTGTCCCGGACTCAGCGCCCGCGGTCAAAGCGGTCGAGGAGCCACCCTCCCGCGAAGCCCAAGCAGCTGCTTTACTAACGAAACTCCAAGCCAAGAAAGCACAGGCCCAACAAGTACCCACGATGGCGGAGAAAGAGAAGCCGAAGCCGCCTCCTACACAATTCAAGGAGCCGGATGCGAATAGCCTGCTCGATTCCTTCGGATTCTGAAGCATACATGCGTGAGGACGTGTGGGTTGGACGTATCATGTGCTTGTAATACACGTGCTTTTGTGGTATTTAGCGAGGCGTAAGGTCGCGTCACTGTTGCTAGTAGTCGGATCATCTCGTAATCATAGTCTTGGCTTGGATGAACACTGCCACGAGCAAGCTCTGATCGTCATTTATAAATTAACCGTTGTTCTTGCACGGTCGTTCTGCGGACCTGGTGATGGTTCAGCGCTGGTGTCGTGGTCGTCCATGCAGGGGTCAAAAATCTACTTTGCACCTTGTGCTATACTCTACAATGGCGTTGCGGGTCACGGACGTGAGATAACATACAATCTCCGACAAGCGAGCTACCTGTATTCCAATCTCTATCCACAACGTGGAAGCACGCGTACCCAAACGACAAACACCATGCTCGTTACCTACCCACACTCATCAGTCTACGCAGAGCCAACACCCCCCAACACAGTAAGCGCCCTGACCCCCTCCCGCTCAAAAACCCCCACCATCTCCTCTGCCTTCCGCCTCAAGTCCTCCTCCCCCTGCCCCGCGCGCCAAAGGATCCACTCCTCAACACTCATCTTCTTCTCCGGACTGCTCAACCCCCCTCCCGCTTGCACGAGCCGCGAAGCAAGAGTTCCAGGGGTGGGTTGAGGTGATGGGAGGAGGATGGTGTCCAAGTCCACGGCGAGCCAGGGCTCCGTGGTGTGGAGGGTGAGGAGTTGTTTGGTTGGTGAGAGGAGGGTTGTGGATTTTATTTGGGGGTGGCGGTTGGGGGTGCTCGGGGCTAGGGGGATGCGGGTTGTCTTTGTTGGGCTGAGGAGGGGAGCGGCTTTGAGTGCTGTGGGTGGTGCGTTGACGACTGAGGAAGGGTGGTTCTCCTTGTCGCTGTTTGAGGGCGAAGGTGTGGCATTGGGCTTGTTGGTGGCAAGATTCGCCGCGGCCAGATCGAGATCGTCGTCCAGGACCGCGACGACGCTCTTCACGCCTTCATGCGGCGGTAGCGATGTAGTGTGCTCCGGCAGAACGTTGCTATGCCGCTTACCATGCGAAGGCGAAGCCTCGAATTCCTCCACCTTCTCCTGCTCAGCAACGAGAGCATCGGTCTGATCGACATACGCCCGAGCTACGGCGGCCTGCTCAGCTGCCATACGACCAAGCTCTGCTTCGATCTCCGCCTCGTCTCTGGCCAGGTCCTCGTTCATATCAGCCTCGGGCTCGGCTTCAGACTCGGTCACTGTAGCTTTCGAAGATCGTGCTGAAGAGGCTTTGCGGCCTTTGCCCTTCTTTACCGATGCTTTCTTGCTCTTGGCAGTGGCTTTCTTCGCCGGCTTGGCAGCTTCTGAAGATACTTCGACGTCGGCGACAGGCTCGCCTAGACTTGGACTTGGCTCGCGCGTCGCGGCTTCGTCCAGGTGCGCCACTACTTCTCCTTGGGGAGGCGCAATCTGCTTGCTCGCTTTTCTACCCTTCTTGCCCTTGGCAGCAGCAGGTTGAGGTGGCGTTGGAAACTCCAAGCCCATGATCACACTGCTCTCCTGCTCCTTTCTCAGGCCATCGGAACTTCGCTTGACACCTCGTTGTGGCTTTGGGGGTAGCTGCTGAGGAGTAGACTCGTGGTCGGGTGCATCGTTGTAGTCCATTGAATTGTCCAACTCATGTTGTAATTGTGCAGACACCTCACTTAGTCGCTGCTCGGCCTCCGATTCAGTTTCCGGTTGGGCCTTGGCTTTGCGTCCACGAGTTGAATTTTTCGGCGCAAGATCTGCCTGGCTTGGTTCGATGACAGAGGAGTCGACTTGTCGTGACTGTCTATTTCGTGTCGGACGAGGTGCTGGCTCTGGTACTGTTTCCGGCTCCGGCTCTGGTTCCAGAACACTCGACTCCGGAAATGCGCCTGGAGCCTGACTATGCCTTATGGTGCCCCGGGCAGAGTCGTGAATCTCGATCTCCTCGGCCGCTGGCTCCTCCACCTTTTCAGCAGCCTTTCGGCCTTTAGTGCCTTTGGGTCGACCAGGCTTTCTCTTGCCACCTTTGACGGTTGCTTGCGAGGCAGTAGTAGCATTGGACATGAAACTATCGTCCACAGCCATTCCACTCTCGCCCAGGTCAGCCGTACTCGCTGCCTCTGAAACCGCGACGGACATGGTACTCTGCGTGCTCAGTCGTGAGGTCTTGCTAGCTGTGCTCGATCGTCCTTTACCTCTGACACCTTTGTTCGCGCCTGGCATAGCTGTTCCATGATATTGCTCGCACAGCGTGAAGAAAGGACATTCCGGGCTTCGTCGTCTGTGTTCTTGTGCCGGGTCGTCCTTGGGCTCCCAGCCGTCCAAGCTCAGATTGCAGTAGAAGCACGTGACACCATCTTCAGTCTCGGGGCTCCGATCAAAGGTCCAGCCAGCATCGACCATCTTCGCCACTTTACACCGCCAGCCTCTCTTTCCCTCGTGCACCCACCCGTCACCCACCTCGAAAGTGCCTCTTCGTGCAGCGACCATTTCGTCGGAGAGCGGATCACGTGCTTCTGCTGGCTCGGTGCTATCGTCCAGACGTGCGGTCGACAGCGACACCGCCCAAGCGCAGGCAGACGCGTGCGAGAGATGTTCGTGGAGTGGCGAGTCGCTGGGTTCCCAGCCATCGAGCTTGACTGCGCAGAGGAAGCATTGGACATTGTCGGGTGATTCCTGGACAGGTCGGTAGAAGAAGCCGGCGCGGGCCAACTACATACTTCTGTTAGTCTTCGTTACTGCGTCGGTTTCGACGTCCATACCTCTTCTGGTGACGGCGACTCGTGCGGCCATTCTACTGTGTTTCCGCCCTTCTTCTTACTGCTGGAAGACGAGGCGCGTCGCTTGCTCAACTGGTGTGGTATCTGGAAAGAGTTCAATCTCGCAGAATATGTCTGCATCTCAACACTGCCCGCCATGGCGATGTGATGTTCTTCTGATAGCGTGTCTTTGGTCTTCAATCGCGTATGGCGGAGTTCGTTTACGCGACTGTAAACACAGGTTACGACAGACAGTCTAACCGTATTCGGAGCTGTTCGGAGTTTAGGCGGAGGAAGCGTGGCTCGAAACAAAGTCAAGAAGCGAAACAGGCAATTGCGCCAGGTGAGATGAGAGAGAGCAGGAACGAACGCGAATGCATCTTCTTCCGGTCTCTCCCAACCATAACTTAATCATGTCATTCCTTCCATAACACCGTCATACTCTTTTTCTTCCTGTCCATGGCTTCACAACCATAATACTCCGGTGTCACACTCCTCCCATCACGCAACATGGCCCTCCCGAGACTCGCAACATCGCCCGCATATTACTCCCTCGTCGGAGCGAACTCCTTTGTCCTCGGCCAGACAGCTTGGCATTACCGACCAGGCTTCCTGAGTCCGAGAGCTCCACCCAAGCGCACCTTCCAAACGAGTCAAGCACAGCATGAACAACAGACCTCACCTCCTTCAACGTCAGCCTCCTCCACGAACTCCTCCTCGGAGCACAAAGCCGAACCCTCCATCTCCTCGTCTTCAGGATCGAACCAGTCCCTCCCACCAGGCTGGGATGATAACCCCGACTACGCAATAACCAACTTCTCCCAACTCCCCCACCGCGAATTTGGCTACAATCAGCACATCAAAGTCAACGAGGATTTCAAGGAGGCATTACGGCATATTCTGTGGCAATTCCGAGCCCCGATCCGCTACGCCGTTGCCTATGGGAGTGGAGTGTTCGGACAGAGCGGGACATCAAAGCCGGGGGATCTAAGTCCCCACCCCAATCCTCCTAAGGCGGTCGAGGAATGGCAGAAGGGGGGTGCGAAGGTGATAGATTTCATCTTTGGCGTCAGTCATACGCAGCATTGGCATAGTCTGAATCTGGCCCAGCATCCCGGGCATTATAGTGGGTTGAAATACCTACCTTACGCTTCGGCGGCCATCAGTAGAGTGCAGGATGATTTTGGGGCGGGAGTCTATTTCAATCCGTTCATTACTGTCAACGGGACGATGATTAAGTATGGTGTAGTGAATTTGGACACGTTGGGAAAGGATCTAAGTGATTGGAGTACGCTTTATTTGGCTGGACGCATGCAGAAGCCCGTGAAAATCCTGAGGGATGATCCGAGGATGCGGCTGGCTAATCAGGTCAACCTCATTTCGGCCCTGAGGACGGCATTGCTCATGCTGCCCGAGTCCTTCACAGAACGACAGCTCTACGAGCGGATAGCAGGACTCTCCTACCTAGGCGACCCACGCATGACCTCCTTCCTCGGCATGGGAGCTAGTGAGAACCCGAACAAAGTCTCCAACATTGTCGGAGCACAACTGCCAGGCTTCCGACAGCTCTACGTCCCGCTCATCGAGAACCTGCCAAATGTCGACTTCACAGATAGTCGACTACCGAAGGAGGTGGCGTGGGAGAAACAGGACGCCATCAGGCACACGGGCAGCAATCCTCAACTCGACAACGTCCTTGGCGGCGAATCAGGCTTATCACTGAATCAAGATATGGATCCCGTGAAACGTGGCAACATGGTCCGTCGCCTGCCCAAAGCCTTCAGGAGGAAATTGTATTTTGCCTACAAGAAGAAATTCGGTATTCCCGGCTCGGCCTTCTCTAACGTCCTCGAGCAGTCCGAAGACGAGACTTCCGATACCTTACGGCGGCGAGAAGGAGGATTGTTTGAGCGCCGGATAGCCGGGGAGAGCGATTTGCCAGAGGTCATGGGAAAATGTGTGAGGGCTACTGTTGCGTGGCCGAGTACTAGTCAGACTATCAAGAGTGCTTTTACGGCTGGGATCGGAAGGAGTTGGAAGTATTGGAGTGAGAAGAGGGCGAAGGGGAAGGCGAAGCCTGCTGCGAGTGTAGTGGTGGGGAAGGAGGAGAAGAAGGCGTAATGCCTTGCTGTGTAGATGTTGCATCGATGTAAGCAGTTCATCAGCTACGAGCACCATATCTAGCTCGAACATACCCATCCTCTTGATCGAGCGGTCATATTCAAGAGCTCTGCTCCACTCCGCGCGAGCTTAGCGACAAGCTTCAGCCCTGCAGCAGTGCTAACATGCCGCACTGATGAGTCACATGTCTTTCCCCTTCACCAATCGACTAGTAATCTCACCAGACAGTCCGCCAACTTCTGTCCCACAAAACATAGACCTCAACTCCTCCAGAGTTCTCGCGTCAGACCTCTACCTAACCTCGGAATGGAACCAGCACACCGGTCCTCCCCCCCCCCCCCCCCCTCCACACAACGCCGCGACGAAATCTTCCAGGCCTTCGTAAAACTAGGCATGCGAGCCCGATGGCCTTGGCACGCCTGAGCCGAAACAACCTCACATCGCGACTTCACCGCCGCAGAGAAAGAGATCCTGGAATGTCGGCCTTGGTCTATCAGATGCATAGCTGAATGGATCGGCGAGGATCTCCGCCGGGTCATCGTGACGGATCATGCCCATCCGAGGGATCAGACGGATCTGGCGTACCGCGTTACTGACGGAAGGGGGTATACAGACCTGTCGTGTGCTCATGACGGCGATCCGTACGATGTGCTTCCTGAATTGGCATACTCGATGACGGCTTTCGATGACCCGGGTGATGTGGAGGAAGCGCGGCGGGTGGAGCCGCAGGAGCAGAGGTTGTGGGTTTCGGGGGTGTTTTGGATGGGGGATGTGATTAGGTGGGTGGATGAGTTTGGGTTGACGATCAGGGAGAAGGTCGTCGATGCTGGGGATCGGCAGGGAAGGAAGGAGGCTTGTGAGGCTTTTGAGGAGTTTCGTCCGTCTGAGAGTGTGTGGTGGACGGAGGCGAGGAGGGTGGGGGGGTATGCTGGGGATGAGTGGGGACGGTGATGGTGTGAGCTGTAGAAGATGCAGAGGTCTGGTGAACCTCGGCTGTACATGCTAATGAAAGTCTTGACTATCCTTACATGCAGCAGTGTATTTTGGATAGTATACGAGTACTAGTTTCCTGTCAGGTCGACCAGCCACCTTGCCGCGCGCATCCCGCCCGATGCTATGACCAAATGGTAGCGGAGGGAGAAGGGGGAGAAGAAAGGGTAATCGTTGTCGGCCTGTGGTCTTTTTGATAGATATTGCTGTCCCTGATAGTGTGTATCAGGCATATATATCCTTCAAGCATCAAACTTCCTCTTTCGTCCGTCGAGCTTTGACCAGGACTTTTTCTACCACAAGAATGTCCGAGCTTTTCCGGACCGACGTCGATCTCAAAAACTTCGGTGGTGAGCATGATCAGTCGCTGCAGGTTGCCCATCCTTCCAAGGTAATCATCTCGCCTCCTCTATGCTGACATGTATTCTCCGGTCCTTCAGGTCTCTGGAATGGGAAAGAGTCCATTCCCCCAGCTGCTGCCGAAGTGTCGTTACGAAGCCGTGTACGCAATGCTGTCGGCTCTGGCGCCGGGCCGTATGCAACCGCCTCGAAACTAGAACAACCTTAAACACTCGATGGCATGAATTGGCTGCAGTAGCGTGAGCCGAAATCGCTTGGCTGCGAGGGACTACCTTTAACAAAACTTCAGGCGAGAGAGGATTTTACTTCTTTGCTTTGCTATGGACGATCACTTCCAGCACATGTTGACCCCACTGGACTCTCGAGAGCAATCGTCATGGATCTAGCAGCTGCTGGCGAAAGGCAGCCACTACTACCTCCTCACGTCCGTGACGACTTCGCAGCTGGCGAGCCAGGAACATATAGTGGCACCACCACAGCGACGAACACTGAGGATGGACTGTCCGATATCCTGGACCACAAGCTCGACGAGGAAATTACATGGCAGAGCGGAGCATGGCTTATCGCTTCACATTCCCTCCCACTAATCCCAACTTACCTTCTCCACTATGCCTTCCAGATGACTACAATCATTGCGGCTGCTTCTCAGCTAACTACTGAGGAGCTTGCCGGTGTGAGCTTGGGGATGATGACGTCCAATATCGTGGGATTTGCTGTCCTGGAAGGCCTTGCCACGGCGTTGGATACGCTTTGCTCTCAGGCTTATGGGAGTGGGAGGTTGGAAATGGTTGGGCTGCATACTGTGCGCGTCACGGTGCTGAGTAACATCATCGCGATCCCTATCGGACTGATCTGGGCCTTTTCACCCGAGTTATTAGGGCATCTTGTCCCGCAAGCCGATCTTGCCTTGAACGCCGGGACGTTTCTACGATGGAGCATTATCGGTATACCCGGCTACGCAACCTTCGAGACAAGCAAGCGGTTCATGCAAGCCCAGAATAACTTCACAGCCGGCCTCTACGTCCTCCTCGTCTGCCTCCCCATCAACATCTTCCTCAACTGGCTGCTGGTCTACCACCTCCAACTCGGAATCCCTGGCGCCGCCCTCACAGCCGCCATCACAAATTTCCTCCGGCCTGTCTTCCTGGCTGTCTACGCACTATGGTGGGACCCCTCGAGTCTGAAATGCTGGCCCCGACACCTCACCATCCACGCCGTCTTCAGCGAATGGGGCGCCATCTCCCGGCTCGCGGCCCCTGCCACACTCATGACTTTGAGCGAATGGATGGCCTTTGAAGTTCTCCAAATCTCGTCCTCCTACCTTTCCGAAGCCGCCCTCGCGGCCCAGACTTTTGCGGGCACGGGCGCGAATCTAGCCTGGCACATTCCCTTCGCTGCTTCCGTGGCCACAAGTACACGCCTTGGCCAGATGATCGGGGCGGGGCAATTGGAGATGGCTAAGACGGTTTCGTGGTGGTATCTCATCATCTTCGTCCTGATAGGTATAATAAACATGGGTCTCGAAGCCGGAGCGGTAGCCTGGAGCGGCTATTACTTGACGGACGACCCGGTCGTGCGATCCGCCGCCTTGGCAACAATTCCATGGGCGGCTCTATTCTGTTTCTGGGATTCCGTTGCTACGTGGTCGCATGGGACGGTCAGGGGACTAGGGTGGCAGAACATTGGGAGTTTCTTGAGTGTGGTTATTACATATGGATTTGGTGTGCCTTTGGCATTGGTCCTGGAACTTGGTGCACCTCATCTAGGGTTGAGGGGCTTGTGGATAGGGTTGGGCAGTGCAATTGGTTTGTTGACGGTTGTGGAAGGTTCGGTGGTCATGTCGAGGGATTGGAGGAAGGCTTATCAGGAGGCGCAGGACAGGCAGGAGGAGTAAGTGGGAGACGATGTTCTTCTTGCAAACTCTCACATAATCGGCTCGTTCGTGGAGGCGGGAATGTCGACGACGCAGTGAAGGACCTCCGGCAGCCATCAATCATGAACTTGGTCTTGCTCACTAACCTCGACCAACCACCAGATCGAGAGCAGAAGAGCAATGGCGACCGCTATGTATGGGGCAGCGTTCAGGATCGACTGCTTTATTCCGATGATCATGCGCTCACTCAACGCTGCATCAATAATCATAGCCTCATTGCGATTCGGGAAGGGTATGACAGGCACTGCCTTGTCCAAGAATACACACAAAGGGTCCCAGCCACTGCCAAGCTCGTATTCCAGGATCCTGTCTGCCGGCAATGTGGCTCGAATATCGATATAATGCTGTCGATACGCTTTCCTCGCATTGGCTTTCGCTTGTGAAAGATTACTGCTCCGAAGAGTCCGTCGATCTAGAGGCTGCTACAATAAACGGTGCGGCCGAACTAGAGGGCGTCGGTATATGCGAGTATATAGCGGCCGAAGGGGTTAAGGACGCCTTCTATAAGTAGCGAGATCGAATTATATTATTTGCCTTTATCTCGCTCTACGAGTACTACCTTAGTATAGACTAGTCTATAAGGAAGGTAGATTTGATAACTAATACTAGTTAAGGCTAGCGCTAATTACTACTTCGTCGTAGGCGAGACGCCTACGCTATATAATATATAAGTATACTTAATACTAAGTCTTATATGATCTCTTACGTACTAGGCTTATCGTTATTATTATAGATATAGGATTTAATTATTAGTAACGAGTTAGGAACTAAGGCCTAAGGCTAGTAGACTAACTCTAGGGCTAAATATAGGATTACTTTATTACTAGATAATCGAGTAATCTAGATTATAGTTACTATAAGTAACTATAATCTAGTCGTAATTACCGTTAATAATCGCGACTATATATAAACCTCCTATATATATAGAATAGACGTTTTCTATATAGGTAGTTCGTATTTAACCTAAGTTACTAACCCGCCGAAAGGTCAAACCTTAGAGTACTTACTTACCCGACCTATCGCTTAGAACTTACTTATCTAACGAGCTCTAACCCTCTTATTATTATGCACCTGCGGTACAAGGGGGTTAGAGCTCGTTAGACGAGTAAGTTCTAAGCGATAGGTCGGGTAAGTAACT